CCATTTAGCCAGCGCAGCGCCAGCGTCAGCTGGGCAGGGCGGCCCACTACCCACCCTGTCACCGCTAGAACACGATGAGACCTTCTAGCTCGTCCTAGAGGTAGGCCCTATCGAGAGACAGCATACCGTGCATGTAACCCGGCCCAAGTAGCGTGCAGGAAACCTGGCACAGTGAGCCGGCATTGGTCCACCAGCATGGGGGTTTCCTCTTCTCTGTTTGGCCTGTGAAGATGCCACATGCAGATTGGCACACAGAGCCGCGGAGGTGTGAGTTCTGCCGGCTGATCGTCCAGTGTCACGCAGTGCCAGGGTACAGGTCGAGCCTGGCAAGGGTTGTTGACGTGGGAACAGTCTGTCGCCTTTAGGCATCAACGCATTCCTGCCGAAGGAGGCCTAGTGAGGGCGCCGAAAGATAAGATGGTAATCTGCTCTGCAACCACCATGCAGCTCGATGGATCTGCATTACAATCGACGCAGAGCAGGAATCATGCTGCTGCCACTCGCTGCTGAGTTTTTCTGGCCCGGCATTGACCGCCTGACCAGAACCTCCGACCGGCACAGGGAATGAAGGTGAGAGCAGAGAGTTGCCCTCCCGAAACTTTTGCCGGCAAGGTTTCGGGTAGGAACACCAGGGCTTTGGGACCGCTCACAACGGGCTGAACGGGCGCCCCGGATCGGATTGTACCTGACGGTCTGGGTCTTGGTGGCGGTCTTCTCCGTTGGAGGACTGGAGGGCTTGGTTGCCAACCCAGCAACCCAAGTCCACGCAGACACGCTATCGAAATCGGTGATACGAGCTCATACGAGCCACTCCTCCTGGTCCTCCTGGAATGAAATCTGCCAGGCCTCATGGAATAGAGAGCGGTGAGATCATCATTGGAAGGGCCCCTTGGTAACGGTCAATCTTGAGAAGCGAACTCCTAATTTGTGCCTGCCATGCAGCAGAGATTCATCAGCGCTACCCTAACGTGTGCTAGAGCTGCACCTGCAAGGCTACCCCCAGAAGGCAACCCATGCTTAGAAGCCCCGTTTTTTTCTTTTGGCATCTCACCCCCGGGGGGGCTCATCTCGTCTCCGCTTGTGCTAGCCCCGGGCAGGGCTGAACGGCTCGAAAGAAGCCCACTTTGTGTGATGAATTCACGCCCCGGGCTGGGTGGCTCTTGCCGACCATCTCGACAGCCCCGAGCAGGACCATCGAGGACAGGTCGCACCCCACTTCGCAATGTCAACGGCCGTCACAGGCACGGAAGCGTCGGGCCACGCACGTCTCCGAAGCCGGGGGCAGCAGCAGTGTAGCGTTCCCAGCGGAGCCGGGCGGGATGGCGGCGTGGGCAGGACGAGGCGTGGCGGCGACGAGGTCACGAATGGCTCCGCCAGGGTTCGGACAGGTCCATAATAGTATGGCAAGCTCGCGAGCGGGAAGTCACCATGAACTTGGGATCGTCCTGGCGTGGGAGCTTGTGCCTGGTCCAACGAGCGTGGAGCAAGCTCGCTTGGCTTTGTAGAGGTGGTGGCTAGCGTGGTGGCTAGCGATGAGCCAGCTGGGCTGGCAGGCTGGCAGGCTGGCAGGCTGGCAGCTAGCCCGGCGCGGTACTGTGGTAGCAGCTGTCTTGCCCGCGGATTGCAAAACCTTAATTTTGGAAACATGGGCCGACCATAGTAGTCTGCTGTTTCATGTAGTAGCGTGGAGACAGGAGACCACCGTTTGTGAGAAGCTGCTAGGGCCCGAAGTGCACTGGGCAGGGCACTATTGGGATGTTGAGGTGGGCGGACGATTAGTCGAGATTCGTGATATCGCCGCCGGGTGGCCGGCCGCGTGGATGCTGGTGCTGCGCTCTGTGGGCGACGCAGAGGTAGCGAAAGGACATGTGCTCTCCTGACTCCTGACTCCTGAGTCTCGACTCCAGTGTCCAGTGTCCAGTGTCCAGTGTCCAGGTTCCAGTGTCCAGGTTCCATTCTCCATCCTCCCAAGTCCCCTGACGCCTGATGCCTGGGATCGAGCTGGGTAATGCTTAGCCGTGGGCCGAGGCCCTACAAGAAGCCAGCCGCTTCTAACTGGACCGGTAGGAGCTTCAGCTGATGGGGCAGCATGGAGGCTCGATGGACAGCACGGCCCCGGCTGACGTCGCAACGCACGCAGCCTGGTGGTACACTACTACATAGTAGCAGTAGAATTTGGGATCCTCGAGAAGCCGTGGGCCAAGTGAAAATGCAACTTGCAAGTCAGGCACCGTGTGCAGTAGTAGTACAACGCAACTCTGCACGGCGGGGGAACAATGCAAGCCCGCACCACGGTAGTCAGCTAGCATCGTCAGCCCCTCAACACCACAGGCGACCGGTCTTGTTGATATCGATCAGCGAGCAATACCCAGGCCGCCACCTGCCGCTTGCGCTTCTCGGTACGGACGAAAGCAATAGACAGGGCAATTCGGTTGTTGGCGCGGTCCAGCGATCCTTGCCCACATTGCGGGCGTAGTTGTTGACTTTAGCTTTATCGGTGACACGGGCAGAAAAGATGGGCGTGGGCGCGCGCCTCCTGCTTTGAGAGAGAGCGGCCCAGTTGCTGCCAGTCGGCCGATCCATGGGGTGCATGGGTTGCTTGCCTGCCTGACCTTGCGCAGTGCGGGAGGGAGGTACATCGGTACACTCACCTGCCAACCGCTCCCCCCCCCCGTCCCCCATTGACTAGAGCACACATGTACAACACACACCCACGCCCCCCCCCCCACATCACACACAGCACTGCACACAAAGCTGGCAGGGTCAGGAAGCTTACAGCCGGAATGTCAACCCACCAGCACCAATCCCCACCCCCCTCCAGTCTCGGTTTCAGGGTCCACAGTCAGTACGGGCCATGCCCACATACCCACCTGGCTAGCCTGGCAGGGTTCCGGGATTTATCGACACTGGCCCCACCCCCCACCCCCCAGCTGTCCCTTTCTTCAAATGTTCCCTCCACCTCCCCCGTGGCCCCACTCTTTTGCAGGTTTGCCGACAAGAGCCGCGGACCTTGGTTAGTTACACAGTAGTCTACACCACCACGGTCGCAGGAAACGGTTCTACAATACATCGTTGTACGTACACTGCACTAAGTGTAGGGCGCGCCAATCAATCTACCCGCCGGTTCGTGCCACAACTCATGCAACCAGCCGACCGACCGACCAAACCGTCCGTTCTTCAGCCTTGGGCTCAAGAAGCATATACGCACAGCAGCACAGCCTAAGCCTTGCCCGCCCGTTCCATCCATCCATCTATCTACCGCGTGGCTAGTGTAGTCTAGCGTGAGTGTCTTAGGAACGCATGTCATACCAATGACGCGCTTTGCCTCGTGCGCTCTGCTGCTATTTCCAGCCTCGCAACTCTAACCCATGACCTGGCTAGTTCTGTCCTGTCTGCTGCCCCTCGAGATCCCAAGCCGGTGTTGGTAGCCAGGGCCCCCGATCTCGACATGAGGAGAAGAAACATCGGCCATGTGCCCGTCGTCTCATGATGAGTCCACAATTGTGGTTGGCCAACTCCCCACAGCTCTCAAGCACACCCACCATCGCAACAGCCGTGCCGTGCCGTGCAGTGCAGTGCATATCAGACTAAACGAGGAGTACCGGCATTACGTCGACAGTCGGTTGTTGAGGCCCGTCACGCCCTTCCCCCTTGCGTCCCTTGCTCCCATGCGCGCGGACCCCGCGGCCGAGGGCTGCGATCAGTTAAACAGCTTCTTGCCGAGGGGCCAGCCTTGCCCATTCACAGTATCTTCTTTGCGAGCCTTTCCTCGGGGTGCCAGGGCCAACATGCAGTCACGGTCATCGTAATGGTCATAGTCATGCTGCTGCTTCTGGTCATTACAGATCTTGCCCGAGTTCATGCAGAACCTTGCCATCTGTCAGGATCGTTGTTGACCTTTGAGCGTGTCTATTTACGGAATAGGCTTAAATTTTGGCGGGAGCCTCCCGTCTCGGCCAACAGGAGATCTATGAGGAAGGTGAGATATGACTGCGAGGTAACTGTACATGTACATGTGCACATACTCCCCTGCGTGCGTGCACGCGCACAAGGATGGGCACAGCCTATTACAGCCATCCGTTGCAGGTCCTGGGTAGCAGGTCCGTCGGGACCCCTAGCAGCATCATTTCGAAAAGTAAACCTTGAAATCTTGTCATGCCTACTACCCTCACCTGCTGAGAATTTCCGACCGGTCTAGACCTGAACTACCCCAGGGCAGAAGACGTCTTGAGTCGCTTGTTCAACTTGGCCTCCGTCATGTCGCCCTCGACGGTGCCACTGGGGACGGACAGCACATGTCGATACGACACATTCATCCTAAGACCATATGCGTGCCCAACGGCCATAGCAGGTGCCCTATGTCATGCCCTGCATCCCGTTGTGAGGGGTGTACGGGGGCCATGTGAACTTCACCTGGAGGCGTGCAAATATTCCAAGTCGGGTCATGGCCCTGGACGAGTCCCACAATATGCCGCCCCCCACCACCCCTCTCCACCTCAACCTCCTTTCGAAGGTACTGGGAACTACAGGCGCTGTTTGACCAGGTAAGGTGCAGCTGTACCTCGGGAGGATGTTCCGAGGGCCTCTCCTGCAGGGGCCGTGCCTATTGGATACCAATCGCTGTCAGATATGATACGCAGTGTCAGTATAACTCTGGCGCCACCATCTGTGCGGTCAAACAACGACTCCTGAGATGGTACACCAGCCATGAACCAAGTGGGCGTGCTTGCCCGCCCTTGTGGCAACGCACGCAGCTCTCGAGTAAGTCCATATGCGCGTGGTACTGTGGGCTGCATTTCCAGTCGCCGGGGTTAGGCCTACTTCTGGGTGCCCAAGATGGGATCGAGGGTCGTCTATCGCGACCGCAACCATCTCAGAGGGATGCCCACATGAAGATCTGATTGGACAGTTTGCTTTGCTAACAAGCTGGGTGCTTATAGTACTGGAAAGCGCCAATATTCAATATTCGCTCTCGCTTACCGGATGCCTTAGGCGCGCAATCAAGCGTCCTGATAGAACCACGGGCGTAATGTTACCTCGTGACCGTTCCAGTAAGGGGTGCCGGGCAGTTGAATAGGGATGGGTACCGCACCCTGGAAGGCATCCAGCATGCTCTCCCCCTCGCCAGGCCGGTCGGTGGGTGTCCCGCCGGTGTTGGGGTTACTGCTGGGTCTTGGTGTTGGTGTCGTTACAGGGATCAAAACGCCAGCCTCCCAGTTGCGACAATTTAGCTTGGGCTGTCCTGTGTTTCGATCTTTGACGAGGCGGCCCCTGTCCCACGCTTAACTCAATCTTTCGGGCATGATTTCAAGCAGATTGGGAATGTACTCACCAGGCACTTTCTGAAAGGTTGTGGCTCCCCAGGTATGCCCATCCACCACGTGTTCCCTCGTCTCCAGATGCTGGCCTCCGTACAAAGAACAGCTTGCTGTGGGAAAGCAAACCTGCCTGCACATTCTTGGAGTCCCGGAGAACTTCTCTAGGGAATGATTTGGAATCCCACCATCGTGGCTGGAAGCAGATCGTGCCGGCTGACTAAACTGTAATCAGGAAACACCACTCGGGTTGTAGGCTAGGGGTAGGGTACAAGGGTCGTGCTGTTTTCTCCGGAGGTTTTCGGCAACTTACGTTCATCCCGCCTCGACTGGTTCGTACGGTATCACGAGAGGGAAAATACACCCGCATATGCTCCTTGAAGGCCGGCTGATTGACCCCAGGAGACGCATCCTTGTTCTTCTTTCGTCTCCCCGTTCTGGCTTCGTACTCCATCATGCCAGAGTCGCCTGTTTGTCGTGTCAGCGGGCACCAGACTCGACAGCCGCCGTTGCGGAACACAGACCTTTACAGGCGTTGTACAGAGCAGCCATGAGATCGCTGTTGACGGCACCGATGGACGAGCACTGCAGGAGACCTTGTCAGGTTCCACACGCATGGGATTTTGAGTTCGGTTGTACCCACGATGTAGTCAACCTCAACGGACTCATCACTGCCAAGTCCCAAGGTCTTCACTGTAGAACCGAGTCCACAATAACCTTGCGCGTGAATGTCAGCCCTGATAGTTTGTTTACAGTAATAACACATGCAGATCCAACGCACCTGTTCGTGCCCATGTGTCGATATTCGGATGGGAACCTCCACTAGACATCGTTAATACTATGTACCTCGAGTCAGGTTATGCATTGCTAACATTGTGTGTATGAACCCATAGCGGGATGTTTCAGAGAAGTCCTGCTACCCTGTCAGTGAGAGCTCCCCAACAAGGTGCTGAGAACCCGTGTCGAGGACGATAAGGTCAGGTACTTGAGCGCACGGTATCTTCAACGGGGAACCACCACGAGACGGCACGCATGACAGTTCAAGTCTTGGGAGCGGACTGGGTGGGGGGCGCTCTTGCTCGGCAGGCTTGCTGGGAAGCGCCGGAAGGGTGGCGGGAGATCGGAAACGACACGTACATAGTTGCGCAGGCTGTTGACCATTTTCCCGTCCACGCCCTGACGCTCTAAGAAAAATTGCAGCTCCGCTCCGAAATGGGTGAGTGCATTGGCTGCAACTCTGGCGGGGCTATCAATCCGAGGCAGGTCGATCAGGAACACCATCTAGTGTAGTGAGCCGCCAGGTCAGCGATGGAACTCCGCCGCTATTACGGCAAACTTACATTTTCCATCACGCCCGACTCACCCCAATCGTAGGGAACGAGATTGCCCGTCGGGATGACTATGCGGAGGTACCTCGGGTATTTCAACAGCATGAGCTTGGAGTGCATACAACCATGATCCATCATCGGCGGAAAGCAGAACCTGATCACATCTTGGGGCACATTGTTTCGCATCTTGGCTTTCTGGCGACGGTATCAGCAGCGCTCAGACGTGGGTGGAAAGCTAAGTCAGAGCAGAGCGGAACCTATGTCCAAGTCCAGCCGAGCATCCCACCTGCCTCGCCGAAGAGGCCGCAGCATGGGACGGGGCACTGCGAGGCGAACACGGGGGCATGGCTTACCTCGTCTTCATCCGGGGCGTAAGCTATCAGAAGTACCTTGGTCTTCCTCAGATTTAGCTTCTTCATGAGCCACTCCTCGTCCCACTGGAAGGAGCTAAGCACAGCGAGCTCGAGAGAGTCGCTCTGCAAGACCTCCTCGAGGGTGATGTCGTCGTCCCGACGGGCATATCCCAGAGCACGAGTCCTTCGGACGGAGCCCTGCGCGTAGGAGATGCCAGTCTCGGAAACTCCCTTACTGGCGTTGGAGTTTGAGTTCAGGCTAGAGATTGCGGTTGGCAGGGCAGGCTGGGACATCCCGGGTGATCCGGTGGAATGGCGAGGCAGGCTGGGCAAGCCACTCAGGAGCCGCGGACGTTGAGCCGGCGGCAGGTCTGAGTTGTGACCGCCGTTGGGGTGGGTGTCGAGATTTGCAGGCCCTGCCTTGCGCTTGTTCAATCGTGCCAAGCGCTCCTCCTCCATTTTCTTGCGGTCAATGCCAAGCATCCCCATAGCCAAGCCGCCTGCTGAGGACGCGTGAGTGTTGGCCTCGTCTTGGGCATGGCCTTGGCTGCGGGCTTTGTCGACGTTGTTGGCACTGCCTTGGGCGTCGTCGTCAGTCGTGGGCGCGGTTGCAGTCGTGGACTCGCCAAGACTCATGGCGATCGCGCGACGCAGTGCCTCGTCCTCGTCATCGCATCCATTCAACTCCATGCTCGCAATCAGAACTGGGTGCCGGAGAGGCACAGTCGAGTCAAGAAGGGGGGTTGTGCAGAAAGAGCTGGGGTTTGGGGGCTCTGGCAGCTCAGCTAAGGCATGGAACCTGGGGAGATGCGAGGCGCGCCCCGGGGCCTAAAAAGTGGGTGGGATTGATGAAGTCAGGATTAAGTTGATGGTCAGGACTTGCTTCTTTAACGGGGACGGGAGGCTTGCAGGCTACCTCCATTCCCGCAAATGAGTGGGTGCTGGCTCCAGAGTGGGTCAAGTCAAGGTGAGGAAAGGATGTGTCGCCAGACTCGCCACGTGAAAGCGTTGCTTGTCTCGACCAATTTGAGCCAAGACCACAGTGCTGTGCAGTACGTAGACTGTATGTGGTGGCACCTTGTTTACTGTGCGACCCGCTGGCTCCTCTGACCCGATTAAACACACCTAAGCCTTCATTCCAGGCCCAAGTTCCCAACAACCCAGTGCACAAGTACCAGCCGCACAGCGTACAGTCCTACCCCATTTCTCGAAAGTGAGGATATGCCTGGGGGATTGAGCAACTCGTTGCAGCAAGTTGCACGTCCTGTTTCCTTGGACTACTATGAACTTTCGATGGAGGGAAACCATGTACGGTCGCGAATACTCTACAGGACTTGGTTCAACAGCCACGCACATCGGCCCAAGGAGAACTTACCTAGCAACGGTGTTGCCTGGACATCATGTACGCGTACTTCAGGTCTGCATGGGGGGTTACATCTGTTTCTTGTATCAGGAGGAGCATCTATAGATGGGTGTGGTCGAAGGGGCTTACGCAAACCTCAGACAGACTACCTGCCTACTTAAGTATGTATCTACTGGTGACGTGACCACCTGCGGTAATTTCTCGACGATGGATGTGCCCATTCCCACAGGCAGCTCAATATCGTGAACTGTTTTCCCGAGCCTGCATTGTCCAGCCTGACCCAGTTCATAAGGGCCTGGCTTCCTTCCCATGTCCGCCGAAGTCAGTATAGTCCTTCTGAGGTGAAATGGCCACGGGGCAGATATCTGTTTGAGCTGTCTTTGGAAATCCTGATAAAGCAATTCTTCATGATGTTGTATTGCTCACCTAACGTGGCAATCCCAAGCAAGCTCATCACCGACGGAATCAAACACACTGCATGAAGTTGGTCGTAGGCTCATCATAGTGGAGTAGTCAAGGCAGCAGAATCATTCTACTTCTAGTATTTCTATTGCACAGTTAGGTTCATGGTCGTAAAGAGCTCTGCCTTGGCGGTTGGGTCGTTGCAAAGGCCCCATACAGCTACTTACCTAGGTAAGTATTGAGGCTGTCTGGAGAGACCCAGCCATTCGAGCAGGCACAGGCACCGGATAGAACACCCCGAGGTAAACCTGGCAACGAGAGTCTACCCGAGCGACGCCATTGTACTGCCATATTTTGAAGTGTCACCCGATTCTTTTCAGACACTGCACCTTTGTCGACCTCGGCAACGTCGGTTGTCGTCCCTCTGAAGACTCGAGGAATCCATACGGAGCAGCGATGTGATCCGTAGCTACTTCAAGATACCGTTCCTTGAGATACCAAGAAGGCCAGACTCTCCTCAAAGACTCCAGAGCAGTCCTCGCTGAGTTTCTATGTGCCACGCGGTGTGCCCCTGCGATCCCATGGCGAGTGTCCGTGTGGCAGGACTTGTTATACTCTGTCGACTGACAGGTCGACTGACTGACAGGGCAAGCACCAAGAATTCTTGTCCTCGAAGTATGAATGCTTCGAGATCCACACTGTCGGTATTCCGACTCTGGAAGTCGCAACAAGAACGGCCAAGTTCTCGGCATGCATGGACGGAGACAGAGGGTTGTTCTGGGCCATAATGCATCACCTACGGGAAGAAGACTCTGACCGAACATTTGAGACCGTCTCAACAGCTCTGTGTACACTTCAGGACGTGGATTCTCCAATGTTTTCCAAAAGGAGCTGGATTTCCCCCGACACACAGTCAAATAGAGACTTGCCACCTAGGCAGTTGGAGGGGAACGTCCTCACAATTTAGTCAACCGACATCATGATGTAACTCACTCGTATTTCCACTGCTTCATCCCGGTCGGTTGTTGTGGGTTAGATCTTTTGGTGCAGAAGAGTAACAACTGGAAAGCAATCAGAACACCACGTCCCAAATCTCAGGCAGAGCCCTCCAGTGCTGCGACCATGGAGATAAACTCTTGCCTTAACGTCAGAGCAGTACAGTCAATAGAGGGATGGCTAGGATTGTCTTAAGCACCACGTGCTGAGAGCCAGCGAATGGTCGGAGATTGATGCAAAAGTGCTGTGATTTGAGTAAACGTTGACGCATCTGAACCACATCTTGGAAGGCTTCAGCCCACAACGTGTCGCTCGCCGAAGCGGGAGCACTGCAAAATGGTACGCTGGGAATGCTCAACATTTTGAACGCGATACGATTTTCGAATGAACGGGGCATGAACAGAACGAAAGGCAACATGAACATGTTCAGACCGGTGAGCATCGCAACATAGCTCCGCTCAAAAGACGCCTCCTCTAATGCATGCTGTCAGACACACTCTTCTAAGCAGCCAGGGACCAGAAACGCCAGTAAAAAGATGGATTAGGCACTCTAAAGCTAAAGACCATGCCTAGTGATTGAAACAGGACCACCTTTGTACCACCGGGGAAAAAAAGATTATAGTTTTGTTGTTGCCCAAATGTGAGCCTTCCCTGGAACAGGGCTTCACTGGCTTCGGGCCACGATGCAGCTCGAACCCAAGGCCCGCCCTGCTCCCCATACGTCTTCGGCCGCCTCCCCAGAACACCTTCCCAGACCGATCTTGCTCCAACGACGAACGCCAGTCGAAGTGGGTATCACCAGCATCACCAAGAACCAGAACCATGCCGTAGCTCTCATACCAGATGAACCGCCAGATAAGATGCCCTCCATTGTACATTTGTCGAATAGAGTAAAAGAAATCCATAAAGGCCGGCCTTGCCATGTGCCAAGTCGCAGCATCCGTAAGCCGGTGAACGCCCGGAGAAACGCCGAGAAAATATGAGATATGGAGTTGTCAACCCACCCCGATCTCTTGATAGACCGGGCCCACTGTCCAGCCAGCCCATGCAGAAAGCAGCAGGCAACGTCCGCTGTCACAACGCCAAGGAACTCGACTTGAGAAGACACGCGTGGAAAGAGAACCCGCCCTTGCACATCTATGCAGAATTATGAGGTAAGTGCCAAAGTAAAACGAGTAATGACCGAACTGGCGTCTCAGGAGATTGACGCGCTATGAAAATCCGAAATGCTATGCGCGAAAGAACCAGAGAGTAGAGGTAGTCGAGATACAGAATCTGTAAAGTCGGCCTAGGCACGCCCTGCGGAGGGGCCTGGTTGTTGCTGGGGGCTGCTGTTACCATCGAGTCCGGCTCCCATCGGGAAGGGGAGCTTCAGCGCCTGTCGGAGCGCGTTCTCTCCGCGGTATTTCCAATCTTCTGGACCCACCGAGCCTCCGTTTTGTACACCGGATGCCCCGCTGCTTAGCTGAGGGGAGCTGTGCGAAGCAGCAGCGAATGGCAGGACTCCCGGGTAATGGGTCTGATGCTGCGTCGATGATGAGACGGGGCTCGCAGCAGGCGTCCCGGTGCCAATTCCAAGGAGTCTCTTGACCGCCTCGCTCCTCTCGTCCAGACGAGGCGGAGTGGCCAGGTGCTGAGGGGTGCCTTGCGCTTGACCTTGACCTTGCCGTTGGACGTGCTGTGATGTCTTGTTTTCAGCAGGCCCTGCGGCCCGAAGCTTTTCGTGCATGGGCAAAGCAAAGGGCTCAGGCCGCGGACCGGACGCAGCAGTGCTGTTGGGACCGGGCTTGCCACCCTGAGCCGGGCGGTGAGGGAGCTTCAAGGGGATTGGATCAAAGGAGTAGCTGCCATTCCGGCCCGTCCGCCCCTCGGAGGGTGGGGAGAAGGGACCGTCAGCAGCCGCCGCGTTTGCCGAGTTCGTCCTGCAGGCCCGCTCTTTCTCAGCGCGGTCTGCTTCGAAGAGGGCATCAAGGGCGTCAAGCGGAGACTGGTAACGGCGAACCTGGGGCACGGTTGCGGGTTGAGAGGGACTCGGAGAATCGCAGTCAGAGGCCGGCGGCGACGGCTCTTTGGTGCGTCCGTTCACAGTGGCTGACTCGGATCTCATCCTGAAGAAACTTGGCATGGGGAGTGAGCCCGGAGCGGGGGAGGCATGGAAATTGGCGCCGGCGAAGGCGGCTGAGCCGGCTTTGTTGTTTGCAGAGTGCGGCGGAGTGCGGCGACCAGGCCTAGCAGGACCAGGAGATATCGAGACGTGGGCGGGTCGGGCCGACCTGTTGTTGTGCTTCGCGGACTTGGGATGGGTAGCTTGGGAACCAGGAGCAGGGCTGGCATTCTTGGACTTGAGCGGCGTCGCAGGATAGTCAGCTGGGAAGGGCATGCTCGTGAGGACGTCGCCCTCAGATGCGTAGTTCTTGCGGCCCGAGGGCGGTTTGCCGGGGCGGCGTCGCCGGGCTGGTGTCTGCTTGTTTTGTTCCATGGTGGGGGGCCTCGGCGGCAACGGCTCGCGAGGCTTGACAGGATTTACGTTCTACTGATCGTGAGGTGAGCAAGACAGTACTGGCTGCGTGCGCATCAGATGGCCGGGCGGCTGTAAACTGACCTCGAGGTTGGTTGGTCTATTTGTGGCTAACTCACAGTGGCCGGGCCGGGTGGTCGATCTATGGCTGAGGATTGATTTCGTGTGGATTGCAAGTCTGGGAGAATACTGATGTTGGATGGGTGAATACTGGATTTTGTTGAATCTGGCCTAGACATAGGCATGATTGTTTTCTGAGTTTCGATTTCCGCGAGCGAATGGTACGACCTTCCCATGGAGGTGCCAGAGGAGCTGGCAGGCCAAAGCAGGGGGCAGTCGATCGAGATGAGATGATGATGGGTCCAAGAAAGTGCAGGGTGACTTGGCAGCAGATTTCCAGTTGTGAAGATACTGGGTTGAGGTCGGACTGTCCTTGCTGTTGGGCCTGGACTTGAGACTTGCGACTCAGTGTTCTGGTCTGCCGTGTTGTTGCGCCTTGGTGGGTTGGAGAAGGAGTCAGGCTCACGAGCTTGGTCGGGTCGGGAGGCAGGTTGGTCGGTCGTTTAGGGAGGCTGAGTAAGAGGGGGAAGGCGTGACTTGGGCTGTGGAGGTGTCGACGTGTACTCCGTAAATGCACCTGTTTTGCAACAGCAAGAGGGGCTCCAGCCCACTTTCATGCTGCCCAAAAAGGCTAGAGCCAGGCTGCGGCAGCCTTCAGCTCGGCCCTTGTGCTTGTAACAAAGGCTGGGGCCTCCGCCTGCTCCTTTAATTGCCCTGTTGATTTATGCACTCTGGGAGGGAGCGTCTTCTACGGAGTACGGGATACGTTACAGATGGCTGCCATTATTACACTTGAGCAGGAGGTGGCCATGTTTCAAACCTGCTTCCCTTACCGTCGAGACAAGGGTGGAGAAAGATGTATTTCTCGAGTTGCTCAAGAGATATGGGTACCCAATAGGGCAAGTCTGGCGGTGTGTTAGGGTCTGTAGCACCCTGTTGGAATATGACGTTGGGAGGCCCGTGCTGCCGGCCGAGTGTGTTTGGCGGGGCATCCGTGTTGGTAATGAATGATAGCTGCATCCCAAGCCAGGCACCGCGGTCGCCCGTAGCCCACAGTCAGGTAACAACTTCACGCAGCCGCCTTCCCTTCAAGAAGCTGCCTTCGCAAACTCTTGAACTCACCGTCAACCCGACATCTCTGGAGACGAATCAACAGGCACAAGACAACCTTGCCTGGTTTTGCGGCGTCTGCTAGAGGAGTGGGAGTGTTTGTAGCCTCGCAGCCCAGTAAGTCAGTCCGACTGGCGCCATCAGGGTCCATAGCTTCCATCTGGTCTCCTCGACCTCGAACCATCTGCGACTTTTGGATTGCGACCACACTCCTAACTTTGTGCTTCCTCGACAGTTTTCGACGGCAGCACGCCCCGATACACATCGACTGCTGATTCACCTACCCAACCTCTCCAGTCCACCTACTGCCCACCATGGCCGACGTTGACATGACCGATGCGCCACCCGTGGCCAAGAAGAAGGGTTCTGAGGTCGAAGCAAAGAAGCGTTTCGAGGTCAAGAAGGTACGAATGGGCGCGACCTGCAATGGCTTGTCGTCGGTCTGGAGATGTGCTCACACTCTGGATACAGTGGAACGCCGTCGCCCTGTGGGCCTGGGACATCGTCGTTGACAACTGCGCCATCTGCCGAAACCATATTATGGATCTCTGTACGTGCTTCTCGCCCTTTTCTGCCGAGACCTGCATGCTGATTTGGGGTCAACACTTTAGGCATCGAGTGTCAAGCGAACCAGGCTTCCGCTACCAGCGAGGAGTGCACAGTTGCTTGGGGCATCTGCAACGTACGTTTAACCCTCTGCATCTTTCACAGAAGCAGGACATGATACTAAACCAAGGTGAAAACAGCATGCTTTCCATTTCCACTGCATCTCTCGGTGGCTCAAGACTCGTCAAGTCTGCCCTCTAGACAACAGGGACTGGGAGTTCCAGAAGTACGGCCGGTAAAGGGCAGTGGCACAGGCGACAGACGAAGGAATAATGACACGACTGCTAGGCCGGCCCCGGATACGGGCAGGCCATTTTATGCACACGGGACAAAGGGGCGAGCGATATCATCACCGAACGTCGGGGTGATAGAAGATTCACACGTCACAATTCGTGCAGCATAGCATTCATATTGACACTCGCATGACCGAGCCATCACGGCTGCACCTCTCGCAGAATATCATGTCTCGAAACACCATGCAGTAGTCCGTGCCGGTGGTCCTCTCACCGCATGGCTTTCTCGTCTATAATAAGATCTTGTGGGACCGAAACTGCTGCTGCTCCTCCGCCGATCGGGAGCCATTTGACAGGATTCTTGTTGTAGAAAGGCCAAGGGGGGATGATCGCGAGGAAGGTGAGTGCCGTGCCGCCGAGTCCAATGTAGACAGCGAGCTTGATGTCTTGCAGGAAGTACCCGACGAGGAAGGAAATGATCTAGAACGGACGATGTCAGGCCTCTGGTAGCTTAAGGGGGGCAGACACAGAATGATCAGCAACTCACACCCACAATGCTCAAAAGCACGGTCGACAAAGTCTCGACGAGCTTCTGGCCCTCAAAATCCTATGGACGTCGTCGGTCAGCCAACTTGTACGTCCTCACGGCAGGCCAGGAGGGCTAGCGGTGGTTGCGAGAAGATACATACGATCTGTCCCTCGGCGACATCGCGGATTTGGTCGAGAATTTTTTCTGCCATGGTAACGATGGAGGATCCGGCACGGTATCTTTTGGTTCTATGAGCTGTGTACCGGGCCTGGAATAGGACGTGTAGAAGGCCTCGTGGACGATGTTCGGCTCGAGAGGCCACTGAGTCGTTGGCTTAGGCGTGTGTGTATGGGCGAATGTGATGTCCAAAAAGTGGGCCCAGCTCAAGCTCCAACGTGGCTCGAGCCGGGAAACAGACCTGCGTCCCCCCCCCTACGCACCGGCCCTCAAGCCCACAACCCTTGTCGCCCGGCCCACCGATGCCCAAGTGCCCCACCACCCAATACTCCGTACATGAACTGGTATTCTTGGAACAGAGAACCATTACAGCGGGCGAGATGAACCCAGATATCCAGCAAGAAGCGACCAGTGTACAGGATTCCGAGTAATTAGATAAATATGGAGTTATTTTTAACGGACAAACCAACCCAGTAGGGCACTTGGTTCAGCTACTTTTAAAAACGTATGCTCGACCTGGACCCGAGCTCTTTGCGGAGTACGACATGTGAAGTGGTTGTACTATGGTAGTAGAGTTCAAAGTTCGTGGTACTTGATTGACCCTTGCAACACCCGGGTAGAATGCCCAGTAGACACAGCTCACAACCTTGGGAAATTACGTACTCCGATGGCTGGGACAGTCTTGGTCAAAGTAAGCAGGCCTCACAATCCATACTTTTGCACGCATCTGTTACGTGCTCATTATGTACCATGCGAACCTTCAAGTGAGGCAACCATGTGCCGTCTTTCGCAGCATGAGTGACTCGCAACGAACGACGAGGGCCTGACCTGCAGACTGTCATACCAAATTGGCGGAAACAGTCAGGGATCAGAGCCGTGCCGAGACCGATATGCAATTTTTGAACCCGCCCAACCGCCCTGGACGGGGGCCGCCTAGTCGCCCAATCATGGCCCACTAGTACAAGCCCGCCAAACATTTACGAGCGCATTTTTCCCCTTCCTCTGCCGACTTTGCCCCCCGAACCCAAGCTTCCCTTTAGCTTTCTTCTCCCAAACATCTTTTTTTCTTTTTCCACTGCACAGTCCATGTTGCGGATTCTTTGTCTCGTCAAAGTCAGACTAGCTTCCAAAGCGACCACTGGCTTATTTTGACTGTCCGCATCCTCCGCCCCGTCTCAAAGAGGATTCCATTCCTTCCCATCTCACCCAACTCGATGACCCTGGACGTCATTGTGACCTGAAAGCAAACCGACAACAACAATAGCACACACAGACGTCGCTCCACCTCGGCGACCATTCAACCCCCTCGACACCCCCAGAAGCAACTGTTGCGGACCAAGAGCCGACCTCGCCGTCGAGCCGAGCCAACCTAGCTACTGCGCAGCCGCGACATCTCTGTCGCACCGATTATCCGTCACGGACGACCCCGTTCAATCCTTCAAGTTGGCTGCACTCGCTTCTTCCCGAACTTCATTCACCCGTTCGCTCCATAGCCCCGCTTTCTGGGCATATATTGGAGTGAACAAGAAACCGCCTTAACTTGAGCCTGCACACCCCAGCCACAGCAGTTTGAACATAACCTGATCTTACACGGTCACCTGGCATCTGCGCCTCGACACCCGTCCAGGCCGGGACTATATCTGCCCCACCAAGGGGTTCAATCGTTCGAAGCCCTTCGCCGCGGACGGCAGGATTGCCGTTAGCTGCCGTCCGCTCAGGTCAACCCCATCGACCGCTAAACGAGGATGGGAATGGGGATTCACCCTTGAGTCAGCGATCGGGCTGCCCAGGGCCGCGAGAGAAGAGTAAAGGAGTTGCAGTTGTGGAGCAACACTTGTAATATTGGAAAGATTGATCGAGCCAACGGCCTTCAAGATCAGTCAAGATGTCGGACCACGAAGAAGTCCTAGACACGGGATACGAGACCCCAATCCCGGAGCTGGATGACCACCGCCACCACGCCCAGAGCCCCTCGATCTCGCGCGACGAGCGACCCCGTCGAGGTACCTTTGACTCCCAGTTCGGCGGCCGACGACCCTCCGGCTCCGACGCCTCCAGGAGCGCATTGCCTCACCCTAGCATTCGCGTGCGCGACTTCGAAGAAGCCGTCATTGATGATGAGCCTGGTGAGATCTCGCCCATGGGTCGACGCCAGCGCCGAGGCACAGTAGACACGACGTCCTCGTCGCGAGAGCCATCCCCGCCCAACTCGGTCAAGGCGTTTGCGCTCGCCCGCCGCCCGCCCGCCTTGTCTTTCTCGGAGCAACGGCCGGACAATGCCGAGCTCCAGAGGACCATGTCAATCACCAGCCGCCACAGCCACCGGAGCAGGTCTCGCACTGTGAAAGACAGCGATGTCGCCAGCGTCAACACAAACAGGTCTGCCGCCGAGGATGACGTCTGCTTCCCCCACGGGAACCGCGATGGCCCAAACTTTTATGTCGACTTCGAGTACCTCGAGGACTTCATCCGGTCGCAGAGAAACGAGCGTCTCTCATCCGACGCAAGGGAATTCGCAGACTTGCGCCCGCAGACCACCAAGACAGCGAATGGCGCGCCAGCGCAGATGGCTACTGCGGACGGGGACATTATCGAGATGCCGTCAGGGTCTTCGATACAGGAGGAGAAGACCAAGGCAGAACCAAGGCAAGCCGTGGCAGAAAAGATGCCTGCCCAGCGCTTCAGTTTCTTCTCCTCGGCCTGGGACCAGACCATCCACGCGGCGGACCTGGAAGACCTCGCGCTACCAGGCGAGGAGCTGCGGACCCTCTTCACCTTCCCGAACGATGGTGAAGACTATGTCTGGTGGTTGAATGTGAACTGTCCCACGGATGACGAGGTGCGCGCTATCTGCAAGGCGTTCGGCATCCATCCCTTGACGGTCGAAGATATCACGACACAAGAAGCCCGCGAGAAGATCGAGCTGTTCAAGTCCTACTACTTCGCCAACTTCCGATCCTACATGGCTGTGTACGACGAGGACGGCGACCGAGAATTTGAGCCTTTCAACATGTTTGTGATCGTGTTTCGGGAAGGGATTCTCAGCTTTAGCCACACCTTCAACTCGCACGCCTCCGACGTTCGTCAGAGGATTTCAACATTGAAGGATTATGTTGATCTTAGTGCCGACTGGATTTGCTATGCCATTATGTGAGTCGTGTGATTCAATAGCTCTGCTCCTGTGATTTATACTAATCCTGGAAATAGCGACAATATCGTGGATAACTTTGGCCCGGCAATCACCGAAGTGCAGAATGCAGCTGACGCACTTGACGATGACGTTTATCGAGCCCGGCCCGACGACGAAGAGAATCATCCGTTCCTGCCGAGGCTCGGTCATATCCGCAAGAACATTATGGGTCTGATGCGCCTCCTTGGGGGTAAGGCCGATGTGCTCAAGGGCTTCACCAAGCGCTGCAACGAGAACTACCAAGTCACTCCCCGCATGGAAGTCGGCCTCTACCTCGGCGATATTCAAGATCACGTCGTGACCATGATGAATACGCTGGGACATCTCGAGAGGATGCTGTCACGGGCCCACAGCAACTACCTGGCGCAGCTGAGCATCGACAGTATCACCCAGGGCACGCGAGCCAACAAGGTCCTTAGTAAGATCACGTTCCTCGCCTCAATCATTGTGCCCCTGAACGTCGTTACTGGTCTTTTCGGCATGAACGTGCCAGTTCCGTTCGGCGACCCCGGCAACTTGACGGCCTTCTTCTGCATCCTGGGTGTTTTGATCGCCTTCTCGATCATCTGCATCCTCGCGGCCAGGAGGCTTCGCTATATTTGAATATGGGAACCCGACTGGCCTCGATGTTGGAAAGATGGACGGTTTTCTCGTTCTTTGGGCTATTACTCGTGCAGTTTCACGTCGTTCCACCTACGTATATGTCAAGATCATGTTGGTGCTAATGGGCGGTGGTTGATCTGTGTCACCATTTTTGGTGGCTCGCCTCTTTTTCTTGGTTCCGCACTGGGCTACTTATAGGAATAGACTAGATGCGGTATTGCTTTTAGACTAAATAGCATTAAAAGACAACTCAGTCGCCAAATGTGGTTCGTCCCATCTCTCAACTGGGCTCGGTCTTTCGGCCTTGTATGCTGTCCTTCCCATATTTGACTCCCAGACTAGATCTCGTCAGTCAGGCAGCGTAATCAGATACCATCGATGAGGTGAAGCCCTCTGGTAAGATACATGGAAGCCTGCTATGTACTTCGCGAAGCCGAGTCACCTAACTCCTCGTTTAAATACGCATATCTCTCCTCGTCCGCCTCCCAATCATCGTAGTTCTGGTTGTCTACAACACTGTCGTCAGCCTCACGCTCCAGCACAAACATCATCAAGGGGGTGGGTATGAAGAGGCAACAAGAAAGTTGCTCATCAGAAAAGCAGACAGCAGCAAAGTATACAAATTCACGTCTCCATCACCAACAAACGGGTAAAAAGGCAAAACGGCTGAGCAATCGCCTGCAAAGGTCCGACTTGGGGGACAACTCACCCCAAGCAGGAAATTTAGCCAGGTCAGAAAACCTCTTGGCCTGGAACAAGTCCCTTGCAAGCGCCGCGGTCCCCTTTGGCATGTAAATCTGGCGGGCGACGCCGCCGTCGTCGGTGTATCCCATCATGTTGCACTCGACGGTCTTGGTCGGGCGGAGCATCTCGGGGGTTGGGATCGGGAGCGGCTTCTCCGGTGAATTTGCGGAGACCACCTGTATCTGTGACGTCTCGGTCGCCCCCTCGTGTGCCGAGCTGGCTGTGGGTGGCAATAATGTTGCGGGAACATCGTCCTCGGTGTTGGAGGCGTCCTCTGAGCGAGCCTCCGGGTTCTGGGTTGAGTCCGGCATTTTGGCGGGGTTTATGGATTCCTGAGTTGTTTGCTTGTCTTTTTCTTTCTTCTTGGTAGTGGAACTGGAATTTAAACTTGATATTTCATTAATATGTGATTGTACATCCGATGAAGGTAACTTGAGGGGTTGGGCGAAGCTCCAGGCATCAGCCTGCGGGACGGCAGCTAGTGGCCTCATTGGCGTGAAGTAGGTGTAAGACGGCTTGAAGTTGTCATTCTGAAGTAACTCTAGATACTTTCAGCTTACACTGAAGGGTGTAATCCTCAGTATGCCTTTCGCAAGGACTCAACCTGGGTCCTGCTTTGCGATCAACCTAGCGAGGGGCACTGGTAGAAACCCGAATTTCATCAACCCACAGCATTATCCATATCCATATTCACAAAATGGACAGTGTCCAGCACAATCCGTCCCCTCGTCGCAAATATGTGCGGGTGTGTGCGCGACAAGGGGTCATTCTCCCTGACTGAAGTGGACACGGCTGGAGCAGCTCAATTGCCTCTTCAAGCACAAGGACATTGACAAGTTGAGAAGGGCTGTTCGAGCCACAAATGAATAATGTCCCCAGCACCCAAACGAACTTCGCCTCCTCGGGCAGTATCCAAGCCCGCAGTAAACACTCATCCCCCGGAGCTCCCGGCAGCATGACATCGAATCGTGCTCTGGCCCACGGAGGTCGGGCTTGACGTTATGTCTACACCTCCACAGGGGTAATAAACGTTGTTTGGTGACCTCCCCACCGAAAGTCGCTTTTGCTAGAAAGTTCGCCGAAGCGTGACCTGGTGGGTCCAGCCAACCAATAGCAAAAGATACAAGCTCAAACAACGTTTATTACCCCTGTGGAGGTGTACTCTGCATCTAACACCAAATGTTTGATCATTGTGCTGAACTTGTGATGGATACATTGGGCCTCAATTATCCACTTTTCCCGTCTTTCCCCGTCTCCATTCAACAGAGAGTCCCAAGCCACGACGCACGTCACCCGCAGTCCCCGGCTGCGAGAGCCGTTGTGAGCGACGACTCAACATCCTTGCTCTTCAGCCCGCCCGGATCTCCGGTCATCTCGAGAGACCTCGTCGGTGACCCCGCCTGTCAATGGCCGCGCTGCTCTCGGGTCCGGACGGCTCCTCGAGAGAGGCATCTTCATGCTCCTGCCGCGTCCCTAAACCAACCCAGTCGGGATTTCCTTTCATCTTTCCGAAGCCTTAGTCAACACAGCTCCGACAGGACCTGCACCTCCTAACTCGGGAGGACCGGCCTGACTCGGCCCCGAATAAGTCCCAACACAGGCATGCCATGTCCCGGTAACAAACGCTCTTATTATTGGGAAGCTAAGGGAGGAAATAGTGCCGGACTACCAAGTCGAGGTGAGAGAACACTGCGCAACGACTGCTGCTCTGGAGCAGTCGCTTCTGGACCCTGGCTGGCAGTTGGCCAGTGTTGACTTCAGATTTACCTTGGCCCTGGCTGAGCCTCATATATCCTGCGCTTGCATGATAAATGAAACGTAAGGAACAGGCGGCGGTTCGATTCCGTTATATGGCATTGGACTGGTCCTTGCCATTTTCCGGAGCTGGCTGGCTGACGCAACTCTCCGCCAGACCGGCACCGTTCCCTTCTCTCGTATCTATGTAAAGTTATAGCCAAGAAAAATGTTTATTGAATCTAACATACCTTGCAAACCGGACAGGACCATGCATATCTTTAACGCAGGCACAGAAAAGTCCACATATTCTCGCAGGGGTGTTGTGGGAGACACATGGTAGCAATGTGGCCTACAAGCATGGGGAAGGTTACTCGAAAGTAAACCATCACAGGGTCCGTGTCCGGAAGAGCTTCCGGAACGCTTCGCCAGAAAGTATAAATCTCAGCCCCGAATATTGAAAGTGACAACTCCGCGCAGTCCTCCCGGACCGGTCGACAGCTGTCGACTTCTCGGTCTCGGAAATTGCTGTCCAGTGCCGATGTGGTTGCCGTCCCAGTTTCAGGCAGCAATGGAGGATATATGCGGTTCTGCTATGCCGTGCGGGCGGGCTTCATATGCTGAAATCAGCACCGAGGACCGCCTATTATCGTATTACCAGGAAGACTACTTCCAAGGTCAATTGGCGGGTAGCAGCCGAGGACGTTGCAACACTGGCAGCGTCTGACGGGGCAACGTAACCCAACACTGCGACCAAGCTTCCGTAATCGAGGACTGGGGAGGCCGAGCTAGGATAGGGAGAAAGCTCATGGTCAGGGTCCCAAGAAAATTTTGAAGGGAAAAGCGAATAGCCAACAGACAATAGCAGTCAAACTCCCGAGAGCACGGCCTCTACCAAGAGATAATCTCGTGACCGGCCAGTCACCACCACCTCAGATTACTTGAGGAAACTTCCAAGCCCGCTCGGGGAGGGATGCCAGTTCTGCTGAGTCTCAGCAAAGGGGTCAGAATATTGTTTGGAATTTCATTCACCAAGTTCCGCCGATCTCTGCGGCCTAACGAAGCGCGAAGATGAAGTATGCTATAGGCGACGCATCTAGGCCGCTCCAAGAAAGCCTTCCTTGCAGGCTGGTCGCTCCGGTTCACCAAGCCATGGACCATGGAGCGCAACGCCCCCCGGACGCGGGCAAGTGCCACATCGCTGTGTAGTAACCATACGTAGTGGTAACATGTGAAGAAGGAAGGAAGTGGTGGCCCCCTTGACAATCCCGAACCATTGAATGGCTTTGGACGTTGTCACCCAAGGAAAACTATGGCGAACATTAGCGGGCTTCCGTCAACTTAGCGCAGGGGAGCACAAGAAAGTGGTCTGAAGAATAGGGCGAGAGGGGATCGGGTTAGCCTTGCAACGAAAGCTCGAAGTCGGTCCCGGGGAGATGTTTGTTGAAGCCAACGATTCTTTTGGTACTCGAAACGCAGGTTGGCCGCCGGCAGCACCTTGGTAGCCTAGCAAGCAGAGGCGTTGTCACGAGCCCCGCTTGCGACCATACTGGGGGAGTGGCACTGAGCCCGGAAACCCTCGATTGATATCAGCGCCGGCCGCCGGGTGCATCCCAGCCCGCGATGGTCTCGCATGGGGAAAGGGGTGGAGGAGGTCTCGCCCGGACAACGACTGTGGGTCCTGGGACCACCATGGCGTGCGCTGGGCGTGATCCCGTCTTGCCCGTCCACCGTTGCAGAACGGCAACGGCTTGGACCCGTCAGCCAGAGACGCCTCCCCGAACTTGGACAGGCAGCCTGGCAGCCCATAACATCAATGGCGTCCCGAAGCGGGCAACTCTAGACGTTGTGCTCACCACCTCCAAGATCCCTGTCCACGGGAACCAGAAGCTCGCCCGGGCCAGTTATCGGAGGCATCGATTTCTGGCGATCTACGTGGGGTAGGACGCACACCCTGCGTAAACAATTACGAAGCCCCGCGAGATACACACAGAACACAGTAGTCCATCCGTCTATGGACATGTGTCATCTTCTTTGGACAAGAGAGACGCCAGCGCCACGAGCAGCTGAAGGTTCTGGCTGTCGTGTTTTTTTCTGCATGAGCGCAGTCTGCGCTTGTGTGTGTGTGTACTTGAGCCTAGGCGCATATGCCGTGTCGCCCTGGTTTTGTCACACCGGTAGACGGCCGCCTGCTGTGGTACTGCTAGCAATATGGCTAGGGACTGACGGCGCTGCTTCTCTTGGTTCCAAAGCAAGACATTTAGCGAGCGAGATCCAACGTGGCGGGACCGCAGGAGGATTCGAGCAGGCCAGCATGCGAGATTTATTGTGGCAATGCCGCCTCCCCTGTGCATCATGACACTGTCATTTCTGGACAAGGTGCTGCGACGCCCTCGTGCTCTGCGTAGATATCGCAGATAGAGACCTGGCCAACTGGCCCAGACGTCTGTGCTGTCCTTGCCCACGCAACAAAGGCTGCAGGCGCGCGCTGCAGGTCATCCGGGGTTGGGCGTAGCACTCATCTACACGTGTATACAGCACTGTTCTCGTCTTGTCTTGTCTTGTCTCCTCGTGTTGATCGGTGACTGGTCATAAAAGGGCCGGGCAAAGCCCTCATGGCCGGAACTCATCTGCAGCCTGCAAGCTGCAGCCCAGCGACCAGTCGGTCGCAGCCAGCCAGGCCAGCCAGCCCCTTCCACTCACCCCACCCTGACCCCCGGGCGACCCAGCGCCCAGCAGGCGTAGCAGGCTTAGTAGGTTGGCAGGTCCGAAGGGACCTCTCTCGAGGCGCGTGGTGGAGCAGCGGGGATTCCAGGCTGGCGACCCCCGAAGGCCCTGAGGGCCCCGCTGGTGTCCACATCGCATCGCACCCTGCGCAGCCGAGTGCCCTTGGCTGTTGCCACTTGCCGGCTTGACAAGGACAGACAGAGCGGGCCTATGGGCCCTTGCGAATCCTCCAGTCCTCACAGCCCAGGCAGCCCAGGGTACGGTAGCTGGGCTGCTGGGTAGGAGCAAGGCTGCAAGGAGGAAGACGGGGTCAAGGACTCGTCTAGGCGGCGGGCGGGCGGGCGAGCGGTCAGCTTGGCGGCTACCCCTCGACACACAGTACACGGAGTGGCTGGAGAAAGAAGGAAGATGATCGGCTGTGCTGTTATCTGCAGGTGAGTGGGATAATCTCCACGGAACGAGGACTTGGGCAGCCTGGCAGCCTGGCAGCTTCGCAGCGTCTCCCACGCAGCTGCCACGCCCAAATCAATCAGTTGCTCTCTTGCAATCGCGCCGAATGCAGGGGCCGCAGGTGGCCAGCAGCCACAATGTCTTGGACCATGTGCTGCCACTCGCACACAGAAGCCGTCGGGGACGAGCAGTTGCGTGCGAGGTGGTGTCCTCGTGTCGTATTGCAGGCGCCTGGCGTGCATGTTCATGTAAGGTGGCCCTGGGCGCCGCTGAGTGGACAGGCTAGGCCGTGACCAGCCAGCCAGCCAGCCCGGGACGGCGGACAGCGGCCAGCACCCCTGTTAAGCTTTGCTTTCAGGCTGTTTGGCTGTGCTACTACATAGTAGTGGTAGTAGGCACGTAGGTACCAAGGTATCTACCGAGTACGTACCTACTCAGAGAGCCCATGTCGATGCTTGCCGGCGTCTGTGCTGAAAGCGCACTACTGTGGTACACACTACGGCCAGGGCTGCCAGGGCTTCCTTCCCGGGAATCTGCGAACACTGGCCACCGCATATCAGGCCAATTTCAACAGGCAGTCGGTACTCGGGGCCCCTACAACCAGTCTGGCTGGTCCCAGACCCGACCCAGACCTGACCCGTCATATTCAATTGCCTGGGCGCTAGCAACTAACACGATGGGAATTTCCCGAGACACCGGGGAATCGCTGCACAGATTATTCACGGGGCAGCCGCGCTCGCTTGCAATTGCTCGGCCAGAACGGCAGCACGGCAGCACGGCAGAACGGCCGATACTCCAGGCAGGCGGACATTGTCCTCATCGCCTCCTGCAGGGTGGAACTGTGCCGCGTAATAATAAAGCTTACCCAGGTACCTAGTTACTTACTACTGTTGCGTTGCTGTGTCTGAGTCGCTCCTGACTGTGGGACTGTGGCTGGCTTATTAGCAAGCTAAGGAGAGGTACCTAGGCATCTGCGTACTTTGCCTACAAAACAATGTCATTGTCGCTCCCGCGGGCATAGGTCGTCATGCTGACGCCTCCCGACCTCCCGTAGTCAGCTAGCTCAACCCGTCCGCCCTCGCCCTTATGCCATGCATACCGGGTTCATCTCCACCAGCGCTTGTTTAGACCGAGGACGGATCTGACTCCTGCTGAGCGCGCCTGTAGCCCCCGACCTCCTGCCTCCTGCGACGTCACACATGCCTGTGATGGAGGGTAGGAACCAGGACAACGGGTCCGAACCGCTCCCTTGTCGGCTCACCGGCTCGATAACCCCCCCGGCACGACAAACTGCCCCCCATGCCTCCATCTCGATATTGCTCGACAACATCTCAAGCCAACAACGCAGCAGCAATGTCGCAAGCCCGGGGGGCGACTCTGCACAAGGCTCTCTCACTCAGCGCCGGCGCCTCGTCCGAGGAATGAGGAGCTTGCCAGACACGATGCGAACTACGAGGCGGCCATGGCTCGATTCGCGATTCGGCCCCACAAGGACTAAATCTTGAACGAAGCCGCTGTGCGGGCGGATATCACTCACTACTGACGAAAACCGCGCACCTATAAAAAAACCGAAAGAAGAAAAAAAACGTCTGTGTGCAAAAGTTTGCCATCTGAAACATCCACGTTTAGAGCGCTGGCCCTGTCATCGCGTGTCTAGTCGGCACCCGGCTGATTGGACGAGATAGTCGGCCTCCAGCTGCTCTTGTGTCAGGGCACACCTTGGCGAACGCATCATCTGGCGACGACTATCGAAAACTCCGCAGCTGAGTCGTAAGATGTTCGCTTTTCGTGATCGCCCTCTGATTTGGGCACCGGCGCTACGATGGCACATCCACGCCGGCCCGTATCTGCTCGAGTTCTGGTTGAAGCGAGCAGCAGGACCACGGATCGATCGTGCTATACATCAGAGCGTTATGGATGTTCAAATCTTCCGTACCATTAACCGGCAGGATCAGCAGTAGCCTCAACACGCCCGCTTGGTCCCTGCAACCCCCGTGTTCCCCTCCCACCATTCCAGCCTCACTTCACTGACCCAAGAAGGGAAAATTGAGGATCTTGTCTCCCTGATCGCCGCTCTCGATTGTGGGCTCCTCACACGATGGGGAAGGCTCCGTAGGGTTCGAGGCCAGGCCCATTATCCCCTGAGCTCTTGGGCTGTGGAGTCTCCGGCTGCCGGCAGGGGACGATTGTGCCAACCACACAGCATCACACCGTGTCTGTCGGGCGGCCTTGTCAGCCTCCCCCTCGTCCTTCTGCCCGTCCCAAGATCCAAACACACGACTCGGAAACATATCGACATGAGCGCTGTCGATCCCGCCCAGGTGCCTCTCGCTCTGTCGAGCACCCATACTCGCTGTGCTGATCAGCGCGATGTGGCCATGGGGCTGGCCGTGTGCTGCAACCGGCAAACTGGGCGTCTCACAGAGGACAGTCGAACGCGCAACGCTCGAAAGCTCGCAAGGTCGATTTGTCATTGCTGCAAGAAGGCCGCGCAAGGTTGAGTCAAGCCAACTGGCACCGCGTGGTAGTGCCGCATCACCGTGGCTCGCCGTTCGCATGCGATACATACGCACCGTGGCTTGTGGACCCGCACAATACTGTCGGGCATCATGAGCTCAAGTGACTGAATCGAGAACAGCCATGGTCCGCTTGTTCTCGGCTGTTGGCCCGCCGCAGGTAGCTCATCCACGGCTCTAGGAGTAGCATCGCCGACGGGTCCTCCTTGTCTGACAGACACTTCTTTTCTGCCTGTTGACCTCAAAAGGGAAGACGGCTAGATGAAACTCTGCGAAAGAAGACAGCTCCTGGGGAGCCATATCAGACCCCGGATTGCAGGGGCATCCGTCGGCATCTTCGTACACCTTCACCCACATTTGACCTCACCAGCCTGACCAGCTGCCTGGGACACCCGTTCCCCAAACAGATCCATCTGACTCCCTGTGCATGGTCGCAAGCTCGGACTCAACGCACCGTAGGGCGACACAGCCATGTTGATCTTCGACGAGCCTGCATGGCGAGAAGGCAGATGCAGCGTGATCTCACCTAGGAGTCTCTGTCAGCTCTTGTCATCAACCCTACGTACTACATGGTCCCTTGTCGCGGGCGGGGAAGACTTGTAGGGTCCAAGGGTCCCCTGCACCTTATGCGCGCCCCGGTCCCAGAAGTTAAGCGATCCACACTGTCGAGCCGGTGCTACATGACTGGCTATACAATTAACCCACGCAGCGGTAACACCAGTTCGAGATTTGGCCAACCATGTGTGTACCTGGTACGACAACAGAAACGTGCCCAACGCACAGCATGCCGACGCGAAAGTCATTGGTGCTGGATGAGGACAAGGTGCTGGAAGTGGAGAGAGCACTTCTCAAATGGACGATGCCAGAAATGTTTATGCACATCACTCGGGATCACATGTCTTGAACAAGTTAGATCGGAGCCCGCCTTGGGAGGCTCCGCAGCATTTAGTGTGGTCGCGGACGACGAACCCGTTCTTGACAGCAAACCGAACACAAGCAGCCGGCAATGGGGCACGAGAAGTGCAAGCAATCCACCAGGTCCAATGTTTTTTTGGCCTGGCCCGGGTTCCCGGTGTCCCCTGTCGTTTCATGGAGCCCAGATTCTGTGAACCACTCGACAGTGGAACCAGCAGTATGAAGCCCCTATTAGAGGACGCCCTACTGTCCACTCTCAGCTGGGTGCTGAGCGGGTGATGGTTTCAACCCTCCTCACAGGAACTTGCCCTCTGACCACAGTGCCTGCACCGACTTCTGCTGACAGCGCTGATCAATTACGTTGAAGAGCGCCGCTGGGGGAAGAATTCCGACTGAGGAACAAATTTGAGCCTCCAACAAAGCATCGGCGAAGGCCCGTCTCGCAATAGGCCGGACGAGGTCTGGCGTTTCCTCTGCTCACGCTTTGGTCCATCGCATACTGGATATTGGTTGCGCGCGATCGGTTCGAGCTCTCACTGGCCCCGAGCCTGCGACTGTACGGAGTACAGCGAGTAGTCTGGTTCGCGGGACTTCTCACATCATCGCGGACCCTCCCCCCGCCCCGGCCACCACCGGGGTTCGCAGAGCCTGAACGGCACATTTTCACGACGATCACGGTCTCGCCCCAGGAGACATATCACGGGCCCTTTTTGGTTGTCCCTCTGTTGTTTCCACTCGCCTGTTCAAGCACTGACTCACTGCGCGACCTGTCACTATCACATGGGCAACCGCGGTCTCTAAAAGACGCGTTAGCCTATCCACAAGCAGTGCCGTACGGACTCGTGGGCTGCCTGCAACTAGGTGTTCTCTGGGGAAATTATCCATTACCTAGCCGCCCAAAATAGTAAGACGAGGTGTTTGACAGCAGTGCCATCAGCCTTGCGTGGCGCGATTGGGGGTGGCATTGGCTATTTGCACACAATTTCGATAATTTCCGGCTGCACACACCTTCGAGCTCGCTTGGTACGCGCCTGAATCAGCGAGACAGGCGGCAGCCCTCACCAGTGGCCGCACCCTTGCCCGGCGATATCCTCAACACACGAGCTAGAACGACACCACCACCGCTCTGCCATACACGGCCCAATCAGCGCCAGGCCGTCTTGACTATTGCCAGCTGGGGCTGCAAGGAGGTGATGGTTGTACTGCTGTGCCGCCTCGCTTCTGCATACCTCGACCACACGGCCTTCGAGAAGCATTTGGCCTCCTTCTTGGCTTCGGGTTCCTGCTCCTAGTCGGGCAGAGCAACGGCCAGAGAGAGAGCTGCCGGCTCGGCCGCGCAACAGCGCCGTTGTCTTTGCTTCGTGGAAGGGACACGCGAGGACCACATTTTCCGCCTCACCCACTACCACTGCTACTAGGTACTCCTGTCTTCCGTAGTGACTCTTGTCAGGACGGGATACCCCAGTGCTTGGGTTGCAAACTCTCGAGGTTGCATCAGGAACAGCGGATTGGGACTTCGGCATCCTCCAAGCACGCACTCCCTTGGGTGCCGATCTGTTTTAATTTCACCGTTCCAATTGAGCGGATCGGACAGTAAGTGCCCCAGTTTTGATCAATCCGCCTGGTTTATTCGCCAATGTCCCTCCCCTACCCCCTGACACTTTTGCGCGAGTTGCATAACAAGCCAGAATCCTTGATATCTTGGCCTGTCACTGTCCTTCCATTCATTCTTTTGAGCCCTCGCATTGTTTTGCGCCCCAATTGTGTTGACACGCGACGAGTGCTCCCTTTTTTTTGTTCCTTTTACATAGGGCCTCCGTCCCATCCCCATCCGACCACAATAACACTTCACCGCCGCACGAGTAGTTTTCTTTTTTTCCGTACCGTGCGGCCTTGGTACTAGTGGTAGTCATCCTGCATCTCAACAGACCACTTACGAGACGAGCAGGGCGTGCACCTCGTACAAGCGGTTGCACAGAGCGCGAAAAGCAGCATTCCCGTCTGGTCGGAAGCATCTCAGACTAGTGGAACGGGACAACCCTGGTTGTTGTTCGAGGACGTCTGCCCCGGCGGTCATCGAGCCGACCACCACACACCTTGTTCGCCCTGCCTCATATAGATTGCAGGAGAGATGCGGACAGCATTAGGAGGGTCTGGGGGGTACTGGTCCACCCAAAGTCAGCGGAGGGCCACCAAAAAAAGCATCAGCGAAGCCTGCCCCGAGTCATCTTACCAGGACCACACATCTGCTGCACACAAACATTACACACCTTTGACTTCTGACAACGAACACTTTGCCGATTTTCTCGAACCAGCCATTGATGGTCCCCCGTCGCCGGCCCGGATCAGAGCCCTGAGCAACAAGGTCAAGCAGGCATCAATCTCGGAACGACATGTGAGCCAGCAGACGACCTCATCTGGGTCATCATCTCTGCTCTCCCTCGGGTCGTTCGACCGACGACCATCCTGGGACATACCACTGGAGTCCTTCTCGCTATCGAGGAAGTCATCAACCCGCTCGACGACGAGCAGCATGCGAGAGCGTCCAGAGAGCGTCCAGGCAATTGGTAAGGCGATATTCAACCGCAAAACTAAACTCAGGAGAGAAAGTCTGGTCACATCGACAGACATGGCACCAGAAAATCCAGGCGAGCGTGCCCGGGCGCCTTCGGTCACCAAGGAGCACGCCCTATCCAGCATGAACATTTTCAATCGACGGAGGACGGTGCAAGCACCTGAGGAGGCATTGTCTCAGAAACGGCCGCAGATCTCAAGCCCTTTCAACTTCCAGCACGTCGCTCAGATACAGCGAGAGCAGGTCCCGAACTTGGAACGATCGAGTCAAGTGCCGCCGCGTAATGAGTGGTCGACTGCTCGTGCCTCCGGGGTACCAACCACGGGGCCGTCGAGGGGCATGCAGGCGGACGACTTGCGTGTGCCAAACTTCTCATCTAAAGCTAGTCGCCCACATGATGACGACGAAGTGGCACCGGATGTCGTGCCGCACCGGCGGGAGAACAGTATCGTTCGCCCACCAAGCTGGCACAAATCCCCTCCGAGGCCTATGGTCAAACATTCACGATCTCAGGATCATATCCCTGGCATTCCTCCGCCCCGGCCCCCAAGGTCGCCGACGGCCCTGGATCTGAACTTCGACCTGATGCCTCCCGTGCCTCCTCGCAGCTCCAGCCGGCCGTCAATTGGATCACTCCCGCGTCGCGACTCCGAAGCTCTTGGGAGCACAATGAACGACCGGGCGCAGGCGATGAGTGGGTTCCGATTCCCACCGCCACTTCCACTCCATATGGAAGCGAGCAGCCCACCGCCAACTTCGCAGGGGCCATCCAGCCCCACCGCTGGGGCGGAGCGTCGGTACTCTCGCATTTTCCTACCCTCGCCTACGGAGACTCCCAATTGGCCTCTGACATGCCCTCTCCACAATGCGAGTGTCTCGACATTCGAAGGTGGCTTGCCTGATGTGCCCGAGGAGGAGGAGCATCATGGGTTGCCTCGGAGATCACGAGCGAGTATCCGCAGCAACAACTCCTCGCTTAGGGGCTCGCAGTCGGTCCCGGCCTTGCGCAAGGCCTCGGTATCTGAATACAGCTCGCATGACCGTACTCTCAGTAGGGAATCCACGATATTCGGTCATTTCGACCTGGCCGCCGCCCAGCGAGCCGAGAGAGTGGCCATGGAGGAAGCGCAAGACGATTCAGACCCACTTCCGCGAGATATTTGGGAGGATGTCATCGATTATTGCTACGAACACGAGGCTGAGGCCGACTGTGACTACGACTGGGACCGGCCATCGATCGATATGGGCCGCGAACCGACGTTTCTATTTACCGAAGAAGAGACCGAACACGGCGCGTTCTTTCGTACAGCTTCCGACCATTTTGAAATCCCAGCCTTGAGCCCCTGTAGCCATCTTTCCGTGGGTAGCGCTCAAGACGCGCAAGAGGCCATAACCCCTACCATCTCGGCCAGCGGCACGAAGTCGCCTACGCGATCAAACTTCTCACTTCCCCGGCGGGATTGTGCTCAGCCACAGCGCTTGCTCCACGAGCGAACGACCTCGCAAATGTCCGCCTCCAAGGAGGGATATACTATTTCGCCATCGATGCTGATCCCGAATGATTACCAACAAGAAATGCTTGCTCACCAGAATGAGCGCTTCGAGGAGGCCGAAGGCTTGGGTCAGGCAGTGACGTGGGAGGAACCGACCATGACGGCGGAGGGTTCTAACCTATTCATCCCGATCAGGGCTAGCAGCTCGACCACCGCGAGCGCCATGTCATCGCGGTCCAACTTTGACCGGCATATCTCGACGACGTCTTCCACCAGTACCGACTATACGCGCATGACCATGAGCACCAGCTCGGTCAACATCGAGGATTATCTGCCCAAGGACGACGCGCCACGAGCCATTACGACTGACGACTCGGAAATCCCGCAAACAGCCGCCGCGGTGCCGAACCACGCCCGGTCTCAGAGCATCGCTGGCCTCCTGAACTCGATGGACTCGAGGCCCCTGACCCGGGGCAACCACAGCAGCGACCCGAACCTCGACAAGCTGCACTCTGCCAAGCGTCAGGTCGGCCGCGGCCGCTCCAGGACGCTGAGCGCCAGCCCTCCTCCTCCGGGCCAGTACGCCCTCTTCCCCAGGCCGGCGAACCTGAAATAAGGTCAACAACCGAGCTCAACTACCATCTTCAGACACCTGTCTGCACGCAGTTCAAGGTGTCCTATCTACACCCTCCCGACGATGTGTCATCTCGGACAACTCAAATCTCTTTTCTATATGTTTGCGTACCGGCGACCGGAGCTGTGCCGACTCGATACTTCACATGCCTGGAGAGGCTCATCACCATTTTCATTTTGTCTCTTTAGCATTTGGGATTTTCGCTCTGAACTCTGATTTGGGTCCAAGGAAGGGCCACTTTCGCCTGCTGGACCTCAGCAGGGACGCCTGGGTATTGCTTAAATATGGGGTGCTAAAGAAGGGCTCTGAGCTCCCCGGGTCAACACACGCTCTCGCGTACAACACACACCTTTTCCTTTTTTCTTTCCCCGTCTTGGCCCTTTCGGGTCATCTTCTACTGGGAATATCTCATGGCGCACACAAAACGGGAATTAATTTCTGGGCTTCTTGCATTCATGGACGGGCCAATTATAGACCAAAACATTATTCGGGTCGTACTGGGGGAATGATGTTCTGTACCGGGGCTTTGTTTTTTTCTCGTCCGCCATGGAGCAAGCAAGGGGTACTGGGGTCTTGGTTAACGCTTTTCTTTATTCAACTCGATGGCTTTTGACTGTCAGAAGCCATAACAGGGGCAAGTGAAGTGGCAAGGTTTGGGAATGTGGGGGGTGGGGGGGAGGGCGATCTCACTTCAGCCCGCCCGGCTTGTAAAATAGCCGGCGCGTGGCTGCAAACATAAGAAAAACTCCTATGGGGACTTAATAGTTACTGTGCTATTATCCTGTATACCTACTGTACTTGTACTCTAGCCGAGCCGGAAGAAAAAGGACGCGCGAGACAAAGTTTAAGTTAATACTACTGTGGTATCAGCCCTATGCAAATATCTTGTACCCTGACCGAATGCTGTATGGGATGGAGCAAAGGTTCGGACAGAGAGAGGAACAAGGACGAGCCACACCAACGAGTGATGTCTGCAGGACCTCTTTGAGGCTCTTCTGTGTGTGCTAGATGACTCGCATAAAAGGCTGGGTCAATGTCTCGGAAAGGATGATGATCAAGGGAGCACGATGTGTGACCGTTGTTTTTGTCAAGCCACAGTATCACGGCATCTGCTGCGGATCTGATAAGTGTGTCCCACGTGTTATATCGGTATCTGATTAATGGCCACGTGTTTGAAATCAGGTGATGTTGCCGTAGTGTCACGTCTTACCGAAGAATGTCGGCCATAGGGAGGGACAACGGCGTGTGTGGGTTGACGCTCAGGCCATGTTAGACGGACGGGTGCTGTGTGAAGCTGCTGTCGAGACTGGGAAGGTCGAGAGGAGACGATATTTGACTTGGCTGAACGGGCTGAGATTAGGGGTCGGGGCATCATGTTGAAATACCCATCTTCTTAGCTCCCCAAAATTCTGGAATAATGATATATGTGTCATGCATGGCAGGAGGACTGATGCCCCGCAGACACTGGTGGACAAACCAAGCATGATGGATTCTTGCTAGCCGTTGTCCAGGGTACTACCGTGATCTGCTCAACACCAGAAATGCCCCCCCCTCACATGGGAAGCAGAGCATTCCCGCTCTCAGTCAGAACCCAAAGCTGCCGCCACCAGCCCACAGCGCCGGCGACAAGCAGCACGTAATACGCAACAGACCACCCGGCCCCGAGCGGCACGGCGCCCCTCGCCCGGTCCCAGCCCTCGACGCGCCCCCAGACGCGGGGGAGGCCCATGCAGTTGCACAGGACGTGGATGCCAAAGACGGCGAGCACGGACCCGGAGCGCAGGAAGACGAAGGTGACGTACGCGCCGAACAGGGTCGTGTAGCCCAGCTGGAAGGCGGAGCGCAGCAGGGCCGCGGCGAGGGGCACGCCCGGGTGGGTCACGCGGAACTCGTAGAGGTGGTGGACGTGGGCGAGGCCGAAGACGAGCGGGGAGACGAAGATTGTCCTTGTGAGCGTCGTGCGCGCGAGGACCATCAGGGGCACCGAGGCGGAGCGGAAGAGGATCTCTTCTGTCAGGGGCCCCTGGGGTGATGGGTGAGTATATGCCAGGTGTCGTCTGGTGAATAAGGAGGAGGAGGAGGATGAGGAGGAGAAGAAGAAGAAGAAGAAGAAGACAACCTACAGCAACAAGATTCCTCCACGCGGTAATCTCACGCCACACGCGCCCAAGAGGCTCAAGCGCAAGCCAGTCCCTCCACCCGGCCTCGGCCACGAGGTACTCAAACAGCGGGCCGAGGAACAGCAGCGCCGTCAGGAGCAGCGCCCTGAGGGACTCGGCCAGCCCGGCGGGCCAGTAGCCCATCTCGTGCACGGCGGCGCCCACCCCGTGGCCGCCCACGCGCGTGAGGACCGCGAGGGTCGCCAGCGAGGTGAGGGCGCACGTGAGCGTGACGGAGGCGATGCGCGCGCGGATGACGTGCGGCGCGTCGCGGCTCAGGGTGGGCGAGGGCCGGGTCTTTGGGGAGAGGTAGAAGGGCGCCACGTAGAGGACTGTGTAGAGGACCTGGGAGGGCGGTTAGCCTGTGGGTAATATAGACAGATAGATAGACACGCAAGAGATTTTTGGCTCACGAGAAATGATACGGCCGTGGAGGTCGTGATGGGCGGTGGCGCCTCGGCTGGAGATGGTGGTGTCAGTATCGAGTGAGTCTTGAGGACGGTATTCCGTGGGGTTGTTGAAGTTCGATCCGTTCTACTCACCCTCCTTCTTGTGCAACATGTCCGTCAGATATTTGGCGATGGAAGGCATTTCGACACAGACAGAAAGGACAGCCCAGACCACCCTTGCTCAATCCACCTGGGCACTAATGCTGGAAGCTTTTGAAGCTTGGAATCTCCTGGGAAAGAAGGACTGTGTTGTTGCGAGTCGAAGGCGGGCCAGCATGAGAGAACAATGTTTACGGTTTTGCTTGTGTCGCCAGGTAGCCGCAAAGAGCCAAAGGCTGACGTGCCATTCCTTAGGCCAACCCCACCCGTGGACCCAATCCAGCGCAGGCCGGCCAACGGCCCTCAAGGTGTAAGTTATACCAGCGGAAACATCTCTTTGAGGGCCTTTTTTTTTTTCTATAAAATTAGTACTTCATCCGTCCAGTCATCACACACATATGTGGCGATGCGTGGCGGGCAGCGCCGCGGCACGTGGTGTGAGGCTACTGCAGGTCCATCGAATGACATTGTATTACCACCGTTGCGTATAGTCTATACAGTCATGAAAGTTGCTCTGTTACCAGTCGGCCAAAACAAGGTGTGCCCGCGCCCCGTCCCTATCCCAACGCAATGCATGGCTCGCTATAAACAAACAACCATGAGATCGTCACACAACAACCCCCAACCCGCAGATGCCCCGACCAAGGGCCACTTCTCCGTACCACAAGCCTCATCCCCTGGGGCCCCGCCGGCTCATACCTCCTCGCCCGGGACGGCCTCGTACGCGCCCCTCCTCGCGCCAATCATCTGCATGAGGCTCGGCGTCTCGTACATGGCCGCGTAGTTGACGGTCTGCCCGCTGAGCATGGCAGTGCCGTTCTCGCGCTGCCCAAGCATCGGCGCCGAGTCGCACCAGAAGTCCTTACAGTTCGTGATGCAGCCCCGGTTGTAAGGGTTCTTGCCCTTGCGCCTCTTGTTCTTGCCGCCGGCCGCCGCGCCGCGGCCCGTAGCCGTCTCGACAAAGGCGTCCACGCCCAGGAGCTTGCTCATGCTCTTGAAGAAGCCGCCCGCCCCGTGCCTGTGCCCGTGCCCGTGCCCGTGCCCTGCTGCTTCCGACTGCGCCGCCGCCCCGGATGGTGGCACCGCGTCGGGGTGTGTGGGGTCGAGAGGCGCGCCGGTCGAGGTGAAGGCCGACGTGAGCGAGCTGGCGGCCACGTGGTTAACGCCGAACATGTTCTCGTACGTGGTCATCGCCCTGGCGACCTGTATGAACTGCACAAACAGGAGCATGCCCACCCATGTGAGCTGTAGGTTGGCCCAGAAGCCGAGCAGGACGGTATATGTGTCGGTGTTGATGATCTGGCAAATAGTGGGCCCAAAGATGTTGCACTGGTCGGATGCAGAACCCATAGAAGCGGTGTAGTAGTAGTAAAGAACACCATCGAGCATGAAGATTGCCAGGGTCAGGTTGATGAGGTAGAGGAAGAAGTGCCGGTGGTTGTTGACGCCCACGCAGTTGTAGACCCACGGGCAGTGACTAGGATTCCGGGTTAGTCGATCAACCCAACGGTCATTTAAATAAATGCTCTCGACACTGTCACTCACTGATCATGCCGCGCGACACACCGCTGACACCGCCGGCAGTGCTTGCTCCTCAGTGGCGTCCGGATCATGCACTGTACACAGAAGTTTGCCTCGTCGTATTTCCAGAGGCCAATCAACTCGTCGATGACGGCCTTCTGCTCAGCAATACCATTCATCTTGGGCACGAAACCAGGGTCGAAGACCATGCAGCAGTAGTAGAACCATGCGCAGAACCCAAGAAGGCCGGCGAGACACAGGTTCATCAGCAGGTGGCGGTGCTCAGCATCTGCGCAAGTCAGCTCTTGTCACATGACCAGCAACAACAAGGCAAGGGGATCCTGACGCACCAGCTCTGAATGTCGTGGCGGGCAGGACCGTGAGGAACCACCTCAGGGACACTAGGAACAGAGACGCAGAGAAGATGCCCGCCATCCAGGGCGTCCTCTGGAACTGGCGCATATCCGGTGGCGCAAAGGTCAGGACCCGTTTTGCGACCTCCTGCAGTACGTATCCAACAGCCAACGCGATGGGCACCCCGGCGAAGACGGGGAAGGCGGCCATGATGGCAAGCATGCTCCATACCATGACCAGGGGGAAGAGGAAGGTGAACTTGGTGACAAACCCCCTCCTGTCCTTGACCAGGTAGCTGGCGCCGGGGAAGCTCGGGGTGATCAGGTGGCCGTCCTCGTCGTAGCCGCACTCCTTGAGGGCCCGGTGCCAGGCGGGCAGCGTCTTGAGCTCCTCGGCCGTGATGGCCGGGGTCTTGCCGGTCTCTGTCTTGGCGAAGCGGTCGGCGCCGTACTCGATGAGCTTCTGCACGCAGCCGGGGCTGCCCTTGACCAGGGCCCAGTGCAGCGCGGTGAAGCCGGACTCGTCCTTGGCGTGCACGCTGGCGCCCCAGCGCAGGTAGAGGTCGACGCAGGCGGGGAAGCCCTTGTAGGCGGCCCACATCAGGCCGGTGTGCCCGTAGCTATCGAGGACGTCGACGGGGATGCCGGTGTGCAGGAGGAGGGTGAGGAGCAGGACGTTGCCGTTGAAGGTGCTTATGTGCAACGTGTTGTAGCCCTGGGCGTCGGTGACCAAGGGGTCGGCGCCGTGCTGCAGCAGCAGGTGGACGGTGTAGTAGTGGCAGCGCTGTGCCGCCCACTGCAGGGGCGTCGCGACCGACTCTCCTCCCTTCTTGTTCATGGGCGCGCCCCTGTCGATGAGGAACTTGCACATGGCGTACTGGTTATTGATGGCGGCCCACTGGGAAGAGTCGAACACGTCAGCTCAAGAGAAACAACACAGAGCACTGGCTGGCTGGCTGGCATACGTACGTGCAGTGCAGTGATGCCCTCGTCATCCGCGTAGGTGGCATCGTACTCCTTGGTCTCGAACAGCGCCTCCATGGCCGGTATATCACCAATCCTGGCGATCTGCATTATATCCGTGTCCACCTCGCCATCACCACCACCCTTGCCCCCGTTCGCAGCAGCGCCTCCACTGCCATTGTTGTTGTTGTTGCCGTTGGGCAAGCTCCCCAGTTCCAGGTCCGAGCTGACCTGGGCGTCGACCTTTGCGCCCTTGGACGTCGGCTGGATGGGCGCGCCGGAGCTGTGGGTTTCCTTGCTGGCCATGACGGCCGTTCGATGGTCGGGTCTGGGCTCGTGGAGTGCCCGTGTCGCCAGCCAGTGTGTAATGGGGTGTTGAGCGCAGCTGAGGAATCGGTTTCACAGCAATCCGGTCGGGGGTGGCGGACCGGTCCAAGCGAGCGAGGCCAAGGATATCTCGGGACGGGCAATGCGCAACGGTCGGTCGGTCGGTACTTTACTTCGCAGTGTGGTGTACGTTACAGAATGCTCATGCTAGGAGATGGGAAACCACAATATCATTACACATTCAAGTCAGTGAGCCATTGGAACGAGCACATGCAGTCATAGGAAAAGAGGCTGATGGGTGGGTAAGCCGGAATTTGAGAAAAAAGAAGTACCAAGGAGGGCGCTGGGAAGGATGGCAGTGCATGCAAGAACACCCATGCTCGGTTGCCCGACAGAGCGAGCGATCTGCAGGCCAACAACCAGTACTGCGGTACATGTACTGGTCGGATTATGCGTGCCGGCAGCAGGGCGCTTTTAGTATAGATGTTAGTACCCCGATCCCTGCAGCTAAAACAGCCCGACTTTCCCATGTCCTGTCAGTCAGTGTCTTGGTCTCTTGTTTATCGGTATCGAACCCGTATCGATAGCAGCCCGGGGACTCGTCCAGCTGTCATGTCGAGTCGAGGGCTCTCGGGTGCAGGCTCGTGAACATACGACCAAACATACGACCGCACCAACCGGAAGCTCTGACTTCCACCACGGTCTGATCAGTGCCAGTGGGGAACCAACTCTGTGTATTTATCTTGGTCGCCAGTCACTCCCCAACACAACCTCGACCACGTCTCAGCCTCAGCCTCCGTCCGCCCTCCCACCTCACCTGCCCCGCGGCGGGCTCAAGCATCAAGTGCGAAGCACACAGCACAGAGGAAAAGACAGGTCTCACCAATCCCAACCACCCTGCCCACCATGGACGCACTCAAGGACTTTGTCGAGCTCATCATGACGCCCTCGGCGCCCGTCTTCGTCGTCGGCGCGCTCGTGATCCTCCTCGTGCCCATCCTCATGCACCTCTGGGTGACCAAGTCGACGACCTACACCGTCCTCCCGTCGGTGCTCCTCACAGGGCCCTCAGGCGCGGGCAAGACGGCCCTGCACACCCTCCTGGAGCGCCGCCTCTCGCCCTCCGAGACCCACACCTCGCAGACCTGGTCCGCGGTGGAGCTCGCCGTGAGCGAGGACGGCGCCTCCTCCTCCTTCCGCGACGACCTCGACGCCGGCGGCGCGACCGCCTCCAAGTTCCTGCTGGTCGACACCCCCGGCCACGGCAAGCTGCGCCACTACGCCCACGGCCGCCTCACCCTCGAGGGCACGCAGTCCACCCGCCTCAGGGCCGTCGTCTTCGTCGTCGACGCCGCCGCCCTCGCAGAGCCCGACGTCCTGGCCGACACCGCCTCCTACCTGTACGAGGTGCTGCTCGCCCTGCAGCGCCGCATGGCCAACACCAAGACCAGCAAGGCCCCCTACGCCATCCCCCTGCTCGTCGCCGCCAACAAGACCGACCTGTTCACCGCCCTGCCCGCGAGGCTCGTGCGCACGAGCCTCGAGAAGGAGCTGGGCCGCATACGCCGCACCCGCAGCAAGGGGCTGCTCGACTCGGGCGCCGATGCCTCGGGGGACCTTGGCGCTGGCGGCGACGATTCCGACGACTGGCTGGGCGAGTATGGCAGCGCCGACTTCAAGTTCGACCAGATGCGCGAGTTCGATACCGAGGTTGATGTTATCAGCGGAAATATCACCGGCGACGGCCCGGGTGTGGACGCGTGGTGGACCTGGATCGGGAGCAGGATATCTGTCTGGCAGGGGGACCGGAAGCATGCCAAGAACTAGGCACTATATATACTGTTCTGTTCTCTAATTAATGATAATTTCTACCACCTTACCACGCTCAAGACCACATGCGCAAATCTCGGATGGGCATGTTCAGATCTTCACACTTCGCAATGCTGTCTACTCGTTTGGTGCTCAGTTTAGTTGGGTATTATTCCCACAAAAATGTGGAACTATGGCAAATGCGTGCCATCTCTGGAGCCTCGATGAATAATGGCGCCATTCTGCATGGTTGAATCTAGACTTTCTGGTCTATATCTTTCCCTTTCCCGAGCCCATAGATGTTGAGTCTAGGCCAACCGACGCCGACACTGCCCAGTGTCTCATGAATAAGTCTGTTTGCTGTGGACAACACGAATAACCCCCAAGACCCGTCCCCAAAACCCCTGTGATAAACGCCCATGTACGATGCATGCTAGTATAAAACCCGGAAACCATCAGTCAGTCAGTCAGTCAGTCAGTCAATCAAGCAGGACTCCCGTTGGCCGGGGTCCTCTTGGACTGCTTCACCATGTGCGTCAGGAGGTCGACCTTGGTGACCACGGCGACCGGCTTCTTGCCCTCTCCGTTGTCCTTGTCCTCGGTGACGACCGCGGCGCTGTTGTACTCGAGGAACTTGCTGAGGATGGTGAGGGGCGTGTCCAGCGTGATCTCGACAAAGTGCCGCTTCTGCTTCTTGCTCTTGCTCGCGGCCTCCTCGGCCGTCAGGATGTCCCTGGCGTCCGTGACCACCTCGTCGATCCTGCTGAAGTCGAACATGACGTCCTTGACCAGGCTGGTCGCCGTGGCCCGCCCGCTCGAGATGTACGACAGCAGGTTGCCCAGCGTCACCAGGCCGACGAGCTTGCCGCCCGTGGGCGACAGGACGGGCAGCTGGTCGAATCCCTTGTCGCGCATCGTCTCGATGGCGTCCGCGCAGGCCTGCGTGCTGAGGACGCTGGTCACGGGCTTGAGCCTGAGGGACCTGATGGTCTCGCCGCCGTAGGGGTCGCTGGCCCTCCTCTTCTTCTGCGCGGCAGCCTCGACCTCGGCGCCGTTGACGGACGGCAGGAGGTCGTTGGCGGCCAGCCAGTCATCGTCTGCGAACTTGGACAGGTAGCTCCTGATGCTGTCCGGGAGGACCACGACCACGGTGTCCCTCTCATCAAGGTTCAGGTCCTGCACGGCGCGCACCATGGCCGCCATGGCAGATCCGGAGGACCCACCAACGAGCAGGCCCTCCTCGGCGATCAGCCTGCGCGCGTACATGAACGACTCGCGGTCCTCGGTCTTGTACCACTTGTCGACAATCTCGCGGTCCAGCACGTCGGGGATGAAATCGTAGCCGATACCCTCCACCTTGTACGAGACGTTGGCGAGCTCGCCCTGGTTGAGGGCCTCGGGCAGGGCGAGGATGCTGCCGAAGGGGTCGGCAGCGATAATTTTGACGTCCTTGTTGTGCTTCCTAATACCCTTGGCAATACCGCTGATGGTGCCGCCTGTTCCCGCACCCGCGACGATGGCGGTGACCTTGCCGTGGGTCTGCTCCCAGATCTCCTCGGCGGTGCCAAACTCGTGAGCGCGCGGGTTGTCGAGGTTGGTGTACTGGTCCAGGATGTGGGCACGGGGGATCTCCTTCTGCAGCCTCCTCGCGACGCCGATGTGCGACTCGGGGCTGTCCCAGGCGGCCTGGGTGGGCGTGCGGATGATGGTGGCGCCGAGGGCGCGCAGGACCGAGACCTTCTCGGCGGACATCTTCTCCGGGAGGGTGATGATGGTCTTGTAGCCCTTGATGGCCCCGACGAGGGCGAGACCGATTCCGCTGCAACCCAAGACACAGTCAGCATGGCAGGCAGATACGGCCGTGCGTGCTCGAGGCCGGTAGGAACAATGGACTTACGTGTTTCCACTGGTGGGCTCGATCAGGGTGTCGCCGGGCTTTATCCTGCCGCTCTTCTCGGCCTCCTCGATCATGCGGAGGGCTATGCGGTCCTTGACACTGCCACCGGCGTTGACGAGCTCAACTTTTGCGTAGACGTTTGCCTTGATGCCCAGGGACTGTGGGATCTTGTTCAACCGCACCAGCGGGGTGTGGCCGATCAGCTTGGTCGCATCCGCGACTCCGATCTCCTCGCTGCTGCCCTTGCCCAGGGCCTTCAGCAACGGCTCAGCAATGCTGGAAAGACCACCATTCGTGGTGGTTCCGTTGGTGGTTGCCATGTTGCGGATGGTCGGTCAGAGGTGAGTTGCTGGTGGGAGGGCGGTTTGCTTGGAGAGAAGATGAGAAGAGGGAGACGGAGAGGGAGAGCGAGGGGAGAAAAGAAGAGAAAAGAACTTGGGAATCCCGTGGGTCGAGCTGCTAGTCAGTATATATGGTCTGTTACATAACAGGAGCAGGGCAGTAAGCCGCGAGGGTGAAATCTCAGCAGCAGAGATGGGACGTTGGCATGGGAAGACATGGCTCAAGTTTGCCCCGCGGCGAGACCGAGCGACGGCTAGCAGCGGGACGGCCAGACAATACTGTACTGGCCTCAAGCTGGTCTGGGCGGGCACTCGAGACACATCGCATCTGCTGTGTGTACCGAGTACAATGGCAGCTCTTTCAACTTTTCACCCCGAGATTGCGTGACCGTGTTCAGGTTCGTCAACGTTGGTCATACCACATTGTCTCGCTACGGAGTAGTCTACCTCGACCAAGCCTCCCTCAGGTGTGGTGGAAGCAGCGGGGACTGCCCCTCCAAGGTCCCGTCCAACAAATCACCCCGGGCGCCATGCCACACTGTCTGCTGTGATTCGACAGCCCTTGGTCCCGTCTTTGCATGTGACAGAAGGCGACTTGCACTTCGACCACATACAAATGCATGTACCACAAAGACGTCAAATCTCATCCGCAACTTTTGAAGGCAGCACATCTCTGTGGCTGACCGACAGATGGCTCTCACAACATCCTCCTCGCAGACCATTGCCGTCTATTACTCAGACCTTCAAGGTCCTCACCCGCCTTCGTCCTGGACCAGGTTCCAGAACCGAGTCCCTGGAATCCGATTCGCTGGAGCTAGATAGACAGTCTCTGATGCCGACCACTTGGGAACTGTGAAACCGTTATACTTCCATCGGCGACCAAGGCCTTCAAAGAAGTAGGAAATGACCATGATCAGGACACCAGTGACCTGCAGCATCCGTTGGTCCACGAGCCACATTCACAGGCGCTGCCACTTGGTTGTTTCATTTCTAATCCCCATACGAACAAAACATATAGGGCGCCTTCATGCAGTGGGACATACAAGCACTTGCCAGATTTAGAAGTTCAAAATGATCCAATGACCTGCGCAACGCTCAACACAACTTGGGCAACGGTCAAGACCAAGATGACTGTCCCGAATCTGATTTCGTGAGGCCCCGTATCAGTACATATCCACTGGCGGTGATGGATAACATGGAACAGAGAATGAGGCACTGGTTTGAGATCTCACAGAAATGTCCAATATTGCACCGTGTCCCTCCTGTCCCTGAAAAGGACCCAAAAGTTCCAGGGCCGTGCCTTTTGTAGATGCGCGTCGAGCGCAAGAATGCGTGGCCAGAGGTTGCTGAATTCCGTCTGATTCCATTGCGAAGCATTTCTGTCCATCAGGACCCGGATTTGATCGTCATATATGCTTCTATAGCCAACATCCAGCGAGCCTCTTCTTCGCCCATGGTTGGTGTCCTTGAGAGTCTCCAGTGTGCGGTTTCTGAAGCGGCGTGCCGTACAGGACAGGCACCGGCACCAGTAGTGCAGGCCAACTACCCATGCCAGGATCTCATGCAGCCTCGACTCCGATGATGGGTTGAAGAGAGTCGCATAGGAGCATTCTATCTCATCTATCAGGTCCGCGGAGAAACCCATGAGGGAGAGCACATGATCGGCACCTCCCTGTAGCGCGCAAGGCAGAGCGAATATCTCAAGGTAATATGATTCAGCTCGTCTGGATAGGAGCATGTGGCGTGAAATGTTTTGTGTCCATGCGATCTCGACACGGCTGTATGTTGAGAGGTTGGTGGCATTGAGCCTCTTGGGATCAATGGTAAGAGATTCCAATAGGTTCTCGTAAGAATGCAGCGGGAATGAATCTGACATCTCAGCACCCGTGATAATTTGGACCGACGCAACATCATCATCGCCATCATTGCCAGAAGCCATAGTTCCCTCCCGAGGATTTGGAAGGAGTCCACTCGTCGATATGAGCGTGCCAACAGACTGCTCAAAGGCTTTGGATTCGGAGTAGGCCTGGTCTGTACTCACACAGTACGCATGGACGATGCGGCGGTGATCTTGACTTGCTGGGACAAAATATGACTGTGAAAGCAGCCAAGTCCCTAAGATCAGCAGAACAGAGTCTCTCACAGCTGATTCTCGTGAAGACGAATCAGCGCTAGTGTCTTTGAAATAGTAATGATCTCGACTTTTGACCAGGCTTTTTATGTAGCCTCGGATGCTTGAATCTGTTGGGGCCGTCTGTCCCGTCGGAACACCTGGAATAGTTCTATCATTAGGGACTTCTGGATGTGGTTCCATCCAATCAATGGTTGAGCAACGGGAGGAAAACCCCACTTTGCGATTCACTGGCTGAAGTACGAAAGTGTGAGATGGTACTCGTACCTCGGAAGTGACGCACGACTTCGACGAAGAAGCACAGAAACTCCTGCAGTTCACCTCGGCCCGTCCACGATGTCATAATATGCTCGATATAAGGCTTTGTTATCTGCTTTTGACCCCCATCACCTGCGTGGAATCCTAGTGCCTGCCGTAGATCTGATTGTACAACTTCCATCTCGTGTGTTCGTGTCCGGCCTAGTCATCAATTCGCTGCCATATGGTGAGGGAGCAGAGCTCTATGGCTTGATCGCATCACAGACTCCATCTCATGAAGATGGAGGCCAGAGAGGCTTTTTGTTGGCCCAGTTGCATTGCCACCCATCAGGATCTGCGGCTGACATGCATGCATTAGTCGAGCTGAGGTGTGCCATGGATCGTTGCGCAGGATCAGGTATAATAACTACCGGGTCAGCCCCGCCCCAAACAACCCATAAACTGCATTTTGCACACTCAGATGATTTCACACAGTGAAGAACCACTCTGTCAGGTTTATCGGACATTCTTTCCGTCGTGGTTCTCTCGTTGTTTGCCGTCACCTACGAGCTGTCCGTACGCTCTGTTCAACTCAACAATGCTTAGAACGAGAGGTCAGACCGCAGAAAGCTGAATCACCATATGGAGCCTGCTGGTCTTGCGTTAGGGCTGTGGGAGAGGTCTGTTGGTAGGTTAGAGGCCACCAGGACCAAGAATGTTTCCAGCGACTCGGTAGACGAGGCCGTGAATGACACCGATCCGCGTAGATGGGGCCGTCTGCGTCCTGTAAACAAATTTAAGTGGCCCGGGATAGTCTTCACAGATCGTAATGTAGACTTCCCAAAGTCTAAGCCTCATGGGTATATTGTTGGCTGTGATTCTGAATGCGGTGCGTACAACCCCATCCTGTATTGAAGTAACCCAAGCACAAATTTCTGACATATGCCTCGCATAGACTTGGTCGTCGATCATCCGCATGTATCAAATCGTCACTGCTTGATCTACCGAGCAGTACACAATGATCAAATCTGTGTTTTCTTGAGAGACCTATCCTCGAATGGCACATTAGTCAACCAGACACTGCTCCGATGTAATCAATGGGCAGAGCTCAAAGACGGGGACGAGATTACATTCGTCCAACCACAACAATGGGATGGGTCACGGAAGACGGAAACACTGCAGCATCAGCAGACGAAGAAGAAAGCGCAGCAAGATTCGATGATGCATCAATGGCAGAGGATGCAGTATGGCAGCGTGGGAAGCGACAAGGGGCGTGGGGAATCCATGCTTGAGCTCGCACAACACCTTGATGATCGAGGCAACTTTCGAGCTGGAGGCCATGGTGGCCATCGCCAGAATGGCCGCAGCAGCTTCAAGCCGTCAAAGAATTTCAACTATGATTCGAGTCAGAAAGACAACCTCGAGCGCAGTCAAAGACTATTCGGTACGAAGCATGAAGCAACGACTACAGAGGAGACGTTGGAAAGTCCTCGATTCATCTTCCTCCAAGCGGGCCCAAGACACCGCACGTTCTCACAACAGTACACTCTCCTAGATTTCCTTGGGAAGGGACATCTCGGAAGGGTATTCTCATGCAGGGAAAACGCCACGGGAGAACTCTTTGCTGTGAAAAAGCATGAATTCTCAGACACTCCATCTAGCCAAGGCATAAAAGAGACTATGGCGGCAGAACTGAATTTGATGGGTCTATGCCACAAGAACATCATGTTCATGAAGGAGGCCTTTTCAGACGACAATTCCAGCTCCCACGTCACACAGCTGGCAAAGGGTGGTGAGTTGTTCAATCTAATAGTGAGGAAGTCGAAACTTTCTGAAGGCGAGACTCGACACATATTTCAGCAACTATTTGCTGCTGTCAAGTACCTGGTCAGTACGATCCAAACCTTTTATTTGCAGTTTTCTAACACTTTGGTCAATTTCTTAGCACGACCGCGACGTCGTACATCGCGATTTGAAGCCAGAAAACATATTGCTCCTCGATGAAGAGCATACTATCGTCCTGTGCTCTTTTGATTTGTCCACTGTGATTGCAGCCGGAGATTTCGACACGACGCTTTGTGGCACTCCGAGCTACGTTGCTCCTGAGGTTCTGGCAGGCATTGAACACCGCAAGTATGGCAGAGAAGTGGATATCTGGTCTCTCGGTGTTGTCCTCTACATATGTCTCTGTGGATTCCCACCGTTCTCGGAAGAGCTCCACTCCAAAGAGTTTCCCTATACATTGAGTCAACAGATCAAATCAGGAAGATTTGATTATCCGTCACCGTATTGGGACAGTGTTGGTGATCCTGCATGTAAGGGACACAAAAGACTCCAGAGGATGGTCCTTCGCCGTGCTAACTTGTGCAGTGGATTTGATTGACAGCATGCTGGTTGTAGACCCGGAGAGGAGATTCACCATTGAGCAGTGTCTTTCTCACCCCTGGCTTACACTACTGGATCCTGGAGAACAGTCGTTTGAAGAACAAGCCTCAGCTCATGAACCAATAAGTCTCACTTCTGTCAAGGATACACCTTCACTGTCGTATGGAGAATCATTTGAAGGGTCTGAGAGTCCAAAAATAGGACCCTCGGTGCCTGAGACCGAAGAAAAGAAGAAACTACACATGCAGTCAGTCAATGTTACCTCTGCTCAAGACTCCAAGAGCCACAGGGTACTAACGATCGAATTGAAGCAGTCCAATCAACGATGTCCATGATATTGGCAGCAATTTGAATGCTATGACCCTGGATGAGGAGATTTTCGACACAATTTTTCAAAACTCCACGCTTTCCACGGCCTCGCTTGCCAATTCTACGCTTTCCAAGGCCAAGTATAAAGCTAGGGCAGCGGTTCAACTCGACAGAACCCAGGACCTCTACGGTGCGCACACAGCCTATCTAGAGACATGCAAGTTGTTACATTCGGTCGAACTTCTTACACCGGGAGGCAACAAGGACGTAGCAAACATTGTGAGATTATGATTATTGCCATTCATATCGGGCCCAAGTGACTAACACGGACTCATAACTTGTAGAGAAGGGGATATATGAGTCGCATGAGCGAGCTAGATGGTCTGCTCCCACCGGCGGAGCAGGACAACAATGGCCTCCCTCAGCGACAGAAGCCCGTCACAGAGGCACTCCAAGAGAGCCAAGATTCGTCCGCCGCACAACCGGCTCATGTGGACGAGCATCTCAGAGGAAAGTCGCCAATGACAGCCCACACGGATCGGATGATGTCTTTGGAGTACGACTCATTCACTGAGCTGGTGAGCAGTGCCGTCAAAAATATGATACCGCCCGAGGTACTCTCCACTCAAATCCCTGAGGACCTACATATCGATATGGAGTTTCATGACAAGGGCCACAACTTGAGTACGTGGACATGTACGCCATCGGCTCAAGTCACCCCGGATCAAGTTCCCCTTCGTGTAGACGGCCATCCCGTGGTGTTGCCCGTCGAGTATGTGTACCCCCTCACCGGGATGTTCTCTCCGCCTCCTGATCCGCATCCACGCTTCATTTCACCCTCGGCTACCCTGTCAGATGAGGATATCCATCAAATCATCTCTACTTTTCCAGCTTGCGTTGGATTCTACCTCCTGGTCAATGGGTTTCTCCAGATCATAATGCCGGATGGTTTCGATTATGAGGAAGGGGTACCCAGCTTGCCGAGTGAATTTGGAGGACTGAAGGTGTCCCTTATCCCAGAAGCAGTCTTCCCAACAGCTGGAGAGGCTTCCAAATCCATCCCAACCGCCACAACAACATCGAAAAGGACTGCCCTTGAGCGTATATTTGGCCCAAGTTCCTCGCAGCACAGCACAGTGGCTGGTCCCGTGAGGACAACCGGTTCCTCAAGTAATCAACCGGCCAATGTAATCGGGGTCTCGGTGGGCTGTACCATACGAGCCATCGTGCCCGGCAGTAAATCAAAACAAAGATTCGAGGGCAAGACCGGCGTTGCAATCAGCCCGCGCAATGACCTCTCGAAGAAGTATATCACCATCCCCACTCATCTCTTGACAGATTCAGTGATTGCGTCGAAGACGACGAGCTTAGAATCGAACACCTGGAGGGAAAATGTCAAGGTGTGCATTGCTAGCAACTCGGCAGAGGTAAGTCATGTGTTAGTCCCCAAAACGATCCATATCATATGGTCGATGGCAGGCGGAATGCTAGTGTCAAGCCAACTAACTCGTGTCTTCAGTTAGGAAAAGTGACAGCCGTGTTTGATGACGAGCCCAAGTCCTTCCCAGTCGGATTCTCCCACGACGTCAGCCTTGTTGACATCAGCGGTGTTTCTGATACTCCACGGGCGACCCCATATGCGACAGATCTCACGTGGCTCAGCCAGCAGGAATGGATGGACATTAAGTACAACTCGAGCAATCTTGTGCTATTAGACGACCGTTCCCGAGAAACAAAGAGCATCGGAATCGTGGACAGTCGTTGCCAGGTTCGTGATGAGGTCCTTCCTTTCCCACCGCGTTCTTTGGGGCACACGCCGAGTGGGATGCCAGTGCCATTCTCAGCTCATTGACCAAGCGGTTATTTTTAAATGGGCTCGCAAGTTGACATCAAATACGTCTCAGATGGTGGGCCAGGGCATTTTCCGCATCCAGCAGCAGTCCCGCAGACGCTCCTCGTTCTTGGGCTCGCTCTCAGCCGGCTCGAGTTCATCTCGCCCACAAGATCCCCGCGATGACCCCAGCACTTGGACCAGCCTCGTGGCGAGGTCTATCCTCTACCGAGTGCATCCCGACTACCCAGTGAGAGGTGGTCAGAGTGGGGTCCCGGTGTGCGTCGTGGGCGGGAGTACGGACGGGACAGCGTCCCGAAGCACCAAAGTTGCAGGATTTGCCTCTTTCGTGCAGATGGTGTCGGATGTCCAGAAATACGACCTCGAGGGTGACAAGCTGTACAAGCGGCTTCAGGAAGGACGAGTGGCGTTCTATGGGGCGTTCCAGGTCCCTCAGGAGTTGCGCGAGGGATATCAGATACTCTGAATCTGGAGCCTCAGCAGATGCCATTAGTGGCGACTAGATCGAATGCGTCGCGCAAACACAGGACTAATGACTGAAAAAGGGCTCTAGGAAGAGGAAGGGCAGGAATATCAAGACAAGTTCCAGCTCACTGCAAGATATCTGCATCGATGGCCTGCCGAAACCTTTCTGACATGCCTCTTCATACTGTTTCAAAACCAGGCGAACAGTGAACAGGCTAATGTTACCCACAATAACCGCGAGCGACCCGGCGCCAGCACGAGAATCTTCCTCAGCGCAACCGTCGTGTTGAGCGACCCGTCTCAAGGTAGGCCTGCAGTGGAATTACCCAACAGCAGAAGGACCCCAAACCTAGTCCCTCTTTGCACGAAAAGGAAGCGTCAGCGTGCCGAGCAGCTGCTCTGAGTCGAATAGCGGTGTATGATGCTGAAATCCCCCCTGGTAGAAGTCTCCAAGCCGTCGTTCATGACCTCTCCGCATGGCAAGGCAGTTTCATGTGGCCCTCTGGCAGTAGACCCCCCCGGATTAGCGGCTGGGAATTCAGGACAAGCAGCAACTCCATGGCTGGCCGTCCTAAGCACACAGGGAGCCAAGTGTCACCAGACGAGCACAAGCACGAGGCCCAATGCAACCGCAAGACCAGATTCTTGACGTTCAAATGCTTTCATTTCTTTTGATGCTAATCCGCATCCACCAGACAGCCATCTGGACCAATCGAATCGACGCCGTTGACTGCCATCACTGGACCAATCCCTACTTTCATCATCTACCATGAAGGTATGGTATCGGGGTGTGTGTCCAGTATCGTGGTTTTTATCCCGCAGACCATAAAGCAAGACCGTTCCCATGCATTCACCAAGAAACCGAGACCATTTACACCTCCGTCGTGACCTTCGCCTTGGGGTTGGTGACCTTGACGCTCAGCTGCTTGGCGCGGGCGATGATCTCGACGCGCTTTCGGGAGGAAACGTTGTGGGCGATCCTATCACACAGGTCAGTCATCGTCCTCCGTCACATACTCTCTTCCAGAAATTTTTCCAGAACCGTCACGGATCGGGCTATCGGACGTACTCAGCGGCGTAGGTCTTGTTGTGCATCAGGAGGAGCTCGACGTCCTTGACGTTGTTGACGATGAAAGCCTTGTGGCCAGAGGGCATCATGTGGCGGGTCTTCTTGTTGGAACCGAAGCCGATCTATAACCGAGGAAAGAATCAGGAGATCAGTCGTTCGTCCTCACATGCTCCCCAAATGAATCCTTGCCCTGTTCACCAGGTCCCAAGCGGGTGGGTCGGTTGGTTGTCGGGAAAACGTACCGTGGGCATCTGGGTGTTACCCCTGAACCGTCTACGGACACGGTTGTCGATACCCTTGGGCTTGCGCCATGATCGGTCGACACACTTGAAGCGGTCGCTCTGGTGACGGTTGAAGAGCTTCGTGCCTGCAAACAAGAAATTGCGTCAACATCCTGACCCCACTATCCCGGTATGTACAAGTTGTATGGAGATGACGGAGGTGAAAGCAGGGAGATGTCGGCTGGACGGCGGTGCAGATTCAATCGTTGTTGTCGCTTTCGTTCAGAGGTCGTGGCAGTGTGCATGGTAAATCGAAGATTCGGTGGGACGTACGCTTCTTCACGATAGGGACGTGCTTCTTTGCGGCAACCATCTTGATCAAGGTCAGTATCGCAATACGGAATTGTTGGTCAAGGGAGGCGCGCACCTTGACAGAGTTTGGCGTGAGTTCTCCGACGGTTGCTGGGTGGGTGATGGGTGGGTTGAATTGGAAAAGACGTCGTCGATTAGGTCCTCCCAAAATTTCACACCTGCGCCAGACGCTGCAGGGCTGCCCGCCTGCGCAAACCCCAGCCGATGTGCGGGCATTAGGCCGGATAATCTTGTTCTCCGCAGTTCCGAGGAGAGAAGTGGAGCCAGGTACATGGGTAGCGACCTAGAGGTAATCAACCCTAACCCTGGATAATGCTGATCCTGTCTCATCTTGTCTGGCATATGGTTTCCGTACATTGATCGCCAGATCACCCACTGCAATCGTATCCAATGTACTGCGTAGTGCCTCATCAGGCGCTCGTATTCAGCTGGATATCCTCCGGTGTGCCGCTTCCCTTTATGAATTTCACAATGGATTGACCCCCAAACAATTTTTAGATCAGCTTCCACTGGCATCCGTGATGGATGTCCGGTTGTGGACCAACGGACCATGAAACAACACCAATAGAGAAATGTCTACTGTCTATGGTGGAAACGCACCTATTCAGCACCTTTCAGGAGGGATGGACTTTGCAATTGGAGGCCTGAATGCTGGTCCCTCACCTTGCCCGCTCGGCCAAAAAACCATGATATCCAATCCGTGCCGTCACTGAGTGAATACTGAAAGTGCCTGTCTTTATCAAGTGTCTGAGCATTTGGAAATCCTGTGGGATTTGTCAACGGCCGGAAGAACGACTCGAACAGCTCGAAAGATACTCAAGCACTGCTTCATCTCTCATGAGACAACCTCGACCCGGGCCTAGAATCGCTTTCGTAAGTGCTGGGACTGCCAGCTGCTCTTCATCTGGTCTATCGGGCTGAATGCTACGTCGCGCTACTTGCGATGATTTTGCATCCAAGAACTGCACAGAAAAAAAGTAAATCAAGTTTGCCCCCTCCAGTGCCAAGTATCTGCCGACCAGACTGCACCAGGTCTTACCCAGTCGTGTGTGTAGACATGAAAACTCCACGCTTCCCAGAGAATGTTTACTGAGTGGCACATTGGGTGGTTCCCTCCTCCTCGTCCACGTCTTCCCAGTCGCCACCGAATCGTGCGTCTCCTGAGTGGGCACCCATCTGTTGTAAAAAGTCAAGTCAGTCTCAAATCCATGGATAAGCTGAGGGGAGCGTCAACTGGGGCACTTCTCACCTCCTCGATATCCGCATCCTCCTCGTAGTCGACCTCATCAACCTCATCCGCGACGATCGGCGGCTCGGGAGGGGGTAGCAGCTTCTGCAGAGCCTCGTAGGATTTGTCGTCGCTCATCCACCCGTTCTCAGGGAACTCGATCTTGGCGATCAGGTAGAGATCGCCCTTTGCCTCGCCCCTCTCGAGAGGCATACCCTCACCGGCAACCTTGATCACCTCGTTGGGACGCAGGATCTTGCCACGGGGGAAGTCGATGTGAATGCCGCGCCCGTCAAGATGCTTGAGGACCACTCTTGAGAACCCAGAGAGGGCCTCGGCGAGGGTGACGTTCAAGTCGGCAGACAGATCCTGGCCGATCCTGGTGAAGACGTCGTGCGGCTCCTCAACAAGTGTGAAGATGATGTCTCCCGGTGTCTGGTCAGGATGCTGGTCGGCCTCGCCCTCGAGTCTGATCTGCTTGCCCTGCATGGAGCCTCGGGGAATGTAGATCTCCAGAGGCTTGATCTCGTCAATGATGCGCTTGCCCTTGCACCTCTTGCAGCGGTCCTTCTCCTTGTAGTAGTTTCCTGAGCCCTGGCAGTGGTCGCACTGCACTTGGGCCCTACGGACCATGCCCGGACCGATCTGCTGGAACGCCTCCTGGAAGCCGTTGCCTTTGCAGCGGTCGCAGGTCTGCGGCTTGACCTTCTCCTTGCCGCCCGTGCCCTTGCACTGGCTGCAGTTGACCTTCTTGTTCGCGGAGAACTTGACGGTCTTGCCCTTGTACAGCTCCTCCAGTGTCACCTTGTACTGTTGCTCCTCGTCGCGGCCGCGCCTTGGCCGTCGCGGCCCACCTGCTCCGCCGCCGACGCCCATGCCGAACATTTGCGCCAGGATGTCGTTCAGGTCGACTTCGGCACCGCCGGGACCGCCGCCGCGGGACGGGTCGAAGGCGGCCATGCCATACTGGTCGTACATCTCTCGTTTCTCATCGTCGCGGAGGATCTCGTACGCTTGGGTTGCTTGCTTGAACTTGGCCTCGGCTTCCTCGCGGCGATCCTCAGAGACCTTGTCTGGGTGGTGTTGCAGGGCAGCCTGTGATGAGACAAGGTCAGCAAAGCGCGGGTGGCGCTAGGGATCGTGTAGAAACGGAGTGCGCACCTTTCTGTATGCCTTCTTGATCTGGTCTGGAGTTGCCGTCCTCTCGACTCCGAGCAGCTCTTGAGTCTGGTCAGTCTGGGTCCTCTGTTGTGAATGCGGCCCGGGTGGGATTTCTTGTGATCCAACGAGACGACTCACCATAAAGATCAAGATCCCCCTGTCCCTCAGGACCGTTACCGGGTCCGCTACTGTCCATATTTGGTCTTCTTCAAGATGTTTGCTGGATTTGCAGAGCAGATGAAAATTCGGGGCTGAACAAGGAGTTTTGGCGGGGCAAGCCCAGTGAAGTAGTTATAGGTGGGTGGGAATTGACTGAAATCTGCGAGGGCAGTTGCTCAGGCAGCAAAGGCGAGATAGTTCACGCGCTCAGGAAACGGGAGAAAGAGGAATGGCTTTATTGTATACGCTGGTTCGAGACACCGCAAAATCCGATGATGCAGGAGGATGGAAAAGTCGTAACCTGCTCAGCCGGCCGCAGACCAAAGCGCATCCCAAGCCCGCGCAAGATTACCCCACGCTCCAACTGCTCTCCAACTCGAGCCAGTGCAGATATTTCACTATGATCTGGGCACTCGCTTACCTGGTCAAATCGAGGGTACGTACCAGTCGGGCAAATGACGCTCACTGTTCCTGGTTTGCCGGCAGCAGGCACCTGGTTCGCTAGGCGAAGGTGTGTTGTCGTTTCAGGCGCGGCAGTCTTGATGATGGAGGGGTCCAACTGCCTAGTAGGTGCGGTAGATGTCCCTACGGAGTGTAGGGAGCCTAATCACATGCTACTTGTCACTTGCCAAGGTACCTAACTCGAGCTGTAGCCCCCCAGCTCGTAGGGCTGTCCAATACAACAAACTTGAAGCCTGTCGCCATTGTCACTTGTCGCGCTGCTTACGCGCCTGTTTGATCAAACTCTGCATTTTGCTAACTAACCACGCTAAAATCACGATGCTTGTCCTGTTCAGTCTTGAGCCAGAGATCAGCTAAGTCGAGCTTATGATGCCGAAGAACGTCGTCATTGGAAGTAGAACAAGTGACTGGAGTCGCTGATGGGCAACACGCGCTGTACAGTCAAGGCCGCGAGCCGCCACTGGAAGCAGTGAACCTGCCCGTGGGTCGCTAACGGCGTAGCCACAGAAACAGGCACACGCAGTAGTTCGGTCGAACCAGGCCAACACCCTCACGACGGGAGCGTCAGGTAAGTCACGGCATGCTCAATCAATCCCAAGATGAGGCTCCTTCTTCGTGTCCCAGGCAAGCCATGAGAGTACAATGAAAGATAGTTCGCGTCGCTCGGAGGCAGTGTGATACCGAGGACACTGTGGAGGTCGGCCATGAGCAAGCTCAGAGGACCGTCCCCCTAAAGACAAAAATTAGAATAATCACGATTGTACTCCGTAGAGTACTTTCAGAGATTAAACTGAAAAGAACAGATACTACACTTGATCTAAGCCCTGTTGTTCCAATGTGGTTAGCACATGAGACCACTGATAAGCCGATGTTGGGGGGCAACGTACAAAAGGCAAAGAGAGCTAAAGAGAAAAAGAGAAAGGAATCCTGAAATCGAGGAAGGGTGGCGAGGGTTTAAATATTCCAGCGCCCTGGATTCTGCCGCTGTGCAGACGGATTTTCACCGCCCGGCCCCAATAGAGCTAGCGTGTCTGGCACTCACCGGCACGCGTGACAGGGGTCAGGGCCCAGTGCTGAAGCTTGCCCAGCAGCTGGACGTACGGGAACTATCTTGTCAGTCCCAATTCCAAGGTTTGCACATCATTAAGTATGATACTGTAAAGGAACACGGCCTGCAATCTCATTTGTTTCTCGACATGATGTTTTTCTTGTGTATCATGTTCTAGTTTTACTCACTCCCTTCATATATGCAAAAAGCTCGGGCATTCTGATATCACATTGAGCCTGAAGGTTTTCACATCACCTCTTCGACTGCACACGCTTCATGACCTGACTTCGTGCGCAATGAGCAACTTGCTGCTCCTGAGGAGGAGGTTGCACATAGCATCTCTGTCCTCCCGATGTACTCAAATACGACGCTACGCACTGATTGGGAAACCGAATAAAACCCAGAAACCAATATGGAGTCTGCCCGAGTCTCCAGCACGTACGAGGTTTGCGCCGTCACCAACAGGCTACCTTCACCTGGGTTCCTTGCGCACGGCACTTTTTAACTACTTGCTGGCACAAGCCACCGGCGGCCAGTTCATTCTGCGACTGGAGGACACGGATCAGAAAAGATTTGTTGAGGATGCGGAGTCACGCCTGTACCGAGACTTGCGATGGGCCGGTTTGAACTGGGACGAAGGTCCCGATAAGGGGGGCCCCTTCGGCTCGTACAAGCAATCTGAGCGGCTGGACCTGTATAGGCAGCATGTCGACATGCTCTTGGAGCAGGACAAAGCCTTCCGATGTTTCTGTTCCAAGGAAGATCTCTATTTTCACCTACAGCAGGCAACCGACAGTGGCGCCCCTGCTCATTACCCTGGCACATGCATGGGAATCTCGAAATCCGAGTCGGATAGGCGTGCTGCAAATGGGGAGGAGCATGTGGTCCGGTTTAAGACGTCCGATGTGCCCGTGTCTGCCCCAGACCTGGTCTATGGCACCTACAAAAAGGCCGAGCGCGAGGACAATTTCATCATCATGAAAACCGACGGCTTCCCGACTTACCATTTCGCAAACGTGGTGGACGACCATTTCATGAAGATCACACACGTCATACGGGGCGCCGAGTGGCTTATATCGACACCCAAACACATCGAGCTTTACAACGCATTCGGTTGGCAACCCCCCAGTTTTGCCCATGTCGGCCTGCTGGTGGACCATCAGCGGCAGAAGCTGAGCAAGAGGGACATCGACAACATTGGGATATCAGTCTTCCGTGATACAAATATCCTGCCAGAAGCGCTTCTCAATTTCTCGGTCTTGCTGGGTTGGGATCCAAACCTGCAAAACCGGCCGCACCTGGACAAGAGGGGGCGGATGACGCTAGAAGAGATGAAGGCAAATGTAAGTCAGGTGTTTCAATCAATTTGTGCAGGCTCGTGGCTGACAGAGGCAGTTTTCTCTAAAATTCACACGAGGGGACATCGTGGTCGACCTGGCCAAACTCAAGTTCTTCCAGACCCGATTCACACGCGATTTGATATCAGGTGCAGCAGTTGATCCTACTGCTCTCAGACAACGCATCCTCACGCCGATCAGCTCTGAGCTGGCCCGGCTCGACCGGCAACTGTTCAAACAGCCAGTATCAGGGCTCGTAGCGGAAATTGTTGGTGATGAACCTAAAAAGCGCATCAGTCCTGAGCGCGAATGGAAACGACTTGAGGAGGAATACATCCACGAGGTGCTGAAGGCCTCGAAAGCCCCACTAGACAACCATCGCCAGTTCATAAGGGACAACCTGTACGCTTTCTTTCCGCCGTCGACGCTGGCTTACAAAAACAGCTTCAATGAGTTTCAAAGCAGTATGAATCGGATAAAATTGGAGCAGAAAGAGAAACGAATCTTGAATGTGGACATCTCCAAGGTGCTTCTCTACTTTAGGAACTCACTCGGCGAGCTTACGGAAGAAAACTGGACCCTGGAGAATGTCGGGGACAAGGCAAAGGAGCTTGCTGATTCTGTCACATATTACAGCACCGAGAAAGATCAGCTGATGGATCACGGAGCAGGGTGGAAGTTCTTGCGGTGGGCCCTTTTCGTCGGATCGCCAGGGCTGTCGGTCGTGCCTATGATGGTGCTCCTAGGCCAGAAGGAAACGCTCAAACGCCTCCGGATCGCGCGCCAGTGCGCCGCGGTCAAAGAAGAACAGCTTGGGCTCGAGGCCAAAAGAGCGAAGCGGCAAGCTGAGTTGGGCCACTATGCTGGGATCAACAGACGCTCTACGGGCGATGGTCAAAGGTCACCGTTCGACCAGGTGAGCGAGCCTCGAAACGTGAAAGTGCGGAAGCACAACAACGATCCTACAAGGACTCAGAACGAAGCTAAGGCATTCTTGAGGCCGACTCATCCTGAATTACACCTACCAGAGAAAGGGCCGTTTTGGTCCCAACCAAGGCCACAACCTGTCCCCGACCGAGAACCAGAAGCAGAACGACCCGCCCTTCCACCACAGCACATAAGCCCCGAAGAATTCAAAACTGGCCAGCGTCACATCTTAAGCATGGGCCAGACTGATCTTGCCCTCGACCGCTCTCCATGGAGCAGGCGGGTCAACAAAAGAGTGAAGAAAACGCCGGCCCCCAAGCCTGAGCCAGCGGCTGAGATCCATCCATTCGAGCCCGGAGGCTCCTTCTTCGCGCCCGCGGCGCAGACCGGTGCCGGCTCTGCACAGTCAGAAAACCTGGACACAGAGAGACGTGCACATAAACCGCAAGACATCAACAGCAATGGATCGAAACCCCCACCCCCGGACACGACTGGCTTTTTCATGCGTGGGATGTCTCAACAGGAGCGGCGGTCCCACCTTGACCTCTTGGTGGCTGGTGAAGCAGAAGATGAGTTAAGGCAGGCCCGGGCCGCAGCCCAAATGCGCCCACCAGAGACATCGACGATCGGGAACTCGATGGAACAAGGCCGTGTTGTTCCTACTGACGTCCCTGATGGTATCGGGCCCTTTTTCGCTGGCAAGCCTGTGAACCATCCCTTGAGGACCCAGGCGGAGCGAGGACGTCCCATGGATGATGAAGGCGAACGCCAGCCCCAGGATGTCAAAGCAAGGAAACGTCGCCCTGGGGGCCCTTTTTACGTTGGCGAGCCTGTGCGTGACCATCCCAAGATTACCCGGGCTCAAACAGAGCGGAAAGAGAAGGAAGCTGGTGGCTGAGCGCAGCATTTCAGTACAGGTCGAAAGCTTGGGATTCGAACAGTTGAGGACGGCGTTGTGGTCTTGATAGGTACCATGGCATTACTACCACTTCTTCAGAGTAGCCCGGTGTATCATCATTATTGTACATATCCGCATCTAGAAAAATGCACAATCGCCTCGAAGCCAACGAATCAATTTTCCATCTGAACGCCATCTGTGCATGCATTTCCCTTGCCAAGCTCTCCCACAAGCTTGAGCCATCATCATCTCATCAAAGCCTCGTGCGTCGAAAGCGTGTAATAATAGGTGCTCGAGCCCCTTGCTGCGCGCCCTCCTCGCCCAGTCAATAATCACCTAGCATGACTCACGCCTTATCGCCCAAATCGTTGAAGAGCTTCGCCTTCACACTCAAGGCCATGAGGCCAGTCTTCTCCTTCGCAGCGATCTGCTTCGCGTCCCGGGCGAGCTTCTCCACGTTCTGGTCCACTCCGCCATCCCTCTCAGAGCCCATTAGGCCGATGGACGAGCCCATCTGCGCGCCAGTCCTACTCTTGCGCGACAGGGTGGAGTTGAGCTGTCCGACCTTGGAGCCCAGGTCCTGCATTAGCTTGCTCCCGAAGTCGCGGTTCGTGATGAGGGGGTTCGCGGACAGCGTCTGGACCCAGTACTTGTTCCACAGGAGGTCCAGCAGGTGCGCCTCCAGCGTGCTCTTGAACGTCTCCACCTCCAGGCTGTAGTACCTGCTCGCGTGCGCGCCAAAGTCCTCCGCCTTGGCCAGCGGCACAGCCTGGAAGGACTCCGAGTCCGTGGCGCCCGACGGCTTGTAGTCCTCCGGGTACGTCCTGAAGGCGCCGATCTCGACCTTGCCGGCGGCGATGGTGCGGTGGGGGTCGATGACCACGGCGACGAAGGGGTCGTTGTACTTTTGCCACTGCGCCTGGGTGCCCACGTCGATGCCAGACAGCCAGCAGCCGTAGCCCGGGTGGCTGTGGTACCAACCGACCAAGTTCTCCTGCCTCGACCCTTGCTCTCTGCACAGCCGTGGGAACTCAACCATGTACTCGTTGGCCTCGTCCTGCGCGTTGACGCGGGTCTCTGTGCCCTCGACGGGCAGGCGGAAGGCGTCGGTGATGACCAGCGCGCCGTTCTCCACGAAGCCCTGCATCAGGCCCATGATCTCCAGATTCCCGCCCGACCGCGCGTGCATGACCATCTTGATGAGGGCGACGGCGCTGATGCGCACCTTCTTGAAGTGGTTGGGGTCGGTCCTCCATAGCTTCTTCTCCTGCAGGGCCTTCTGGCTGTCGGCGTCGAAGTTGTAGAGGGAGTCGCGGGTGGGGTCGATGAGCTTCATGTCGTTCTGGAGCTCCCAGTCCCTGAGGGTATTTGTTGCCTCCATCTTGGGAAGCCGTGTCCTGGAGGGGCGCCGCTGTGGACCGGGTCTGGGTTGTGACGGCAGAGGATCAAGACGCGGAGGTCTGGTTGCGGAGAGAGTACAAGGGTTGATCGGATCCTGGCCTACTAGCAACCCGAGAACGTTGAGGTTGAATGTGGTGATGTACTGTCTCTCTCACACACGGGCGTGAACATCAGGCAGGCAGGTAACCTTGGCGTCCCAGCAGCTAGGTGACGGGAGCTCTCAAGGTTCAGCGGGGTCGGCGATAAGATAAGCCTTACAGCTTGATCAGTTCGGCTCGAACCCTTGTAAATTTTGGAACCACTTTGAGCTGCACGGTGGGTTGGGACCCACCAGTAATACTACCCCATACCTAGGTACCCTGTACCCCAGGTACCTAGGTACCGAGGTAGTCAAAGAACTCAGCCTCCTCGGCACATGAGGGCCTCTACTGCGTACTTCATCAACCCATCACCGACTCCAATCCCGACACCGACATCCCGCTCTTGTCTAACCTCCTCCTCGCTGCCATGTTTCAGGTCAGATTCCGGCCGAATTGCCCTCTTTCTGGATTTCTATGTTTAGGATGATGAGCCATCTGCCGTTGCCACGACCAAGACGAACTGATTTACACCGTTCATCGGATTGGCCCTGGATTTGTCTCGAACTGCCTGAGGAAGTTCAGACAACATGGATTGTGCAACAGAATCTGGCAACTGCCATAAGCCTCGAACTCGTCAGCCGCCGTTCGTCGTCGCCTTGCGTTGCTGGGAGCCCAGAGTTCTCACGCGAGCACACACCAATCAAACCGTGATTCAACACCGCGGGCCAGCGCGCGGAACTCCCGTCTAGAATTTCCTTGCGATCGATAGTCCTATGCGACTATGATCTGCGAGCAAAATTCTCCTGCTGCAAGGTTGACAGGAGAACTGCCTCAAGAGACGAAGTTCGGAGGTTTTCCAAGGTCCCCACCCTCGTCTTAGCGTTTAGCGAAACACTGGTTCACCACGGCAGCTGGGCCGCCAAGCGAACATGGACGGACGCTCGCTCGCATCGAACTGTCATTCATCTATGCCAAACACTCCCCGCCCACGGTGTTCGAACTGCCTGCCATGTGAGATCCTGTCTGCACAGTACTCGGATCATCACGCCCATCCTCAAGGTTTGTACGACCGTTCCTTGGTCAAACACTAGGCCTGTGATCCAGGACCCATTGGACATGACTCCATCATCAATGGCATTTCCGACTTTCAAGCAGACTATCATCTGACAGCCGCCCACGAGGAGGAAAACGGTTTAGCATAGCGCTCCCGGGATTTGAGCTCAAAGCTTAATTGAAATTCCTGAACACGCCAGGCTCTTTGCGGGTAATGGAAACACACGCTTACACGCGGTCTGCTACACGCGATGACCCACAACCACCTTTCGTCTCGTCTCATGGCATGCAGTCCAAGAAGCTCCAAGAAGTGGATCAGCCAACCAAGATCCCACTGCTGCTCACGGCCGTCGGCAGTTTCGAAGGGCTGCCGGCTTATATCATTGCGGCTGCTTTTGAATAGGTGCAACCAATGCCGTGGCACGCATGGAGCTCTACGCGGGATCCTGCAGCAGATGCTTGATGTGCCGGAGTCACGACTGCCTCATCTATATATGTGGCAGTGTTGACTCTTTCTAGACCAATAGCGAGCACTCGAGTGACTTTGTTATCCGCGTTCCCTTACAAGTGGCACTCTCCGACGACGAAACCTGAGGTTCCGCGCCCTGAAGTGTTTCTAGCTGCTCAACACCGATTAGGGCTGTCTCATATTGTCTAGAAGCTTTCTTGGGATCATTGGGTTTCCGTCTGGTGTGACCGCTCCTGCCATTCGATCTTGGTTCTCGGCAGCCCGCCCGTCGCACCCCTATCCTAGAGGGCACTATGAATCCTTGAATCACGATTGAGTTCGTCTTGGGGGACTCCGGGCTTGGTTAGGCCTCTATGCAGACGCTGGAACAGAAGCGGGCTTTCCTCTACCTTCCCACAAGCCAGAATTTGGCTGACAGTTTATATATACACGGTCGCCATTCCAAGATGTCCGAAGCTATGCTACAAAGCAATCCCCCCCGGTTTGCACGCCTTGTGTGCAACCTCTGCCGCTGTTATCACGGGACACGTTGGTGTCAGCTATCCCGCACATCTCACGATGGACAATATTCGGCGGCAGTCCGCCGGCTCCCCTGGCCAAGAAGGCCGGCTCGACGTATCGGAACATTCGACCCTTACCACCGCCGTTGTGTTCGTTTGTCTCGCTACCATCTCAGTGGTGATTGCAATTCGCCTCATGGTCAAGAAGATGATGGCACCCCATCGTTTCTCTGCCGACGACTTCCTGATACTAGTCGCAGCAGCCTTCACAGTGGCCTTCTGCATGACATCTCTAGGAGGTAAATAGCCTTGAGACAGTCATCCCTGATCTTATTCTTCCCATAACAGCCAGTTGACACTTTGATCCCACAGCAACCATGCACGGTCTCGGGCAACACACATCGGACTTGATCGATGCAGGGATCGACTTGAGACACATCATCGAGTTTGTATGGGCGGGCCACATCCTGTACAGCTTCGCTATTGCCTTCGCAAAGCTGTCCATCATAAGCTCATACTTCCGCATATTTCCACACAATCGAGTGCAGAGGCTATTGTACGCAATGCTGGCGGTAACATTGGCCCTGCTGGCGGCGTCCGTCATTGCGACTATTTTCATATGTCTTCCCATACAGGCCGCCTGGGATCCCGCACTCAGAGCACAAGCAAAGTGTTACCAGTTCCCTTTCTTCCTTTACGCAAGCACATCTGTCAACATTGCCACGGATGTTATCTTGTGTGCGGCTCCCTTGCCCTACTTCCTCAAGCTTAAGCTTCCCCGGAAGCAGAAAGCTGGGGCCTGCCTCCTTACCATTATTGGTGGATCGTAAGTTCTCGACTTCGTCCCTCTGAAGGAGTGGTCCTCCATCACTTGGCGAATGTGAACCTGTCTTGACTGACGACTCTAGTTCTGTGTTCGCGAGTGTGGTAAAGTTAACATACATACATAATCTCTACAACAGCTCTGATATCACATGTAAGCACACTTTCCCATACACACATGACAACCCACTCATCTCGACCTCTAGTTGACCTCGCCGAACCTCTGATGTGGAGCATTCTGGAATGCAGCGTCAGCATCTTCTGTCTATCAATGCCTTCACTGCGACCACTCTTTGCCAAGATGGCCCCGGTTGTCTTTTCCGCGGGAGACCACAGGCAGCCAAGGCTACAGAGGTCTACCATAACCTCATTCTCCGACGGGACGCCGAGACGCATCCATGGCCCGTCGCCGCCTTTTGCCTCTCGCACACCCTCTGGTGACAGCAGGCATTTCGTCATTAGAACTGAGACCAGCACCATGCCCGACCCTGGGGACATTGGTGGCGGGCTGGTCAGAGTGGAAGAAGTCGTTATCGAGACCAAGGTTTGACACCAGGACATCACCTGGGCCATGCCAGTGGTGCTACTGCTGCGACGATGAGTCTGCCTCATGGCCAGTTGTCCTGCCGCTCGCCGATCGGCCGTGTGCATGAAGCCGGTATCACATCGGTATCCTTCGAATCTCTTCGATCGTCCAGTACTTGCGCATGTTCTCCGCACCCAGCGTTTCCACCTCCTGGTCGAGGTGCTTCCATAGGACTCCGCCCCAGCTGTCCATCTTGGACTTCATGACGGACATCTCCATGTCGAGCTCCCTATTCCGACACTTGGTCAGGTACTCCTGCATGACATCCATGCCCTTGTGGATCTCCTTGTGCTGCTGGAGGAGCTCGGCCGCCTTCTTCCCCTTACCGTTGCTCTGGAACTCAGACATCTTGCGGGCCAGGATGGGGAAGATGTAGGTCTCCTCTATGTTGTGGTGTGCTGTGAGATGAGAGATAAACTCAAGCCCCTGGTCGATGTACTGCTTCAAGCTCATGCCGGCTGGCCTGCGGCCGGATGAGGCTGCGGTGTATAACAGGTTCCATGTCTGACGGAAGTGTTCGTGCTAGGTGTAGAGTTAGAAACGAAACCGAATAGAAGAGAACCGTCAAAGGAAGATAAAAACCCAGCTTACAAAATAGTTCATATGCTCAGCTAGCCTGTTGTATTGCTTGAACTCATGACCTGACAGCGGCGGCAGGGCTGGCTCTGCCTTGGACTCGGCAGAGCCCGATGCCTCAGCCTTGCCGGATTCTGTGTTCTTGGGACATTGAGGCTCGACGGCTTCTAGCGCTTCTTGCGCTGAAGCTTGTGCTGATTGATCCGCCATGCTGCTGAAGGCGCGGCGCAGTGGGATGTGAGAAGACAGAAGAGATAGGCTTGTTCGTCGTATGCAGAATGAGGAGGCCGAAGCAAGACCTTTTCGTTGTAAAGGAGCCCTGTGAAGTCCTAGCCAAGATGGCCGGGGATAGATGCTCCTTCGTGAGGTGCTTGCGAAATATGAAGACGCTCTCTCGGCCGAGAGAATGGGGCGCATGGAAGATCTCGGTCGTCTCTACACAGGCAAATGAAAACCTAGACTTCGAATGAATATCGAGACGCAGAGAATACACTATGATGGCGAGGACCTTATTTTTTTCCCAACCAGAGGGGCCCTCCTCAGGCTCTGTCTGAAGCGATTCGACAACATTGAGTCTAGGCGATTAACAAAGCATTTGAAATCACCCATGGCCCAATTGGACGGTCGGCCCCAGGGCATTGTTTTTAGCGGGTCATCCCCCAAGGTCCCAGATTTCGTTCCCGCGCGGCTTCTCCCACCTTTCCTGGCCTGCCTGGCTCCACTCCCGGCTGGATCGGCCTCGGCCTCGGCAGAGATGCCAGTGCCGGCCCCTGATAAGGAGAGACGTAGCCTCGCCTCAAGTGTATTGGTTTTCAAGACCGGCACGGTCCTGAAGTCGAGGCCGACTAGGGCCTGGAGGCTTCTCTGTTCCGCGCGGCTGAATTGTACGTGGCTCACGAATTAATTCCTTGCCTTTCCGGTTACGATAGGCCTAGTGTTTGACTTTACCGCCATGGCGTTGCAGGTGTTGGGCCCGTTGCTGCCAGCCGCAGCGACTTTGTGGTCTCAGGTGCATAGTAAGTACAGATGCGACCAAGGCAAAGATTCAAGCCTCTCCATTGAGGGACACAATTGAACATGTACCTCCTTATTTATATTGAGGACATTTTCGTTCAAGCAGTTGGCGCAGGTCATAACGGCTGGTGTCTGGTGTCTCGCCTGTGTTGAATTTCCTGTACAGACAGGCGAGGACAGTGATTTGTCCAGGTCAACTTGTCTTTTGGAGCTCAGATAAACCTAGAGAGGCAAGAAACGTGGCTATGTATCGTCTCAACCTTACACATCGAGAAGCCATTGTAATCTGGCTTGTCTGGGTAAACAGACAGGTTCTGAAGAGACCTTTTGAATCTAGACATCAGCCTCGTCTCCCCTGGTCAGCAAGTTAACTGGTGTACATCTGCGGCCGTGAATGGTGCTCTCTTTCCCCTGCGTGTCGCTGTTTGTGCAACATCGACAAGCTAGGGAAACTCTGTGTGAGTGCAGACCAGCCAAGCGGCGGTACCCCGGGATACAAGCATAAAAGATCCAGATCTGGGCACCGAGACGGGAACCACGGCCCCGGTACCGACCCAGGGAACTGGCGCAAACCAAACAAGTGAGATCCCACACTGTGTCCGGTGCCGACCGTATGGGTATCTTGTACGGGATATTCTCGCACGGCGTTCTTGGCCCTGCCCTTCACTCATGTGGATAGTCGTGCCGGACAGGACAGCCCTTCGAATAGAGGAAATCGTCGAGGAAGACAACAAAACATACCTAGCCGACTCGTCTTTCAAACGTTGAGGTCGGTACCCCGGGCCGCCAAAATGTGTGTGTTGTGTAGCATGAAATGACTGACTGTACAGTACCACGTTCTGCACAACAGCTGCCGACTTGGCAGTATTCAGGGAGCTAGTCACAAATCAAGAAGCAATCGGGGTGATCAGCTGCAAGTGTTACCCTGGACAGACGCGGACCCCTGGGACCGCGGTAATATATACAGTGTGAGGTTTCTCTTTCCTTCGGTTCCGACATCTACATGCAGTCGACAAGAGTCGATACCCGCTGATGATAGGGCGCTGGCCTTACACTTTACGCCGTAGTGCGGCTTTAATGTCTTTGGAAACATACTCAATCTCGCCACAGACGACTCCGCCCGAGCCCGACAGTTCTGTTATCCAAGCAAAACGCCTCAAACCCATCCTTTCCGTGAGAATAAAAATAAAAACCGTCCGTGGGAAGTAAAATGATCGAATAGCCATGTACTCCGTAGCCCAGCCTTGCAATGCGCATGAATTGATGTATTCTCCCGCAATATGACCTTGTTCGGTTCCACGTACACATTCGGTGTCTGAAGCAAGCTCTCGTCGCGCGCTGAAAACGTACGTCGTTCTTATGTGCTATCCTTGCCCGGCTTCATTTGAAGTTTGTACCAGTGTCGATGGCAGCAGGGGTCGTTTGACAGACAGTACTGATTCCTCGGAATCCCTCACCGGCTACATGGTCGGACCGCCCGTGAGCAGCCTCGTCGTCGGGTCGTCCATGCCGCCAAGCTGCATGTCCATGCCACCCCGTTCGATGGCCTCCATGCGGGCTTCCATTTGGTTGATCCTACCGTCCAGCATAGGCCCGCTCATCATGGGAACACGGTTCTGAATCATGTGGTTATGATGGTTCTGCTGGTTCTGCTGGGGCTGTTGATTCTGCTGGCTCAATTGGCTCTGTTGGCTTTGCTCAAAGGATTCGATGCGCTTCTCCATACTTTCTAACCTCGACTCTAACCTGGTGAAGCCCTGGGTCATCTCGTGGGTCATGCGGTCGATCTTGTTGGTCAGGCTCCGGATGTTCTGCGCAACCGGCGTGTTCTCTTGCCCTGGCGGCGCGGTAGGCACGCGCGGCTCGTGGTTATGCCGTGATTCCTGCACGACGAAACGCCATTGGTTTCCCAGCTGTACCTCACACACGGCCTTCCCACGCCATGGACAGTCTACCTTGCGCGTGCTGGGGTTGCGCTTCTTGGCAGTACTGCTGTACTTGACTCCTCCACGGTCGCACACCAGGTCAAAGCGCGTGGGCTTCCCCTCCCGATAATTGCTCGATCGAAGCTTGACAACCCCGTATCCCTGGTCCTTAGCTACCCGTTGTACGGCAGTCAAGAGGTCTTCGAATGATCGATAAATGCCTTCAGGTGGGGGGGCCAATGCCGGCGCAGGAGAGGTAGGCATGGCGGAGGATGAGGTTCGCGGAGCACTCGACGGGCCGGGGACAGACCAGTTCTGGGGTGTCTGGGGCGGTGCACTCTGCTTGGAGGACGTGGCTACCGTAGGGGTTGATTGCGATGCCTGTTGATTGGCGGGAGGCGGAGGTGTTGGAACGGAAGCCGAGGGGGCCGGCGACGGTAGGTTTGTCTGTAGCAGACCAAGTCGATCGGAAGTGGTGGTCGAAGGGCCGGCGGCAGCTTGTTGCTGTTGCTGCTGCTGCTGCTGTTGCTGCCTCTGGTCGTTCAGCTTTCGCTTCTTCGTTTGCCGCGGCTGAGACTGCGGTGCAGGGGCGGGCACAGAGACAGGCGTGGAGGAGGTTGGTGCAGCCGGCGGGAGGGAAGCAGGTACTGGCGTGGACGTCGGGATAGGGATGGTCGAAGCTGGGCGAGATGGCGGCAACTGCTGCTGGACCTGCTGCTGCTGCTGGACCTGCTGCTGTTGCTGCGCCTGCTGCTGCTGCTGGGCCTGCTGCTGCTGCTGCTGCTGGGCTTGCTGCTGCTGCTGGGCCTGCTGTTGTTGTTGGGCCTGTTGCTGCTGTTGCTGCTGCTGCTGCTGCACGCTGTTCACATGCGGCGACTGGACAGCTTGCCAGTGCTGATGCCCATAACCACCTGCTACAGCAGGATGGTGATGTTGTGCAGGAGGTTGAGAGAAAGGGTGGGACGTGTGGTGTGGATGGTATGAGGCATGGGATGGCTGGACAGTGCCAACTGGAACTGTGTTGTCGTCGTGAGAGATGCTTGGGAGTCCGCTAGGTACGCTGTCGTCGCCCCAGCCAATCATGCGGTCCATGCTGCAACCTCGCGTGGACTAAGGTGGAACTCCAAGCCGGTCTGGCAGGCGGGCTGATTGGTCGAGTGTGCCTGAGCCGTCAGGCAGATCGGGACCTAGGGCGCGTCGCAGCGTGCAGCAGGAGAGGCCCGGCGTGTGAGGAAGCTCGGGGTCTTGGTGGTGTGCCGTCTTGCGTGTGTTTGCAGGGTTTTGTCACCGTGTCGAGGGATGGAGAGGGTGGTACGGCAGTCGGGGTCGAGTCAAGGTCAAGGTCAGCGAGCGAACCACGACTTTTTCTCGGGGTTGGTGAGCGTTGGTTTTTTTTTCACGGTCGGTTTTTTTTCTCCTCGGGGGCCCCGGCCAGTCTGCTGCAGGAGGTTTGACTGGTTAGGTAGCTCGAACCGTCAATAGAAGATTGGATCAAGCCTGCTGGCCCGGAGAAAACCAGGCCTCAGGCCGGACCTGGCCTTTTTCGGTGGAATGTTCTTCCCAGGTCATGTTCCCAGTTTGGCACTCTGCCTGGCAGACCCAGACCGCTGCTTATCAGCCCTCGCCCCCTTATCACGTTGCAACAGCGGCGGGGCTAGAATCAAACCGACAGGCCTGACAGGAAAGCTGGGGTGCGTGTGGGAGGCCCTGGAGGCTGGAGCTGACTGCAACCCAAGCTGTCTGGGCTGCCAATCTGCCGGGGTGACTGCACAGTGATGCCCGCCCGTCACATCTGTGCGATTGACGGTCGGACAGCCTGGCTTGGGACTGACAGGCCAAATGCGCACTGTCTGACCTCAGTGCCCGTCTGGGTGCCTCGGCAGCCTAGCTCTGGTCGATTTTCTGTTTGAGCATCGATTCGAGGGCGACAACCGTCGACCATTATCGTGGTGGGATTTGCCCAACACTTCCAACTCATTGTTAGTTTAGGTGTCTCTTGTGATGCCAAGTCCGTCTCCAAGTTGTTCCTTCGCTTTGCTGCAAGAGACCGCGCGCTCCTTGTACTCGATCCTACCAAAACCATAGTCGTCGGATCACATACGCCCGGTTCCCAGTGCCACCCAACGCTCACCATGGCCGCCCCAGACCAGAAGCCATCTGCAGGACAGCAGTGGGGTGAGGCTGAGATCGAGCAGGCGCTGGAGCGACTGGGTGAACTCCACCACCAGGCAAGCCCCCGCTGAGCATGTCCCGTTGGAGTTGCCAGAGTCACCTGCTGACCGAACCACCCGGCAGATGCGCAACCTGCGCTCGATCATTCCCAAGACAATGGAATCCCTCTCCGTTCGAGCCTCCCGTATGCTGACTTGTTTCTACTTCCAAGCATGGCCCTTCGCTAACAAGTCCACATAGCCGAAGACACATACGAGGCCCTCGGACAAGCCACAAAGACTGCAGTCAGCGCGATCCGAGAGTACAAGCAGGCGGCCACAGACGAGGAAACTACAAGGGTCTTCGAGCGTGCAAAACAGAGCCGGAAGGACAGTCCAAAGGGCATCAAACCATGGCGGGCAAGAGATGACCCTGACTGGTTGAACACCAACACTTGAAACAGCATCATTGTTGTGAACAGTAAAGCATTTGGCGCTTAAGCTGTTAGTCTGCGCTGCATGGGCCGACTGTGCATGCTCTAAAAGAACATGGTCATGCCCGACACGCCAGATGCAGGAGGAACAAGCATAACTTAGATTTTACACCTATGAGTTAACGCGTGTGATCTGGACACGACGCCAGGCGCAGGAGGAACAAGTATAACCTAGATTTTACAACTATTAGCTAACTCGTCTAATCTGGCCACGACGCCAAATTAGACGAAGCAAGCGCCATGGACGAAGAAGACCAGAGTCTTCGGGGTCATCCAGCCCAGCGAGGACGAGCAACTCGGAGTTCGGAAAGCACCTCCCGAGGTCGAACATGCACGAGGACTCGCGAGAGAATTTGCGAGGAAGCGCGAGCTTCTGGAAAGGAGATTATGGCCAGCGTGGCTCAGATCGGAGCCCTGATTGAGTAGTGATCCTCAGAGGAGATTCTGGCAGAGCAAATATTTCTAGAACAATGATCACAGACATGCTCCCGGATGAGTGTATCCCGCTGAAGACTCTCTAGAAATCATGGGAGTTGAGCACTCCTATGGGAGACCCTGTTGTTGTAAGAGCTCTCCTAGAGTGGATTGTCTTGTTGGCTAGGGTCCCACAGGTGGACAGAACAATGTTTCCTGGGAGGGTGTGCTGTGGAGTGGTCTCTTCAAGGAGGCTTTCCTGCGGCAGGTTTCCCTGTGGGAGTTTATTGTGTGGGTCATCCCCTGGGATGCTGTTCTATAGGCATTTTCAAGACACAGTATCTTAGAGGTCTGCGTTCTACAGGACGGTATTCTACAGGAGCATCCCCATAACAGGACGACCTACAGTACAAATTTGCCCCCAAGAAGAATTGACGCCAGGACATTAAAGACGAACAAACTTTTCTGAAAGATTTTTCTGAAATACTGTCAAGCTCATAGTAGTTTGACAATGGTAGTCTGCACCGCAAGATGCGTACACAGCCATGTATCTGAGAACGATTTAGGAGGCAGCAGACTTGGACCCCTGAGTCTGGGCTTCCGATGGAGTTGCAGAGACGAGGGAGGGTGTGGCTGGGGTTAAAAATGCACTGCCACAGACGCAGACGCCACAGACCTCGCGCCTGCCCATCTTAGCGTCGGCGCTTTGCTGCCTTGAGAACAGTGGGGCACGATGGCCCGAGCTTGACCACCACAAAAAATCCTAGCAGCCCTGGCACTTCAAAACTCCGTCTACCTTTTGCGCCCTCGACCACCAGAAAGACCCACGTTTGCCAGACAGTCAACCTCTGCGACGACATCAACACCGACAAAATGGCCGGCACTCGTGTGATTTACAGACGCCGTAACGGGTGAGGACTGCCGAATTCTGATTTGTCTGGGATTTATCGGGCTGGGGATAATTGCATTTTACTGACCGAATACTCCTCGCTACAGCTACAACACCACCTCGAACCGGACCCGTATCGTCAAGACCCCTGGCGGCGAGTCGCGTATCCTTCACATCAAGAAGCGAGGAACTGCCCCCAAGTGCGGTGACTGTGGCACCAAGCTGCCTGGCGTAAGTCCATCCCCTTGGTCAATCGGCGGGTGAGCGGGATACAATCGAGGAGGGCAAGGAAAGAGGGCGACGTCGAAGCACAAAAATACACCCGACTACGACAGCATCCAGACCAACGAACATCAAATCGAAATTGAGACACGAGGGGGAAATTATAGCATCGAGAATGTGCATGGACGGAATGGGGACGGACTTACTTTGAACTTCCGACGACCCATTTGCCCTCCCAGCCTTGCCTGGTTCATGCCGCGGTTTTCTCGCTCGGACGACAGCCACACATGGCACATTGCCACCTGCGACACCGGCTAATTTGAACAATGTGATTAGATCCCCGCCCTGCGCCCCCGCGAGTACGCCCAGATCTCCAAGCCCAAGAAGACCGTCCAGCGCGCATACGGTGGCTCGCGATGCGGTAACTGCGTGCGCGACCGTATCGTCCGTGCCTTCCTCATCGAGGAGCAGAAGATCGTCAAGAAGGTGCTCAAGGAGGCCGAGCAGGGTCCCAAGAAGAAGTAAACTGGTGTTGGTCAAGGAGGGTTCCTTTAGCGGTGTCGGTACAAGGGAATGGACGGTCACGCAAGCAGAGGCGGATCTTGGACGGTCTTGATCCTGGCTCAGGTGTTACCCGGGAAATAAAAAGGCTGCATGATATCTCTCTCAATGAGACAGCAAAGGGCATCGACCGCTGTTTCTCTATTCTTTGGGGCTTGCTTTACAGCGTCTTGATGATCGCAATGATACAGACCATCGAGTCGTCAAAAGACAAACTGAGCGCCTCGACGTCCTGGGCTATGTGATGGTCCACTCGGCGTCGGACTGGACTGGACTGGACTGGAAGGGTCGTTCCCAGTAAATTACTGGTCGAGACCACGTACCTAGGTATTCCGTGTGAAACCCGGAACTCGAATTGTAAACCACCAGGTCCAACTTCTCAGGACGACCACCATATGTGAATCCTTCTCACATTCAATTGCCGCCCTTGTTCAGCCATGTTCAGCGTGAACAAGTGTTTACACGTTTGCCTGTAGTTGTAGAGTAAAGTGCTTGGGCGGAAGGATTCGGCAGGCTAAGCCTGTGACGGTCCATGACGTGGGGAACAAGCTCTACTCTGAATTGCGATATTCCGCTTTCCTCCCCGACACAGCTTTTCGCCCACCATGTCGGACAACCCGCCAAACCCAACAACGCCCACATGATGGCCATGCGCGTAGGCCCAAAGAGCGTCCTGCGACCTCTCGCAGCATCCAGTGGCAGCCTGCTGCAAGGCTTTGCTCCGAGACACGCCCGACCTCTCGCATCGCAACTCAGCAACCACCGGCCACGACCAAAGACGCTGCCACGCCTCCCGCCCGCGACCACACGACAATGCGCCGCGGCGCTGCACACCTCCCCCACCCGGCCAGCCAAGCGGGGCCGAGCCCACAACGGCGAGGAGATCCCCGAGGGCCCGCCCACGACGGACTTCTCGCGCATGGACATGCTGGGCCAGACGCCCGCGCCGTCGACCTCGGTGGACATCTGCTCGTCGGACGGGTTCAAGCTCAACAGCGGGGTGTCGATATACGACGGCAACGGGGTGATGCTCGTGGGCGGCGAGGCGTTCGCGTGGCGGCCGTGGGGGCCGGACATGAAGCTCGTCAACGCCAAGGGCCAGTGGGAGGTCCGCGAGGAGGCGTTTGCGGTGCTGGACCTGCTGTGGCCTCGGCCTGGTACGTGCTACAACGACAGACCGACCGTTCACGGGACATGATATGGAAGACATGACGGGCTGACTCCTGGTGTCATTGTTTTGCAGATCTGATCATCCTTGGTCTGGGGCCTGAGATGCGGCCCCTGAGCCCTGCGACGAGAAAGTACCTGGGCAGCCTGGGGCTCCGCGTTGAGGTCCTCGACACGAGGAACGCGGCTTCTCAGTTCAACATGCTGGCCACGGAGAGGGGTGTCGACGAGGTCGCTGCGGCGCTGATACCGATTGGTTGGAGAGAGGGCATCGGAGCGAAACACGACTAGTGGGTCCAGTGTGCGACATGCAGTCTTCTAAATCCTCTTATGGACGAGGTTGTTATTATGGAGCAATTCCTCGTCTTCTACTTGGAGATAGCCGGCCGTTGGGGGTTGGCGAGTCCACGAGTTTCCCGGCGAGGCTGTATGAGAGGCGTCTTGAGTTTCTTGGGACTAGACTCCTCTCTGCTGCGTCACCTCAAAGACACCTCCAAGAACGCGACTTGTGTGCTGCGACTGCTGGTCTGGCTGTGCAGTGAAGGACCATTGATTGCATCATGACCTGATGTGCTCGGAATGCTATGCTCTCCAAAGCTGAGCAGCCATGACGGAGAATCCCCCAGTGTGGACTCTTTTTGGGCTTGGGATATACATAGACTGAGGATTGCAAGAGTTGCCGCACTGGCACTGGACTGCAAAGCATTTCGTCTGCCAAGTCACCTGTCAATTGAGTGTATTCGAGGTGCACACAAGGTTATCTGATGTAATTGGTTGCAACCGCATTGGAGACGTCAGCCATCAAAATTCCCGCACAGGCTGTCACCGCCATTGAAGAAAACCTTGATTCATACAAGAAAAGACTAGCGAAGACGTGAAAGTTGCTGCTGTTATGTTGACTTTGGCAAGGAACCAAAGGGGCATGTCCAATGGCGGGCGACTGTCTGGAACACGTTGAAGTGATTGTGCTACTGACTGGTTCGCGGCTGACAGCGGGAGCTATTTGAATGACATCGTTGCCCCGTACTGGTGCATTTCCAATGTCCCACCGCAGCAGGCGCAGCCCCGGATCTGCTTATCACCTCCATACATACACAGTACCGCACCAGGACAGGACAGTCACGGTATATCTCACCTCACCCGTTGCCTCTCAACAACGCCCAGCCGCACTCACCACTGCCACGTGTGTGGCTTTTTTGACTGTCTGACTTCGACCCTTGGCATGCAAAGGGAGGGACAAGTAGCCCAGCCCCGGATACACGGCAGCGACAGCCCACCACCACAGCAGTTGCAGTCCGAGATAACAACAAGTTGCTTCAGTATAGACAAATCCAGGCTCTCAGAGCGAGCAGCACATCACGGGACCTGGAAAGCCCTTGCGACTTCCTTGTTGCAGCACAGAAGTCCTCTCGTCCTCGCCTTCCCGTCGCTGCCCTCTTGTGCGTATTGCTCATCCTTGCGTCCAAGGTTCTGTCATGCTGTGGGTCACGGCTTGGATCTCTGCCTGCTTGTTCCACTCTCCTCCTTGAGAAGCATCGTCAGGCGCACTCGAAAAAGCAGGCCCAAAAAGATACATATCGTCTTTTTTTTTCTATATCCTCATCTCCTTGGGTCTCTATAGTGCTCTATTTCTCAGTCTCTTTCAGTCTCTTTCAGTCACTCCCAGTCTCGCGGCTCTGTCTGACTCACAGACATGGCCAGCTCAAGCGGCGCCGCTGTTGGCAATACTGCAGCCGGAAAGGCCATCAGCAACCTGATCCAGGAGATCCAGGCGCTCCCCAGGTCCGGTCCTCGTGCTGCGCTTGTTCCGGCAACCGCTGCTCTGGCCGCAATCTTGACCCTCTGGTATTGGAAACGCATGGCGTCAGGCAGTCCAGCCCAGGCTCAAGACGCCAGTCCGCAGTCAGGAATCCATGGTCAGTACTTCATTCGGCCGCATGTACTCTTCAGAACCTGACAATGCCCCCAGATCCAAAAGCAACAGACCCGGACCTCCTCAGGGATAACTCCGAGGTGAGGTCCTTCCGCACGAGCCGTTTTGTGTATCCCGGCATTCGTGTCTTCTTTCACCCTCACGCCAAATTGGACGAGATGCCAAAGGACCCAGCACCTCTGCCGCTTTTAGTATTCGTCCACGGGCTCGGCGGATCCGTCGCGCAATTCCACCCGCTACTCAAGAGCCTAACGAACAACTCCTCGTGCCTCGCGATAGACCTGCCGGGATGCGGCGTCTCCGAGTTCGCCCCGACGTCATGGGATGCGTACACGAACGAGGCGCTTGTTGAGCTGCTTGACACGATTATCAACGAGTACCGAGATAAGCAAGCCGGCCAAGGAGTCGTTTTGATCGGTCATAGCATGGGTTGTTCGCTGTCTGCCCGCCTCGCCTCTCCAGGCTCAAGCCAGCTGGCTAACCATGTAGTTGGGCTCGTGGCCATTTGCCCACCCGCTGGGCCGCCTACGGAGGCGAATGTGAACAAATTCAGAAAGCTACTCTGGATACCTACGCAGATTTTCGACCTGTGGAGAGCGTGGGATGCCCGCGGGGGAGCCGAGAGTGCTAGCGTTAGGAGATTTGTTGGTGCTGAGGCAGACATCGAGTCCAAACAATCTCAGTTCCGCTTCAATCGCCAAAGCAGGACTCCGGTATGGCGGAGAATGGCATGGGGCAGCCTGCCATTTTACGAGAACGGTGTCCCGAAGGGCGGTATCGCAGGCAGAGATATCTGGGCCTCGCTCAACGTGCCTTGCTTTCTTCTTGGAGGGGGCAAAGACAGGGTGACACCACCGGAAGAGATCGACAAGCTCCTTGAGGCGTTGAACGCCAAGGCAACACCTTCTTCGCTGGACGGTGCAAACGAGAGCATCCAGCCCATTGTGGATGCTGCCGCCCCGATCGATACTACGGTGGAGACTCCAAAGCCAGCCAGCCGTATCGAAGAGATACGGGACGAGGATTTCCTGCGACCGAAGAAGAGGAAGCATGATGATGACACCTTCGAGGATCCGAGTACGCCTCAGGAGCCGCCAGCTGTTGGCATGCCTTCCCAGCCTCAGCACCCTGAGAAGGTTGTCAAATCCATGGTAGTGAAACGTGGGACGCACGCAATGGTCTACACCCAGGATTGCTCCCACATCCTCGCGTCCATAATTTCAGACTTCCTCTCTCACCACGTCACAGGCAGGCTGTCTCGGAGCTGGCAGCTGCAGTATCTAAACAAGGAGTCGAAATGGGACGTCAAGAACTTGGCCAAGTGGAAGGGTGTCGAGCCAGTCTCCAAACCTATCGCAGGTGTATTCCGCGCGATGAAGACGTTCCGGGAGGTAGACGACGAGCACTCGCCCGTCATATTTGCCGAGAAGTGGGGCGGTATTGTAAAAGACGTGGTCGACATCTCAAAAGACACGCCGGTTTACGATCCAGCCGGGCTCGAACGCGCCGGTGTGAGATATCACAAGTTCCCGACCGTGTCTAAGATCCCGCCGACAGACCATGAGGTCGACGAGTTCATCAAGCTTGTGGATAAGCTTCGCAAGAAACAGAAGACCAGGGCAGTCGAGGAGGGTTGGGCCGAGAACTCGGAGCACGCCGTTGGCGTACACTGCCATTACGGCTTCAACCGGACCGGATACTTTATAGTTTGCTACCTGGTGGAGAGATGCGGGCTTGGAGTGAAGCAGGCATTGGATACATTTGCTGAGATGAGACCTAAGGGAATCCGGCACTCCCACTTCAAGGACCAGCTGTTTGTCCGGTATTCAGAGCTGCGGTCACAGAGCACTTGATGCGGCACTCGGTCACGACTGCTACTGGTTGGGTACTGCAATGCTCATCGCTGGCAGAAGAGAGATGGATATACTATTCTTATCGAGAGGCAGGGGGTATTGTTTGCCATTCATTCGACGTTCCGGGAAGCAATGGGAGGTGGTGGGTGGTTTTCGGGGGAATCGGGCCAAGGCGTACAAGGTTCACTGCTGTATTATACCTATTAGACAATCCTGTCTCATGATATCCTTAAGAAGCTTGCATTGGAAGGACTTCACATTTCACACCGAGATATCGTGCAGTGAAGTGGCCTGTCACGAGTTTGTCTGACTGTTTTCTGTCAAGAGCATGAGGCTACCTAAAAATATATTTGCGAGCAGGCCATGAGCCCCCGCTCATTGGTGCAAGATTTACAAGACAGGATAAGGAGGGAGTATGCGCCTTTGCACTGCCCGTCTGAGCATGCCATGATGCCATATGGGGAAACATCCAATTTTGGAGGATGCCCTTGGTAGCATTCGCGAGGGGATTGTAAGTGAAGCCTATGCGATAGTTTAGCCTATAGCAGGAAATAAGCCAACCATGCCCATGTTTCTCAACACACAACACAGACCAGCTCGAGGCCCCGTGGACGCCCAGCCGTTGCGAAGGCGCACATGTACGATATGGTTTGTTTAAGGGGGGGCGGACAGATGACGGCTGCGCATGAACATCTCGTTTTGTTTCTACCGAGATGGTGTAGGAACAGCAAGAAAGGAGGTGTTGATAGGTAACCAGAACAGGTCATATGTTCTTGTCGGGAGTGTCAAGAGGAGGAAGTCTAAACGGGGAACAAAAGTAAACATACGTTTGTGCCCCCATCTCGGTCACCAACCCCGAAAGCCAAATGGGGCCACAAGCTTGCTGGTGGATCGTCTGATGGGCTGATGGGCTGGGCTGCAACCGCGGGAGGTGCGGAAGGGGAGGGATGGTCTTGAAACCCAACAAGTCTGTGATATGTTCACCCCTGAAACACGGGCTCTTTGCCATGCGATCGGACGGCGGCGATGGGCCACCCGGTGCGGATGCATTGTAGATCATCAAACGTCATAGGCTTGATGCCACGGTGACGGTGGTGACCCAAGATACCACAACCACAACCACAAGGGGAGATTTCATCCACGATGACGGAGGAAGAAGAAGATTTTATAATTCATGACAAAGGAAGCGGCGTACGACCAATTGTCTCAGCGTAAACTGATGATGTATGTAGAAACCATCGGACGAGGAACCCGTCCTTCCCAATCCAGGCCCGAGCCTCTCCCTCTCCCTGTTGTTAAGAAATTAAGGTGTTACAAAAAAAAAGACAGATACAAGAACATGCACAAGACTGTTGGGCCGAACAGTGATCAGCCAGTCAAGCTTAGTTCCCCGTTGCGCCTGATCAAAACAAATCTAGATAGATGCTCGTGCGCTGTTGATGCTATATTTTGTGTGTTCGAAGTGTGTAAAAGAAATGTCCTTTTCGGGTCCCACTGTAAAAAAATGCCAGTAGAGACGTTGTAAGAAAGGGAATAATCCATCATTATGTCGTGAGAACACTTTATGCAGTTGGGGTATATTGCCGGCCGTCCACCTCATCAAATCAGTTGATCTCCTGGATCCAAATCTAGTAGAATGTTAGCATGTATCTGACAGAGGGTTCAATGCCTCATTGCACTCACCTCCATTTTTCCAACCTCGAGCCGCTGTTTGCGAGCCTGCGACTTGACACCCATCATGACCATGTCCAAATCGTCTTGGTCGCCCATAGTAATCATGTCCTGAGGAGAGTCCTCGTCTCGGACCTTGATCTTGAAACGACGACGCAGCCCAAACTTGTCGCGCACGCGATCTACGAGATCGGGGAATTCGACCGCGGTTCCGACCATGATATAGCGGACATCATCAGCGTGCACCTTGACCCTGACCTTGCGAGCTTCAGGTCTTCTCGACTGAGCTCGTGACGAGCCCGAGTTCGACAGGGATCCGGTTCCACGCCTGGGGTTCATCATCTCAAAGTCGCCCTCGTCAATAGACCCTCCATCGTAGTCGCTGCCATCGTCATCCTCCTCCTCAATGTAACGTTGCTGGTTGCGGCGTCCATTCGACCTGCGGGATCCTGCACCATACATGTCGTACAAATCGTCGGGATAGGCATCGTCGTCGTCGACGGGAGACCTTCTGGTCCGTTCCCTGTCCCTTTGGGAGTAGCTGCGACTCGTGGCGTTGGAAGGAGCTCGCGAGGGCTGCTGTGGCCGTCTGTCCTGTGGGGACTGGTACCTGTCCTGAGGAGAGTTCGCCTTCTCGTACCTGTCCTGGTTCCTTGCTCTTTCAATGTTGAGCTTCGCAGGCATGGGTTTCGGACCGTTGCGCACAGAAGCACCCCGGGAGGGAAGTTGCCCGCTGGGCTTGTCATTCTCCGGAGGAGGTGTTGGGGGGAAGACATTATTTGATCCTTGTGGCGCCGCGGGCCCGCCATCCTGTCGCGCTCTGCTCGCGAGATTGGGTTTGACCAGGTTAGTAGCGGCGAAAGAAATGTTGTCGGCCGGTCTGTCATCCTTTACATCCGCCTTGCCAGCCTGATTGAAGTCTCGAGTTAGCAAAAGAGTCGTAACGTCTCCAGCATATGGTACGCGGGTGCTGGGCTGTCAGAAAACGTACATTCTTGATTTCGGAACCAGCGAAGCCAGTGAATGCGTTGGCACGGTCCGAAGCCGCAACCAGACGAGCTTTTCCAAGATAGTCCTTCGTTTTCAGGTTCCTAACCTTGGCCTCGTTCGGCCGGTAAACAACACCAACGGGGATCGAGAACACGGTGTAGCCCTGAGGGTCAATTAGTTAGATGTTGTCAGAGCCGATACGAGAAACTTGTAGTAGACGTACCTCTGCCTCCTCTCGGATGGCCTCGTCGATGACGTTGTGATCCTCCACCACCTTCTCCTTCACGGCGTACGACAGATCTTGCATACCAGCGTCCTTCTGTTGCAGGTAGATGTAGCACAGACCTCGGTTAAAGAGAACCTCACAAGAATAGAGCTTGAACAGCAGGCCCAGCTGTGCGTAGTCGATCATCGTGTTACCGCGAAGGTAGAGCAGTGTGTCGTTGAAATTTGCCAGTGCCTCCTCAAAGTCGCCCAGGAGGAAGTTCGAGACACCTTGCTGGAAATACGCGACAGCGAGATACTGATCCAGACGGATAGCACGCTGGTAGCATTCGACCTGAGAAACGAGTCAGCAGAGTTCACGGGGTAGATCATGATCTAATAAAGTTGCGGGTAGACTCACGGCCTTTTCGTGCTCCCCCAGAGTCGCGTGAATCACGCCCATGTTGAAGAGGATCTTGGACGTGTCGGCAATTGGCTCAAAGTCCTTCAATGCCTCGTCGAACTCGTTGTTGTCGTACCGCGCGAGGGCGGAGACCCAACTTTCTATTTCCTATAGCGAACGTCAGTGGATGCATTTCTTCGACGGTGATTGAGAAATGATGACAAACCTGTTTTAAAGACATGGTTGCTTAGAGGTCACCTTGTGTGTTGTGAGAGGGAAGAATAAAGGCAGGCGTTCGTGTCCGGTTGACGAACGTCTGTGGCCTCGTGCAAGATCGGCACTCCACTCCACGCAGCGCAGTCTTGAAAGTGCTGGGCAGGTGTCAAGACACGACTCGGTGGGGCTCCTGCGGAGAGGTTTGCGAAGACTATGCCCCCACTGCAGATCCACTGGTCAATTAAGCTGGGTGTGGGTTCCAGGTGAAGTTGCGGGAAGATCCAGATGTAGCGGTTGACTCGGCTCGGTCTGGCGGGTTTAGTCGGTGTGATGTAAAGACCCGATGGAGGTGGTGAGAAGAGTCCCCGCCGTACCAATCCGTTCTTCACAGTTGCTCCGTCCTTCACCAATAGATCAGCCCACTAGTGGGCACTTGGCGTGTGATTGCTTCCGTGCAGCAAGCCCTTCGATTTGCTTGATCTCGACCTAGAGCTCCAACTTGGCGCCTTCCAACGATTCTGTTGCTCGGAACTTCTGTTGGATGTGCCGGCGTCCCTTGAATTCCCGCCGAGTTCGATTTCCTCTGATCGGCGTATCCCAGGTCCAAAGAAGAAGGTCGGGAGGGTCCGGTGCACGCGGCAGAGTAAAAATAGACCTATTATCGATTTGGCGAGCCTTGGTAGAGCAAGATATGGCTGGCGTGCAGGCAATAAGATGAGTATGTAGGTACGAGATGCAAGGTGTGAGGTTGCGTGCGTAGTGGGTGGGTTGTATAGATGTAGGTTCCAGCCCGAATCCGTCAATCCTTCCTGCTGTGCCCGGCAGTGACACTTTTCAGCGATGCGACGACCAGCTGACCCAAGGGATTCCAAGACCCAAAATCTGGCAACTCTCGTCTGATTGCGGAGGCGTGTCTGTCGGAAAGGACTGAAAATGGATGTCGAGGGGCCGGGAGTGGGAAGAGGGGTTGGTTGCTCAAAGTCGCAGGGCGGCTGCTCTGATCGATGAGTGGTGGTGTGGAGGGAAATGAGTGGATGGTGGACGACAAGCCAGCGCCTAACCGGAGGGATGGGAGAAGTAAGAAGGAACGGCGCGCCAGGCGTGCTCTGCTCTGCAACTGGATCGGGGAGGGAAAAAAAAAGTGGCAGAGGTGCAGTAGTAGTGTGCGGAGGGCTCTATGGGTGGGCAGGGGGGCATCGTACACAGGTATATCATGCACGGGCTTGACGGGCTCGGGCTCGTAGCACCAGCACCAGCACCAGCGCTGGATCCCAGTTGATGATCTGCCCTTGATCCCGCGGCCGCCCTCCCTCAAACACCACCAACAAGACCTGCCCGTCTCAAACCGCTTGATGGTGCCTGTGCGTGGGACCTCTCAGTACACGATGAAGCAGCCTCGAGCCAACTGGTGTGACTGAGTGAACCACTCCCTGTGGGCAAGGGGTCTGGGGGCGCAGGGGAGCTGGGGAGGGCCTGAGACGCTCGAGGCCGGGACAAGGGGCCCTGGCCACTTGACAGCGGACGAGATGCCCAGGGGGTGCATCTAAAACGCCACAGCTGGGCACTGTCTGGGGAGATGCTTTCGTTTTGCCGTGGTCTTGGTCTATCCTATCCGGTCCCGTTTGTTTTCGCAGTCGACAGACCGGTGGGCTGACCGACAGCCAGATGAGGTCGATTCGGCCTGTGATAACCAGAGCTGCTGCTCCGTACGGCGTCTCAAGTGTTCCGGGCAGCGAGCGATCTACCCCAAGATCACGAGCTGTTTGTGGGCGCGCAGAGGGAAACAAAACGAGCATTGATGGCCGTTCGTTCCCCCAAAGGCCTGGTCATCTTGGATGTGATCAAACACCATCGAATGTTTTCCCGCTGGCATCGAACGTTTGGGGAAGCAGTACTCCGTGGGTGGAGGGGAGGGAGGCCCGATTCAACCGACGCGCTCCATCCCATGCCAGGGCGCCTGTCGACAAGTGCCGGGCACGAGTAACAGACACTGCACCAGCGGGTTGGCACTTTCTTGGTCGATGTCATTCGACCCGCCCCCAAGCTGGCGATACCAGCTTGCCAGCCACTGGGTGAGGGGCAGCTGGATTAACCTCGCCGTGTACGTCTCAGGACGGCATGTACAGCCTGTCAAATTTGACTCCAGCCGCCCGCCAAGTTGCCTCATCCCGCAACTGCGGCCCTTGAGGCTTTGATGACTGGTGTTGGCAGGCCAGCCAGCCAACCAGTCAGCCAGCCCAGCCAGTGGTAATGAAACCGACCACTCTGAGCTCTAGCTGGGCGGCGGCGACCCAAGCCACATGGCGACGTTGGAACCGTTGGCAGTGGCCGTCTGTCACTGCATGCTGTCTAGTCGATTGAACTAAGACACCTTCTTAGCCTCCATCACATCGTAGACAGCATCGTGCTATACACGGTGCGAGCCGGGTGGAGCGGAGCAGCCGGCACCAGGAGAATCCCTGGCGAAGAGCTCTCTCTCTGTGGCTCGGTCACTATCACCAGCGGACTCGTGCTCGTCTATGCCGTTTCTTGGGCGACAGGGCGAACAGGCAGACAGGGCGAGTGTGTGCAGCACCCGTGGGATCGTCCATAACGCCACGCCGGTATAGGGTGTCACAGGTCGGTCTGAAATGTTGACGCCCTCGCAGATCAAGGCCCTGGCTGGGTTCAATGCACCAACTCGTTGAGACAGTGGCAGGGTCCAAGGGCCCTCGATTGGCCTGGAGCGCTCCTGGGCATCCGGAGTCGCCCCTGTCCAGCTCGGCGCTTAATTTTTCGAGCCTAGGCCTACCCCCTCTTTCCTCTTCGGGCCCATGGCATGGCAGCATGGCAGGACACGCTTGACACTAAGGCAGGCAAGCACCAGCACATCGGTACCTTCCCGCACGCTAGCAGCCAACTGCGCACCCCGAATCTGCACTTTTGCTGTGCCAAGCTTGGTTGGCATGGTCAACGATCTCCCTTTGTGGCGCCCAAGTTCCATGGGCTTTCTCGAAGCAAGTCTGCATCTGCTGAGCATGCACCAGAGCGGCGCAGCTGATGCGGCGAATACAAAGTACAACTACTACGTAGTATGTATGCACTTGTCGTTGCGCATGGCGGCCGGCATCCACTTCTGACAGCATCGTGACCGAGGACATCTGGACCGCCTGCAAAGGGCGGGGCCAGAGCTGCACATCATCGGATAAATGGAGATCATGGACGACGGGACGGCATTGCTCGTGGCTACACAGTAGGCCATGCGTGGCCAGCTGCGATGCTGCAGGCGACACCCACCGAGTTGACGGACAGGCTGGCAGGCTGGCAGGCTGGCAAGGCCCAAAATGCAGCCGGTATCACACCCTATTTTCGGATTATCGTGGACACTGCTCACCACCCATTCGTACTCGCACCGACACGACAGGCACCTTGGGCAATCAATCACAGACCACATGGTGGCCAGTGGTGAAGAGATCCCCGGCGGATTTGCGATTGAGATCCCACGTGTCCCAGCAAACTCTATCGGCCAAGTGTGCCCGGCGACAGCCCACTGTGGAGCAAGCCTATCCTGCTCGTTATCCCGCCTTCTGTGCGACTGGCCACGGGAAGGGATTACTCCAACGCGCTCAAGCGGTATAATTGGGAAGATATGGACGTGAAGATACTCTACACGCTGCATTCAGCAAGGCAGACAGCCCAACGTCGATTGGGCTGAAGCACTCGCATCTTCAGATGATACTCTCTGTGGGAATAAGCATTCCTCACATGCACATGCACCTGCATTGACCTTCACCAAAGAATCAATCATCCTTGGCTGCTGGATACGACCTCGCGACGAACAGCTCGAATGCTTCTCGTGCTCTCATGCAAGCCTGGCCGTTTCTACTACCACCTCGACGCTCTGACCCAACACCGCATGCCTCGCCAACTCCTCTGTTTGGCGCGTGAGACCAAACGAACGGCCTGCACGCAACTGTGGGATGGAGAAACTACTCGTCGGCTTCTTCGTTCGTCGGTAGGGTTACATTTTGGGGTTATGCACGGTGTGACCTTCGGCTGCTCCCATATTGGGGGTTCCACAATTCGAGAACTGACCGGTGCATTAGTAGTAGGAATACTGCGGTACCTATGGGGAACCTGCGAAACTCGCTTCCCCTTCAGCTGTTTGAAGGGTACCCAAGTAACTGGAAGGCCGTCCTGCAGCCACCATCCCACACATCTAATGTGCGTTGGGAGACTTTTGCCTTGGGCCTTCCCGCTGCAACATCTGCAAATGCAGGCTCCATAAAGGGTCCGACATCAACCTTCTCATGCAGGCTTGTACGTACTCCGTACCTGAGTACACGCAATCGCTGGCCGGCTCATTTCCTGACAGCCAAGTGGGTCTATATCCCTTGACCAGACAGCATCGCGAACACCTGAATCCCATCGAAAACCTCCTGTCAGCCCTATTGCCGAGTCAGACCAGCCATGTTTTGGTCTGCTCACAGTGGCCTGGCTGTGTTCGACAACGTCCCGCGACCTCCTTTGATCACGGCGCGCGGCAAGTCGTGGTACGGAACTTCAGACTTGGGCGATCTGACGTCTTGCCTTGTTTCCTTGTATATCCACATCGTTACAGTGTTTCTCGACCTTGTTGCACTCGGGGCCGCCGACCTGCCCGCCCGATCTTCCGTGATCAACATCTGCAGAACTCATCATTACCACACACACAGTTCTGGCAACCTTGCTGCAGCTCTCTTGGGCGAGCGCACCGATACCTCGGCACTGCGCGTCCTACTTTAGGACGCCGACTGCTCCACAGGCTGTGTTGATGGCAATCCAAAAAGCCAAGTTCTCAACAAGATTCGTGTCGTGGTACTCAGCGAGGACTTTCGAAACTTCCCCAAGGGCTGCATCGACCGAGTCGAAACAGTTGATCGTAGTCTCAGTGCAAGACCAAGGCGACCGGTTACAGCGATGAACCCTCCACAGGCTGCCATCAGCCGCAGGCTTGGCTCTGCGACACGGCCTCTGACGCCGGCGGGGACAGGCACCACCCCTTGTCGAATGCTGGACCTTCGTCTCATATCCCCATGCTCGCCTCTGGGAGAATCTGCTTCCGGTCTGTAATCGGTGGAGCAGGACCTTTATTCCTGTTTTCCCTGCGACAAGACTCGCCGCGAGGCCTCGACTTTTTCCTACCGTGCAAGCAAACCGCGCCCATCCCGGCATCCTAGCTCTAGTGGCCGGGACTACTGACATGTGCGACGGCAGCTCGGAAGAGGTCTGGACTTTTCCACCGCTCATTTTCGGGGCTGACGAGCCCTTCGTTGGTCGGCCGGCGGCATCTTGCGCGGCATCTCAGGCAGGCTCGCTATCGTACGCAATGACTCAATTTTGCTCACTAGCAGGGGCCCTTGTCAGCCGCATCACCACAGTCGTCAGTCACATAACGCACTCCCTGCCTGACCGAGCTTGCCCAGTGTTGTCGTCTCAACATGGCATATCGCATCCTGTCAGTCGGCAGTGCCATGTTCCTTTTTGAGTACTGATTGACACTCGTTACCGTCGTACTGGGTCGCGCGATGACTTCTGAGCTTGAGGACATGCCATGCTTGGCTCGTCTGAAGGCGATGGATTTGCGGCCTGGGCAGTATAACCAAATAATAGGGTCTCACTTGCCATGCGATCGCCAAACTGCCGCAGAACCCCAAAGCCGGGGACACCGGAGGCAGACATTATTCATGAGAATGATGGCAGAGAGCGGTCGCGTTAGGCATGCATGAAGTGGATCATACTTCCGCTGGGCTGGATTCTTCTATTTACGATCTGTACTGCTTTCTCCTCCTGTGAGGCACACGATCGCCAGCGTCTTCAACTCGTCCCATGGGTCTGATCTGCTCTGGGGAGGTGGGACCATAATATTCGATAAGAACAATTATCATATCCTTGTAGATGAAGCCGCAGACCCAAGCCCAGGCAACTGACACCTGAGATGGCTGGCATGAGTGATCTCCCCGACATTGCTTAGAACTTCTGAGTTCATAGCATGCCGTTCTTGACCTCGTCCTTTCTCTCCTCCCACAGCGTCTTGCCAGTGCAGGAGCAGACAGTCTTGTCATTGTCCCATACTCCAGCACTCCGCGCAATCACACCAACAACAGTATTCTCGTCGTTGTGCAGGGCTTTGCCCGAAGTCTCATCCTGGCGTGTCACGACGAAGGCATGCCCGATAACCTCCCACACTTGGAATGGCCGGTCGAGGAAAACGCTACCACGACCGTCCGCCCCGATCTCGACGGTGCCGAGATCTCCTCTCACCTGATCCTTCTGGTCCGGCTGGCTGGTGAGGTCGCCCCTCCAAACCGGCCCTGTGGAGGATGCGCCCTCGGCCAAATTGCCATACTCGCGAATGGTGGCTCGGTAGGTACCAGGGTCGACACCGCGCAGCGTCAGGTCCACGAGCGTCACCGTCTTCGACACCTCGACCATGCGCGCGAGGCCTCTCACCTCTCTGCTCTTTTGTTGGTCGGGGACTTGGTCTCGCTCCTCCTTGCACTGGGCATATGTCTCAAGTATACTGACTGCCGAGCCTGCAATTGATGACAGGAGTGAGGCTGGGGGTCAGCCTATGCACTCAGCCACCGTATGATCGTGTGATTGCGCCCGTATGTCACGCAACCCAAAGAGACAAGCTTTTTTGTCATATGGTTCGCAAACGCCATATATGCATGGATAAGGGGAATTGCATTAACAGTATAGGGTCGGGCGGGATGGCAACTCACTATTTGATGATCCCGACCCTCTCAGGATCGCATCCCTACCAGTAGCCTCGATCGTCGCGACTATGGTTGATGGCGGTGCTGTAACATCATGCCGACAATCAGCGACAAGTCAAGGGACGCGTTGAGGCCAATCACCCAGGTCCTGACCCGTGCCAGGCCACCTCGTGGGACTCATTGAGACGGCGCGTATCGAGAGCAGCAAAACGAAACACCACGGCCCGATGAGCCCATACCTGTACCCTCAACTCTGACGAGCTGGTCCTTCAGATTTGCCTCGACCTTGGAAATTCCAGCAACTTTGTAGAGTGAGTCTGAAACATCCTTGACGCAGCTTTCGCAGGTCATAGGAACCGCGAAGAGGGCCTGTTTGGTCGCGGGACGTTTCATTAGCCACACTGGACCTCCTTAATGACCGCGAAGCCGCGCCTCCAGGTGGGATAATAGGCCTCCGTTGCTCGGCGTGTAAAACCGCATCCAGGTTCGGCTCTGGAACCGGCGCGAGACAATGACGCACCTCAAAAGTCTGGTCGACTGTCATTTTCGAGTTGCCTAATGAGTTGTGCTTTTGAGAAACGGCCAGGGAATGATCGCTTGGTTGCCGCCGCGTGTGAATGTAATAAGCGCCTGCTGAGCCGAGTAGAGCAATGCCAGAGATGCCACGCAGATAGCGGAGGGACTTGCTCATCGAAGGAGGACAGAGGAAAGAAGAAGTTGAGAGATGATGCACAGAATTCACGGCCGTGTATGTCACGCCAGTTCACCAATGTCAGTTGTCATCGGTCCATTTTGCATTGCTTTGAAATCGCCGCACGCCTGGGGTTCCGCCGCTTCTCGGGACCTGTCAGTGGGACCGACAGGACGGCTTGACGGAAGACCCCTGTCTCTGCTGCAGGTTGAGTTTGGACCACACGGCCGATTAGATAAGCCACCTCTCAATTTTTGGATCCGCATCTCTGCCTGTCGAGTGCTGCGATACTAGAGGCGACAGACGACGCGAGCACGACCCCGACTCCGGCATATCTCACAATTGAGACCCGTGGTAGTGTGCCCAAGCTCCAGTTCGCCGGTGGATGAGGGGACGCAGCTCCTCGTGAACCTCCAACATGTCGCAGACAGTCGGTCTCGTGAGTAGCCAGCCATCCCTCTCGCCCATGACCTATCGTGACCACCCCGTCGCTACAGCCATGCATGCAGTGGACTGACAGCAAGGCCGATGTGCAGACCCGACTTGCCTACTCAAGGGTATGGCACAACATCTCAGCCTCAACACCACACCCGACCCTGAGCACGATCAAGTCCCCGCCCGAGGCCATCACGCCCCCCTCCCTAGGCCGCCTGGCGTCGCGGATCGCGACGCTGCTGATGGGCAAGCACAAGCCCATCTTCGACCCGTCCACGGACTGCGGCGACTACGTGGTCGTCACCAACTGCGCGGCGCTGTACACGACGGGCAACAAGAAGTGGCGCAAGAGCTACTACCGGCACAACACGCGGCCGGGCTCCCTGCAGGAGGTCACCATGGACGTGCTCATGGAGAAGCACGGCGGCAGCGAGGTCCTCCGCAAGGCCGTCAGCGGCATGCTGCCCAAGAACCGGCTGCGGAAGAAGAGGCTCGCGCGGCTCAAGGCCTTCGAGGGGGAGGCGCACCCGTTCGAGCAGAACCTGGCACGGTTTGGCGGAAAGGTCGTCGGGAGCGAGGGGTGGGCGCAGGTTGCTGAGAAGATCCGGGAGGCTGGGGCTGCGAGGTTATGAGCGGGACGGTCGCGCTGGGGTGCGTGAGCGGTTGCAGAGGTACGATCTGATGGGCGATATAAAAGCAATAACCCCGTGGGAATGCTGGGCTCCGGCAAGTGTGTTTTGCTCGGGTGCTTGCCAGCTGTGTATAAACTGCTAGGAATGGATCGTTGGGACAATATCTATGAGTGGGTGTCCCCGGCCAAGGATGGTCCCTACATGCACACGTTGCACAGTGAACATGCTGGATGTGCTCTTTAGTGCAGAAAGGACATTGGATGTGATGTACTTGATGATCTGTTGTTGATTGATAGACGAACAGTCAAGTCATTTCCATGGTCCGTAAACGTGCTTGCTGAGTACCAAGTACTGGCACTCCAGGAACCATACACTGTACAAAGTATCCAGAATTGTGATGTAGACAGCAATTTATATCTCTGCCGGCCATCCCGGCACTCAGGATGACCGGTATGTTGCCGAAGCAGGCCGCTTGTACTACCCTGTGCGGCAAGACTACCGGCATGCGCAACGTGATACAGCTGCGGTGAAGTGGCCATCGGGGGATATCGACTCGACTTCAGGAGACGGGGCTGTCGGTCGGCAGGGCACGCAAGCACGGGTCTCCTGAAGATTGAGTGTCCTGAGAGGATCACATCATGTGAGCTGAGGAGCGATAGTATGCAATCTGACCCAGCACAGGATTCCCGGAATGGAGTGACGGTGGGTTCAGACAAGAACTACATCACACGGCTCGTTGAAAAAAAAACCGCAAATACAATGCTTTATCACAAGTGGATTTCAGCCATCTATATATGTACTCGGTATGAACCAGACCTATCTTATGCAATGGGCTCATGAGAGAGTTTCTGCCGCCAAATGGAGTATGATCCAAATAGATGTTACTGTCCCAGCGACTAGATCATCAAAGATTAAAGGGAATGAATTACAAAATGTTATAGAACTCATCAAGATTCGTCAAGAGGCCGTTTCGCAAGGTTCAGGACCGAGAAACCTCGCACTTGATGAGACCGTTTGGACCAGATTGGGGCGCGTACACCTCGGCGTCCTTGCCGGTGTTCTTGAGCCCCTTGTGCCAGCTCAGATCTGGGGGGGAGAAGAATTGTTAGCCTTTGCTTCATTGAAACTTGAGGTATCTAGCGGATAGTGGACAAAGAGGGGGCAACCTACCGATCTCGAAGTAGTGCTTATTAGGCAGTGAGTAGCTAGCCAGCTCGGTCTCAGGCACAGCCGCGAGGATCTGCTCGCACATCTTGTACATGGTGTTCTGCACGCTGGGGCTCTCGTCCTCGGCAAAGGTCTTCATGGTGATGTTCCTAGCCGCCTCCCAGGCAGCATCAAACTTGGGCGTTGCGTCGTGGACGGCGTCGATCCCAGGGAATGCCTTCCATGTCCAGGAGGCGTCGACATCGGTGGACAGGATTCGGTCCCAGGTCTCGGGAAGGGTGGTGTAGTCGTCGCGGACGAAGCCGTGGAACTCGGAGCCGGTGCTCTTCAGCACGGTCAGCCCCACTATGCCGCTCCTGAGGCTAATGCCGCCGTCCCGCGAGACGGCGGCCTCGACGTTGCGGGTCTCGTTGCCATCGCGGTAGAAGGAGTGCGGGTGGGGCTTGCCGTCGACGACCATGCGTGTCCAGCGGTGCACCACGACCTTGATGTGGGCGGTGGTGATGTGCCTGTAGGTGTCCAGGAAGTGCTGGCCCAGGATGGAGGCGAAGAGCTCTGGCGGGTCGACGGGGTGTTCCTTTGCCTTGATGTAGATGGTGTTCTTCATCGAGTCTGTGGCCACCACGACGCTGTTGTCCGCCTCTGTGTATCTGACCCGGGGGTGTTAGTCCGTACTGGGGCACGGTCGGGCGGGCAGACGGATCTCTTACGATGTCTCGATCTGTCCCTCAAGCAGACAGGTCACTGTCATCTCTGTGACGGTCTGAACCCCGGTGGCCTCGTCCCTGTGCACCTTGTAGACGCGGACATTGTCCTTGCCGTAGCGGGCAGATGCGAGTCTGGGCATTGTGTGAGATGTGCCGGCTGAACAGGGGGTGGTGGTGGTGGTGGTGAGCAGAAGCGGAGGACAGGAGAATGGTATGAGATGCAATATAAGGCACGTAAACAGAAGAGGATATGTTATCGAGCGTATCAGACTGGCTCTGCCACCGGCTCGGGGAAGGACGGAGAAGCACGCGGACACTCGGAAGAGGCTAACGGTACGCCACAACTCATACAAGTCTTTGCACGATGCTATTCTGAGTCACGTAGGTTCCAGGCCAGACCAGACCGCAAAGTGAGGAGGGATTGGAGTGAGCTATCTCGGCGTCAAGGCCAAGGATAGAGGAGGGGGGCGGCCTGCGGTGTGTTTATATAGTTCGCTGCCGGGGAGGGATACTAAGTAAGTACTTTTGTCTCTTGAGCACTACGCAGTGGCTTTGGACAATCGAGTGACCAACGGAGCCAGAACGGACCAACCAGGCAGGCGAGAAAGCACCGGCCATCTAGTTTATCAGCAGAAATGGGCAGATGCACGCGATCACGCTGCCGAGCCGGGGCTTGTTCCTGCCAAAGAAGAAGCGTCAGGGCCTCCCAGCTCCACGGACCGGAGCCCCAAGGAGCCCCACAGCGGACGGTCGCCAGCGCCAGGCCGGGCGGAAGCCGCCGAGACCTGAGAACGTGGGGCTCTTTGTGTTGTGCCCTCTTTTCCTGAATGAGCCGTGCCTTTTGACGGTTGTTGCTGAATGACTGGTCATGTCTGTCGACAATGTGATTGTTGTCGCCTTCTCTCTCTCCTATTCTCATGAACATCTCAATTCTCACATTCTTACACGCAGACACACGCACACACCCTCGGCTGCTTGCTTGCCTCCCTGCCTGTGAGACGTGCCCATCTGCCGGTCGCACCGAACGGGAGTCTAGGCCGTTGGTACAGGCCTTCGTCTATCTCATATGTCTTAGATCTTCCCGCTGGTTTCTTGCGGACCAGCCGGGCCTCCTGCAACCAGGGGTGGTCTTGCGACCAGCTCTGGTCGTGCTTGTTTCCCTGTCAGGCAGCCAGGACGTAGCCCATAGGGGCAGCACATGTTACTGTAGATTGCAGCTTGCAGATTGGCAGGTTGCAGATTGCAGATTGCAGATTGCGGGGAGCTAGGTCACGGCTGAGGATAAACATGGCCAGATCGATGTCAGCCTCAGATACCAGATGCCTGTTCCATCGTACGACTGCACCCTGGTTTCTGCGAAGCTTGTCTGGTTGGCCCGAGATATTGCAAGGCACAAGTTGGGCAGCAGGCAATGACAAAGAAGTATTGTCTGCCTCAAGTCTGGAGCTGGCCATTGAAAGAGTATAAACCTGGGCACTGTCACGTCACATGGAGCATCTAGCATCTGCGAGCATCGTTTCTCTTTGACGTTGGATGATGTTGCCCCATTCCAACACTTTGCCTGGGAAGAGCCAAGGCAGGTGTCATTTATATTATCTCTCTTACCTCTTTGTGGCTTGTGGTGAAAAGACAGACATCATTTATGGTAGGCAGAGTGATGAGTCCATCACGATGATAGATGTCTGCTACATGGTTACACCCTGATAACCAACCACATTGTCAGCCTTCACTGCTTAACATCTGTAGACATACCCATGTGGGAAGTGGATAGATGGCCACATAATTGACAATCAAGGTGCAGAGTGTTCTTGATGTTGGGCTGCAATTGCCCAAGGTTTGGCGGTGTAGTCATGTACTGTATGTGATGTGATGTCTTACAAGGTCAAGTACCGTAGCAACCACCGTCCCGTCCAATGCAGTGCAGCCTTGCTCGACATGCTTAGGTAGCGGTAGTAGCTAGGCACGGTCTGTTCCGCCTCCCGGTGACAGGGATTGCCGTTCCCTTTGCCCCTGCTGCAGGGCAAATCTACCTGCCTGGGCTGCCTGGGTACTGTACCGAGCCTACCCCACTCGATATTGAGCCTGCCCAGGCGTGGTCGGCCTGGCAGCTGTCAGTGCTCAATCAGCCGTAGCCTCCCGGACTGTCGCATTGGGACCAGTCGCTAACCATTGAAACCACCAATTCACGCATGCATCTGGTAGACAACACTACCTGGTCCATCATATGTGCGACGATCTAGAGCATTAGCCTGCCAGTTTGCTTTTTCGTCATTTACAACCCCATCCGAGCAACGTGCCACCAGATTCCTGGTCTTCTATCCACCAGGCGCCATCGACGATTAACACCTCCCCCTCCTATCTCCTGCTACCACTGCTGCTCCCCTCACCGCAACGAAACCGAAAGCGACCCAGAGGCCGATCCCGCCCGACGTCGATCTGAATCATCCACCCATCGCAATTCCAACACGAAAAGGGCGATAACTTTGGTGGATGGCATAGGCGATCACGAATGCTGGGGCGACACCGATCGCCCCCTGAGGAGGACAGATGGACGGGCCGCCGACCATGCTGGGCTCGTCGGTGACGCCCACCCAGACCCCGGCTCAGAAGGAGAGGCCCTTCAGTCCACAGTCGTCGAGCACCGTCTCCGGACCCCGACCCAGCCTCGACCTCAACGATGGCGGCAACCTGCAGCCCCCGCTTGCCACCAACGGCCCTGCCTCCGTGCGCAACATGTCCACCTCTGCCGTCAGCTTCGGCCCTAGGGGCTCGAGCCTCAACGCCTCGTCCATGGCCGGCCCGGGGAGCTTCAGCTCCGACCTGAGGAGTCAGATGGGGCAGTCGCAAGCGGGCTCGAGGATGGACGTCTACAACAGCCTGGGCACGCTGGACGAGGCGGGCGATCCCTCGGCCAGGGACAGGCTCCTTGCCGATCTGCGTGACGACCTCGCCAGGGAGAACAAGATCAAGGAGGGCAGTGAGAACATGCTCGAGGCACTCAACAACAAGAAGCCAAAACACGTCAAGGAGCAGAAGGCAAAGGTCGAGGCTGAGCTGAATGCCTCCTATGCTCGCATCCGGAACCTCAAGCTGCGCATCGAGGACATCCAGCAGGCCAGGGCGGCCCCCACCACGCCAATACGGGCTCCCGAGGAGTTCTTCCCCCCCAGCAGAGGGATTCGGTCGCCCCAGAGCGCATCAAGGAGTGGTGCTGGCTCAGAGATCGAAGAGACCATGGACCCGACTTACCAACTCGGGGAGCTCTTGCAGGCTCTGGAGGCAACTGGTCTGACGCCCGAGTACTACGTAGCCAAGGCGAATAGTCTTGTTGAATTATTCAAACAGCATCCAGTGCTCAAGTATGACCTCGTCTGGTCCATCTTTGGCCTCAGGGTGCAGATGATGCTGGTCAGCGACAGCAGGGAGGTTGTGGCGGCTGGCTACAGGATGACTCGCTACGCCATGTCGGACAGGGTGTCTCTCAAAAAGATACGCACCCTTAACACTGATTACATTGTGATCTCGTAAGTGAAAACGACAAGCATTCTAACGGACTGCACACTGATGTTCCCTAGGTCTTTGATCAAGGACAGAAAGGCCGATCTGGAGAGGGAGCAGGCATTGAAGTTTGTGCGCGCTTTCCTGGACATCAAAGACGGTGTTCAGGAGCTGTCAAGGGCGGTCGTCAGGACAGTTGTCTCCATTGCAGAACACAACGAAGACAGGCTGCGGTCAATATGTCTGGAAACACTGGCTGAGATCCTGGTCAGAGACCCTCAGCTGGCTCTTGCCTCCGGAGCGATGGCTATCCTCTGTGATGCCCTCACAGAAGGCTCTTACAAAGCTCCAGAGAGTCTGATTTCGGCCTTTCTATTTCTGCTGGACTCCCCCCAACGGCGAAAGTATCTCCGACCGGGCTATGATGTGGAGGTCATTTTCAATGTCTTCACTGATGTTTTCATCACCAGCGAAACCATCTTGAAACACAATTCCAAGGCCATTTCTTCGGCGCTCAGGACGTGGTCAGGTCTCATGTACTTGTCCATGTACAAGTTCAGGGCCATCCGATCCCTGATAGCAAGCTTAGTGATACCCAACCCGCACGCCAGAGACACCGTCATCGACCTTCTCTACTCGCTGCTGCGAATCAAGTCGCCAGCATGGGCAACGCCATTTCTGGCGGGAAGGAGACTCACAACGTACGGGAGGGTCGCGGCGCTGAACACGACAGCACAGAAAGGCACACAGGCATACATCGAGGACGACGGAGGGGAGCAGAATTTCGTGGATCACTATACAGCACTGCTCCTGGCGGCGCTGATCCGGGCGGACCTCGTGCCGACGCTTCTGAACCTCGCCGGAGATGCAGAGGATGAGACCCTTAAGCGCAAGTCGACCTTGCTGTTGGGTGAGGTTCTGAGGCTTTCAAGCCGTCTGCTGCCGCCTTCATGGAGCAGCGAGTTGCAATTCTTGCCGGGACTGTTCTCGAACGCTGTGCGATTCAAGGACAAGAACCACTTCGTCGCCACCAGTCTCGTCTACCAGATCAGCAGTGTCAGCCGTACTCTCTATCGGTCCTCTCCGTCTGTCTTCACGTCTGCCGGGCTTCCATCACACCAGATATCAAATCCGGGATTAGAAGAAGAGCAGGCCAGAGCCGCTCCCGTCGTTAGCGTCGATGAGGGCACGTTCCGGCAGCTTCTGGTTGACTCGTACGTTCTGAGTAGCAGCAATTACCTCAAGTGGAACTGGGACATTATCCTTAAGGTCATAGAGGGGCCTTTGACAATTAACAAGCGCGTTGAGGATGCTATCAAGGCGTCGAAATGGATGAAGAGGTTGATGGGTTTCTACCGGCCGTTCAAGTACCGGTTTTCGGACATGAAGAACACACGAAACACGCAGAAGTATGTCAGGGCGGGTTGCGCTCTGATGCAGGCTCTGCTTCAGACACCACAAGGCCGGGCATACCTGATAGACAACAAGGTCCTGAGGCAGCTCGCCGAGTGTCTGGCTCAATGTGATCCGGTGAGTAACACCCCAAGGCTTACCTTTACAGGACTGACCCCTCCCAGAAAAGCGGTTTGACCGCTCGGGTCCCGCTGTTTTCCAGAGACCGGCTCCTGGATACGCTCAGCGGGGGATACGTTGCTATGCTTGGTGTTTTGACGGGGGACATCAGAGGCCTCGAAATGATGAACAGGTGGCGAATGTTCAATATGATATTCTCCATCCTTGACGGCCAGCGACGCCCTGACCTGATCAAGATGATGCTTTCACACTTTGATTACAGCATCCAACACCACCCTCAAGTCCTGCTCCAAAAGGCCATGACCGGCAACACCAAAGAAATCCGGATGTATGCTACAAACATTCTCGGGAAGCATGCCAACAACCCCAAGGTCAGCTTGACGGGCGACATGAAGTGGGCCATCAGGGCTCTTGTGACGCAGCTCTACGACCCTGAGGTTGAAGTCAGTGCCACCGCGATCAAAACACTCGAGAAGGCGTGTAACGCCAAAAACTACCTGGAAATGATCGTTGAGTGCAAACCGGGGCTTGATCATCTCGGGGAGATCGGCGCTCCCCTGCTGCTCCGATTCCTATCCACCTCGATTGGCTATCACTACTTGGACGGCCTTGACTACATCAGCAACGAGATGGACGACTGGTTCCTCGGGCGCAACGACACGTATGTGAACACCGTCGAGGCCAGTCTAGCTCGTGCCTTTGGCGACGTCCAGGACGAGCCCGCGCACCGCCTGAGCTTGCTGGGTGACGACCCGGATGCAGAAGCTGACCCGCACGTCCCACCACACTTTTACCGTGAGCTCACGCGCACCGAAGAGGGCTGTAAACTCTTGCAAGACAAGGGCCACTTCGCCGAGTTCGCAGCCACAATCAAAGAGCACGGCCTGGAAGCCGAGGACCCTGAAATCATGACCAAGGTCAAGGGATGCCTGTGGGCTGTTGGCAATGTGGGTTCGATGGAGCGTGGGGCCCCGTTTCTTGAAAGCTGTGATGTGGTCCAGGATATCGTGCGCATTGCCGAGTGGCACGAGGTCATGAGCATGCGAGGGACCGCGTTCTTCGTCATCGGCCTGATCTCGCGGTCTGTCCACGGGCTCGAGATGCTGTCGGAGCTCGGGTGGGACGCAAACACGAACTCGCTAGGGAACTCGACCGGATTCTGCGTGCCCAGCGACCTGTCCAAGTTCTTCTCCCTGCAGCCGTGGAAGCATGTGACGGCCGGCGCCATGGTGCTGCCAGACACGCAGAGGACGGAAAAGAGCGCGAAGGCGCCAGTCATGCCGTCTCGGCCACGATCGGACTCGCTGATGGAGGCCATGGGGCCCCCGACAGGCGAGTACGACTACGTGAACACGGGCGCCTTCGACCACGACGAGCCTGTGGAGCTAGACCCAGACCCGCTCAACCACAAGATCCTCGAGCTCTTCATTGACCTCAGCAACACGGTCCGCTTCCCGAAGGCCCGGGCCGAACTGATACAGCTCAAAGAACAGAAGAAGCCGGCGGGGTTCTCCAACCCGCGGTTGTTCCGGCGGGTGGTGGCGCTCATGGAGACGCATCACTACAGGCTGGGTGCGCGGCGGATGCTTGAATTGTTCGAGCGCAGTGTGCTTCGAGACGTCGTCTTTGAGGACGATGGGGAGGGCGAGGAAGCTGAGGACCGCACCGAGATGCCACAGGAGGCGTCGGGTGCCGCCACGCCGGCTGATGAAAAGGATCAGGAGAGTGAGGCTGACGACCTGCAGTCTAGCGCTGGGTAGGTAGCCCACTCAACTGCGAAGAGGCAGCAGTCTGCCTCGAGGAAGGGGGAGCACAGGACCACGCCCGCATTTCAGTGTCAAGTTGTGGACCTGACCTGATGTTCAGCAAGCAGGGGAATGGCGGTCGGAGGGGAGGTAGCGATACGTATTTTTTGTACTATAATTGGAGGTCACGGTTCTGCATCTGGAGCGGTTGGCTGGCCAGGCCCATGGGCCCAAAAACTGGAGAGGGGAGAGGCGTTGTTTGAATACCCCGTGTGGACTGTACCACCATATGGTTACTTTGATTTGGGCTCATCTTGTAGAGCCGGAGGGAGCGTGCAAACAAAGCAAAGGAGAAAACAATAGGCGTAGTTTGGGGCGATGTCTTTTTCTTGTCGATGCGTTCAGTACGAGCATAGAAGGGGTTCTACAGGGCATCTTAGGAGCATGGAAGCCAACAGGGCAGAGAGACCCTGTAAGGCGGGGGGAATATCACGGTGGTGGTGGTTATGGGCGGCGGCTTGCCTGTACAACAAGGGGCGTGAATCACTCTCTGGTCAAATCATGTCTGAATCCCGTGGTGCTTGCCGTATCCAACTTGTCCCCATCAGTAGTCACACACATGGCTCGGTATTTCATCATAGGTCGATTACGTGATGGATCCTCGTCTTCGGGTTCTAGGTTTCTTTCTGTCTTGGCCACCACATCGCACTTGCCCACCACAGCACACTCGCCCCGCGCGACTGTGACGTGAGACAACAGAAGTTGGTGTGAAGTCGATAATCGACACGGGAAACAGTTTCTTGTCCTCTCCCGGCGCACTTCCAGACCACCGCTGCCGGCCAAGATCAAGATGGTGCAGGGCCGACTGCTGGTGATCGCCGGCTCCGACTGTTCGGGCGGGGCGTAAGTGTCTCTCAACTCATTCCACACCAAGACAAGGGCTCACCGCTCACATGTGAACCCCCCTCACCGCAGCGGACTCGAGGCAGACCAGAAGGTCATGGCCGCCCATGGCTGCTACGCCATGACGGCCACGACGGCGCTGACGGCGCAGAACACACGGGGGGTCTATGACATCCACCCCGTGCCGCCGGCGTTCCTGAGGAGGCAGATCGAGGCCTGCTTTGATGACATTGGGGTAGATGTCGTCAAGACTGGCATGCTCGCCTCAGCAGAGACCATCACAGCCGTTGCCCAGGCCCTCGAGGCCCACGGCTTCGGCGGCAGCCTGGTCGTCGACCCGGTCATGGTCGCCACGACAGGCGCGGAGCTGCTGCCCCCGGCGGCCCTGCGCGAGCTCCGCGCCCGCCTGCTCCCGCGCGCCACGGTGCTCACGCCCAACATCCCCGAGGCCCGGCTGCTGCTGCGGGACGCAGGCCTCCCGGACGTGCTCCCCGACGACGGCGCCATCTCCGTCGCGGACCTCGAGGCCGCGGGCGAGGCACTGCGCACGCTGGGCCCCGAGTGGGTTCTCGTCAAGGGCGGGCACGCGCCACTCCGCCGCTGCGACCTTGCCGCTGCGGCCACCGAGGCGGAGAGGGAGCTCGTCGTGGATGTGCTCTGTGGCAGGGAGGGCTGTGTGAGGGTGGAGACGGCGTACCAGGCGAGCCGGAACACGCATGGCACGGGGTGCTCGCTTGCCTGTGGGTTTCCCCTTCTTCTTCTTCCTGAAGGAACTCGGGAGAAGGCCCCGGGCTGACCGGTCACCTCGCAGCTGCTATCGCGTCCAACCTCGCCAGGGGCATTCCAGTCCCGCAGGCCGTCAAGGCTGCGTGTAGGTATGTCCAGGCTGGCATCCAGACTGCCCCCGGCCTGGGCAGCGGGAACGGTCCACTCAACCATTTCCACTCGACCTATACGCTGCCGTTTTCACCGGGCCACTTCGTCGAGTGGATGCTAGAGCGGCCGGATGTGGCACCGGTATGGCACCGGTTCGTCCACCACCCCTTCGTCATGGCCATGGGCAACGGGACACTGCCACTCGGATCCTTCAAAGGCTATCTCATCCAGGATTACCTCTACCTGGTGAGTGCGGGCGACCATCGACGCTCTGCGCGCCGCCCCAGAAACGAACTGACCCGACGAGTCCCAACCGAACAGATACAGTTTGCCCGCGCAAACGCTCTTGCCGGCTACAAGGCCAGGAACATGCGCGACATATCTGCCGTGCGTCCATCAAATCTCCCCTGAGAGTTAAAACACCGTTGCAGCGCTAATGTGGAGGCACACGAACAGGCCGCGACCATCGTCGCGCACATCGACAGGGAGACCTCCCTTCATCTCACCTACTGCGAGGAATTTGGCGTCTCGCGCGAGGAGATGGAGGCCACTGAGGAGAAACAGGCTTGCACGGCCTACACCAGGTACGCAAATCCCCCCCCCCCTTTCCGTTGGCATCACGACATCACGCCGGCCGTTGTTTCTTAATCCGTCCTAGATACGTCCTTGATATCGGCCAGTCCCAGGACTGGCTCGGCCTGCAGGTCGCCCTCGCCCCGTGCCTGCTTGGCTACGGCGCCCTGGCCAAGATGCTGCATGGAGACCCCAAGTCTGTCAGGCACGGGAACCACTACTGGAACTGGGTCGAGAACTACGTCGCCGACGACTATGTACAAGCTGTCAAGACCGGCTCAGGTGAGCTCGCCATCCTCCGCCCGCCCCTCCCACTTCTTCTCGCCGCACGGGGAGGCAACCGAAGACAATGGCTGATCCTACTGCTTTTTGTTCCGCGGGCAAGACCTCCTCGAGAGAAACGCCGTACTCCACTCTCCATCTCGTATCGAGGAGCTCGTCGAGATATTCATCCATGCTACCAAGGTGAGTTCCGACCCGTGGCCAGGCTGGGGCCCACACTCTGCTCGATCCGGAGCCAAAACCCGGTTGCTCATTTGTCTTGCAGATGGAGATTGGCTTTTGGGAGATGTTCCCACATGGTCAGGACTAGGCATGTCCCGGAGAACCCTGTAGACCGTTCGATGTCAAACATACATGCATACAGACATGCATACATACAAACTCAGCCCAGCCCCAACATAAAATCCAAAGGCCATCCCTGGAATACCCGAATATTTCGCCTCCGCTTAGTAGTACAAAGACAAAGAGACGCAGAGAGATCTGCGCAAGGTTGACATGTCTCAACCAATACAGTATCACCGACTCATGGTTCTAGGAAACCTTGACGCCTCAAGTCGAGGCTATGCGGCGTGATACACGAGAGGAATGGACTGCGAAGTCTCTATGCTATGGCCGTTGGGCCGTTATGCCCACCTGCCATCGTCTACATACATTCATCATGCTTGCCCAAGGTCCCTTGCCATCGTACCACATGAGTCCTGCGCCCAGGTCGACCTGGTTCGGCCCTTCTCGGCGCTCCTCGAGAGCCAAATCATCCTCGCAAGGCTACCTCCCTCGCTCGCCAACATGTCAGGTCAGCCCGGTCACTTGAGACACGATGTCCTTGTGTTTCCTTTCCCTGTTCTCGACATCCCAAGCTAGGGATCACCATCATGTCGCGACAGCATTGGCACGGCCCCACGAACAGGTCGTATGCCTCTTCCGTTCAAGTGGGGCCCGCTACAAGAAACACGGTTTCTTAGATCGCTCCCGTACGATATGCCCTGGTACCTCACCCGAGGATCTAATTATGATCTTCTCTAGAGTGACAGGGGCGGAGTCGATCGGGAGAACACTGGTCCACCGTGATCCAAGCGGGGTCCTGCGGTCCCGAAAGCCCTCAGCGTTACATAGGCTCAATATAAACATGAGCATCAATCAGGTGATTTTGGGCTTGGTGAGGGACTTAGTGGCAGGGCAGGGCATGGGGTAGTGCTGCCCAGGTCAGAATGTTTATCCTCCGCTTCGGGTATTGCCCGATCGTGGAACAACGCCACGAAGTTTATCTCCCCCCGGAGACCAGACCAGGAGTTTTGGACCCTGAGGAGCAGTTTACCGCGCTGACCATGCCTCTCTGCTGCCATCACGTATTGTTGACATCGCACACGGGCACGCCGTGAGAATTATCCTCGATCGAGACGCTGCCAACTCGCAAGTCCCCGCCCCAAACGTCACAGACACGCACTTGACTCCCCATGGCTTCACGCGGACCTCCTGATTCTATCTTTACTCCATCATGCCACCTTCAAGATGACACAATCCGTCCATGACAAAATTATATCACGCAGGCAGAACATCCACGTTTGTTTTACGCACAACCTCGTCCTATAGCCCAGCAGCTAGGGCTGTTCGAGCCTAGCCAAGAGCTACCCCATCGAGACATCTCTAGAACCTCAGCGTCCTAAAGAGGCACAGCTCGCAGACGCCAAAGTCGCCTGACAGGAGCCTAGGGCGTTATCTGAAGGTCGCGGCTGACTCGGACAACTGTATACTGTGTACCCTCAACCCTCGCAAGCCTCGTACCGGTGACTCTGTCCAACATGTGTGCCAATATTAGATCCCAGGAGGCAGGCCATCGACCAGAAACAGCAAAGGCTCGGTGCACAGCTGCTCCAGGATGAGATGAGCTGGACAGAGGCCCGTCTGTGCATGCCGCAGGGCTGGCGATGAGGGAGTTACACACAGATGCCTCTGATCGTGAGCGCTAGCCAACACAGGACACGAGCCTGGGCCCTGAGGATGGGATGTCTGTCTGCCTGCCTGCCTGTCTGCCTGTCTGTCCGTCTGTCTGTGTATCTGTCTGTCTGGTCCGAGACACGGGTTTCTGCCTCAGACCAGCCTTGTCGGCGATATATCGGCGACGATGGGCATCGGGCTCAAACCAGAGGGCACTCCATGGAAGTTTCGGCCGACTGACAGCCCTCCTGACGCGCGTATATTCACATGGTTGGACGAAGTTGTGGGGGTTTCGCACAGAGCTGTTCGCAAGCACGGCGATCATCTGCCTTAGCCTCCCTGAGATTAGTGTAATGGGACAGCAACACAGAGTCCAGAGTCCTTGCCGGCTTTTTGCGCTCTTCTCTGCCCCCTTCCCCCTTTGTCCCGTTCTCTCAGAGAGGAGGCAGATCGGCAGAGTTCGCCCGGCTGCTTCGAGAGCGCGACATAGGGCGAAGCGTATGTTTGCATTACTTTGGCCAAAGCTGTCAGTGGTCCCCTGTCCGTGTTTACCGCACGAGAATCGAATCATTTTAAGTTCACGATAATCTACGTAGCGGCTTCCCCCTTTTGTCAGATCCGGCCTTACGAAGGAATCTCATTGGGGCCCGCCAGTATGCCGGCGCGATTATCACCATGCTGAGATGGGCAAAGTATAGTCGTCCCCAGGTGAAGGGGCCGGCGTGGAGTAGTAGCCTTCATAACTACGGCCAGGGGGGGTTCACGCCTTCAACTGCCGTGCGGCGGACCTCCCGCGCGCGGGATCAGTGACGAGCCTTCTGTTAGGTGACCGTTGACTGCGGCCCTCCGTCTCAACACCAGGGTGACTTTGGCCGGCGCGCGGGCTTGCGGGCTCGCGGGCGTGGTCAGAGACGGCCTGGGAACTGCTACATAAGTGTGGTAGACCTACCTGGTGCTCCCGAGACTCAGTGCCCGGTGGGGATCAAGGGCCAACATCGCTGTCAGCACGACGGCGTCGCGTGGGCTATCTCTAACCGAGATCTGCCGCCAACGTTCTGCCAGGCATGATTGTTTTGAGCTGAATTACAGCGTGGATTGTCTTGAGTCTCCCGTCGCCGGTAGAATAACTCTAGGGTATTCCAAGGAGACCACGGTCAGGATGGCTCTCAGGCTCGCCACCTGGGAACTCCAGCAGACCCTTTGTGCATAATTCGCGCGGCTAAGTCGCCTTGCACAGCTCGCTGCTGCCATCCCGAGAACAGCAGAGATTGTGCGTGCTTCGGATGCTGTTCCAAGCACGGCCCTGTTCACCCCATCTTTCGACGCTCGCAAGCGTTACTTTCCATCGCGCAACACAGACTCATCGCTGACGGGAGGTCCGTCCATGAATCAACCTTGCGTCTGTGAAGCATACTGTCACACAGTCGCTCTGAGTCCAAGTTTCGTTTTCTGAGGTACCCCGCCCCCCGTGAATTTAGGGAACAGGCAGCTATTGGCACCGAAGCCGTCGAGAGTCTGAGCGCAGGCTAGGAAACTAACAAGTACTCTGTACGTCGACTGTGTTACGAGTTCGTGAAGACACAAGTCGACTCAAGAGGGCAAGCGTAAGGAGCCGCGCACGTAGCTCCCATCCGAACCCCGAGACAGATATTCCTGATCACTGGATTGCGCAATGACTGTACGATCAGGGGCTCAAGCGGGTCAGTGTCCCCTCAAGTTTCTCGTTCGAAAGCTGCCACGGGACACATTGCATCTTCATCTTTTCATCACGAGGGATGCAAGCCCTATCCGAATTACAAAAGATGGGCCCGGGCGGGTCGTGGACGACGCTAGACATGGCGTCAAGATTAGGTTCGATCGGGCCTAGAGGACATAGTCGCCTCGCAGGTTCGCCAGCGCTGGCCAAAGCCCAGCAGGGCGTGCTAGCCCAGCATCACAGACGCTCTTGCTCAGTGCTTCTTGTTTCGCTGGGGGTAATTGTGCGAGCACCACAGGGGCAAGGGGTGCTGTTTGGACATCGAGTCTTTCCGGTTTGCCGAGGGTAGCGGTGCTGTATCCGAGTTCCCTTCTACATGCCCCCCTCCGTTCTCAAGGCTGTGGTAATGTGCTCATGGGCTTTGGTATCGAGCCGTCGAATGAGCGGTCTGCCGCTTCCCCTCTTCATCCTGAACGGAACAGTGACTGGCAGCGGAAGCTTGCTGTAGCCTCGCAGACGGCTCACTTCGCGAGGCTTAGGGGAGCATTCAAAACAACCGTCCCTGTTCTTCCCTTCGACGGCTCCTGTTAGCAGAGGAGCCTCAGCCCTGTATTAATTAGGACCTAAAGTCTAAGTTGACGGGAACGATGTGATGGTTCGGAGATCTGGCGTGGTGTTGGTCGTCAGGCTGGCCACAAGGTTTAGCTGTCGTGCGAAGGGAAAGGCAAGCTAGCAACCTGTCAAAATTCAACAGATGAGACCTTGCGCGCCTGCAACAGAAGAGAGGCCCCACGTTTCTTCGCTGTTCGGGGGCAAGCTCGGGGCACTTGGTCGGCTAGGCCTACCCTCGAGTGGACAGATGGGCAGAGGGTCCCCTCAGCCCCCTCCACTCCCGTCTTGCGCTCGTTCGGTCCGTCTTTCAATGTGACCAGGAATGGGACCCAGGAGGGGCAGCTCTCGCCGCGCGAATGTGCCTCTAGCCGGAATGGACGTACAGGAGGCGCCTAGACACGCAATGTCCAGAGCTTTGAAGGGCCCAGGCGTCCTGCGACCCAGATTTTAGTAAAACCTTATACCATCATTGCTTCTCTTTGGCTGAACCACCTGCGAGCGGATGGCGGCACGGTGGACCTGGATGCATGAATTATTCAGCAGAGGCTCGGCTGTCCAACAGGGCGCAGCTTGATGTCGATCCTGGAATGATAATGCCACACTGGAACGCCGCACCCGCATGGATGGCCCGGCTCGTTGTCTCGCAGCTTCTGCCCGTTATCGTCAAATGGAGTGAGCTGTTGCCGACAAAAATGAACATCATCCTCGAAGCGGAGAGCCAATAGGGCCAAGTCTCAGGCCAAGTCGTGACGTACATGGCTTGTCCAGAAAGTTGGGAGGCAGGGGATCCGACGACAAAGAGGCCAGACAGACAGGGACGCTCGTTGTCGGCACTGTGTTGCTTTCACATTGATTGTAGCAACTCGATGGCAGATGACAAGTGGCTGCCGGAAGGGGAAACCTCGCTGGTCCTTAGTCCGGACGAACGCCTTTTCTGGCATGTGGTATGTTATGTCCATTAGCTTGGAAGTCCCAATGTGAGCAAGGCACGGACGCGAGTACGCTAGTCGCGTTGCCAGCTGCCAGGCTGCCAGCTCGCAGGCCTATACACGGGTGAGATCTGCCAACAAGCCATGCGGAGGAGATTGCGGCCATAGCTCGTTCTAGACGGAGATCCTTCAGCCGAAAGATTGACGCATGGGTCAAGGCTCGAAAATGCCCTCTAATGTGTACCAAGGGTAGATGCTACCGCCACGGAATCAGTCTCTGTTGGACGGGCTGCCCATCTCCGTGCTCCTGGCGCCCGACAACCCAGCTTGGCATGTTGTCTCCGCCATCCTCTCGCACCGAAGAGAGCTGAACTGGGAGGCATGCATGGTCCCTGAACCCGTGAAACGCCATGTCAGCGACGATATCATCCTGCCAGATTTGCGCCGCCGTGGTCCCGCCAGAACTTACGTCTGCCGCGATGACCCCGCCTGTATTCCGCTCAAGGTTTGTAAAAATCAAGCATCCATGCTGAGGAGGAGGTTTCTGCCTGCTTGGGAAACCCTACACTGACACATTCTCGGTGGTCATGCGCAGAGCATTCGCTGTGCCACCGTGTCCGAGTATCCAAGCCTAACACACCTCGTGGTTGGCTGATATCGTAGAAAGTTCAAGGCAGCACCCTGTAGTCCAACATGAGCCAAAGAACCACCCGGAATTGCCCTCCTGAGACCGGTTGCGGGAACCAAACAAGCGCGTTGATCTTGCCTTGTCCGGCCGATTGCTGTGTGTGCTCGAGGGGCCAGGGAGCAAGGTGTCATCCACTGAGGATATCTTCGTCAGGCCTGGACTGAACGTACAAGCCAGTCTCCAGCCATCGGTGATCCTTGATTACATTCAAAGTACTGATGCATTCCCCCGACGGTGGGCAATGAGCCACATCGGCCGTGCCAGCACTCCTAGGATCCCAAACACGGCATTGCCGAATTTGGCGCCAGTGCTCTCGGCGGCTTCCTCAGCGCGGGAGCTGAACGGTGGTGAGAGCTGTTCTCTTCAGAATGCTCTGTGTTTGTGGCGGGCCGTATCCTTCGCAGATAGCCTGGGCGATGGAGCTCGCAAAGAACTGAGCCGAGATGTCGCTGTCCATCCTGGTGCCTGAGCACTGCCCCAAAAGGCTATGACCTTAGGTTTCTCTGAGCAAGAAATTCGGATGTTTGAGATGATGCCGCTATCACCGGCGTGGCCTAACGTCAGGACTTGGAAGGCCTTCCCCGTTCTCGAGCGGGCGTCTTCAAGGCTCCTGGCAGAGCTGCAGCGAAGACAGGTTTCACAAGCCCCTGAATGAAGAAACGGGGAGGATGAGCCACCCGACGACGGGAGGGGATCGCGAACATTACGTTATCAAAGCTTGCAAAGACAGGATGGACCCCGACCACAGGATGGCGATTGATGACGGGCGGACGATAGCTTGGACTAGTGTTCGGCAAGATCGATGGCTAGAGTGCCCTTCCTGTATCTCGTTGCCTCGTCTCGCCAAGATGCGAGACGGTAACCGTTGACAGAAGAACACTAAGGACACAACGCGATGAACGTAGCCGGAGAACCAGGCAAGTGTACCTACCCACTATGCACCGTCAGCCAGAACAGAAGCCTCCTCTTTGGCCACGGCGTTCTGAAGCTGTAAAGGCTGCCATAGCTTACAAACCACTAGTGATAGAGATTGCTCCATAGTAGGCCCCAGACGGCAAAAAAAGACTCGGTTGCATGACACCTCCGTAGCATCATTGGTGTTCTGCATCTTGTTGCAAAGATCCATAGAGTGTCAAGAGCCAACTCAAACTGCCCTACTTTTCGTTCATCAGCGCTGAAAAGTTGCGAGCCCATCGAGATTTGGCGTTATGCTTACAACCGTGGAGTACTACAGCCGTGAGCCGCAAAGCTTGGCCGAGCATATGAGGTGTGTCTATCACAATCATGTTGGTCTTGTCGACCTTTGACGGCCAGACGGCATCTTGAGGCCCGGTTGGGCCGCCGGCAACAACACCGTGGAAGAGAGGCTAAGCCGAGCCATTTGCCGTTCGGAGCATCATCGATCGGCGGGGGTCCGTACTGCGGTCATCTTGTCTCTCATTGGCGCAACGCACGACGACTGACAAATGGAAACTAGCACACGAATTGCATGTATCTTTCATGGTGCTGGAAATGAGCTGCTGCCACTTTTTTTTTGTTTTACGAAAGATGCGCTCCAATGCAGTGTCGTGGCCGGGGTTCTCTGCGTGATCAGCAGGCAGGGAGCTTAAACTATGCCAGCTCAACACGTCCCAGGGAGGTGTTGAGCCGGGCCGACCCCACCCTGGCTGTGCTTTGCTGTCGTACAAGACTTCGGAAGTGGTCACGTGTGCGCGCGGTGATGCATTGTGCTGCTGTAGTGCTCAGACGTGGTTCGGGTTGTGTGTGTTGGTCTCAAATCTGAGGCTATTCCTGCCTCGTGATAATTCAAAAAGCTTGGCTGGGCAATCGGCCGTCAGACGCCAACCTCTGGCTCGCTGGTCCCGAGTCCCGACCCCAAAGGTGGTCTGTTCGGTACCATAGCCGCGGGAATGACTAGCCATAGTAGACTAGGTCGCCGCGTCAATGTGAGAAGGATGATCGTGTTGTAGTGCGGGGGAGGGCGGCACATTCGAGGAGGCTGAGGGCTTCATTGGCAGATCCACCTGTGAGAGAGGCCGATGTAAGCCAGGAAATCCCAGGTGTCTGGGAGGGCTGCCAAAATGCTCAAGATCTTAACCCTGTGCAAATCATCCAGAGGGGGGGCTTGCCTACTGTGGTACTGCCTGATCAGACTTAGCTGGTGCCTAGCCCGAGCGCCGAGCAAGCGCACTGTGCACATTGTAGCTGACCTGGTACAGGAGGGACTGCTGAGAGCCTGGGCCGACCGATCGTATACATGCTTGCCGATAGCCCACTATGCATGCGACAGCCATGACAGGATAGCAGAAGGGACATGAGTTCAGTCGCGGTACCCTGTCATCCGCGTCCTCTCCTGTCTCCTTCGTTTATTGCGCAGACGGCCTGCCCCGGACCACAGCTGTTGGCCGAGGAAAGCTCCTGTGTCCACAGTCCCGGCGGTACGGTCGACTTCCGAGGGCTGCAACTGATCGGACGCCGTTTTGAGTTCTTGTGTTCACCGCAAAGATGGGCCCCCCGTACCAGTGGCGGTTGGTCTTGAAAAGCACCACCCCCCCGGTGACGCAGGCACATATTCGGCAACCTTTCGGACCTGCGCGCTGCTTGCCTTCATAGGATGTTGCGACCTTGTACAATCCCGCAACCAGAAATAAATTGGCCCCCGGTGGGTGCCACGTCGAAGTTCAGCCGTTCCAGCAGGAGTTACCAGCTGGGCGGGAGTCGTGATGGGCAAGGGTCTGTGCCACGATCCTTGCAAAGCATAATTGATAGCCCGAAGCCTCGGCTCGGTCTGCGCTTATGGCTGACCAACTTTCTTATCGCGACAGTGTGGCGGACGCTGCAGACAGGACACCATCCCCGCTTCTGGAGGAGGACCGACGGGACATTGCGGTGTAAGGCGTGCAGCATGCCGAAAGAGCGTGGCAGTCACCCGGACGAGCATGTGATGGGTCCGTTGTCTTTTTTTCTTGTGGCAGGCAGGTCATATCTTCTTGAGGAATCTTGTGAACAAGATCCTTTCGATCATCGAGTCTGTACATACTAGTAGTAGTAGGAGCCCAGGGTGTCGGATGCAACAACCCCTGCTCTCGATCAGCTCGCTGGCAAAGGTGTGTTGCGGTGTGGCGTTCGCTGAGACCAATGCCGTTGTTACCCTCCCTCTCGCGCGAGGGAGCTGCATGCCCCGGAGCTGTGTGATCTGGAGCAATTTTCTGGAAATTCGGTTCCAGATCCTAGTTTCGCGCCAGCCGTGGGTTAAAATTGGGTCTAGACTAATTAGGGATGGCCCAATAGCCTCCGTCGGGGCATGGGCGGACTGCGTGGGCTCAAGATGGATGCTTCATCAGGATCGATGTTCGATGCGACTGATGCTGCAAGCCTGGCATGCAAGGCATGGGCCTGAAATTGCGCAATGAGAGAAGATGCGCCCCGGGACGGTGTCATCTGCTGGTCCGTATGACCACCGACCGGGCTTAGTATTGGCTGGACGAGCTACCTGCGTCAGATCCATGCAGTTTCGCCCGAGGTGAACAAATGAGGATGGCCTCTCACTCGCCAGCAGCAGCCAGGGGCGGACGCGGACGAGGAGGAAGACCGCGGGAAGGAAACGTGGTTCAAGCAGAAGACGGAGGGGGAGATGTAGGCTGGCAGGCTGGTAGGCTGGTCCTCCATTGCATCGTACAGTACGTGTATGCATCCAAGAGAGGTGCGCAGCGCAGGTGAGATGTGACGGGCCAAGGCCTGCGGATGGTGCAGCGGCAGAGTCGGTGGTGGCTCTGCTCTGCTCGGCCCAGGGCTGCTCTGGTACTGTGGTAGAGAAGCCTTGGTCTTTTCCCTATCCGCCGGGGCGGTCAGAGGCCGCACCTCTCGTGTGCGGTGGCACCTCGCAACGGGGCCCCTCTCCAATCACTGGGCGGGCAGGCCGAGCTCGTTTCCGTGCAGGCATTGTCAGACAGCGTCAGGTCGGGGGTGCTCCTGACTGCCTGACTGCGCAAGGCCAAGTACCGCATGATTGATGACTGCGGGCGATTGGCAGGGAGGTGATCAGATACATGATTCCCGGGTCGATTCTTTCCCACGTTCTTTCTTGGTAACATGGTGAGTGGCATGGTGACACGGATATCCAGACGGCTCGCCAGGCCGAGCGCTAAATTCATGCCATGCACCGTACCACAGGTACCTCGTCATGGAGGCCGGACTAGCGAGGCAGGCCTTCTGCACATCAGTGGGTAACGCCACGTGAGGTCCGTTTTGGCGGTTGCAGACCTCGGGATACACAGCGTGATGTCGGCCTGATTGCCTGGGGGTAATTTTCCAGAGCCCGCTCTAAGCTTGTGGGCGGCCCGTCGCCCTTGGTCGACGGAGTTGCTGCGGCGGGTTCGGTTTGGATCCTCGCACAAGAGGCGGGAACGTCCGGGTAGGGGCACATCCGCCCCTCAGTGAGTTGTGACTGTCTGACTGTCGGTCGACTGCCTGGACACGCACGGACGTGTTCTCGATCTGCAGAAGCCTGCACGGGCGGCGTGCTGGTGGGCGTCGTGTGGTGTACATGGTACGCAGTGCCACAGTGCACATGATTCGGATACGACATGCTGCACAAAAGGCCCATCGTAAAACGGGGTGCTGAGGCGGTCCAGGGCCCGCTCGCGAGAAGGTCGACAACAAGATTGGCGCAGGCGCATGTGCAGAGAGAAGGGGCAGAGGCGGAAGCCTCGGAATCGGGTCACCACCGGCACAATATTTCCGTTGCTTGTGGTTCTCAAGGGTCTCGAGGGCCCACCGGCAGCAGCAGCAGGAGGAGGCGAATCCCTCACACGCCTGGGCGTCGCTTGGTCGCTTGGTCGCTGGGTCGCTGGGTCGCGGCGGCAGGTGGTCTGGTCTGGTCGTGCAGCATCCGTGCCTCAGGAGCTCGGGAGCAGGTACCAGAGGAGGCAAAGGGTCCAATCTCGGGAAGTTGCCGCCCGCGCACACCTGATCCGACACCTGCTGTCGAGAGGGCTGCTGGCGAGGGCTGCGAGTGCACGGCGTGTTGATGTCAACAGGAATAGGCGGGGTGAGGCCATGTCCAAAATTGAGTCGGGCATGGCATGGCATAGCATAGCATAGCATGGCATGGCATGGCATCGCGTTAGCAGATACGCTTTTTTAGTCGAACCCGACAGTCTGGGTCGGAGAGAGATCTGACAACGGCCCTACTGCGCAAAGGCTTCCTTGACGCCGCTCACCAGGTTCTTTAGGGTGCTTGCTAAATTAGTGGGAGACGGCACCGGCAGTCCAGGAACAGCCCGCCCGCCCAGGTGGGTTGCGAGGCAGGTAGGCAGGCAGGCAGGCAGGCAGGCTGGCTGGCTGGCTGGCTGGCTGGCTGGCACGGCTGCTGGCGGGCTTACAAGGCAAGCACCAGCACCGGGAGGACTAAGCTTTGTTAGCATCCTCGAGTCACGTTTTCCCCGAGACACCTGACACGGCCGGCCAGGCCAGTCTAGATGTCCTCGCCATTATCATGCTCTCCACAGTTGACACTGTGGTTGATTTGATGTTTGAGCCGTCAGCCGTCAGCCGTCAGCTGTCATGGATTGATTGTTGGACTGCGTGGGAGGCTTGGCGGTGATCAAGCAAGGGGCGCAGGGGGGAGGGGGACGAGGGCAGCAGGGCAAAAGGAAACAACATCAGGTGAAAAAGCAAAGAGAGGATTGATTGATTGACAGGCCCATCGATTACTTTCCAGACGTCATGGCGCCTGATTCAACGTTGAGTATGTCCCAATGTCTGCCTGCCGCCCTCGCTCAAAGACCCGAGACATGGCCGGAGCTTGACTACTCCGTACCTCTCCCCTTCCCGACCGTGTGAAGAGAGAGAGATGCTTGAAAGAAAAGGTTTGCATTGCCAGATCACCAAGCTGTGTGTGCCAAGAGGTTGCACGCATGTGAGGATGCCCCAGTCATGGTGTCATTGTTGCCATCGGGTTGATCAGTCTCGAGTACGTACGGAGTATGATGCAAATACATGCACAGATTGGCGTCGAAAACAGGAATCTTGGCCCGGGGACTAGGCCAGTTGATCCACAACCCAGGGATTGCTGCACAACCCCCCTTCCCAAGCACATACGCGAAGGCCTCAAGGCCCAACAAGTTGACAGTCTCTCGAGAACCCCCGAGTTGTACTCCGTGCTGCGTATGCCTCCTCGACCATGCCCATGGGTCCAAGCCGAGGGAGCAATCTCCTTGCATCCCATTGTCGGTCGCACAGACAGGTTCATCTGGACAGCGGTGAAGAGACCGACAGCATTGCCTGATTGCATGTGCTGGATAGAGCAAGGAACGGCAGGATGCAATTTTCAGATTCCCATTCCCAATCCCATTCCCCGTGCTGGCCCGCCTCGTTCAGGCATTTCACCTCTGGCATCGATCTACAATGTCAATCTGACCTCGGTTCGATGCTCCATTTGTCGGTCGGGCGTTGACAGGACCACGATTCAACATACCAGCGTCCGGTAGCTAGCACTAATGCGGCTCTGGCACGCTAAGAGTCTAAACGTCGCTTCCACTCCCACCTCCTAGCGCTGGACGAGGCTGCCCCAGACTGCCAAAATGACCAGGTGCTGCCAGGCCACCGCTTGGTCCCAACCCAGCCAGCCCAGCCCAACTCCATCCCTCCTCTTCCCGTTCTCTGGAACCCACAAGCAGCAACAAGCGCGCCAGATCTACGAAACTACTCTTACCGAGAAACTCTAAATCACGTCCTCTCGGCCACCTCGTCCACCGCACCCCAGGGCCTCACCACCTCCCACTGGGGTCTGACAACCGACCGGCAATACACACACACTATTACCCTGCGAGAATCCGCCGCCGGCTAAATTGTAATATCCCACATATCGATTCCTGTCACACCGCTGCGATGCGGCTGACAGCCCTGACACCCAGGGCTGCCAGGGCGAGCTGCCTTCGAGCTGCCTGGCTGCTAAGCCTCGACAGGCTGGGAGATGCCCACGTGCAGGCTTACACCACTTACACTTTGGAGCCGGTATCCCTGGCCTCGATCCTCGATCTGCTTGTTCCAATGTCTGTGTGCTGCGATGGAGCCCTTCACTATGACTGCGCCTGTGGGGCTGTCGCTCGAGAATCACATGTGGGAGTCATGGTCACCAGCAGACAATTCCCACTCTGACTTGGGCAGCAGAGATCGTTATCCAATGACGGAGTATTCCCAACCAGCGCTCTTGAGTCATTTTGCCTCAAGGCCCACTCGCCTCCATCGTGTCTCATGCCTGTCAATATCGACCCCGACGCCGCGGGTCGCCGGAGCCGAAGCGGCACGCTCAAACACAGTCTGTGGCTGAGAGTTCAGACGCGCCTTACGCTGCCCAGCATAGACTACGCTCTGTCGTGCATTTCCACGGGATCACGACCAGGCTCAACAGTGCAAGGGGACCCCTCTCCGAGCCTCTATTGTTCAACAGCGACGTGTTGGCTTACACAGACTTGTGCATAATAAGCTGATAGATGAGCCGTACAAAACATCCTTGATCGGACCTGGCTGAATGGACCAGGGACGGCAGGATCGGCATGTAAATCCGTCTCAAAAGCCCTCGGCCGCTTTCGACTGCCAATTTCCCCCATCATGATTCCTCACCTACGGAGGGGTCAAAAAAAAGAGGCTGCATCAACGGTGAGTGAAGAGAATGGATTCCGTTTTCGAGCTCTGAAGAGTGCACGGCCCAGCCATTCTCACGCGCCAGGGTTACGGACTGCGGTGAGAACGGGTCTCTATGCTGGGAGGAGGATGGTTCTCCTCACATAGACCCATAGTCTGTGCTGGGATTAACAAAGCTTCACCTTGACCAGGCTTCCAGCGATTTGCTCCTGACCCTGGTGCCGTCACATCCTTCCTGCAGCGATGCATCTGGAATGCCATGCCAAAAGGATGGGCCCAGCCATTCTCCCCAAAAGTACGGGCCCACACCTATTGGTGCCCACCAACTTTCTCAGGTTAGCGCCAAAATCTACATTGAAGATCTTCCAGGATATGGTGATGCTCCCACAGTGTGCGGCGGCCCCGGAGCTTTCCGCCCTCACACTGTCTGACCCTCAGTGGCCGCGAGAGAAGAGGCGCCCATTTCTGATGAGCCTCCCCCCCATCCTCGCCAATCTTCATCCTTGCATATACGACTGCATAGCTTCTCGTTGAGCCGATCCATTCAACCTGACATCGTACGGTAGGTATATCCATGGCTGCCGGTTGTGTGGTACGATGCGTACAATTTCGACTGTTGTATCCGCCGTCAATTGTTTCTGTTTTTTTTTTTTTTTTTTGAATTGGTTGTTCTGGCCGGCCATCTGAAGCAGACATGGCAGAGCTACTGATAACCTGGAGCCAGGCGACGACGAAAAGTGATGTGGGTAATAATAAACCTCTATGAGATATACTCTGGGAAGGGGCTGCTCGAGCCAACCTTGTCACTGCAGTGCTGCTTTGGCTATCCGAAGTCCTTCGGGCCACTCACTGGTGACTTTACCATGTACTGCGCAGTGTAACATCGAGATTTCTCAGGGTGGCATTGCTTCGGCTCCAACCAGTCAAAGGGCATCTGCCTTGGCCGCGCTTACTGCTAACATCCCAGCAGCTGGGGGGAGACATTTCTCTCAATCTTTCCCAACGCCACCCTCCCTGCCGCTCAGACTGACTGTCTTGTGTGCTTTTCAACAGGCGTGCGTCGCCATGACCGCAGCACACCTCTGGCCCCAAGACTTTCCCAGGGGCAAGACTCGCAGCTACTCACCCCTTCTGCAAGAAGCATTGCGAGCGTGGTTCACGCTTGTCTGCGAGATTGAACACAGGGACCAGGGTCCATTGTTTGGACTCATCGGAGACATGCAATTCAGCTGCCCAGAACCCAAATCGGCATACACAGGTAGACATGCCGGGAGATCCCAGGCAGTGGAGGGTGGGCACGCTGGGCTGCCTTTAGAAAGTTTCGTCAAGCCACACGTCGACCACACCCACCGCGCCCGGGGGGTGGGAGCTCTGAGACTGGTTCATTTTGTCCAACTGTAGGGAGAAAAGTGGCCCCTCAACCAGCGGCGCCCATCACACCCACCGCAAATACCCGTACAGTAGTCGTCAGACACCTGACACCCACAGGACCGCGGCGGGAGGGCATTGGGAGATGGCCGTGTCATCGTTGCCTCTGCCGGTGGCCAAAGTGCGAGTCAAGAGAGAAATGATCCGGAACCGGCGAGGCGACTCCTGGGTCGGCTCGGCAGGAGGAGGTATCCTCTTGGCAGGCAAATTGAGACAAGATTTCAATGTAGGATAGTTCCGTGTTGTGCGTGCTGTAGCTGTGGGATGCGCATTGCATAGTCAGGTCCCATTTTCAAGTTTCCGCCTGGCCGGTTGCTGGCGGGCTGGGCTGGCGGGCAGGCGGGCTGGCGACGGGCGACTACTGTCACGTCCTGATTATCAGTCTTAGTCTTACTGCTGGACTGTGCTGCGCTGCATGGTACGGAGCACGGAGTACGGAGTACATTCGTGACCCACAGATACCTAGGTACCTACCTCTTTGTAGCTCCGCATGCATGCGTACGACCAGGTGGGTGGGTGTGTGGCAGGCCCGAAAGAAGTCTCCATGATACATCAGCTGGCAGACGGCTTCTTCCATTTCCATTGAGGGCGAGCCTGGGCGCCCACAGCATCCTGGCCCGGGTGCGTGCCCACTGATCAGCCAGTATTTTTTTTTCTCTTTCCCACTCCTGCCAGTCTGTCCGATGGGTGCTGAGGGCAAGCAAGGACTGCAGGCGGTTGATGGTGGGTGGTGGGTGGTGGTTGGCCGGGGGTAGGGGGTAGGGGGTAGGGTAGGGGGGTAGGGAAGGGGGGCTCTCAGGTTTCGTACACCAGGGAGAGAGCGCTGGGAGCGGTTCAGTGGGCGAGTGAGCCAGTGACTGCCAGACAGCAGCTGGCAGGTGGTGAGCGAGTGACATGGGGAAGCAAGTGAAGGAGAGAGCATTGACAGCTGGTCCTGGTCCCAGTCACGGCCCTGGTCCTAGTCCTGGTTGGTGGTTCTGAGGAGGTGTTGGAAAGGTCTCAGCCCGCCTTCCTCCGCTCGAACTGTCGAATGAGGCAGTACCCCACTTCCTTACTTCCTTGCCTCCGTGTCTCCTGCCTCCGTGCACAAAAATTCGGTTTACACGCGCAACTCGAGCGCACGGGCCACCTTAGCCACTCTCTCGACGCCGCCGCAGTAGGCAGTAGGCACAAGGCAGTCGTCCGTCAACTACCTTTGGTCTCTTCTCTTGGGTAGGTACGGGCGGTACCCTCTGCTGCTTTCCAACATTGACCTTTCCGCTTCCTCCCAAGCTTCGCCTTTCTCATACCCCCCCCTCATCCGATCCACCTCTAACCAGGCCAAATTCTTTTCTTGACCACAGTCTGAGGCCCCCGCTGACTGACCAGAGTCTTGTCGTGTCGAGGACGCTCGCCCATTAATCACTGCCCGCACTAAGCAACGCTACTGCCCATAGCAGCTAGCAGCATCGCGCTACCCCTCCGTGGGTCTTGACGAATACCCGCCGATGCTCACTCGCGCGCCCAGTGCAAACAGGCAAGGAATCAGCAGCTGATAGAGAGCACACTCGACAGCCTCAGGACGGCAGACGGCCAGCATACCCAGGTGGCCCAGCACAGCGCGCCGCCCAGGCTGGGACTCCAGGTTTGCCCACAGGACGAGGTGCAGCTCGGAGACGGCGAGAACTACTGCGACAGTACAACCTCGAAAGGGCTTGGGGATCATCGGGCAGCCACATCGTGATCTACGTTTCCCCAGGTGCAGCAACGCAAAGCACAGGTACTGGCTGCATTGCGTGCGTGCATCCTACTCAGGTACACGCCTTTTGCCGTCAGGGCGTCTTACCCCGTCGCGCCCTCTTGTCTCCCCCCCCCCTTACACACCTACACACACCTACACAGTACCTTGGGCTCGTGGGTGGTGGTCCAGACCAACCGACCGACCGTCTGGGGGGACCAGGGTTGGAACTCTATTACGGAGTGAGAGGCGGTATTTTCATCGCTGAAGTGACTTCGATCCATCCACCCATTCACCACAGCCAGGCAGTCGGGAGCTGCTGCTGCGCTCTGCTCGGCTTCTGCTCTCTCGCTCACTCTCACTTCCTTGCTCGCCCACCCCTCTCCTTCCCTCTCGCCCATCCGCCGCCGGGCAGGCCTTCCTTCCGCCTCCTGCCTTGCGACTTTTTTTTCTTTCTCCACCCGGGGGGACCTTTACCTGCTGCAGCGCACCTTTTACCAGGCCACCCCTCATCTTACCCTCACTCTCACCTCACAATCAAACAATTTCAAATCCTGGACTGGTCGCCTCTCTGTCTGCTGGGTTACTACCTTGTCCCATCAATCCGGTCTCGACCCTCGACCCTCGATCCTCGAGACCTTGTAACCCCCAGTATAAAATCGCGTTGCTGCCCACCTGGCCACGCTAACCCATCCGATCATCCCTCCTTCAAAATACTCAAGTACCAACCAACCTAACCCGGGTAGCCCTTTCGTTTGACGGCCCCCGACACATTTTTTGGCGAGCTGCAAGTCACCTTAGGCTCGCTCTAGATCTCTCATACCTCGTCACTCCCACGAGGCGGAGCCATACATCACATCAAATAATAAGCATTTGCTGGTTGCGGAAATCCCACCAGCTCACAACACCCCCAGCCAGATAATTCTCCGTTCGCCTGATTTCATCACCTTGCTGGTGGTGGTGGTGCTGGTTGATCCTTCCAACCGCAGATCAACACACAAGACACGACAAGACACGACGCCTGTCAGGACGGACCCGGACTGACGATCTCATCTCCTGGCAATTCAACAAATCGCCCTGGTCCTCACACCCCTCAACTCCCCAGCAACACGCTATTTTAGTTGCCATCTCTGCCAACTCCGGGGAGCATCACTCCAGAGCACGGGGTCTACATAGCCGGAACAGTGCAAGGACAGTTGTTCAGTCCCTCGGACAGACGGCAGGCAGGCAGACATAGAGACACCTGTGAGAAAGAGACATCCACATCCCGCTCGAGCATCAGACCCGGACCCGGACCCGGACCCAGACCTAGGCCCCAGCCTTCCTTACTTGCACTGGCACTAAAATAGTGTCGTGCTCGCGCTATCTCTCCTGGAGGCTCCACCACGCCTTCTTCCTCGCACTAGGACGGAGTACCGAGTACGTTCAGGGTGCTTGCACCTTGTGTCCTTTTTTTGGTGCGAGATTTCGCGCCTGCTAGACTGGTTGAACGGACTCTACATCATCCAACCTTAAAAGCTGCCCCGGCCGCTCTTACGTCTGCTAGCGCGCACCCGCTCTCTCGTTGGAGAATACATATTGCACACCCAGCTCCAGGACGGACAAGGCCAAATCTTCCACATTGCATATCACACAACAACAACATCTTTCTGTCAGCCGGCCTCATATCCTGTTGCAGTACCAAGTCGCCTTGATCCACGCCCCGCATCGTCACTTGATCATACCCGACCTTCTAGGCTTCACGTCAAGCAGGAGTCGGTCGTCAGTCGATCAGTCAACACAAAACCCGTCTTAAGCCGACCGCTGCTCCCCTACCGCTTATGGACAGAACGGCGAACGACTACTCAGGTTTGCCTTCGCCGTATCCCAGCAACTTTGGCGACTCGAGGTCTGAAGCTTCACTATCAGATCCGTCGTCTGCTCAGCAGTACTCGCAGGCTGAGGGTCGACCAAGCGGTTACTCCGCCACGCCTACTCCCACGTCCGAGTACACTGGTTACCCGACCTCGGCGCGGTCAGAAACCTTCTCAAATCATCTTCAGCATCGCGCATACCACCAGTCAGGTGTTGGAGGCACCAGTATGGCGCAGCCACCCCCAACAAGTCCGTCCATGCCTTTGCAAGATGGACGCAACCATCAAAACCCCCAGCCAGACCACCAGCAAATCAAATCTGACAATGATGTACCCATAGACCCCAGCATAACAGCTCCGAGCCCCACGCAGTACACGTACCCACAGAGCCCTTACGGACAGCATCCAGACATGGGCCATGGATACGCGCACTCGAACGTGTACACGCAACCGCGACCAGACTGGACTGGGTACGGACAACCCGGTGCGCCTATAACGCCAGGTCACCACGTATTCCCTCAGACCCCGACCAGTGCCTCAAGGCCCAACGCCCAGGTAGGTCTCATCGCGATGCCCTTCCTATCCGGCCGACTGGACCTACTCTCAAGCCTGGCGTCTTCCTCGCAGCCACCGGAAACCTGTGAATTTGTTTGGGGAACAGAAACTGATGATGATTATCTAGGTATACAGCTTTGTGCCCATACCGGGGGCACAGCAGCACAAGCGACCTCGTCGACGCTACGAGGAGATTGAACGCATGTACAAGTGCGGATGGAATGGCTGCGAGAAGGCATATGGCACTCTGAACCACCTCAACGCTCACGTCACCATGCAATCGCATGGACAGAAGCGTGTTCCCGAAGGTATGCTACCACAAAATTTCCTGCAGCTCCGGCACTCATAACCAGGCGGAGCGGTGGCGGTACATTGACGTACCACGGAACTGTCGCCCCCCAATTCTGAGCCAACTCATCGCCTGTCACCGCCCCTGTCTAGTTGTGGACCTCTGAGGCCGCTTTTACTGACACTTGGCTTTCGTATGCAGAATTCAAAGAAATTCGCAAGGAATGGAAGGCGCGAAAGAAGGCCGAGGAGGCCGAGCGCAAGGCGCGGGAGGAGGAACAGGCACGGGCGGCACCGGGACAGAATGACCCCCAAGGAGCACACGATGGCCAGCAGTCCGCCGGCGGGTACGCATCAACTCGCCTGCCGCCGATAGGGTATCAGCCGACAAACTACCCAGCCCCGCCCAACGTCTCGATGCCCAACGAGTACAGCAGCAACTACATTGCTGCAAGCGGTTACAACCCGCAGTCGCCTTACCAGCAGTCTCACAACCAGGTGTATGGCCAGCGTACGTATTGTCCGGCGGAAGTATAGTTGTTTTGCCCCCTTGTGCGTGCTGACTTTGCTTTTTCTAGCGAACGGTGGTCAGCCTAACCACTGATTCTGCTTGCTCCTTTCATGCACGACCAGCTGATCCTAAGAAGCGTTAGCCAACGCGATGCAGCAACGAATGTCGAGCATGACCTAATGCGGCAACTTGGACAGACTGTGGTGGCGGACCACTTTGGCCACCCCACAACACCATAGGTGGATGACACATGCGCGCGCAGGCCACCGAGATGGCCGTCTGATCCCGACAGGTGCGAGCTTTTAGGCGAGTGCTAAGACAAGACGGGGTGGACGTGGTGGGATCTATACCCATGCCTGGGAACACTTTTCGGCACGACATCATGCGGCATGGAAAGTCGATGAAGTTATGCCCTGGCGCTTATTCGATCCGTGGTTTCGTTGCAGTAGAATTACCACAGAGGCAAATTATGGAATTGAGAGAAAAGGAAAAGCAAAAAAAAAGTCAGGGGGTGGAATACACGAGAGCATCACGGCAGTACACGTGCCTGGTGGTCGACCAGCAGTCGGGGGAGAAAGTATGAAGTTTGAGAAGTTGGTATTACCGGTCGACAGAGCACGCAGAATCCGCAGCTGCCGAGCCGATGGATGGGTGAGGTTAAGGTTGGGGTTTGCGCACAAGGACCTATGACGCTGAGGAGGCCCGAGGCAACAGCAAGACAGACCGATTATACAGCAATGTAACATCACTGATTTGATATTTGCACAGAGGGAGAGCGATCGAGGTAGGGCACAGGTGAAGTACTGTGAGAAGTGGACTACCTGGAGGAGGCTGACCGTAAGGGGCAGACAATCACAGCGGATAGTGTGGGATTGCGATGGGCTGCGTGGGCTACGAATCACGAAGCATTTCGTACAGAACAGTGATGGCAGTATGGACTGGTGGTTTGCATGCATAGTGATCACAGGTGGTGGTTATTCTAGGCCTACCGTCTGGGATTTTGGAGTTGTGCGGCTGCTGCTTGGATGCGCAACGTGCCTGCGTATACAGAGGAGCAGACTTGGCAAAAGTACATGGCTACAAGTAGCGCGGCGGTACAGTGGACCGGTACCGCAAGGGGGGGGGCATGCCGTGTACCACATACAACATGCGGGCCCCATGTGTGTAGGTAGGCCAGTGGGAGGAAAAGGCTGGGGGCCTAGTCAAGGTTGTAGTGTAGACGGACAAGCGTTGTTGGAAAAGGAAGGATTTGGGGGGGGGAGGTGGTGGAGGAGGGGGGGGCACGTCTGCATGGCGTGCCGGGGTCAAGGGGGCATGGCTTGACCAGCGCTAGAAACTTTGTACCACCCACCCCTCGGGAATTATGGTTTATGCCCTGCCAATATGTGCCTGCTAGCGTAGTGCAGCTCCTTCTGCCTCTCTCTCTGTGTGCGCGTGTGTCGTCGAGCACCACCACAACCATCATCATCAAAACGTTTGAGAACTATTGTTGACTGATGGAACGGTGACGTTCCTCGGCCGACCTTTTTTCTCTCTTGTCCCTCCCGCATTCGGAATTATCCGGCGTCACCATGTCACATACCGTGATGATACATCAACATCTGTCGAGGCAAGGGGAGCGAGGAGGAGGAGGATGGTCTCATTCGGGGTGGGTTGGGTTTCGAGGGGTGCATTGATGGGGAGGGAGTGGCAGAGAGTGATGAGCGACAGAGAGGAGCGAGAGGCTGGCAGGCTGGAGGGGTCATTCATCTTCCGAGCTCCCCAACACACAAACCTGGTTGGTGGGTTGTGCCAACCGCCCCCCCATCTCATACCCCCCTCCCCCCCGATTCTTTTTTATCTGCTGCCTGCTATTACTCCGAACGCCACCCTGTTTTATTTTATTTTATTTGGTCACGGCCTTCCTTGGTCCTTGGTTGTGGTGGGGTGTGCGGTGTGCGCACGGTGTAGGACCAGGGCGGCATTTATCAGGAGGATGGCGAATGGAGGAGGGCATGTCGGTGGTTGGTGTGCCATGTGCAATGTGCAATGTGCATTGTGCAGTACATATTTTTGTGTTGGTCAAGGTGGCGCTCCGGGGTGGCTGATCAGGGCCGACAGGGCGCGTCTTGCCATGTGGGTTTTTTTCTTTCGCTTCCCTGTCTCATGTCAGCAGAAGGAAGGAGGAGGAGGAGGAGGAGGAGGAGGGGGGGTGGTTGGCCCGGGGAGGCGTGGGCTGCTCTTCCTCCCCAATGTTGTGGGGGGAGCGAGGGGGTGAGGAGATGGATCTCGCACTGAGCTGATGCAGTGCGACAGCCGGGAAGGGCCTCAATTTCTCGGGGGTGGGCTGAGCTTAGCCACCCTGATGTAGCTACCTGCTGACTTGTTGCTGCTGCGTTGCTGTTTTGCTTGTTGTCAGTTCAGCGACGGGCGGGTCAGGTCAGGCCAGGCCAGGCCAGGTCAGGCCATGCTGTGCCTGCCATGCCATGCCATGCCATGCCATGCATTGCCCTTTCTTCATGTAGTCGGGGTGCATATCACGGCATATCCACCGTAAGGAGGCCAACCCGCGGGGGCTGAGGCGAGCTTATGTCTGTTGACTGCAGGTCGATCAGATGTCTTCTGGCAGTCTTCTGGCAGTCTTCTGGGCTCGCCTTGGGGCGCCTGGGGGAACACAAGGCTAAGGCACGTCATCTTTTAGTTCTTGATTCTTGCTTTGTTCTCGTGCGTCTGTGCCTCCCGGGGTTGGACGTGTTGTACAAGGGCATGCTACAGTAAACTGACGTCCGATGATTAATCAATCAGCCACACATCCCAGACCCCAGCTCAATTGAATGGAATCACAAAGGGGGCTCTGCTTCTGCCTCTCTGCTTGTGATACGTGTTTGCTGCAGGTTTCCGGTGCCGGGACTGGGCCCCGGGGATCAGCAGGCTGGATGTATGTATGCATGCATGTATGTACTGTGTAAGAGGGATTGAGAGAGTACACGTCTGTTCTACTATTACTCCGTACTACTTCTCAATCAAGTTCAGCCGTCCCATATTGCCGGGTCCTGCTTTTTTTGGTTGTTGTTGTTGTTGTTGTTGTCTGCTGTTACCCAATCTCACACCATTTTTTATTTTTATTTTTATCATTACGGCATCTTCCCGCCCCCATAGCATTTCGATCCTCTGATGACAGCTCTGTCCAATCCATACAAGCGCTCACTGGCACTCTGGCACTTATTAGACACACCACCACACTGCCTCGTGCACGAGTAAGTTCACACGGCGGGTTTTAAGTTAGGGTGACGCGCTGTCGGGATCTCTTGGGTTCAGGCAGATACGCGAGAAAGTCTAATGCCCGCGAACCCTTGACCTTGTTTCTTGGGGTCCTCGTCAGTCTGTGTTCGAGGGGGGGAGGAGGGGGGAGGAAGGGGGGGGGGCGCGCGTGGGCCCACGATCCCGGTTCATCTCCCCAAGATCGGTCCGTCCGTCCGTCCTTTGGTCCTGCCTGCCTGCCTGCCTGCCTGCCTGTGTCTGTGCCTTGTATGCCTCTATCCCCGACCACCCCTCCCACCCAGGCCACCCCCCTCGTCTCCTCGGACCTGTTGTTTTGGTACTGGGCCAAAACTCAAAATCACGGCTAAGCCACTCTCACCTTCTTCTTTGCACGCCACGCCGCCCACGCGACAACGTCCCCTCGCCAAACCCTCTTTTCCCCACGCGAATAAGAGTACTCCCACCTGGGACAGCTTCTCCACCCACCCACCAGGTGGCGCAAGACTGGCGCCCTGAAGCTTTCCTGACCTCGTTTTTAGTTTCCCATTCCGGGAAGAGGGACCGTCTCATTCGGGAGCGGGTGCGCGACTCGAAACCGAGCGCGCCACCCCTTGCCCCGGCCTGGTGCCCAACCCAGCAGCCCAGCAGCCCAGGCGCCCGAGCTTGCGAGACAGACCGAACGAACACGTACCGGCCAACCCCCCACACCCCTCGATCGAGCTTAAAAACCTTAGGTTCTCGCAGAGACCGGACGAAGCTTGGCCACTGGCCGATGTGACCGTGCCGATTATCCGGTCCACTAGACAGACGGCCGCCGCCGGCAGTCCCGGTGGCCTGGCACCTGGGCTGAGACTCTGTGACGGCGGCGATGGCGGTGCCGGTGCCAATATACGTACGTACACACTTACAGTACACAGTAATCTGTACACACACACAGCACACAAGGCGGGAGGGACTAAGGCACTGCAACGGTACACAAAACACCCAAGGTGCCCACAAGGCCTGCCGCAACGTCGCCGGTCCGAGTCGCCCCGCCCGTCCCGTCACGCACCCTGCTGCACGTCTCCTTGCTGCCCCCGGCCGGGCGCACACCCACTCTGTCCGTCACCCGTCACCCCGTCGATCATTTGACAACGGGCCCGACACAAGGTCTGTGGGGCCGCGAGCGAGGGAGACGACCGCAGCATCGGTGAGGGTTTCCACTTTTTTCTTTCCCGCACCCGACATCGCACACCGAGGGAACCGTGCCCACTGTACCAGGTGACACCGAGAGAGGACGAGGACGGGGCGGCGCGAGCCCTGCGACTCTTACCTGTTCCTGCAAATGGCCTCTCGTGCCGAGGTGCTGTCCTTGGTGGTGTTACGTGACGAGCCCGGGCAGGTCAGCGTCTTGTAGTTCTGTGGCGCCGTTCTGTACCTGGTGCCAAATGACAATTGATCGGGACCTCGGGTCTCCCAGGGGCACGGCGCACTTGGCCGCCACTCGACCGGCCCGGGCAGCCCGGTTGCTCCGTTAGCATCTTTCTGATCTATGTTGTGGTTTTAGTTTGTTTGTGGGGAAACCTGGAAGGTACGGGCAGACTATACTAGTATGATGGGGGCCAGAAGGGGGAGAGACAGAGAAAAAAAACGACGAGTCACTTCCCAAGGCCGACCGGCCGTTGATCGACGGCCGGGGGTGTTGGCGCCAGGGACTGCGGGAGCGAAAGGGTGGATGGGTTGGGGGGGGGGGCGCGGGTGCACCAAGCAAGCAAGGCTGCCTGTCGGCCGAAAGAGGCATGGGGGTTTGGTCGCTCCGTGCCGAGTCGGGTCGTGGTGGTGCCCGGCTCGGCCGGTCGACTGCCTGGGCCGGTTGGTGTCTATAGCAGAAAAATGAAACCCAGTTGGTTCGTGCATGAATGCTGTTGCTAGTGCTTGTGTAGATGGGCTGCTGGTCATACATACTGCACACTATATAAAAAGATACACACACCTTCGCATCGCGGGTTAACGAACACTGTCTTTGAAATCACATGTGCTTGTAGGGCACGCCTCAGCCTGAGACGTCACCTTGTATGACCTGGGTGCTTGTGCTTCTCCATGATTTGCTTGGCGTGAGCAATGTGGTCAGATATGATTGAGCAGGCCATCTACCTGACATGTCGGGAACTGTTCCAGCGCCCGAGAATGGAAACGCAAATAGAGTGATGGAAACCGTCAAGGCAGACTTCTGCGTGCGCCTGTACAAATGCAGGGCATGGGTAGCGATAAGGACAAGTTTTGGTTGGACAGAAGTCTAATCAGAGGTGATATGTATGTGTGTGATACGTACGATGCGTCCTGAGACATGACGTCGGCTGCTCTGCAACCTGTTTTCCTACGACTTGGACCTCCTTCGCCCTCTGCGATTTTAATGCCCAACACCGCCGCATCCATTCGGTGGCCCCAGCACACAGGATTCTGACGCTTGAGAATTTGATGATGATGATGACGACGATGCATTTTCCTTGAGGACAAAGAATGGCAGCGTGCTCGCCAACTGTTTGAAGAAGCCCACAATCGTTCCCACCCGTCTTTCGCTTGTCACCTGCGCAGTTGCCAAAACCCGTTGTTTACACGCTGTGGGAGGCTTCGTGCGTGCATCTTGATCCTGCTGCTTCCTCCAGGCTGTCTGTTATCTGGTTTCTGAGCGCATATCTGTCGGTCGTCCAGCACGACTTACGTTCAATCAGCTACAGTATGATGGAGTCAACAAGTCCCGACCCTCTGAGTCAGGGGGGAAATCTCCAGCAGTCGGCCCCGACAGATGACGGCCGACCTTCACCAGTCCCCATCCCGAGGGCATCACTTCACAGGACCGACTCAGGCCAGTCCTCGAGCAAGGCGTCCCTGCTCTCGCACCAGTCAGTGCCCGTCACCGGCACCTTTCCCCTCGGCTCTCTCAGGGTCCACCAGGCCATGGACTCCCCCAGGCCGCGGCCACAGCCAGAACCGCCCCGGCCTCAGGAACACGCCGACCCCGACCCGTCCTGCGACGAGATGCCCCCCCTGGACGACGGCCCCGGCGCAGCCCTCGACGGGGACGTATTCCTCATCCTCGACCTGCCCCCGAACTCGACCGTGGGCTGCGACGCCAGGGCCATCAACACCGGCGCCTCCGGGTTCAAGGGCATCCGCGACATCCCGCCCGGCCCGCACTTCGTCTGGGTGTCGGAGCCCGGCGCCCTGTCGCGGTGCGGGTACTGGTTCGTCGCCCAGCCGGGCAGGCCGCGCGTGCGCGTCAAGCAGTGGGACAAGTACAACGAGGTCCTCGCCGAGCCCGCGAGCCGCTTCGAGCTGCGCGACCACAGGGACAACGTCGCCAGCCTGTACCCGCAGCTCGTCTCGCTCGGGCACGGCGGCGTGGGCGACGACGATGAGACGCAGGAGCTGTGGGGCCGCCTGACCTCGGGCGTCAGCGAGGCGCTGCTCGCCCGCGTCACGCGGAGGGCCGGCGCGAGCGAGTGGCTCGTGGCGACCTCGGACACGGCGCAGGGCGAGTCCGGCTTCCCGCAGGCGACGACGCAGCTGTACAAGGCCGTCGTCGGCCCGAGTGAGCTGCAGTTCCTCTTCCCGGAGGGCGATGTCGACCTCGCGGCGGCGGCGGCGGCGGCGGAGCACGACCGAGACCGGCAGGCCGACAAGGTCACGATAGACACATCAGCCGAGATCCTCCGCCTCGTCGACACCCCCGGCACGGGCGCCACCGAGGCCGACGTCCTCGGCGAGCTGCAGCTGACCTTCCTGACCGGCCTGCACCTGACGAACCTGTCGTGCGTCGACCAGTGGTGGCACCTGGTCCTCAAGGTCGTCCTGCGCGCGCACCGCCTCGCCCTGTCGCGCCCGCGCCTCGCCGCCGGCCTGCTCCGCGCGCTACACGCGCAGCTGGCCTACGACGAGAGGTACGTCTCGGCCGAGGGCGAGGGCGGCGGCGACCCCGGGGACCAGGGCGCGGGCATCCTGGACATGGTCCCCGGGAACAAGCGCAAGCTGCGCCGCGCCCTGGCGCTGTACCGCCGCAGGCTGGACGAGCTGCTGCTGGACCTGCCGCGCGGCCGGGCCACCGCCGACCAGGGGCTGGTGGGCAAGGCGTTTGGGGAGCTGGAGGCGTGGTTCTGGAAGTTTGGGTGGGACCTGAGGACGGGCGGTGGCGATGGCGATGGCGGAGCACGGGAGACGACGAGGCGATCCGTCCGCGGCCCAGGTGGTATCATTGGTCCGGACGGCGAAGACGATAATGATGATGACGATGACGATGACGATTACAAGCCTGTTATTGTTGATCTGGACGCTGATGGGCGGGAGGTCGGGCTGGTCTCGTTCAGCTGAGGCCGTTGCTGGAGCACATGTGGGTTTTGGGCAGGCAGTCTGGGTCCAGCCCTTGGTTTCTGAGGCATGCAGGCAGGAGTCATTCACGTGTCATACAGGAGTATCGTTTCTCTATGGGTCTCAGTAACAGACTGAAATAATTTGATGCGCAGGTACTCGCGCATAGGGCACGGTGATCCCTAGACTCCCGGGCGAACATCGTGAAGGCATCGTGTACTGGCTCTGCTCGTATATCCGCCACGATATCCATCTTGCGACATCCTATGGGATGACCTCCTATGGGATAACCTCCTCAGGGTTGATACCGTCTTGGACAAGCCACAGGGGGCTCTCTCTGGTATGCACCATGCAGCGTCTTGCAGGTGGACCTAGGTAGTGTGGTGTTGGGGTAGTAGTACTATATACGACATGCATTGGTTGATACCTCACACTATGAGCATGGGCACGGCGTGGCATATACATTTCTAGATTGCCGGCACACGGTCTTTACAGGAACAAGGCTTTTGGCCATCGAGGAGCAGTCTGATTTGAGACATCTCTTGACGTGGCTGGTGGCAGCATAATACCTCAGCCAGGAGTGTGGCATGGTGTACACCCGAATCTGGTGTCGAGAGAAACACTACATTTTCGTCATGAGTGGTCCAGGCAATTTGTTTGTAGGCAGCGCTGACTCTCGAGTTCTGCCCACGTGCAGGAGAATTGGCTGGCAATCGGCTGATGGTCTGACATGACCACTGCTCGAGTGTACTTTCAACACAGTTGTGTGATTTTTTGACCTGCCTCATCTTTCACATCATCCCGTATGACAGTATACGAGTTGGACTGGACCGGCCTGGCCGCGAATCCAGCCTTCTGTCGCTGTCAATTAGTTGGACCCTTGTGGCATTGAAGTCGGAGACAGGTCAACGGGCAGACCAAGGCACGCACGCTTTCACATTTCGCGGAAGCCAGAATACGCCCGCACAACAGTTGTAATCAAAGCCACACGCTGGATTTTGTTGATTGTTCGTTCATTTGCCGTATCCCTTTACTGCAGCCCGGTGGAGCTTTTTTGCCATGCAAATGCAAACCTAGGAAAATAATTTCCCCTTTTGATTCCGTGTTGATCCATGAAAATACTCCCGATCCGCACGAAACCTGAAAAGACCAACGGCAATCCCTCCCGAGCAGGTAGGCATTGTCTTCTCGTCAACGCCGTGAGGATTCCCTGTTGCCGCCTCTCTATCACCAACCTCCCCAGACCAGCACCACCAGCAGGGTAGTACCAGCAGCACTGATCCGCCGCGCCATTCCGATTGTGTCGACGCTTTAACGGTAGGACTTCTGGAATCTGGCACGGGCACCTGGACCGCCGAACTTCTTGGGCTCGCAGCGACGGTTGTCGGCGACGAGGAGGGTACGGTCGAACTGGGTCAGGGCCTGCTTGAGCAGGTTCTTGGTGTGCTCATCGACGAACTTCTGGTTGTAGGCGATCAGGGCCTTGGAGATGGCTTGTCGGATGGCGCTGTTCACCTGTCAGTATTCCGCGGAAACAAACAGCAGATCTAGGTTACGGCGGTGTCCTTGGTCTGGAAAAAGGTACCAGTAGGACCTGAGCACCGCCATAACCCGAGAGGGGGGCAACGTACTAGACCTGGGAAGTGTGACCACCACCGGAGACACGGACACGGATGTCCAGGCCAGCGAACTTGTCGAGGCCGACAACGAGCAGAGGCTCGTAGACCTTCAGAGATAGCATGTCAGCCGTCCACTCTGCAACTGAGAACCGTCGCAGCCGTAGGATTGTCCTCCTCTTCATGCCCATGTGCCATCTCTTCCATCATAGGACCATCCATCTTCGTCCCTGCCATGTTGACAACTGTGGGGCCGCCTTCCAAAGGGTCCTCCTCGTTTCGTTCATGTTCGTACCTTGGTTCGGAGGATGGCAGGCTCAACAAGCTGCAGAGGGCGGCCGTTGACCTTGATCAGACCCTTTCCGGTCTTGGCGTGGGCGACAGCCTAATTATTCCCATCATCAGTCAGCATTTCTTGTTAAATCCTCTTGGTGGATTGTCGCATTCGAAATCGGTGGGCCGGGGCCATGGGAGACTGACTGTCGCGTTTCGCTTCTTGCCGAAGCACTGAACTGACTGGGTCGAAGCCATTGTTACGGTGGTGGCTGGGGTTGTCAGTGGTTGAGAGGGCGTTGTCGTCGACGGCTCGTTTCAGTGCGATGGATGAGAATTGGGCGAGGATGATTTTTCGCTACTGGCCGCCCAGGACAACCGTCGCTTGTGGGCAGGGAAAAAACGCTATCCCGTATTAGTACTGCGGCACGTGACTTCTTATCTTATCGGTCATGCCCGCGAGCATGCCGAGACATACAACGACAGCAACGTCCAAGTCAATGAGAATGCACTGAGTACCTCTGTAGTTAATTCTAGAATAACACTAGGTCCTTCTCAAACTTGCATCTAGGGATCAAGCGTAGACTAGATCTATACGTCACTGGAGACTGTAGAGACCACCTTTACAATATTCTGTTCTGGAGGCCTCGGGAAGGCGGCCCTGCGGGCAGAGCGATTACGATTACATACAGACATATGCGGCCAGCGCCAAGCACCGAGTATCTCATTCAAGACACTCACCGACCTGTCTTAGTCTCCCAAAAAGTGCCTGCCTGGGCCGAAGCAAGAGACCATGTCACGGAAAGGAGTCGGCCTGGCGGCCTTTGACCGGAGCCGGATAACCTCCGCCCAGTACGCCAGCCACGGCAACACGCTGCGGTCCGCCAACGCCCAGGCCCTCGAGACGCAGCTGTCGGTCTTCAGGTCGCTCCTGCAGCAGTTCGCCCAGACCCACGCCAAGGACATCCGGTCAAGCCCCAGCTTCCGCGCCCAGTTCGCCCGCATGTGCGCCGCCATCGGCGTGGACCCGCTGGCCAGCAGCAACAGCGGCTCCTCCTCGTCGGCCGGCGGCTCCATCTGGGCACAGCTGCTGGGCCGCTCCGTCAACGACTTCTACTTTGAGCTCGCCGTCCGCGTCGTCGAGGTGTGCGGCGAGACGAGGAGTGAGAATGGTGGGCTTATCGAGGTGCGCAAGGTGAAGGAGAGGATCATGAGGGGCCGTATGGAGGGTTCGCAGGAGGTGACCGAGTGAGTCTTGCCACCAAGCTGCCCATGCCACTTCCCAGGCCGTGGAATAAGTTCTGACAAGACGGGATAGGGATGACATCCTACGCGCTGTTGGCACCCTCAAGCCCCTGGGGTCATCTTTCTCCGTCATCAAGGTCGGCAGCAAGCCGTACATCCGCTCGGTCCCAAAGGAGCTGAACACGGACCAGAGCGCAGTCCTCGAGGCGGTCCAGGTCCTTGGGTACATCAGCGTCTCCATGCTGATGGCGAACCTGCACTGGACGCGAGCCCGGGCCGGGACTGCGCTGGACGACCTCCTCGGCGAGGGCATGCTGTGGATCGACAAGCAGGCCGATGAGTGGGAGTACTGGAGCCCTGGCTTCATGATCGAAGCGCAGGAGATTTTCTCTCCTGAATGAAGTGGGCTGAGCTGGTTTGGCCTACACTGCTGCCGTCGAGTCACGTCTCGTCCATGGGAACGAGACTGGTCATCAAGACCCTTGGGTTCTCATCTCTAGGAGACGTAAAACAGTTGGAGAGACAGCCAGGCTGGCGATCCAACCATCCCGACCGCTACGGCCCGATTGCCGACAGCCCAGTCGTACCGTTCGGAGGCAGTTGACACACAGCTGTCGAGTCGTCACACAAAACCTGTTGTCTTCCGGTCGGCGGCAAAGTTGCTTTATTTAAGCTTATGGGGTGCGAAATTAGCACTTTCCGGCCCAGGCACAACTCAACACTCGAGTGCCATCTGTGTGTGATGGTCTTAGTCCACTCTAGTTTTGTCATTTGCACGCATAAGCCTTTTGCCTGTGATAAAAAAGAGGCAGATGCAGATCACCCAGGTGATTCTGAGAGAGAACCAAGCGCGGAATTCAAAACAAACCTCACGCGGATTCACGTGTGAGATGGGACGCTTGTAATAGTTTACTAGACATAGAGTGTTATAGCTGCAGTAGCCTTGGGCTCAGCCGCCCACTGTTACGCTTCGCAACCTCGAAACTAAGGAACTTTTTAATCCATGCATTCAGACTTAAACCTTTTTCTCGTCTGCATGCCCACTCCTTTCCACAAGGAAATGCCTCGCCGTCAAATCCGATGTCTTGAGGCACTGTAGCAGATACTCTAACATGAAGACTGACTGGGACAAACACCATGTCAGCAAAAAGAAAAATGCCAGCCTCTAATTACCCCCAAAAGCCAATCTACGAAAAAACGCCGTGTTGTGCAGAAGCCGGAAGCCTCCTTGTAAGATAAGTGAATCACGTCACAGCCGGTTAGGGAGGGTCACGTCTGGATATACTTGTCCCGCCGCGACTCTCTCCCAGTTGGGCAAATTACCAACGACGGTTGTTGAGTGGCATTGCGTTGGCGCCTCCTGTTCGACGTGTTAGCATGTGCTCGATGTGATTGTTGCTTGTCTATGGAAGGTGCTTACCTCGGTCGCCGCCGCCTCGGTAGCCACCGCGGCCCCGGTACCCACCGTAGCGGCCACCACCGCCACCACCACCGTATCTGGTCATCTCGGCCAGGCGGGGGTCGATCTGCTGCTTGGCCTCTTGGAGGACATTCACGAGATCACGAGCCTGCTTGGAGTCTAGAGCGGTATTAGCAAAGTCTGAGCGCAGGACGGGATGTGTGAAGAGGTACTTACTGTCAGTGGTGAAGAAGGTGATGGCGGTACCCAGCTGGCCAGCACGACCAGTACGACCAATACGGTGGATGTAATCCTCCGAGTTGTTGGGGTAGTCATAGTTCAACACGTGAGTAATGTTGCGAACATCTTGAATAAGTATGGTTAGCAGGCGGCAGTTGAGTGGTATAGCAACGTCCCAGCATGGACAGATGGCATGTGACATCTAAGTATGTTCATGCTTTTCTCGGTGGTCTTTCTCCTTGGCAGGAGGGCTATCCCTTGCGAACATCATTGCCGGATTGGAAAGTCCATTGCTCCAGGGTCCTCGGGCCTTGGGAATCTTGGAGACAGCTTGATCAAGGTCAAGGAATGCCAGCTCTACGCTTGTACCAGAGCAACTGGACAGGTACAAGAGAAGAAGCACGAGTGTAGCACATTCAGTCCGAGGTCTGCTACAATCGTGAACCCAAGACTCCTCTCTCAGAGACCAAAAAGACACTTGCAAGGTCTGGCAATTTGCGCAATCAAGAGAGCCCCTGTACACCAGAGTAAAGCACGTCAAGTAGCGATGCTGGAAGCTGCTTTGGGGATGTGAGAGGAATGGGGGAGGGGCGGGGGTCGGGTGTCGCGATTATACATACCGATACCACGGGAAGCCACATCGGTGGCCACCATGATGGGGCTCTTTCCTGTCTTGAACTGGTCCAAGACCCAGTCACGCTCGTTCTGCTGCTTGTCACCGTGGATGGACAGCGCCGGCCAGCCATCTTGACGGAGGAAACGGGTGATCTCGTCGGCGACACGCTTGGTGCCGGTGAAAATGAGGATCTTGTTGTTCTTGTCGTCCATAATCTTCTCCATGTGCCGGATCATCTTGTCACGCTTCTCTGACTCGTTGCAGACCTCGACGATCTGGGTGATTCGGTGGTTGGCGGCAAGGTCCATGGAACCAATGTTGACCTGGATGAAGTCCTGGAGGAAGTCCTTGGCAAGGTTGCGGACCTCCTTGGGCCATGTAGCAGACCACATGAGAGTCTGACGGTCAGGGCGAATCTGGCCGATGATCTTGCGGATCTGAGGCTCGAAACCCATGTCCAACATGCGGTCTGCCTCGTCAAGCACGAGGTAGGTTACACGGCGGAGGTTTGTCTTGCCGGCCTCCAGCATGTCAATAAGACGGCCAGGGGTGGCAATGCAGACCTCTACACCGCGGGAAAGATCCCGAATCTGCGGGCCCTTGGGCACACCACCGTACACACAGGTGTTGCGGATGCGCGAGGACTTGCCGAACTTGGTGATCTCTTGCTGGATCTGGACGGCCAGCTCTCGGGTGGGAGCGAGAACAAGCACGATGGGGCCGTCACCCGGTGCCAGAAGAGGCTGGGCATTGATGTGGACGATGGAAGGAAGACAGTAAGTAAGTGTCTTTCCAGATCCAGTCTCTGCAATCCCGACGACATCGCGACCGGAAAGAGCCATGGGCCAGCCTTGCGACTGAATAGCGGTCGGGGCGGGGAAGCCCTGGGCCTTCACCTCGTCCATGACATAGCGAGGGAATCCGGCCTCGTCGAAGGTCTCAACAGGCCTGGGGACCTCTGTACCGAAGACGGCAATAGAGTGGTCGCGTCGGAACTTCTCGACCTCGGCATCGGACCTGGAACTGACATCGGGGTGCTCTTTGTAAAAGGACTTCTCGAACTTGGGCATGGTGCTGGGGTCTGTATCGGCTCGGTTAGCATGGTCGTGAAAAAACACAATAGAATGCTGCTTTGGGGATCAACTTGCCCCAAGTCTGCTTCTGCAAGCCTGCTCCGAGGTTAGACATGCGGTCACCGCCTCCTCCGAAGCCGCCGCCGCCGCCGCCGTAGCCACCACTGCAATCAGGTCAGTATTTTCTCTCTATACGCAGTTTTCGTTGATGGCGACATGATCCGTGATTCTGCGTGCCTCAACTTGAGGTACGCAGCGGAAAACACCTTCGTATTTGATGAAAGGCTTGAATAGAGTGAAGACTTACCCTCCGTAGCCACCGCCACCTCCACCATAGCCACCACCACCACCGCCGTAACCACCGCTACGGTCACTGCGATCGTAACCATTCGAGTAACCTCCGCCGCCGCCGCCGCGGGAGCCGTATCCTCCGCCGTAAGACATGATGCTGTCGGGCGTTGTTGTGGTTTGGAGGTCTTGCGTGGGTTGGGAAGGGACACTGTTTGCGGGGGTTGGGAATCAATCAATACTGTTGCACAAAGAATCTCTGCGATACGGTAGCACAGAGAACGGAAACCAGATGAGGTTGACCTGGTCTGGTTGATGATGAAGACGTGGTGTGTAGAGAAAGAGATGGGTGGGTTGAGAGAGGAAAGAGGTCTCGGCAGAAACTTGCGACATAAAAAAATTTGGGTTTTGCCTGATAACGGGAACAGAAAAGCCCATCGCCCAGACAAGGGAAGGGGTCCTGGGGCGATCTGGGCGGTCTGACGAAAGTGGGTTCGCGCTAGTTAGGTAAGCACGCAAGCGGGCGCCGGAGGCAGGCAGTGCTGGGCAACGGGTGAGTGCTCACTGCTGACGGCTGAAAAGCTGGTGGACCAACCAGATCTTGGAAGTTTGAAAGCACAGGCCAGCTCCTAACCGACAGCGGCAGTCGCAGTCGCACTGGTGAATCTCGCCTCGAGGCCTCCTCAGGTTTCACTCTGCTGCACGTCAAGATGGTACTGCATGTAAACACTTCATAAACATTATAATGAAAGCAGTCAAGACCATAATCTAATCAGTACTCATCGACAAGACACATGCACTGCGAGACATTATATGAAGACCATGAATTATACATCCAGCCAGCCCTTTTGGTAGCCAAAGCCGACCTTGCTCGTTTCGTCGTAACATTTTCCGATCACTTCGTTTCCAGCTGCCAATCCCGTATGTGAACGGCATGTCTCGTCCAGATCAGCATCGTGTACCACTCCCCCGAGCCCGCCCCCTGCCCGGGGACACAACACAAACACATGCCGACTTCCAGGCAGGTGATGGCTCACGTTTCGATGAACTGAGGCAACCACATTCGCAGTCGAGGATGCCTGACCTAGTATGGAGGGTTTGGCCCGATCGAGTAATCTCCCTTGTAATCCGAAGGGGGAGGTCCGGCGACAGAGCCGGGGCCCCTGCGGTCGTCACCAAAGTGCTTCTTGCGCAGGGCGGCGAGCCTCTTCTTCTTGGTAACGGTGTTGATGTAGGTACCGATGATAAACGATACCAGGTTGAAGAACGGCACCCAGGTGTTCTCGGGCAGGAACTTCTGCGCAAAGGCCAAGCACACTGGCGAGGTGATCCAGCTGACGCGCATGACCTTCCAGAAGCCGACGCGGACAGTGGCCCGCACCTGGTGGTAAGTCCTGGCACCGGCAATAATGGCCATTGCGCTCAGATATACGGCGTTCTGGATGGGAGCAATCTGTACAGTTCGTCAGCTATTGACTGCCCCGCGTCTGCCAAGAGTCATCACGCATGCGGAAAGGAAACGTACGATCAGGTTGCTGAAGAGAATCTGCAGGATCTTGGCTCGCAGACTCGTGCGCCCCTTGAAGACCTTTTGCAGCACCCAGATCAACAGTGACCCAAGCGGTGCACTGACGAGGGCACCGTATGCTGCCATCTTTGGCACGCGCGACGTGAAATAATGGCCGTTCTTGTTGCGGTCCTTGGCCAACCACGACGCAATGAACTCCTGGGCGCCGGCGAGAGTGCCGGCGGTAAGCATCTTGGTCCGCATGGGGTTCTCCTCAAGCTGCTTGATGTAGGCCTGCGCAGTGTTCGTATTAGCCGGTATGTCTAGCGCAAGCAGTCACCATGGCCTGTTCCACAGCGGTGGCGGCTTGGTGGCAAGGCGAAGCACTGTCGCCCACGAGTGTGACATACCATCAGATAACCCTTTGTGCCTGCCATCTGCTTGCCGCCGGTGAGGGCCGTCCCGACCGCCTCTGATATAGGGTGCTTGCCGGTCGTGCCGGGGAGGGGGCCATCCTTCCCCAGAAGCTCGGCCGCGGCAGAGACGGCGGGGCCGGCGACGCCCTCGGCCTGCTTGAACGTCTCTCGCTCGAACTTTACTGACATGATCGCGGTAGGCTATCCTAAACCGTCGCAGGGTTGTGGAAGGACGAGACCTGGATGGGGCACGTATGGTCAGCTTGGTGGGTTGCGAAACCGTGCAGGTGGTAGCCAGCCGAGAGGTCGAGAGGAGGCTGGTCGTTGGGACGATAAAGTGGGCACCGAGTTCATTGTTTACATGCATGTCTCCGCACGGCCATTGACTGGCCGGGGCAACCAGAGCTTTTCGCGCCAGTCGCGAACCTCATCGAGGAAAAAGGGTGTATTTACTTACGAGCAAAGACGGTCTACAGCAAGACCTGGTTCTCAACCAAACCAAGAAGTGAAGCAACGTCGGCAAGTCTTCCAGCCTAAGAAGGGGGGAAGCGGGAGATCAATTGGAAGAGGCAGAATCGGGGAGGTTGGTCTATTACCCCGTGTCGTACACAATTGGGGCTTCGTGCATGGGTGCCAGGGTGTAGCTCGCAAGCGCCCTGGGGGCCGCTGGGCCAGTCTAGCCCTTCTGGTCCTGCTTGCATCAACAAACCTTCCCCAGAAAATGGAGCTCTGGAGGGCTGTTAGTGCACAACAATGAGTTTTTGGTATCCACTGTCATACCGTCCTGTTCCTCGATGTACCTCTCTATCCGACCCCAATTTGTTCATGGATCCGGCCAGTCTCTGCCCGAGGTCATCGTTTTCCAACCTCGGGCCTTTATAGGAAGCTCAGTATCGCCGCCTCTCTTGACATCTCGCAGGCTCTGGGTTTATTACCTGGCTCTTACAGCTTGAGCATGGGGGATGAGCGAGATTCCAGGATTTCTTACTCCCAGGACTGCATCTGCTTGATGTATCCCGGCACTCCTTGTCTGGACCTCTTGAGGCCGTATCTTGCACCACAGCTTATGATAGATCGGCCGGCTGGCGAGATAACCCTGACTGGGCTTCTTGCCTCCATCCTGCTTTCATTCTTCTCGACGACCAATCGCCACGCAGTACTCTTGTGAGCTGGGCGATCATTCCAACGTTTACTTGTGCTTGCTGGACTGGTCTGTATTATTCTGGTATAAAAGTTGCTCAATACACCTAGGTGGAACTACAAACCTGGAAGCTCCGCGATCCCCGGCTTCCCCGCGCTGCTCTTCCGCTCGTCACGGCTCGCAGACGACGCTGAGAGCGCTGCAACTGCCATTGCTGTAGTCGTTGCACGATTTCCAATCTTCACGCCGGTAGTCGCAAACTGGTACATCCACCCGGTTTCCCAGCTACCGTCCTCGCACTGCCGTTCCAGTAAAGCCCGGAAATCTTCGTCGCAGGGCAGGCCAACCGAGGCGCACGCAAGGATGCGCATGGCCAGGTCCATTGCGCTACCATCCTGGCTGAGGCGTCCAAGCAACCGCGACTTGAGGAGTGGGCCGAGCGTCTCATGAAGCTCACTGTCACTGGAGGATCCCAGCAGACGACCAATGAAGCCGAGGCAGCAACCGGCGGAAGGATAGTACCTGGTTCCCTTTATGTATGAACGCTCCAAGAGCATAGATTGTACAAGTTGCAGGGTGTGCTTGAATTCATGCCCTCGATTGTAGGAATAGAAGCAAGCAAGGACGTTTGCGCTGACGATAGGGTCAACTCGAGCCCTCTCACGGTCGAAATATGTCTGTGGTGCTGTTCAGCCGGAACAAGGTTCTCTGTTATATACTCTAATTATTGTGCGTCGCAAGGCTGAGGCCACAAGCACCTATCGTATTATAACTATCGTTATTGGCATCGTATTCTTTCCAAGCGCTGGGTCTTGAGTGCTTACCACCGTATGAAGGCGCCATGTATGTCCTCGGACGTATACGGAATAGAAGCGAAACCACATAGAGTCGAACTACAGGGTCCTGTTTCAGCTTATGAATAAGTTGAATAATTGTCTCGTTACGCTGAAGGGATCCCCGTACTTGAGGAAAAGCCTCGGCGATCTCGGACGCCGGAATTGAGAACTTATAGGCGCTTCGTTCGTAGCAAACATCTCGTATAATCTCACCACATTCGTAACTGTTCCAAGTAGGTGTCGACAGGATATCTCTCAGCTTCCGAGCGGGAATATTTGTTCTCGTTGTGGCAGACCATATTAAAAGGACGTCGCCGAGATCGAAGATGACTGCGCGGAGAGGTGCTTATAGGGAACACATTGTCTCAGTGCAGACATTGAGTTCCTTGAGCCTATTGCTCCAGAATGTGTAGTACACTCTGGTTCAATCAAGCCCCAAATATATATTCAGAACTGGGCTTGCATATCCATCAATGTACTCCTTGCCTTGGCCCCTGGTAGGTGTACAGTGACCTTGGACCCCTCCTGTGTATTCGCTTGTATGGAACGAGTCATCATCGCCCACGAAAATGGTGGGAACTGGACTTCGACCGAGGCGTGCATGGTGAGCTGAGATGAGATTGTATCCACTTCCTCACTTGGGACTGACAGGCCTCTTTCCAGCTCGTTTGGCGTCTTACAAGGGTTTTTTTTCTTGGCGGGTTTATCACACTGACGAGCGTGAGAGTGGTGGAATGAAGTTGGTTGAAAAGAAGAATTCATACGAGAAGTGTGACCCGCTCGGGAGTTCTATTCACAACGTGATGGTGGGTCTGCGAAAGGGTTCCTCTCCATCCAGACGCCCTTTTCCTGTGATCGCCAGAATTTCAATGAAGAGCGGTGAACGTTACGCGAACAACGTCTGAGTCTTTCGGGTTTCTGAAAACGTGGTGGTCGACGAAATCGCAACGCACGTCGCTTATTCATTGCCCATTCCCACCCGATCCGCTTTACAAACACATTCACGTCAACTGGTCTTTGCATGTGTGTCACTGTCTCAAGGGCACCCTCAAATTCTTTCTTATCTTACCCCGGATGACTGCTCGGCTGGCTGTCCTATAGTCGCCTGCACAGGTGGAGAAGACCGTGTTGAGCAGCTTTGAATCTGGCCTGTGGGTTGGCTTACAACGGGGCCAACAAAATGCTGCCAAGAGCAAACACACCCTCCCGCGGTCATAAGCTCTCGATCAGGTTGTAAGATTCGAAGCTACGAGAAGAACCATGTAGTCAGGCCTCATGGCTGAGTGAGCTCCACACTCTTCTACCAACCTTACTGAGCAGGCTACACGCAACTTCGTTTTGCATTACTCAATGGCGGCACTGGACTGAACTTCGCCTGCAGCTTTTAGCCGTACGGCTCAAGTATATGGGTGTCCGTTCAATTCCATTTCCAATGTGCTGATTGAGGCAATTTGTTGAATCGGCAGCACACTTCGACTTGCTGGTCTTCCAAAGCGTATTCAATAGCAGACCTCGGGACCTCTTCCAAGGTTCACGGGTCTCTTAGAAGCAGCAGAGTAATTTTTTTTTCTAAGAGAAAAAGAACTCAAAATTAGTTTTGGCATTCTTTGATGTGATTTTATGTGGTATCTGAGATGCATTGGCAAAAATACATTGAGAAGTCTGAAGCGCACATCCTCTGAAAGCACCTGGTCTCGTTCACCCGGTGATGGCTCAGAGGCCCTCATAATAGATGCCAATTCCGAAGAACCCGCCGATCCCGCCATGATATCGTCAGAAGATCCTGTCACGGGCCATGCATGAGTACAAGGAGCCACAGAATGAGCCATGGTTGACTAAAGTTTCTAAGGTGTATTTGGATGTGTTTTCGACACCTGCAAACGCTGGAAGTGCAAATCTATCAAATTGCAAACCAGAAGTGGTGAGATTTCAGTTGACTTTTCTAAATTGAGGTTATTATACCTCTCATATCACTACCAGAAAGCAAGACTGGCTAAGCAGTGCAGAACTCGGCTTGTACTCACATTGCCGTCAGGTAAGATGTTAACGTTGAAGGCTGCATTCAATTTTCGAGATTACCGCTTCTTGTCTTCGTTTCCAGAGCTGTCAATTTAAGACCATCAATGTATCTTTGTGTGCCACAGTTCTTTTCATCCAAAAATGATAGTGTTCATGCGTTCAAAGCGATCTTTTGAGTGCTTTCCTGACACTGGAAAATGAAGATTATCCTTGCCTACAAGTGGGCTTGGGAAACAATGCCTTGCATTTGAGGGCTGGGAGCTCAGAGACAGCAGGCGGCTGTTGGGCTCCACTACTAGGAGAGACTTCAGGTGCCCTGATGCATCAGAGCAGTCAGGCACTGCCTGGACGACAAGATACCAACAAGGGTCAAGGGCTCCCCCTTGCGTGATGTGAACTACTACCTGGGAACAACACCACTGCCCAAGTTGTGTTTGCTTGTCAGAATCCACTCTCGACCAGGAGGGTTGTCCCTCAATCTTTCACAATCCATACGCCCTGTATCCAAGGTCTCTGAAACATGACGCGCTCCAACGTTTCTGCGGAAGCTGCCCAGCCCTCACAAACCGATCCTGAGCTCAAGCGCAACTTGTCTCCCGTTCGAAAGCTTGGCCAGACCGCCGCTCAATGTTTCCGTAAGATGTCGCTGAACGTGCCGTCACCACCCCCCGAGTCTCTCAACCCGATGACAGGCGATGTCACTCCCACCATGGACCCTGATCACAGCCACTTGCAGACTACTGTTCCACCTGTTTTCGCACCGCCTCCTGGTTTGCCTCACCCGCAGAGACAGCCCGACACCTCGGGATTGCGCCCTCCTCCAGGTTTCCCTCCTCTTCCTCCCCGAGGCGCGATCTTTGGCTCCCAGCATTCGCCACCGCCTCGTCGTCCTGGCGGTACCCATCTTGAGAACTGCCATTCACTCAGCAAGACGCGCGTGGTAAGTCGACATATATGTGTCACAGTCAGCACAACTCTCTGCAGATAAGCCGCTTTCTAACCACATATCAGTACGATGACACCCTGCGATGCGACAAATGCGGTAATGGCTCAGACTTCGGTTGGTTCTACCGCTGCTGCCACGACACAGAGACGCGCCTCTATGAGTCGGTTCGAGATGGTAATACGGTAAGTGCTCTAATGCCCAAATCTGACCAGAGAGAACAATTTCCTGACAGCGAGGAAAAAGGAGTACTTTGACACGTACGGAGAGACGTTCAGCCACCTCCTAAAGAGGCCAGACAGGGGTCCCGCCGCACGGTCAGACAGGCTGAGCCTCCTCGAAGAGCTGACGCCTGCGCAGCTCGAGTCCCTATCGGCGCCCCAGCTTGCCAAACTCCTGCAGCAGCGGGGTCACGCGAACAAGCAGGCGATCACTGACCGGTTCGGCGTCCTTGGCCTATCTGCCTCTGGGAGGCCTTTCCTGAAGAGCGAGACCCAGGAGTGCAAACAGACATTGTGCCCGGCCTGTGGAAAAGGCATGATGGGCGAGGAAGTGTCCTACGTTGACCTAGACGGCATCCTCAGGGGCGATATCCCGCCGACGGTCGCGCTCGGCTATGGTTTCCGCAAGAGTGGCCGCCCGGTTGCTGATGTAAGCGTTGCCCGCAATATCGGACTGCGCAGGCTCCCAGAGAAGAGCGCCCAGGCCGTCCAGACTCCTCAGGGTGGCCAGAAAGTGCAGGGCGAGGGCAAAAAGGCCGAGGAGTGCAGTGTGCCAGACCTTAAAGACGATGACGAGGCCGGCTTCAACAACTCGACCTATCCCCTGACACCTTCCAACACTTTCCTCAACATGTCCGATAGCAGCGAGGATCTCCTGGAGCTCTACACGGACGGGTCCTCGGTGGAGGTCTCCCAGGATAATTCGAAGGCGCAGGACAAAGCTTCCGGCGAGAAATGAACGGTTTCGTCATGCTTTTCAAGGGGCTGCCGCGTGAATGAGCCCACCACAACTTGGGTTGCGAAGCCGGCCAGCTCTTTTGTTTTGCGAGCTGTTACGAAGGGAGGTAGTGGCAGAAGGGGAGAAAGGGTCACGGGTTCTTGTCAGCGGATTGGGTGCCTTGGCTAGGTAACACGGGAGAAGCTCGTGACAAAGACCGGGACTCGGTCGAGCCAAGGGTGGAGGAGAGCCTCTCTCTCGAGTGTGCCCTTGCCCAAGGATTGGGGATGTTCCTTGGCCGACTTGATAGACTACATGCTGGGCATCTCTGTTGAGACGTCAGAAGAAAATGCGAGACAATGTGACACCGTTCCCCAGATATCTTCTGCGGCCATGAGAGGTGGGGATGCATAGTACGGGGTAGTGTGAGCAACTAGCGATGCGGCATGTGTGGGTCGCATGTAGTTGAACGCTTGGGGTCCTCTGTACAGTGATTGGTCAACTAAAAGGGCCCACATGACGTCTCGGTGACAGCCCCACAGTGCAGCTTATCACCCCAAGCTGTCCCGGCAGGAGACAGCTTTAAGGGTCTCCCGCCCATAAAGGAAAGCCATCTTGGACGCGCAATCCTGTCTGCTTCCTCGGGCCGGGGGAGCTGTGCTCACACCTTCCATGTTTTTGAACAGCAACGGAGCCATGGTGAGTGACCTGTCCACATCTCTGCAGCCGGTACGACTCCACCGTCTTGGGGACATGCTAAACGATACACTCTCGCCAACAGCCTTCCGATCGGACACCGCTTCTCGCGGACCCGCGCCGGTCAATAGACTCAGCGGGGTCCGACCGCCTCGCCGAGCGAGAAGACAACCTGATCCGTGGCTCCTCACCAGAACCTCAGCCGTGGGCGTACCGGATCCGCGAGGTCGTGCTCTTTGTCTGGGCGCTCCTGGCTACCGCCATCATCATCGTGCTGGCAGTATGGTTTCAGCACAACCAGCAGACCGGGCAGTTTGCGAAGCCTCCCGGCAAGCGGAACCTGATATTCATGGTGTCGGACGGGATGGGGCCTGCGTCGCTGTCCCTAACGAGATCTTACAGGCAGCTGGTCGAGGGCCTCGATTACGACGACACTCTGACGCTGGACAAGCACTTCTGGGGCACGAGTCGGACACGGTCGAGCAACAAGCTGGTCACGGACTCGGCGGCCGGGGCCACGGCGTTCTCTTGTGGCAAGAAGAGCTACAATGGAGCCATTTCGATACTGCCGGACTCCTCACCCTGTGGTTCTGTCCTGGAGGCCGCGAAGAAGGATGGATACCATACGGGACTAGTGGTTACAACAGACATTACTGCAAGTGCCTTCTAGTATCTGCGATTGCGGAGTGAGGATCTTCCCTAACAGGTTTACAGGACGCGACACCAGCTTGCTTCGCCAGCCACGTCGACGTCAGGGAGAAGGAGAACGAAATCGCCCTCCAGGAAATCGGCGAGGGCGTCCTCGGGAGAGTCGTTGATTTGATACTCGGAGGGGGACGGTGCCACTTCCTCCCAAACACGACGGACGGCAGTTGTCGGCTGGATGACATAGATGTTGCGGGCATTGCCCAGGAGAAGCATGGGTGGACGTATTACGATGACCGCGCTGGCTTCGACAGTCTCCAGGGCGGCGAGAATGCGTCTTTGCCTGTACTGGGTCTGTTCGCCAGCGCCGATGTGCCCTTCGAAATCGACCGCAAGAACATGGCCGACATCTATCCAAGCTTGAGTGAGATGGCGGAGACTGCATTGAAGGCGCTAACGAAAGCCACCGAAGACAGCGACAAGGGCTTTTTCTTGATGATCGAGGGTAGCCGGATAGACCATGCAGCACACATCAATGACCCGGCGTCGCACGTCAGGGAGGTCCTCGAGTACGACAAGACCTTTAAGCTTGTTTTGGATTATCTCGAGAACAGCAAGACGGAAGGCCTACTTGTGGCTACCAGTGATCACGAGACTGGTGGCCTGGCGACCGCATGGCGTAGGTTCAGTCGACGAGCACGCCGTCCGGATCTAGCTGACAGATTACAGAATCGCCTACTGCAGAGCTACCAGTATACAACTGGTACCCTACCGTTCTAGCAAAAGCCAACGCTTCTGCACAGCTACTAGCCCACAAGCTGCACGAACACATCAGCTCCGTCGGATCGGACCCCGCGGCTCTCAAAGATCTGGAGGACTGGATCAACACCAAGCTCGTGATCCCAGGCCTGGGCATCGCCGACGCCCGCGACTTCGAGCTCAAGGAGCTGGCGTCGGACCCGGAGCATGCGATATACACCTTCTCGCGAATGATCAGCCAGCGCGCGAGGATCGGTTGGTCGACTCACGGCCACTCGGCCGTCGACGTGAACATCTACAGTTCCGGCGGGCCCCTGGCCGAGGACCTCCACGGCAACGTCGAGAACACGCAGGTCGGGCAGTTCCTTAGGAAGTTCCTCGATGTTGATGTGGACAAGATCACGGATGAGCTGAGAGACAAGATGGTGTGGAACCAGTCCTTGGCCGTTTCGGCTGGCTCGACCATCAGCACGGGTTACGAGGATGAAGAGCTCATGATGGAATGGATCGACTGATCTCGGCGCGTGGTCGCGTACTCTTTCCTTTTGGTTTATGTTCTAATATCTACTTGGGTTTTTCCTTCCTCTTTTTAGTGACTGACCAGGCTAGTCTTTTCCCGTTGTGCATGAAAGCATGGAGGAGTCAGCATATGTGGGCGACACTTGGACAGGTGTAATTGCATTGTACCGGCTGAGAGAAGGGGTCCTTGTTGTTTTCATTGCACTTTTTAATCTTAAGCTGAGACCGAACAATCAGATACCCCCTTATTTTACTAGTAAGCGGGTTTTGCTCCGGAGCTCTGTCCAACATTCTGCATCTGATCGCGGCGCCGGTAACATGAGGCTGAGGGCCGTTCCACTTGGTAGCACAGAGACGCAGTGCTGGAACATCGTGGCGTGCTTCACCATGTTCTCATGCCCGCTCTGGACTGAGTGTTGGGTTTGCTCGTGATTCTTTTCCTGCTTACACAGTTTCCAGCCTCTGACTGTTGCGGGAGGGTAGCAAGCAAGCGTCAGTTCCCAAGCCGTGAGCCCTCGAGTTTGCCCGTCCAAGTTTGCCGTCTGAAGTCTGCCAACCTGCCTCCCACTTTCCGTCTCCCTCATGTGGCGTGAGTATCCGCTACTATGGGCCATCCGGCTCTGATTGCTTCTAGCAGATTCTGCTTCCCTTCCCCCCACCGCCTGAGGACCGAGTCCAGCCCCTCAGAATGCCCGTCTCATCTTACAAAATGTTGCGGTGTCCCCTGACCGAGCTTGCTCTTATCCTGACACACTTCAGCACGCGGCTTCTTTTCGACGTCCAACATCTTGCAGGATCAACATAGTTTCGTCATCAGGGAAGATTGCTCCCACGGCGGTTTGGTTTGAGCCTTGCGGAAACACATCAAGCAACAATCCCACAGGACGAGAAGTTCAGAGAAAGCACCCAAAGAGAAGTTTCGCATGGAGGACTTCCAAAATAGATTCTACGTGGAATGGCTTAATTAGGGGTATTTCTCCATGTTCGAGGCCTCCAGATGGTGTTGCCTTTGATCGACAGCTCAGCTTCTTTGCGACACATCTCCCCCAGGAGGCCAGAGAATATCTACATTTGGTAACCTCGTACACATCTCCTCTTTCGTTACGTTGGAGAACCGGTCAACTCACTACCACTGGTGATTCACGGCTCACGGTTGAGGACCACTAACATCGCCCGCTAGTCTGCGACGGTCCTCGACAAGACCTGTGATCTCTCCAGGCCAACCGCCGACACCAGAGCCACTTACAACGGCGGTCCTCCCGATGTGTGTCTACATCCAAACCATCCCCCTCTGCGGCCATCCTCCAGCGACGCTGCTTTCCTACGCTTCATGCAACGACGTCCTCGCGCAGCTGATGCGTATTACCGAGCCAGAGGCATGGGAGCCTGAGAACATGGACAAGGTCCCCTTCGACATGCCGGACGACTGTGACCCAGGCCCGGACAATATCTACGTTCTGTACTCGGACGATTACTGCGGTTGGGAGTGTCGGAACAACGCGTACCAGCGGGCGGCTGCCGGTGGGCTCCCGGGCTTTTTTGATGATGAGGTGGGGGGCTTTTTGCCGGATTGTTTCCCAGGGGACGAGAGGGGACAGTTGGTGGGAGTTGGGTATGGTGGTGACCGGAGGCGGATGGTCCTTGGTATGCCTGATGCTGATTTTGGGCCTGGCGGTGAGACATCCGGTATTGGCTGGCGAAGTTTGTGAACAAGGAGATGACGTGACAGCCTGGCGACTTTGAGCGACCCAACTCCTTGAGCATTCGTGGACCGCATGGCATCACCTGGTAGAAACATTGTAGACGACGCGCATAATACCCACGAAATCTGGTCGCATATGTCAATCCGAGCTTCGCGAAGCCACCACAAAGCTTTTCTGGGACTCACTGCGCAGCGCTGTCAGACCAAGCTGGTCGGCTAGTCAGTCGGACAGATCTGACATGTCGTCCTCGGAGGGGTTTCGCCAGTACTGTAGTTCAAAGACACCATTGAGCCCTACAGTCATGAGCGCAGCAAGCTGCTCTTGTTGCCGTTCAGATATCTCGGCCTCGACGTATTGGTTCATGATGTAGAGCCGGAACCCCCTATGTGCACCGCTCGTCCTGAGCGCTTCGATGAAAGACTTTATACCGGCGAAAGTGAAAATAGAGGACCCGTTGATAGAGACCGATTTAAGACGTTGCATTTGCGCAAGCGGACCGAACAGGGCATCTGTCAGGTACTCGCCGTCAAAGCTGAGCTCCTCGAGTTGAGGAAGGCAGTCCTTGAGGAGCACAAGATCTTCAAAAGTCAGCTGGACCTGGTCGATGCCTCCAACCTTTTGCATGATGTCAAGGTCCTTGAGGCTTGTACACTGGCAGATAGAATCGATGAATTTGTCATGCCGCGCCCTGTTTGGGTCGTTAATTTCTGCACCAGAGCGCAGAGACAGGCTCTCAAGGGCCGTCTGGTTGCCCAAGGCAGTATAGAACGCTTCCTCGTCATCAATCAGCTTCAACTGTAAGTCAGTGAGGCGCAGATGTGGTGAATTCATGATGTCGGAAAGAAGCTTGCTTGCGCCGGCAAGGTTTGAGATGACCAGTCGTTTCAAGAATTTGCACTCCTTCAACCAAGCGGCTACCTTGGGAAGAGGATCCTCGCCGCTCACTGCCCACGTGCTCGGCGGCGCAGGGGTGTTGGCTTCGATGCTGAGGCTTTCCAAGTATTGGCATTGGCTCAAGGTATCGAGACTGGCCAGGCAGGTATTCTGAAGACTCGAGAGATCCAACAGTCTCAGCGAGCGTGAGTGTTGCATGAGCCCATCCAGAGCGTTGTGCCCGATCTCGTTGGAACTGTGGACCTTGAAGCTCTCGAGCGAGTTCTCCCGGAGACCGCGGAAGAAGTCAGCCATGTTTTGGTCAACAGTCGGGCCTCTTATGTTGAAACAGGTGAGCTCCTTGAACAAGGGGCAATTGCGTTGGATGGACTCGGCAACCTCGGGGGTCAGGACAGAGCCGTCGCGGATAGACAGGGTGGTCAGAGTTGACAACCTTGATACCCAGACTGAAAGCAGGTCGGTCGGGAGGTTTGCACCCTCGAGACTGACCAGCTGGACGGACTTGTTCTGCTTCTCGGCGGCTTCCTGTGCAAACTTGGTGATGGCGTCACCAACACGCTCAATGATCTTCTGCCACTCGAGGACCGGTCTCCCTTGGCGGGTTCTTGTAGACCCGCTGAGGATCTCGAAGGACTCCATGGGCCCCTTGAAGAAGAGCGATCGCCATCTCCTGTCGCGGGCAATCCCCTGCAGGAGCTGCTCGAGGTCACTAAGCCCAAGCGATCTGATCCAAAGGCAGTAGGGATAAGCTGTCACACCGAGACTGGACATGACAATGGAGCGCCACATCCCAGCCCACCTGCCGGTGTCGCTTGTGCCCGCATCATCCGAGGCGACACTTGAGGAGTCGTGGATGCTGCGTGGTGTGGCTGGTTAGCGACGTGGGACTGCTCGAGCGCGCGTGTTAGAGGGCTGTGTGGGGCCTCGTCACCTGTACAAGAGCGGCAGGGCAAGACTGGCCCAGCTGCGATTTACCAAAGCGCAACGGAAAAGACTTTTGAAGTCTTGCTGGGTCTTCAGATCTTGACAAACAAGCCACCAGATCTCCTGTGGGACTTGACGGTCCATTTTGGACGCGTAGATGTGTTGTGGTGCTGTGCGCGCCCGGCGGTTCACAAGATGGATCAATTGGTGGTACTGCAGGTGAGGTCGATGCCCCGTCGAGGGTGAGGGAGTGCTGTTTGCAATCCCTATGGCCGGTCAATGAGGACGAATTTTGGATTATCAAACTCATCAACTTAGACATGTGTGTATAATACTCAATAAAACGCGTCGGGAACGACAAGAGATGTGAAAGCGACCTGGAGATTAAGGTTGAGGTGGAATGCTTACTCCAACACATGCGCGCTATACCACTTGGCGAGTACTGATGTCACTGGCATGGGACCTCACCTCGGGCCAGTGCCGCTGTGCCGCTGGGAGCTTCAGCTGTCCGACGACGGGCGGGCCGGGCTGGGGTCGGCTCCTTTCGGGCCCTTCAGCATCGATGCAGCAGAGGGGCCGAAAAAGGTTAGGCTGCCTACCTGCGTACATTAGCACCTACCTACCTAGGTACCCAGGTACCTAGGTACGTCTCTACGCTGTCGTGCCGGTACAACAAACAGCAAAGGAGATTGTTGCATTGGGAGCGAGTGCTGTTCTACTGGTGTACCTTTTCAAGTCTGAGGAACAGATGAAGCTCAAATGCATTTCTACTGAGGATCTCGTGCTTGGTCTGCAGTGTGATCTGCGCAATGAAAAGGACGGAATGCCCCAAACCGAGTGTACATAACAAGACAACCCTGATCTGGCGCGACATCCTGGCTTTGGTCATTTCTGCCTCCTTCCTGCCTCGTGGGTCAACACCGTCAGCCCCCCGCCGGTAACGTCGACATTGAAACCGACTCTCACGCAACTCTCGGTGCACAATTCCCCAAGCAATTGGCCAGCTACGAAAGGGTGTGCCGGCTGGCTGAGAGGCCCCTAGCTGGCATGGCTCTCGTCACTTTCACCCTGAGCGAGGACGGCGTGAGCGCCTTCAACGACGCGCTGGTCTGCATCCACAAGTTCAGTGACGACGTGTCGCTTGAGGTCAAGAAGGACAAGGTCAGTCCCGCTGCCCGGAATCCTCATGGGAAGCCGTCCTTCTGGTCGCCTTGGCCGATCTAGGTACTGAACGAACCAAATTCTCAACTGACCAGTTGGTCCTCACTGCGCTCAACCTCTCCAAGTCGGCCTACGTATCCTTTACATTCGCGGCCAACAGATTTTTCTCGCGCTTCCACTTCGATGAGAATACAGAATACCGCGAGAGGTTCTTCTGCTCGATATATATCAAGGTGCGCCCTCTCCGGCTCTGCCAACCACCCCCCCCCCGGCCCCCGCCAGCTATACTGACCTCTGCCAAGGCACTCCTCTCCGTCTTTCGCAACCGCTCAGGTGGCGACCCTAACAGAGACCGAGAGAACGTCACCACCATAGAAACGTGCGATGTGATCATTGATGATGGCCCGGGGAAGAAAAGCCGCTTCATCGCCAAAATCTTTTGCCGTAATGGTGCGTCTGGTCTCTGGCTGTTCCTCAAGTGATTTGCATTTCTGAGGCTTCGGGCAGGCATCACTGCGACACACCGACTATCGTTCGAAGCTAAACCTCCCATTCATGCCAAGTTCGACAAGAACGAGGCCGGCAATCGCTGGTCGGTGAAGTCGAGGACTTTGCGCTCGTTGATGGAGCATTTTGGGCCCGGCATTGATCTTCTCGACATCAACACCGACGGTGAGAATGTTGTCAACTTTACGTGTTTCACCGAAAAGCAAGCAACCGCAAACAACGATGGTAAGGTTGCCTCCATTATTGGATTCACTATCGTGTCAGGCCTGACGAAACGTCAGCTGTACTAAGGAAACCACTCCACACGTCAATCGCAATGGAGATGGACGAGTTCGACGATATCGAGGTGGCCGACAAGCTTCACATCATCATAAGTGTCAAGGACTTCCGTGCCATCCTCCAGCACGCCAATTACACAAGCGGTGCTCTGAATGCCGCTTACTCGAGACCCGGCCGCCCGATGAAAATTTTCTATGGCCTGGATGGCATCATGTGCGAGTTTATCCTGATGACGGTGGATGAGAAGAGCACTACAGTGCAAAAGAAGGGGCAGGGTAAAGCCGCCCCAAAGCCCGCCAGACCAAGCCTGAGCGCCGGCCCCAACACACCGGCTGCGGCAGCCAACAACGAATCCCGACAAGCCACTCCTGCTGCTCCACCGAGGAGGGAACAGCAAGAGCAGCCAGCCAAGATGCCACCGCCAGCGCGAAGGTCAACGGCCCCACGTTCCTCTCAATTCGACATCCGAGCCCCGCTGGTTCAGCCTCAGTCCACGCTCAAATCCGAGTCGCTGTTCCTCCCGCAGCCAGACGACGATGAGTTGTGGGCACCCATGAACCCGGACGATGAGGAAGATGGCGAGAACCCTCGGCTGGAGTGGGATGCTAGTGACGAGCCCGTGAGTATGCGTGGGTGTGTGGGGCTGATGGCGACTGACGTTCTCGCAGAATCCTTCTACCATGCGGATCAGCGATCACTCCGGCAATACCCAAACCAACCCGCCGGGCGATGCTGGAGGGCCTGCACCACCGTTCGTGGAACCGACACAAAGGGTGTCCGAAGTCCGCAGGTTTGGTCTCTTTACAGACTGGTGACGCATGCTGGCTGATGTGAAGGCTGGTTTCGAAGGCGGAAGTCCCTTGTAAACGCCGCTGAAGAGGGCAGGTTGACTGGTGACCACTCAAGGTTGGCTCGGAATCGTGATGCTTATCCAGCTTGTCGCGCAGCCTGCGCCGACACCCACTATTTCAGACCCGGATGGGATGTACTTCTTGGAAGCAATCGTGTTCCACCGTCCCTTGACGTCGTTGTTCTCGGTCTTAGGACCGCAGTTGCCATGCTCGCCCCAGCCCCAAGACAGCACGTCGCCGCCTTCTGTCATGACAACAGCGTGCTCACTACCGATGCGGATCTGACTCAATCTCGGCAATTGCGGCGGCGCCAATTGGCCATGGTCATCCTTTCCCCAGCTAACCAGCGAGCCATCTTGCTGAAGGATATAGATGCCGCCCCAGCTAGCACCGACGTCCTTCCAGTCCAGGGCCGTGGCCGGCGCCGCAGATCTGACACCTGCCTTGTCCGCACCCAGCACAAGGATTTCACCGCTCTCGGGTGCACCGAACAGGCACGTAAACTCCCTGCCGCAGACGGCCCGCGAAACTTTAAAGTTCACGCCCTCAACCCGCCGCGGCTCGTCCGCAACGCCATCCACAGCAGTGCCCAGCTGTCCCTTCCGCCCGTTGCCCCACCCGTAGACCGCCCCATTGCTGAGCACCGCAACGACGTGACCCATGCATGCGGCCAGGTCCACGACCTCGGCACCCGCGGGCGGGAAGTCCTTGATGCGCGAGATCGCCGGTGTCCGCACGATGAACTGGCCCTGCCCCAGCTCGCCCTTCATCCCGACCCCGAACGCCGACACCGCCGTGTTCCTGCCGAGCTCGTCTGCCTGCACGATCACCGAGGCCTCCCATGTCGCGGCTATGAGCCTCACGGGCGCCGGTGCCGTCCCGTCGTCTGTGGCCAGGGGAAGCCTGACAGGGTGTACCACGTGCTGCTGCTGCTGCTCGCCAGTGTTGGTGGCGGGCCCGCAGGCCCCCGTGGAGGCGTCGCCGGCGCACAAGAGCTGGCCGTCCTGGGTCAGCAGCAGGGTGTGGTTGCCGCCCGCCGCGACCTGGACGATGGGCGACGTGGGCTCGGATCCTGCTGGGCTGAAGATGGCCTGCCGCGGGATGGAGACGTCTTGGTCATGGCCGATGCCTAGCTGGCCGGATCCGTTGGACCCGAGTGCGTAGACTACTGGAGTTCTGTTTGAGGCTGACATTTTGCCTGGGCCCTCCCTGTGTGGGATGTTGAAAGAGTAGACGGGAGGTGCCTAGGTTCTGGCAGCCGGTCTTCATGAATAGCTTCCTCGCGGGCTTGCATGTGGTCCGTGCGCGACTACATTACATGACAACTGAGTATTACAAGGCCTTCCCAAGGTTGCAAAGTGAAATGAATTGATGATTCTTAGGAGATCTAAATTGTTCAAATAAGGTCAAAGCTCTTCTGGAGAGTCAACGGACGAGGATAACAAAGCCCCCTGGGCAGTCAATGGAAACATCAAGTTTTTGCAGAGCAGCGCCTGCAGGCGACTTCATTCGAGTTGCTACTATCCATGGATGACATGAAGACCTCGGCAATGCTATTCGATATCTTTCGACAGATTTCCAACGGCAGGGCTTATCTGTAACAGCTGTGGCATTTGAAATCATGGGAAATTCAAAACAAACATCATTGATACTGCATTTTCTGCACTACAGATCCAGCTATCTTTTGTAGAGGAAAACGAGTATATTAGTTGGTGATTCTAACGAGAACTGAGCTCATCAAGAGCAGTTAGGGGGTAGCTATTCAAGTGAGTCGAAGGGAGTGAAGTATAAAGGCGACGAATGTAGGAAGCGCCTATGACCGAATGCTTGTGCCACCATTCGCGACGTGCCTCATCGTGTTGGTCAATGTGGGACAATCTGTATTTGCTCCTAGACGCCAGGGTTCTAGATGATGGCTCCCTCAGCTACAAGAAAGAGCCTTAGGGTAGATCGAGCGCACAGTAATGCCCCACTTTCTCAGGCTCTGCCATCTCCAGGCCTTCGCAGGGTCGGCGATCCGCGTTGATGTTCTCAAGAAGCCACGATAGCCCCCTCATCTGGCTCCAGGCGTCCTCATACTTGGACCTTACGTCCTTGCCGAGGGTGGACCGCTTGAGTTCCATGTTCAACTTGCACGTCAAAACCGGGACTGCCCATGTGCGCAACCATTGGAACATGGGTTTGTTGTATATCGCAGCTGCCTGGATCGCGTCTCGCGGGGTCTGGGGGGGGCCCCATTTGTGCACAGTGTCCAAGAGATACTTTTGAGACATACTCTGTGCCTCGGAATATTGTTTTGGTGAGAGCGTCGCACAATACGTCTCAACCTTTGTTGGAGCCGCGGTGCTCTTCAGCACTGTGCTCCACATTCTCAGCAGTGCATGATATGTTGCATCGAATCCCATCGCCTTCTGGTCCTTCCAGAGTTCATAGTCCCTCAGGGTGCCTGGATTCATGTGCAGTCTGCAGATAGCCTTTGGGACCTCTTCTGTCAGTACGCGGGTCATCGATTGATTCGCCTTGAGGGTGTAAAGGTAGACGTTTCTCTGGTCTTGATCGCCGTTCAACTGAATCAGGCCACCCACGACAAGGGTCAACTGTCGTGCGGATTCATCTATCGCCTCAATGGGCAGGCCCCTACAGAACCATGGCATTGTCGAATTCATGTGCATAAAATCTCCATAAGGCTGGCCGGGCAGGACAGGTACTGGGTTCTGTCCAGTGCCGGCGACCCGTCCACGTCGGTAGGGATAGGAGATACCCCTATAATCCGGGACCCTCGGTGGTGGTCCGGCCTTGAGGATATCGTCGAGGGTCTTGTTGTGTGGCTTGGCTTCGAGCTGCTTCAAGGTGCCGTACACAGCATTCATGTACCGGGCCCAGAAGTTGTGTGAGCGTTTGAGAAACTCGTAGAGGTCTTGCTTCATGTCCAAATTTGGCTCGCGAAGGCCACCAGAGCTAGTCTCACCCACAGCCACAACGAACGCGCTTCTTATCGCTTCGATTGCATCAACGATGGGGTCTTGTCCCCGCTCAATGGCCGAGCTGACGGCTTGGTTAGCGATCTCTATCGTCCTGTTGAGGTGGCTTTCAGGAAACCGCGCATGTCGTAGAGCATTCCAGACATCCTCGGAGTTTTTCTCTCGGGCTGTGACGATACCAGCTTCTGCAATGGCCAAGTTTTGAGGAGTGATGATACCGCAGAGAGTGTCGAGGGCGGCTTCAAATCGACTCTGCGGTGCACCAGGGGGCAACTGCATGGATCTCTCCACGATGGTCCAAGTATTCCCTGCCGCTCGAGCAGGAACGCCAGCCAGCTTGAATCCCCTGAGTATCTCTGGCCAGGGCTTTGACTCTGCCGCCAAGTGCGCAGCCTTCTGGACAAGTGGCGATGTGCTGACATCCAGGTTCAAACCAGGCGCTGCACCGGGCGTATTGGGAGCAGTACCATAAAGCCCGGTCCATGCCATATCAAAAGCCTGGTTGATGATGGTGGAGGCGTGAACAGTGCTTACTGAAGCGCCCCCAGCACCCTCAGCTTGTACGGAGCGTCGTGCCCGTGAAGAGGCTCCTGGTCGTGACTTGGCAGCTTCTTTTTCTGCCACGTAAGCCTCTACCGCTGACACGTCGTCTTTGAACTTTTTGAGGAGCCTGAGAGTTTGCGTCTCACTGTAGCCCCGGTCTTCCATTCTGTCAATAAAACTGTCCAGCGATTCTGATTCGCTTCCCAGGCTCTCGCCTCCGGCGCCCAACTGCACCTCCCCTCCAAAATCTGGCCAACTTGGCTCAGATCCAAATTGCGGCAGTGGAGGCAGCCAACTAGAGGGAGGTTGAGAGGGAAGGTGATTTTGCGGCGGAATAAAGTCTACCATGTGGCTGTTCCCAGTACCCGGATCTATCACCATAACAGGCCCATCATCAGAGTTCCAGTTTGATGAATCAGATTCGGACCAAGGCTCAGAGTCAGACCCATCATCTGGTCTATTGTTCTCAGGAGGCCTGGGTGGCTCTGGATCAGGGATCGAGGGGTCGTCATCACTTGGTAGTTCAGATTCAGGGTCGCTCCCAGGGGTCGAGGGTTCATTATCACTTGGTGGACCAGACTCAGGGTATTTTCCAGGAATCGAGGGGTCGTAAGGACTTGGTGGTTCAGATTCAGGGTCGTTCCCAGGGGTCGAGGGGCCGTCATCACTTGGTGGTTTAGATCCAGGGTCGTTCCCAGGGGTCGAGGGTTCATTACCACTTGGTGGACCAGACTCAGGGTATTTTCCAGGAATCGAGGGGTCGTAAGGACCTGGTGGTTCAGATTCAGGATCGTTCCCAGGGGTCGAGGGGCCGTCATCACTTGGTAGATCAGATTCGGGGTATTTTCCAGGGATAGAGGGGTCGCCATTACTTGGTGGTTCAGATATAGGATCGTTCCCAGGGGTCGAGGGGTCGTTCCCAGGGGTCGAGGGTTCGTTACCACTTGGTGGATTAGATCCAGGGTCGTTCCCAGGGGGATCAGGTGCAGACGGGTCACTCCACTCATCAGGAATGTGAGGCCCCCGGTCAGAATGAGGTACCCAGTCCGACGCATCACTAAACATATCTTCATCGTACGGCTGTCCAGGATCAGATTGGGGCTCTGCTGGGTAATTGGGCCATTGATACTCGTCAGGAAGTCCAGGCAGCGATGGTGGGCTTGGGGGCACCGGGGCTTCGGGATTCGGTAAGAGAGGACCGGGATGGCCCCCCGGCGCCGGTGATTGAGGAAAGTGTGGGGGGTCAGGGAAGCCGGGACCATCAGGGAATTCCAACGGACTATCGAAACCACCGTTTCCGATATTGTCCAGCCAGTTTGAGATATCGTCTCCTGAATAGATGGTCTCCCAGCTACTCGAACCACTGGAGCTTAAGGGCAGGTTGCCGAAATTACCACTGGAGAGAGGGGAAGTGCTGCCCAGATCGCCGACAGGGCTCGCCAGGTTGGACCCTGTCCAGTCCGGAATTGAGCCCAGATTCGCTTGCGGCAAGGATCTGCCCAAGGCGTCGGCGACCAAGGGAGTTCCCATACTCAACGACCATGTTTTTGCAAACCAGCCGAGGACTGCAGCACCAGGGATACCAAGACCCACTGTAAAGACGAGTTAGACAACGGGACAACAAGTATAGGTGTATGTTGCGAAACATGAGGGAGGAGGCTGGAGGAATAGCCTGTCATAGCAACAGCAAGTCCCCTGTGTAGGTTTGACTGTGGGGGAAAATAGCCATCGGGTAGTTGGGAGATCATAGCGACTCTAAATGGTAAGTGGGCTACTTACATCCAATCCCGAGTCCAATGGCCAAGTTTCTTGAATGCCTTTTCGATTTGTCAAGACTTTTTATGACATCTTGTACTACGCCTGGGGCTGTTGGAACTGGAGCAACCGGAGTAGTCTTCGAGCTGGTTTGCTTAGTAGAAGTATGCCCTGTCTCCTTGGTTGTGGTATGTCCTGGCTTCTTCGTAGTAGTACTCCTAGTCTTCTCCGTGGTGGTACTGCCTGACTTTGTGGTACTTCCTGTCTCTGTTGTGGTACTGCCTGACTTTGTGGTAGTTCCTGTCTTCTCGGTGGTGGTTCCTGACTTTGTTGTTGTGCTCCCAGTCTTCTCTGTGGTGGTACTTCCTGACTTGGTTGTTGTGGTGCTCCCAGTCTTCTCAGTGGTGGTACTGCCTGACTTGGTTGTTGTGGTGCTCCCAGTCTTCTCAGTGGTGGTACTGCCTGACTTGGTTGTTGTGGTGCTCCCAGTCTTCTCCGTGGTGGTACTGCCTGACTTTGTGGTACTTCCTGGCTTCTTGGTGGTGGTCCCTGTCTCCTTGGTTGTAGACTCGTCTGGCTTCTTGGTAGTGGTCCCTGTCTCCTTGGTTGTAGACTCATCTGGCTTCTTGGTAGTGGTCCCTGTCTCCTTGGTTGTAGACTCATCTGGCTTCTTGGTAGTGGTCCCTGTCTCCTTGGTTGTAGACTCGTCTGGCTTCTTAGTGGTGGTCCCTGTCTCCTTGGTTGTAGACTCATCTGGCTTCTTAGTCTTGGTGGTCCAGCGAGAAGTTGTACTAAGTGTTTTTGTCACGGATGACCCTGTGGAATCAGTGGATGTTGATCGTGGAGAAGAAGAAGTCGGGCTTTTCGTTACGGTTGTACTAGGGGACCTGGTAGATGACGGGGTGGAAGTTGACTGTGAAGAAGTCGGGCTTTTCGTCACGGTTGTACTAGAGGACCTGGTAGATGACGGAGTGGAAGTTGACTGTGAAGAAGTCGGGCTTTTCGTCACGGTTGTACTAGAGAACCTGGTAGATGACGGAGTGGAAGTTGACTGTGAAGAAGTCGGGCTTTTCGTCACGGTTGTACTAGAGAACCTGGTAGATGACGGAGTGGACGTTGACTGTGAAGAAGAAGGGCGTTTCGTCCCGGTAGAGACAGAACTGGATGATCCTGTAGAAGAAGGGCTAGATGTCGACTGGGAAGTCGAGGACTGGCTCGTGGTCGCAGTGGAAGAAGACGTAGGGCTCGTGGTAGCGGTAGAAGACGACGTCCTAGTTGTTGACTGCGAAGAAGATGTAGGGCTCTTGGTCATAGAGGAAGATGACGTCCTAGTTGTTGACTGTGAAGAAGACGTAGGGCTCTTGGTCATAGAGGAAGACGACGTCCTAGTTGTTGACTGTGAAGAAGACGTAGGGCTCTTGGTCACAGTCGAGGAGGAACTGGTTCGCGAAGATGGAGGCCTAGTCTCTGATGTGGTGGTGTGAGGCACCGAGACAGAGGAGGAATGGCTCGTGCTCTGACTTGTGCTCGAGCTTGTCGTCCATGATGAGCTGGGTTGCTCCGTAGGGGAACTAGTAGTCGACGTGGGATAAGAAGTAGGCGGATGGCCAGTCTCTGACTTTGTCGAAGACGAAAGTGACGACGAAGTTTGGCTTGTGCTCTGGCTTGTCTTGGTGGCTGGAACAGAGCTTGGGGCTGTTGTCACGGTGGCAGACGAGCTGTTACTCGAGTCAGTTGTGGTCGAGTGTGTGGAAGAGCTGTCACTCGAAGCCGTGGTTGTGCTTGGCACGTCACTGGCGGTAGTGGTGGTTGGTTCTGGTATAATGGTAATGGTGGTTGTGCTTGGAACGTCACTGGGCCGACCTGTTCTGACGGTCGTGGTGGTTGGTTCGGGCACAATGGTGATGGTAGTTGTTGCTGGTGCATTGTCTGGGCCTGTGGTACCCGGCTGACCCGTTCGGACGGTCGTGGTAGTTGGTTCTGGTATGATGGTGATGGTGGTTGTTGATGGTATACCGGCAAGTGTCCCGGGTGGTGTGTCGAACCGGGATGTTGCTCGGACAGCTGCGGCACCGGCAAGGCCGAGGAGAGCCGTCCTAAACATGGTCGCAATGTGTGGGGAGATATTGAGCTTCTACACATGTAATAAGCTGATGGGAAAAGTTCAAGGACCTGTGCTAGGATCGAGTTGCTGGTATTATCGATTATAAAGAGAGATCTTCAAGTAGTTTCGCTTCTATTCCGTATATGTCTGAGGACATACATATTTAAGTAGCTATGGTTACAAAAACAGTCTAGATAAGACTACTTTAGCTAGATTTATTTCAAGTTTATATGCATTAGAAAATATTATTCAATATATAGTCTAAAATATAACTATTCTCTCTTTATAATATACTAATAAAAAACAGTTTTATAATAGCACCTCGTAATAATAAGAGTGAAAGCGCCATGTGTAGCTAGAGACATATGTAGAATAGAAGCAAGACTAGATAAGAATACAGCGACGTAATAGTTCAGAATTAAGATGACCTATCTGGACTGTGCACTGCTAGCTATCAACGGCTTTAACGTCCGACTAAAGCTAGGCCACACCTGCATACGAGGTCTCTTGATAGTGAAGATCTGGCCTGGCTGGAGGGTGCCCACACGGCCTTGGGAGACCGTCGTCAGGTCATGGCAACGCTTGCTCAGAATGTGTCCATGGATGCAGGAGGGTCAACTGGTATGCAGGTAATAACTTGGAGGGTGTAGGAATCGAATTGGTAACGAGCGGTCTTGCTCTGGAGCCGTGAACAACCAAACTCTCAAGGTCCCAGAAAGCACACAATACCTAGGTACGTTCTTGCACTGGCTGGATGACCCCGCATTGAGATGCGGAAATGTTGGACTTCCAAGGGTTGCATCGTGACATGGGTCAGTATACTGTGCTCCTGAAGTCCGTAATCACTGCAGATTTGATGACTATGTAACGCCCTGCTTACTGCGCATATCCGAGCCCGGCCTGCTCGGATATGATTCCAAATGGACGCATTGGACCGATGGCCTGGCGGTATATTCGAAGACTGCAGTCTCCACCTCCCAGTTGTTTGCCTCCCTTCCTCTGGTTCCTCATGAACTTTGAGTTATAGGCTCGATCAACTATTGCGGCCCATCATGGCATGGCTTCTAGTTCTCCTGGCAGCTTTCATGCCCTGGCTGACCATCTCGGCCCCCGGTCTGAGCAGTGATGTTTGGTCGGCGTTCAATGCGTCGGTCGACGGCCGCCTGGAGAGGGGCGTGCCTCTTGCGCTGCCGTGCTTCAGCACCTACAACGGAATGGCGCACACGGCCGACGAGACTCTCTGCACCCAGATTCGAGACAACTACACAAACCCTGGCTTCCGGATCCAGGCCCCGGGCGGGTACATGAACGGGCAGGGTGAAGGCTGCTTGTCGGAGCCCGCCGACCAGTGCCTCCTGGACAGCTCCGCCCGGGCGGGCCCGGCGGCCCGGCCCGGCGCCGGCGCCTCTTGCAACCAAGGCAGTGTCCCGTCCTACTACGTGGCGGTCGAGGGGCCCTCGGACGTGACCAAGGCCTTTGCTTTCGCAAGGACAAACAACGTGACCCTGTCCATCAAGAACAGCGGCCATGACTACATGACGCGCAGCAGCCAAAAGGGCTCCCTCGCCCTCTGGACACACAAACTCCAGGACATGAGCCACCACGTCTCCTTCACGCCCGACGGCTGCAGTGGTCCCCAGCACGTCTATGCCGCCGTCGTGACCCTCGGCGCCGGCGTGACCGCCGACACCGCCACGACCTTCGCCACCGCCCACAACGCCACCATCCTCGTGCCCGCGTCCTCCACCGTCGGCATCTCCGGCGGCTTCGTCCTCGGCGGCGGCCGCGGCGTCCTGAGCCCCGTGTACGGTCTGGCCGTCGACAGGGTCGTGCAGTTCCGCCTCGTCACGCCAGACGGCTTGCTGCGCACCGCCAATGCCTGCCAGAACCAGGACCTGTTCTGGGCGCTGCGCGGCGGCGGCGGCGGCACCTTTGGCGTCGTGCTCGAGTCCACGTCGCGCGTCGAGCCGGCGCCCATGCCCATCGCCGTCGCCCACATGGTGCTGCCCGCTGGGAACCTGACCGTCGACACCGCCCTCGAGTGGATAGGGCTCGTCGCCGACGAGTCACTCACCTGGGCTCGACAGGGCTGGGGCGGCCACTTTGCTGCCACCTACCTGACTTATATGAATCCGCTGCCCCGTTTTGCAAACCTGAGCGACGGGGGCGCGCACGCCGCCCGGTCTATGCTGAATGCTTCTGACCATGTCATCTCCCTCGGCGGCACGAGCGTCGTGGAGGTCCTGCCGAGCTGGGCTGACGTCTGGGTCAAGTACAGCAGGCCGGAGGAGCGGCCTTCCGGCGCGTGGCCAGTCCTGAGCGGGCGGCTCGCACCAAAGTCCCTCTTCGAGTCAGGAGTGATCAAGGACGCCTACACAGATTTCTTGAGGCAAGCGCAGCAGTACGGATTTGACCCGCTGACCACCTATGTACCGGCAGACCTGCCATTCACGGTCGAGGGCAGTAAGAATGGCTATGATACTAATACTTCCGTTCATCCTGGATGGTACGACGCACTGTGGAATATCGCCAGTAGTGTATTCCTTTCCGGCAACAGCTCCTACGAGGGGAGGTTGGAGGCTGCGGTGAACGCGACCAAGATCTTGCAGCTCGCACAGGATCTAGTTGGACCCGGTAGTGCATCATATGTTAACGAGGCGAGCCCATTCACAGACGATTGGAAAGAGGCCTGGTGGGGACCCAACTACTCACGCCTGGTCGCTATTAAGAAGAAATACGACCCTGACAAGCTTCTTCAGTGCTGGAAGTGTATCGGCTTTGAGGACGATGATGTGGAGAGCCCGCGGTACAGTTGTCAGGGGAAGCTACAGCGTGACATTGATCGTGCTGTTTCATGATGTAAAAGATTGAGCGTAGCGTACAGTAATCAACACAGAGGATAGCCTCTCTAGGTCACGATGATGTTGCCGACCAGCTCAGAGAAAAGCCTTGCTGTTCACGGAGGTGAAGCGAGCCAATAGAGCCGAGGCTGTCACAGCTATCGCCGAGGCCGAGACCCAGGTGTTGGGACACTGCTAGTCGTATCTCAAGGCGAGAGGAAGTGACGAATTTGTATATGCTTGCACTGCGATTGGGCCGCACATATGATGCTTCATTGTTCGTTATCCGTCGAAGAGGAAGGGCGACCCTGAAAGTAGAGAGCCGCCCTGTTCGATCTGCACCACGAGCAAGTTGTAGGAGACGGCGGCACATTTCTTTTCGACAAGGCCGATATAACCAACTCCACCCTCGCCAGCTATAAGGCTGCTGGTAATGATAGCCATGCGGTCGACATTTTGGAATGCTTCCGGCGCCCGGATCAAGGCACTTGGCTCTCCTCCATTCGGTCCGTCTTCAGCTTTCAGCCCTGCTGATCGGTCAGCTTCGTCTTCGAGTGCTTCGAGTTCCTCGGGCTCTGAGCTCAGTGCTATGGGTGATGTCCAGGGAAACAGCCAAGGCCGCTCGAACAGCCCTATGAGTGGTGTTATAGGAAATGGTCCAGGAAGCCCAAACAGCTAAGAACCATTTGAGTCGCCCGCTAGGAACCAGCCTGGCGCTATTGCTGTCTGTGACAAGCGAAGTGATGCCCCCCCCCTGGCTAAATTCATATATACGCACGTGCCATATAATTTTTTTTACTCCCTTTAAAACTAGTCTTTTCTTAATAACTCTCTAATTAACTAACTAAAAATTATATAAAAAATATATTTATAATCTTTATTTTAAATTCTATAAGGTTATATTTTTAAAATATTTATTTAAATAAGTTTTTATATATTTTAATAAAATTTAAAAGTTAAATAATTAAATATTTTAAAAATATACTTTTATTAAGTTTTAAATAAGGATTTTAAAAGTACTCTTTTTATAATTTTAAATAAAGATTTAAAAGAGTTTTATAAATATTTATATATATATTAATAAAATTTTATTTTTAATTAAATAAATATTTAAAAATTATATTTCTATATAGTTTTTAATAATAATTATAAATATATTTTTTATATATTTTTTAGGTATATAATAAAGGAGTTATTAAAAGAAAACTACTTTAGAAAGAGAGTAAAGAAATTTGTGTGGTATGTGCGTATATGCGAATTTAGCTAGGGGGGGTATCACTTCGCTTGTCACAGACAGTGGTTCCGCCCGTGGCAGAACTGGCGGCCAGCCGGCGGGGACCGCGCCCCAACCGCCTGAGAGGCCAGCCGAGTCGCCTTCACGTGGGCGTCATACTGTTTAGTCGGATAGTCGCAACTCTGAGTCCCCTAAGACACCCTCTGGAAACGTCACCTATCGTCGACGTACACCTCCATAACCGAAGAACTGAACGCAAATAGTGAATGCTACTGGGCCTCGCCTGGCGATGCCACTCAAGTTTGAAGACTTCATGATTGGACAGCTGTCTTCGTCCATGGTCTGAAATCGCCTTGAGGCATTCGAGCTGCACCATAAGCCTGCTCTCTCTGTTCTGGTCTGTTTCCCCTCTAGATCAAATCCTTTGCTTGGAACTTTAGACTTCCAAGTTCGTTTAGATAGATGCCAATAAATTGGGTTGCTGGACCAGCCCATTTCAACCTACGACCAAATATGGAGGTTTACAAGAGTTGTCTGATAGTCGAGGAGGTGACCAGTTAGTTGGCCGGTTGACCAAGCTCAAGCTGTCTGCAGGGTGGGAATCGCCGCGCTACATCACCGGGACCCTCTGTGGTATAATGGTCAACTTCTTCAGGACGTCGAGCCCGATGATGCGCAGAGTCTACGGGAAGGAAAATGTTGGCACAGCGATACCCTAAAGTCATTATCTTGCAGTTTCGGGGCTCGTTTTGGTCAGCGGACAAACGACGTACATTAGCGACGACACGGAGCTGGGAGATATCTCGGCCGAAGACTACGCCTTTTCAGCCGGAAGACGCCTCGCCAAGCCAGGGGGGCAGGTACCGTCCTCATAAAGGACACAAATTCCCCTCAATCCAAATCTTGCCAGGTCGAATTGCACGCCTCGGACGTTACGATTGGTCATTGCTATTGACGAAGCGCCTCCTCCATCATCTGCCTTGAAGCATATCCCCGCCAGGTATGACTTCCCCATAATGTTTCTGAAGCTCGCATAGATATAGTCCAATTTCCCGTTGGTGACGATGGTACGAACTTTAGGCTTCATTGTGACCGATTCACTGACCTGGGGCAGAAGTTGGGCAGCAAGCTTTTTTTTGTCCTCAATAAAGACTGAAAAAGTGTTAAGCTGAGCCGCTTTGTGACTTGCAACTGGATTTCCAAAGGTACGTTGGCGAGCCTGGAGAGTAGCCTGCTGAGATCGGTTATGCCGTTGAAGTGGCGGCTGTCAAAGGGCAGCAAGCGGTTGTTGTCAGAGTCAAACAGAGGCTGCGGTGGGTCTGTTGAGGGCTCAAATTCGGCATGGTAATCGTGAGACTGATCGTAGATAGGCCAGTTATCAAATGGGCGCGTCTGAAATGCAAACCGGAGTAAGACGAGCGGATCGTTCAGAATAGGAACGTTTGCAGCCTCCCAGCAGCACCTCAGCAGCACCTCAGCAGCACCTGTGCGCGTAGAATACAACGCGGTCTGGGTCTCTATGGTCGCAGGAATGCGCGCCATTTAATGCATTATCGATCAGACAGAGTGCTTGCATCCGAGCACATCGGTTGCCCATCGTGGCTTGCGCGGCTCCTTCCAGATCGCATCGCGTCGGTTGCTTCCAAGAACGCGCGGACAGTACCATCAGCGGCAGTACAGGGGAATACTTGAAGTTGATTTCGCTAGCATCATTGGGCTTGCAAAAGATAGAACCCAAAAGACCAGTGCACACACGTGAAATTAGTTCACACCTCCATTGTGGGTGATCTGTCGAGTTCTAATATGGTAGACGTTCGAGGCATAGGAAGCAGCGTCAGAGTCGACAGAGATGGCGACCCTCCGAATCATCATCCCTCGAGTACCCAATTCGACAATACTTAAGTACTTTGCCAAGACCATATATCCCAGGCTCACTCTTTAAAGTATTTACTTTTCAAGTGGTTGCAGCCTGTCTCATTAATAATCTAACCCTGCCTGTAATATGAGTATTAGGCCATATCTCTTCAGAGACCTTGGAGTTGGAGATAAGGTGGGATCCCCCTATAGTCTTGGTAAAGTGTCGTTAGATTGGGTACCTAGGTATTCGAGGGATGAGTTGCTGATATGGTCGGGAGTGATTGATCTGAGAAGGGAGGGTCGGGCGAGGCGACCATTAAAGGTCAGGCATGACATCTAATTGCGTGCCTACTGTGCTGTCCATCGTGTGCTTGTCTCCTGAGAGGCAGATGCTGGATGTTGGTCGGGTCGTGGCCGGTCGTGGCCGGTCGTGGCCCACAGGTGTTGTTGGGGCGTGTAGCGTACCGAAGTACCTAGGTGTCCAGGTACCCAACCGGCAAAACCGTGGACGAATTAGTCGCCGGTGGAAGAAATTCCCTATGGAAAACCTCCTGAATAATAAATCTCCATGAGATAGCTAGATTGAAAAAAAAAAAAAAAAAAAAAGCCACAGAGAATCCACGGTAATGGTCTCAAATTTCGCGATCACTTGCGAGTCGAGACCGAGTACTTAGCTACTTAAGTACCTACTTAGGCAAGTAGCCTCGAGTGCTTGGGCCGACAAGAGCTAAGTCTAGGCAGAGGTGGGGCGGCCGCCAGCTTAGAACGGCTTAGCGCCTTGGTGCGCCCACGGAACTCGCTGAAGCTTTCCTCCGGGCTGGAATTTTTATATGAAAACTCGACGATCTTGTCAACTTCGTCCTGGCTTCGTACCACTTCCATCAACTTCACACCGCAGCAGCTCACACATCCCCCGCGCCGGGAAGCAACGAGCTATCCACGAGAGTGTCAGAGCTCCTAGAATGTGATCCGTTTCTCGCGAGCTCTGTGCCACCCTCAGTTGCTGGTTGACCTGCAAAGATGGACGCCTCACCGCAAACCTCCCAGGTGCCCGAGGGCATAGAGGGATTTACTGTCGGCATCATCGGCATGGGCGATATGGGCAAGATGTACGCTCGGCGACTCGCTGCAGCTGGCTGGAGGTAATCTGCTCGCCTGTTCCATCTCACTTGGTCCCCGAGCAAATGGAAGCAGTCCACTGCTCATCCTCATCTGGTAAGTGATCACATCACCAACTACCTTTCCAGTACACGACACCACCCCCCTCCTCAATGATGACTTGAGTGCATTTGGCTAGAGTATCGCCCATTGACCATTTCGGTCGGTGGGCTTTCCATGATGAAAATTCTCAGCTACCTTTAAAACTTGTCTGAAGCACAAACAACCACCTTCTGTCTGTTCATTCACTGGTCAGAACCTCAGCTGACCTCGCTCAAGATCTAGCCTTAGGCCTTTGCAAGCTCGGCGCTTGCCCGGCCCTGTTACAGGTCATGCTGACGATTGTTATTTGTGGCAGCATCAAGGCTTGCGACCGGACGGACAAGTTTGAGGGCTTGCGAGACGAGTTCGCCGACAATGTACGGTCTTGCCACCATGTCCCATGTATCTCAGCATAACCCAGTATAGGCAGCATGCTGAGACTTGGCTGTTCTAGAATAATATACAAATCCTCCAAAATGGACATCTTGTCTCGAGAACGAGTGACTACATCCTCTACAGTGTAGAAGCCGCTGTGCTCGGCAACGTCGTAAAAGAATATGGCCCTTGTGCGCTCGCACCAGTCAGAATCCCGGCACCATGACCCCCTGCTCACTGGTTTTGTGATACAGCTACCAAGTTGAACGCCATTGTCGGGGGCCAGACATCCTGCAAGGCGCCTGAAATCGAGGCATTCGAGAAGCATCTGCCTTCCGATGTGCACATTGTCTCATGCCATTCCCTCCACGGCCCCAACGTTGACCCACGGGGCCAGCCTCTGGTCAGTCTGCCCGGCCAATGCAAAGACAAACGTCCAGACCTGCTTACCGACATGCCCGCAGGTCCTCATCAAGCATCGCGCGTCAGACGAGGCATTCGCACAGGTGGAAGCGGTCCTACGGTGCCTCAGCTCCAAGCACGTATACCTCTCTGCGCGGGAGCACGACCGCATCACGGCGGACACGCAGGCGGTGACGCACGTGGCATTCCTGTCGATGGGCAAGGCGTGGCACGCGATGCAGCAGTTCCCGTGGGAAGGGGCGCGGTACGTGGGCGGGATCGAGAACGCAAAGATCAACCTGACGCTGCGCATCTACTCGCAGAACTGGCACGTGTACGCGGGGCTGGCGATCCTGAACCCGGAGGCGCGCAAGCAGATCACGCAGTACGCGCGCAGCACGACGGAGCTGTACAAGCTGATGCTCGAGGGCCAGCACGACGAGCTGCGGCGGCGCGTGTACGCGGCCAAGGAGAAGGTGTTCGGTAAGGAGGACGACTACGACGGGGCCAAGTGGCCGACGGCGCCGCTGCTGCAGGACAGCCTGCTCGACCGCTTCAGCCTGGGCAAGAAGCCCGAGGCGGGCAAGGCGCTGCCCAACAACCACCTGAGCCTGCTCGCCATGGTGGACTGCTGGAGCGCCCTGGGCATCGTGCCCTACGACCACATGATCTGCTCGACGCCGCTGTTCCGCCTGTGGCTGGGCGTCACCGAGAACCTGTTCCGCCACCCGGAGCGGCTGGATGACGCCCTGCGCACCGCGGTCGAGGACAATACCTTCCGGTCCGATGACCTCGAGTTCACATTTGCCGCCCGGGGCTGGGCCGAGTGCGTCTCGCTAGGCCACTTTGAGACCTGGATGGAGAGATTCAAGGTGACGCAGCGTTTCTTTGAGCCGCGATTCACAGAGGCCAGCAAGATCGGTAATGCCATGGTGAAGGCTGTTCTTGAAACTACGCAGGGCAACTAGGAAAGAAAACGGTAACGATTGACAGACACATTGGTGCGGGACGGTGTTCGCGGCTATGAAGAAGATATGAGCCGTGGTCGTTTGGCGCCAAGGGCTTCTGCGCGACGCGTGTCGAGAAGATCGGACGATGTCTGAAGCCGTGGCCGTGGCCGCGGCAGTTGGACGCCAACGGCCTACCATCACAAGAATTGCCCACATAGTAGCGACCGTAACGACGCACCAAGCGTTTTATCAATTGCCAATGCGCCCATGAGTTTCCGAATTGGGAATTACGAATACGGACTATAGTGTGGCGATGTGCCGGAAGGCTAGACCCGCCCCGGGAAGGCATGAGTTCCCCAGGGGTAGATCAAACAGGCCCTGAGCTTGTGTGAGAGCAAGCCGATGTGTTTTGAAACAGGCGGCCGAAAGTTGCATGTTGCCCACAGACTGAACCTTGTTCCATGGTGGGGGATGATTTTTACCATCGACTGCAGTAGCCCGCAACCCATCGTCGAATGCTTGGTCCGCACCATTGACAGCGCTGTGCCAACGTCATCTGAGCTTTATGTGTTTGAGGCTTGAGCCTTATGGAAAGATGATTCCCGAGCTGGGCAACTCTTCTCTTAAAGAGGGGAGGTGCGCCCGCAAATACTGCCACGGTGTGTTCTTTTTCCCTCTTCCTAATGTTGGTGTGTGTGACAAGGCTGGCTGGTCAGCCTCATGTAGACATCACACGTCATTGCCTGACAGAACCTAATTTCCCTGGCCAGGTTGAATCATGTTCGGCCTTGTCAGAGTTCTGTTTGTTGCGAGCCTGGTGCATGTGATCGTCGCCCAGCAGGTGAGCCTAACCACCATACCCAAGATCCACTTGACAGAAACCCAGGCTGACCATACCCGAAGCTCTTTGACAACGAGCCAACATGTGCTGTAAGAAGTCTTTACTGACCCCCAAGCCGTGTTGGAGACATGTCACTGACATTCAACAATCAGGAAAGCTGTTACGCAAACGCAGTCTCGATCAGCGGCTGCAGTCAACAGGACCTTGCATGTCAATGCCGGGCCCCGAACTTCGCCGGGATCGGTCTCGCCGGCGGAGCATGCTTCCTCGCACAATGTAGCCTCAACGATCTGTCAATCCTATCCTCGGCGCTGACGGCGGCCTGTGCCACGGCGACATCACCGACGACGACGGCTACGCAGTCGACGGCTGCTATACAGCCGACGGCCGCAATAGCGGAGACACCTTCGCTGGACCCATTGTTATCGCCATCGCTCTCGCCATCGCTCTCGCCATCGCTCTCGCCATCGCTCTCGCCATCGCTCTCATCATCACCGGCCGAAACATCAGCACCCACGAGCACGGCGCGCCTCTTGAGCACCGCGACTGCGTCCGGAGAAGTGATAGCGGCGGTGCCGACACAGTCGGCGGCCGAGGTACAGGTCGTGCCCCCCGACAACGGCATGATGTCGGACAACGTCATGTTGTCGGCCAACGGCAACCAAGGGGGCCAGACGACGCAGACCCTGAACGCGGCGGCAATCACGGGGATCGTGGTGAGCGGGGGCGCGGTCGGGCTGATCGGCGGGATCCTGCTGTACTTCTTCACCGTGGTACGCCGGCGCAAGATGGACCAGGTCCACTGGGACTCGCTCGAGCGGGAGAAGGCCGCCATGCAGAAGTCTCTCGAGGAGCTGAAGATGGCCGTGCAGCGCGCGGGGACCTTCGACAGCCTGGACGAGAAGGGCGGCGGGGAGAAGAAGAAGCGGCCAAAGACCATCAACCTGACGGGGAGCAACGGTCCCGGCGAGCTCGGGGTGCCGTCGAGGATATTCGAACTGCCGGCTTCACCAGCTAAGTTGGAAAAGATCTGATAGGATATGAACCTTCAGGTGGAGACAAGAGCAGCAAATTAAAACCAAGTCACGATGCAGAATCACCCTCTGTTACCTCATTGCGGGTTATATTCGACACGACAGTGGACGACGTCTATTTCCCATGACAGACGGGTCGCGCCAACAAGCAGCCTCGGGCGGCTTACAGACAGTCCACGCGCAGGCGCATTCATTGTCTCAGGCACGAGTTCGCGTCTACCACCTGGGCACGGACAAATGAGGGCACTCCGCGATGCATCGACCGATGGCAACACATTTCCTTTCCATTCCTAGAGCGAACAGTCCGGTTAGCGCGGCTTAATGGCTCAGAGCAGTACTGCTCACTCCTATATTGATGATACCCATTATTAAACCTTGAGAGACCGAGTCCACGAGTGAAGAGAATGCATGTGTGTGCTATGATGACTGCTTTGCCGGCTTTCTAGTGAGCGGCGCCGTCGGGAGCGATCATTGATGCCTTCCAGCCTTGTCTGTGCGGTACGAGGCTCAGCCATGTGCCCACAGACGTACTGTATTCTATTTCCACTATTATTGGCACTATAGCTTTGGCCACACTATATTTTTCCTTTATACTATATAACTATCTTTTAGTTTAGCTACTTATTTCTTCCCTCTAGAGTTTATATATAAAGTCTTTAATAACTTTATATATATCCTTATAATCCTCTTATAAAGAAACTTTAAATCTATTTTTTTCTTTATTTTTATTATATTTTTCTATATTATTAAAGAATTAATAATTATTAATAATAAAAATATAAACTTAAAAAAGAATAAACTTATTACACTTTCTTTTTATTTTTTTATAAACTACTTTTAAAACTTTCTTTAAAAGTTTTAATATTTAATTATAAAAATCTTAAAAGTAATATATTATAAATTATTTCTTTATTTTAAATTCTTTTAAAATTAATAATTATATATTTAAATAAAAATTATAATATTTATTTAATAAAAGTTTTATTATAAGGTATATATATATATATATATATTTAAAAGAATAATTTTTAATTAAACTTTTAATATAATTTATTTATATAATAATTATTTTAAAATTTAATCTTATTATATAACTTTTATAATAATTAAATTATAAACTACTTTTATTTATAATTCTAATTAATATTATTATTAAAATAATATCTTTTAACTTTATTTATATATTATAAAGTTAAAATTATAAATATTTATTATATTATAATTATTATTATTAATATTATATTCTTTTAAATATTAAATTTTAAATATTTATTATTATATAAAAGTATTATATATATTTTAAATATATATAAAATAGAAATAAAACTATATTAATATTATATTTCTTTAAACATTAAGTTTTAAGTATTTACTACTATATAAAAGCGCTATATATATTTTACATAGAGATCGAATATTTATACTTATAAAAACGGAGGGTACATTTAAGGAGAACCTCTAGGAGAACCTTCTATAAAATAATCTCCTATAGAATAACCTTTTAAAGAATAACCTCTTATAAAATAATCTTTTATAGAATAACCTTCTAGGATAACTTTCTAGAATTATTATTTATAAAATAACTTTTTATAAAATAACTTTCTTTAAAATAACTTTTTTTTAAAATAATATATTATAAAATAAATATATAAAATAATTAGTTTATTATTAATTTAAATATTTTTATTTTTAAATTATTTATTATAAATATATTTTTATTTTATAAATATAAAATTAAACTTTTATATATAAAAATTAAAAATAAAGTTATTTATATATATTATATAAAATAATAATAAAACTTAAATAAATTATATTATAAAATTATTTATTAAATTATTTTTATTTAATTATTATTATATAAATAAATATAAATAAAATATTTAAAATATTTAATATATTAAAGAAACCTTTAAAAGATTTATTATTTTAAATTATAATTCTTTTTATAATTTTTTAATTTAAAATAAATTAAATAAAAGTATTTTCTCTATAAGAGCCGAGGCTATATAAGATAGGACACCTTAAATATATTAATTCTAATCTATCCGGCTCAGTTTCTTCAACTAGCGCCATTCCTGCGGGATACCCTCTTGTGGTATACCCTCCCACAGGATACCCTCCCATAGGATGCCCTCCTATAGGATACCCTCCCACCGAGTACCCTCCCACCGAGTACCCTGCTGCGGGATACCCCGCTGCAGGATACCCTCCCACAGGATACTCTCCCCCTAGACACCCTCCCCCGAGATACCCTCCGGGACACCCTCCCACTAAATACCCTCCTATTTAATAATACTTATCTCTATAAGTTATATATTTAATTAGTATTTTAAATAAATAAATTATAAGTTTAAAATTTTATATTATAAATAAAAGTAAAAATAGTTTTTTAAATTATATAAAGTTATTAAATTAATATTTAATAATATAAATTAAATAATTAAAATAAAAAAAATTAAAATATAAATTTAATATACTATATTATCCTTTGATTATAATATAAAATATAAAGAATATATTTAATTAAAATTTATTATTTTTATAATAAAATAAATATAAAAACTTTTAAAATAATATTTAATAAGTTTTTTATATTATTAAAAGTTATTATTAAAAGTTATTATTAAAAGTTATTATTAAAATATTATTAAAATATTATAAATTTATTTATAAATATTTATTAATAAATAATTTATTTTAAAATATTATAATTAAAACTTTATTAAAATAATAATTTTATATTTTTAACTTTTATTTTTATTAATAACTTTAAAGTTATATATAATTATAATTTATATTAAAAGATATAATATTTAAAAAAGCTTTTATTTTAAAAATATTAAAATAATAAAATATATATTTTAAATAATAATTATTTTTTAATTTATTTATTTAAATAACTTTTAATAAAATAATTTTATTTAAATCTTTTAATTTAATATTATATATAAAAAATAAATAAAGAATAAAGTTTTTATAAATAAAAGATTCTTTTATTAAATATATATTATTCTTAGAAAATATATATTAAAGGGGTTATAATTTAAATTAGTCCATATTATTATACTTAGTAAGACTGATCTTATACTCCTTAATAAGCTGAATTGTTAGATCCGTATTATCTCTTGATGTGATGCTGAAGCTAGAGGTTGTGGCTTGTCTTAGTTTGTCCCGTGGTGACAGACATGGGCTGTCCAATGCCACATTGTCCTCTAACGGTATGGATTCACTGCTAAGAACACAACACCCAGGCAGACAGGGTTTTCCAGGGTGAGAAACACAATAGAGGAGGATATTATAGTCGGAACCTGATTAAGGATGACAATCTTGCATCTCTCTGCTTTAATTCTCAGCTAGTGTCTCTACATAAATATACAACCACAGTTCATATTAGGAGTTGTGATATTGTATGGTAGAGAAGTAAGGGGGTAAGTAGTTGGGTCTGAAAAGAGTGTATTGGGTTGGTTGGTTTCTAAGTTACTTAAGTACTTAAGTAGGTTGTAGGCGGGCTGGGGTGAAGGCCCTAGCCTTGGTCAAAAACCTGCTGACTAAGCTGATGACTAAGCTAGAATCCAGTTGCACCCCTTCGTGCCTGCCACACATTGGTGAGAGCTTTCTGTTCCAGGAACGTTGAGATGGTTAATAGTAGGGCTACCGTACACTACACTATACACACTAGGTTCGCCAATAGAATATAGATTTAATAATCTAACTTATTAAAAAGTATAAGACAAACTTAACTAAGTATAAAGACGACCTAAACTAGTTTAAAACATGGCATCTAAGACATACATTTTCCACGCAAAACAAATATATAATAAAAGAATCTCTCATCCATAAAGACTTCATCCCCTATCCACTCCTAATATACAATACCAGACTCAAAAACTTGGACAAAATTACCTTACTAGATGCAATATCTCGACATATTAACAGATCGCCAAAGCAGATAAGCCACAAAAGTGGCCACCATTTAAAACGTGCTATTAACCAAGGCTGCCACTCACTACACTCAGTGTAATTAATATAGTGTAGTGCATATAAATACACCCACTACACCCCACTATACTAAGGGTATTTTAAAGTATATTATATTATATTAAAGTATTTAATATATATAGTATAGTAAGTTTTAATGTAAATAAAAGGGGGGTAGAGGGAGAAAAGAGAGAGAGAAAGAAAGAGAAAAAAAAAAGTTAATTAAGTAAATAAAATAAAATAAGAAAAAGATTAATTTTATTTATTTATTTATTTATTTCTTTTATTTCTTTTATTTCTTTTATTTCTTTTATTTCTTTTATTTCTTTTATTTCTTTTATTTCTTTTATTTCTTTTATTTCTTTTATTTCTTTTATTTCTTTTATTTCTTTTATTTCTTTTATTTCTTTTATTTCTTTTATTTCTTTTATTTCTTTTATTTCTTTTATTTCTTTTATTTCTTTTATTTCTTTTATTTCTTTTATTTCTTTTATTTCTTTTATTTCTTTTATTTCTTTTATTTCTTTTATTTCTTTTATTTCTTTTATTTTTTATTTCTTTTATTTCTTTTATTTCTTTTATTTCTTTTATTTCTTTTATTTCTTTTAACTTTCTAATAATTTTAATACTATTTAAAATATTATTTAAACTTTATTATATAAAATAAATTTAAAAAATAAAGTTATTTTTAAAAGTTATTTTTAAATTTTAAAGTAAAATATAATAATAATAAAAGTTTATTAATAAAAGATTTATAAAACTTTTATAAAACTTATTTATTTTTAATTTTTAAATTTTATTTTATTATTTAAAATTTATATTTTTAAATATTAAATTAATAATAAAGTATATTAAAGTAAAATTTAATATTATATTATTTATTTATTTATTATTAAATTATAATAATAAATTTAAAATTATTATTTTAATATATTTATATTATTAAAATAATAAAAGTTTAATATATTTAATATAAAATTATATTTATAAATAAAATTAATAATAATAAATAATATAAATTAAAATAAATTATAAGTTTTAATCTTAAAATTATAATATTAAATAATTTAATTTTAATAATTTAATATTTTAAAAATAAAATTAATTTAAAATATAATTTTAAAATATATTTAATATATTTATATATTTTTAAAGAAATAATAACTTTATTTTATTTATTTTATTTATTTATATTTATATATAATTTAAATTATATAATAAATTTAATACTTTTATATAATAATATTTATTAATATTAAATTAAATAGTTTATAATTTATAATAATTTTAACCTTTAAATTAATAAATATATTAATTATATTAATTTAAATTAATTAAATATAACTTAATATATTAATAAAAAAATTTTTAATAATAAATAATATTATAACTATAAATTAATTTTACCTCTTAAATATAAAATTAAAAACTTATAATTATAATTTTCTAACTAATTTTTATTTAACTATTTTATTATATTATAACTTAATTTAACCTTATTTAAACCTTTTTTAAACCTATTTAATATTTTTCTTTTAAGTAAATTAAATTTAAATTAAAACCTTTAAGCTTAAATTTAAAATTTTTATAAATCTTAATATACTTTAAATTAAGTTTATAATCCCTTAACTTCTTTAAAAATATATTAACTATTTTAAATAATAATAACTTTTTTAAAATAGAGGTCTATTTTATATAATTATAAATTTAATTATTAATAACTATTTCTTTTTTTATTTATAGTAAAACTATTAAAACTATAAACTTAAATATTATATATAGTAATAGAGTATAGTTACCTTACTTAAAGGTTATCTCTTAATTTAACTAAATAACTATTTTTAAGTAGTTTTACTTATAGAGCTAATAGATAGGTATTTACTTAAATAGAGTTAAAACCCTAGTTAGAGGAATAGTAGCTTTTATCTTCACCCATTTCAACTAACTTATACCTAAGTCACACAGTAATATCACATATAATACTTAACAGCGTTAAGACTAAACAGCTCACAATCTATAATAGCTTCAACCTTTAATAGACCGGTCTATATTAAGACTAATAGCACTAACCTAAACAAACTAAGTATAGCCTAATATACTAATATAAGAAGGTATCTTTTAATAATAAATAGTATTATAAATAATTATAAAATTATTATAAAAAGTTTTATATAGTAAATTTAACTAAATTAATTTTTAAAAAATATATTATATTTTATCCTTTTAAAACTCTAACTATTTACTTCTAGTTTAATAATAAAATTAAAAAAATATAAATAATTTATAAATTAATTTTATAATTATAATTATTTTTTATAAATCTTTATTATTATTTTTATTATTTAATTTAATATAATTATACTATTTATATAATAATATTATAATAAATAATATTATAATAAGTAGTATTATAATAAAAAATAGATTTAAAATATTTAATATATTAAAAAAACTATAGTTATATAGTTAATATATTACTTTTAACTTATAAGTATCGGGTGGATAGGATAACCACCGCGCCTGCAAGCAGATAAGGCTGCCACACTATTACCTCTCGCCCCGAAGCCCGAGGGGCAACCTTCCCTTCTTCTCTTTTTCCCTACTCTTTAAATCCACTCTATTTGGTTCAAACTTCGAGCCCTTGTGCCGTGAAGCCCAAGTGACGTCTCACCCGGGTCGCGGTCAGGATCATAGTGGACATACAAGGCGTCATAGGAACCATTGTTTACATTAAGATCCTTGATGGAAATAACAAGAACTTCGTCGGTGACGGCGAGGCTCGAAGGCATTGGGGAGAGGGGTTGGACGAAGCGGGAATTCCTGTCGCGGGTCCTGCAAAGGGGGAACAGCAGGTTTTATATATGCCTTGGAGTGCGGAGGATGTATACTCACAGTATTAAATTGCTTGTCGCTGACTTCACTAAGCGAGACACACTCTCCCTATCGAAGAGGATCTGGTAGCATGTGGAGCGCAGGACGAGCATGGCGGCTGTGCCGTTTAGGGTAGCCTCCTTGCACAGCTCGATACATAGACAGTCTGGTCTGTGACGCAGCTGCGATCGTGGGGGCGTTGTCGCGAAATCGCCCAATCATGAAATTCTCTTTGTGTTGTCGATCCCAGACATGTAGGTGCCTACTTATGATGCTTTTTTTCTACAGTAGATAAAGCCAAGGGGTTCCCCGATGGTCGGTGGCCATCGCTGATCGTCGTTCTTCCTCACAAGCAGGAGAGCGAGGAGGCGGAGGAGGCCACGAGGGAGGAAGAAATAGAAGGCCGCAATGGCGTCGCATATCGCACATCCAAGAGCATAAATTGCCTCGAACATCGGCACAGAATATGTGGAAAATCGTCTATCATTCCTCAGCAATGCTGATGCTATCAAATCTAGTGGAAACCATTCATATGGGCTTTCTTTCCGGGACATACTGCCCAGCCCAAGCCTCAAATCCGGCATGAAAAGAGAAAAGAAAAAGAGATCACTTACTCTACAGTGCCCTGAGCACAGAGAGAAGTAGTAGAAGAGTACTGTCTTTGGTATCCTTTAAAAAACCCAAGAAAAAACGCCATCAGTCCGCATGCAGTATATTTTTTTCTTTTCCATCCCTCATCCCCGTCTTATCCGTCTGGGCGTAAAAGAACCAAGCCCCTTATACCTTCAAGATCTATTGTCAAGAAGCGAAAGAAAATTTCACGGCAATGAATCAAATCAAAGGACCGGCGCGAAGAAGCACAAATCCGAGAGCATGAAGAAGAGTTTGACTTATAGCCCTCACTTGGAAGACATGATCTTGGCCAAATCCCGCCCGTTGGAGACCAGCGCCTCCCGGCAGCCGCCGCAGATGCGCACGCGGCAGTGCGAGCAGCAGAACCGCGCGCCATTGTCCTCAACCTTGCACGTCATGCAGGCGACAGGGTGGTGCTCATTCTTGCTGGCGACGAACCGCGAGTGGGCCGTCAGGCAGTCGAGTTGACTCGCCTTGATCGGCGGCGCCGGGATGATATCCCCCGGGAAGAAGAGCCTCGAGTACTCGGCGGCGGGGAAGTAGTTGGCCTCGCCGGGTGACGCGGGCACGGTCGGGCCGGCGGCGTCGACCACCTCTTCTTCCTCGGTGCTGCTGGATGGCGCGAGTTGGTGTTGCGGCTGTTGCTTGGTGGCCTCGTGGTCCGGTTGCGTGGGGTGGGGCGAACGGGCTGCCTTGATGGTCGAAGCATCGCCATCGTCACTGATCGCGATGGAGGGGGTGGGGGTCGAGCTGGGAGACTGGACGTAACCTGGGGAGAGCGAAGCTGCCATTTTTGCGACGGAAGCAGGCGGTGGTGACGATGTAGCAGGCGCTTTTGAAGAGACTTCGGCCGGAGCGATGACAGCAGGAGACACGGAGGCGGGAGAGGGTGCGGCAGGAGAGAAAGCGCCTGGTGAGGACCGGCCTGGGGGCGCGGGAGACCTCGGCAAGCCAAGACGGGGCCCGGAACCGCCCCCCGGCGGTGGTGGGCCGCGTGACGAGGATCGGGGCGGCAGCGAGGGCAGCGGGCCCGACGGAGGGGGAGCAGCCGGGGCAGGGGCCGCGACGGCGCGCACAATATCCTCCGGAATGATGCTGAGGGGCCTTCCCTCAGTCGGCGGGGTGACGGGCGACGCGGGCGACGCTGGAGACCTCATGTTTGGGAAGCTGCCGTCGATGGGGGATTCATCATGGTCATACTCCGGAGTTGGCGGGCGTTGAATGTGCGGTGAAACGGCCGGGGCGGCCTCGGACGAGGATGCCTTGTAGCCGTCTTCGACCTCCTGGGCGTATTGAGAGAAGCCATCTTGGTGCTCTTGGGGATTTGGGTTTTCCATGATCTCTGGTCGTGGGTTTCTTGGCAGAGCCTTGTTTGAAGGTGACGGTCGGACGTTGCGGCCGGGGAAAGATTGAAAGCCTTTCAAGATGGGCGAGTCCAAAGCGGATCCTGCGAAGGGCGCCCTAGGCTTCGGGAGAGAGGCAATGTCGTGCTGCAACGCCCCGGCTTCTTGTGCTGAAGCCGCTGTCGAGCCGTGGGAAGAGGTGAGTTTGAGCTGGGGGACGGTCAAGGGCTTGTCCGACTTGAGGGACCTCCTGCGCCAAAGCTGTGGTTGTGAGGGCGATTGTTCAGCCATGGGCGAGGAAATATTTGCCTGCTCGGACGGTATAGATGGGAGGGCCTTGGAGCTCTTGGGAGTGATGGGCCTTTGAATTTCCTTTGTGGGTGGCGTAGGAGGACGACCGTCTGTGTGTGCTTCTAGACCAGAACCGTGCTGAGGATGTGGGGCATTTGAACTCATTTCCGAGGAAACAGGAGTTGGCAAGTATAAGGGCGACACCAGGTCCAATTTTGTGCTTGGTCCCCCAAGAGTATCCTTTGGCAAAACCTTTGGGTTCGGAGGCGATGGACCCATGACGGAATACGCAGTGGCAGTTGTGTCCTCTGAGTACCGAGTGGCCGAGGAGTCCTCCGTGCCGTAGGCCGAAAATATGCTCGACAGGGACTCGACGGGAGAGACATTGCCAGGCTGGGCGGGCTGTGGATGCGGTGGGCTCTGAGCTGTGTTCCCGACAGCCCCGTTACCCACCGGCTTCCTCCTTATAACAACAGGCGGGCTATTCACCCTTGTCAGACCCGGAAGTGGAGGAAGTGGCGACTCCGACACCTTGGCCGCAGCCATGGTCGACGATGTTTTCGCGGCGGTGTCCTTGGGAGGTGGTGGTGGGCGAGAGGAGGCCAGGGAGTCCTTTCTTGCGGGCAACACCACAACAGCCTTGGTTTTGCTGGCAGGCGGCGGTGGGGGATCCGGAAGAGCCTTTGTGTAGCGCGAGGTGGCCCAGGGCGCGGGTTGCGTGAGGGATGCGGTCTCCATCATATACTCCGTCTGCTGCGCAATGGCCCCCTAATTATTATGCCGCGGACGTTGCAAAACCAATTTGGGAGCACAAGGCTTCTCAGTGGCCGGAGCAAGTCGTGGCACAGGGCCGGCGTACCACGGTATTACGCAGCGTTATGCTTGCTGGGGCGCAGATATTGCCCGTGATTCAAGCAGACGTAGCAGAGAAAGAGTAGTCGGGCCGGGGGGAGGGGGGTGTGGGCGAGAACGCCCAGTGGTGCACGACAGGTCTCGAGCAGCGAGGGAAGCAAGCATGCAATCCCGGCGGGACAACAAGGTTTCTGCTGTGGTAGCCTTGGAGGAGGAGCGGAAGACAGCAAGCAGGACCCGCCCGGTGGTGTTGCAAGTATATTTTTGGATGGAAAGAATGCCGCAAACAGACAGGCAGAGCCAGGACTGGGCGCTCCTGTTATTGACGGCGGAGGGCTGGCGACGCTTCCGAGGGCCGCGGCGACCCCCCCGTCGGTCCCAGCTGTCCCAGCTGTCCCAGCCGTGGCCCCTCGAGGCGTTGCGAACCGCGAAGGCAGAGGTGCAGAGGTGGTCCACAGCCAACTGGTCCAAGGCTGAACGAAGCCTGTGTACTTGGTAAGGAGATGGTCCCTGAAGATCTGAAACAGCCGCTAGTTCTTGTGGAGCTAAGGAGCTTTGGGATCCCGGCACGGCCCCTTGCAACAGGCCTTCATCTGTGCAGCAGCCAGTAACCCGCCGAATTATCGATAAAAAGGCTGCAAGTGGTGAGCAGAAGGCTGGGCAGGGGTTGAAAAAATGTTGGACAGCGCATCCTTCCCCAAGGCCGGCGCGGATGTGCCGGTGATTATTGCAAATGCTGTGCCACAGGAGCTTTTTTTTTTGCAAGTCAGCAAGTTTGTGTGTCTCGGGACCCGACTGGCCGTCTTGCATGGCTGGCATGACAGTCGAATCTCAAGGAGGGACAAGGACGGACAAGGTTGGCGGGAGGTGTCACACGATGCGAGGCGTGCCTGATCCAAGGAAAGAAGGAAAGACACCATCTCAGCCACACCAGATGGACAGGGGCCTGTCAGAAGAATTCTACATAGTATTGACTGATGACTCCTCTTGCTGTCGGTCAGAAAGATGCTCGCCCGCGCTCGGTTGGTTTCTGCGTGTGATAAAATCGGTGGCTGCCTCGAACGTGCCCAGCTCATGTGTGTTCCATGTCGTCGCAGGACTGGCACTGCAGGGCCTGAGGAGGCAGCCCGGCACTGCCAACTGTCACGCAGCATTGCTGAGGTCCGTCCGCCCGCCCGCCCGTCCGCCATGATGATCGCATCGATCGATGTGAGGGTGACACTGTCATGGCGGGACCGATTCCAGGCCCGACTGATCAGGTTATTGAAGCTTGTCGTGCAGCGGCATAAGATTACAGCTCCATCTTCCCCTCTTTCCATCTCCGAGGACAAAGCTTTTCGCGCCTAGACAGTACTGCGTAGTACTTTCGGGAAGGGTTGGAAGGGCCAAGATTCCCACCACTCCCAAGGATGGGTGGATGGTTCGTCTGGTGTTGGTTGTCGGCCAGATGCAGCAGCAGCAGCAGCAGCAGAGGTGGGATGGCAGCCGGGCCAAGCAGCAAGGAAGGCAGGGGTGTGGCTAACAAGACAAGAAGGAGCCACAGGCTTGCTGACTTGCTGCCAGGGAGCCTGCTTGTTGGGGGCCACCAGCTCGGACGCCGTTGCAACCGTACCTGCGTCCAGCCGACGACATAAATCCCACGCAGTGAGATGGCGCCGTGTCTATTTTGATGAGCGACCGGTAGCCTGCAGCAGGTATACGATGTGTGACCAGAGACCTGGCAGCCCTGGTCAGCACATCACACATCATCCTGAGGGCATCCAACAATTTCCACATGGCCCCACCCGTCGACTCCTTCCACGAAGGTGTTTGCTGGCTTGAGCATCTATACTAGTACCATAGTACCTTCATATGTGTGACAGAAAATTAAAACACCGAGATCCTGCGAGAATAATTGTCTGCATACATACGACGTCCAGTACGACATCCAGTACGAGCCCGTTACGCCCGTTGTTAAGCCCGTGATGAAGCCGTCGCCGGGACACAGAGACTGCCGGCGCCGGCAAGTGCGATAAGCCGGTCGACCATCCGGAAGCGACGCACTACTCCGTACTTGTCCCCGCAATCGGCCGGCCGCGGCAAAGTGCCCCGCGATACACAAACTCCGGATGACGAAATGCGTCTGGCTGGGTTCTTGTGCCCTCTCGCGTCTGCTGGTTGTTCCCAAGCACCACTCCTGTAGGCTCGCGATTCCCCTCTCAGCTCGAAATGGCCGTAGACAAGCCCACGGAAACGAGCCCGCTCCTGCGCCCGGACCGTCCCGACGAGGCCGGCGCCAGTCCTGGCACTTCGACGTCAGGCTCATCGGACACGGCCGTGGCCGTCGAGGGGGGCCGTGACGCCCCCCCAGCGGGAAATGGCGGCGGCGAGGTCGCGCGGGAGGGCATTCCCGAGATGGCCAAGAGGCTGCACATCCTGTTGCCCGCCATAGGCATTGGCATCTTCCTGTGTGCCCTCGACCAGCTTCTCGCCGTGGCGACAGTAAGCATCCCGTCCAGATGCTGATCCTCCTCGACTCGACCATGTCACTGACGTGAGGGGAACTGCAGTACGCCAAGATCGGGAGCGACCTCAAGGCGCTCAACTCCACCAGCTGGATAGCCACAGCGTGAGTTCTACCAAGTACTCCGTGCCGGTAACCTGGACAGGACTGACGGCGTGGTCAAAAGCTACTTCCTGACCCTGACGAGCTGCCAGCCCCTGTACGGCAAGCTCTCCGACATCTTCGGCAGGAAGGAGTGCCTCCTCTTCTCCTACGTCGTCTTTGGCCTGGGCTGCCTGGGCTGCGGGCTGGCCCAGGACATGACCCAGCTGGTCGTCTCGCGGGCCGTGGCTGGCATCGGGGGCGGCGGCATGAACGCCGTCGTCTCCATCCTGCTGACTGACATTGTGCCCCTCCGCGAGCGCGGCGTCTGGCAGGGCTACATGAACATCATCTTCGGCGCAGGCACTGCCACTGGTGCACCCCTGGGCGGCCTGCTCGCCGACTCGTTGGGCTGGCGGTGGTCCTTCATCGGCCAGGTGCCCGTGGTCATGCTGGCCTTCGTCACCGTCTACTCGGTGCTCCACCTCCCCAAGAGGGACCACTCCCACTGGAGGGAGAAGCTCGCCCGCGTCGACTTCCTGGGCGCCTTCTTCCTCGTGTCCGCCGTCCTGTGCCTCCTCCTCGGCCTCGATAACGGCAGCAACGAGGGCTGGGCCAAGACGCAGACCATCGTCCCGCTCGCCGTCTCCCCGGCCCTCTTCGCCGCCTTCCTCTTCGTCGAGGTCCGCGTCGCCTCCCACCCCTTTGCCCCGGGCCACATCATCTTCGAGCGCTCCCTCTTCGCCGCCTACCTCTGCAACTTCTTCGGCGTGCTGGGCCAGATGCCCGTGCTGTTCTTCCTCCCCCTGCTGTACCAGGCCGTCGACGGCGTGTCGGCCGTCCAGGCCGGGCTGCTGCTGATGCCCGGCTCCATCTTTGGCGTCAGCGCCTCGCTGGGCTCTGGCCTTGTCATGCGCCGGACCGGCCGCTTCTTCTGGATGAATGTCGCCGGCTGGGGCCTGCTCTTCTTCAGCGTCGTGCCCATGGTGCTGTTCTCTGGGCCCTGGCTGAAGTCGGAGGCCGGTACCTCGATCGCCTTGGGGATCCTGGCCCTGGGGGCTGGGACTGGTAAGTAACTTGTTTCCCGAGGTCTCCTCAACCTACCTCTATAGACTTTCTTTCTTGCTATATCTTGTCCCGTCATGCTATCCGCATACGCAGTTTCGGACTAACCGCACCTCGCCCTGCAGGCATCACCACGAGCCTGGTGGCCCTCATCTCCAACGCCGCCAAGGAGGACGCGGCGGTCGTCATCGCCTGCAGCTACCTCTTCCGCTCCCTCGGGTCCGCCATCGGCGTCAGCGTCGCCTCGGCCATCCTGCAGCAGGTCCTCCGGTCCCAGCTGGCCGCGCAGCTCGGTTCCGGCCAGGACGCCCGCGACATCGAGAGCCGCGTCCGCGAGAGCCTCGACTACATCTCCCAGCTGCCGCCACAGACGGCCGAGGTCGTCCGCCGCTGCTACCAGATGGCCACCGTGACCGTCTTTGGGTTCCAGGCGATCCCCGCGGCATTGGCGTTTGTGTCTTCTTTCTTTATCAGGGAGAAGAAACTCAGTTGAGGGAAGACCCCAGGAGTGGTGGGAACTGGATGACCATGCCACAACACGCAAATGTGCGTGTCCAGACAGCGGATAGATCAACGTGTAAGCCAAGTCCTTAGAGAGCCAGTTTTTGGCAATGACATAGACGTGGACTTCAAATATTGCGGTGAATTTTCCCGCGTGCATGTTGTTGGCCTTCTCGTAGCCACTGTTGCAGGCCATTTCCAGCAACCCATCCCTCACACCCTCCATTTCTTCCCGGGCTGCAGTGCTATGCTAGCTGGACGAGGGCGGAGATGCCACTGGCACCAGCTGTCGAAAATCAAGTCTAGCGAAACATCCATCCCTTATGCTCGCCAAAAGATTCTAGCACGAAACGGCAATGGCCATCTAAACTGCGGTTTCCTTTTCGCAGTGGCATCATTTAGAACCGGTGATCCATCATCAACCACTCGACATTTTCCTTTCTCCCGAGCTGTCTGACCTTGGAGCGGGGACTGCCCATTGGCAGAACTCTACTTCATCACAGAGGGGGGGGGTTGCTTTCACGTGTCAGCACACCAACCCCCGACCCCCCTGCGAGGCATCAGGCCCGAGACCTGCCTGGTGGGCGAGGTAGCAATCGGTGGTACCACGATATGGAAAACTTTTTGGGCGAGTAAAACTGCCATCTTGTGCTGGTGAGGAGCAGTGAGGAGAGATGGAATATACGAGTGCTGAATCTGACACCCCCCTTTTCCCCTTGTTTCTTAGACAAGGCTTGCTGGAATTTGGGCCGTCGGAAATTGGGTTGACAGATCGATACATGTGCACTCGGTGCTTTGTCGCTTTTCACTTGGCGAATAATAACTTGATGTCTGCGTGGTGGCCTGGGTCTCCGTGTTGTTGTTGACCGGCCAGGTTGATCGATTGACCGACTATTCGGCGTCATTGAGCTGTGGAAAAGCGCAAAGAAGGACAAAGAATTGTCACGGATTGCTGTGCGCGCGGCCAGGGTCTATGCGAATTGTCTCGTGGCGTCACTCGAGCAAGGTGAAAAGTCAATGTGGATAGCAATGATCCGGCGAACCTCTCCCGCACCGGCCATGTGTCGTAGATCGAGGTCGGACGCTGATAATGCTGTCACTCCGCACCTAATATTTCCACGGAAAAGGCCAGATTGCGACCTGGATGGTGGCCATATAGCAGATAGCATTTCACATGGCTGCCATTTTGTTATCTACAATGCCCCCTAGGGAACCGAAGACCGGCCGCAAACATGAGCAGACACGTCCTCTGGCCCCGTCACTCTCTGCTGCGTTTTCTCCCCAAAACGGCATGTGCCTGTGTTTTTTCCCCCGTGTCGACAGGCGACTTCTTCGTTATCTAAAACCGTATTCTTCGTCATGACCTTCATAACCATGTGCTGAGCGTGGGATTTGGGATATCTGGGATGTCAAAAACGGCTGTTGCAAGGACGAATGAGGAACCAGCCAAATGAGCTGCATGTGTGAAAGGGCGCGGGAGTGTTGGAGAGGTTGTGTGAACGGATGAGAGGGAGTGTTTGAGTGTGTGTGCATGCGTGCATTCGTGCATGCGCAAGTGTAAATCGACATCAGCCTGGGCGCCCCAAAAGAATCGAACAAGTCCTCCGACAACAACCGTTAAAACCCCCGTCTATGATCTTTCTTCTTTCTTTTTAGAGGCATTCCAACCAAGCAGCGAGGGCGAGAACTATGCCCATGCTGCCTCGACTCCCACCTCATCAGGCATCTCGCTTGACCCCACCACCAGGGAGGGACGTGGGGTATCAACGACCCTCCGATCCGTAGCTCAGGCTCCTGAACCTCGCTCGCGCCGGGTGAGGGCTCTTGTCGTCGACAGCAAACGCACAGGCGCGGTCCCATTTCTCTGTCTCCCTCGCCTAGAGGTTAAACCCGCGCTTCGGGTACGCCACGCCCTCGACGGCGGGCTCGTCGACGAACCAGCTGCACCGGTCGCCGGTCTGCTCGTTAACCAGGGCGCAGGGGAGGCCGGAGGCGGCGCCATCCTCGAAGATCTGCTTCATGACACCCTTCTTGCCGCCGCCGGTGGCCACGAAGGCGACGCGCACGGCGTGGGTGACGACGGGCAGGGTCAGGGTGATGCGCTTTGGCGGGGGCTTGGGGCTGTCCTCGATGGGGGCGACCCAGGCGGTCGTCTCGCGCAGGAGCTCGTGGCCCGGGAACAGCGAGCAGGTGTGGCCGTCGGGCCCGCAGCCGAGCAGCAGCAGGTCGAAGATGGGCAGGCGCACGCTGTCGCGGCTGGCAAAGGAGGCGACGAGGATCTGCTCGTAGTTGTCGGCGACCTCGAGGCTCTCCTTGGACAGAAGGTCCTTGTTGATGGGGTGGACGGTGGGCTTGCCCTGGTCCGCTGGGATCTTGTCCAGCAGCTCTTTCTTGAGCAGGCCGTAGTTGGAGTCCTCATGGTCCAGGGGCACGATGCGCTCATCGGCGAAGAAGATTTCCCACTTGTCCCACTTGACAGCGTCCTCGGGCCCAGAGGGCGGGCTCAGGAGGGCCTGGGCGAGGGTCTTGGGCAGCGAACCGCCTGATACGGCGACCTTGAAGGAGTTGTGGCGGGTGATTCCTGCGCTCTGGCACTGGATCACATATGTGCGCAGGGCGGTTGCCAGGGCAGGGACATCGGGGAAAGGGTAGAGGTTGGCTTGTCCGTGGTTAGGCATTGTGGCTGGTGTGCTTCTCGGCCGTGCGTGCGTGACAGCCTGGGCCTTTGGGATGAAGTAACGAAGCTGTCCGGTGAGTGGCCTAGAGATGCAGGCTGTGGGTGTGATGTATCAGACCGAGGATTGGGCGGCGGGCGGTGATGGGGGTTAGCCGTGGGGGAGTACGGATACCGATGCGCGATTTGGCCGTGCGAGAGGATTATGAGACGTTGTTGTGTGAGAGTACGCGAGAAGACCAGCTGTGGGGAGCACGGCTGTTGAGGTGAGGTCGTTTACTTGTGCTGCAGTGTGGATCAAGATAAAGCAGACGTGGACTGGGGAAAAGTTTCCCTCGGTGCGAAGATAGACGGTGACGAAAGACGGCGAGCGTCCGTTTGATTCCACCCCGGGCTGCCCAACTCCAGTTGACTCCTGTCAGTCAGTGGAGGGGCAGAGAGGGTCAGAGGGGTAGGGAAGACCTGTCCTGCTGGATTTCCAGGCTGTATTGCTATCGATAAGACTGTGGCTGCAGGGAAGCAGGGGCCAGGGGACAAGCAGGCTTGTGGGTAGGGGGAGGGGGGTCCGATACCTATGCCAGCAAGAACTTTCGATGGTATTCTGCCCGCTTCTTCTTTCTATCTGGCTGGCTCTCAGACCATGAATAGTGATATGTGGAAAAAAGGTGTTGTTGTAACGGCGGAGACTATATTTCTACTCTCCTACTAATACACGCGCACGCTGTTGATTGTCCCCTTCCACCTCCACTCAACGCGGGTAAATTGATAAGAAAACCACAAGAAAATGATAGCTCTTCCGCAAGCCACAACAGTCAGGACTAGCCATCAAATGCCCGCAGCCAGTATCAGATAAAGACGACATGTCAGAAGGACTTCGGCTCGCTTTACCGCCACGGCGCCAATGTCGATCCTAGATCCTGGTCATATCGGAGTCCACTGTCGAAGACAAGCAGACAAGGTGAGGACGAAGGTGAGGAGACATTATTGGCATGCCGCCTTGGGCACGTACACCCGTGACTTACCGCTCCGTCTTTAACGGCTTCGTGACGATATTGCACTACCGATGCTACGGGCCAGGCCTAATATTGTGCGGTGCCAGCCAGATGGAGCCGGGGCCTGGCTGTCCATCGTCGCCCTATTGAGAAAAGCCCGTCGTTGGGCCGTTGGGCGTGCGACTTTGACCCACCGCAGTCGTTCTTGGCCTTCTTTGTGCCTTTCATGCCCTCCAAGGAGGAAACTTAGCCCGTGGATGATGACTGTTTGGCTGTTTGAGGCACATCGAGCAAGTCTCTCCGCGCAGTGGAGGCACAGAGTTCTTTGCGGTTGGACTGATGTAAGGGTGACGTTGTACCATGAACAATATGGCAGATCTCGAAACCTTATTTTCCCATCACTGCTGGCATGTAAGGTACGGGCAGCGATCTCGATGAGACTGGGCCTCGATGTGCTGCATGCTTAATCGAGGGCAGCCCTTCTTCACATGCATCTTGACGAGCTTTGAGCTCCCTGTCTCACCCCCAAGGGTCCGCGGGGCGGCGTGGTGTGGACGGTCTTACACGTAGATGCTTGCTGGCTCCAGCGGACGGCATGGACCATGAGTAAGCCGGCGTAGGGATCATCGTTTCGAGGCGTCGCCCAACGATGAGGATGGTGTTTGACCGTCTGGGCTGATTCGCCCGACCTTGCGAGCTAGGTGACCTAAGTGAAAGATGCGCATTGAATACGGCAACAGGGCTGGGAGCAGCAACCGGCCAGCCAGCCAGCACAACACCATCGGGGACAGGCGGCAGATCCGCCGCCCCCGACATTCAACCCCGAGACCTTGCAACGCAGCAGGATATCTTTTCGGATGGAGATGCAGGTCGTTTGACAGGCAGGCAGGCTGGAGCAATTGTTCAAGCAGCATCGTGATCGTGGCCATCGGGACCACGGCGGCCCTCGACTTTTCCGTCGACCTGTCCTCGGGCCGTCAGCAGAGCGCCATTGTCGTCATCGTGCGCCCGTTGACCCTCTTTGGGCGGCCGGATAGTGCCCGAGCTCCCTTTGGCGAACGCGGCAGTGGCATCGGTGTTGTACAACTGCCCCCCCTTCCCGTTCCCGGTGGGCCGGTCCGGCTAGAACTTAGTGCAGTACGGGCTGCTGGATTTTTGAGTTTCGTATGCCAGTGGTCCTTGGCTGGCCAACAAACGAGGTCTTTGTGCCGAAGCTGCATTTGCAAGTCCACGGGGGCGGGGGCGGGACCGCCGTTGGGTGCTCGCCGCGTGGGGGTCCAAGGCTGCGTGCGTTGACCACCTGCTTGGGTCTGGCAGTTCGCAGCCGATAGACCCGAAAACAATTTCAATCTAACAGCACAGCACCGCAGTTGCTTGACTGGGCGATCTGAGACAAAGCATAGGCGTTTGGTGAGGCCAGATCGACCCAGGATGGGGCTTCGCATCGCATCAGAGCAGGAGGAAGGGGAGCCGAAGCTGCGCGCCGGGTTGTGGGACCACTCGATTATTGTTAGCGCTGCGGCTTCCTCCAAACAGGCCCAAATCCGTGACAAGCCCGGCCACGACTCGCACGGAAACGTGGAACACCTCACCTCATAGACAGCCCAAGACGCATCGCTCATTCTAGACAATAGACATAGACTTGTTCAACTCGAAATGGCTGCCTCTCAAGCGCCCAAGTACCTCACCGGCGACGGCAACGCCATCAACGAGTTCCTCGACAAATTTGATGTGCGTCATTTCCCGTCCTTCTGAGGCGGCTGTGTGCTTGCCGGGCATTGCTCGCATACTGACACTGAGTCCAGACTTTCCTACTAGACTGTGATGGTGTGTCACTGGACTGGGGCACAAGAGTGTCTTGACTGGCGGTGTTGCTGACGAGGCGCGCGGACAGGAGTTCTCTGGTCGGGCGATCACCTGTTCCCTGGCATCGTCGAGACAATACAGCTGCTGAGGTCAAAAGGTCTGGCGTCCTCGGATCATGAGTCTCTCACAATCACCACCCGAGCTCGCGAGGGCTGACAATGAGCGCAGGCAAGCGGACCGTCTTCGTCACAAACAACTCGACCAAGGCGCGTGCCGACTACCTCAAGAAGTTTGAGGCCAAGGGCATCCCGGCGTCCGAGGACGACGTCTTTGGCTCCGCGTACTCGGCCGCCATCTACATCAGCCGGATCATGGCGCTGCCGCCCCCGCGGAACAAGGTGTTCGTACTGGGCGAGTCGGGCATCGAGACGGAACTGCGGTCCGAGGGCGTCGCCATCGTCGGCGGAACGGACCCGGCCTTCCGGCGCGACATCACCGAGGCCGACTTCGCGGGGCTCGCGGACGGGTCGCTACTGGACCCGGACGTGGGTGTCGTGCTGGCCGGGCTGGACTTCCACGTCAACTACCTCAAGCTGGCGACGGCGTACCAGTACATCGCGCGGGGCGCCCGGTATCTGGCCACCAACACCGACAGCACCCTGCCCATGAACCACAGCTTCTTCCCCGGCGCCGGCTCCGTGCTCGTGCCCCTGACCAACATGACCAAGCAGCAGCCGCTGGCCCTGGGCAAGCCGAGCCAGGCCATGATGGACGCGGTGGAGGGCAAGTTCCATCTTGACCGGGCCCGGACGTGCATGATCGGTGACCGGCTGGACACGGACATCAAGTTTGGCATCGAGGGCAAGCTGGGCGGCACGCTGGCGGTTCTGACGGGAGTCAGCAAGAAGGCGGACTGGGAAGCAGAAGGCGCCGTGGCCGTGCCAGCATACTACGTGGACAAGCTGAGTGACCTGGCCGAGAAAGGCATCTAGGGATGGGGAGGCGGGTTGCCGAGGCGCCGGGACGCCGGGATGCCGCAACGGGCAGTTTGTTTGGGGCCCAGGGCGGTGGCGACACGGCGCGCCTAGTTCCCGTGGACGCCACCTGCAACCGCCCTGTCAATCACCAAACCTGGCGGGTCATGCTTGAGCTGTTCGCAGCGCAGAAGACGGGGTGACCCTTGATTGTCAGGCGCGCCTGGCGGGTTGGGAATCCGGAAATCAGGAAGTGTCCTGAGCTTGCACGGAGCCTGGGAGCGAGAGACATGTGTGAGCCACCGCGGCATCACACAATTTTGAGTTGCATACCTCTGCACCCCACACCATCAGGCATCAAGGCATGGAGCGGATCCGTAGGCCTACATGATGGTGCGTCCACACCCCGAGAAAACGGAAATCAGAGTTGCCGTGGCGATCTTTTGTCGATGTTCCTGTACATAGTAGCGTAGACAAGATGGGCCACGATAACCAGTGGCTCACGGTGGCTGACAGTGGCTCCGTCGCTCTGTTTTCCCCCATTCTTCTCCCCCCCCCCCTCCATATCGATGATTAATTCCCATCACCGCTGTCCCCTGTTCTTTACTGCAGTGCACTGCATCTGATTCATCCGAACACCAAGTCCCGAGCGCAAATGACGCCTGTGGTGATGGGTGCGTGCGATGCATACATGCAAAAAGCAATGTGTCGCACGAGGTCGGCATGCGCGCTGGACGGCGGGCATCCCACAACGACGTCATAGCTGGACCCTGATTGATAAAGTTTTTTCTCTCTTGGCGGGCGACAGAGGGGTTCGCTGGGTGCCGATGATGAGGTGTGGAGCGTGCAGGCACCTGCAGGGCATCCTGGTCTTCCAAGCAGGACAGAGACACATGGAGGGCGGCAGGAGACACAGAGCGCGCATCATTGTCGTATACGGCCGGTACAGACGACTACAGTTTTGTACAGTCCCCTGCTATCTGATGGCACTGTCAACTGACAGCGTCTCCGCCATGCAATACCACGCCATGCCAATGATATGACATGACATGTGACCGGCCTGGCTGCACGCCCCGGCCTCGCGAAACAACAGCGATGCCCGACGGGCCGGATATCAACGGCGCTGGGTCAAGATGGCTCCGTGGATCGTGATCTGGCGCAGGCTGGAGCAGTCTGCTACAGCAAGATGAAGGGACAGCTGGTCACACGGCAAATGGGCCGTCAATGAGGAAGCAGAAGCAGCCATGACGATACGAGCTGGGATCGCAGTGGTGAGCCCTGAAGATCTGGTTGCGTAACCAAGATGTGACGGTCGCACGCTTATATGTACTAGGATGAATCCAAAGGACCTTGGAACCAAGGACCCTGAAAAGTTTGTCCCGAATCCAGGGTCCTCAGAGCTCCCCCGATTGGAAGGGTAGCTTGCCCAAGGGTCCAGTGCTAAACTGGCGGGGTCGTGACCTGACGTCTCATCCACGGCATGCTGGCAGCCAGCTGCGAGCCCGCCTGGTTGGGGCCAGGGAGCCAGGGAGCGTGTGGGCGTGTGACTTGGGAAGTTGAGTTGAGAGGATGGTGGGGTGGCCGGGCTGGTTAACCGTACGGAGTATCTGACTACTGTGTGGTGGCCTGGCAGTCTGGCAAGGCAGATCTGCGACCTTGCCGGCGCGCATGAGGTCCACGTCGGCGCCGGATGCGCGGGGGAGTGGTAGCGGCCTGGTCTCTTGCCTCGTCTCTTGACTCGTCTCTTGGCCCCCTCCCCCACACCGGCTGACCGGTCAACAAACAGGCTGCTGTAGATGTACTGGCGGGCTGTCTCGATTCCGTCAGGGCCAGGGGTTTGGGGATGGGACGTCGTTCCCTCGGGCCTGGCAAGCACGGGGAGCCCAGAACGATCTGGGCCTGGGACTAGCGGCTGAGACCAGGTCGTCGACGCCAAGGGCCTCGTTTGCTGGGGCTGGTGCGGGCGGAAAGTGACAGTGCTGATCAGGTCCAATGCCAAAACCAACGACTGTTGAAACAAAAGGACATGGTGCTACGCTGATGGGGGGGAGGGAAGGGGGGTGCATGATGTGTGCGCGTACAGTTCAATATATGATGTAGGCAGGCAGGCTACCGCACGAGAAGAAGAAAAGACTTGCAGGTCGAGGCGGGAGTTGTTGTCGGGCCTGAGCCCCTGACATGGGAGATCTGGGATGGGAAATCGGGAGATGGGATATGCGAGATGGGCCGGGGAAAAGAAGATGGGGAAATCGGATGACGAGATGAGAAAGACATCGAGACAGGCGCAGAAAGAGGCAGCGACACAAGAGGACTGGAGGACTGGGGCCAAGGATGGGAGCTGCGAGGCAGACGTCGGCTCCATGCAGGGTGACGATTGCCCATGGCCTGCTCGACCAATATGGTCCGTTTTCGAGGGCCCGATCTGCCGTGCAGACTCCATCTGGCTCGCCCTGCCGCACACATACATGCTACATATGGCCAGTCTTGCAACAGCCTGCCTGCCTGCCTGCCTGCCTGTCTTATCCCCCCAAGGGTTGTTATTGTGGTTAATGCTCGCGCCAGCCCCTTGGGGGTGAGTCGTGACCCCGATGACGACTTTCTGCCTTGGACGTTGGGAAATGGATCAGTGGGGTTGGTTGGTCTTGCATGCGGCCTAGGTACCTGCCCAGGTAGGTAGACAGGTAGAGCAGCAGCAGCGTGGCTTCCAAGGTTGTCCGGATGCTGTGGTAGATGCCAACATACCGAGTACCAGGAACTGTACAGGAACTGTACAGCACGGGTACATTGGCAGACTGTGCGTGCCTGGGCGGCGGGCGGCGGGCAGTAGCACCCGGCACCATGCTACTACCAGGGCCCAACGTCCGAGTTACACAGCACGCTCCTATCTGCTGACGAGAATTCAAATCGGGGCAGGGGTCCTTTCCCATGCAGCCCATGCTTCTGTCCCATGCTGGCAGGCCACGGGCCACAAGGCTTACAACAATCCCAATCCCAATCCCAATCCCCATCCCCATCCCAACCGCAAATGCTTGTTGCAGACAGCACATACACTTAAAAATCCAGCAATGCCGCCGCCCACGCCGGGTCGCCTTGACCGGGAAGCGCACCAGGTGCTGCCCCAGGGCCCCGTCTCTTCTCGTCCCCCAGCAACCCCTTGACAAAATAGTTGATACACCAAAACACACCACCCCCGCACTCCTTTTCACATACCCTCCATTACACCCACCAACTTTATCATTAACTACCATAATAACTAATAGACTTAAGGAAATAGGATATAAACTAGATAATATACCGAAGAAAAGTAATTGATTGGTGTAATTCAATTTATGAAAACCCTATAGGAACACCTAATTTATAGCGATATGTTTGGGGGTGGTGTGTTTTGGTGTATCAACTATTCTGTCTAGGGGTTGCCCAGCCCGTCGCCTGGCTTTGGCTTTTGCCACCCTCACGATCAGTCGTCCACTTTACTTATAACTTACTCAGGTGCCCCTGTTGCCCCTTCCAGCACACCAGCCAGCACCAGCCAGCACCAGCCAGCACCACCCAACACCAGCCTGGGTGCCCGCCGGCCCAGCTTTTCTCTGGGACTCTCGCAAGCACGATCCCAAAACCCACAACAGCCCAAAACCCACGTCCCACATCCCACCAAGCCCACATCCCACTCCCATATCCACATCCCGCCGCGCCAGCCCAAGCACACGCCCAAACCCAGCCAGCCCTTCCCGCCCCTGCCCTGCACCTGGGCCAGGGACCGAAGAAACCTACCGGGCTGTACCCACTCGCTCCCACAACGGCCCAGTCAGTCGGAAGTCCCAATACAACCTCACTGCGGCCCTGTTTTGCACCTCGCCAGTTCTTGTTCGCTCTGACCTTCGTTTCCACTGAGCAGGCTTGCCTTTGCGTGCGTGCATAACCTGCACTTTTGAACCCCCCTGGCCCTCGTTCAGGAAGGCATATCCGACCTGCCACAGTACGCCCGCCAACTCAAACTCACCCGGGCTCCCCACCACCACCACCACCACCGCCACCACCACCCTCGGGTCCAAAAGCCAGAGACTGCCCTCCTCCAGGCCTTGCCCTGCTGACCTGCTCTCGTCCATGCTGCTCCCGCACGCCTGTTGAGGACGCAATGCGAGCTGTCTGGACACGCTTTGGCCCTTTCAACGCCCCTGCAAACTCGCCCCACCATGGAATCTGACGATGCTACAAATTCTTACACTACTGAGGACGACGCCGAATACTCCGTTCTTCTGGACCGCCGCGAGCAGCTGACCGATCTCCTGGTCGAGTCGCCCTACGACCTGATACGCTATCTCCAGCGTGCCGTTGTCTACTCAAACCTTGGCTACCCCGACCTCGCCGCCGGTGATGCCTACCGCGCCCTGCTCCTGACCGACGAGGTCCGCAACGAGAGCTTTGAGTATCATGAACAGGCTGTCCAGGCCCTCGAGCCTTACTCATCCTCCCCAACCGCCCTGCCCGAGGTCCTCCACCATGGCGCCCTCCGCCAAGGTTCCGGAGATATGGTCAACGGCTACGGCCCCCAGGGCCCCGAGTTCTTCCAGGAGATTGCCGCCGTAGCTTCCGTCCGGTGCTACCAGATAATCTCCCTCAGCCTGCTGCTCTGCGGGTGTCTGAGCAGTGCCCATGCTTATTGCGAGCGTGGCCTTGCAGCATCACCCAACAACCAAGAGCTGCTCAACAACAAAGACCACATATTGACAATGGCCCGTGGAAGACTGCAGACCCAAGATGTCGATGTTGGACAGCTCCCTGAGTGGGGCAACGTGCGGAGGGAGGTCTACCCTTGGAACAACCATGAGCCAGACCGCTTCTCTGAGGAGAGCCTGTCGTTCCTGAACCAGGAGCTCGCAACCATGGCCCCAAAATGCGAGGTTCGCATATCGGAGCTGCCCGTGCTACTGGAGGCCGCAATCAACACAGACGACGAAGAGATCATCCCTACCACCAGTCAGCTTGGCGTGTTTGCAAAAGAGGACATTGGCCCCGGGGAAGCCGTACTAAACGAGTACTCGCTCCTGACGGCCAGCAACAGGCTCAAGGATCAAGTGTGTGACGCTTGTGGCACTGAACTTCCTCCGCTGAGCGCCAAGGGAGGGCCTGTCAACTGTGCCGAATGCTACGACACGGTATTCTGCGACCAGTTCTGCCACGATCAGGCACAGGAGCTCTACCACCCGGCAGTCTGCGACAAGGATGTTGATGCCATCGCCAAGGACCCTGATCTTGCGGAAACAGAACATTCACTCCACCTGCTCCTCCTTGCCCGGCTTCTCGCCTTGGCAGCACATCAAGAAGTCCACCCGCTGGACCTGAAGAACGTCAAGTATATATGGGGCGACTTCGTGGCAACTGGCACCAACGCAATCTCCATCTCGCCCAACGCAGGACCGCCACCCCAGTGGACTCTTCCATTCTCATTCGAGTACAACGTCGCGACGCCGCTGCATATCCTCGAGAAGATGGACATTGACATCTACCAGACGCTTCCCCAATACGATCTGTGGGTGTTGAACACCTGCTACTCCAAGTTCAGAGGCACGGCGTCGGCAAGACAGAACCCTCAAAACGGCCGACCCGAGCTTGCGGCCGTACACCCCTTCTGGTGCTTGGCGAACCACGACTGCGACCCAAACGTGACGTGGGACTGGAGTGGCAGGATGAAGCTCCGGGCGCGGGAACGCAAGGTGGTGGGCAACCAGCCGGGCGGCGTCAAGGCCGGCGAAGAGGTCCTCAACCACTACTGCGACATCGACTTACCCGTTCAGAAGAGACGTGATCTAATGATTGGAACTCTTGGGGGTATCTGCATGTGCAAAAGGTGCAGGGACGAAATCGCACTGAGCGGTCAGGACGCCCCCACAACGAACGGAGTCAGCGGCACCACTCCCAACGGAGTGGATGACAATGCTACCACAGAGTCAATGGACTGGACAGCCTCTTCAACTCAAAACGACGTCACGATGGCGGGCTCGGACGGGACTCCGCGCGAGTAGACATGCCTGCTTGATGGCCTCCCACGTCTACATTGATTTGACAGCGGCATCTTCTTTGGAGTGCGATATACGAGGAACTGGGTATGATACCACAGACACATTTCAGCGGGGAAGGATTTAGATATTCGGTATGCAGCAACATCAAAACCTAATGGAATAAGGCCGATTTAAGAGAATTGAAGTGGATACTCAGCAACGATTTGAAAAGCAAAGAAAATGGGCAAGAAGAAATACCAAAAACATTACATGGTCCAGCAGGAATATGAGGGTCTGACCAGCATGGGGGAAGAACTTGAAGTTTGTCGGGGAGCTTGAAATAAACATCAAACAAAACATATCACATGCGGGTCGTGGTACACGCAAGGCGGCAGCAGACACGGGGGACAATGAGACAAATGAGATAATGTTCCATCCGCCCTCCTGTCAAGTCGAGGCTGATACCGACTTTTGACCCGCAAAAAAAGAAACAAGAAACAAGAAACAAGAAAGATTTACACTCTCCGCAGAGGCCGAGGACGCTGGTGCCCCCGTTCATCAACCCCCCCGCTAAGCCATCATCCAGTCGCCATTTTGGTGTTGCAGTCGCACGCTCCAAAGCGCAGTACCGGAGAGTCGTGACGGGGCAAGCAATTTCGTCACCGTGTATCTTATTTATCCATCCACATATAGGCTACTCTCCTCAATCGATTCTAGAAAGAGCGGGTCAAGCTCGACGAGGTGGTCCTCCATTCCCGTCGCGGACAGACAGTACGTCGGTTCCAAGGGAATACTGATACTGGTGACCTTTTCTCCTACCTCGTCCTACCTCCTCCTACCACCACCCCTTTCTCCAAAACCACCAGTCCGGACATGTCAAGAACACATGGGCACACACGTAGTCACAGAGTCAGATAAAGTTCCCAGTGGGCACACTCGCATAACGTTTCACAACAAGGAAACGAGCCAACGTATGCGCGGCAAGGGGCTAGAGAGCCATGATAGAATTCGAGGATCCAAGGCTTGCCTATATACTGTGGTCCACCGTAGTTTCAGTCTGTAACCCCGTTTTTAAAAGTCCGCGGTACCCAATGAAACCTCCTGTTGTGATAGAGACACAGTCCATCACTATGGGGTCCTACTTCTGCCCGGCAACTTGTAAGTTGTATCCCCCATGCTGCGGTCTTCCGGGCCCACTGAGCCCTGTCGAATTATGAACCTTGTTAGACTCTCCCTCTCTGTGCAATCTGCTCCTCGGCATCTCAGCCGCTCCTGCGATACTTCCTCCTCCGCTCGCTCTCGACGCTCGAGCTGCTGTTCCGCCTCTTGCGCTCGCCCCTCGGCGGCGGGGCGTCGCTCACGTCGGACGAGCTGTTCCGCCGCGCGCGGCGCCGCGGTGGCGACGCCGACCTCGAGAGAGACCGTTTGCTGTTGTCCTGACGCACTGCGCCTCCTTCTCCTCCTCCTCCTCCTCCACGCCTGGGTGGCGGTGATCGCGACCGCGACGGGCTCCTGCTATAAGACCGCCCGCGGTGGCTGTCTGCGCCGCTGCGGCGTGCCGGGGGAGGGGTGCGCGACCGCGACCGCGACCTCGACCGCGACGGGGACCGGGCCGCCGGCCGGCGTCTCGGGGGTGGCGTCGGAGAGCGGGACGCGGACACGGACCGCCGTGCCGCGCGGCGTGGTGGCGGGGAGCGCGAGCGCGAGCGCGAGCGTGAGCTTCCTGATGAGTATGATCGCGATGAGCGGCTGGGCGAGCGGCCCCTGGCAGGTGCGCGTCTGGGTGGCGGGCTGCGGGTGATGGAGCGGCCGCGGGCACCGCCGTCCCGAGCATCTCGGCGAGGAGGCGGCGATCGGGAGCGGCCGGTTGAGATCGATCGGGTTAGGCTGCGGTCGCGGCTGTACGATCTCTCTCTCTGGTTGCGCCGAGGTGGAGTCACACTGCGAGAATATGACCGGCGGCGGTCGATGGCCCGCCGGGGAGGCGTGCGCGACCGCGACCGCGACCGGGAGCGGGAGCGAGACCGAGACCGAGAATAGGACGAGCCCGTGTAGGACGAGTAACTGGACGCCGAGTCCGAGTCGGACTCGTCTACTCTGGCTGGCGCGGGGAGGGCGGGTGGCGGCAGACTCTGGAGGTACTCTCGCATGTCCTCTGTGAGGGCACCCATTCCGATGGAGGTGAAATAGTTGATGGAGAAGCGGATGTTGCGCCGGTCGTCGCCCCGTGGGAAGATGCCCTCGAGGCTGGGCTGCAGAAGCGGGTCCCTGCAACGAGTTTGCAACTTCTTCAGGCCAATCTCCTCTGAAATCTCCTGGAACAGGATTTTGATGAAGATACGAGATGCTGACGTGGTCTCCTCCTCGTTCAGATGGATGATTGACAAGCAGTGCCAGCCGATGGCATCTGAACCAAACATGTGCCCGAAGAGCCTCGCGATGTTCCGGAGCTTGTTGCTGTCGTATCGGTGTATCTTCTCGTAGTAGTCGGCAAAAGCAGTCTCGAAAAGCTCGTTCCACATCCTGTTGATCTTGGCCAGCCGTTCTCCTATACCACCGTAGAACTTGGTGTACGTCTTCTCCTGACTGCAGCATTCGACCACCATCTCCGGTATCTCCTTCTCCAACCCTGGCGGTATCTGGATCCGCAGGAGCTTGTGGACTGACTCCTCGTAATCTGCAGAGGACATGAGGGTCAAGTAGATCGTCCTTCGCAAATTGACCAGGTCCGCGTTGCTCTGGTCCTTGATCTCGACGGCCTTCTGCTCCTCGTCCTCGCTCTCCGATGACTCGTCCTCATCGTCACTGTCATCCTCGTCATCGCTTCCCTCGCCCAGAATCTCCGCCTTGAGCTTCTTGTACTCCTCCTCGTTCTGCTCGTACTCGGGGTCATATTTGAAAATATTCAGACTGTCCTGGCCGTCAAGCTCTCCCTGCAGTTCAACATTGTGGGTGATTTGGTCCTCTTCCTCCACCAGATCGAGCTCCTCCTTGATAGACGGGTTGTCCTTGAACTTGTCCTTTCTCTGCTGGAACAGGACCTCGATCTGGTACTGCACCCGCTTCTCAATGGCGCTATCGTGCAGGATATTGCGGAACTGGTCGAAGAGAACCCTGGCGATGGACGCATTCATCTCCTCCAGGAACTGACCGACCTCCCTGGTCAGGTTGACCGCAATCTCGACACTGTCGTCGGACGGCTTGTGCAGCAGAAGAATGAGGATCTGCGCAACCAAGTTTTCAGATACCACCTGGAAGTTCGTGAGATGCGCCAGGAACGCCGTTGTCGAGAGGCAAACAGCCTTATCGTTCCTACGGAACGCCTTGCGGAACCGCAACACGAGCCTCTTGACCAGCAGCTCGCCCACCGCAGGCAGCTTGGTGTTCACGATGGCCACCATTGCCGCGTAGATAGGTGTGAAGGGGAGGGACGCCGCCTGGGCCTTCATGATGCTCTGGCAGAACAGGCCCCTGCCGCGGACCAGGTTCTCGTTGAACAGCTCCGGCACGATCAGCTTCAGGTTGGGGCTGTTGGCCTTGTTGATCAGGCCGTTGATGGACTTCTTGAGGGCCTCCCACGCCATACGCTGCCACTCCTTGGTCGTCTTGTCCGTGATCTGCGCCTGGAGGGCCCGCAGCCTCGCGGGCGGGATGTAGGTTCCCCCCGAGCGCGCGTTGATCAGCCGGTCGTACTCGGCCTTGGCTGCGGCCTGCTTCTGCTCCTCGGTCGGAACTGGGGGCGGGGTGCGCTCGCGCCGGGGCAGCTGCTGCTCTCGGCCACCCCTGGGCGGCGGTCGGTCGGGGCGGTAGCTGTCGCCGCCTTTGCGCCGCGGCTGGTCGTGCTCGCGGTCGCGGTCGCGGCCGCCTCTCACGGGTGCTCTTTCGTCATCCCTGTCGTCGGGCCCGTCGTCTTCGTAGCGCCTGCGCGGGGGCGATCGAGGTACACGGTTGGGGGAGCGCTCGTCGAGGTGGCGGTCGCTCACGACCGACGCCGTCTCGGTCGCCATGGCCAAGGCAACAGCGAGCCGTCGATTGCTGTCCCGATCGAGGGCTGTGTCTCTTTGCCGAGGTCCTCCTGAAGGTTTCACAATCCGTCAGGTCACCGAAGGCTGATGATCGCAGCAAACGTTCGAGGATGGACGTTGCTGGATGTTGGCAAGGCAGCAACAGGGAGATGGGTTGTGGTGAGATGGTTGGGCTTTTGAAGAGTTCGGGAGGCGGCTGGTCGTCTAACAAATCAAGCAATTGTTAACGGTAACAAATTTCTGGGGGTACTGGGATGGTCCGTGCACCACCAGCTGTGACTTGGGAGAGCAAGGTAACTCTGAGGGCACTAGACGGGGGAGACGGGGAGACATGCCAGGCTGAACAGGGGGCTAGAGCTCCTGCATGTCCAGCCGGCGCGACTTTGCATCGTGGCTCCAATTTCGAGATCCTAGCGCCTCGACTTGCTAGAGCAGCCACCCGGAGCAGCTCTCTCACCTCCCTACTCTGGCCTGCCTACTTTCCCAACCCACAGGCGTGCTTTCAAGCGTCGTCATTCACCTTCTTTACGCTCCTTCACCATCCCAGTATTCTATTCCATTCGCCAAAGGGGATCTCTAGGTCTTCTACAATGGTTGGTCCACCCAGATTGCGCCGTCCGCGTATAATGAATGAGTGACATGTGCTAACTCGTGGCCCTCTCCCACGTGCGCAGCTTGACAAACTCGTGGGCATCGCCATGCTCGTGGCCGCCACGGTCGTCTTCCTCTACTACACCTTCTGGACCTTGTTTATGGTAAACAATTACCCCCCCCCCCTCCTCTGGGAGAAAAAGAGAACAAGGCCCTGTCCCTAATCCCGGGGCACTTTCGAGCGAGTCGCTAACGCAGACACAACCACCACCTCAGCCCTTCGTCGACTCGGACCACCCCCTCCAGAACTTCTTCCCCCCTCGCGTCTGGGCCGTCCGCATCCCCGTCATTCTCATCCTCCTCGCCTCCGCCGTCGTGGGCTCCTTCCTCGGCGTCGTCATGATCAAGAGCAACAAGAAGAAGGCCGCCAAGGCCAAGGCCGCCGCCGCGAAGAAGAAGTCGTAAGGCGGAACGTATATCCAAGTGTGGTGCTTGCGCGCCGGGCGGACTCGGGACTGGGCGGCGAAGGCGCAGTCTCGCGGGAGAGCACCTGGCAGACCAAGACCTGCCTTGTCGGGACATCTGGCATGAGGAACCCGAACCTTCGAATCGTCGAATGGACCTCGTTACTGCGTGGACCAAAACTCGCGGACTTGTGTGTGAATGCAGGGACTCGACATTTGATATGCAGTCTGGGGACACGCAACCAAGACCACATGCCCCAACTACTGCCATAGTAAAAACCACATACATATAATATCAGGAAGCCTTGCAAATGCATCGACCTGAACGCATAACATAGCGTCAGGGTCTCTGTCTTTTTTTGGGTTTTACTGATTTGGTTATCTGCCAAGTGGCGATGTCTCTCTATCTACCTGATATGTGCCGTGTCCCGAAGAGCCCCATCCTAACCCAGAACCACCGCATTCAAGCAGAAGAAGCAATAAGCTCAAAAAAGCCCATGGCACAGAGCGATGCAAGGTAGGGAGGCATTGCCCTGAGGCTCCCAATGAGCAATCAAAACCCCCTTTCACAATGAGCGTCAGGGCTTCAAGTTGGCCACCTATGCGGAGTTGCCGTCACAACGAGGGCCGGGGCCGTCTCTCAGACCCGCTGGTCTGCAAAGTCAAGAACCTCACAGTCGTCCTCGAAGAAGCCGTCCTCGTCCTCGAGGTCTCCGTGGCGGCCCCCGCCCCTTCGCCGCCTCGTTGTAATCACGATCTGTTCCTCATCGTCGACACGTTGCTGGCGCATCACAGATCGTTCCATAGCCGACTGCGGCAACGCACGCACATCGTCTGTCGACATGATAAACGCCTCGTCCACTCCACTGTGACGGCGGCCACTATTGATCCTGATCGCAGTGATGGGCTGTCCAAAAGCCCACGCCCCTCCCGGGGTGGTCGCAGGGTCCTTGGCAGCAGCAGACTTTTGCTTGCGTCGAGGTGTAGCACGGGCTGTTTTGCTGTCCTGGGTAGTGTCCGCCAGGAGTACCGAGGCTGTGGGCAGTTGCGATGGGACAGCACTCGCTCCTTGCTCAGTGCTGTACTCATAGAGTGCCACACGCTTGTCGGTATGGAACGGCTGGTAAGGCGCAGAAGACTCGATTTCTGCCTGTGGTATCGACGATTCTGCGCTGGGGTTGCGTCGTGCGATCTTGGGTCGAGCATTGAGCACCATCGTGTTGTTGACAGCATCAACCTCCCTGTCCATCAGGTCCAGATACTCATCAGGGTCGATCAGGCGCTTCACAGCCGGACAGATGAGGTCGTCAGGGAGCGTCGGAAGCTTGAAATCTTTGTACCTTCTGAAACGGGTAGCATTCTGCCTTCCGTCCGCAGTCCGCACCTTACGCGGCCGCTGGGGAAACGTCCGTACCAACCCATCCCCTAGGACGAACAGCGAGTGGTCCTTGCCATTCGCGACTAGTATGACACACGAAGGTCCCGGTGCGTTTGCGCCCAGTGGAAGCGATATGCGGTTGTCACCACTGTGGCGGAACTGATTGATAGCGCTTCCTGTTTTCCCAAGCGAGTGGCTGATACCGGCGGCGATTATCTTGCCGCCGTAGTTGGCGTGCCCGACAATCTTGGAGCCGGTCGTTTGAGGCGCATTCGAACTGCTGCGACGGGATCGGTCGATGAGCGGGCGAGCGGCGTCCCAGGCCGAATTGAACGCTCCGGTAGCAATAGACACGGCAGAACTGCCACCCTCCGCGACGTTCGCATTTGTCTCCTGCAAGGGAATCCTCCGACGGGGAGGAGGCCAAGCAAAGGCACTGTCCGGCATTTCCAGAATATGAACTGTGCCCCTCTCTGTGACCATGGCTATGCAGTCGCCGCAAGGTTTCATCCACGACACATCAACGATGCGTGCCACGGTCATCCTCGAGAATCGAGCAATTTGCCGCACGCGAGGTCCGCTCGAGGAGCTTGGTCCAGCTGCCGTCTGTAGCGGAGAGGATTTCGTGTGCTGGATGCGCATCAAATCCCACACAATCTGGACATCGCCCTTGGGGCTCGCGGTAAATAGCGACAGTCCATTAGGAGCGAAGGACAAGTAACTGCAACCTGATGTTGCGAACGTCGTGGTTGGATGTATAGAGGAAGAGACGAGGGATGTCTCAACGTCTACAATAGACACAAGGCCAGGCTCTTTTGTAACTGCTGGAGCTGTAGAGCCATGGGTTGGCGGGAACTGTGGCGGATCTGCTCGAGCATAGGGCGGGTTCCAAGGCTGCGCCCCCGGCGGCGAGCGTGCCTGCTGGGACGGCATCGCGGACTTGCTCCAGTAGTTGCTGAAGGCTTGCAGTCCCCGCTCGCCAATCCATTTTGCGCCCTGGATCACTTCCTGTGTCGTCTCGCGCATCAGCTTATTCATGATACTGTCTCCTTCTGGAAGGTCGACATCAGAAACCACACTCGGCAACTGAGGCGGTGTCAACGATACGAGTCCTGGTGCCTTGCCTTGAACTGGGACCGGCACGGTTGCCCGCAAAGACACTTGCGACGACGGAGCAGCGGGGCAGTAGGCGATCCATCTCCCTTTCATGGCAATAATGGGAGCCCTCGGAGCTTGACGCTGCACAGTCGCCCGCAATCGCTCGCTCTCTTGTGTTGGATCCACCAGAGGTTGCTGGACTGTGGTCCACAATTTGCCCACGCACCTGAACTCGATGCCTGGTTCGTGAGGGATGCTCGCCTGGCGATAAATCCAGCTTTCACCCGTCTGCCCAGATGCGATCACAATGGTCCCCCCTTCAGCAAGGATCCGGAGTGACCCAGTGGGCAGTGGTGCCTGGAAAATAGGGCTCGTGATGGGGACTTTGAGAGGAATCTTGGGGCCCTCGAGCAGAGTCGCTACACGTCTGCTGTCTTTCAACGAGTACACATCCACACTAGTCTGGTAGAAGTCGACCGAGGGCGTCCTCATACCCAGAGCATCTTTTTGACCCAAGTCGGTGCCTGCTGGCGAGGCAGCCCCAGAGCGTTCTTGTCCACTGGCGTAGTTGCCATCGACCTTGACTTCAGGGGTGGTTTGTGGCAGTACGGGCCCGTGGACGACAACAGCCACGAGGGGGCTCGGGTCATGCACAACACCGCCAGTCGCGGTCCAAGGCAGGATCTTGGCAAAGTAGACTCCTCCTCGCAGGCCTTTCAGGCTTGCCACGGGTTCGACGCCACTCTTCGTGGCCGAATGCACCTCAAGGCCGCCTTCGTAGCCGGTGAGCACGACTGTGTCTTTGCCCCGAGCAGTAGTGCCCTGGATCCTTGGTAGTGTGTCGAAACCAAAGGCATAACCCCTCTCACCAGGTTTCATCCCGGCCACTTGCCCGAACTCCAGGTCGATATCTGGTGTGCCATAGAAGTGGGCCTGGTGCTGGTGTGGAAGCGGCGGGTTATTAGCACCCCGCGCATAGGCAGTCTGAGAATGCATCGAGCTTCGCCTGTACGAGGCAACCGACGGGGCGTACGCCTCTGACGGTGCGTAATGTTGGTCCATCTGGAAACTGAGCGGCCGCCTGCCCTGGACTGGGGGTGAGGCAGACACGGGCTGGCCATTGTAGATGGGACGGGGTGAAGCCCAGCCACGAGTGTCCTCGTAGGACGAGGGTGCAGTGGGCGGCGATTCCCCCATGAGGTTTATCAGATTCCCCGGTGAGCCTGCCAGGCCCGCAACTCCTTTTGTCCATTCGGTCGTGCTTCTTGCGGTGCTTGTCGCGTACGACGTGGCAGAGACGGCGTCCAGAAGCGGCGAGGGAGCGGTATTCCCACTTGAGGGTATGCTGGCAGGTTTCAGGTCTGGGGACTGGACCGGGGATGAGGATGAGTCCGAAGCGGGCTCCTTGTTGGGACTGTCACTGGTTGCAATACGTTAACAAGGAGGCACACAGGGAGAGAATTCCCCCCTGGGCGCGTCCACAGACGGGGCCCACGGGAGCAGAGGGTAACACTAACGTGAACTTGCCGGCGGCGTGCTTGGTGATGGCGGCAACGACACCCCCACCACTGTCTTTTCCATTTTTCTTGTCCTTCTTTGCGCCTTTCATGGTATCAGCTCGGCCCACGGTGCTCGGGCAGCTGCAGAGTCGACGAGGAGGACGAGTTGGTGGATGACGGGTGAAGAGGGCCCGGGGGAGGACGAACCGGGCATCCGTATAGGCTTCAAAAGCCTAGAGCAGTTGCCTGCTCTGGACACGGGCCGAGAACCCTCGCAGGCCAAACCACGGCGTGGGCGGAAGCTTCTGGTGACCAGCAACAGTGGTGAGGCGCGTGGCAGGGCCGGATAGGGGGTCACGGGGTGCGGACGTCGAGGGGCGCAGGAGGGGTGATATCTGATGGCCAGGTACCGGCAGGAATGACTGGATTCCTAGAAACAAGGACCTGTTATGCGTCCCAAGGTCGCGAGTGTGCAGCAAGATGTGTGGCTAACAAAGGAGTGGAAGGTCAGCGGCAGAGGCAGCCAGCTGACGTGTGGTATTAGTTGTTGTATTGAGGGGTGGCCGTTGCGGTCGTCAAGGTCTAAAACGCCTAGGTGAGGCAGGGAGGCAGCAAGCAGTCTGGTGAGACCAGGGAAGGAAGGACGACAAGCAGGTAGGTACAAGCAGGTTATCAAGACGGACGGAAATAGAAACAGCAGCAGAAGAGGAGGACGGCCGGAGTGCGTCGGGAGCTCTGGGTGGACTCGCCTCGCAGACGGGCAATGTAGGTATCGTGAATAACAATAGAGCGCGATCTCGTAGGATATGGAAGAATAACAGACCGGGTTGGGTTCAAGACAAGTACGGCGGGTTGGTGCAAGACGAGACGAGCAGGAGACGAGCAGGTCCGGCGGGCCAGCTGGAGTTGTACTGTAGTCTATCTACGTAGGTGCCAGGCGAGTCCTCGACCAGTGCCCGTTGCCGGCCACCCCAGCCCAGCAGGTAGGTACGGAGTAGGTACGCGACGACAGCACGTAGTGGCAGTCATAACGGAGGTACCCAGGGGGTGTCATGGGCATTGTCATGGAGGGGCTGCTGCAACACGGACGAGGGACGGGTTGGCGGGCAGCAGGCGGGGTGCGCAGGTGGGCTGGGGGGGGGGGCAGCTGGGGGGGCAGTCAGGGGCAGGGATCAGGCACGCACGGCAGGGGTATCTCGTGGAGTCAGAGGGGCCCCACGGCGTCATCTCAGATGGCCATGGCCCAGGATGGTAGGTACCGCATGTAGCCCAGCCCTTTATCTGTTATCTGGCCTGCACGGCACTCGACTTGACGAAAACAGTCTGGCTCTTTGCCCGTGATGCACGATGGTGCTACAGACGGTGTAGACCACCGTCTCTTGTTCTGGAAAGGACGCACCGCCCCTCCAAGGTCCAAGGCGAGAGTGAGTCTGTGTACTGTGGTAGTACGGAAGTACTGCGCTCATCTGTTCCAGCCAGAGCCGAGGTCATGCCGCCGTGGCTGAAGTTCACACTCGCCCACTCACCTGCTCCCTACTGAAGTACCCAGGTACCTCCGTACCTCACCCTCGCCCTCACCGTCATCAGCCTGGGCCAAGGGGGAGGAGGTAGGAGGGACGAGGGAAGACGAGCGAGGTTTGGCCTGGGTTCCAGATGTCCTACTTGGCTCATTCAAGGTAGTTCAAGTGTTCAGCTGACCATCGTCCCAAGACCAGGACTCGGCAGCTCGGGGCCCGAACCCTGGGGGGAGGGATGGCGGCGACGGGGATGAATGGGGCATTCGCGTTGAGGTGACCGCCTCTGTGTGACCGATCCTCGCTGATCTTGGGTGAGCCTCCAGGTACTTTATTAGTAAACCAACTCTCGCGCATACCGACCGACGGTGTGCCCTCCGTCTGCCCGTACAAGAACATGATGGTCATCCATCGTCGCACATGTACAGACGTACCTCACGCACTGCCAGGCGCTTCCGGCGCCTGCCGTGGTCACACTGCTTCCGGGACCCCGCCTGACGCGTTGCCCCCCTGTTATTGGGGATGATCAATCCGGCATGGTGCAGACGTGTAATCAAGCTCCGATAAGAGGGCCACTCAACACCATTGATACCAGCACGAGGATACCAAGCTGCTAGTCATGGCCGCACTATCCAGACCTGGAACAGTACGGCAATAAACGGGGTATGCACCAAGTGATCTATCTGGTCGATTGGCTGGCCAGACATGCGGTACAACACGTCCATTGATGGATGGCTGGCTTGCTGGAGATGTGACGAAAGCAAGCCCGGGCCTGGCATATATACTTAGGCATGCACATGCATGATCGAGTACCTTGGTGGTCTTGAAACGATTGAATGATTAATCGAGTGATTATTATCACCGTTGCATCAATCAATCAGTCAGTCAATCGATCACCTCTGGAGGTAAACACGATAATACGCAAACTTCCACTCCCCGCCCTCGGCAGCCCGCGTCAGCCTCGCCCGCCCGGCCCAGTCCACCTTGGCCTCCTCCCCCTCGGGCCCCCCCTTCAGCTTGTAGACCACGTCCCCGTACAGCATGAGCTCGACCTCGTTGCCGCCGCCTGCGCCGCCTGCGCCGCCCGCGCCGTTGAACGTGGCCGGGAACACCTGGTACACCGTGTGCTTGCGCGCCTGCACCTTCTCCCACATGCCCTCGCGCACCTTGAGGATGTCTGCTTCCGACTTAGTAGTTGGCCGCCTGTTTGTTTGTTCGCTCATGAGGTGGAGAGCATGGCCAGGCGTCACGCCACCGCAGCAACAGCAGCAGCAGCAGCAGCAGCAGCAGCAAAAACTCACCCGTCTTGCCCGTTGCCTCCTGTAGCCCCATCACGAGCGTTGCGTCATGGTGGAAAAAGTCGAGCCACTCCTGGTTCTTGCCCGGCGTGTCCGACACCCCGTAGAACTTGGTGATGAAGTCCTTGACGCCGTCGTCGACCTGCACATTGGTCGGGTACACGGGGCTGTAGTTTAACATCCTGTAGGTGGCTCGGGCGCAGATTGTCTCCGAGATTAGCTGCTGGTTGAAAGTCGGCTTTTCAGTCTCTGGTGATTCGCAACCGTTCTGTGTATTTACAATGACTTTCGTGGATGAGCTTAATGCATGATCGGTAGACAGGGCGCGGGCCGATGCAGGTGGAGGGCAGTACCCGACGATTTGGATCCGCAATGAAGTCACCTCACGAGAAGTCACAATTGCATATAACCCTATAGTCCTTATGCAATGTTTGGATGGTCATTGTATTAATTATTTGTTCCGTATAACGGACATGCTGATTCTCCTCAGCTCCATAATCCTCGCAACCTCAAACTTTCGAGGTCCGCCCCAATACTCATACATGCAGGCAGGGCCTCTATTCCCTCGGAGTCAAGCTATGCTGTCTCGCTCAACGAGGCGGGGCCACCCTTGTTTGGCACTCTCTGACCTGTGCACCCGACCACGGCACCATCGTAACCTCACGCTCATTTGATAGGAGAGCCAAGATAGACGCGCGGGAGCTTCAACTTATCGCGCTGCTAGCGCTTCGACGTCCTCTTGCCTGCCTCGCGGCCCTCCCCCCCGTCCATCCCAAGTGAAACCCGGCACTCTGGGCAGTACCACAACTTAGGTAGATTCTTCTCCGTCTTGAGACCGAGACACTCGAGATGGAACCACTCATAAGGACACTGTCGGCCATCGTTAGCACGTGCCCTTTGCCTTTTCACGACCGAACCTCAATATCGGAGGGGCGCATCTAGCTTACATCGACATTCTCGCAGAGCACCATGGTCCCGAAGCTAACGCGGTTGCAAACGCAATACCTCTGCTCGTGTGGGTCGATCACATTACCATCCTCATCCACTTCGACCTCAGCCTCGGCCTCGGCAGACGCCTGGCCAGCGCCGCGGTCGTCCTTCTTCCGCGCCGCACCACGCTTAGACTTCTTCGGTGCCGCCTTGCGCTTCGTTATAGCGCTGTTGCCGCCCGAGTTTGTCCGGCTGATGATGCCCGGCGCAGGTCTCTTAGTCCTCTTGCTGGGCTGTCTCACCGATGACATCGGCTCGGGGGCAGGGGTGTTCCGCGCAGTGCTGGCACGACGAGGTCGATCCGCCGCCAACCCCGCCGGCTGAGTAGTGTCCTGGCCGCGTGAAGACGGTCGGCGCGATGATGCCTCCTGTACAGGAGTCGTGACCGACGGTGTGTTTCCACGAGATACCGACGTCCTGATGGGAGGGGGGCCAGCGGCTTTCTCCTTGGCTTGATTCTTGGCTTCTCGTGCTCGAGTCTCCCTCCCGGGCGGCACAATAGGCGTCGTGGACTTGATGGGAGACTGAGGACCGTCGTCGGCCGGCGCCTTAGTCGGCACAATGGTCGTCGTCGTGTTCGCATCAGAACTAGGGGCAGGTGAGACTGCGGTGGACTTAGTTCCCACCGTGATAATTGACTGCTCCTGCCCAGGTGGCATCGGGATGGGGACCGGAGTTGTCGACTGGGGAATCGGCTGCGAGCCGCCGGGCGTCAACTGGGGAGGCGGCACGGAGGTCTGCTGAGAGCGAGGCATGTTAATATGTGGTGGGATCGGGACTGGTGTCTCGGTCTTTGATCGCTTCAAGCTCGCCGGGTCTGGCTTCTCGGCATCCGCCTCAGTGACCGAATCCCTCTTTCGTTTCTTCTGTTGCCTTCTGCTAGGAGCCTTGTTCGCCGCCTGTTCTGAGGACTGCGGTTGCTGGAAAGAGACCTGAAAGTTTCTAGCCATCAGAGCGAACCTTCTCGCGGACTCCTCCGCCTCCTTGGCCGCAATGTCCGACATACGATCCTTCTTGATCTTCTTCGCCTTGTTCAGCTCATGGCCACGGTTGGTGAGGTTCCTGTCCTCGGCAGCAATCGCGGAGTCCAGGGTGACGGCTCCCATCGGGAGGTGCTCAGAGCCCGTCACATCGTCGATGATCGGCTGTGGGAGTGACGTTTCGAAAGGTCTTCCCTCATCCTCCGCCTGCTTCTTAGCTGTGGCCCAGCCGTCGTAACCACGGCCGAGGGTCTTCAGCTCCTTATGAATCATCGTCTCACTCGGCACCCACGATGAGTTCTTCTTCATTCTCTTCCTCAACTTTGACAGCTCCCACTGTGTAAGCTGCAACCACGGGGCGTCCTCGCTGCCAATAACAGCATTCTCCGGCGGGGGTACCAGAGGTGCGGTCCGGCTGGGAAGCCCAGCAGGTGTGTTCGCCGCGCCACCAGACTGCGCTTGTGAGGCCCTTTGATTCTTTGGTTTCGGCGTCTTGACATTTTTCTCGGGCACCTTCCTGCCCCCGCGTGGCTTCTGGCTGCCGCCGCGCGCCGCTGGTGTGCGTCGAGACACAGCAAGCTCCTCCTCTTCATCCTCATCCGAGCTGCTCTCACTCTCGTCGCTGTTTGTATCGTAGCCGACATCGTAGGGGGCGAGGACATCGCCAGGGACTGTTATCCTGGGGCCGCGAGGCCGGCGCCCCTTCTCAGCGCCAGCGGGCTGGCGTTTCGCCCCGCGCGTGGCCAGGGGGGATCTCGCCGCGACGGGGCTTCTCTGCACGTCATCGGCAGGGTACTTCTCGAGCATGTTGCGCAATTTCGCATGGATCAACGTCAGCCTGTTGACATGCCTTTTCACATTCTCTGCCATTCGCACGGCCTCGGCGTGCGAGTACACGCGCGAGGTCAGCACGCGGTTGAGCTCCTCGGATATGTCAGCCCTCAGCTGGACGGGCTGGGGCTTCTCCTCGGTTGCCAGGCCGGGCAGCTGACCCCACTGTCTCGTGAGCTCGTGCAGCTTGAGCGAGGCTTGTGAGTGATGTTGGTCGAGCGTGCCGATCAGGGTGAGCGATCGCATCACGTCCGCGGGCAGGTGCTCCGTAAACTCCAGGAAGTCGGTGACGGTTGCTTGCGCATCGGGGTCCGCACGCCCATCGAGGGCTCCAAGGCTGTCATTGTTAATTGATTCGAGCGACTCGATCGCTCCGTGCATGGAGGGTGCCTTCTGTCGAGGGGACAGCGGTTCCTCCTCTTCCACCTGCACGACACCACCTTCGACTGCGGCCATCCTTACGACCTCAGACTTAGGTGAGATTGCTTGGTGTGATTTTGACCTTGTGCGGGACTCGGGCGTTCATTTGGGTCAAGTCAAGCTGCCGATGAGCTCAAACGAGCAGTGGCGCATCGTGTTGGCACGTGGAGGGGACCAAGTAGTAAACAGCCTGAGCTTCACTTCTGGTTCTAGAAGTCAGGCTAGAGAATACGAGTTGCAGGCATGTGAAGGGGAAGGCGCTCGGGCCACTGCTCTTAGCGTGAGCCCTCCATGCACTAATGCAGGTGTATGACACTAAGGCGGCAGCTACACTTCTTAGGTGCATAACCTCCATGCACTGTTTCTTGTCCTTGCCGGACGATACACAGTACACTTGTCTGCAATTCACTTGGAAGTTTAGGCAGACAGTCATTTCATATTTGGGTGAGAAGAAAAAGTTGGCCCTGATGTTCTTTCCAAGTGTGAAAAATTCCTGTGCTATGCCCCTGGGTGATCTATGTCAGCCAAACTTTCGTAATTTACATGGCTCGAAATGAAGGCTGGCCAAGTCCTCTCTGCTCTGTCTTGCAAGACTTGCTTGCCCCAAAGACCTTCACAGCATCTTTCCCCACACGAAGCTTTCAACACCCTGTACTGCACACACTTTACACCTCTCCTACAGCGCCCAAGCCAACACCTGTGAAGAAGGCCGCGGCGACCCAAACAGATGCATAGATTGCTGCACCAGTTGGCTCCACTCCGCTGATGGTAAGGTAGCCCTGGAGGGTTGTGTTGATACCAGTCACAGCCATAAGGGCCAGTGTCCTGGCAACACCGACCTTTGTCTGTGTCGTGTAACCCCAGATGTTCCACCAAACCGTCTCACCCAAGCTGGCAGTGACAGGGTCAAACTGCGCTGCCTTCTCGTCTGCCTCAGTGCGGCCAGTCGCAGCTAGGGGGGTGAAGATGAAGCTGCGAGCAGCGATACCAGAGGCCGCAGCCAGGGCCGTCGCGAGCGGCGATACGTAGATGCTGGTGGCGCTGTGGAGCGGCTCGACGGTGGGGATACCGACAAAGTACAGGACCAGGATACCGGGCAGGAACGTCTTGTAGGAGAGGAAGAGCGTAACGCTGTATATGAAGGTGGCCAGGAGCGTGCTGAGGATCGCGATCGGCGTGTCGGCGATGATCTCGCGGTTGGGGGTCGAGGACGAGTTCCTGTGCGCGGCAGAGAGCGGGCGCAGGAGCAGGAATGGCACGAAGCTGGCGATCACATCAACGGTGAGGCCCGCAATCGCCGTCTTTGGGCTCACGTTGTAGAATGCAGTCATGAGGTAGAACTGGTAGCGCCGGTCAGCCTGGGCTTCCAGTAAGATCACCCGAGGGTCCATGATATGCGCAGACTTACAGTGGGGCTGTGCGAAAGCAGATTCAGCGCCGCGAGGTCAACCGAGTCGAAGTTCGCGAACCATCCAAGCGCCAGCTCCGTCAGCCTCCAAGCCGTCATGATCCCCAGCTCGCGCGGCGTCTCCAGTGTGCGCATCACGGTGGCCAGCTCGCCGTGGGTGAACTCGTTGATGAAGGAATAGCCCAGCGACGAGATGGAGAAGCTCAGGATCGCCACGAGCGGGAACTGCAGGACCGGCGGCAGCGTGGACCGGCGCTCGGCCGGCGCACTGGAGCTATCGGGCTTCGTCAATGCGACAGCCTGCGCGGCAGAGGAGCTCGGCCCCTCGCCGGCATCGTTGTTGACGGCATCAACCTGGTTTGCTGAGGACATTGCGCATGCGCTCGACGGGCAGGTAGATGATGTGGGCACCGCGGGGCGGCGAGTTCGCGTAGTACTAGGGGAACAAAGACAACAAAATCAAAGCTGCCGCTGAACCGGAGCCTCGGGGTGTGTTGGAGACGATATCTCGAGGTGGACAAGGTGCAGCGGCGTTGGTCGAGAAGGGGAAGAGAAAAGCCAGGTCGCAAGTCTCGAGAGCTTCTCTGCGGCTCAAAAAGCTAGTGCGCAATTTGGCAGGGGGGCCGCACGTTGGAGGGGAAACCAACTCCTGCCCCACTATGATCTCAGAAAGGCGAACATGCAGGCCTAGGAAGCTGAAGCTCCGGGGAGCTGTTACTGGAAAGCCTGCGCCCTCCGTACTGGCAGCGCTGCTGCCGCTAAACTGCCAGACGGATTCTGCCCTCTCCCTGCATTTTTCATCAGTGCTCATACCAACCTGCATCCTCAGATCTCTGATCAATCCAGCAAATCAGTACATTCTGCCATCTTCACGTCATTATACTTTCACCGACCTCTCAGAGAATCGGCAATTGATTGATTCTTGGTCTTGGTACCGTTGTCTGGGCATTGTGGCGGCAGGCACTCGCCGTTTGTCGCGGTGCGCATGACTTGAGCTCACGAAGTATCCACAGCTCATCAAAACGGAAAGGTTCCATAACGCGGAGAATTGCAGGGCGAAGATTCTGCAAAAGGACCCTGAATTCTCCCTCGCCATTCTGCACCCTTCTTCTTCCCTTCTTCCTCACTGTTACCTTCGCCGCCTGCCTTTTCCCACAGTATTCCGTGAGCTCTGGTGGGAAAATGAGGCTGCAAGTCCTGCACAGCGGCCTCTTCACTCTCCGTTGTTGCTATTCATGTTGATCACGCTTCTGCAGCATCTTATCACATATCAATGATCCATGACGGCACATCAATCATATCGATACGAGGCCGGGTTGCTTGGCAATGGGCTCTTCCATTTGTTTGTTACTGACAAGGGACCTCCGCTCGACGCTCTCACAGGCTGGCCCTCACTTTAACCTCGTTGGGTTCTGCCTCCTGGTGACTCGTTGACCGAGTCGCCAGTGAGGTCTCCCAACTCTTCGGTGCTGTGGGCCGCCGCGGCGGAGCGAAGCGTCCGCGACTATTGCTTATATAGGTGAATACACATAGGAGAACGACAACGACAACAATACCCGCCAGAACGCCTCACCGGCCCTACTCCATCCCAGGTGGTTCCCGAACAGCAGGCCGTGGCAAATCAAATGCGAACGAAGAAGACTTGGAAATTCCGGCAGAAGGTTACTCCTCCATGCGCCCGAAGAAGCCGTCGTTAACATCATACTCGTCGCTGCGGGCCCGGGACCGAGCATCGTCATCATTGTCGCCGTACTCCATCTTGACATCCCCACTCCCCCGGCGCCTGTCACCGCGGGTGAAGCTTTCTGGCGCCTGGTTGGGGAAGCTGCTGAGGAATGGCGATTGCCCGAGGGAATCCTGCCCGAGGAAGTGGGCCGGGATAGGAGGGACCGCGGGCACGCCGTCATGCATCTGGCCTGAGTGGGAGCCACTGTTGCTGTTATAGCTGCAGCTCAACATGGCAACCCTGCTGGCCAGGTTGTTGGCGTCGCCAGAGACGCTCAGGCCAGAAGGCGGAGGACTCGGCTCCAGGTACTGGTGGCCGAATCCCGAGCCAAATGGCACGCTCGTGGCATACGAGCTTTCCGATGGGGCGGCGGCATATAGCGACCGAGAGATCCCGCTTCGGAAGTTGTCCCCGCCGAACGGCGAGGTGGGGGAGAACTGATAGTTGACGGCATCCATGGAGCTCAGGCCCTCCATGTGGGGTGGCGGCGTGGTATTTACAGAGCTGCGGCCGTCCACCTGCTCAGACGACCCACCCGACACGGACGGCGATGTCTCACGCGCAGAGTCCGGAGGGCTGGGCGGCTGGTCATTCATAGCAACAAGAACAGAGGCAGCTTCCAGGAGCTGAACCTGTTGGTGCTTGGATATGAGGAGCTTGGAAGTGTAAGACCATTCCGGCGTGTGTTCCCACCTGAGCAAAAAGAACGAGTCAACAAACATTGTCCGCCTTGCATCTCAACGGCAGAGGATGGTCCCGGCAATTGGCCCGCCGTGCGCGGTCAGGGGGAGGATCGTTGCAGGAGTGGGAGAGGGAGAAGACAGGGGCACAAACAAATGCTTGGTCAGGCAACTGCTATGCTTGTATCCCTTCCCGCAGTGTTCGCAGCGGAGTTCAGGTCGGTTGAACCTCCGGCCTCCTTCCTTGGCCTGGGGCTGGCCGTCGCTGGCCCTCCGAACGCGATCTTTCTGCAAGGCGTCACCCTCCTCGGGCGACGTGTTCTCCTGGTCATCAATGGCGCTGTCCTGGTGTTCCGGCTTGACCTCGGCGTTCATGAATTTGTGCGCGGGCATGCTGGCAGGTGGTGAGACCATGCCGCCGGCCCCGGACTTTGACATCCGCCGGACACCGATTGTGATAGGCACGGACGTGACCTTGCTGTTCATGTCCCCGATTGCGGCGGCGGCAGCCGCAGCAGCGACAATGTTTGCGGTGCTGTTTGTGACACTCTTGCGGCGTGCTACGCGGTGAGCGTTGTTGAGAGGCCCCGTGATGACTGTGTGCGAGTTCGTGCGAGAGTGTGACTGTCGTGTAGAATTGATTCCCGTGAGAGAGTTAGAGGAGAGCGACGGCCGGTGAGTCAATGGTCTCGAGGTTTGTACGATGTCCTAGATTTTAATGAACACGACGATCAGCGGCTGTGAACCGGGGCAGCTTCGGAGCTAGCAGGCATGATTATCTGCAATTGATGTTGATCTACCTTGGAGGAGGCCATTGCCGATGTTGCCGATCTCAGGCCCGAGAATGCCACATAAAAAGGTACGATCCCTTTGTCACAAAGTCCAAGACACCTCTTGCTCGGGCAATCAGAAACAACAGGTGGTCAATTGATCCGTCGTGTCCTGGAGTGATATGTTGTTGCTGGGCGGTGGCGTGCGTGTGGCTGCGCGAATATTTTTTGGGGAGTTGAAGACAGCTCAGCGTGGTGGGTAACAAATCGGTCGCGGATCGGGGAAAAAGTCAAGGCAGGTCAGAAGGTGCGGTGCTGGGAATTTTTGTTTTTGGCGATCCCTTTTTTTCCCCCTGCCTGGTCGGTGCTGGTTCGGAACGACGTGTGGCTTGGTACAAAAAAGTGTCCAGGTGACAGGAATACAGTGCCTCCAAGAAAGGGTACCTCCTGGTCTGCCGAGCTTGCTTCTCTCCAAAACCCGGCTCACGGAACAAAGGTGAGAGAGGGATCGGATGCCTGGGACTTGGAAAAGAGACGGATTTAGGAGGGGGTGGGCTCGAGAATAAGCGCTACCGCCAGGCTATCGACACGCGGCTTAGGAGGAATAGAAGGCGACAGAAGCGGAGATAGTAGTCACCTGGATTAGGTAGACAGATAGACAGGCAGACAGGCCGTGAGAGAGAGGCAGCCCAGAGCTGGAGGGAGCTGAGGAGAGCCCTGGGAGCTAGAGCGGCTTTGTGGGCTCGAGACGGACACCGTTTGAGACGAGTTGGGGGGACCCAAGCGGCTGCTACCTAGAGGACCTTGGAATGTACAGTTAGGATGTACAGATAAACTTTCGTTTCCCTGTGTGTTTAGGTAACGCCTGATGCAGCCGAGATAGCAGGGTTTGTGCTGGTCACGGCGACCGGGTGGGCGAGCGAGCGAGTGAGATTTGGAGTGAGCAGAAGCAAGCAGAAGCAGATTGTGTGGTATTGTAGCAGAGCGGTCCCAGCAACAACGGTCTCGGGAAGGAATGTATTGAATGAAGTGTTTGGGAATTGGGAGCGACGTGAGGGAAGAGGAGGATGAGGTGGGAAAAAAGATGCCGATCTCACAGCAACGGCGAGGGTGCCCAAAAAAAATAATTTGGGACCTTGCGAATCTGCATTCTGGATGCAAGGAGAACGAGACAAGACACAGACACCCGCCCACCAGCCCGTGCAATAATTGCCCGCAACGGAAACATCGATGCGTACGGAGTACCTGCCTGCCAGCCAGCCTGGACAAGCTGGGTAGGTAGGCCTGGTAGGTAGGCACAGGCTGGCTGTGCAGTCACGCACCTTCCAATCATCCCAACGCCTGAGAGCTCATGAGACGCCCAGCAGATCATCGAAGGGGGGGTGGGGTGTGTCCGTAAAAGGGGGTAACCTTGGAGCGCCGTGGGGCGAGGGTCTGGAGCTCGCAACTCCTGATAGACGTGGAGGGATACCTTGTGCGCCGTACCGCAGTACCCACCCGGCCAGCCCACCTGTGCGCGCGCGGTCAAGTACCATGTACGGGAGTAGAATACCTGGCGCGGCACGGCGGTCATTAATGAGTTGGATGACCTGGCGGATCAATCAGGCTCAGGCGGGCGACGGACATTCGACAATTTGCTGCTGCTGCTGCTGCTGCCACCGCAAGCCAGCCAGCCAGACGGCCAGACATAGCTGTACATACCTACAAAAACGGTCAGGGGTGGACGCCCAGATGGGACCTGCCTCCTTCGCGCTGATTTCCCCAGCAGCAGACTCATTGGGCATTAGAGGATTCCGATACACTGAATCGTGTTGGTGGTCCTGCCAACTCATTCCAGGCAATCTGCTTGGTGGTCACCGGGGCGCTGTGCTATGGTCGACCACACCACCTCCTGCGCCTAGCCCGCTGCAGAACAGATACCATGCCAAGTACCACCATCCTCGATACCACCGTGGCAGCATGGCAGCGGCAGCAGCATGGGTAAGGCAGGGGAGGGAGCTGCTACGAGCTGCTGCTCGGTGCTGCTGCGACCAGGGAGAGCTCAGTGTCAAGCCTGGTTTATCAACGCACCGTGGGCCTTGGGACGACAGGACGACTGTCCCAGAGAGCCCTCCCCTGCTCTCACGAGGGAATGTCCTTGGGGCGTGGATGCATATCGCGCCCACTGTAATTCACAGCATGCTGGCAGGGCTCTCTGCCTCCCACCAACCGCCCAGGATTGGGCACAAGGGTGGCAGCTCTATCCCAAATGGTATGTACATGGTCCGTAGTGCTGTACACAGCAGTCACCTGCATGCCTAGTGGGCCGATGGTGTATCGTGAGTGGGGTGGATCGACAGGAATAGGAGCGGGGGAGGGGTGCCGGGATGCTTGAGAGGAGCTCGTGAGGTGGGATTGCAGTGCCCAAGGTCTCGCTGAGTACGTTTTCCCCGTATGCCAGCCACAGTGGGAATGCGAAACTTGTTCGCGATCCCGATGGTTGCTCTGAGAACAAGCCCGCCGGAGTTGAATATCAAGCGTGCACTTGTGAGAGACGATCACTTCTAGCACCGTCAGTACAAGGACACACAATAGACAATGTGCAAAAGCAGTTTTGGCAGTCAATCTGCGCTCTAACAAAAGTCACGCATTGAAAGCTACCCCAGTAGCACTTGTGCCCATTGTCGGGACTCTGCTCCCTTGACGAATAAGAACGCCGCTCTATTATATGCTGTGTCCGCAGCTCCAAATAAGAGCTTGGGTTGTGAAGTGAAGTACATACACGGGTGCAGGCTTAACACGCAAACCCCAGTCCCTCTTCTCATCGGATGGGAGAGCAGTTTTATGCCGCGTCTCGATCGGTTGGGACGGCGTCAAAGTTGGCTTGCCCAGCCAAGCCGTTATGAGTATACACAGCACAGCAATCGGCCGAGATCACAGAGCAGCATTTTGAATACGTAACACAGATAGAGGCCAGTCTCGATGCAGCACCGCATAGTCACTCTCTGGCCCTCCCTCGGGCAAGGAAAGCTCCTTGGCAAGCCATCCTCCATCAAAAACAGCCCCAGTGGTCAGACCGGTTCTCCGCAAGGCCCAAGGGGCACACAAGAAGAGGGCAGCATCGGTGATCTGTATCCCAGGTCCACTTTGTGTCAAGTTGGTATGAAACGGCCCCGACAGCCGGTTTCCCCCTCCTCGATGAGACTGCATTGAGTTCTGTGCCTGACAATCAAACAAACCTGCCAAATGAATTAATTGCGTCCCCGGTGCGCCTGGCGCATGGCAGCTCGACCAATGGGCCGGGGCCTCGAGGGCTCGTTTCGACTGAACTGGAGGCCGGATTCTACAACCTCCAGAGCTCAATCTTGGTGACAGCCAATGGGCGGCTTGTCTACCAGCACATTCCAAGCACACCTGCCGGTTCTGGCCCCTTAGCGCTCCAGGCGAGGTGAGGAGTTCGCCCGTCGGCGGCATGCCACCCGTATTGTTGCAATGTGCCATGAGCTATGTGCCATGTGCTATGTGCTATACGAGGAGCTGGCCCGTGGCCGCACGTAAAATGTACACTATGTGCTACGGCGTCCGGACACCCTAGACCACAAAGGAAGGATTGAGTGCCTCTCTGTCTGCACGGCTGTGGTGTAGGCTCAACGCTGATCCCTCGAGGTCAGCTCCCCAACTGCCTCAACCCACCCCTCCTTTGTCACACCATCCGGAGAATTACAGCGCCCGCCCACGTAGGTACACAAATAAGGTCGAGGTCTGGACTTGCCGATTCAAGGACCAGGTATCTACACAGAGGGGCGGCCTGGATGTCGCGCCGGGCCACAGGATCGCCAACACTTGCGCCCCCATTGGGAAAAGACAGCTTGGACGGGCGTCTGGGGGTGTTCGTAGGAAGGGCAGGGCAGTCTGGCTGTACCACATCAGAGGAATTCTAGAGAAAAACCCATCATCTGAGGGACAGGTGTTTTCCGCCACACCATCAGCCAATTGTCAGCCCTTCAGCCCTTGTGGCGGGCGTCTCGCTCACCGTGCGGACGCGTTACAGTTCTGGTGGGGAACATTGAACTAGAATAGGAGGCAGGCCCAACGCTAACAAGGCGCTCACTGTGCCAGCGTGGCTGCATTTCCACCCAGGTACATGAGTATTGTTGTGGCATGCGGTGTTCCGCTGGCTACCCTCGTTGTCCTGCCTGTCCCTACATACTATCCGAGGCCTAGAAACCCGATATGCCCGTTTCGTCCTGACCTTGCGGGCCAAGAACAAATCTTTACGCTGCAATGCAGCTAGCCGGACGCTGATGAGGCTGGTGCCCGCCCTGCTTGCTCGGCTTCGGGCCCAAAATCCAGTATGACGTGGCTGGGGACCTCGGGAGTCTGGGACAAGGTGCAAGAAAGACGCCCGCATCGCCACACCTGGCTCTTCGCGATGGCTCTGCGCCAAGTGGATTCGAGGCCAGGCTTGCTGGCCTGCCGGGTCCTGTGAGGTGCGCGTGAGGTGCGCCTCGAGGAAGAGACCAACCAGCCAGATGACGTCTCAATGATGGATCATGGGCAGCTGACCCGCCCAGCCTGCCAGCCCGCAATTCTGGCGGCGGCGGGTACCTTGGTTGATGCTGTCTGGCTGTTGGCACGCGTATCCGCCGCCTTTGAATCCTCCCTCCAACATCGAACCCTTGCAAGTGCGCTGGTACACAGTAATGCACATTGATCCTGCCGGGCTGTTGTTGCCAACATTTCCCCTGCCGCCACCACCACCACCACCACTGTAGTGCTGCCACACGATACATGAAAGGCCTGCCCTGTAGTCAGCCACCATGGGCCGGCCGTCCATGCCTTGCGGTTCAGCTGGGCGGGATTGCGCGGCTCTCAGCTCTAACCCAGCTAGCCGGGATCGAGACGGACAGACAGGCATACAGACAGACAGACAGACAGACAGAGAGCCACCCAGGCGGCACGGGGCACATGTTCTCTCATGGTAGATGGGTGGGTGCCCGCTGTTATCCGTCGACGTTTCATATGATCAGCAGTGCCCCCCAAATGCCGTGACCGAGACAGCCGGATTTGCGCTGGAGGGCTGCTAATAATACTGTGTACTGTGTACCAGTCATACCAATGAGACCTGCTGGTGGCTCGTGATAACCAACACATTGGGTCACCCACGCGGATACGTATCGACCGGAAGGAGAAAGGAGTTGTCGTCGGCCCCTTGATTGCCGTTCTCAGCGACGAGCATAGTGCCGCAATGTAATGGACATTCCCGACGCCGACGGGCGGCGCGGGCTTAAAAATAGAGAAGGAGGGGGGAGGATGAGGATCAGCACAGCCTTACCCGCACAGCAGGCGAGTACCGAAGGACCACCGAGGTACATTGCCCTGATCACCCCAGACCCCCAGCCCCACGGCTGCAGACGGAAACCTGTTAGGGCCCGGGGGGCCTGGGGGCCCGAGACTCACTCAGGTCAGTTGTGCCCCGCACAGAGCATTTTAGTGTACGAGTGCTCACAGGCACGGCGCTGAGCCAACAGCTTCGGCCTGTAGCCCGTTGCAGGGCCCCGTTCTGCGGTTGGCTCTGGTTTTTTTTTCCCCCTTCCAGCTGAGATACGGATAGATAGGCATTTTTGTGCCATGGGCTTTTTGTCATGGCGGCAAAGGGCACTCCCGTCCATGGCCCGATGTCGGTCGGTACTGTGAAAGTTGCGGCACAGCATTCATATTAGCTAGGAAGTGCTATAGGATGTGCGGTGCGTGCATACGCTGCGGTTGTGCGTCCCACAGACAGCCAGGGCACGGAGCACGGAGCACGGAGCACGGAGCACGGGGCGTAGGGCATACTGTACATACAGAGATTTGGTTACGAGAGTGAGATTGGCATATAAAGACTAGCAAGTGTTTCTCATTTCCCATCCAAGACCGCCATCTCACCCATTCTGCCATCACCGCCAGCAACAGCCGTGCATCAGGGGAGCCGAGGGGGCCGCTTGGCAGGCCTTGAGTGCAGCAGGCAAAAGGCACAGGCACAAGGCACACAGATAGATAGATCATCAGGGGTTAGCGGGGCTTCCCTACACTTGGAGTATCGAACGGGCGCGGCGCCGGCGTCGAGCGGTCCATACCTAGGTACCTGGCCATCAATGCGATCCGGGTGCCTGTACAGAAAGAAATCCAGTCCCTATTTTCACAAGCCCTCCGCCCAGCACGTCCCTCACCGAACCTGCAGGGTGATCCACTGTCATTTCCCTCCTTGTCAAAGCTACAGTCTTGTTGGTGAGCAACAAGGAAACCCACACAACCTTGGGACATGTCGGACGTATTTAGGCGCATTGGGCGCGGCGGCGCTGGTAATTTCATCCCTGAGAAGGAAATCCAGGAGGCAGCACGGGCCAAAGAAGCTCAAGTCAGTCGTCGTCTTTTGCGCGCCTCCGATGAGTGTGATTGCTTGATCGATTGATATGTGCCTCTTTGCGTTCCCCGTCCTGATAACATCATCACACAGGACCCAGAGGCGCAGAAGGATGAAGCTGCCACAACAGCAGCGCCACCGCCAGCCTCGGCACTGGCCTCCCACCCTCCGCAGTACGTGAGGGGCGGCAGGGGCGGCGCGGGCAACTTCACCGAGCCCCCTACCATCGCCGAGGCCCAGGACAGGCAGGACGTCGTCGAGAGGACCAAGGCCGCTGTCAGCGCATCCCAGGCTGGCAAGCCGAGGACGGGCTTCACCTCCAGGGGCGGCGCTGGGAACTGGACCGAGGATGCTCCCGCTGATGATTCCGAGGAGATCAGCAAGCGCCAGGAGATCGCGGACAGGGTGAAGCAGGATATCAACTCCAGCTTGCCGCCGCCGCCAAAGACTTATCACCAGCACGACAGAGACATGGAGTAAGGGGAAGTAAGGGGATGAGCACCAGTGAGCACCATGAGCATCACTGCCAGCAGTGAGCCATGTATCACCCGAACTGGACGCAGAGGGTCGTCACTTGACAGGGATCCTCGCCTCACCAATGGCTGATTCGAGCCTCGTTGGCATAAATCACGACGGTTATGAGGTTATTTTGTGTCCACTGGATAGGAACGCAGACATTGACGCTACGTCTGGAGGCCAGTATGAATGTCCTATAATGTCGATTTTGGGTTTCATGGGTGAGAACACATCCGACGGCACTCGCTTTGTGTGCGAGTTCAGCACAAATCTTGCCGAATCTCATGATTGAGAATAGGAGCGATCGGGAAATGAAGGCTGAGCGGGAGACACTGGCAGTGTCCTTCACCTAATGCCTCTTCCCAGGCATCCTGCAGGGTCTACAGGTAGATAGGCGGGCTAATCTTTGGAGCGTTGGGATATCAGAGGTGCAATATTGCCCGACTCCACAAGTGGTTGACGACAGCGCCCGTATGATCGTCAAGATGCCAGGACAGACACGGATTTGTTCGTTGGTCAATAGAGGCATTCGGGAATTCGCGAAGCACCCGCGAGTCCTATTCTCGACATACAGCTCATCAATCTTTGGCTTTGGCTCAGACAAGACTGTCCTGACAGATCTGCGTGGACCACTGGAACGACCAGATGACCTCGTAATACACCGTTCCCTCTTCTCTTGAGCGTGCGTGATCTTGATGTACCGGGCCCGGACCGAGAAAATATACTGTCCCCTTTTGAGTCTTGTCCCAGTATCTCTAGGGAATCTTTTGAGTGAAGCCCGACAGTAAAACCCCTTGCTTTTCCCCATAAACGCCCAGAACTCCGCCATGCCACAAGCACGATATGCCGACCGCCCGACGTCCCGTCAGCAGGCTCAGTCCATATCCATCTCGTCGTCCTCCTCGCCATCGTCCTCCTCGCCGTCGTCGTCGCTGAACCCGTCGTTGTCCCCGGCGTCCTCGTCGACGAGCACCCGCTCGGCCTCCTCGTCCTCGACAATGTCGCCGTCGACCGTGACCCTCCTCCTCCTGACCTCGCCGCCAAAGGCCTTGGCCGCGCGCTTCTTCTTGTGCGCCGCCTTGACCTGCGCCTCGTCGACGACCACGCCCTCCTCCTCGAGCCGCTTGCGCTCGCTGGCGCGCATGACGGGTAGCAGGTGCTCGTGGGAGGCCACCAGCTTGCGCGCCTCGCGCAGCTCCTGCGCCCTCTTGCCGGCCATGCGCTGCTTGTAGAAGACGCGCTCGCGCCGCCTGCGGATCTCGCCGATGCGGTCCATCGCCTTGAGCGTCTTCTGCACCAGCTCGCGGTCGTACTTGACGGGGACGTTGCGCCGCGCGCCGAACACGAGCGTCGAGTCCACCGTCATCTCCTTGCCGGCCGCCTTGCGGAAGGCCTTGGTCCACTTGAGCTTGCGGGGGTTACGCTTCATCTTGAAGTTCTTGTGGCATTTCGACCGCTGTTGGGGTTGGGCAGGAGTGTTAGTCGGGGTGTGATGGCTCCCTGTGAGGGCATTGAGCAACGTACGCAAAACCGAAAGACTTTGGCATCGTTCCTGACAAATGTGATGCCCTTGGACGGGTACGCCGGCCGGCTGGGACGGAGAGGTTAGTTGCTGATGATTTCGTGGCGATTCACGCCTTAGCAGGACGTCAAATGATATACTAACCTGCAGAAATAACAGGTTTCGATACTGTAAATCCAAGTATGTCAGTATATATCGGGGACAATTTCATGGCGCAGTGGGGTAGCATACCGCATCTTGGACGACCAAACACGCAGACTCCTGTTGTATGTGATATGCTTCAAGCAAGATTCAGGGACGCCTCTACAGAAATCGATCCCCAAAAGTTTCTCGAAATTTTGACGGGGGAGACCTGATAAGCATCCGATAAGGCGGGAGGGCGGGTCAGCGTTTGCAGGGGTCGCCGCCACGGCAGGCCAAGCCAAGCCCGTCGGTCGGCCGGTTCGCTCTGAAAAAGTGCCTGCAGCCGGATTCCATTTTCACCCGTTGCATCTTCGTCCCAGAGCAGATCAGTCCCTTTACACACGACGAAAATGGCATCAGTACTTGCATGGGGAACCGGCATCGCTGCCGCAGCATTCTTCGTATGTCTCAAGCCTCTTTTGGCTCGGGCGCATTCACTAACTAGCCATGTCCGCAGGGCCGCGCAGCAACGATCGCATGGCGCAGGTCTCGCGGTGGCGTCGGCGCGATGGGTCAGGCTTTCTACAAGGGCGGCTTCGAGCCGCGCATGAACAGGAAAGAGGCAAGCTTGATTCTGTCGCTGAAGTAGGTCTCCAATCTATTCTATACAATACAGAAGTCGACGGGGAAGAAGACAGCTGACCGGCCCCAACAGCGAGCGCGCAATCACCAAGGAAAAGATCCGAAAGGCCCACCGAACGCTGATGCTGCTCAACCACCCGGATCGAGGCGGCAGCCCGTACCTGGCGACGAAGGTCAACGAAGCGAAAGAGTTCCTAGAGAAGACATCGTCATAATGGGCATGGGCACTTTCTGGCGCTGGGCATGAGGCGGGCTTCTTCTGGCCTCGCATTGTATATTTGGGATGGTGTATAAAACTACGGCGACACACAGCAACGGCGTTATGGATCGGTCTCACGCGGGGATAAGATAGGACCTTTGGTGTGGTCAAAATCTAGCTCCTCGTTATGTCTGGTATCTTCAAAACCAGGCCAGGGAGAATCGTATGTTCTCTGCTCAATACTCTCAGACCCTCACACTGTACCTGCATGTGCAAGCCCCCACGGTCTCGTCAGGACCAACCACCTAGCAAGTTGTTGGGGCACGCCGCCGACATTGCTCCAATCGTGCCAACGTGTGCGTCCGATGCTCCATATCCTGATGCACCATCAGAGATCGGTACTGTTCGCTGGGTTTGCATCCTCCGGATTCTCATTCTCGAACTGGACATGGCCTGAAGGGGAAAACTGTCACCACTTATTCCCAGAGTCGGAAGCAGGATTACTTACGTCTCTTCGGTTTACCGAGGTATGTGACCGTACCATGACCACCATCAGTGTCCTCGCCGCCCGTGCTCCATCCTGCTTCAGCGTCGGGCTCAATGCTCTGGCTCATACCTCCAGACCTGGGACGCTATGTCAGTTGGCGCCGCACACGGGAGATTCAACGTGGGGACGCACAATACTTGTTTCTCCAACGCCTTGGCCAGGCTCTCCTGTCGCTTGAGGACGCCGAGGTGGAGGAGAGACTGCAGTGTATACACCGCATCATTGCCCGCGTTGTGAAGGAACCGGTACGGAATCTCGAGGCCGGCCAATATGGCGCAAAGAGACTGTCCGTTATGGAATCTTCTCCGGTGCTGGTGCAATTTCTGGTTGTCGACAATCTCCAAGAGATTCGCCATTTCGTACACGTCGAAGCCAAGAGAATTCAGGTAGTCGATATCCTGTTTGACGTCGTGGCCAACGAGAACCACGCTCCTCGGCTGCCCTGATTCCGACTTGGGTGTCAAGATCTCCTCTACGACCCCGAGGACCTCAGCCGAGGGTACGAACTCGGACTCTCTGGCGCCATGTTAGCTGCCGCGGTCCATGAACTACAACGGCGGTACTTACCCAAACATGAAGCTATCAGGACAGCCGTGGACGAATTCCATGTTCGTAATGTAAGAGTACTCCTTGATGCGAATATGACGGGCTTGAATCAGGTCGAACCAATTCTGGGCACCCGCACCCGGCGCAACGCCGATGAGCCTATTAGTATCAAGAATGGCAAAGCCTAGCTCGGTGACAAGGCCAGGATTCTTCTCGTAGGTTTCGACATCGAAGCAAACAAAGACAACGTGTCCGTCTTGCTCGAAAGGAGCTGGAGCATCGACGACAAGAGTGAGATCCTTGGAAGGCCCTGTCTCCTGCCCAGTGGCCACTGTCCAAAGCAAGCAAGTTAGCCTTTGGGCGGGATGGTCAGGATACACCTCAACGTACCTCGATAGTTCGTGATGGGATTCGCCTTCTCGCGCAGACCCAGATATCGCTGAACACGCTTGGTAGCGCGTCCCCATTGTTTTCGGTCCTCGAAACGCTTCTCGGCCTTCCTTCGCTTGCCCTTGTTCTTTCCACTTCCCTGCCAACTCTGCCTGACATTCTTAACGAGCTCTGCAAACTCGTCCTGCTGGTACTGTGTCAGGCCCACGAGGTCGTCCTCTGCCTCAGGCTGTGGCGTTTCGGCGAGAAGGCTGTCATACGACGCACAATCTCCCGTACGGCAGAGGTATCGGGGGACGGGTGTGCCCAAGGTGCCAAAACGAGTGTAGAACTTCTTCTCGTTCCCGCCTGCCGGGATGGTCAAGTTGATCTTGAGCTGCCTGTTGATCTTGCGGAGTAGGGCGGACAACTGTCGGGTGGGTACCAGAAGAATTGGGTCTTCTTTCGTCTCGTCGGGTTCGAAGAGGTAGAAGAAATCCCATTGTTGGTTGTTAAACAAGGCCTTCTCCTCAAAATACGGCGCAACTTTGGGGTTGTTTGCTTTGCCCACGTAGTTCTCAGCGTAGCGCACAAGGAACTTCCATGCGATGAAGGCCTCGGTTTTGTGGGACTTGTCTCCCTTATTAAGGCCAAGGTACCGGAAGGCAATTTCATCCTGCTCTGCTTCGGAGAAGACGGCAGGTTCACTGCTGCTGAAGTGAACGTTCTTGCCGCACTTTCCACGCTTTTGTTGTAGAGGTTTGTTTGCGCAATTTCTTGTGCTCAGTTCGAAGTCTTCATCTTCCGAACTCAAGTATGAATCATCGATAGAATCTGGCTCTCGGGCTCCCTGTCTGTCATTGCCGTGAATGCGCTGCGGTGCAGGCTGTGGTCCAGATCCCATGGCGGGTGGTTCAGGTGGCGCAGGTAGCTCCCAGATGTTCTGGTCACCAAACATCCTGCGCAAGTTTTCTATTGCTTTGGACTCCATGTCGACAAATCGAATGGAACTTGCCTGTCAGGCTGACGGCAGAGCGTTAGACGAGCAGGAAGGGAACGTTGCTCGGTCGTGAGGTGCAGAAGCACGCGAGCTGCAGCTGCAAGATAAGACCAGACACAATTGGGAAGTCGAGAGAGCGGCAAGGGTCTTTTGTTTGACAGTTGATGAGCAAAACTTTCGTAAGTCGGCGATCGACTACTTTTTCGCAGTGCAGGGTAAGGTTCGGTAAGGCCAGGTCTCTGTGTTCAGGAGGCAGGGACTGCCTTACACACTACCTTCTCAAATTAGGTACCTAGGTAGTCAGCGAGGTTGTCCCGCCTTCCCCCGACGCGTGAATGCGTAAAGTACTGGGCAAACGTGCTGGTGTTTGAACATCAGTTGTTCCCGAGGATTCGTTTGAGAAGTGGCAGCCTACACGAATAGCTACTGAATGGGTAAACAAGACAGGTTTGTGGAAGGCTTACCCTGGCCTGGGCGTTTGTGTTGATTTGTAGAAAACAAGCATTTGCAAAAGTCTGTTTGAAAATGAGAGCTGGAGGAACCTAAGGTCGAAAGGCAGGATGTGGGATAATATTGGGCCGAAGCAAGTGTTACTGACAGTCGCTCTTCGTCCAGTCTCTACAATCTCTTCTTCTATTGAGTGGGCAGTCACGTAAGGTCGAGCAAACAAGAACTGTGCAAGAAAGTTTGCATTTTGCTTCCCTCAAAATTTCTCAGCCATACCCGGGCATATGCCGTGACAAAACCGTACAAGGCTCCATCTCCTGTAATTTATCCCCCCAAGACACTTGTGTCATTGATCTTCGATAACAAATCGCCCATATCACATTGGTCACTGCTCAGGTAAACCCTTGCGAAGGGCTAGTTGTTCGCCCAAAACGTCTGGGAAGCACGACACGTTAGCTTTCAGGTGTTGAGAGGTGTTGTGAAACCAATTTGTCCTCACCTGCTTCTCCTCGTCCGTGATTTCAGATACCTCAGATTCGCTCTTGGCGATTAGTCCAAGCCTGCCCGATGCAGTGGCTCTGAGTTTCGCCCACATGTACCTACGCCCCTTCCCGAGCGCGTCCGAGAAAATCTTGGACTTCAGATCCCTCAGGAAGTCGTTATAAAGCTCAGGCACTTCAAGACCGATGCAAGCATCCCTGAGTTCTCCAATGTTCTCGATAGCCCGATCATAATTCGCATCTCCCATGCTATCCTTGATCAAGGATCTCACGACGTCACCCATTAGGCTGGTCACTGCTTCAACACCCTTGTCGTTGTCAGCCTCGGCCAGCTGTTGCACCAGTTGCTTGAACATTGGGATCGAGTTGTCTTTGTTGATCATTGGCTTCCCTTGCTTCAATCTGGCCGTTGCCTCTTCTCCTTCCTTGAGGAGTCCCGCGATATCAATTTGAGGTTTCACAGCGCGGCCACTTTCAGGTTTTGCCGCGCCTTTCTTCCACTTGCCCCGTGCCTTCGGGGGTACTAGGAACATGTTAGTATCCGCGTCTCTGCCATCGATGCACAGTCCAAGGTCATACCATTCTTCAATTTGGCCACCTCTTTCAGCGCATCTATTCGTGGCTTGGCCTCTTTCAACAGCTTCTCAGGAGGTTGGGAGTATTTCTTGAGGATCTCAGGAACCTCGCCAATCTCACCGTCTGGTGCCACAGCACGAGCCCGAACGGCTTGGTTGACGCGATGTATTATCGGCGAGTACAGGTCTTCGAGAGCCGCGTACTCTGCCGGGTTTCTGTACAGTCTTGTCAGCCTGCATATAAGAGATTGCGGACCAGCATACATACCCTTCATCGTCTTGGTCGAATTCCGAGATGTCCATGGCATCAACGTAATCGCTCATGGCCTGATTGAGCTCGGCATCGGGAAGTAGGCGGGAGTGCTCTGTAAGAACCTTTCCGTGGATTGTGACGACCTTGTCCAATGGCGGGAAACGATATGACCGCACGTCTTCCGCAAAGGGCAGAGGCACATCGTACAGACATTCAAAATCAGGATCAATGCTCGGCCGCATCAATACGATGACAGGGTCTCTGCCATCCTTTGAAACGAGTCTGGCAACCGCATACATCTCCGATTCATAGAGAGCATGAATGAGTGCTGAGAGAGCGAGTTTGGATTCTTCATCGAAAGACCGCGCAACGGTGACGGAGGTCTCACCTAGGGTGAGAAATGGCTCAACCTAGAAGTTGTTAGAGGTTGTAGCCATGTCCGGTCCCGAAATCCGACGTACCTTGCTCATAGCAACGAAGCCCACTACAGAAAAGCTCTTGACAGCCCCGAAGCCGGCGAGATCCTTGTCGCTATCAGGGATGCACACCGGTGTGTTCCCATAAGCCCATCCCCTATTAAGCTCCTCAAATTCGACATCTCTTTTGCCACCAGGAGCGCTGGGATCGTTGATTTTGTAGGTGCGGTGCTGCTTCACAGAGTTGAACTGCGGATCGCCATACTCGAGTCCGTCCATTTCCTCGCCCAGAGTGTGCGTTGACTGTGTTCCAGAGGGTTCCTGCTTTACTATCACAGTTGTAGCTGCAGCGGGCCTGTTGACCTTGGTCGTTGGCCATCGCTCAATGTTGATGCTCATGGCACTTGCGAACTGTTCAGGATCGCCTAGAGTAAGTGGCCCGTCGTAACTCTTGACCAGCTTGACAGGCTTGACCCGTGGGATGCTGAGTTCTTCCACAGCCTCGGCTAGCGTGCCGAATGTTCCATCGTTGCACTTGTCAACCAATGACTTGAGGATCGCCTCATTTGTGGCCTTGATCTGGGGCTTATCTTCTTCTTTGAAACCGAATTCGGGATCGTCAAAGTCGACGCCCAACACAACAAGCTCAATGTTGAGCTCGTTGAGCCGACTGGATATCTGCTCTACATCGTCTCCGTCAATGGGCCCTTGGCCATCTGTGATGAGATAGATCCGTCGGGTGTACTTGAGCTTTTTCGTCAAGTCTCCAATCATCTCGGCAGCGACAATGATGGCAGACATGGCATCGCCGAACTCGGTATTGCTCGGTCTGATGAGACTCGACAGCTCCTTCAGGTTGGCTAGTGAGACAGGCCCAAGCTTCTTCAGGACTGAGATGTTGTTGTAGCCGTCACCATCCTGGTAATCGTTGTCGGTCTCGTCGGTCCGTAGGCCAACGACACCCACGTTCCAGGTTTTTCGCGCCGCCTGGGCGGTGGTGGCGATCTTGTCCCAGACGTAGCGCATGCTAAAGTCCAAGTCAGACTCAGTCCGGCCATTGTTGCAATTTGACGTGGTCGAGCCGACGTCGACAATGTAGACGAACGCCTCCTTGTCCGCCATGGCGGTGGATGAGGAATAGAGCTTTGGGGAAAAGTAAAAAACACCGAATTCTTTCAAGACGAAGTAAGATGCCCCCGACCGCCCTCAAAGACGACGGAAGCTCTTGGGTTTATTGACGTCTCGCTTTGAACCATGTCACGTCGATTCCAGGCAGCGAAAGCGCGTTGGGCCCACTGCCACTTAGGACCCCTGCAGACGCGCAGGCATGTGAGCTCCAGAAGCTCCCTGCCTGCGCTCCCAGCCTGCCAGCCTGGAGCTTTATCGATAAGCAGGCATTTGGTCCCGGGCGCTGACCGCTGACCAACCCCTGTCTGCTTTTGAGTTACCGAGGCGCCTGCGTCATGGACAGACCACTTCAAACGCCCACGCTCCACCTGAATCCCGTGAATTCCGAGACAAACTGCTCCCTTCATCAAGCAGTGTAAAATCAATAAGTTCACATTACCATCAATAGTCATTACTGGCTTTCAAAATGTCCGAGAGGTCGATCATCTTCACCGGGGCACCGTACCATATCCTAGCGTAAGTCTGGTGCCCGTTGCTCGATCTGATAAACAGCTTGATAACCAAGTGCATGTGAGCAATTTAGGTACGGGTCTCTGTTTGGAACAACAGTTTGTGAGCCTATATTCGTCCCACTGCTCAATTGGTCGTGTCTACTAACTTGAATAATTAGTCAACGTAAGATGCAAACCCCATTGCTGTCGCACTGCTGTCTCCTGACAAGTGAGGGGCGATAGACTTGCGTAGGAACCATCATCCAGTACAAGACGCTCCCTGTACTTCAGTTCTCAGACCTTCAAACAAACACCTTCCCCTGGTATTTCGGCATACAGACCACGCTACCTGTGGTCCTGGCCGCAACTCTACCAGGCAGGCCTTTTGGACCCTCTGGCGGCTTGCAGGGGCTGTTCGACCCAGCCAATAGATGGGGAACTCTCCTTCCCCTCGCCACCGTCTTTGTCACCGGACTTGCTAACTGGGTGGTCCTCTTGCCCGCAACAAAGATCTGCATCTTGGAGAGGAGGAAGCAGGAGGCGAAGGATGGCAAGAGGAGCTGGGACCCGAAGCCACACAGCGAGGAGATGGCCGCTCTGAACAAAAAGTTCGGCACGCTTCACGGCATCTCGTCGCTGCTTAATGTGGTCAACTTTGTAGCCTCGGTGGCCTACGGCTTTACCCTTGCGGCGAGGATTAACTGAGAAGTCAATACTCTACCAGAACATGTGCCAACAGGGTATCGGCACAGGAGGCCACGGCAATGTGGTTCAGCACCACTATCTCATCGAACTCGTGCAACACCGGAACAGATTGTGTGAATCAGGCGAGGATCAAGACTGTATTGACTCCAAATTCGCAGAGGCAGGCTTTCCAACAACGTCGCGAATAGGTTCAAGCGACAGAATTGATCCCACCATAATAAGTTGTTGTTTCTCCAACGCTATTAAAAAAAAACACCCAACGCCTCGCAGTGTAACCCCATGTTGTTGCCCCCGCTCTTCTAATCAAACAATAAGACAGAACAGCTCTGCTATACATCGACTCTAATTCCCAGCAGAAAGCCTCCTGATCTCCTCCTTGGCAGCCAGCATTTCTCTCTTCTTCGCCTCCATGTCCTGCGCAAGCCGGTCCTTGTCCTCAGCAAGCTTGGACGGTTCGCGCGTGGCGGCCTCCTTGACGTAGTGGCCAAGAGTCCACTTGAGGGGCTTCCTGTTGAGCATCTCATCGAGGTCGACATCCTCACTGGGCTTGGGGAAGGATCGCGCCAGTGGATCAACATCTCTGGTTTGTTCGGCAGAGCTCCATGAGGAAGTCGGCAACGGCGAGGAAGGCGTTGCTGCCGTTGATGACCGGATGGCTTGCTCGGCACTGCTGGAGCTATCCACAGACGAAGTTCTTGAAGCTACGGAGCTCCTTCGTGATCCAGGTGCCCCGGGGGTGTTCATTGGTCTAGTGGCTGAAGGCTGTGTGCCGTCGACAGCGGAAACGTAGTTGCCCATCTTGTTGTTGTGGCTTCTCGACAGGCGTGACTTGTGTGAGTTGTGTGAGACCTTGGTAGGCAGGCAACGAATCTAAATGCAGGATTTAAATGATGATAACGTGAGGTCTAGTTGGCCATGAGTGATGATCTCCTGAGAGATCTTGGAGGGGGCATGAGTCTGTTATTAATAGTCAGCATTTCCGGCGATGCCCTCAAGATCTCAGGGTCCTCGCCGATGCATCCCTGCCCCCATAATTTCCTCGATCCAGGTGCGACGAGGACCCTGGGAAATGCATTTTGTGGGACCCAAGATCTTGGGTGGGGCAACTTGATCGACGCAATGGATGCGCCCGGCAACTGAGAAAGTGCTGACGGGTGTAACAAAACCCAAGCGTGATGCCGTGCGCCCGTTGGGGTAATGCAATGACGTCTAACCCATGCCCGGTGCCCAGAGCAAAGTATGCTACTGCAACACACCTTGGGCGCGCGGAGGGAGAGTCAGCCTCCAGACGGCAGTTCGTGAGTCGCGGGCCGCTGGCTTCTAGAAGGGATGGTGTGAATCAAACGGTCACGGACCTGGGGCTCGAATAATGCCCAGGTGTCACCGTGTGGCAGCCCAGTCAAGCGGATCTTCCGCGGGTGGGGACAGCGCAAGCACTGGCACCGAGACGCAGCGGCAGGCGAAATGACTTATTATACTTATTGATCTTTGAGGCATGTGAGACTGGGCGGCCAGCAAACCCGAAAATTAAGAAACCAGATTACCTCGTATGCGCCCCAGCTGCAGACGCAGTGCAGATGCAGAGCATGTCCGTCCATTCGGCGTGTCCGCTGTGCCTGCCGTTCTCCATCGAAACACCACCACTGCAGGACAACTGTCAAGAAACATAACAACACATGAGACGGTGTGGTGTGCATAGCTGTTTGTGGGTCTGCGCCCTGCAGGGCATAGCATACACTGGGGGCGAATATCTGCATGATGTGGGCTATCCAAGACACATAATTACTGCAGGAAGTCATGATGCGAGACAGCATTTCAACTATCCTGTGTCAAGTCATACCAGCACCGCGCCTTAAACTGCATGCAACGACTTAGTTCCAAGATTGAAACGTGTAAGCCGTTCTCTAGCTCGGGTTTGCACTCCTAGGAAAGCTGATGGGATGTCTTGTGTCTTTTGGGACATGTACATGCCATCTGCATCAAAGGAGCAAGAGGGATCCAATCCATCGACCTCATCTGATTACCATCACCTGTGCTGTTGCTGCCAACATCTCCATTCTTGTCCTCGTCGACTCAGACTGTCGACATTTATATCCTGTCGTCGAGAATGATACCGCATCCTTAAGCGCGCATCTATTTCTGCTTCTTCTCCTTCAAAGCCTCTGTCTGAGATTGGGGCGGCCTGTAGGGGCCAAATCCAAGAAGATTGGGCGCAAACATGCCAACCTGCTTCTGGTATTCTTTATACTCGGAATATTTCCCAGCTGTGATGAGCTCGGTGAGCCAGGTTGACCCCTGGAAGAGTAGGACAAGGCTGAATCCGGGGACCAAAGTCCAAGCATATTGCACCTCGGCCGTGACAATGCTCCAGACCCCCAGGGTGAGCCAGACACTCTGCTCAACCGCAAAGTTGGGGTGCCTGCTCCACGCCCAGAGGCCAGAGGTGATGAAGCCTCGCTGCAGGTCTTGCTCCGCGAAGCCCGGTGCCACCTTGCCGGTCGCCTGGTACTCCCTCTTGGCATTCTGGAAATCTGACTCTGAGTTAGTGATCGCGGCCTATCGGACGCCATGTTTGTTCGTCTTGACTCACCCCATTGTTGCTGATCTGCGAACCACTCGGTTGTGATGAGCCCGACTTGGAAGATCAAAAAGGCAATGTCGGTCGCCGTTAGACCGGGCTGGAACTGGATGCTCAACAAGATCGGGTACGTAGGTGCTGCCAGTGAGAATAGTAGTACGCTTTGGATGAAGGAAATGAAAGTTATGTTCAGCAGCGTGAAGGCCCACCATGGGACCTTGCTCTGGATGATCTCCCTGCATAGAGGTTAGTGTGGTTAAGGAGACGGGATCTGGTTTCACACACCATCTATAGTCCTCTGAACCAATCTGATAGCCTCCTTTGCGCCAATAGTTGAAAGTCAGGCGGATCTGCAGCATGCCAGGTGGTCAGCACTATGGTGCGCTTAGGTCCGGCTGGGGCACCACCTTACACTCCACAAGGTGCTAAATAAAAGAATAGCATCTATCCTCTGACTGTCAATTCCAGACAGCCGAGCCCAAAGATCGAAGTGGGCGATGTAGAAAGTCGGCAGGATGCTCCAGCACCGGTCGACCTGGGAGTAATTCTTGTTGACTTCGGCGACAACCAGGAAGATGGCCCCAAGCACGATGGATATGCCGAGGCCGGAAATAAGTGGATTTGTTTGTAGATAGAGGTCGCTAATACTCTGTCGAGACTGCAAGGCATCCAGAAGCTTGGAGGGTAGCTCGTAGAGTTGAGGGATGTACGGTTCCACCGTCTTTGCCCAGTCGACCGTGTCCGGAAAGGTGAGCAGAGCCGGCACTGCCATACTGAGCCGATTGATCGAAAAGGTAAGGACTGAACTGGTTCTTCTTATGAGAGGTCCAGCGTATATCGTGAACAGTCACCAATAAGTGCGCTGAGCGGAAATGTCTATGGGGAGTTCTAACGCTGGTGGAGATCGTGGGCAGGCGGAAAGGCGAGCTGCTCACAGCGGCGTTTCGGGTATACGCGTCATGATGGGACCAATGGCCCGGGAGAAGCGGCTGTCATGCACAATGCACAGACCGTGTAGGGTACCCGCAGGCGGCCCCTGTCGTGCAGAGTACCCCGCTAATTGCATGCTGAGGTGCAGAGCGCTGGGTATAGCAACACCCACCACATCGTGAAGGCTTCCTTCCTCACATCTTTTCACCAGATCTGGACGACCAACTCGGCCGATCAGCATCAAAATTGAAAAATCGGACCCGTTCAACGCGCAGCCCGAGCTTGCGGTCATGTTGATAGATTCTCGTGCCGAGAAAGCCAAGATTGCTCAAATGCAGACGCGTTTTCAAAGACCCAGGCCAGTGAAACATGCTGGCTTATAGCAGCTGGTCAACCCGCTTGACATACGTCCTTTTCTGTGCCGCTGCGCCGCATCAACGTCGCTGCATCCGCACCGCCAAGTCGAAGATGCCCCAGATTTTGTGTGTGGCAGAGAAGCCATCCATATCTAAGGCCGTCGCAGGCCATCTGTCGGGAGGGCAGCTTCAAACAGTGTGTATTTTGAGCAAAAGGTCTCGAGGACTGCCATGCTGACTGACATTGCTTGACTAGCGCAACACTCGGAACAAATACATCAAGAACTACTGTTTTGAGTTCGATTTTGGCCCACCATGGGGCAACTGCAGCGTGACCATGACCGCCGTCACGGGGCATCTCACCAGCACAGACTTCACTTCGGAATACAAGAATTGGAACTACCCACCCCCCGTCTCATTGTTCGGGGCTCCCATCAACACGTCTGTCTCGAATGCAAGTAGAATCACCCCAGCATGTCCGTGGATCCCATTGCTAAAGGCATCTAGGACAAGGGCGATGTCGCCAAGAACATCGAGGAGCAGGCGAGGTACTGCAGAGCTCTGTTCATTTGGACAGATTGTGACCGTGAAGGGGAGCACATTGGAGGGGAGATCCGGGATGCAGCTAAGAAGGGAAATCCCCAGATCGAGATCAAACGAGCTCAGTTCAGCAACATTGAAAGGGCGTGAGTAGGCTTGGACAAATCCTTGATGCCAAAGCTCGTGCTGACAGCACCAAGTCATATATTAAACGCGGCTCGCCACCTGAGGGATCTCGACCAGAGGCAGGTAGATGCTGTCCAGGCTAGGATCGAGTCGGATTTGCGGACTGGGTACGCCTTTACTAGATTCCTCACTAACAGTCTACGCCCACTCGGTGGCCCCATTCAAAAGGCCATGATCAGCTACGGTATGTCTTGAGCCAGCCTGGATCCTTCCCAAAGAATGACAAGTTGATGGCTCAACTGTAAATAGGGTCCTGTCAATTTCCCACCCTTGGGTTTGTTGTGGATCGCTACTTCAAAGTGCAGAACTTTGTGCCGGAGGACTTCTGGGGTATCAAAGTGACACATAAGAAAGATGGCCTCAGCGTCAACTTCAACTGGGAGCGGCACCGCCTCTTTGACAGGGCTGCGGTCGTAATCCTTTACGAGCGATGCCTGAGCGCAAAGCAGGCAAAAGTCACCAAAGTGCAGGAGAAGCCCACCAGAAAGTTCAAGCCCCTGCCTTTGACGACCGTTGAGCTTCAGAAAATGGCAACCAGGTTCCTGCGCATGACTGGTCAGCAGGCCCTGACCGTGGCCGAGAGTCTATACAACAAGGGTTTCATCAGCTACCCCAGAACCGAGACGGATCAATTCGACAAGGGCATGAACCTCCGGGAACTCGTGCGAAAGCAGACCCAGGACAACCGCTGGGGCCAATTTGCCCAGGATCTGGTGGACAACTCTTTCCAACAGCCGAGAAACGGCCGCCACAACGATAAGGCCCATCCTCCCATCCACCCTATTAGTTACGCAGCGCCTTCAGTCCTGAACGACCAAGAAAAATCCCTATACGAGTTTGTCGTCCGCCGGTTCCTCGCATGCTGCTCCGAAGATGCAAAAGGCATCGCTACGGATGTGGACATCCTGTACGGCAATGAGGGCTTCCATACTCACGGTCTCATCGTCTTGGAGCGCAACTGGCTCGACGTGTACCCCTACGACAACTGGACAAACACGGCCGAACTGCCCAAGTTCACCGTTGGAGAGGTATTCGTGCCCACGGAGGCGATGATGACCGAGGGCAAGACGACGCCGCCAGGCTACCTGACAGAGGCGGACCTCCTCGCTCTCATGGACGCGAACGGGATCGGCACGGATGCCACGATGGCAGAGCACATCGAGAAGATCCAGATGCGGGAGTACGTCCAGGCCGTGGACCGCGCGCAGCCCGCAGCCGGCGGCGCAGACAGCGAGGAAGGGGCAGAAGCCCCGGCCACGAGAGGCGGACGTGGTGGTCGAGGGGGCCGGGGCAGCCGCGGCGGGCGCGGTGGCAGGGGAGGTCGCGGCGGCGGCGGCGGCGGGGGTGGAAGATCCGTCAAGGTCTTCGTACCGACACAGCTTGGCGTCGCCCTTATCGAGGGCTTCGACAGGATGAACTTTGAGACGAGCCTGGCGAAGCCGTTCCTGCGCAAGGAGATGGAAATCAAGATGAAGGCCATATGCGAAGGCAGGACCTCCAAGGAGGACTTTTTGCGCCACAACATATCGCAGTATCGTGCTGTCTTTGAGCAGTCGACGGAGCAGTTGGATGTGCTAAAAAATGTGAGGACTTGTCCAAATGTGGCTTCGTTATGTTGCTAACCCGATGCTTCCCACAGGCTTGCAGACAGTACTTGTTTCAGGGCAACGCTGGGTGATAGGGTGTCCCGCGGCGGTTGATCCATATTTTGAGGGATTCCGACATCAAAAACCCCTCAACAAGACGTTTTGTTCGCCGTGGCTTCCAGCACGCTGCAGTCTGCTTCAGCCCGGGTAGGTACGTCAAGCAGCAGCTCCATGAATGCAGGCCTACCAATAACTAACTGTTTGGAGATTGCACAATATTGTGTCTCGAGGCGTGGCTTGCGGCGCCACAACTGCACCATATGGTGTCGGTGACAAGAATTCGTGGAAGTACTTGAATCCCAACTCAAGTCAAGTGGCCTGTGGACACTCCAATGTGAGACATGTCATGTATATTGCTGCGGTCGATCTGGAAAGCTTCTGGCGACCCAGCATCTCCGCGAGCGGGACGGGCAAGCTATACCGACCCAATTGCCTATAGAGTTCGTGTATATTGTATCGGCTTCGTGAAGTGGGACGGACTTGCTAGCGATGTGGAAATAAATACAAATGTCTGTACCAGGGTCGCTTGTTTTCGCATGCCGTGACCAACCAACCAAGCCATGGTGCAGTTTGCGGCAGATCAAGTGTAGTGGCCGGCCGTACTGCGGGTCAAGCTTACGACGTGTAAGCCAGAAAGCTAGCCGCCAGCACGAACTACTCGCAGTCATCATTCCACTCCAAGAGTATTTCTGACCACGTCGTGTTCAATTTAAAAGATGCGAACATGGCATGCACCTCTGCCCTAAAACACCTGCGATTGTCATGGGCACATGTCGTGGGCGGACACAGTCACTGGCACAAACACATCATTTCACGGAGGCACAGGGTTGAGACAGATTGTCCCCATGATGCAAGGTCGACTTTTCGTAATCGTATACACTATGTACGGACTGACTGACTGAACACGCGAGACAGCGGTCATGACAAGAAAATTAGAATCGTAGCTAGCACAAGACAAAGATGCAGCCCCCAGCCAAGCCCAAACCGATGGAGTAATATTAAGGAAACAAATGAATAGCCCCCCGTTTACTCGTCAACGTCCATAGGGAGAGTGGGGTACAGGGGCTTCTCAGCAGCACCCTTGTCAGCCTCCTGCAGGGAGGGGTCGATCATCTCGTCCTCACCCTCGCTGTCGGAGTACTGACCGCTCTTGAGGCGGTCGCGGATAGCCTCGCGGAGGAACTCAATGACACGGACGTTCTGGAGCCAGCTCTCGTATGGCTCAGGCTCGCCGTTGATGTCACCGTCGTCCGAGGTGGAGGCGGGGGACGCAGCCTCAGCCTTGGGTGTGGGGGCCCGGTCGGAGTCGTCTGAGGCGCGGCGGGCACCGCTGGCGCGCTGGAGCATACCACCGGACAGCCTGCGCTGGTCGTTGCCGCCAAAGGTGGAACCGAGTGTGCTGATGGTAGATGAACCGAAGGAGGTGGTGGCGGGTAATGAGGGGTATGCAACAGAAGCAGACGAGCCGTGACGCGCACTAGGAGACATGCCAGAGGAAGAAACTGGCGAGTGGCCAGATGTGTACGAGAGCGAGCTCGATGGGGGCGTGTGGGCCGGCGTGTTTCCGGTGGTGGAGGAGACGGCGCTCAGGGGCGAGGGCATCTGCTGCGCGGCAGAGACGGCGTAGTGCTCGCTCGGGGGTTGGGGCCTGGCAACAGGAGACTGGTGTCGCAGGTCGAAGGATGACGGGTAGTGGCTGCTGGGGGGAGAACCGCTGTTCTCGTACACGGTGCTCTGCATCTGCTCCAGGATCTGGTCGATCTGCTCGAGGTCACCCTTGGTGCGCAGGTTGGGCATGGGTGGCAGGTAGTAGTGCTGGTCCATGGCGCTGTGTGCAGAGTGGCCGCCACCAATGGCTGGAAGGGCGGGAGCGGCGGTCATGTACTGGGTTCCAAGGCCACCGGTGTGGACAGACAGGGCTCCGTGGAGAGGCATCAGCGATCTTCCGACCTGGGCGTAGTTTGCAGGGTCAAGGCTCCTCCGCTTGGCGTGTCCAAAGAAATCATTCAGATCGTCGTAGCCGCGCCTGCGGTCGTACGCAGCGCTGTAGCCCAGAGGCTCTGCGCGGTGGTTGGGGATGGGCTGTCCATAGTATCCAAGAGGGCCATAGGCCTGGGGAGGGCCGTGGGCAGCATAGTAGCTATGCGGGGGTGGCTGACCAAACGCGGCGGAGTTAGTACGCATCTGATGGCCGTTGTGATCATAGAAGCTGGACGGAGCTATAGAGGCAGATTAGCCTCGCGCATATCCCGAGGAAAAAAACTGAGATGGGTCAACTATACCTTTTCCCGGACGACCGTAGGATGCATTCATGCCGCCATGCTGGTCCTGGGGTGACCTGATCAGGACGCTGTCGTCGGCATGGGTCTTGACGTGCTTCTTGAGATCCTGGGGGCGCTTGAAAGACTTTCCGCAGAAGTCGCACTTGTGTGGCTTCAGGGGAACGTGGACACGAATGTGAGAGGTGATGTGGTCGCGCTTGACCGTTGTGGTACGGCAAGAGTTCCACTGGCATGTCAAATTGAGGTTGTTGGTGCTCTTCCTGCCAACGTGCCTCTCACAGATGTGGTCCTATTAAAGCTTGTTAGTCTCGTGTATGAAGAGTGGCCGTTATTACCGAGACCAGTCATCTCCATTGAATGTTATTCCCGACTGCAACGTCTCAAGGGTGCACAACCCAAATGAGAGACAGTCACCAACGAGAAGACTGGTCCCCAAAAGAGATAATCCCCCAGGTCTCAATAAATTCATCAACTTACATAGAGAGTCTCAGCAGTGTTGAACCTCTGGTTGCACGCGTTCCACCTGCAGACCAGGCTCTCGTCTGCGTTCGCAGTGGAGGCGTTGGATGCCGACGATGTGGATGCAGCAGTGGTGGAAGCTGGGGTGTTGCCATCAGAGGCAGAACCCGCATTGGGGCTCTGCGACTGTTCGCTTGCGTTGTCTTGAGTGGAGGACATTTTTGCTTGTTGGCTTGTTGCCCTGTGTTGACTGACAGGCAGCGATGTTCGGTCTGGCCAGGAGCAAGCTCGAAGCTCAGCAGGGTCGGATGGCTGTCTTGGCACTGATTGGCTGCCAAGAACTCCACACTAAGGACGTGGGGTAGAACAGGTGGCCGAGTCAAATCGATAATGCCTTGGAGAGTCAGGCAGGAACGTCCAAGATACTTTCTGGACTTGCAGTTTTTCTTGACCTCTTGACCTTTTTTTCTTTTCAAAGAATTGTAGAGGAGAGGATCCGCCCGGGACGAGGAAGGGAGAGGGGCGCCCATCACCTCTTTCTTATTCTCCTCGCTCGACGAAAAGGTTTGCCAAGCTATTCCGCCAGTTCCAAAGTCAGAGGGGCTCGCCGCTGCCCCTTGCCTATTGGCTGCCCGCCCGGCGACCTTGTCTGTGAGATAAGCCGTGACCTTGCTGCCTCGGGCGTCCCGTGCCAGACCTGCGTCGGTCTGCCGCAGGAGCACTGCCACAGGTTCGGTCGCACAAAGTACTCGTTAACAGAATGCCATGGCCCGCCAAGACTTTGCAGAGACGCTAGCCGGCTGCCAAGAGTACGCCAGGCGACAGAGCGCATTTGCGCTGTTTTGCGGCCCCTTTGTGGCACGCTGAGATACTCTCGTCCCTGTTCCAAGTCCCAACGCCCTGGGTCCGACCGTTCGACAGACTCGCCTGGCGTCTCGCGATCAAGCCCAACCACGGCCTCGAGGAGACCGTTGGACATCAATGGTGCAACAGTCGGTGCAAATCAAGAAAAGGGAGACAAGTTCAACGGCTGCCCAACAGGAAGGGAGCATGCTCGGGAATCCGGGGAAGAGTCCCAGGCTGGGCATCTTCGGCACGGGGGGACGGATGCCGTCGGGGGAAGCAGTAGCATGGTTAAAGTCACATTACTCGTTCTTCTGTCTCAACGCTTCCAGCCTCTTTTGTTCCCGACCGCTCATGGTTCCTTTCGTAATAATAGTTCGATCATCGACCGTTCATGCACCATTTCCCTGCCCAAAACCATTCCCTATGATCCATGCGATGCACACTCGGGTGGAAGGGGAGGAGGGAGGTGAGCGATATCTCGACGAGACGCTCACCCTGATTTGGTCTTAGCAGCCAAGCGCTGCCCAGAGCATTGGCATTCAGCCAAGAATTGGCCGGAGCGGAATCGCCAAGCGAAGCGTGTGTCTGCTGATTTGGCACTGCCTCACGTCCCAGGATGCTGGGCATTGCAATGCTAGCCTCTCGCCCAGATGATTGCTGAAGCACTTCACAGGGGCGAACCAGGGCCTATTGGAGGGTGCTGAGACCCGTGCATCTGGCCCGTACGCTGCAATCGGTTTCTCGGCGGTCACGCAAGGCTCTGCAGGCTTGCACGCTCCCTCCTTCCCATCCGACCTGGCACGGCCTGCCCTCTTCTTGGCTGGCGGAACGCTTGTGTCGAGGGCTCTTGGCCTCTCAGCGGAAACGAGAGCGGGGATGCGATGCCCAGAAATCGCAGAATGGGTCTCTGGGGGCGATGGGTCCATTGTTCATCTCCGTCCAAAGGCTGGGCAAGCGAACAAACGCCAGTCGCCGCCCCTAGCCACAACTGCCGCCCAGCGAGGGTGCCACTGAGGGCCTGTGGAAGTACACGCCTGCACACAATCTCACAAATGCCGCAGGAACGGGGACTGATATATTGCATCAAGACAGTCGATCGGAAACTAAATCTCGGTGCAGGTGATTCTCCGTGTGCGCTTCTCCGTCCCTGCGAGTCGCGCTGGGAAATTTGACGGGATGCCGGATAGTTGGCAAGCCCGTCCATCACGATGGAACGAGGCCACGGGTCTGTCGGCAACCAAGAGACCTGCCGCTATGCATTCAGGATGGCCGAGGACGCTAGATGACGTTGACGCTCCTTTGGCATCGGAGAGGCAGTGTGCTCAGCACCCTTTCAGCTGGCCGTGTCGCCCGCGATCGATTCGTCACAGCAAGGCTTAGGTGCTGTGTCATCTCCTGGTCGCCACAAGGTCACAGTTCTTGGGTGTCTTCGTGCCTTGGAACGAGTTGATCTGTGGCTGGCGGTGGGAATCAGTCTCGGCTGGGGCGTGGAGCGCTGCTAGACCTGTGTAGCGTGAAGTCTATATGTGAGTACAATGTGGGTTCTAAATGTGGTGCCGAATGCGTGGAATCAACCAGATACCGAATCCTGCGTTTCAGTGGTCGACTTGACGGGAGACGTTTCAAGCTGTGCGCGAAGAGTTGTGAATCTATTTTGAGACACGAGTGTCTGCTTCCTAGTGGTGAGACGTGCGCGCATTGGCGAGCTACCTCACTCGTCGTCCCCCGGGTTGGAGTCAATCACTACGGCTCAAATTGCTGCGAGCGGCATACTAAACATGTGACGCCCTCGAAATAGCCAGAGCAATGCATGGCCAGTGAGAGCCTGGACTGAGGATCTGGGCCAGTTGGACGAGTTCTATTGCAGCTCGTTGTCGTCCAGCTGCAACGCTCCTCCTGCAGGCTCTCTCGCCATCGCACATGGAATCGTGAGAGCCTCCATGAATGCGCCTTCATTTCCACGAGAAACACTGCACCAGTACCCAACACAAGCGTGCACCAGCCACATTCAACGGCGCCGAGTGCCTAGAGCCACCCAATGGTCTCAACGTGTGCACTAGCTCGAACAGAACAAAGCCAAAGGCAAAGAAGAAAGGAGAGGGAAAAAAAACTCTCGTCCCACCCTTGGCGTTCCTCGACGAGGCCGGGGCGGAACCTCGCGGGACGAGCATTCCTGCCCAGCACCCTTCTGCCTGTGCTAGGCCCCCAAGGAAAAACCACCCAGGTGCTTGCCTTATGTGTCTGCAGAGGAAAAGGCCAAGCGTGATACAAGACCTGGGCTGACAGGTCTTGGCGTTCAGCGCCGGGCGGAAAGTCTGGCGCGACAGAAGACAAAGTCTCACGCGAGTGAAGAGAAAGCCCTCTATTGACCCTCTTCTCTTCTCTTGTCGAATCCGCCCTCCGCCCTCTTGGTCTTCTTACCCACCCCGGATCTTACCGTGGCCAAGGAAGGAGCTTCGTCGCAGCACCCCTCTTGTGCAGGAGCGTGAATCAGCATATATACATATATCCCACGAGGCGTTGTGGTCACTATTTCCCGCTGGGCTCGGGTCAAAAACGGGTTTGCTTCTTCTAAGTAAGTTCGCTCCGCGGGCTACATACATGTCATGGTCGTGACGCCGTGCGTGGGCTGGTGAGTATGCCTCGTGGACAGAGGCCGGGCTGCCACATGCAGTCGGTAACCGAACCGCTGGGTATCAGCGACGAACGAGCTGGGGTCTTGTTGATTCTGAGCTCATGCCAGGGAGCTTGCAAAACTCCGGTTTGCTTGACCCCCTTTGGCGTTGGCGTCTTCTGCCTCTGCGCCCGAGGGCGACCTAAGAAGAGAAAATGTTGTGGTAAGATACCCAAAGCTCGAGGCTGTTGATTCAGCAGTGCTCGATTATATTGACCATCGACTTATTCCATCTAGGGCTGACCTACGAGTGGTGTGATTTGTTTGGGGATGCACAGTAACGGGGGTCCGATCAATGGGACTACCTACTTCATGTGTGGAGATGTCGTCCCGCACTCCCGCGTCGTTTCGTAGGTGGCTCTGGGATTTCAGATGTTTAGGGATCCCTGAAGGCTGCTGGCAGCATGCGTATGCTGTAGTCGCACGCAAGCACGTCGCACGATCGCATGCGAGATCTGAAGCGCAGAGGGGCGGCAAAAGAGACCCGCATGACACGAGGGAATCCACACCCGAACATGCATGTGGACGTCACATGGAGGCAGCGATCAAGAGTTCCATTTTCAGCCTAGCGAGGGAGAGATGGAAAAAAATCTCCGTAGACTTCCCCGAAACTACCAATCCACTCGTCGCCCAAAAAAAAAGTTTGTTTTTACTGTTTTTCCCTCTTACTGATCTCCCAGTCTCTCAATTACCACTTGCATGGTAATACCCGCATTCAACCGAGGCGGTTGACGTCTCCCAACCTCTCCCCTCCCCTCTCTTCTCTCTTCCCAGAACGATGCCTCTCCTATCAATTGGCATCCTTCTTCTCAGGCCTGCCGCAAACGACTTGAGCCCGCGCTCAAGTCCGTCATTCCAGTCAAGCTTGTGATAAAGCTGTGATGGCAACACGATGATATTCCATCCTGGTGATTTGTTGAAGTCTTCCAGAGAACAGCAAAATCGAGAGCGATAAAACAATAGCTATCAGCTCATTTGTGGTCGAGGCTTCTGAAGCTCAGCCAGCTTTGCGTTGAGGGATGCCGACCACTTCAGTGGGTGCATCCAGAGTAAAGCCCTTGTCGAGGAGCTCCGTCGATGGAGGCTCCAGGCTGCAATATGTCGAAGAAAAAAAAGCCTCATTTTCCGATGGGTATAATAGGTCCCGGGTGGCTTGAGGAAGGCTACCAGGCCGAGACCGTAAAAAGGTATGTCCGTCCGTGCCTAGGAAAGGGTTCATATCCGATGAAGCGGTGATGTGCGCATTCCTTGCCGTGGGTACAAAACAAAACGCCAGAAGAATATTGGTGAATCCAGAGGTCGCCGCCCCGATCCGAGTATATCGACACACCCTATGCCGCCGCCCGCCCGCCCAAACCCGATTACGAAGCCGACCAGTTCGCCCAGCCTCGAAAATGCCAAACCGAAATGAAACGCCGCTGCCATGCAATAAAAGACTTTATACAGAACCGAGACGGAGCAGGGCCTCGATGGCCTCGCGCTCCTGGGCGTCAGAGGTCGCCGCAAGTGCAGCGAAGTCAATGTTGTTCAACTGGGGGACCCGAGCCATGCCCGAGGACGTCGTGTGAAAGCGAGAGGGGAACGTGCCCGCGTGGGCCTGGCCAGACGCGGAGTAGGACTGGGCGCGGAGGCCTGCGGCCCCGATGGCGGCCCAGTCCTCCTCGTCGGTCACGTCGTCGGGGTCGTCGTCCTTCATCTCGACGTCATCATCGTCGACCTCGGAGCATGAGGCAGAGGCGGGGCCGTCCATGGACATGTTGTCCGCGTCGTTGTCGTGTGTGTAGAAACCGCGATCGTCGTGGGAGAAGGCCAAGGACTCCTCGGGGCTCGACGCGGCCGGACGGGTTCGCTCGTTGCTCCAGGCCGCCACCCCTGCTATGGGGATGCCCGAAAGGCTCGGCGAAGACATGTACGAGGAGGCCGCGTCCAGCATGGCATGAGAATCGCGCCCAGATTGGCCCTTGCGCCTAGCGTCCCACCGACCCCAGCCTACCTTTTCGAATTCCACATCGCCGTCCAGACCGCCGCCCTCGCGTCCACCCCCTCGTCCCTCCAACGCGCCGACGACAAGGCGTCGCGCCTTTGCCGGTGGTATGCTTGCGAAGCCGGGAACCGACGTGGTCAGGTAGCCAGTTATGTGGCGTATCGCGAGCGGGCCGTGGTCCAGCAGGATGTCGGGCAGGTGGTGCTTGGCGAGCATGGCGGGCGTGATGGCACCGACAGGGTCGTGCTGGGCGGCGGCAGGGGAGGCGTGAGCGGCAGTATCAAACTGGGGGCTCTTGTTGTCACCCTGGGCGGCATGCAGGTCCAGGTCGGGGACGTCGGACTCGAGCTTCGCCTTGAGGAACTGGGCGCGCAGGCCGTGGGGGCGCAGGCCGGGGGATATGGAGTTCGGAGGGGTGGGGAGGGGAAGAGGGTGAGATCGTGTCACAGGGACACTCTGGGCCGCTACAGCAGTTAAGTTGTCTCGGCCAGAGGTCGCTTGAATATCGCGAGCAGCAGATGCCATGGATGCCATTTTCGGTGGGGGGGTGGTTGTATTTGCTTCTGGGGCGAAGATGCCTACGCGACAATGACGTGATGGTCAGTACGGGAGTCGGCGAGGCGAGTGTATATAAGTGGGAGATGTTGTGTTGGTTGTGTGCGCAAGTGCAAGAGATGGAGGCAGTATGCAAGGCGAGAGAGGGCATATAGAACGGAGCGATAGGGAGAGTGGGTGAGTCACTTACCTGGAGTCAGCGAGCAAATGCGACTTTTGGGGGTGGCAGGTGATAAGGCAGTTGACCCAGGTTCAGACAAAGAACGATGGGATCAAAAGGGGGTTGGCAGGCTGGCAGGCTGGCAAGGCTGACGCGACTATTTCACTGTGACAGGAAATGACACTCTCTTTGGCAAGATTGCTTTGTTGATTCCGTGTTGTGGTTGTTGATGGGAGAGGAGAGGAGGAGAGGAGGGCGCGGATCCTGGCGCATGGCCGATAGATAGATGATAATAATACCCAGGGCCCCGGGCCAGGCTACCCCCTTTGCGGACGGGGGGTGGGTGGTGTGTGTGTGTGTGCGTTGCTACTGCCGTGTGCTTGCTGTGTGCGTCCAACAAGGCGGGCGGGCGAGTGTGTGGTCTTCTCTTTGGGACGGGCCATGGCGCTCTGGATCTGCGCTGGCTCTGGCGCTGGTGCTGGGCCATGCTGGGCTCTGCCTGTGCTTCCCGGCGCTGGGCTCTCTGTCTCTCTCGTCACACTCCCCTTCTGTCGCGCGCATTTCGGGCCAGGAAGGAAGGCCTGGCAGGCCAGGCAGGCCAGGCAGGCCCGGCAACGACAGGGAACAAAGATGCCACATGTATCCTGGATGTACCTCACATCCCTGCCGATACATTCCGTCCGACCGGGGTGGCATCGAGATATGTGCTGCACGTAATACCACGCACGCACTCGTCCAATTCGTGCAGTAGTAAGACAGGCAGGCTGCACGCAGTCTGAACGCATCCCGTTTTAGAGGCAGGCCACAAGCAACAGCTGAGTGTTCCCGTGCTATTTCGGACTGACAAGACATGGACAGAGAAAGGGTGTGGCTCTAACAATCTCAATCTCCAGCTCCATCTCCCACCACCACCACCTCGTCCTCCTCCTTCCAATCCAGAGACGGAACATTCTGGCACTTCGGTAATCAAGAAATGCCGCGGGCGAACAACAAGTACAGGCACACTTGCGAGACGTCTGCAGTACATCTGATTCGTGTCTGGTTTTGATATCCATTGCAGGGCCGAATTCAATGACTTGTTTGTGCCCGTCGTCTAGGGTTTGCTGCCCTGATGGATATGAAGGTTACCGGCGATGGGGGCCACGATGATCCACAACGGACAGGCGGCGCGCACACAAATCAGACAATCAGACAACCAGCCCGGTCACCGACTTCTCTGGGCCCAACTGCCCGGGTGGTCTATGGAGACAGGAGGAGCAAACTTGCATAGTAAGGAGGCGGTTTGGAACCCACTCGCCTTCTTCCCCGGCCTGTCCCCGGCTGCCGGTGGGGAATTCTTTGTGGGAATGGGGATGGGAGCGGGAGCGGCGGCCTTGTCTGATGGCTGATGACAGATGGCATCAGCCTACGCAGTGTATCTCACCCGTGGGAAACGAGTCGCGTGTCTGACGATGATTGACTGTACGATGTAGTAAGCCCGGGGGCCCGGGGGTCTGGGTGTTCGGGGGTCTGGGGGTCTGGGGGTTGGCAGAAAGTCCTCGGGAGTTTCGAAGTCGGTCGGTGATGCTTCGCAACGTGAAACCCATTGTCTGGTGCCTTGCGAGCGATCTGGTCCTGGGCTGCACGCCTGATGGACGACGTGTCTTGTCATCATGAACATGACCACCACCCTGCCACCCTCGCTGAACTTGGACGGCATTGCCGTTGCTGCTTCCGTCATGATCGGCCAGCCCGTCAACACCGCATTCCCTGTCTGTCGCGTGGTGACATTGGGGAGGGGGCGATCTGGCATGTGGAGTGGATGGATGGGTGGCAAGCGTCCAACACGCCTGCAGCTCTTAGCTCTTGCTTTTCCACGTCCATCATTTTGGCCTGACACCGGGAGATGCACCCAGGTGGTGTGGCAGCTGTGTGGTGGTGATCGAAGTCAGGCAGTCAGTCAGTCAGTCTCTGTCTCTAGAGAGCCTGGGGTCACCCCAGCCGACGCAGCCTGCGTCAAGACCCGAGGCGTCTTGGCCTTGCTGCTTCCTTCAATTCTTCCCTCGATCCACGACAACCCCCCCCCCCCATCGGATCGCGCGGCTGGAGTGTCTCTATCCTCGTCTCGTCTTCTCTCTGCCAACTATTACTAGTCTCGGTTGGTTCGGCGCCAGCCTCCCGGGTTGCGAGCTGTCGCCGAAACACGGCGGCTTTGGCCAGCCCGGAATGGCTGCTGCATTGATCTGTCTATTGTCCGTTGGCACATGTTCCGCCGGACTGGACTAGGGCAAGATAAGAGAGGGCATTGTATAGCACGTACTGTGTATACCACAGCTCTGCACGTCGCCGATCTGTCCAATTTCCACACGGGTCTCTTACATGCCACGACTCGAGCCCACGTCCGACGGACTGCCTACTTTGTGCTTTGTGCTTTGTCCTTTGTCCTTTGTCCTTGTCCGCCGACAGACAGCCCCAGCCACCTGCCAGCCAAACGATTGTGCGCGTGGCACAACATCAACTGACATCGTGTTGCCTGCGCCGTGTCTTAGCCGAGTCTCTCCTCCAACAAATGTCTCTTAGCCCCGGCTTTGTTGAGCCCGCCCACACCACACACCATAAACCTCTCTCCCACACCACCCCTCTTATCACGTTGGACCGCCCGCCACCTCTGATTGGCCCTCGCCCAAATCCCCGTTATTGGGCCATACTCCGTCCTCCCAAGTACCCACCACGTACCTGTGGCCCCCAGCTTTTTCCTGATTGTGCGGTTCCATTGCAGATTGAGGGGAAGGGAATTCCCACATTAAACAAGACAAGACTATCCCGTGTGATTCTCGCCTCGCTCCGGTATTTTGAGTTTGTGCGCCGCGCGTGTAGCGGGCAAGTCATCTACGCCCGTCACCCCACGTTTCGTGATACTGCAACGAGGCAAGGCGACAGCGAGGTGTCATGTCATCCATGACAAGACCGCAGCCCAAGACCGAGGCAGACCATCTCAGACGAGAAACAATGCCACCTAGAGAAAGGTCTCGGTATACCCGCGGCGTATGCGTTCAATATTCCAAGCACGGGGAAACAAACCCTAATCTCTCTCAAGATATGCGTAGCCTCCAGATAAGCCACACACTATCGTGGGGCGTGCCTAGTATGCCATACTGCCCATGTGAAAAAACAATGATGACTATCTGGGCCAAGGTCAGGCGGCGAGTTCTCGCACCTAGAGGGATGTTTCAATGATCAGGTCGGTAGCTTATGATGTATCTGCCAAATCGTCCCGAGGTCCTGACACTTGAGACTTATACACACGACCGAGATGCCGCGAAACACCTAGTCACAGGCTGATATATGTGCATTCATACTCGGGCGTTTATTTGAATTCCGTACTTCTCATCTCAAGTGCTTGGGGCTCCGTTACACCAGCTTCCAAAGACATTGTCTGAGAAGAGACACAACCATCGCGATGAGCCAAGACTCGAATAGGTACACGGAACAGGTCCCAGTAACATTTTCGCATGTTGAGCCCACCATCTGCCTCGCACAGTTGGTCTCAGGGGACACCTACGTGATCACCTGTCCGGGTCACATCAGACATCCCAAGTCTCAGGGCACAATGGTGGTTTCGTTTCTAATTCCCATCCATATTAAACACAGCTAGTTTCGCTTCTATCCCGCATACGCTCGGGGACATACGTGACGCCTTCATATGGTGGTAAACGCTCAGGACCCAGCATTTAAAAACACACAATGTTAATCGTAGTGGTGAATATGTGAGAGTTGAAGGTGCCCTCAGCCCTGTGACGGAAGGGTGAGGCCAAGGACCAGCATCTTGACGGCGCCATTGGCTAGAATGACGGCGAAGATACCGGCTCCGAAATCGATTCTCCAGAGCAACCCACTCCGTGTTGAAACAACCCCAGGGTGGAGTATCAAACTGAAGAGTATGGAATTGTTTGGCGATGGAGACGCCGTGTCCCTCTGCAGAAGACCACTATGGCATTTTCAGCACCCGATAGATATGGGTCTCAACTCGAAAGTCTCCAACACAGCTAGTATCCTGTGTTATATCCGGGGCAAGATACTGCTGCTGTAAAAAGGCGAGAGATGGGGAATGTCACGTATGTCCGTAGAGAAGAGAATAAGATAGTAACTCTATTCCCATTCACGGAACTTTGTGTAGTTTGGAGTCATGTATAAGGACTCGGTCAGACCTGAACATTAAAGAGTAATGCTAATAGATTCTCGGTGTGGGCAACTGTTGTCAGCCCCCGAGGCTGAGGAAGCTCGTGCCTTGGTGAATCGTTCATGAGTATTCATGTCAACATTTGAAATAAGTGTTGGGGGGCTGCAGTTCAGACTAATTGCTCGTTGATATTCTCCAATATTCCTAGGTTGAAATTGGACGGAAATGTTCAATAAACGTTGTGCTACCTCTAATCCATTCAGTTAGAGTGGTTTCCGAGTCGTTTCTAATCCCCACACGTATAAAACATACCTAGGTATGTGGTGCCTTCATACAGTGGTCAACGCTCAAGACCCAGCGTTTTTTAAAAAAATACAGTACCAATAACAATACAGAGAGAATACAGTTCGTGGGCACATGGCCTCATTCAGTTAGAAGAGCCCCAAGACTCTGTCTTTCTACAAGCAGCCAAGCTTTAGCATCCTCTCTCCCACTGTCTGTATGGTCAACTCCAAACATAAGTCTCTCTTAAGTGGCCTTCTGAATGAAATGTCCTTCCTTTGTTGACTGTAAAGACGGATGAATACTTTTTCTCATCGAGAACTGGTTTAGCAGACGGAGCACTGCCCAGACCCCACTCCCTGATAGATCTGACGAAACGGGTGTACCTAGCGAGCAGGGAGTCCCAATGGCTACTGAAGAGCTCGATCTCATAGACTTGATTGTTCAGGAGGGCATAGGGTATCTGGGCCTGCCAATTTGGACCCCAGCTACGCATGCACACCCCTCCGTGGCACTGACCGCTCATGATCTATGAGACCGCATGTCGCGGCTACACAGTCCATATTATTCAGACATCTTTCCAGGAATTTTTGAAGATTTCTGGTCAGCTTCAGAGAAGCTGTTGCAACCTGCACGGCTTGGTGGATGTACTCATATCGAAAGGATCAACCGATGGGGCCTGTCTTTCATTTAGGTTCGGCTCTACCTACACAACTAGAAGTGCAAGTCCATCAACAGTCTTAAAACAGCCTGCCTATAAGTAACAGTCCAGAGACCCGGAGGTTCTGTTGAACCAAATCAGGGGGCATGCGAGAGCTCTGGGCATTGATGTGACTTTGATATCGCCGGAGCATTCCCAATAGATAATTATAGCTTTGACGCGTTCAGTACACGAGGAGGCTCTGACGAGTTCCAACAGACTACCCCATGTCGCAACACAGCAGACAGCCCTCTCCGCCTTGATGAAAGCACCCAGCCTTCAAGCTAACAAACCGGCTCCACAGAGTTTACTACTATGTACCCGCCATAACACGCAAACACATTGTCAAGGATCATTGAAAGGCAGAGATTAGTGGCTGAGAACAAAACGTTCGCTTTAACATTGAACAAATACTTTTGATGCACCCGAAACCCTGCGCTCTCCCCAATTTGATGTGGCAGGACAGTGGAACCCGCCTTGTAATCCCTCGAAAAACAGGCCTTCAATTCTCGGCTCACGCCTTCCAATGCGGTTAAAAAAAGTGAAATTTAGTATGTACAATATACCCCAAGAGTGAAGCCGCCTAAAACAGGGCTGTCACAGCTGTGGATAAAGTAGCCCGTCTGTCTGGCGTGCGTTTGGTGAAATTGCCCATAGACGCGCGCGCCGGGTCGTGGGGCTCTGAAAGGTTGAATGTTGAAAAGGTTCGCGGGTTCCTTGCGGTCGTGACTTGATATGTGTGAAGATGAACCGTCCCACCGTTATATGCAGCGCGTTTCCCGGGGGTATCGAAGAAAAACAAAAACTTTTTGTCCGCCCAATGATCTTTTTTTTTGTGAGGATGTCGTATGACTCGTCTACACCATTAAAATCCTTCGGGTTGTCTTGCCACGCCAGTAATGTCTTGCTGTCAATTTTCGAAATAGAATCCGGCATGGTCCAGCCGCTTTCGCCTCATTGACTCCATGAACACCAGACCCCTACTCTAGAGGTGGGTGTACTAGACAAATTCAGTCCTGACGCGCCAGGCATGTTGAAATTCGGCGTGATGAATCGTTTCACGCAGATGCGAGATTTTCGGCTCATCGCATATTGCTCGTGTCGAAGGAAAACGACGACGGGAATGCCATGCTAGCACTCAAGCCGAAAGGGTCCCAATCGATCGAAGGGTCCAGCAGTTGCGTCATAGAAAGTCCATGCTGATGCCCTTGTGGATGGCCCGTCGCAGCGTTCGGCTCCATTGGCCCAGTTGTTGTTGGGCTCATGGCTTGGTGCTGTTGAGCAGCAGCGGCAGCGGCGGCGGCAGCGTAACCAGCACCGGGATATGGACCCGGTCCAGACGGTGTTTCTGGCGCGTCGCCACCCTCGTCCATCATATCAGCAGCGGCATCATATTCTTGCTCTAAGATACAGTTAGTACTTGGCACAAGCATGAGGCCCATCGCTGAAAGACCATGGATCGAAGCCGAAAATTCAGAGATGCTGCCCGCTCACCTAGTTGCTCGATATGATTCTGATATGCTGCTGTCTGGTAGAATGGTGCACTGCTGACACTCGGCGCCCCCATCCTACCGGCATGCGGGCCCTGTCCCGGGTGTTGACCCATGCCCCCTGGCATGGGCGGCATCATCCGTGATGGACCAGGCATCTGGCCCATTGGCTGCTTCATCGCAGCAGCTGGCATCCCTGGCCGCATGCCTCCTGGGCCCACATTCTCGGACGATGCAGGCGAAGCTCCAAAACCCTCGGTTGTTGTGGGAGAGGCGGCGTGCGATGAAGGCGTGGGCCGGGATTTTGGAGATCCTGCCGGAGGATTGGCCCCATGTATTGGAGGTAGTTGACTGAAACCAGGCTCCAGCTTCGGCGCGATGCTAGAGTTCGACCTCCGGGAATGGTGTCTATTCAGTAGCGTCCTTGATATTGGCGGCGGCTGAATTATGTTCGGGGGCATATGGGTCGGACCGAAATTGGGGCTGCCATGCTTGGCTTGCAGCTCAGCTTGGACATCGATGCCCTTCTCGAGGAGTATGCGCTCAAGCAACGAGTTTTTGTATCTGAGCATCAAACACTCGTCCGCGGCGGTACGATGGGCAGCGTTCAGATTAGCTAGCGTCTGTTCCTGAACATTGATAGTCTGCTCAAGCTGTTTGATGTACTCTGTCCGCCGCTCGCGAAAAGCTGCCTGAGCCTGACGGTTGCGCTGCTTCCGCTCCTCCGTGGTAGCATAGATCTAGAGCAACGTCAATATTCTGTCATACACCCAGCACATCTTCCGAAGCTGTGAAGCCCCAAGCCCAGTGGATTTTCACTTACCGGCTTGCGACCTCCCTTCCGCTTGGGCGCCTGGCCCTCCGGGGTGGGGACGGCCTGGCCCTGCTCGCCGGAATCTGCTGGCTCTCCGTCTCCCTCGGGGCTGGATCCGATTGGGGACTCCTCACTGTCCTGTTTGATAGGTTCTTTCTTGTTGCTATCATCAGAAGGCTTGTCTGTTGCCATACCCTTGATCGGTAGTGGAGACGATTGCCGCGAAGGGGCGGCAAACGCCTCAGTGCTCACGAAGGAGATAAAGTCCACCGAGGGGTGTGACTGTGCCCGGTAGGCGAGCCGCTGATAGCAGTTTGGTAATTACAACTGCTAAGTAAGGTTCTTGCCGAGCCGGGGCGAGACGAGCGTCGAGGCTGGTCTACCGACAGGCTGGAACAGGGTGGTGGGCTGACAGGTGGCCGTCCACTGGGCCCTACCTAACACGGCAGGCTGTTATCTATCTCCAGTGCGTTGGAGGGTGCCGGTAGAGATAGAGATAGGGCTGGCGGTGTAAGTGTACCGCAGGCCGATATCAAAAAGCTGGGGTAAAAAAGTCCCGATCAGCGATATGTCCGGGGAAGTTTCAGAGCAATCTGGGGGTGGCGCCAATCAGGGCATCAGGACATCTCGTAGGGCAGCTGCAGATCCGGCAGTCTGGGACCTTTTTGGTGGCACTCGTGCCTGATTGACATCCAGGATAGGCTGGTCCTTACCGGGGATACAGGGAGATCAGACGGCTGCAGGATCAAAGCGTGGTCGCGGGGCAGCGTTTGACAGATTGTCGAGCTCAACTTTGGGCAGCCCAGAGATAAGGGAAATGACGGTGACAGGTCGTAGAGTTTGTGTGTGTAAAGAAAAGGCAGAAGGGCGAGGGTTTATACGTAATTGAAATGGAACGTCGCAGCACTTGTAGTGGGGGAAATCAACCACGGACCCGTGCCGTGGCGCCTGGGCCGGACCAAGCTCTGCCCTGCTGTGCAGCTATGCCCTGCCCTGGTCTGGCAAGCCTGGCTTCGAGGCGGCGGTCTTTGGCCTTGACCTTGCTCCTCCGGGCAGCCGAACTCTAGCGTGCGACGAGGGGCCCCTCACTGCGCGTGACGAGCCTTGCCTACGTCGACTGGTCCGCTGTGGGCCTGTCTTTAGGTAACGCGAATCGTTTTTGCAATCGTGCAGTGGTCCACACGCCCTGAGTCGACAAAGGGTGTGGCAGATATAAAAGTCAGGTTGAGCACCCTCCTCCGGTTGAGGGAAGCCCTGGGAGCTGGTCGATGGACGCACGCGCGCACGCCCGATGCTGCTTTCGAGTGGTCGCAGGAATAACGGCCTTGTACCGCCCCTCCAACTCTGGGATTTTCCCCTCGAATGGAATCTCACCACGCAGCCCCGGAAAAGACCAGCCTCGAACGTCGAGATGAGTGTGATGATGATCGGTCTTAGCAGCAGTGCCGGACAGGGCCGGTAAGAACTGGGCTGGAGCCTGGGCACGACAGGCGACGGTTGATCAGTCCCGCCTCCGCGACAGGTGACCTGGATCCTGACTTGGCAGTCAATGAACCGTTGGCTCGACCGGACCCAGCAGCTGCAGGAGGTCGCGTTAGACTTTGGGGTCTGGTCTTGAGGCTGGTCGTCGAGTGCACCCAAGGGTTGCAATACTCTGAGGTCTGAATGTGACGGTTCCCATGGACTTCCGACGACTTGGGCGACTGAGAATGCCACGATGACGATGATGAGATATCCAAATGACACAGCGCAGTGGAAAAATTTGTCGAGACAGAACGAAACACCCAAGCAGGCAGACAGAGGGCTCCCAAGGCGAGGAAGTCGAGCGGAGCCGTCGCAAAATTTGGGGTGAGCGGGTATTTTAGTCATGAGATGGCCGGTACTTGGACCTGAAGTCACCAGCTCCCCAGGGAGCTGCCCTCTCCCTATTCCTGCAGACCTGCAAGGTTGACATCACCTGGATGCCCGCACGCTGGCCAAAGCGCACACCTCCGACACACACCAACCAATACGGCATTGCTGCCAGCCTGCCACACCAAGCAGTCAGGGGTCTGCCGTGGACAGCAGGAGGTGCGGAAGTCGACCGAAAGCCGGCCGACGTCGATTCAACTTTGTACCTCCTTTCCATCATCGTGGCCTCAGATCCCTGGGTATGCCCACGGCAGACAGATCTTCCCGAGCTAGGGTTCATGGAAGCCAGTCCTGCAGAGGAGCCTTCTGATGAGAGGTGCCCTTGCCTGAGTGCTTTCACAAGCGAGATGTGCCTAGCAGAGATGCACCTGCTTTGCATCCCTGGATTATTGAACTCTGGCGGCGCGTCCATGGAACAACGCGAGCCCCCCTCCCCCAACAAGACTACCCACACAATGCATGCAGGCCAGCAGTCCCGACGGCAGGAACAGGGCGTAAAGTCGGGGCGTTGCTGCACCCCTGAGCTGAGGATCCATCTGGGGACTCAGCTGGCTCCTCCCCGCCCTGCCGTGGACCCTCAGGGGAAAAGGTCCAGAAGCTACCGTCACAAGTGATGCCAAGAGCATTGCTCATGGTGAGATGGGGCTGTGGTTTCCAGCAGTAGACTATAGCTTGTTGTAGAGAACGGTTGCAGCTTCTGACTAATACGTCTCACTCGCGGGCGAAAGGGTCATGGCGAGGCAGCGAGGCAGCGCAAGGCAGCGCGAGGCAGCGAGACGATGACCAGCCTGTCTGATGAGATGTCGAACCACAAGATGATGCCACGGTCTGTCTGGTGGTGGATCTCCCTGGTGATTGCAGTTGCCAAGATCTGTCATCTCATTCTATCCCGGCTCGCGGTTCTCGACTGTCGATGATGATGATTTGCGCGAGTCGTGTCTCGCCCAGGTTTGGAAGACTCTCGGCCCGAGTTGGGCCAAGTGGGAGGGACGACTTTGCTCACCAACGGCATCTCCCTGAATTAGGGCTCTACTGCTTCCCGACTCCTCTAGTGTATATGACCCGTGTCCTGTTCGCTGCGAGCTGCAGCGGATGTGCGGTGACCATCGCACAGTATGTCGCTCGCTGGTTGCGGACTTGGAATGGATGGCAGGTTACATGTGAGAGAAAGAACACGGTGTAAGTCGGAGATCCCCGGTGGAGAGCGATCTGAGGGCCGTCTTCGCAGGCCCGTTTCTTGCCCTGGAAACCGTGCAAAAAGCTGCAGAAATGCCGCTCTGCTTGGCCACCGCGTGTCGTTCCCGACGACGCCGCCATCACATATTCTATGACAGAGGGAAAATTATTTCCGAACTTGACTCGCCGTGGTCACGATTTTGGCAGAATTCTGCGGTTCACCTTCCAAGGCCGAATGTCGTCAGAACCACTCTCCCCAGGGTGGGTCTGTGCCAGTAAGCGATATCGGCATGCTGGCGCGGATAATCTTTCCTTACCGAGGCGCTCCAGGCCTTGCCCTCCGCTGTGGATACCTGAAAGACGGCATGTATGTGCTACAGGACCACACAGACTACAAAAGTCAGGATTAGAAAAACCTGGCCGGCCCTTCCCTTTGTGCTTTGCGATACATTCCCCAAGATCATCGCGCTGCTTCGAGACAGACGAGGCTGGGAATGCATCCGTCTTGGGCTGGTTTGCGAGGGAGTGGCCCAGTCCAGTGTGATCTGCATTTCAGATCCCACGGCCCCTTCCTTGCCCAGGCGGGCTGGCGGCACAGCTGGGGTCTGCAACAAATAGGACGGCATACTTGTCGTCGAAGTATCTCTTGGCCCCGGCTGGGTGATGCTTCGACCTGCCCCCAAGATCCAACAACCATCCCTGCGGCTATTGGGACGGCGTCGCGGAAAATTTTGAGCTCTGGTGGGTGTTGATCGCTCAGATTGGTTTGAGGGGTCCCTACATGATTGATCAATCAATCAATGGTCAATCAGCTCGCTGGCCCAGCCCCAGCCAGTGTCAATGCCGCCCGTCGTCACCACCAGCACCACCACAACCACCATCATTGCCCCTTCCTACCCCATGCCGGCCAGCCACGAGGAGCATGGGACCGACTCAAGAGTGCGTTGGGCGTCGATCCCCAACGTCACGATGGTTGTGTCAAAAAGTCTAGTTTCTTCGGACCAAGGTCATGGACTACCATCTTGCTGGATCGGGTTTCTGTCTGCTGGGATTGCCGCTAGTGCCCGCCCGCCTCCGCTCCATCATTTGAGGGAATGGCTGACGAATGTGAGTGAGAGTGAGAGTGAGCGAGGGTGGTATGAGGATGTGTTGTCGTGGCCCAGGGGGCGAAGGGCACGAAGGGGGATCAGGCGCTGCACCTGCCCCAAGGCCTTAGGCGCGGTGCCAGAGGCATGCAATCCTGTCTGACTAGAGCGAGTGGTGCAGGTGATTCCCGTCGTGGTCAATGCCCGCAGTGCTCGGTGAGTGGATTGGTGCAAGGGGGGCTGAGTGCTGGCTGGCCGGAGCAAAGCCCGTTGACACGGTTGTAGCAGACGTGCAGTCGGTCGAAGGGTGCATCTCCTCGGAGCACTCGAGGTTTGCTGGCCGGGCTGGCCCAAGCTTGCCCAAGCTTGCCCTGCTGGGAGGACGCAGGAGCGCCTGGGTGTGTGTGGGGAAAATCGAGGCTAGGCCCTCGCCTAACTGCCTCAACAGGGCATTTGCACCCGCAGCCAATGAGGTCCAGACGGCCCACGTCTCTGGGTCCCGAGCTTCTTTGGACCTCCCTTCCCATCCCCAGCAGCCGGGTTACAGCCTCCTGCCAGTTATGCTCAGAAACCGCGTGCGGGCAGCCACAGTCGGCGACGTCAAGGACTCAGGCCCAGGTACTTACCCAAGTACCTAGGTATGTATGTAGTTGCTGTCAGCCTCGACGAGGCTCGGCCGGGGTTCCCACGTGTCGTCTCTGATGCAGCCGTCCTGCAGTGTCGCCCACCCGTCCAGCCGCCTGCAGTAAGCCGGTCTGGCCTGCACGCTGCAGAAGAGGCGGGCGTCTTGTCACTTCCCTCCACCAAAGTACGCCGCCAGAGAGGAGCATCGCAGCCTGTTGCATGCATGGCTGGCATGGTGTCTTTGTGCCGCGACGTGATTGGCGGCGTGCCGTGCCATGGACCAGGTCGCCCTCAACCAGCCGGCTTCCATCATCGTGCAGAAGAAACAAACCCGTTTCATTGCATAGTGTCCTGGCAGCCTGGCCCGCATCCCCGGCCACCATGCACGGCCATGTGCCGTGTCTAGCCTCAGATCATCTGTGGCTCGACCCCATCAGCGAGGCGAATTTCGCAGCGGCCGTCTCTCGCGTTCACCACCTACGCAAGCCACATTGGCGCCGCGAACTGAGGCTAGGCCGGAATGCTACCTTCTAGAATACTTCTAGCGGCGCCATTTTCTGGAGTTCTCTGCAGTACCGAGCACAGGGTAGCATCGCAGATCTCTTTCACGACGGCGTTTAAACCCATGCAGTAACAGACCGTCTATCTGCTTGATTAGGCAGGCAGAATGAGAGTTGTAGAGATACGCAAGGCCTCAACCAGCCACACATCAGTCGAGATTCTGTGGTCGAGTCTGGCTCATGGGAGTTCGGGATTCTCCGTTGACAACGACATGCTCTATCTCGGTTGTCTCCAGTTTCGATCTCAACCTAGCCGGCCAGGCGTCGACCCAGCCTTCCCGGAGAATTGGATCTCAGATTATGTACTATCTATTCCGGCAGTGATCCACTGACTGACTGTGTGACAGCATGCCCGAGTCAGGGCTAGCCTGTGCAAAGCGCGGCAAGGTGACCCACAGGACATAGATGTGATTCCAGATGTATGTACAACGAATGACACACAAACACACTGGGCACGCGCTGCAGGAGGACACCCATATATATCTCGCTAACGACGACCTGCCGCGCCATAAAAATAGCCAATCCAAAGCATGCTTGTCCTTGGCTCGCCCATCGTCATCGAGCATCGAATGTGTTCAAGAACCACTGGGACAACTCACTGGCCACTTTCGACCTCGGGAGTGGGAATTTAAGCGGCTGGCGCCGCCTCGGCTGGGGGCGCAGCCTCGGCAGGAGCGGCTGCAGGGAGAGGCGAAGACTCGGCGGGCGGCGCGGGCGGCGCGGCCTCAGCAGGGGCGGCCTCAGCAGGAGGAGCTGCCTCGGCGGGAGGAGCAGCTTCAGCCGGAGGGGCTCCAGGTGGCGCCCCTCCTGCTTGCTTTGCAGCCGCAGGCACGAAAGCCGCGTTGCCCAGTGCTATCTGGCCGACGGCCCCACCCACCACCGTTGTGCCATCTGTACTCTTTGTGGTGGCCTGGCTTACTTTGGCGTAGTCGACGACCTGGTTCACGTTTTGTCTGTGTAGGGCGTCAGTCGTGCTTGTCGGGAGACAGGACGGAGACAAAGACTACTTACGGGTTGATGACCATGACCTGGCCTTCTTGGCAGTGTGGTCCGGTTGCGCAGTACAAGAACATCGGCTCGGTGTTGGAGACGACGAGGTTGAATGTGCCAACCTCCTGCTGCCCATCCTGGAATGGAATGTGTCCCGAGTGGACGGCTATGAGACTGTTAATTATGCGGTCCCAAGTACTGAGTGCCACGGTCACGAGCGTCTCCGAAGGGACAGGACATCTGCCAGAGGTTTAAACTTAGATACATACCAGTAGGTACTGTGGCCTGGAGGGGAGTACAGCCCTGATCGGCCGCGCTCTGCGTAACAGTGTGATTGCCATTGCTGAACTGGAATTGCACAACGTCGCCGACCGCAGCGGTCACAACATTGGGAACGTATGTGTCTTGCGGTCCTCCTACCACTACTGGTATGACCTGGTTGGCCCTCTTAACTTTCGGAACGACGTTGCGGCGTACTGGTAAGGCGGGTCGTTAGTAACCCGCTACAGCCTGAGATGCCATCAGAGTTGGTTGATACTTACTGACAAATCTCCTCCCAGATCTCGAGACAGCATCCGTGGAAATAACCTCAATCTGCGGGTAGGCGCTTACGGCTGCCCCCAACAGACCTATGACCCCGACAAAAAGCATATTCGATTGCCCGAGAGTGTAAGCCAGTGATGTTAATGCCAGGGTGGTCAAGTATTAAACTCTTAATAGTCGTTCAACGACAGGATATGGGTCGAATTTAAAGGGAAGGGAATATGCCGTTCCACAGCAACGTCGTATTTGAAAATGACCGACACAATTAGAGAGAAAAGAAGGTACAGGAAGCAGAAATGGCACATGACCGCACACACGCTTGAGGAGCGGTCCCTTGCCTGATATTTGATCAGGGCGGCTCATGAGCCTCAAGCTGTGCTGACAAACCTCGCAGGGTAGTCGTAAATCCTGCCCACGACCGTGGGGTGTGATGTGATGTACCATGGTTATGCCGTCGCTTGCGCATCATGACCACCTCGGGGCTGAGGGCACCCCGATCTAAGACGCCCATTCGCTCAAAGAGGAAGTTGCTTTGAGGGGCATTCGTGTACGGTTTGAAGTTATTCCCATTCCTGACGGACGAGGTGCTTGGCAGGCCCCCCGTTTTCCGACAAATGCTAGACGCCAAGAGCAGAGCCTTACAGCCGCCCTACCCACTGAGCCGAACTTGAGTGGCTGGCCTGCCGTCCGATCATTTCGTCTCATTATCGATTGGCACAAGCATAAAAAATCGCCTCGAGGCCGCGAGGCCTGGGAGTCCCGTAAGCCCCCACTTGCCCCGGTGAATGGGCGGCGTGGGCGGCGTAACAAGGGCACCGGGGCTATGTCGGGCTCCTGGTGTTTTGGATCTTCACCTTGGCCGAAACAAGGTCGTGGCATCTCAAACAAGTGGATGACGGCGTCCCTGCCCAGCGGAATTGGTCCAAACATCACGGGTCATCCGAATTCATCCACAGTATTCGAGGCAGAAAAGTTCGTACCGGATGCGCAAGACGAGCTGCGATGGGAGGCGCTGCTGCGTCATCCCCAAGACGGCAGAGAGCTCTCGTCGGTGGAAGCAGCCGGCGTACGCGTACCGTACCCGGATTTGTGTGCCGTGCAGTCTTGCCTCCTGACCAAGATGTCTCAGCCCTTGAGTCGCAATGCTCGTCGGTGTCCACTGTGTTTGCATAAATGGCGTGAGCACTTCCCATCGTCTCTTTATTATCTCCGTTTGGGGACATGGCCGGGGAGACTGCTCGTTTCGCCCGACCATGCTGTCGCGGCGGTAACTGGATTCTCAAGCTTATAAGTTGCAGCCTCCCTGACCGGCCCTGCCGACTCTTGTTGGCGTCGGGTTCTTGTTGTGCCATGCCGTGTTCTTGGTGCCCATGGCCTTCGTGTTCAGGTTGGGGTTGATGCTATCTCGAGAGCACGAGAGAGTACCAGATGCCGCCATTATACAGCAAATAAGCTGAGCTTCCAAGTTACAGGCGTGCGTTGAAGGTCAGCCAGGCGGCATGGGGAATCAGTGAACAATGAATGGTAGATGCTGGAAGGCGATCTTAGAAAAATAGGCCATAGCTGATGAGAGCCTGCCCTGTCAGCTCGTCGATCGCCGAGAGGAACCACGGCACGCGCCGGGCGAAGACCCCTGAGTTTGCGTCTGCGGACGGACGAGCTGGGAGCTTGGACCACCTGATCATTTGTTGACTTTGGAGAGGCCTGGTCCCACACAGCAACCGCCAAAACCGCGTCCAACGACATCACCCTCATTTTCATCCCCCACACAATCTCCCCTTCCCAAGCCTGCAACCTTGCAACTCTCTCTTCTGAGACACACCCATTGCTCCCGAGCCCTTTTGACTTTGCCTGGACCCGCCTGGTGTCAACCTCCACGATTTCTCATCACCATGGCTCGTCGCCGATCTGCACGCCTGGCCAGCGGCGCCAAGGTAAGTAAACAAACAAGCCTCGCCCTCAACAACAAGTCTCGCCACCGCTCACACCGCCCGCGCGCTTCGCAGCCCGAACCCATCGCGCCCCCGCCCGCCACCCTCGAGTCCGTTGCTGAACGCGAGGAGAGTCCTGTCAATGAGCCTGCTCAGAGTCTCAATGCCATCATGTCCTCGCCCGCAAACAACCCCCGAACCCCGTCTACAAAGTCCGTCGTGAAGCCGCCAATGTCCGAGATGCACCCCAGCAAAGCTCACCCCACCATGGCCGCCCCGTCATCCGCCCTGCGGCTCGGTTTCACTGACATCAGGCCCACCGCCTCCAACAAGCCTGGCTCTGCTGTCCTGCTGTCCACGCCCTCCAAGACCCCCGCCTCGTCCTCCCAATATCCTTTGCTGCCCTCCGTCCCCAGCACAACAGACTCAACCCTGAGTCCTCAGGCCAAGCTCATCATGAGTGAGGTCCGCGAGCAGGCTGCCAAACACAAGGCTGCTCTCATGGCTGAGCGCGAGAAACAGCGCGCCGAGGAGGAACAGGTCAACGCCCGCAAGATCGCCCAGCCGAAAGGCCGCGCTGGTCGTTACTCCGCAATTCACATGGCCGAGTTCAAGAAGATGGACTCCATCGAGAACCATCCCTCTGCTTTCCGGGCTAGCAAACACGCCTCTGTCGCTGCGCCCAAGAAGGGCATCAAGCGCTCGCAGTCGAAAGCAAACATCGACGACGCTGAATCCGCACGCGTCCAAACTCCCGTCAAGCCCACATCATCCAGGTCGTCCAAGAAGGTCCACACGCCTGTGTGTGACCCAGATTCTCCCGCCAAGCGGACCAAGCAGGCTGCCGACGATGATGCTTCTACCAATCGGCCCATTTCCAGAGACGGCAGCAACATCCCTCGTCCTCCGAGGACACCTGGCAAGGGCCCTCATGGCATACTCCTTGCCAAGTCCACCATTAAGAACATCATGTCTCCAACCCAGGCGTCTCTTGCACGCGCAGCTTCGATCAAGACCCCGACCACAGCTCGGTCGATGCTCAGGTCACCTTCAAAGATCCCCATGACAGGTTTGAAGAAGTCTGCAACTGTTGGCGATCTCGGCACAATCAGTGATGCGAAGGAGGCAGAACCGGCCGTGATGCGAAGCCCAAGTCGGTTTGATAAGGTCAAATCCATGTTCGCCAAGCACAAGGGAGACGGCTCTGCGCGACAGGCTGGCATTCCCAGGCCCACTGTGGGAATCTCAAAGACACCGGCTCCTGTGCGCGCACAGAACGAACTCCCTCCTGCTCCCCAGACCACTCCGGGCAAGAACAGCCTCAGGGCCGGTCAGTTCACTCCTGCTCCCAAGCATGCTGCTTTAGCGCAGAACTCTCCCTCTCCTGTCAAGTCTGGCATACCTCGCGCTAAGACCGCCACCAACCTGGTCAATTACCCGTCTCTGGACTCTGTGATGACGAATGCCACTGCGGATCATGTCTCGTACCCCGACCTGTCGGGCTTCCGACCACTGCCCGAGCCTCCGGCGGAGAGTAAGTCCGACTCGGTGGATGACGAGGTGTCTGAAGGGCCGGAGCGAGCTCCAGTGTCGGTTCCTGGCACCTTCACCTTCCGCAGTGACCACACCATCAATTTTGGCGGCTCTTCCCCCAAGGGATTTGGTGGCCGCTCAGGACAGTCTAGTGTGCGACATGTCCGCCCTTCAATGATGCCAGTCGTCCCCGGTGCGTTCCCATCTTCGGACATGCCCGCGACGGCAGCTCCGAAGGGCAAGGAGAACATGCCGCCCTATCTTCAGCAGAGCCCCTTCGACATGAAGGCTTTCCCGCATGGTGTGGGTAATAGGAAACGCCTTCGTGTAGAGGATGATGAGGAAGAGGCAGACAGGGAGGCAGCTGAGCGCGCGCTGAAGAAGATGAAGGCCGCTGATGTACCCGAGGGTGATGCTCTGGTCGCTCCCAGGCTGGCATCTGCCCAAAAGCCGCGTGTCACAAGTACAAGCAAGACTGTGATGAAGACACCCGCCAGGTCTGCAGCCAAGGCGAGGGCCCCAGCCACTACTCCTGGTGGTCGCAAGCGCGTGGGGCTCAGCATGAGCAGGCTAGCCTACCTGGCGACCCCGAAGCAGCGCAAGTGAGGCGCGAATTAAGTCTCGAGTCGGGCGATGAGATTGCGACCAGTGCTGCCGCAGCGGATGATGCGGCTGGAACAGACCAGGGCGAACCGCTGCTTGAGGCATAATTGCATTTGGAGTTGTACATGTTTGTGTCGGCTTTGTTGGTTCAATATTGGATTTTCGACCTTGGACATAAGGCATCGGTCGAGTCACAACTGGCTCATTTGAGGGCGATTGGAAGCCCGGGGCACCGAGCGGCCTCAGCAGAGCTGACGTACATGCCACCTTGATGTCTCGACTCTATGGTTCATCTTCAGGTGTGTGCTTGCTTGGGGCCAAGGCTATGCTTACCCGTCTGGCGGCATTGCATCCAATTGTTGATGTTGGACTGGGAGTATACTGTACATTACAGTCATTGTCTGTTTTCCGGAATCCTTTATGATGGAGTTTCGAGCTGGTCAGGAAAAGGGGTTGCCTTGAGGAGCATATTACGGACGTGTGGCGTTATACTTGTTTTTAGTCCTCGCTTTGAGGAGGCACAGCAATGTGGACAGACAGGACCAGATTGCATGAATGAATAGATTCAAATTCTACTTGAGCTGGGTGCCACCGGAGAAATCATCGAGTGTGTGCCGCCCTAGGTAGTCGACCTGCTCAGCTACCAGATAATGCCTAACTGACCAAACCCCTTCGCTCCTGAACAGCAATTCTCGCCCATGCTTAAGGAGACAAGTGGAAGGAGCCACCCAGAAGCTGCGTGAGGGCTTTCAAGCCGATGGGGAACTTGTCGCGCATTGCTGCTCTCAGAATGCTCTGCGACACGTCAAAACCAAACAAGGACCACGTCAACCAAAAGGATTGTATGGAGCTTCTGCCAGTCGCTACAACAGGAATTTTCACTCGCTTATCACCAATCAATGTGACCTGATACCTCCATCCATCGACCCTCGGGATGGGCGACGCGTCATCATACTGTGGTCCCACCACTCGTGGTGCACACCCTAGCCAGCCTCAGACACCACACGCTCTCAGACACAACCATCCTTACCTGCTAAGAAACCCCTCTTCTCCGACCAGACCAGAGACATTCCTCTGTACCTTTTGCTGGCGCCCTCAACGATGTGACCCGGCCAACTCGTCCAACGCGCCGAGAGTGGTGGGCAGCCGCGCCCGCCTGGCCTGCGAGCCGTGCTACAACGCTCTGCTTGACCTCGCGATCTGCTAGGTGTGCGGCGAGGTCGTCTTCCGCGGCGACGAGTGTGTGAGCCTGGGGTGGTGCTTCTGGCACCGGAGCTGCTATGGCTGTTTACTGTGTGGCGACAAGAGGGTGGTCCACGGGGTAAGCATGGAAGAGCTGTTCCCGGACGCTGCCTCTCGAGGACAACCAGGCCGCTCGGCCGAGCCAGGTAGATCGAAGGGCCGGGAGATCGACGAGATACCACTCTGTGGGTCGTGTGTGGAGGATATTTCGAGGGATATAGCGGATGACGATCATCTCATCCCGATGGCTCTGCGTAGGATTGATCGATTCGATGGGGGTTTGTCGAGGAGACGGTGGGAGGCAGGCATGGGGCAGAGTACCTGTGACAATTGCCCCCACGACACACCAAGCTCCGCAGGCACACAATCCGAGCTTGAGCACCAGGCCAACACCTCTGATGACTCGGATCATTCCATGGGTGAACACGTCTTCCGGACAGCTTCCCCAATCTATGTCTCCATGAACGACCCTGTCAGGGAGCCGGCCTTTCAACGGAGCAAAACCAAGCCCATTCCGAGATGGATGCAATATCTCCCCGGTAGGAAGTCAGACGAGAGGGATGGTATGGAGCTACCAAGCCCTCGGCCAAGCTCTGTACTTGACGATCATTTCTCACCTCTCGAGCCCAGTGTCGCAGAATTGGACATGGAGTCTGGCATAACAGCGGCGTCACCCTCACCTCCACCAGTCCCGCCTCACAGGGTTCCCGTAATTCCAGCAATACCAAGACCAAACGAGGAACAGCCTACAGACCCTGGACGTTTAGCAATTTCAGAGCGCAACGTCATCCCTCATCGGCAAAACCCGGCCTTCGCATCCGAGCCTGTCGAACCTGCGCCCGCATTCAAGGGCGTTCAGATGTCCCGCCCCTTCACCTTTATCGACGAGAAACCAGGCCAACGTCCGTCGTCAAGACTGCATCCAGGCGGCCTTGAGCCCAGCAGGCATGTACGCTTCATAAGCCCTCCTAAGACTACTTCCAGTCCCACATTGCCATCAGCCTCTGTTGGTCACGCCAGGCCTCCGCCAGAGTCTTCCGAATACCTGTACCACCACGTCTACCCGGCAGGCCAAGTCAAGTCCTCGATACTCCTTCCCTCGAACCTCCGGGGCGGGAACCTGTCAGTGGCCACGCCTGTCGTTCCGCGTTGTATTGGTGTCAACACGGGGTCAGCAGCCAAAACCGTCTTGAGATCGTTTGCAGAACGCTCTTGCTCCCCGGATCTCGCCCGTGGCTCTACAGAGGTTGAGGGGCTGGGGCGCGGAAAGATGCGTCCGAAGCATCACGAGATTGCAGAACAGCAAAGGGTCCATGGGGGAGGAGACGGTGCCGCCGAGTCTGTAGGGGAGAAACGGCCTGGCCGTGCGGTCACCTTCCAAGACCAATTGAAGAAGGTGTTTGGCTTCTCGTGATGGTTTCGTGTAGACTTGAGAAAATCCTTAAATAGCACGCTTTAATACTCGCCATTCTGTAATAACCTTGAAGACATTATTGAACGAGGCTCGAGGCTCGGCGGACTTCGCCCCTGCAGTGCATGTTGGCTGTGACGGGCAAGGAAGTCTCCATTAAACCCAGTTTTGTATTGCTCATAAAAGTGAGCTATCGGAGATTCTGATCTTGAGACAGTAGTGGAAAGACAGTGTCGATCGGTCCAAACCATGACAGACAGGAGCAGACTTGTAGCAACGAAAAAAGTGTCAATAAAGATTCCAGGCGTCGAGCGCTTAGACAAAGAAAGCAAAATTGCAAGCATCGCGGCGAATCTAGAGTAAAACAATCGACACCTTTTTGAACTGTGACAATTAGATCTGTTGTGACAGAGGCGCTTCATTCGCCCTGCCCTGGACGTCCTTCTAGACGTCATGCGATCTCACAGTGTCATCACGAGAATCCACCCGAATCTATTCAGTGGCTCGATCCAGGCCTGGGACGCGGGCACAGTTCTTCTTCGGCTTTCCGCTTCTTCTCAGCGACAGCCTGATCGGCGCAGCCATAGTCCATTGGTGGGGCCCCCTGCAAGATTAATTCCCCATATAGAGGGTCGCCCAGTATTTTCCTAAATCGCTCCTTGCGTAAATCATTGAGAAGCCTAGAACGGCCCCCGTTCGGTGACAGAGCCCCGAGAACATATCTTCGAAGGAGGTGCTCGAACAACTCTCGGAGAGACTCCATGAACGGTGCCTCGTACGCACCAGGCAGTTTGCCTAGCATGCGAATCAACCTGTGGGCGAGGATGGGAACATATGGAGTGCCATTGCCCGTTCGAGCGCCACTGAGTATAGGTCGCGGTTCCGGATAGTGCAGCTGCTTCTCCATGTCCGGTTTGATTCTCCCGATCAGCTGGATCGCTTGTTGCTTGAAACCAAACCTCATGCACGTCCTGATAAGGTCAACGAACCTGTGGGCCTCGCTGGTAGCTTCTTCATCACGGGCTGACAACAAATTTACAGTTCCGAGAGACAGCAGCTGCAACTGCTTATCTAGGATTTTCTGGGCGACTTCTGCAGCGCCAGGCAGCGTGTTGTCGCTGCCCTTAACTGCCAGACTCTCGATGGCCTTGCTGACGAGTGCTCTATTGTTGCAGCATCCCAGTTCAGGTATCAAGCTAATTGGATGATCAGCGCCAAGTCCCAGGTCATCTTTATAAGTAGACTTACCGAGTCTCAACCCAGTCTTTGTCGTGCCAAAGCAGGTTCGCTAGCTCTTGGACGGAATTTGGGTCGGCCTTTTCCAAATACTGGCCAGTAGTGAATTTGTCGCGCTTCATTGTTGCTACCCAAGCCCGGAAGCTGTCTTTGAGATGCTCCTTATCTAACGCTTGCTCAATATCGTTGAGGGAGGCGAAGATGCTGCGAATGTTTGTGAAACAATCCAGAAGGTCACCAAGGCTGCGGAGAATGGATGCATGTCAGTAACGGGTACGTGATAAATGTGCCTGGAAAACAGAGGAGACGGGGTTGTACGAACAGTTCAGTCCAGTCGACTACTTGTGGGGCTGGCAATTCGGCCACAAGTGTGGCCAGCAGCTGGGGAAGTCCAGTCGGCATCCGGCCGTTTGCGGTGCAGTAATGAATAGCCCTGCGGTATAGTGACTTGTCCCCGAGATTCCATGCACCTTCAGCGACTGCGAGTCCAGCGAGCTTGTATTTGCTGTCGTCTAGAATTTTGCTCATCAGCTCTAGCATGTCCGCTCGGACGGTGATGTCGTTTGGATGCTTTTTTTGATCATCGATGACAAGAGCCATGACGACTTCTATATCGGTTGCAAGCCCGACTAGATGATGTAGCTTGTTCCTTGGGATGAGAACGATTGCCTACAGAGGTTGCTCGTCAGTAACCACTCCACACTCCACAGAGAGAGCACAGGGCTCTGGGACATTGCTATGACGAACTCACCGAGTCATGATATATGAGCATGCCTGGAACGTGCCACTCCTCGTCTAACTCTTCTGTCCCTTCGTCGCCACCCTCTACCTCATCAGCTGACCGGTTGCTATAAGGATCGGCTGGAATGAGATGTTCTGGCGACAAATTGATATGCGAGACGATTGTCTGGCCCCGGATACTGCATAGATCGTCCAGGTAGACTCCCACTTCTTCATTATTATCACAATTGATATGATTGGGGTCGTCTGGGTCATACTCTTTCTTCGTAACGTTGCTGAGAAAGAGGGAAATGCCAGCTTCGGTGCACTCAGCTGACAGAGCTTCGAAGACCATCCGATCGTGCGCTTCCAATTTGAAAGAGGACAAGTTCGACTGTGAGTACCCGCGGTCCAGGAAATACACGATTTTCGAGAGGTCTTTTGGCCAGCTGACAAGCCTCTCTCTGAGGCGTGCTTGCTGTTTGACCAATAAGTCGGCCGACGTATGAGTGCCTAATCTTGGTACCATGGTGTAGACGAGCTCTAGGCGATACCCTGATGAGGTTTCCATGATTTCGCTTGTAACATCAGAGTGCCAAGCGACAGCTGAAAGATCGAATGTCGACGCAGGCGCTGTGTGGAACACCCAACGCCTTCCGGCGTGCTCTAAGCGGATCTGGCCTCCCGTGTGCCCCGAAGGCAGGCATACAATGAGATATCCCGTAACTTCTGGGCTTGACTTCGAGACTTGATGGCTCCTCACCAAAGAGCCCTTCTCGTAAAGGACAAGCTTGTCTGATGCAATATCGACATCGGACGGGGCTAAGCCAAGGCGATGAGCCATATCCTGCATGATGGACCCCAAGAATGCTGGCCATGAAGGATTGACAGTCCGGAAGCAGTCGCTGTTGAGCTCCCAGACGAGGCCAGAGGATGATTCCACCACTTCAGCTTCATTTTTGCCACAGGAAGCTGTTTCCGCGGCGGCTTTGATTTGATCAGCCAGTAACGGACTCAGAGGCAAGGAGACAAGGGTTCCGTCAACTTCAACCCCTGGATTGACGAAATTGGTGTGAATTGTCTGGCAGGCGACGTCACCAAGTGCCTGAACAGACTCCAGGTCTTGCTGGAGCGCCTTCTTCCAGGAATCCCATGCTGGGCTCAGCTGCTCCTCCTTCTCGGGGCCTTGCTCACAGACCGTCCTGCCGTATATGTCGAACATGACTGGGGCCATGTGGAGAAGAGAGTAGTAGAGAACAGTAAACAGAGGCGAGAAGAGTCGAGTCGCGTCAAATGTAAATAAACTCGACGCGTCCAGTCAAGCATGTTACCCTTCCATTCTGCCCAATGCCCGTGCAGCTTTCCCATGCGCAAGCGACATATAAACTTCAAACCCGACAAGGCACGGGCCCCACTCTGAAGGTAACATTGCGTGGGCGTCAGATCTGCCGTACTGCGCGATTGAGAACGTAGATAGTCAAGGGCCTTTCTCAATGTGAAGAGAAATCATCATCTCTTGAATACTAATTCGTGGTTTACAGCAGTTGGCAATCTTTGCACGCTTAATGCCGGAGCTGCGGAGCTGCGAGTCAACTAACACGGCACAGCCCCCCTGTCAGTTCTCAATGTAGGACAGGGCCCAAGCTCCCTGCAAGACCCACTATTGCCAAGCGACCCCGGATTATGGCTCTGAGCCTCCTCTGGCTGCAACGTCAACCCAAACTCGACCTGACTTCCATGTCGAAGTCGCGGTCTATTTCCTAACATCCACACTCCTTGATCGACCGCCACAGCTTAATCACTTGCCGAGCCCTCCCAGTTACCCGCCGCCTTCGACATTTTCTTGGAAGGCTTAGTCCTCTCTTCTCCGAATCAACATCAACTCGTCGCAGCGGCAAAACCACAACCATGGCGCCGCTGGATTACCCAGACCACAATACCGTCGAGCGTGAGCCAAACCACCCCAGCCTCTGCACCAGAGGCCCCATGCGCGCATACATAGCTGACACCCGGTTACAGGCCAGCTCAAGGACGTGATCCAGATCCTCTACGAGATAATGATCCAAGTCCCCAACTACGACTCCCACACCGCCCCAGCCTCGGGCGCAGGCGCGGGGCCCAACGGCAACGGCACCCCGCTCCGCGGCAGCAACGCCCCTCCCACGCGCGACGTGCTCGCCAGCCAGCTGACCCAGCTGTCCTCGGCCCTGCAGGCCATCCACAGGGTGTCGTCGCACCCGGCGGCCGCCGAGAACCTGCCGTCCCTGCCGTACGAGCTGATCCAGTACGTCGAGGGCGGCCGCAACCCGGACATCTACACCCGCGAGTTCGTCGAGCTCGTCAGGCGGCAGAACCAGCTCATGCGGGGCAAGATGCACGCCTTCTCGTCCTTCCGCGACGTCCTTGCCCGCGAGATGGGCGAGGCCCTGCCCGAGCTGAGGGACGATGTCGCCCAGGTTGTTAAGGGGACGGGCGGGGAGTGGCCGCTGAAGGAGGAGCCCGGCCAGTGAGTGAGTGAGTGGTTTGTGGCTTGTGGCGTTGTAGGTGGCCCTGGAAGGATAGGACTCGGGGGCTTTTTTTTCTCTTTTGGGTTACTCAATCGAATTTGACAGTGCATGTTGCTGTGAGAAGCATGACAGAGGGGGAGCCAGAAGCATTTACGGCGTTTTGTAGTGGTTTCGGTTGAAAGGCCGGGAAATGATACCCAACTTCTTTTACGCAATGACGGAGATCACGTCGATACATGATGCAGGGGGCTGGACACTCCCAATCTGAAGTAGTTCAAATTAAAGGCCGCAGTGGTAGGGCAGTTGGAAAGTCTGTGGCATTCTATGTGGAGAAGATGTGGCCCTGCCGACAATGACTGACGAGCTGAATGCGCTCCCCAGCACACAAATGCAGGTCATCAGGTCGAGTTTCTGGCAAGTGTATTGCATTATTGATTCATTTGCCTGCTCTTCTGTACATCGTCCACGGTCCACAATGAAGTAGGTATATATGCGCAGCACTGTCAAAAACCACAACGACAAAGTTTCCTCCACCCACGAGGGTTTACACCCGGCAGCTTTGAGCCTGGGCAGCTGTCTATACGACCTCGAACCTGGCCATGAAATAAACAGACATATACAGAACGCTTCAACGGCCGACTCGCCATGTTCTTAGTACTGTTCTTGAACCTCCTCCGCTCTCTCTCATCTTCCCAGCTATTATCGGACTCCTATTCCGAGTTGCCCAACACCTGCAACGCTTGCACCAGCGGCACGACCTTCAGACTCCTCATCCTCTTCAGAGGCGAATGTTGTCTGCTCGTGACTCCACCACCAGACGATGGTGTCGGCATCTTGGTCGGGCTCAAATCGTCTTTCCACTTCCGGAAGCAGCTCCTCAGATCCCGTGGTATGCCCTCCATTACGACGGTGGAAACCGGCACAAATGGCCTGTCCTCCATGCCGGCGGCAAGTATGGCGTACTCCTGAGCAAAGTCCAGGGCGTTGCGGAAGGAACCATACTGAGCTTGTGTATAACGCCCAACTATGACGTACATCTCGAAGAAGGCGTCGAGGACATAGATTCTGTCCGGGGACAGGTCCATCTGGCTGAAGGGGTTGACCTCGACGACCTGGTGGCTGTTAGTACAAGTGGCGCAGTGGGCGGCGCAATCGATCAACGCACCTGATTTTGAGCGGCTGAATCCGAGCAGAACAACCTTGAGCAGTACTTCTCGTAACTCGGCTTCAGCCTCCAGTGATCCGCAGAGCTCAATGTCGCTCTTCTGTCGCCACCGAAAAAGTCCCAGAAGTTTTCTGGCTCTTGCCCCTCCTCCATCTCGATGAGCTCGCCCATCAGCGCAAGGTCCATCCCTATCAGCCTTGCGCAGCTCAGCTCGTCGACACCAGCCCCCTTTCCTTTCCACAGGTAACACTTCCCTTGCTGCGTGATAAGATAAGGGAACCCAGAGCAAAGTATGGACGAAGAGAAGTCGACCTCGTCAAAGACGATCTGGCCCATGTACTGCCGGCCACAGAGTATGTTGGACGCGAGCGAGTCATACTTGTTGCTCGAGCCGCGCCGGACGATGGCAATACCGCCGAGGGCTTGGATAAATTCGGCCGTCTCCTTTCCCTGACGCATTTTGATCAAGGTGCCGCCCATAGATCGTGCTTCCCTGTTCACAAATACCTGGGCATCCTCTACGGCAGATGGGGCAACCTCGTCACCAGCCCAGAAGTACACTTCTGATATCCTCTTCCGTGCCTCGTTGGTGAAAGTGTGCGAACAGATGTACATCTCGCGTTCAAACAGTACGCGCTCGTGATGGGTTGGCACAGGGATCTTTTTGCCCTGCTCCGTGACTTGGAAGAGCTCTGTTTTGTGGGTTTGCACCCTTGAGCCCCCTTTAGGCCGATTCATCAAGAGCTCGGCGGCATCAACACGGTAGTCCCGTTTCGGCCGCCCGTGACCGAAGAAACCGTTGATCATGGCAGACACATCTCCCGCGCTCTTCGATGGAGATCTTGTGGGTGTTCCCAAGGGAGAGGCATGAGCCGACGTGCTTGAAGCTGCGGGAGCATCTCGCGTTGCTTGAGTCTTGGTAGGTGATCTAGGACGCAAAGTCAAAGGCTCCGGTAAGGGCTTCTCGGCCTGGGCTTGCGACTTCTTCGGGGTGACAGGTTCACCAACTACAGGTGCCTCATTGGTCGTCGGGGCAGCTGGTTGGGTTTCGCGCTTCTCGGGCTCCGAAGGTAGCTTTCGCGGTGATGATGGTGTCCCAAAGGTCCTCTTCAGTGGGGAAGGCGACCTGGCCGGTTCCGGCTCAGTCTTGGGTGACGGCGGCCCCGACTCATCCAGGAATCTGGACATTCTCTTCATATCTAGTTTCCTTGGAGACGAGGGCTGGACATCGTCCTTCTTCTCCTCGTTTACCTGTGGTTTTGGAGAAAAGGCAGAGACCTGCTCGTGAATTCTCTTAGGAGAAGCGGGACTGGAGGTCCGTGGCTGCGATGAGTCTACCAATGCGATTCTCGTTCCTGCAGACATCGGTCTCTGCTCGGCAAATCTCTTCTTTGATGAATCAACCAGGGATATCACGCCGCTGTTACGCGTGTTTTCGTTTGCTGCTGTGCCATTGTGACGTTGAATAGGCGACACGACGGGAGATTTGACAGAAAACTTTGGCGACGTTGTGTCAACTTTCGGTCCCTGTACTGGCGAAGGCTGCACCGGACTCGCAGCCTTTTCCTCCTTCTCCAGAGGCTCTTTGCTCTGGGGAGGTATCTCCGGAACGGCAGCTGCCTCTGGGGTCTTTGGTCTGGCCATCGCCTCCGGAACAGGTGCCGCCTCCGGAACAGGTGCCGCCTCCGGAACAGGTGCCGCCTCTGGAACGGGTGCCGCCTCTGGGGTGGCTGCTTCTTCCGGGACAGCTACCGCCTCTGGCTTGGCAGGTGTGTCTTTCTTATCTGCTGGCGCGGGCGTATTCACCGCTTCCGATTCAGCAGTTCCGACTGGTCTGCTCGCCGAGGTTGGGGCTTTTCTCCGTGGCCCACGGGCCCGACCCTTGGTCATATGCTCCAGCTTGGGCCCAGGGCCCGGCTCGGTCCCAGTAGAGCCGCCCGCACTTGAAGAAGCACCAGAAGCACCAGGAGGTTTGGCTCCCGGGCCGCCCATACCGGGGGGTCCGCGAGCTAGCAATCCGGCTAAGGCAGGGTTGAATCGATTCGCTAGGGAATTGCCACTGTCACCGAATTTGTTCTGGAGTCGACCAGGTGTGCTTACCTCCGGCTTGCTTGGTGACGGCGTTTCGTCCTTGTTCTCGGCCTTGGCTGGGGCTGCGTCGACATTGCTCTCCCGAGGCGAAGTCACTGAGATCACACTTGATCTCGTCGACTCAAATGGTTTCGCAGGCGCCTCAATCGGAGACTTGGCAGCTGAGGTGTCCCGTGAGTGAGATACGAACGGAGTAGAGCCAGAACGTGTGATTGTGGCTCGTCTGGCCAGTCCTTCTGGGAGGGGCTTCTCCTCTGGTGGCTTGTCGTTGGTCTTGATACCCTGGCCCTGCTCTTTGGCCTGCTGAAAATCTGCTTTCTTCTTCAAAATCGCGTCCTTGAATTCGTCCTTCTTTTCGTAAGGTCGCGGCCCACCAGTCACATTCAGGGCAGCCTTGCCCCTCGTGATGTTGTCTTTCAAGACATCCGGAGCGCGGTAATTCTGTGTCTTCGTTTTCCGCAGCTGACCAAAAACATTTGCCAGTTCATTGACCGGCTCCTTGTCGCTATCTCTGCCAACAGTGGCACCTCTAGGCCGTGACCCGGCCTTGTCGGGTTCCTTTTCGACATCTTTGCCCACCGTGAAGCCTCTGGGCCGTAGACCAGCCCGGAAGTCCATCTGCGGTGAGGCCTCAGGTTTGTCCTTGGCAACAGGGCTGATGACGGAGCCTCGTCGACCCAGGTCCTCTGCTCCGGACCCAGCCTTGTCGCTAGCAGGACTGACCCTCGTGTTACTATCACGCCTCGACATACTAGTGCGAAGACCTGGAGTCAAGGGCTTGTCTCCCCCGAGGTTTGGTGAGGGTAGACCGGTGAGGCCTGGGGGCTTGACAGCTGTGCCAGGCGGCGCCGGCCGTACGAGACCGCCGGTCTTCACCTCATGCTTCTTGACAGTGGTGCCAGATCTGCCAAGGTCGACGCTAGAATTCTTGGCCTTCTCCGCTTTCGCCCTGTTTAATTCCACCATCCAGGCGGGCTGGTTGCTCGGGGGGGCTGCGGGCTTGGGTTTTGGTGACTCGGGCTTGTTCAGAGCGGCATCGAGCCAGGAGCCCTTCGTTGGACTCCACCGCCTTGGGTCCATGGTCTTCGAGGGGCTCGTTGGGGGTGTGTCGTCAACAGGAGGCTCGAGCTTGGATGGCGCGGGCGCGTCGTCCTCGGGGGACGTTGCGCCAGACGTCGTAGAGGCCAGGTCCTTGCCATGGCTTGATGTCGGCCGTGAAACGCTGTCCCTAGATCTGCTGACAGGTCGCGAGAGAGCCTCTGGACCTGGGCTCGTGGCGAGGGTCTTACCGTCAAGACTATTGCGGTTCGAAGAGTTCCCACGCTGGAGACCCGGGGTCGTGACGCTCCATCTCTTGACGCTGTCCGTACGCTTCATCATAGCACTCTGGACGAAGCCGCCCATTCCTTTTGTTGGGGATGCTGGTCGCGTTGGCGAGGTCTGGCCTGACGAGGTCCCATCCCTGCCTGCCTGGATATCTGCAGGAGGGCCCAGCTTCACCGCATCAGTTGTCAGCAATGGAGAACCAAGCCTGCCCAGGCTAGCTTGTGAGAGTGGGCGCTCTCGGGCTGGCTCCTTGTCGGGCTGGGGAGAGTTGGCCTGCGACATGCCAGGCAGTTGAGAGCGGGAAGCGGCTACGTCTACAGTGTCGTCGTCTTCGACCTGGTTCTTTCGATATGCAGCAGAGGTCGCACCTCGGTCAGCAGTCTGACGGAACCACGCAGGGTCTTTGGAAGCCAAAGCCTGTGAGATCTGGTCACGAGAGGGCGTTTGGGTAGGAGAGGCCGCATCTGCAGGAGGAGTGCTTGTTCGTGCGGCGGCGTTCTCCGCCGCAACCATGGACAGCGGCCTCGACCTGGGGCGATCTGGACCTTGGGACGGAGGTCTTCGCTGCCAGGACAGAGTAGGTGTCCTGGTCGGCACGCCACTAGATGGTGGGGAGGTGTATGATGCACTGAGTCGGTTGGGCTCGAGGTCGAGAACCGTCTCCTTTGTAGGAGAGACGGCACGTGGTGAGGGCAGGTCCATTGGGTCAGCAGATGATGATGGCGGAGGAGCGCCAATCTGGCTCTGTAGCCTGGCAGAGAGGTCTGGGATGGGAGACGACGGGTCCGCCGGCTGAGGTGTCGAGTCTCTGTGGCGCGCTGACGGCGGTGGGGTGTTGGCTGGTGATGACTTTTGCGGGGATATGGATCGGGCACGCTCTAGACATTTCACAAAAAACAAATGTCAACCATTGCCCATCACCACCCCTCCCCGGGCCAGCATATGATACAGCGAGCACCCTTTGGGCACGGCCCACGGCTGGCAAACCCGAGGCGCAAGCAAGGTCGGGACGGCTTACCTTCGCGGCGAGCCTGGCGCTCCTTTCTCTGCTGCAGCAGCTTCTCTTCAAGCTCCCTGGAGCGGGCGTCGTCCTCCTCGTGTCGTCCGTGGTTCAATTGCTCTACTGATCGCAGGAAGTTGGAGACCTCGTCTGACATTGTTGGGACGGGATCGTGGGGTTGTTTGGAGGGCTAAGGTTCGATTGGCTGCCGGCGACATTGGCACGACACGGGCAAACACGAGAACGCGAGCTGGGCAAAGGGCCGTCAGGTGCGCTCAGACAAGCTGTAAACAAGGGAGTCGACCGTTGTGTATCCTTGACGACTAGCACAAAAAGTACATGGCAGTGGCAGTGGCAGTGGCAGTTGCAGTGGGCGCGGGCATGTGTCCAAGGCTGTCCAAGGTTCAGTCCGGTCTTGCAAATGTCTTATGTGCAAGAAGAGAATGGTCCGGGACCTACATTAGCGTGCCAGTTGGAAGCCGAGGGTGGGCGTTCTGTTCCTTTTGCAGGCTGGCGGGCTGCCCAACCAGGAACCAGATGGGAGTCGAGCTGGGCGCAGCTTCAAGGATGCTGGGAGGTGACGGATTGCGGCACTGCAGCAGCACATGTGCGTCAAACATCCATAGCCACGGGCCCAACAATAAATAACAACACCACCACCACCACCACCACCTGGCAAGTGCTTAGGTACCTACCAGCCTTCCGACCTACCTCAGATACTCCAGCACCTGGGCAGGCAGGGCAGGCCGGCATGTCGGGCAGCACATATTGTGGGCATATTCCCACTATTTCCAAGAGCAACACCCCACCAGACACCACTTTCCACCAGCTACCAGCCAGGGGCCCGCCGCCGCTGACGCGCTAGGCCGGCCTGCCAGCCTGCAACCCGTTCTCCAACCTCCAAACGTCGCTGGCTGACATCCTGGGCCGGCTGTTTCGCTCGCCCAGCAGGGAAGAAGCAGTCAGTCCCTGTCGGGATGTTTCAATCGGGGCACAGCAAGCTGCACGAAATAGAGCGGTAGGATGAAACTGTTTCTTTTCGGTGGCTACGTGTTGCTGTGGCCACGTCGCAGATATAGTGTCAGTGTGTGTGTGTGTGCTGCCCCCCAGGCCCCCCCGAAGGATGGGCCACACGGCCTGGGCCGGCCAAGCTAAAATGTGCTGTCGGGCCCTCACCTGTCCCTTGCTGTCCCCAAGAGCGGTGATGGTCGGGCAGTCTTCTCCTTCGGGCGCGCCCATACCCACAACACTGTCAATAGAGAAATAGCCTCGCCTTTGCGTCCTCGACGACCCACGCTAAGCCCTCCTTTAGGTTCTCCCCAGTCATGGCGCTACACCGCAATATCCTCCACTGGTGTGTCTGGATATTCCTTAGCCTCAACGCCTCCTCCATCTCTTCTCCCGCCATGCATCCCTGAACGTCCGTTTTGTTTGCAAACACCAGGAGGGATGCTCCAGATAGTCTCTGCTCCCGCCGAGTCAGCAGGGCTCCGTTTATTTTCTGCCGTGGGGGTGGGGGCCGGCCGACGTACCTCCTCCTGTAACAACCCGTGCAGTTCCGTCCTGCAGTCCTCGATCCTCAGCCGGTCTGTGGCATCAACCACCCAGATGAGGACGTCGGTCTTTTCAAAGTAGTTCCGCCAGTAAGATCTGAGCGTCTTCTGGCCTCCGACGTCCCATATGTTCAGCTTGTACCCTTCATAGTCGATGGTCTTGATGATGAAGCCCAAAGTTGGGCTGACCGTGTTCACGTCCTCTCCCATGATCCGCTTGACTATGGTCGTCTTGCCTGCATTGTCCAGTCCGCTGTCAGGGTGTTAGCACATCTGTCTGGACTCTGGTCCTCGTGATCGAGGACTCACAGCATCAGCACCCTCAGCTCCTTATCCTTCAGCCTTGCTTTCCTCAGTATCGAAAGCATTTTTGTCTTCTTTGCGTGTTGCGTGAGGCGGGATGCTCCAATATCAAGTGCTCGATCCTTACGGCTTCGAGAGTTTCAGCGCCGATGTCTTCATTGAGCATGGGCGGTGGATTACCTAATCAACGACCCCATCAACGACCCCTTTTTTTGACCTCAAGTGGCTGTGATGTTGCGCAGGAGATCTCCTAGCACACAACGAATGGCAAAGGATAATTGCACGGAGTGTCTTTGGATCGAAAAGATGCGCAGATGCGTGCCACCGAGGCATGAACCAAGCACTCCTGCTGCTCTCGTCCCTCCGAGCCGATTTGATGGAGGCCACTGGCAGATGCTGTGCTTGTGCTGGAGGCCACGTTTGTTGGACGCGTACCATGGCCAAATGGCTCGCACGACACGGTGATAGCTGCTCAACACTTGGGGGATTGAGGAGTGGCTCTCTTTCCGGACGAAGCAGAACCAGCCCAAAGACTCGTGGAAGCAAGGACGGAAACAGCTGGCAGCAGAGGCTGGCTCACCAGTGACTAGGTAGGCAGACACATGGAAGTCGAGTAAAGAACCGCCACTTTCAAATCTCTTGTCGGAGAGAGCTCGATGGTCTGTGAGCATTGCTATGGGTTCTCGTCATGTGTGTACTTAAGCAGACATTGATGGCACGGATTTCAGTTCAGGCTTTATTTAGCACTGCTGCAATGTGGCCGTCAGGCAATTCATATCTGATATCACTTGCACGCCCAGTGTTGCCCATCTCCTGCCTACCTAGGTAGCTGCGTTGATTCTGTTTTGCAAACAAACCATTACCAGGCTCGCAATTTTCCAGCGCCTGGAGACGACTCCCACCTACCATCCACTTTCCATCTCTCGGGCGAAGGAGCCACTCGTGAGTGTTCCCTCCCCATCCTGCCCACCATCACATTCTCTGCACACTTGTGCGGTCCAGGTGTCTTCTCGCCTCGGTTTCTGAGCTTATCCTGGCCCCCCTCCGTTTGCCCATCTCGCAACGCGTTCTGTTTGTTGCCCTCTGCAGCAGCAATCTCTTCCCTCACCCTCTCACCTGTACGCAATCAAGGTACCTTCCTGGATTGCACCTTCTCTCTCCCGCCCTGGTTTCCTTGCGAACCGTGCACTTGATTATCACCACGCTCTTGCCTAATATCTGCACTGCGGGTAGTTTGGCATCACGTCATCGGCGCAAGTCCCCAGGGCCGTGACTTCACCCTTGAGCACTTGCCTCAAGCGACTGTCGAGCTCAACTCGGGCTCACACAAAACACCTGTATCTCGCAGTTGCCAAACCAGACTCAACAAAACACACCTGGGCAGGTCCGTTCATCGTTTCTGTGGCTGCTGCAACTGCAATTTTGACCCACTAACAACTGAACTGTGATCAGTTCACATAGCCAACCAACATGGCGCCTCCCGAAAATCACACCTGGGGTGCTCATAACGTGCAGCCAGGCGCCCCTCTAAGCAACGTGGACGAGAACGCCAAAATCTTTCAGCAGTATCTGAACGACACGGCGCCTGTGTCTCAAAAGGTGAACAAGAAGTGTGCGACACACCCACAGGTCGAAGGTGGTCTGCCACCTCACCTCTTGAACAAGCAAGAGGAGACGCACGATCGCGATCCTCCTGACACTCGCGGAGCCACCGTCAGTATTTTGAACCAAGTCCTTTCGATGGTATTTAGCTGCACGATGTACTGACCCGCTCCAGATCCCTGACAGTCGTTCTCATGGACGCGTTTCTGATCGCCAGCCCATCGAGTCTTCTTGGTCACCGCGGCCAGTTGCGGGCCACGGAAGGGATCACTCCGCCCCGGTCAATCTGCCACAGTGGGAAGACAATTCACGCGCACAGCAGATGGTGACCCCCGACCGCAAGTTCAACACAACCGCTTATGGCCAACCGAGAGCGACACCTACTCCAGTTGAGAATCCGAACAGCTCTTTTCATCCTGCTTTACAGGTGGCTCTCGCTAAGCAGACACACATTCGCAAAGTTCCTACACCGGTCGCGAATCCCAATGATGCCTGGGTCGATGTCTATCGCAGTGGCAGAGGCGTCCGCCCAATGAAGAAGCTGCCCCAAGGAAGAAAGCAGTCAGGTCACCATGGTCCCGATTCCCACAAAGACAACTCGCGACCAAAGCAGAGTTCCCCTTGGGGCTCTCAGTCGCTGCCGGGTTCGGACACGTCTGTCAAATTCGGCAGTAACAGTACCAACCTTTCCTTTCAATCCGATCACTCCAATGGAGGTGCTCCATCTCGAGACGCCCGCGGAAGCATCGCCGACGAGCTTGATATCATCCCTAAGGCTGATGGCACAGGATGGGTGAACAAGAATTACTGGAAACAACAGGACTACGATGATGAAAGCGACAATGATAGCTCGCAGGATTCTTTTGAGAAGGGCTGGCATTGGTCCTACTGCCGTGATTGGGTGCGAAGCCTTCCAGAACGACCCCCGCCTCTGGTTGCGATCCCATGTGGTGATGCTGAGACGCACTGGGAATGCGATATCAACACAAAGAACGGTGAATTTTTGCAGCCTATCGAATATCCGCAGACCACAGTCAACGCAGAGGACCCTGGCAGTCGACAGGAGTTGTGTCGGCGCTTGACGAGCACTGCTGAACTCAAGATTACCGTTGAGGGTGAAAAGTTGCGGAAGCGTATAAAGCTGCGGGAGCAAAGAGAAAAGGCGCGAGGCATAAGTCCGCATGGACCGGGATGGAGACGTGTAACCTCATCCACGCCGATGGACGGTTCCAATGCGCCGGATCGATCGCTTCATCGAACTGAACAGCCACCTATTCAAAAGACCGCGGCGCTTGTTGAACAGCGGCACGTAGACCCCCGGCAGCCACAGGTCGCCTGCTACCTTCGTCCTGTCGAGCGAAACGATCTGCCACAGATTCTCAACATCTACAACTTGGAAGTGGAGCATGGACGCCAGGCGTTGGATGCCCAGCCTTTGACCCTTCGAGACATACAGCGCCTGTCCGCAGACTGCGATGCAGCTGGTACGCCTCTCATTGTCGCCGTGGACGACTCATCTCCAGTGGAATCTACATTCCATGGAAAAGAGTCTGCGCTTGTGCGTAATCGCGGGCCCAACCAGCAAGGTGGGTGGTCACGCACTCGTGCGAACAACCAGGCCACGCCATCGACCGCACGAAAGCCTGCCAAAATTTTGGCATTTGGCTTAATCACTCTGCCGTCGGCAGGTTTGGCCGGCAAGATGAACCAGAGTGTCAGCCGCTTCAACGGAAGAATCCACATTTATGTCGAGCCTCGGAGCCGCCGACTAGGGGTTGGCCGTTGCATATTGCACAGACTGTTACACTGCTGCTCGAGACGCTCGCAGTTCGGAAATTGGTACCAGTGGTCTGACCCGAACGATTCCAGGGCTTGTGCTGAAGCTGGCTACAACATTCGCAAATATTCGCGCGTCTTTGTGGAATTCGCCTCGGTCAAGGGTGATCCAGACTTCAATTGGCGCAAGAAGCTGCTCCAGGAATTCAATTTCATCTATGTGAGCACCACAGACCAGACTCGCAAGGTCACCAATGGGGAATGGTTCGACACCGCTGTCTGGCAACACGACTGTGGTGAACCTGGCGATGTTCATGAGTACAATTAAAACAAGAGGATGTCTGCTGGGCCCTCAGAACCGCCTGCCAATGTCATATCAAAGATCTATAGCAAGGATCACCGTGATACAGGCGTGTGTCATGTGTGCTGTGAACCGGCGGGATCGGGCTGGACCATGGATGCTCAGCTACGATGGCTGACTTTTGCAGTCGAGACTTTGATTGTCAGCTCGTGGTATTCAAAGCATGTCTCCAACCACAGAGACAGCTCACAGACACCACGAATGCTGTGGACATCCCCAAACAGAGCACATCACATGGTACCGGTCATGGCAGAACATTCGACGTTCGAAAAGAGGGACGCTGCGGACGGCTCAAGGCCGCCTTGAATTTGGTGGTGCAATGGAGCATGGAAAAAAGATTGCGTTGAAGAAAAATGACGGAGAAAACCGGAAGCGCCAGCACTTCGACGCCTTGGGCCTTGTATCATTCTGTCTCTTTTGTTCAGTTCTTGTCAGCTGGGCCGTTGCGACTCAGCCTGCGGACGTGTTCGTCTGCAATCCTGAAGTGCTCCTCACTTTCCTCCTGGAAAAACTGATAGACAGTGTGGCATGGAACGGGAGGCATACAAAAAGTTTGGTTTTACACACAAAAAAAAAGGAGGGGAAGTCGGAGCGTACCCTGGTTGCTTCTTGTGTGGGATTTGGCAGATCATGACTGTGGTAGCCCACTAGTCCCATTTCTGATGAAGTGTCAGGAGGAGATTGATAGTTGTAAAAATTGACCAGAAATTTGGCTTCATGTTCACAACGCTCCTTTGCACAGCCTGTTGGAGATGAACAGTTGTTGTTGTCTTGGCTCAGCGTGGGACTGTGCACTCGTAGTGTAGTAGTTATTGCTATTGACCAGCGATTGTTGCCCTGACGAGTATCAACGTGACAGAGAGCCCGACCCCTGTTTGCTTGCAGTGTGTAACAGTGATGGGAATAACTCAACCTAGCCGTCCTCCGTGTGGAATGTATCAATCACATGCCTGGCCATATTATACAGTGGCGAGATCATAGAACAACAAGTGAAAGCACACCCTGGCCATCGCAATCAGCACACCCTCATACCGCACAGCTCCACGCCCTTGCCCTCCACCTTTGCCTCGCGGCCAAAATACATGTCCGTCACCTGCCCCACAAACTCCGCGTCCGCACTGCTCCAGACGTCCAGGCCCATGGCGGCCAGCGCGTCGCTGTCCACCCGCACCTGGGGCCGGGGCACCTCCTCACTGTCGCTCCTGACGCCCCCGGGCAACAGGGTTTCCGAGTGTTCCCCGGCGCCGCCGGCCCCTTCCCCGCCGTCGCGAGTCTGCGGCCGGGACTCGATGTCCGTCTCGTCGTAGTCCTCCGCGGCCTCGACCACCTCGGCCAGCGTGGAGAGGATCCCGGTCGTCAGCCGGTGGAAGTACGTGATGATGGCCAGCTCTGTCCTGGCCCTCTCCTCCTCATTTTCGTCGGCCGCGCCAAGGGACGGGGATGCGCCCTCTGTCCCGGGCGTCCTCCGCGCCGTCAGCGACGTGACCGAGTCACCCAGGCCCCCGCCCTCTTGGACCGCGGTCACGTTGAAGCTGCCGCTCGGCCTCCGCTGGCCTGATGACTCGCGCGGCGGGTGCATCGACGGCGCGGGCAGGAGGTCTGCGATGAGGGAGTTGTCGTAGGCCTGCTCCTCTGCCTCATCGGAGCGGTGCTGCTCGCCCGCGCTGGCCCACCACATGAAGCTGCTGTAGGCGAGGGCGGCCCACGTCATCGGCTCGACGATCGTGTCTGATGCGTCGGCGAGCACGTGGGCGTCCTCGCCCTCGGGGAAGAAACTTGTCGTCTTGATGCTAGACATCGACATGCGAGACCGCCGGTTGGACAGATTACTTGGTCGCCGTGGTTCGGTGCCGTTGGATGGGGCCTCCTCGTCTTCCTCGACGACGGCAGAGGTCGCAGCTAGGCGCCTGAGCCCGGCCTTCAGGGTTCGGAAGCGCCTCAGGTCACGCTGAGTGGCCTTTATGGCGGCGCCCTTGCGCGACTCAACCGTCGGCCAGACCTTCTCCTTGGCGTTCGCTGTATGTGATGGGGGCATGGTGATCAGCACGTCCCAGAGGTCCTCCTTCATCGCCAGGATGCTGTCAGTGGTGCACGCAATCCAGCCAGAGCCGGAGTCGCCCCCTAGGATACCGGGCTGCTGCGTAGGGGCTGGGCCGGGGCGCTTCGTTGCGCCGTCTGCCAGGAGGAACGGTATATCATGCACGCCAATGGTGAACAGGGGGCGCAGCCTCTGGGTTGGGGCGGCAGGGTCGAGAATGTCAGATACAGAATGGGGTATGTTTGCTAGGATTGAAATGTCATATACTACAAGAGAATTAGCGCTCCGCTGACCGAGCCACCCATTGTATGGAGCGCACACGTACCAAAATTACATGCCTCATGTACTGGGGCGTGAGTCGATATCAAGATGCGCTTGCGCAGCAATGCCGCACGCTGGATGGGGAAGATCAAGGGCCCGAAGGTATCCAGCAACCTGTTCAGGCTCCAGGCAGGGTGGAAGGGCGAGAGCCTATGCCCCGGAGGCAGCAAGGCAGCCCCTTCCGATGCGGACCTGTTTCTGGCGTGCCCATCAGCCTTGGCGTATGGGCGCGGCTTCACGAAGCTCAGGGCGGGGGAGTTCAGGGGCGAGTCTGCGACTGGCGCCGGGGTTTGCCCGCTGGTGTCCCGCGTCCCACACTGCTCCCAGTACTCAACCAGCATCTGTGTCTGTTTGCGGTCGGCAGCGAGCTTGACGGCCATGTCCTTGAGCCCCTGGGCGTGCCTCCACGCCCTGCCGAGCCTGCCATAACTCAGGGGCACCAGCACCCCGACGGCGATCATGCGCGCGTGGCGGGACTCCTCCTCGTCGGTGGGTGCATTGATGAAGGCGCTGAGGCCTGCGTAGCCGTCCTCGTGGACAAAGTATATCAGGTCGTCGGGCACGGTATGCAGGCCAGAGGGGAGGCTCTTGTACTCGACGACGCCCTCCAGCTCCAGGCCAGGAACAGCCTCCTTCCATATTATCGTGTATCCGGCCTTGACGTCGAAGTCGATGAGGAACAGGGCAGAGATGGGGGGCAGCTCCGGCAGCAGCATGCCGGGGCCGGCTCTGGATGAGGGCGCGGTGGAGAAGGACGGCACAGCCCGTCGGTTGGCCATGTTGGCCATGTTGGCATCGCAGGCTTGAAAGGGGTGGGCGGGCCTTTACGTCGTCGACTGGATCATGTTTGGGAGACGCGTGTTGATGCCAAGAGCCATCAAGTCAATGAATGCCCTTGCCGTCGCGACCAGGTGCCTTGTTGTGAGTTGGGGGTGGTCTCACAATGCACAGCTCGGTGACAGCTAAGGCACCCGGAGGGACTCGACGTTCAGATAAGGTTCAGAGCTGCTGGATTGGCCTATCACGTGTTATAGAGGCGGCCGACCCGGCCCCGATGCGTCCCAGTCCCAACTCCTCAACTCGTTTGCGACGCTGCCGAGCTCTGCATGCGTCCAGGAACGTGCCCATATTGGATCTTCCTCTTCTATCAAGCGTGCGACAGCATCTGTGTTTACTTTGGTGCCGTCATGCTGGTCTGCAGCGAGGACGCAAGCACGTGCGGCAGGGGAAATATACACGGGTACGGTACATGGCACCATCATGTTCCGACAGGCCTGGAAGCTCAGCAGTTGGCCCATGCCTATGCCTGGTCAAGGTTTAGTGGCCACGCGGGACGGCCACAGGCCACAGGGGAATCGCCCAACAAACCGGCAGCGCTACGTAGCTGGTACTTTTAGAAAGGCACGCGCACCTCGGCAACCTGTCATCTCGGACCAGCATGCTTGCTGCAGGACAAATTTTGGTGGGGTCACGCTGCCCACCCACCGCCTTTCTCGCCCACCCGCGGGCACTCTAGGCCTGGGCTCACTTATTATTGTTGCTGGTGAGAAGGCATTTCCAGCTTCTTCCTCCCAAAGACTGTGCACGCCCCTCGCCTGGACACCCGACACTGCAGGCCACCACCTCCCTCTTGCTACGAGGATACACTTCTCGAGCATCTCGTCTTGGGGTTGCGCCAACTTCAAATTCCTTTCCTCTGCTGATGGTCGCAACTCGGGAAGCCGTCGCATACCTTTGATCAAGAACAAACCAAACAGCCACAGGCAGCCAGAGATCAGGTCGAGTATGTCTATGCTGCCCACATGCTTGCCGGGTTGGATCATGTACGCAAGGCGCCTCGGGTCTTCTGCCTGCTGACCTTTTCTCCTACATAGCAGCCAAATCTCAGCCTCTATCCCCATCTCTCCACCGACCAACCGACTCTCGACCATGTCCTTCTCGACCTACCTGGGGTATTTCCTGGGAGGCTATACCGCCCTGACGACCTTCTTCTACGTTCTCTCCCCGATGTCGTCCAAGTCAGGCTTTGTGGCGCGGTGCCTCGCCTCCTACATCTCCCTGGTCGTAGCCGCACTCTACGGCGCCGTCGTCTCCATCGCCCTCAGCTGCGTCGGCCAGCGTCAGATCGCGCAATGGACCACCGGCCGCGTGTTCAAATACGCCATGGCCGCTACAACCGGCGTCACCTTCGAGGTCATCGACCCCAAGGGCCACCTGGACAAGGTCAGGCCCGCCGTCTTCGTCGGCAACCACCAGACAGAGCTCGACGTCCTCATGCTCGGCTGCATGTTTCCAAAGTACTGCAGCGTGACCGCCAAGTCCAGCCTGAAGAGGCTTCCCTTCCTGGGCTGGTTCATGACCCTTAGCGGCTCGGTCTTCATCGACCGCAAGAACAGCAAGGATGCGCGCGCGGCCATGAGCGGCGCCGCAGAGCAGATAAAGACTCTGAGACAGAGCGTGTACATGTTCCCCGAGGGCACCAGGAGCTACGCCAAGGAGCCCATGCTGCTGCCCTTCAAGAAGGGCGCTTTCCATCTTGCCGTCCAGGCCCAGGTCCCCATCGTGCCGGTTGTTGCGGCCAACTACAGCGACACGCTGTATATCAAGGGAATGGTCTTCAAGTCCGGCAAGATCCCCTGCAAGGGTGGGTTTCCTTCCCCTTGGATGTGTGCGCACGTGGAGAACTGACACTTTCTGGTAGTGCTCGAACCAATCCCCACGGCAGGGCTGACCCCGGCAGACGTGGACGACTTGTGCAGCAAGACCCGGGAGCTCATGCTCAAGGAGATTATCAACCTCACATATCAAAGCCGTGGCCAGGAAGCCCCCATCGAAGCGTCAACTGTCAAGGCCAGCGGGGTTGACTTGAAGCAATGAGGGGCAGATCGGCCCCTGCCACGAGAATCAACACAGCCCACGTAGCGCCCAGGCGCAGCTAGTGGATGGCATGAAGCGCCGGAATCGCGCCGCGAGCATGGGACAGGAGGGGGCCAGGGAGGGGGATTCAAGGGCGGGCAGGCGGCGGCAACATTCTGGTTGCACAACCGTCGCTCCCCTGACATCGCCAGACGCGCACTGCCGCGAGAGACACGGGCAGTCGACAACGAGAGACAAGCTGGAAGCATTTGATACCCGCGATAGACGCATCCTTAGAACGGCGCGTTGATACAAGAGTGGCCGAAGGCCCTATACTACTTACTGGTTGCTCATGACTAGATTCAGAACAGACCTGTTTGTATACCAGATATCCTTGAAAGAAAGTTCGCCACCTCTCATGCCCCTGAATACCTACGGTCAGCGTTGTGAACACCCGAGCCAGGAATTGGACTCACCATATCTTCCATTCACAGCTAGGAATGAGATATGAGGAGACGCAAGTGGATTCGTGCATTTATTCTAGACAGTCAAAACTCAAACCTGCACCTCACTTACTCGCAAGTCTCTGCGCCAAAATGCTTTTCAGCACTTCCTTTATATTCACCACCACCACCAAGCCGGAGAGGAGCCAATAAGTAGCCCTGCAGGGCCAGGTGCCGGATCTGGCGGCGCATGCAATCATGTGCATACCCAACGCTGCGGTATGACGTCCGCATAATTCTGGCTTGGCGGCATTTTCATGTGATTGCCGACTTCGTGTGCTGCGTTCTACAAGCAACGTGCTAGAAGCCGCTGCCTTGCTCCCGTACTCTCGTGAGCAGTCAAGTTCATGCCGGCGTCTTGATCAACAGAACTGATGCTAGCCGCAGCTGAGTTGCCTGGTGGCTAACCTCCAATGTACTTGAAGACTTCTTCACGCAAGCGTTTCTGCCACACAATGAGCTCCAAAGTCCAAACGTGCACAATTCTGAAGAAGCCTCACTACTTTTATAAGAAGCTTTAAGCAATGATCCTTAGTAGAAAACAATTCGTCGTACGGGCCACGGTACGCCAAGCGACAGAAAACCGTCTTGGGCCCAGAGGCTCTGTATCCATTCTCGTATGCATAACTCCGCACAAGAGGTTGCCCAGTAAACAAAGTGGTGCTTGACGCCTGAGGCCCGCCTATATGCCGTTATGTGTATATGCTTGATTGTTGTGCTTGAGGCTTTGTGCCCACTACTGTTTGCCGCCGTCTTCTTATTGACCATGATTGCTGAAGTGACAAACGCATCTCGCGTTGTCAGTCTGTTGGCCGCACCACCGGTCACCGGTAACATCCCTTCCCGCATTCACCCAGGGCGATGCCTCACACGGTGAAGTGAGTTGGAGGTCGAATTGATAATAGCAGCGGTTTTGTGCTCAACTTCTGCAACTCAATCTCGACCTCGAGGTCTGACAAGCAACACAGAGATCCAGCACACACATTGTCCTTGCCGTCGTTCTAGCAGCTATACACCGTTGCAGCCCTCATCAGCATCTCTTTTCAAGATTAGCTCTTGCCAGCAGCAACGATGAACTTCCTCCTCAGCCTTGCGGTCCTCATTCTGGCAGCTATCTCGGAGGGATGTCCTATCGAGAAGCCCCAGTTGACTGGTGGTGTGAGTCCTGGGCTAACCAGCTAATCCTTCACGACAGGGTGCCATGGAGACCAAACTGACACTGCTGTTCCCGCCAGATACGAATTTGCACCGGCCCATTCGCCACCGGCGTCTGCACAGAGGAGCAGTACCAGCTGGATACTTGCTACAACCTGACCGGCGAGTTCGTGCGCAACACGGTCACTTTTGTGCCAGACAGTAAGCGCTGCCATATTCTGGAAACCCTCCCTGTGTATAACGCCTTGGAGCTCTCAGTAGTGACTGACAAGCACCAGACGACAAGTTTTATTGTCTGCCCTACCTCACCACGTGCGGCGGCAAATGCACGTCGCCCACGGGCTGCACCTTGGGACCCATCACGCACTACATGCCCAGCAACGACGACCTGGCCACGGTTGGCGGCGGATGGAACCAGCTGATCGCGTCGTTTGAGTGCCACCTCGGTACTCCCAAGCCCCAGGAGCCCTGAAGAAGACAGCTAGCTAGCTGTGCCTGGACGGTGTTTGGTGTGGAGGTGTGTAGCGGAACGGGTTCCTGGGGCTTACGACTTGTAGATGGTACTCCCTATCTCAGCCTATCTCAGGCAGGGGTGGTGAAGATAAACCCAGGACAGTGAGCGTGCAGGGATGAGCAGCACAGCTACACGGCCCCTTGTCATGCATACAGATGACGTCCATGCAAGGTGGGGCTGGCCGGCTGCATTGGCCCTGTCATGATGGCGGGGTAGAGGAGCTGTCTCGAAAGGTGGAGGGGCGGCACATCATGGAGTTTACTCGGCATCGTGGAGGTTGTTTTTGGAGCCAAATGGCAAACCTCGGCGACGGGGCTTGGCCTGAGGAGAGAGCAGGACAATAATAAAGCCCGACGGGCAGCTCCCTCAGGTTGTGCTAATCAGTTTTGGGGCTCTTCAAGCTAGCTTCCCTTCATGATACCAATCCGATATAATTGAGCCGTCCTCATCTCGTAATTGATTGAACGAAAGTTGACCACCACCAAGTTTCTTGATGAGATATCTAAACGTCCAGCACTCCCCAACCACACCAACCTTCACCTCCAGACTCTCACAGCTCGCACGGCACTTCACCACAACCTCGCCCTCATCCTCATCAGCACCAACATCACCCACCACCACCACCACCACCACCAAGATGGCATTCGAGACAAAAGCCACCATCGCCTCCTTTGGGGGCACTCTCCTCAAGCTCTCGCACCAGTCCACCACGACCGGCACCCCCATGGCCCTGAACCTCTACCTGCCCCCCGCGGCCGTCAAGGAGAACAAGAAGGTGCCCGTACTGATCTGGCTGTCGGGCCTGACCTGCACCCCCGACAACTGCACCGAGAAGGGCTTCTTCCAGCACGGCGCGTCGCAGCACGGCATCGCGGTGCTGTACCCAGACACCTCCCCCCGCGGGCTCGACCTGCCCGGCGAGAAGGACGCCTACGACTTTGGCGAGGCCGCCTCCTTCTACGTCGACGCCGTCAAGGCCCCCTACGACAAGAACTACCGCATGGAGACCTACCTGACCGAGGAGCTGCCCACCGCCCTGTTCGGGAGCTCCGAGTTCGGCGGCAAGCTCGACGGCTCGCGCGTGTCCATCGCCGGCCACTCGATGGGCGGCCACGGCGCCCTGACCCTGTACCTGCGCCACCCGGGCAAGTACCGCTCCGTCTCGGCCTTCGCGCCCATCGCCAACCCCTCCGAGTGCCCCTGGGGCCAGAAGGCCTTCTCCGGCTACCTGGGCGACGACAACAAGGCCGAGTGGGCCAAGCACGACGCCACCGAGCTGGTCAAGGCCTGGGACAAGAAGGCGCCCCTCAACATGCTCGTCGACGTCGGCACCGGCGACAACTTCTACAAGCAGAAGCAGCTGCTCCCTGAGAACTTTGAGAAGGCCGTCAAGGACGCCGGGCTCGATGGCCTCACCCTGCGTTATCAGCCCGACTACGACCACTCTTACTTCTTCATGTCGACCTTTAGTGACGAGCACGTCGCCCACGCCGCCAAATTCCTCGGCGCATAGGCGGAAGTGTACATAGTGTATGCATGAACGTAGGGCACGTCTCCTGCTTGGGTGGCTTGGGAACGTTGCACACCGGGTCAGGTGGCTGGTTACTTGAGGCCATGGAGAATGCACCATATTTGGCTGCCTTGCGGCAAAGAAAATCAGGTTATGCGAGACGCGACGCTAAGAACGAGCGTGGTGGTATATATACATCCAATCCAAAATATGAACAAGCCCGAAAGTCATCGAGATGGTCTAGAAATGATAGACGCACAATCTCAAAAGGCCCCCAGCTCCCAAAAGTAGATGCAATCCGCGAGGTCGTGTCCACGAACCTGGCGACTTTTCTTTTCTCAGACCCAGTCCCAGCCGATACGTTTTGACGGTGGTGGTGTGATGAAAAGCAAGTAACGACAGCCACGCAAGCGACGGTGGGTATCATGGCAACATCCGCAAGCAAGTATTTTAACTCAGCCTTTTCTCCACCGGACTGGCGCTGCCAGTCTTGGCCTTCACCTCGGCCTCCAACTCCCTTTTGATCCGGAGGTATGCCAGCTTTTCGAACCGGCTCATCCCCTTCCACCAGTGCTGGCCTGCCCCGTGCTCTCCAATCCGATCCAAAAGCTCTGCCACCTTGATTCGCACATCTCTCTCCTTGTGGAACAGCCCAAGGGCAAGGTAGAACAGTCCGGCGTGCGACTCTGGCGCCACAGATAGCAGCAGACAGATTTCTTCGTAGCTGCGGACGTACTTCGCGAAGCCGAGGTAGATCTCGCGGGTCTGCGATTGTGTCATACGCTGCATACGCAGCCGGTCGTGGAGGTGATGCAGGTCCAGTCCTTTTAGCGGTTTGATCGTGTACATCTTTGCCATGTCCTAATCTTATGTTAGCATCTCTGTCAACCGGCCGTGGCGGTCTCATCACTCGGGTCTCACTACCCACCTGGATGAAACTGTAATAACTCCTGGTGTTCCTCCATCCCTCAATTCTCGTGACGTTGCCCGCTAGCTCCTTGTACTTCGATGGTTCGTCCGGCCAGACATACCCATGTCCGTTCAGGATGCCATTGGCCCCGGAACTCGACGTGATCACGGCGCCCCCTTGTGCGTCCTCGTCACCTCCAATATACAGCGCACTCGCTCCGTACACACTTTCCTCAAATGCTGCAGCAACACGAGTGAACTTGACCACCCAGTCTCTCCACTTAGCCCTGACAACTCTCTCGCCGTGGCGAGCTGCGATGCTTTTTAGAACATCGGTCATGAACGCCTGATCTCCAGTCAAGTCCGCGCTAGAGGTGGAAGTAGAACTAGAAATGTTGACAAGACCTGAATACGAAGGATTCTGCTGCTGAAAATACGCAAGGCCTTCTGTTGCCGCTGCAGGCTCGATTTTGCTGCTGATGGTCATGCGGCCCTTTGGTAAGTCGCACAGGAGATCCCACCACTCCGGATGGTGTTCGAAGGTTGGATTTGTAACACCCGCGATGAAGCCAGGTACCTTCAGAAGGTCATCGATCTTTGTCAAATCGGTGTAAGGAAACGCATGACGCGTGAAGCCCCTCAACATACCGCCAGAGGCAAGGGCGCAGGCGGCTAGTACGGCCTCAGCAACTTCGCCTGAGGGCATGTTATGACCGAGAAAAATGACTCTCTTCTGCGTCAGAAGAGCGTTGGCCAGGACGATGATGGGATGCGTGGTAGGTCCATTCGTGGTGAGGTGTGGATGTGGCAGGAATGGCTGCGGTGCTTTCCCGTGAGGTTCCGAGAAGTTTTGGATCAACTTGATGAGGGAAAAGTCGCCCACAGACTCCGGCATCACGGCCACTGGCACCTTGATCGGAATGGGAATGCCCTTGTACATGACCTTACTCTCAAACTCGTGGGTGTCCCTGGGTACAGAATACATCGCCTTGCCCTCCAGGAAAGCTTTCGTCCCGGCTCGCTGTATTTCTGGCCGCTTAGCTGGCTGTACAGCGGGTTCTGTAGGTTGTTCTGAGCTGCTTTCGTCCTGGTCTTGTTCGATCCGCTGCTGAACCATGCGTTCGAATTTCTCAACGAAAAGGTCCTTGTTCTCACTGGACTGCAGCAATTGCCTTTCAAGAAAACTCAGCTTCGGCATCAGAGACAGGTCCATCGCGTTGACGGAGTCGTAAAGCATAGACAGCGTCTCAGGCACTGGCGATTTGAAGTATTCCTCCAAAGCCAACAGTAACAATGGCTGACAAGATGATGGGTCAGCATCACATCCCCATTTGAAGGTCAGAGCAGCACAAACCTTATATATATGCAAGAAAGGGTGCCTTGTGCAGATAGCCATCGCCTTCACAATTGCGCCTCTCTTGACGGACTTGTCTTGTTTTGTGTTCACCAAATTCAGGACGTAGACCAGAGGCGGCCCTTCGCCTCCCTCAGGCTCACTATCAGTTGACTCGTCATCGTCAAATTCGTCGTCATCGTCGTCTTGCTCTTCGTCGGCCTCATCGTCGTCTGTTGCCTCATCGATGATGCCCGCGGCTTTGTTTCTTCTCCATCTCCTCCTCCGTCTCCGTGCTTCTCTCTCTTCATCTTCCTCCTCTTGGCTCGTATCCTTGTGTAAAAAGAATATCGTCCAGTCCTGATTCCGCATGTGCGCGCCATCCGGCAACATAAGCTCCGCCAGCATGTTCTCGTCGCCAGTGATGGCCATGGGATACTGATGCTCCATGATTGGCCCCCGGTCGATATCGAAAGAAGCGACCAAGATATACTCCACGTGGTTCTCGCTGGAGCTTCGCGGATACTGAGATTTCATTTTCCGCCGGGGGTGAGCATCAGAGTTGTAGCGCGGCATCGGAACCACGCTGCTTCCGGACAGGGACGAATGTTGCGACGATACGCCGGTGCCTGTCGACGGTGTCTTGGACTTGGAGCTGGGATTTGACGTGCGGTCTGTTTCCGAAACCACACCCCCGGCACCAGGGCCGGGAGGGACTGGCGACCGTGACGGTTTTGAATGGTGTGACATTTGCGAGCCGGAACGAGAGGATGGCGGGAATGACGACAATGATGTCCTTCGCGTATGCGCAGCCGTCGAGGAGCTCCCATTATTAAGACCTGGCTTCTGCGTTTGGTAGGGCAGCGCAGTTTGCGCTGATGCCATGATATCTGACTGGGCAATCGGTCCCGCCTGGCCAGTCGGTGTTGCGCGTTTGAGAGGTACCGTCGAGTTCGGTGTATGGACGACTGGTCATGGGCGTAGGGCTGACGATGATATTAGGGCCTCAAAGCAAGGCGGAGTCGTCAGCAACTATGGGTACAGAATATTGCGGTGTAGCCGTGTGAACTTCAGTGTGAACTTCAGTTGGCAAGAGAGAGTTTGCACTGCCGTCGTCGTTCCGTTTCGTCTTATGGTTCAGCGAAGTACAGGAAGCAGCCCGTTGGCTTGACTTGTACTCTGGTGTGTTCGGTCTGACGGCGCCACTGGATAATGGAGTCTCGGGCCAGCGAGGCGCATCCCGAGAAGTTGATGGCGTAGCGGGAATGTGGATTATGGCTGGAGTCGTACAGCAGGAGGCTTGCACAACCAGGCCGGCGGGAGAGGAACCGAGATTTGTTTCGGGGGGGGGGGGTTGAAAGAGGCGTGCTGATGCACCCGCCGTTGCGTCCTTGCGTCCTTGCGACCTTGCGTCTTTGTGTCCCTGAGTTGGACGGCACGGACACCGGGTTTCGGCCCAAGGTGCAGTGCTTTTTGGCTCTGGGTTGGCGATTGGGCCCTGCCGGATATGCTGTGGAATGCGATTCGATGCCCGAGGAAGAGGAGTCGGGAGGAGGAGGAATTGGGGCCTTGCGGCCGGGGCGATGGCTCCCCTGCGGAGGGGTTCAGACGATCTCGGGGCCAGTTCGAGTGGCTCAGGCTCAGGCTCAGGATGCGAAGTGGATGCAATTGGTAGTAGGGCGCGGGCGTTGAGGATCCAACATCGCAGGGCCAGGGTCCAGGAGTGGACTCGGGAGTATAGGGGCGTTGATAGGTGATAGGTGGTGTGCAAAGGAGGGTGGGTGCAGGTCGGTGGTCGGTGGTCGGTGGTCGATCGGTGGATTCCTACTGTACAATGGCACGGAGTAGTAGCATGGCAGCACTGGCCTCGCCTTTAAGTCAAGCCGAGTCAATGCGTAGGGAATGGACGGACTGAGACATGATCTGCTACAGCAGGAGCATAATTGACCACTAGTAGAGGGACCGGAGAACGGAAGAGAGGGAACGGTAGACAAGGCTAAGGCTGGGTGGGATGTGGGACAGAGATGCAAAGAAAAAAAGGCGGGCTTGGGAGGATTCTGGTTGCCGCACACCTCCCTCGTCCTGCTCTGCTACTCTTAGTAGTACACGGCCTCGGCACGAATAGGTATCTAGTATCTACAGCATGTACGGAGTGCTCCATATTCTGCTAGGTACCAAGTAGGTAGGTAGCACACCCACCCAACCCGCACTTTGGGGTCCTCTGGGTCCTCTGGTTAAGCCTGCCCTTGTGTTTCAAGGCCAGTCCTTTTCCGCCTCTTTGCTCTTCCGGCCCCGCCCCTCCCCGTTCACGCTCATCGCAAGAGATGGAACGTTGATGGCTTGCTTGGTGGACCCCTATCGAGGCTTGCAGGCCTGCAGGCTGGCAGGCCTGCTCCCCTGACAGGGGTTTGTGGGAGGACCGTCAATACGTCTTGCAAGAGCTGCCCTTTCCGGTCGTGTGTCGGGCGGCCCCCAAACCGTGCCTTTCCCTTCCTGGCAGCACCTTCACCCTGTTCGGTCGGTGCATTGCTCGGAATCTGGCCTGTGCGGCTGCTCTTTGAGACAGCCTTGGGGGAAAAGAGGTAGCTGGACGGCCAATCCTGCCTCGAGGTGTGGGAGCGGGCGCTGCATGCGCTGCAGGCCCTGCCCTGAGATCTCCATCAGCACGCAGGGGTGCCCTGCTCCTGCGGCGCTTACCAGCCAGCCCAGCCCAGCCCAGCCTGCCCGTTGCTGGGTGAGCTTGTTGACCTGCTTTTTCGCGTCCAGCCGCCTGGGCCGATTTCATCACCAGGGACATTGACCTGACATTTGTAGAATGCGCCTCCCGCACGACACGGCCGACTCACAAGCTCATATCGGCCCCTCCGGGTTCTCGAGAGGTCACCAGACGAACAAGCAGTACCCATCAACTTCACATCCCCGTTGTCCAATTGATCCGTGATCCCTGAACCTGCCAAGCGAGTCGCCTGTCGACGTGTTGACTGTTATCGATACCCAACCACAGATCCATCGACCGCACTACGCCCAGTGCTCCGCATCATGGTGGGTGCAAAGCATGACGGAGTCTTCCCCACTTGGTGCCTATTGCTTGTATACTTACAACATTGTTATTATTAGGCACTACCAACTGGGCACCTCAAGTCATCTCAGGGAGGAGGATACGGTTCTCCTCGCAGCTCTCCCTTTCGACGACCCGAGTCTCCTGCATCGCCATCGCCGCTCCGACACACCACACCGCTAGCATCGCCGTCCAGACCAGGCCAGACGAACAGTAGCTCGCGATTCGCAGCGTCCACCCCAACCGGGACCTCTGAGAGCCTCACGCCAAGAGGGCCGGCAAGTACACAGCAGCCACCACCACCACCAGAGATGTTTGGGTCACCACGTGCGCAGCGCCCCGCACCGGTCACGACTGCATCCTCCACATCTATCACGGGCCATAGCAGCGCATTGTCACAACTGCAACCTGCACAGGTGCGGACCTTGCGCGAGGGCTTCCAGATCCTGGACAGGGATAGCGACGGCACAGTGAACAGGGAGGATGTCGCCGACATGCTGAACCAGCTCGGTAGGTCCATCAACAAGGCGCAGCGGCCTCGTCACGAGGCTGCACAAGGCTGTAATTCTGCTAACGGGCGAGCTCATGGCGACCCAGGCCTACCGTCTTCTGCGGCAGACGTGTCGAGCTTTTTCCCTTCCTCTGCGCCACAGACGATCACGCTTGCGGCTTTCCTCAACAACGTGGCCAGCAGCCTTGCGCCGCTCTCCCCCAGTGCCGAGCTCGCCTCGGCATTTTCTGCCTTTGACGACGACGACAGCGGCCAGATCGACCTGGCGGAGCTTCGGGATGCGCTGCTGCATACCGCACCCGAGGCGGGCGAGAGACCACTGACAGCCGCAGAAATTGACCAGGTCATGAGCGGGTTCACCGGGAAGAGGGCCTTTGGAAGCAAGGTAAAAGGTGGAGGTGCAGCAGGCTTTGGCAAGAGGGGCGAAGTGTTTCGCTACCACGAGTTCGTGAACTCCATCGCCGGTAGAGGCCATGGAAGCGGAGGGGCGGCCGAGGAGGACGAGGAAAAGGCGTGATGATGTGTGATGATTGACGATGCATAGCTTATGGGATTCCGGGCAACTGAGTGGGCTTGTCACTATTTCGAAATATAATAGCAGACCGATTGGTGATCATGCGTCCGACCTGGTGTTCTTTCTTGCCAGAACATGAGGTTAGACATGAGGAGCCGATGTATATACAATGTCTGCAGATCATTTGGTGAAGGGGTTGCCGACGCCTTCAGCCCCTCTAATCACGGATCTTGGGCGTAAAGGAAATGTCCACCAATATGTGTGTATTTTCAGAAGGTACGGATTGTGTCTGCGGGCATGTACATTGAATATTGTCTGTCTTGGGGTTGTGTACATGGTCCTCACGTTGGTGGTTGATTTGCACGGCTGGGTCTGCATTGCGTCATTGCACTACGGGCAAGTCTAGACGGGGTTGAAGGACAGCGGCGACCGGGAGCGTTTGCAGTTCAGAGCCAACCTGCATGCCAGCCAGCTGCCAGCATAGTCCTTGATTACAGACCTGACAGGCAGACAGGCAGACAGGCAGACAGGCAGAAAGGGTTGCTACCGTTGGGTGGCCCAAATCTCTCACAGTGGCAGGCGGGCTGGCGGGTAGAACCAGCCACTGTGTTTTGGCGTTGGCTGGTGGGAGGGCAGCATGGAAGGTTCGAGAATTACGGCGACACAAATGAAGAGGCAATTTACGCTTATGGCAATACTTCGGTTAGGCCAATTCGGCTTTGGGTGGTAGGCCTATGCGGTTAGGCAAAGCTGCTACTTGTGTTCCCAGGCAAGCCAGGGTCCTCCAGGGCGGTTCCCCCCACCCACCCTCTTGCGCGGGAGCCTGTGCCGGGGCGGGCTGCTCCCGCCTCCCCAGCCCGCGGGTAGTGATATAGGTCGCCCGTTTGCAAGGGTATTTATTATTGGCAGATGTGACCATAGGCACTGACCACTGACCACTGACCAGAGGGGTGCCGCAGAGAAGAAGAAAAGGGGACTGATGGACCTGATGGACCGGCCCCATACCCGGCGACTGGTCTAACATAACTAGGCTTGCTAGGTGCTCGCAGTACATACGGTCAAGGTGCAGCAACGGCAAGTTCCCCTCCCAAATAGCGGGTCCAGGTCTGTTTACACGTGCGGCGATTGGGTGCGGCTCGAAATCCAGGTGGTTGAACGGGCGGCGATTGACGTGTGTTGACCTGGCGCTGAGTGGTCGCGCAGGCCCTGCAGAGGGGGGAACACCCGGTGCAATTGGGCGGCATATCAACCGTAGAATGCAGAGTTCGGTCGAGAGGCCAATGGATGCTGCCTGTCTCTGGCCAGGGGCCTGGTGCGCCTTACCGTACCTGCCACGCCTGCTCCTGCTACCAGGCAGAGAAAGAGGGAGAGGGAGAGGGAGAGGCGCGTGTCGAGACTGTGATGTGCCTGCTATGCCCGCTGCTGTGTGCTGGGCTAGGTTGGGCTGGGGCGTGTTTAATCCCCGAGGCCACGCACTCTACCTTCTTGTCTCGTCCGGCCCTCCACTACGGTGCACAAGGCCAGCTGGATACGGTTCCGTTGACATGGTTGCGAGCTGATAAATCTCCCCAGAGCCCTGTCCAAGACTCCAGGCCTCCTCTCACACAAATCCAGAACCCTCCCATATTCTTTGCTCTGGCCTGTCCTCGATTGTTCCTGCCTTTGGTCCTGCCCTCGTCTGTCTCCAGTCTTTCCCTCCAGCCTCGTCTCTGCCAACCTACAGAAACCACCTCGACGACGACGGCTCCTCCTCACCCTTGTCCTCGATCAACCGAGTCCCTTGGTACTTGCATAATAGCTCTGCTGGTTTTGACAGGTTGACCGCCCGGCGAGGCAGAAGAAGAGGAGCAGGTAAACAGGACTCCCCTCAACGTTGATTGCGCCCTGCTTGGCCTCGATAGAGTTTATACGGCGACCGTCCTCCGTACAACCCGGATCTTGCCAATCCCACACCGCCCAAGACAACGCCCAAAACGCGCACAAGCCCAGATAAATACTGCGCGTTGCAAACAGCTGCTTTGTTCCGCCACATCTCAACATTGAACGTTACATATCCGAGCGAGTGTACGGAGCATCCGGCAGAATCGACTGGAGCTGCTGCTACTCCACAGCAAACCCACCACCATCTGAAGCAGCGGCCGACAAGGGGACCAGAGGCAGAATAAAAAAGGAACGCCCCACGTTTGTTCACATCCCGCACCCGTTATCACTTTATGCAACAGTCGGAGCTCCAGGCCAACCCAGCTTGACCCTGCAAATCGCATTTGCGTGCATAGTCCTGCGTCTGTGTGGCTGCGGCAGGACAGGAAGACTGTACCGAGTAAAGGACAGGCGACCCCAATCCAGAACTTTTTTCCCCCCCAGCGCCGCTTTGCTAGCTGCACTAGTACTGTCCCAGTACTCAGGACCAAGAGTCAGCCAGAGGGAAAAAAAGTCATAGAGCCCGGCTTATCTCACCTAGCCCGCTTTATTTCAAATGAAGTTCTTCGGGAAGAAGTCTACCAAGAAGCCCCACCCCAACGACCACGACGACTACGTCTTGGACGCAGACTACTTTCATTCCGAACCATCCTCGCCCACAAAGTCACCGTCCAAGTCTGCATCGTCGTCGCCCACCAAGAGGTCAGCCCGACCCGCTTCGCCGGCGACGCCAACTAGTCCCTCGGGCGAGGCCAAACACCGTTCCAACGGCTCCCGGCACTTTTCTAGAGCTTCGTCCGACCTCGGCAAATCATCTTCTCGAAAGAAGAAGGCCGACCTTGACACGCATCCTCTCAACCTCCCACCCGACGAGATTAGGAGGCTCTCGAGGCTGTCAGCCATGAGTGCACGCGAGTCGGTCGACAGGATGGACATTGATCCTCCCAGCAGTGCCCCGACCCCGTCGTCTCCTCCACGACAAGAATCGCCGCCTGCTGCCGACAAGACTGCCGAGGAGACTACTCCTCCTGCCACAAATGGGTCATCTTCTCCCAAGACGGAGGATGCTCCTCCTCCGCCCCCGCACACGAGTGATCCCAACAGCCCCCCGCCGACCCCCGCAGACGAGGCTGAGGTGTTCAAGAACCTGGGAAATAAGTTCTTCAAGGAACGAAACTACAGGCGGGCCATTGAGGAGTACTCCAAAGGTTGGTTGGGCCACGGCCTTGTTTCCCGACAAGTCCTGGTGTACTGACAATGAATTAAATCCCAGCCGTCGAACTGCAACCGGACTCGGCCACGTACTTGGGCAACCGGGCTGCCGCGTACATGGCCGATGGCAAGTTTGAATCTGCTCTTGATGACTGCAAGCGGGCCGTCGACCTGGACTCCAACAATCCCAAGATCTTGCTCCGCCTGGCCCGAATCTACACCAATCTGGGACAACCGGACGAGGCAATGGTTACGTTCCAGCGCATCCGGCCACCACCCTCTGCCAAGGACATGGCACAGGCAAAGGAGATGCTGCAGTACATCAAATCCGCGCAGCAGGGGCTAGAAGAGGGCCGGGGCCCCTCCCTGGTGCTGCATGCTCTTGATATGGCCGAGAGGCTGCTCGGATCCGGGGCCCGGAAGCCGCGCAAGTGGCAGCTGATGCGAGGAGAGGCTTATCTCAAGATGGGCGGGGTTAACTCGCTCGGCGAAGCCCAGAATGTTGCCACCAACCTGCTGAGGAACAACAGCCAGGATCCCGAGGCCCTGGTCCTGAGAGCCCGCGGGCTCTACGGGCAAGGCGAGAACGAGAAGGCCATCAAGGTCTTGCAAATGGCCATCAGCTGTGACCCTGATTTCCGGGATGCCATCAAGTGGCTCAAGATCATCAGGAATCTGCACAAGACCAAGGAGGATGGCAATGCGGCATACAAGGCCCGTCAATGGCAGGCTGCGATCGACAAGTATACCGTGGCTCTGGACGTGGACCCTGCAAACAAGTCGACAAACGCCAAGATCCTGCAGAACCGCGCGCTCTGCTACCAACAGCTCAAACAGTACGACGAGGCAATCGCAGACTGCGACAAGGCCCTGAGCCTGGACCCCAGCTATACCAAGGCCCGTAAGACCAAGGCAAATGCTCTTGGCGGCGCCGAGAAGTGGGAGGACGCGGTGCGGGAGTGGAAGGCGCTCGCGGAGGCTGACCCATCAGACGCTTCGATTCAAAGGGAGGCCCGAAAGGCCGAGATCGAGCTCAAGAAGAGCCAGCGAAAGGATCACTACAAGATCTTGGGCGTGCCAAAGGATGCTGACGACAACCAAATCAAGAGGGCTTACCGGAAGCTGGCCATCCAGTACCACCCCGACAAGAACCCCGGTAACGCAGAGGCCGAGGCGAAGTTCAAGGATATCAGCGAAGCATATGAGACCTTGAGCGATCCTCAGTAAGTGACCCACAGAAGCCACTCGACTTGGGGGTGGACGATACTAACACTAGACTAGAAAGCGAGCCCGGTACGACGCTGGCGACGACCTGGACATGTCCGACATGTTCGGCGGCGGTGGCGGCGGCGGCATGGGCATCGACCCTGACATCCTCTTCAGCATGATGGGCCAACAAGGTGGCTTCGGTGGCGGCGGTGGAGGTTTTGGTGGCGGCGGCGGATTCCCTGGAGGCGGCGGCTTCCCTTTCGCCAACGGTGGCGGCGGCCGGGCGCGTGGGTTCCCCGGCGGGTTCCAGTTCTCCTGACAATCGGACGAGGAAGACGACGACACCGACGAGTGCTTAAGCACCGGAGACTGCTCCGAGCACGACGACGACACGCAGGCAGGACAGGGTGGTAGGGATGAAAAGGCACCGTGGTGGCAGGCAGAGGCCGAGGCCTCGGCTGCTGCACATGACAAGCGGCTGGAACGGATGCGGCAGATTGGTGTCGTGTTCCTTGCGGCCATCGTTCTTCTTCCTCTGCAGGTTGTGGGGCTGCTGGTGGTAGTCGCGGGCATATTTTACATGTGCATTGTTGCGACGGGGGCTCTCACATGACGATAGAGATTTTCAAGTCCAGGACATTCTGCCGGACAATCTGAGCATCGTGGGTCGCAATCTGGGATAGATGGCATTTGCTAATTCTACGTGTGCATCGTTCACGGTGCTCGGGCGTTGGAAAAGGAAGGGTTGGACTGATGGATCAAAGGCCATGCCATGCCTTGATCCATAAAGCTCATCTAATCATGAACTTGTTTTACTATTGTGTGCACGGATGGCTATATACAGATAGACAAGGTACCCCTCGCTGAGCTCAATGCCAAAAGTTGTTCAAAAATGTGCTGCTCTCTGTGACGTGGGGGAGGGATAGTTGCGACGTGGACGTCCACAATGATTTGCGTTGGTGAGATGGGTTCGACTCAATTTATATTCTGCTTCGGCTCCTTTGTCAAGACTCTTATCCCAGCAACAATCATTCAACCACCTTCATTAAGAGCTCAACTATAACCTTCCAGGTTGCCAGAGGCGGTGGGGCTGTTCCGTTTGCCCCAGGGCTGAAGTGAGGCCCGCTTGCCGAGTCCCTGGCTGTCTAATGCGGTAGTGCACAAGTGGCCTCAAGCATTTTAGCGTGTTGGCGTGGCAGCATCCCCGTAGCCGCTACACACCATCCCTGTTCGTTTTTGTAGGACACATTTCCTAATCGCAAGCTTCCTCTGGCTGCGCATCTCACCCATCTTCAACCAGCGACACTACACTCAGGCTGCAGACCTGCGTCGCTTTCTTTTACAACCTCTTACCTGCAGGCGTGCCTGGTTCTTTCACCCGTCCTGGGTGTGTTCTTTTCTTGTGACGCCCACAACTACGTTCCTTTCATCTCCCAGTCGCAGCCTGCTGGCCGCTCCCGACCACTTTTGCGAGCTCTTGCCTCGCCCCTCGCCTGCACGGCGCAACCCCGACCAGCATTGATCGTCACCAGTCCACAAATCGGCGACCATGTCTAGCTACGATTATGACACGGACGCGTCCATGTGGCCGTTCTTCGCGTTCACGGTCACAGCGATCACGACACTCCCAGCCACATACTTTCTCCTCAAGGGATCTATAAACGACCCCTCGAAGCTGTTCCCCCGGGTTCAGACGGACTACAAACCCAAACATGCCGACCTCGTCGCTTCACAACGGGCCAAGGACAGGAAACAAAACAGGCGGCTGGGCCTGACATTGTTTGTCCTCCTGGGGTGGGCTGTTATGGCCTACACCCTCTATCTCATCCATTATGTCGAGACGCCCGCCATCCAGAGGGTGTGGAATCCATATGACATCCTGGGCATCAGCGAGGTAAGTCGCCCACCCCCCCTCCGCGCACACACCTCTATATACGTGGCATCTCTGGTGTCCCTACATGGCTAACAACATCTACAGTCCGCCACCGAAAAGGCCATCAAGTCTCACTACAGGAAACTGTCTTTGAAGTTCCACCCCGACAAGGTCAAGCCCGACCCAGCCAAGAACGAGACAATCGAGTCGCTGAACGATCGCTACGTCGAAATCTCAAAGGCGTACCAGGCGTTGACCGACGAGGAGGTGCGCAACAACTACATCCAGTATGGCCACCCGGACGGAAGGCAGAGCATGAGCATCGGTATCGCCCTGCCTAAACTGATGGTATCGGACGGCAACGGCAAGTATGTCGTGCTGGTCTACTTCCTACTGTTCGGCGTCATGCTCCCTTACTACGTTGGATCCTGGTGGTACGGCACTCAGCGGCGATCCAAGGAGGGTATTCTCATGGAGAGCGCCAACAGCCTGTTCAAGGAATACAAGAACGATGTCGACGTTGGCGGGGTCATCACCGCACTGAGCACTGGAAAGGAATTTGCCGCTGTTCTGAAGGGTGACAAGGCAGACGCTGGCCTCTCGAAGATCGAGTCGCGCATCCTCGCTCCGGGCGAAGGCCTGTCCACCGCAGCCGGCCTTTCGCCCAAGGAGAGGGAGGCACTGGAAGACCTCGACAACGGGGTCAGGAGGAAGACTCTGGCCCTCCTGTGGGCTTACCTGGGCCGTGTCGAGCTGGATGACCCGGCCCTGGAGAAGCAAAAGTTCGAGGTTGCGCCCATCGCCGAGTCGCTGGTCAAGTCTTTCACTGCAATCGCTATCGCTTTCGGATTCACCGCTCCGATTCTCGCCTCCTTCCACGCCAGCCAACGGCTGATCCAAGCCCTGTCCCCGGTCGCTTCTCCTCTCCTGCAACTTCCCTTCTTCACACCTGCTATCGCCAAGGCTGTGGATGGTGACTCGAAGGTGCCTACCACCCTGCAAAAGTTCATGGACCAGCCAGACTCCAAGCGACGAGCACTTGCCGTTGGAAAGGGCCTGCTCACTGAGGAGCAGTATAAGACTGCAGTCAGTGTCGCCAAGCAACTACCATACCTGCGAGTCGCAAAGGCTTTCTTCAAGGTCACCGGCGAGCGCTTCATCATCCCGTCCTCTCTGGTCACTCTGGTTGTGAAGGGCCGTATCATCCCCCCTGGCTCCGAGAATGTCCCCGAGGTCAACGAGCTTGACCTTGTCGATGTGGACCCCGCAGAAGATGACCTGGACGCGATCCTGGGCAAGAAAAAGAAGACTGTCAAGGGCGCCGACGGAAAGCCGGTACCCGTAGTGGGTGACGATAAGCCAATCCTGCCCTCTCTGGCGTTCTCGCCGTACTTTGGTCGTGAGCACTCTCCTAGGTGGCACGTATTCCTGTCAGACTCGAAACAAGGAAAGATGGCCGTGCCTCCCTTCACCTTCACACAGTTCGACGCCCCGATCTTCGAGGAGGATGGAAAGACGCCCACGTTCAACATGGTCACGCTCAAGGCGCAGTTTGCCGCGCCGCCACAGGCGGGTCACTACACGTTCGTTATGCACGTAGCCTGTGACAGCTACGTAGGCTTTGACACGAAGATGGAGGTGACCCTCGTGGTGGAGGAGGCGAGCAAGGCTGCGGCAATGGCGGCCGAGGACGAGATCAGCGAGCCAGATGAAGGTAAGCCTTCCCCGCCCGGACCAGACCCTGTTGAGATCCGAATGCTAACAAGCCCGACAGATTCTATTGCTGGTATAATGAACGCGGCCAAGGGCGGTGCACCACCACCACCAAAGAAGAAGAAGCCTGCCGAGGAGGAGTCTGACGAGGAGTCCGGCACGGAGGAGGAGGAAGAGGATACAAGCGCGACTAATACGGATACTGAGCCAGAGGACAACAAGTGAGAGCGTTGCATAGAGAGAGTTTTCAAAAGACAACAAAGAGGTGCTCGCGTCTGTCCACCATTCTGACATTTCGCGCGCCCCCTATTCTGTCCTCTTCCCAAGCAGCCCATCCCAGGTAGCTGAAATGTATATTCCCCCTCACTCCTACTGGTCACGGCCGCGAGAAATAGAGAGACGTCTGGCCGGAGCCGTAGGGTGGATGAGAGCTGGGTTGGCTTGCACATGGCGTTCTGAGGGTTGGGCAATTCATTATGCTAGTTGGTAGTTCATAAAGGGGCAAAGCCCGGTTTTGTTATACACTTGTCTGTGTTTTGAAATTTGGTCATCTTTTCTGTACTGTACGATAGACAGTGCATGTAGTCTTGGACTTGCACTTCAATTGCCCTCCAGGGCTCGCACCAAAACCCGTAGTCCCCTAATGCGATTGTTCTGCATTGGGGTACAACACGTGCCACAATCAATTCTATGAACCAGGTAACAGGGAGAGGAAGGGAAATGAATTCCACGCGGAGCCAAGGCGCGCGGTCGCTTACCGTCGCTTACCACTACGATTTAGATACAAGGGGGGCATCATGAATTATGGCCCTTTCTATATTGGACAAATGGTAGCTAACGCGGTTCTCAACATGGAACCCCCTTCTCTCCCGAGAAAAGGGGTATCCGGACAGATGACACCATGACGGAGACAGGTTGTCATCCACAAGGGCCAGTTGATGTAGCACAAGAAATGGAGACATATCTAGAGAGTATGTGATTGGGCTTATTTACTGCTATGATAAGTATATACAAATAGAACAAAACAAAAATCAAAGGGCCATCTTGTCTTGCCTTACCCCAGGCTAATCTCAGAGACACTATAATACCAATTGTTAGCAAGAGCCGGCAAGATTGAGGAAGAGAAGGAGTTTATGAGTATGAAGAGGAAGGGGGTGCATGGCATGGCACATACCTGGGAGTAATAAGCATTCTGCCACTGGCAGGTGTAAGGCGCGGCACAGGTGAAGCTCCCGGTCCACTGCTGCCCGCCGCACTGGGCGTAGCGGGCGTTGGCCGCGTTGGCAGCAAGAGCAATGATCTTCTCGGACGCCTTCTCGGCGGCGGTGACGATGTAAGCGGACGGGTTGGTGGTGACATGGCCGGGGAAGATGCTCGCGTCGACGACGAACAGGTTGTCAGTACCGTAGACCTTGGTGTTGACGTCAACAACGGCAGAGCCGCCATTACGGCCATCGTCGGTGCCCAGCTTGGCGCTGCCGATCCAGTGGTTGGCGCGGCGGTTGCTGTAGGAGACGACCATGTTGTTGACAAAGTCCTCGACGCTGGTGGAGGGGTCCGGGTAGGCCCAGGTCAGGTTGGCCACGGACTTGAGCGCGGCCTGCAGGTTCTTGATGCCCTGGATGACGGCGGCGACGTCGTTCTTGTCGCGGAGGTAGGGGAGGGTCGACACCACCATGCCCAGGCCCGAGGTGATGGTCGTGCGGCCGCGCGAGGTGGCGCCGCGGCCGAGGTACTGCGACATGGTCATGGCCTTGCCGTCGGGCGTCCCCGCGCTCCCCTCGACGCGCGCCGTCCACTGCAGCTGCCGCGTGATGCCGTCGGCGCCGACGATCTGGTCCCAGAACATGGGGCCGATGTTGGGCGCCGCCTGCGCCAGGATACCGGAGCGCTTGCTGAGGTACTTGTCCTTGTCGGTAACGTTGGGCGTGTCAAAGGCCTCGTAGAAGTCGTAAAAGGTCACGTTGGGGTGCTGGATGACGGTGTCGGTGTTGGTATGGTCCTCGAGGTTGTAGCCGACGGGCAGGTTGATCCACGACTGGTTGCCGATCATGGTCGGCCCATCGACCGACTTCTGCACCACGGCAAGCTGGTCGGCCGGGCCGATGCCGCTGCGCATGAGCAGCTTCGCGGAGCCGAAGGTGCCTGCGGAGAGCACGACGCGGCCCGTGATGGCGGTGACGTTGACGACGCCCGCGTAGCCGCCACTGAGGTATGGCTCGACCTCGATGCCGGTGATGTGGCCCCCCGAGCGAATCACCCTCTTGACCGAGGTGCCCGTCCAGAGCTTGAAGTTCTTCCTGGCGCTGGCGCTCACCAGGTACGTCGCCATGGGACCGCCTCGCTCGCCGTTGCTGAACATGTAGGGCGTGTGGGCATAGGTGCGGTTCTTCTGGTTGGGCACGTTGTTGGCCGTCACAGAAGCCCATCCGGCCGTCTTGAGCCCGCTGGAGATGACGTCGAATCCCTGCTGGAGGTACAGCTGCCCGTCCATCGAGGGGTGGTCTGTCCCCGGGATCCTCGAGAAGACCCGGCTGGTGGCGGCGCTCATGTCTGCTGCCTTCCAGCCGTTGGGGAAGTTGTAGTCCCAGTCAACGGTGTTGGGCTTCCACCAGAGGCCAGCATTGACAGCAGTGCCGCCGCCGAGGACGCAGCCGGCCATCTGGTCCGTGTCCGAGCAGGCGATACCCGCCGAGTCGTGCCAGATCTGGTTGCAGAGACCGGGAACGTCGAAGCGGGTGAGGTTGGTCCCGCCGAGCCAGGCTGGCTTCACCTGCCCGCCCCACCGGCCTGAGGATGGCGGCCCCTTCTCGATGAGGAGGACGCTCTTGCCGGACTCGCTGAGCTTGTCCGCGATGGGGATGCCGCCAGCCCCAGCACCCACAACAATGTAGTCGTAGGTTGCGGTTGGGACCGGCGTGCCAGGGACGGTCGTCTGTGTCGGCACGGACGTGGTTGTCGCCGTTGGCACGCCGGTTGTGCCGCCGCCACCACAGCTACCAGTCACGGTCTTGGTGGCAAGCGCAGCCCAGGCCGAGTACGAAGGGTTGGCCGCATTCGCGTCGATGGTGGCGGGGAAGAGACTCTGTCCGTTGTCGTGCTGGTCGAGGGTGATCTGGTTGGGGCAGGTCGGGTTGCCGGGGGCAGGGTTGGCCTGCGCCCATCCGAGGAGCCAGAACTTGGAGCTCGTAGAGACGCTGCCGGTGGCACCGCCCTGGTCCCATTGTAGACAGCCCTGGCAGCGGAAGATGAGGCTGTAGTGCGTCGAGTTGATAGTGGACGATATCTGGGTCAGGGTGGCATTTCCGGTGTATACGTCAGGCATCACATAGCCTGTGGCATAACGGAATGAGTGCAAGATCTGCCCGTTGTTTGGCCATATCGTGAGCAGCAGCGAGTTTGTCATGGAGCCCCCCAGGGACATGCCACACCACCCTTGCTTGGTTGGGTCCGGAGAAGCACATTGCTGTGAACGGAACGTGTTGGTGAGTGAAGGACAACATCTCTCAGACCCCGCTTGTCGAGTTCACTCACTATATAACCGATGAACTCTGTCGCGTCCGTCGTGAGAGCATTCGATGGAAGGGCGGCACCGAAGGTCCATGTACCCTTCGTAGAGCCCTCTGGGACGGTCCATGTATCAAAGATGATTCCCGTTGTTGGGTCTTTGTACACGACTGCTGTCGCTGACTGTGCCCATGCTGTCTCGAGGACTGTCTGCCGTCAGCAACTTCTGAGGCCGGCCGGTCCATCATTTGCAGCCTCAGGGTGGCCATCACTTACATGGCGCTGCGGCCAGGGCCAACAGGGAAAGACGACTGAGGATCCCCATGGTGCCTGTGAATGCAAGAGTCGGGCGCCAAGTCCTGTGAGGCTATATCGCCAGCGAGTTGAAGAGAGCTTTCAATTGCATACCGCGCTCTCGCTTGCTGCCGGCATGGCGGTTTAATATGAATTCCCCCGGCCTGATAAGCACCCTCCGGGTGTATGGCGCCTGGCCAGCTCCAAGAAGCATGTTCGCCCCATGGCTGCCATCCGGTGCGTACGGATGAACCGACTGGGGTCTGGCCACGAGAAGGGAACCTTGGAATTTGCCCGGTAGGCTGGTGCGACGGACGCCCCCGTCCGCATCTCAATTTGTGCGTGTAATCAATTTGAGATGTAACGCGTGACAAGCGACCGCGAGACGCTAGGAGAAAAAGGACCACGAAATATATTAAATCCCACGGAGGGAGCAAACCATCCAGCCGCCCGCCGCGGCTTGGGCCCTCTCGTTCCGCAGTTCTGGGCACCCGCCCTGCCGCTGTCTCCACGGCCGGCACGAGTGGCAGCTCAAGCGCGCCGTAGGCCGACAATGTGATGAAGTGGTGTGCTGACTGGGTTGTGGAGGAACTGAGCCGCTGGTTCGTGGAGGTTGACGAGTCTTGACCAGGGTGTATGTGTGGCGTCGTAGACAACATAGAGATTAGACGCAGGTACTGTACAGTATCTGTGCAGACAGACCTACCCAAGCAACTACACTACCAGCGTATGGCAGACAGGCAGACAGCTTGTGGCCATGCCATGGCAGGGGGATGCATGCTTGGCAACCGGCTGAAGTCGACGACCGCCGAGACCACCAGTCCAATCCGCCCCTTCATCGCCTGCTTTTGTCGCGGACATAGGGTCCGCGATATTACCAAACCCGGTAAGGGAGCCCGTTGGTGTCCCAAGCTTCAGCGTTGTACTTTGATGAATCAGGAACAAGTCATGTGCCTGGGCGCGGTTTCTGGTCGAATCACTTGATGCCCATTTCGCATCCCTCCAGGGACCAGCATGAGAAAGCAAAAGAGAAGAAGAGAAGAGACCGCTGCCGTGGGTGTTGCCGTAGCCAAGGGCGGACATTCCGGGTAGATCATTCTTGGTTGGCTCGAGGAGGATCAATCTCGGCACTTGGGACGGATCCATGGATGGCTACGACGTCGATGATAATCGCCCATCGCCCAAACGATGCGGCAAGCTAGTCGGCCGTTTGTTTGCAGGCTACCTGGCTAGCACGCTGCCGCTGCCACGCTCGTGGCGATGGTCCATTTTACATATGTCTCTGATGGTCTGGGCGACTGCACGTGGCGCTGCGATGTGCTCGGTGACGACGGGGTGGGTGGGTGGCATTGTGGCTGCCGGGACCTGTCTGCCTGTCTGCCTATCTGTCTGCCAGTCTGCGTGTCTCGATGGAGAAGTGGTGGGTTACTGTGATTCCGTGCCGCTGCCGAAAGCAAAAATAAAAAGGCAGGTCGACTGTGGGCAGTGCCACCAATCACAACACCTACCGCCAATGGCAATACTTTGCTGGTGGCAGCTGCCGTGTATATGACCAGGTGGATGCTGAACAGAGCACCCTCATCCATTCCGGAATCCTGCCAAACGGTCCGCCACAATGTCGTAGTAATCCACCGCACAGGTACCAGCCCGGGCCGTCATCCGGTAGGACAGCGGCTGTTACTACGCTGACACTTTGGCATCTACCGAATACAGATTACTACTCCTCCAACATCAATTCTCATCACAACAACAGTAATCCACTAAAGTAAGTACCCAGGTAGTGGTAAGTACTAGCCCACAGATATCATCACAAGCCGCCCCGCATGTCCCGTCCCCGGACTCCACCAGCCAGCCTGATCCTAGTGTCAGTGATGTAAAGCTTCGGAGAATCCCTGTCTCACAATCGGCCGTGTGGCCTAATGGCTAAGGCGTCAGATTTCGGTTGAAATCATCCTCTCTGAAGATTGCGCGTTCGACTCGCGTCATGGGTAAGCCCTCTCAACATACTTGGTTATGTTTTCACCCAAATTCTAACATTCTCCTAGTCGTGTGATGCCTTAATGGTACCATTCTTTTTTTCGGGTTTTCTTTTACTTCAGCAGACGTCTTTTGCAAACTGCCATAGTCACCTAGGTATAGGGAAATCCCCCCCTACCCGTACTGCCGTGGTCAGCTGCACTGGAGGCACATGTAACTTTTTGCATATTCTTCACCTTTCACCGTGTTTCCCGGGAAGGCCCAATCAACCCAAGGCGAGTCCAATTTTTGCTCACATTGGATGGAAATTCCTTTTGGTTAATTCATATCAGAGATTACTTCTGAAATCTCTGGTATCCCTTCAAAGTTAGCAGCATTTTGTGCTGCGACTCCCAGAGTGTTGTCAAGTGGATGATATATCCTTTTGGACGTCAACTCTACAGCCCTGTCCGCAAAGACTACATCTAATACAGCCTTGGCACCTGCAGTCAAGAAAAGCCACCTGCTTAATGCACTCCGGGGTCTGGCGAACGAGCTCATTGGACACTTCTCACTGCAAAGAGTGGTCGTCACAAGGCTCGACACCTCACACGCATTTGGTGCAGGGGCAGTGTGATCGCCCGCTAGCCGTTTCCAAGCCCTGGGTTCATATCCAAGGTCCCAGGTTCTGAGGAGAGTCACACAACCACAGCGTCCTGGCCCTTGCGGTATTCATCACTGGCGAGATATTCGACTCCTCACCACAATGGCGCCAATTGATATCAATTGGTTGCCCGTTGTGGGCTGCCTCCCAGTGAAATGAGCCGTACGGGTATTGTGGCTGACGGACTGAAATCCTTTTGGGTGTTTCCTGGACTCCCTGGCAGTCTTTGTAGGCCGACCATTAATCCACCCAAGTCTCAAATGAGCTGCAAAGATATACTGAATTAGTAAATCACTACCAGGCTCGCCACTGATGGTCCTGTAGAGAGATTCTCATATAGTGAAATTGGGTCTCATTCGCTTCTATTGAGATATGGTATATACGGACATGGCGATAATTAACATTTAGAATAAAACAAGCCAGACTATTGAGCGCTGATGACTTCGAATCTCGCGCAAGGTGATCCGATCGTTCTTTACGATCGCACACCTACACGTAACCCCCGCTTTACTCTCCCGATGGAGCCGGGGCCGGGGCCGGCTGAGCAGCCTGTGGCTCAGCTGGTTGCTGAGCTGGATCAGCAGGTGGTTGGGCCTGTCCCTCAGCATTCTGGTCAGCTGGCGGCTGGGCTTGAGGCTGGGCTTGATCCTGGCCCTTCTGATCCTGGCCCTTCTGATCCTGGCCCTTCTGGTCCTGAGCCTTCTGGTCCTGAGCCTTCTGGTCCTGAGCCTTCTGGTCCTGAGCCTTCTGGTCCTGAGCCTTCTGGTCCTTGCCATTCTGGTCCTTGCCATTCTGCTGGCCATTGTTTACGTTCACGATAATCGTGGGCGGGGGTGCGGTTCCAAGAACAAGGCCTGCGAGCTGGGCCTGCGCAATGGCTTGCTGGTTGGCAAGCAGTTGAGCCTGCAGGTTGAAGAGAGACCCAGCAGCGAGGAGCTGGCAATCTTGCTGGATGAGTTTCGTGTCCCCGACGAACACGTTTTGGTTCGGTAGGATGATCGCAGCCGGGTCGGCAAAGATCTGAGCGTTGCTGGGGGCCTGTGGTGGCTGTGAACCAAAGGGAAGCAGGACAGAACCATTGATCTGGCCAAACGGCGCATTGGGGTCCATCGGAGCGACTTGAGGAGCCGCGCCAGCGGGCTGAGAGGCATTCCCGACCCCGGCGACGCCCGGGACATTCAATGTGGCGGGCGTGGGGACAGGTCCGATGACCAGCGGCTCAGGGGAGTTCAGCATGACGAGGATCTCCTTATCAGGTGCACCATTGTCCGCCAACAGCTGGTTGACCATGTAGCGAGTGTTGACATTGTTGGGATCTCGCTGGTCAATGACATTGGTGACAGCAACGATGACGGTGTTCACATTCGTCCACCCTGTTTGCCAGACCGATTAGCATGAGAGAATTTTGACGTCAAAGAGCCTAGCAAGGCACTCACTGTTCTTGAAATGGTTGACTCTGATGTTGTTCTTGATGGTCTCCACCGTTGACACAAGAGCAAGTTGAGACTGGACCAGAGCAGCAAATTGTTGCTCTGCAGTCAAGGCAAGAGCCGCGATGGTGTCCAAGTTGTTGTTAATTACTGTGACCTGGGGCTCGAGCACCGTCTGTTGGATAATGATATCTCTCTTCTGTTGTTGAGATCTGGCCCTGTGCTTCAAAGACCTTTCCACCGGTGTTGCAGTTCGGTCAACGGACGCAGGAGCTGGTATGTATTAGCCAAACATCGAGGACCAAGAGAAAAATGCCATTGGAGATTTGCGACCTACCAGCAGTAACGACAGACACGCCGACTAGGGCGGTGATGAGATTCCTGAAGAACATCTTGAGCAAAGATATTTATTTGGGATAGTATAGATGATGCTTTTGGTCTGTTGGTCCTATCAAAGGAGTGTAGACAATGAATGTGTATACAAGGAACGAAACAGCAGCCTCTAGGGCGCTTAAAAGAATCAAATCAGGAATTACGGATCGACGGATGTGATCGTGGAAAGCCTTGGGAGGACGGCATGCGAAGATCATGATCCTCATCACCGTGGGGATCCCTCGGGATATATGTGGTTGTTCTTGCCCATTGCCGCCGTCCACCTGTTGTTTGATGATGTCGAGAGGGCTATGCGCCGCCCCCAAGACCGGCTTCTCGACATTCCGGCTCCAGTCTCCAGAGGGGGATCTACGCGAGTGATACTCGCGATCGTAGGAGTGACTCGAAAAGGGAATGCAGAGCTTAGTGAAGATATGCATAAGCATCAAAACCGGCTGGGATCAGGGGGCGCCTATGCCGGGCAGCCGGGGTGGGCACGAACGAGTTCGGTTGGCAGGCTACCAAACACAAAGCTTGGTGTTGTACCTCTTTGCCCGCGGGACCGCATCGAAGTGACTTTCAGGGCCGAATAAACTTGATCTGAAATTCCCGACGAAAAGACCCCCTCGTCTGATTTCTTGCGACGGAATCGTCTGGACTGGGGCTGTTGAGACCGAGCCCGCCCAATCATGGCTGGCCTTGGCGGGCTAGAGTGCGGATGAGGCTCTGAGACGGATGAGGTTTTGTGTTGGCTAGTGTGGGTTGAGAAGTGGCTATGGCCCTTCATGCACGTCTGTGGTACTATTCAGCCGAACAGGCGCCTGCCATCTCAAAATCCGACGCAACCGTTGTGGTCGTGGTCAGGATGGCTTGGATGGAACCACATGGTTTCGCTTGAGGGACCAGCTGAGGATCACGAACATCAATGATCGTTCCCCTTGGAGATCCTTCGGCAAGTCTTGCCCTCGTGGCCCGTACCAAACGTGGATCCCCAATGATCCTCCCAGCTGCCCAGTATTTGATCTACTGAAGCGAAGCGATCAGGAAAATCAACCAGATCAGGCCCCAGAGAGACACTCATCAGGGTGCATGTCAAAACCAACATCAGGGTCGGTCAAGAGGTCCAAGCAAACCCGAGGACGCCCGTGCGTCAAAGCTTCCCTGGGGTCCCTGGCCGACCTCGCAGCCTTGCTGAGCCCTACGACTCTTCGAGCTTGACTGCACGAGCATGACCACAACACGACCGCATACAGTTCAATCGCGCCTTGGAAGACCTGACGCAGAAGGCCAACCCTGAGGCCACTGTGGCTAAGTCACCCTGGCTGCTTGCCCCTTTCGCCGGGAGAGCATACAACCTCCCGACAGTCTCGCCAGTAGTCATAGGATAAGTGAGGCCACTGCCAAGAGCTATGATACACGCTGCTCCCGCAAAAATCGAGATGTGATCCCGTCTCCGTGGTAGGGGGGCGACTGGCCGACTGGCTCCAGTGATCGCCAATGTTCTTTGCCGCCCCTTTCGAACTCGCAAGCATGGTTGCCATGGACTGCGGCGCGATTGATACAAACCAAACAAACCAAACCACAGTGGTGAGAGCGGGTCATGTTGCGATGGTAGTGCAAGGAGCACGCCAATGTCGCGCTGCAGCATTGTACCCTGCCGATCTCATGTCCGTCTCATCCAGTAATTATCGTCCGAGGATATCCAGCGAGGCAGCCGGTCAATGATCAACCATCCCTTCCCTTTGCCCCTTTCGCGCAGCTTTCGACTTCTCCACTGTGGTCGCTGGAAGTTGCAAGGGCACACCGGCACACTCCGTGAAGACGTCCGCTCAACATATCTCCTAGCATTCATCCTATAGAAGCCTTGCTTGGATTGTACTGCTCGACAGGCCATTATCCTACAAGACGATGTGAGGGGGTGTCTTTTAGGTGGCTGTCCAGTAGGGCACCCGCTAGCAGGGTGCCCAACAAAGTTGTCCTATCGTGCTGTGAGAGATCATCCTACTAGAATTATGTTGTAGGTTTGTGCATGGGAGGTTGTCCCGCAATAACTGATTCCATTGGGGAGGGGATTCGGCGGGAGCGGATCCTATTGGAGTTTATCCTTTTGTTTTATGAGCGGTGATTCCACGAGTCGGTAGTCCCCCGGACGTTGTCCCATGGGAGTTTATCAGGTACACGATCGCCCCGTCATGATTGCCTGTGACCGGGCTGTACGAGTCAACTGGGTTCGTCACGGGTAGGAGCTGGAAAGCGGAAACGATCGAGAAAGGTGCATGGCAGACTCTGGAACAAAGACATTTGCTTCGTGTCCACAACGAGGGCTTTTAATAAGGCATGCTACTGTTGAACTCCTCTACACCTGCGAAACCTGCATTACTCAATGACATAAGAGTCCGCCATGGATTTGATCTCTTTCGAGAAGGTCACATCCTCGTTCATCTCCACCAGAGCAACGGACGAAACCTGAGATGCTGTCAGTAAACCTGACACTGCATGTCGACGACAAGGGGATGACTTACATCAACGTCCACGAATGGCGTGGTCTTGGAGAAGCGGACCTGCATTGGGAAGAATTCGTTCTCATCGTCGGCCTGGGCTTCAAACTCAAAAGCACCATTGGGATTCTCGTCATCCACAGTGCCGATTGACCACTCCAGGCTGTCTCCCGACACGTCATATGTGGCATCAAAGCTCGACACCGAAGGCTCGGCAGTCGAGTATGGGATAGTGACGCTCACATCTTTGAGCGCGTCACCGCCGGTCAGCTCGTACTCGACGGTCATCGTATAGCTGCCGTCAGAACCCTTGTTGACCCAGACGGTGAAGCTGATTGGCACCGCGGTCGGGTCATCTGCCTTTGGAGTGGCACGCCACCGAAGCACGCCGACTGAGTTATTAACCGGGAACCCTTTCGCTGTGTTGGCCATCTGGATGGTCCTGGAGCTGTTGAAGAGGTTCCGGTCGACGTTTGGATGTGTTCGGAACTGCGCGCCGTGGGTGGGCTGCGCGTTCAGGTCGAGTTTGATCTTGGTCAGTGATGGGTCGGATATCCTCAGCTGCAGATCTCCGCTAACACTGATGGACTCGACAGCGCCTTCCTTCGACAGCTTCGCACTGATCGCCTCGTTGATTGTGACGTGGATGGCATCGCGGTCCAGTGTCGTCGAGGCACGCGGCGCAGGCTCGGCTGCAACAGGAGAGGGAGCTGCTGGAGCGACAAGCGGGCTGTCGTCGACTTCGTTGCCCATTTCGCCGCGTACTCGCTCGAACATATCGGTTGTCTTGGATTTCTTGCCAAGTTGCATGCCTTTGCCCTTTGGCGCCGTGAATCTGTCTCTTGTGTAAGTGTCAAGTGTCTGATACGACGCAACTGGACGGGGCTGATATACTTCGACTTGTTCTTCTCAGCTTTGTAAGTGTCGTAAGTGTCGGTGGCAGCAGGTCGACTGGGCGCAGTATATGTGGGATAGACGGGCGTCCTGGGCACGTTGCCCATGCCCCGCGCACCCCTGGCTGACTCTTTGCGCTGCATCTCGAGTTGTTTGGCCTTCCTCTTCCGCTCTTCCGTAGCCTCCAGTTCTTTGTTCTGGAGCAAGTCAGCACACATGATGGGGTATTGGGAGGTGAAATCAAGCGACGGCTTCATACCCTTGCAATGATCTCCTGGATGCGCTCCTCGTGACTCTCCATCTCCAAGAAGGTCTTGATCTGACTGATGGTGAGGTTCTCCCTGTACCCCAAGGTGACCAGCTCGTCGAAGGCGCTCAGAAGCTCAAAGGAATTCTTCAGGATTTCTCGTTCCTCCAGGCTCTTGCAGGTGCTGGTGACGACCTGGGCGAAGAGATGCAGGGAGTCGATGTCTTGGAGGATGTTGGACTGGCGGTTGGTAATGAGAACCATGTACAGCTCGTCAAGAGGCTGGTAGACAAATCGGACGTTGTCCTGCTCGACGGTCGTATGCTGGGTCCCGCTGTCCGCGAGCTTGGGGAAGGAGGCGAGTAGGGCTTCGATGCGCGACCTGGGCATCTCACGGAACTGTCGCGAAAGGACAGCTTTGCCCCCGCGGGTGCAGATCGAAGCTGCTAGGACGACCTGTTGCACTCAATTGTTAGCCATCACCGCTTGGGAGATGCTCCGTTTGGTCGCCAGACTTGCCATCTTGATTCCAGCGCGTAGTCGAGAACTCTGTGACAAGGGGGGTTGATCGTGGTCGTGCCAGAGGTATGGGAGCTGAGTTGCGCTGTTGTCTGTAGGACACTGGCTGCGATTAATTGATAGTGCTGTCCTGAAGCTGGCCGGGTGGCTCGTGCGAGCTGGCCTGGGCAATGGCATTCTGTCACTTTAGGTAATGAGCATTCCACCCCTGGCTACCTGGGCTGCGGCCCCACTCCGGCAGGCAGAGGTCCGTCCCTAGCTATCTACTCCGTACTCCGTAGGCACTCAGGTACTGTGGTGGGTACCTAAGTACGTATCCGCAAGACGCGGTAGCAAGCGTTTTTAGTCAGCAGCGACTGCCTGTCCCATGCCAAAGGCAAGTCATTGACCGTTCGCGTCAACACTCCGTACACAACCTTTGACCACTCACTCGACCCTGTGAATTTCCCTATGACCTGCAACGACAGCCCGCTATCGCCTTGAGATCCGCATTTCCTTGATCTGCCAGAAACTCAGCGCTGCTGAAACTTGGCCTGGCACAGTTCTCAACGGATTTTATGTCCCAGAAGTCGAGGTCTCAGCACGAACTTGTTCAGACGAAGCAGGTGCAGGTGCCCACAGACAAACACGACGGCCCCCCACAACCTGTACCCGACCGACACTGCTTGCCATTACGGCGAGTAAGATGACCTGATCTTTTAGCTAGCTTGTCGTATCTAGCTCCCAGCTGCGCCACGACATGATGGAGGTTGTAGCGGAGGAGCAGGGGCCTTTGGAGGCCGACAAAGAATTTGGGCTTGAAGACACCCGAGACGACGAATTTGATTTCGATATTGATGGCCCAGTGGCTGGGCTCGAATCCACTGATGACGTTGTGGCATATGACACCGAAACCAACGATGCACTCCCCGACGCTCGCACATACTCGACACAGGATCATGTCGCGCAGCAAGTCTTGCATGAGTCTTACGATGGGCAAATCGCTGGCCAAGAACAGGGTCAGCATGATATAGAGGTGTCTGCGTTTGAAACCTCGATAGATGCCGCGGTTGTTGTTCAAGTCGACCAATTCGGTGATGAGGAAGGAGGCAACGCCGAACTCGAAGAACCCCAGCAAGCAACCGAAGCACAGTATGGGGAGGGTGACCGGTACCAAGAGGATGATTATGTTGAAGTCACCGCAGAAGAGGTTAGAGACCTCGTCGACGCTGATCAGCACAATGAGGGCCAAGATCAAGATGCGACGGTCGCTACAGGGCATGCTGAGTTTTCGCACCCGGAGGATGAGCACTTTCACGACGATCTTCACGAGGAAGGCATTAGTGCCGAACAAATCGGACCGGGTCAGTCCGGGGACGAGGCACCGCCGCCCGTAGACAGCAGCTACGCCGACGAAGCGACCGAGAACGGAATGGTGGCTGAGCCTCACAGCGAGGAAGCCCTCCAAAGCGCAAGCCTTGGAGACGATTCTTCTCTCGCGGAAACCGCTGTGCACCAGAACAATGCGGACACGGCGCATGGTCTGGACGATGTCAGCAGCCAAGAGGATGAGCTACTTGAGGGCTCAGAGCAGCATCCCCGCGTGAGAGTGTCTTATGGAACAGCAGAGTTCTACCTCTTTGCGGAGTCCCCCAACGCTGATCCCGATGATTACTTCTTCGAGAACGCAGACGTGCTTTCCCAACCATTATCAGACTTCCTAACCAAAGTGCGCCAAGTCATAACGGAGGACCTGCAAGATCTCGATGAACTTTATGTGAAAGTGGACGGGCTCGGAGTTGAGTTTGGAGAGACAACGACGAATGACTTCCTAGAGCGTACTACTTTTGGTCAGATTCTAGAGCTGTATGATCAACTTGTGAAGCTTGACGATGATTCTTCCGAGGTACCAGAGCTGTACATATACCTGGAAACGAGACCGAATTGTCTGCGTCGGCTCACGGAGCTCAGCAACAATGCCAGCAATGGCAAGGGGCTATCCGAGGTAGGGTTCTACTACGAGGGAACTCCGGATCTCACAGCCATTGAGGAGGCTTCGAACGAATACGATGGAGCCCACCAGGGTGCGGACTCTGATGACATCTCTGACAACGAGTCAAATGACCAAGTAGAAGGAGGTCTGGGTGAGACACATGAGGCTGGGCAGTCGTCCAATCCTTTTCGCCTCAGTGAGAGTCAACAGCAGGCCATGGACATCTCAAACTCCAGGCTCGCAGAAGAAGAAGCGGCGGATGATCCCATGGCGGCAGATCATCCCGCTTACGAGGATGAGAACGACGAGGCTCTCTTGAATGAAGTGCAGGCAGACCTCGAACTCGCAGGGCCGCCGGCCCCGCCCGATGTGAGCGCGACCGAAGCCCAACAGGACTCTGACCTCTTGCCAGGCGAGGATGAGGACCTTGCCGCAGACGTCGCAAATGACGGAATTGACGACGACCAATACGCGGAGGAAGGCGCCCAACTTGGGGACGAAGCTACCGGGACAGAAGCAAACGCTGAGGCCGAAAATGAAGACTTGCAGGACGACGATGGCCCTACTGATGGTGAGCATCTTTCTTCTTTGGAACTCAGCAGATGCACTGCATCGTCCGAAATCTGTGCATGCGAATCTTGCATGCCGGCTGAGCCCATTTCCTTCGGCGCTGGGAGCCACGCCCACTTTACGGTCCAATCTAAGATAGAAACTCGAGGTCCTCAACCTCAGCTGATTGAAGACGCTTTGAACAACGTTCAACAAGCCCTTCTTGCAACCGCGGACTGGTCGAGGAATCTCTCAGCGTCAGTGAGCGCGCGGGACTCACCAGCTGCAAACTTTGACCATAGCAAGCACATAGAAAACACACCGGCTGACTTCAGTATGCAAGACTACGACACAGCGGAACATGACGATTACCTCGACATCGAAGCGACCGAAGAGCAGCCGACCGAGCCTGCAGGATATGCGGCGTCTGCCGGCACCCCCGAGCCGACATCCCACAATTCCAGTGCCACGGCGACCCTCGACGGAGAAGGCCCAGGTCATGGTGACGATACGTCTGCGGCCGATGCATTGATCGATGCCGGCCGTTCGTTTGAGACCCCATTACAGGCGGAGCCAGACCCTCCAGAGACTGAAACCGACGAGATTCACTGGAATGACGATGACGAGGCCGAGCACGACAACGACGGCGATGAGGTTGACATTACAAATCAGAACCAGACCGACCTGTCTCCTTCGAGCCTCTCTATCAAGAGAGGCAGACAAGCAGACGAGGATGATGTTGGTCCAGGTGACGATAGTAGTAAGCCTTCGTGTGCAACGGATCCACGAACGTCTACTAACATCGCCCCAGTTGCCAAGCGTCGTCGGACATAGATGCCTCTCTGGGCGTAGTTGTCAGATCAGACTTGATCAAGGCCTCTGCATCGCCAGTGTGCCCTGGGCCCGAGTGCTGGGTGCAGTTGTAGTGCATCTGCACCCGTCACATACTCGACCCTGATTTATCGACCCCCTCCCCATCCTTATTATACCCCTTTCTTCGCATTCCTGCCCGATTAGCAACGTGGACCAGCTGAAGCACTGACGAAAAACCAACAATTCCCACCGATCTGCGAGGTAAGTTCCGATCTGAAGACACGCCTGGCCTGCTTTCTAAGGCCTGGCATACGGCCCAATCTTTTTATGCTCCGCTGCGCCGTTGGGTGAGATCTCGCGCGCGTAAGACATCGTTCATGACGACTTTTGAAGACGAAGCACTCATGCAATCTTTTGCGACCATGGGCGGCATTTCGATTTGGAGGACGTGACAGACAGGAGGAGTTGGAGCAAGTCTCCACAGACACGCGATTTCACACTCACAGAGCTACTGGGACGGGAGGATGGACAGACACGAAGCGCCTACCAATGACTACGTGTGAGTGTCTTGGGAGGTGCCACTTCTGATTCTTCCAAGGAGGTTAAGTATCTCTTTTGACGGGACGGGCGTGGCGTGTCTGAGCGGCTTGCGCGGGACGAAGGTTATTTTATGTGCGTAACGGCGATGGGGCTTGTCGATGAGACGAACCAAAGCCTCTTGGTGTCTGCGGAGTGCTTTCTTGGAATTTCTGTTGCCGGCGTTGTCAGCGACGATATTGCGGGAAACATAGGTGGCTGGGCACTTGGGAATATGTAGCAAAGCTCTGTATCAATGTACGATGAGCACTCCTAGTGATCAGTGAAGCGCACGCGGGCCTCGGTTCATTTAGGTGCGGTGCAAAGATCGACCAGACTCCAGCAACTACTCCCTGATATGGTACTGGCCCGCAAATTTTACTACTGATTCAGAGAGGAGCGGGAGGAAAGACGTGTTCTTGTGAGTGGATCCGAGGTGACTGACAACTCTCGAAACCACATACATTGTAATAGAGAGAGATGGCCACGTCTTGGGAAAACACGCCATGCCACTGTAGAGTTTGCCGCGGCCTAGTTCGTGGTCATCTTGTTACCCGTAGGCCCTGCGAGATTATTGTTCTACAACTTTGAAGAGCTTGTCCCACACGAAGCTGATTCTATAAGGATCTTGAGGGGTAGATGCCGTGGCCGCGAATGGGAATCCGAGCAATGCGTAATAAGATTGGTGACAGGAGTGGGCTGGGGTGCGTGCTGGGTCGCCTAACAGGCGAGGGCGTGACATGTTGCTCTGGAAGGAAGCGAAATTCAGTGACACCCACAGATCCGTTGATCAGGTCAAGCTGTAAGTGATACAACTAGATGCACAATCTCCAATCGCACGGAGAGATAGGCACTGCGTGTATGTGTCTTCCCACCGGCCTGAGGAGAGCGCTGAGCTGACTGCCAGGGACTAGTCTGCTACCCTACCGCAGTCTTAATTCTGGGCCCAGCTCATCGTCATCTTGTGGGACGCGGGGACAGGCTGAGAGCGCCGGGCGAAGCGGATTGGTGAAGCAGATTCAACAATACCCACATAGACACCAACAGACAAGAAGAACCAGCATTGGCACGCGCGTACTGTTACTACATGATGACCTACCGACGCGCTGTTCCGAGTTAGGAGGTGGACCTGTGAAACGCAAACCCATCTTCACCTTGGCCCGAGGGTGCGGCTCACGGATTGGTATCGCAGTGGCACGATATCACATGTGTCTGCCTAACCAGAGATGATGTTGAATTCCGGCCGGGAAGAATCACAACAATAGTCTAGTTGGTTCGTGTACATAAATAGTACATACTAGTACTCCGTACGTTTGGAATCCTGCCACGCACCTGACATGGGCTGACAATAGGTAGGCAAGCAGGTAGTGGACCTTGTCTGGTGTGCACTCGACGCAGATGTGTAGAATACCGTGTAGGTGTGCGGTGTGTCAGTCGTCTCCGGGCGCCCGACGTGCCAATCAATCCCCAACAGCCAGCTATGTACACAGCCAGGTGGTCTTTTGCGAAGAGTACTGGAGTACCACAGTACATACCACAGTTAGTACTTCCGCTACAGAAGCCTCAGCCATCCCCCATTGCGCAAGCCCATGACAAGGACGAGCAAGCTGGCAAGGCACAGGGAGGGCAGGACCCCTCGTATTCCTAAACCTGGGGCCTCGATTTGTGCTCCTGGCTGGCTGGACCGAAACGAAGCAAGGGACCACCACCAGTACACAGTACTCCGTACCTGCCCCAGCACCTGCCCCGGTACGGAGTACCTGCTTCCAAGGCTGGCAGGCGTGTCGGGGGGGTGGTGGTGGTGCCCACCCTGCAGATGGCCAGAGGATAGCCTGGCAGGGCGGCCAGGTACCGTGCTATGCTGTCTGCTTCGGGACGAGGACCAAATCCCGCTAGTCGGATACTAGCTCCAGGGATAGAGTGACGTCCACGTCCATGGATGAAACGAGGCCACACGCCCACCCGACTCAACTCAACGACCTCCAGACCTCACCCAGAGCCCGCCGCCGCCCGCCAGCCCACTCCCTGCGCTGCTGCGAGTCTCCTGCCAAAACGCCCGCAGCAACATCACTTGCCCCTGCCCAGCCAATTTTATCTCCATCCCAGATTCTTGACCCCCTCCCGGCACGCACCAGAGGTCCTGTAAATCTGTCCTCGTCCTCGCCGTGAAAGGAAAGGCGTTTCTCTTTGGCCCGAGCCTTTCTCTCTTTTTTTTTTTGTAACTGGCCTTGGCCGCTTGTCCTGGAACGGGGCCGGAACATTGAACGATTTGTCCATCCCGCCCCCCCCACAGGCACTCGCACACGCTCCAAGTGATCCTCGACCATCGAACGCCTCCCTGGCCGAACCATCTACCGACGGCAGACCAAGACGAGAAGCCACGCATTGTACTGCATCGCACGACGACACCAGCGCATCCCACAACAAATCCGAATTGCGTCCACCGCTTCCACTCGGCGACAAGCAGTGGCTTTGACAACACCAGTCGACGCAGCCGCCCTGCTTGACCTCCGCCTGTGCCCTTGATAACCGAACATCCCGTCTACTCGATCCGCCCTCACCACCGCTGCTCCCTGCTCGCCTGGCGCGAAGAACTCCCAAACCCGGGCCACCTTGACACTTCGGGCGCCCGCGCTCCTTGCGCTCCTTGCGCTCACTTCGACCCCCAAAACGGCTTTGAACAGACACAGGCAGCGTCTCGCTGCTGTTGCGCTCCTTACAATATGATGATGGAGGAGAAGTACGGCTTGCTCCTGGCACCCTTGCACCACTTGCTCGCACCGTCACCCGGCGACCCTCGTCATCCTCCTCGACATCTTGCGCTGACCACGCTGGACATTGCAGATATATCGGCCTGGGGCTGGCCATGACATCCAGTTTGGCCATCGGTACGGCGCGCTCATCTTCTTTTTCATCCCACCTCTTCTGTAGCGTGGACCCGGCTGACAACCTTTGCTGCGCAGGTACGAGTTTTGTAATAACGAAAAAGGTAGCTCAGACCCGCGCACGCCACCCGAGAGCCCTGGACACCGAGGTCCTGGGACTCGGACACATACGAACCGATCGACTAACAATGTCGCGATAGGGCCTCAACCAAGCGGGCGAGACGCATGGCTTCGAGGGAGAGGGCTTCGTATATCTTCGGAATCCCCTATGGTGGGCTGGTATCTGCACACGTAAGGGCTCAACACCTCACGAGACTCTGGCTGGCCCGATTTACTGACAGGCGAGATCCAGTGGTTGTCGGCGAAGTGTGCAACTTCGCAGCGTACGCCTTCGCGCCGGCCATCCTTGTCACACCTCTGGGTGCGCTCTCAGTACTGATAGGCGCGGTGCTGGGTTCATATTTCCTCAAGGAAGAGCTTGGCATATTAGGGCGTCTCGGTTGTGCCATCTGCCTTATCGGCGCCGTCATCATCGTGCTGCACGCGCCGCCAGATGAGGACATCGAGACCATCGAGACAATCCTCGCATATGCACTGAGGCCTGGTGAGAAGAGGAACCGCCCTCATGTTCGCGACAGTCAACGCTGACTGCTTCTAGGCTTCTTGATATATGCTATAACCGTGACAGCTTTCTCCGTCTTCATGATCTACAGGATTGCTCCCGTGTACGGCAAGCAAAACCCCTTGATCTACCTCAGCATCTGCTCCCTTGTAGGATCAGTGTCGGTCATGGCCATTAAGGCCTTCGGCATCGCCCTCAAGCTTACCTTTGCGGGCAACAACCAATTCACCCACGCCTCAACCTACGTGTTCATGATAATCACCGCGGTCTGCATCCTAACACAGATGAACTACTTCAACAAGGCACTGAGCCAGTTCCCTACCAACATGTACGGCCCCAACCCCCAACATGTAGCCTATTTGGATCGTACAGGTTTCTGACCATCTACGCAGCGTCAATCCCCTGTATTACGTGACCTTCACGACGGCAACGCTCTGTGCATCGTTCATTCTCTACAGCGGTTTCAATACCACCGACCCCATCAACACCCTCTCTCTCCTCTGCGGGTTTCTTGTCACCTTCACGGGCGTGTACCTGTTGAACTTGTCTCGCAGCGACCCCAACGGCTTCAAAATGATCTCTGGGCGGGGCGGCGACGATTCTGTGGGCACGGACATGATCTCACAGATCCAGACGCGTATGAGCATGGAGGCTCGCAGGAGTCTAGGCCATGGCGGCGACCGCGAGGGCCTGATGCGGGCGTACGACGAGGAAGAGGCTGCCGCATTTGGCCTGACAGATCTCGCAGAGGATAGCGACGATGAACGCAGTGGCGCAAGGACCAAGCAGAACGGCTCAGCGTCGGTAAACGGGAGGTCGAGATCGAGTGAAATGCAAAATCCGAAGTCCGGCGAGCGGTGACTGACGAGGTAGCCACCAATCGACCCACGGGTCGGACTGAGAGATTGAATCAGCGAATTAGAGTTTTCGGTATCTTTTCGCGTCGCGTTTTGCTTCATCTATGTACCGTAAGAGCGGTACTCCGCCCTTTCATTCACACCTGGTCCCATCTAGAACTGCTTGGAGGTCCGAGCTCCCCCGCCGTGACGAAGGGCGTAATCGACTGCGCCGGAAGACCTGCATGAAGGCTATCACGGGCGGCTGGGAGAGGGGCATGGCAACTTTTACGACACGATACGACGCGACGCGATGAGCTTGTATACAAGACACGGGTGGGGGAAAGGATCGGTCTGGGGGCTTTGGCATTGGCATCTGGCGTCTTGGGAATATTTATGGCTGGCTGACCATATGTTGGTCTCTTACGGGGCGAGCTGTACTTGTACGAAGAGGAGGCCGGCAGGATGCCGGTGTTGCCATCACGGAGGGCGCATCACATGGGGGCTAATGGCCAGAGTCGAGACCGAAGTTTTTCAAAGATCAAACAACCAAGTTCAATAGAAAAGAGAGCCTTGAAGGCCTGTCATATAAAGAATGCTCACTCTGCAACTCGGTGTCTGGCCATACCGGTATCGTAGAGCTTTGACTGCTTGCTTCAGCTCGAGGCCGAGACACTCGCAGTGCTCACCAGTTGAAGGCGGTAGTTAGCATGTGATTTTCAGAAAGATCACATGGAAATTGTTATTTAAGTATAACACCACTTTTTTTTTCTTCATTAATAAGTCTCAAAAATCCATCCAGCGCCCATCCATCAGAAGCTGAGGTAGAGATCGGTTGACAATACTTCTCATCACAGGTTGTACCGGCCGCCAGCTGCAGCCAGCTCTGGCCAGCTGTCAGGCATCAATCCACTAGCAAACGACGTCAGTCTATTTGGGCAACCAGCTTGACAGCTTCAGAGTCCAACCGGTGCCAAGGTACTTCTTACCTCACCACGCCCTGCAGCAAACTGAAGTACCTTGTCCTCGTCTAAACGCTCAGCATCCTATCCAATATCTTTTCTCGCCAGTAAATCCTCACCCAAAATGGCGTTCCTCGCGAAATTTGTGGCTACAAAGTACGTTGGGGATAAGCTGGAGGACAATTTTGGGCCTGAAGTAAGAAGAGAGTGATTATGACCAGCCACCACCTACTCGTGCAGCCTGCTCATAGTGTAACCAGAACCCTAGGTATGACATATTCGTCACAGAGGATGGTCGTCGCAAGAAGCTTAAGAAGGAACTGCCCCCGGGCCTGAGCCCCCAAGATGAGCGTGCCCTCAAGACGGTACAGCGTAAAGCTTACCGATACGAGTGGTGGTTCGGTATGTTGTTCTGTTTCCGTCTCTGACTTGCTTCATAACCGTCCTGTTGTCGAGATGACGGAATATTTACGCCAGCCGCAAACTTTTTAAGATTGACAAGTCCGTTTTGTTGCTGAAGAAAATGGAAACTAACACCAGTGCACAGACTGCCACTGTTGTTGCGGTCTACATGTCCAGTTTGGCACCGTGACCCTATGGGGCCTTCTTCCGGTCGTGGGTGGTAAGTGTTCTTTTCTGGCACAAAGCTCACCCTTCACCTCATCAAGAGGATATACGTAGCTGTTATGAGAGTGACAAGGTCGCTTCATCCACAGAGACTACGGAAGCCTCACTAACACGATTCCTCAGACATCATCTCCCTCTTCAACGCACTCACCCTCATCCGGGCAGCAAGGAAGATCCAAGGCGGCCTGCCAGCCCCGACCCTCGTGGCAATGCTCCTTTGGGCCCTGGTCGACTTCGCCATCAAGCTCATCCCCATCGTCGGCGACCTCCTCACGGCCATCATCAAGCCCAACACGCGCAACTGCATGCGCGTCGAGGCCCTCCTGCGGCAGAGGGCAGCCAGGAGGGCGGGCGGCGCCGGCGCCGGCGCCATCGTCACGGCCTCGGACAGGTCCGGAGCTCGCAGTGGGGTCACCGTCCGCGCGCCGCTGCTGGCCTCCTCGCAGCCCGGCGCCCAGAGCCGCATGGTCGCCGCGCCGGGGTCTTCCGCCGCCGCGCCTTCGTACGGCACGGTGGCCGCCGGGGCTGGGGCTGCGCAGGCGCGTGGCGAGGACCGCAGGAGCACGCGCCACTTGTTGCCGTTCTGGAGGCGGAACGATGACACTGATAGTGATTCCGAGGGCGAGGCAGCTCGGTAGGCTGCCCGGCGAGGCCTGTTTGCTGAGTCTTGGCCGGCTGCTTGGTAGCTCGTAGTGCCATTGTGAAGGAGCTGGATCGGATCTTGCCCAAGCCGCACGGTGTACGAGAGCAACAAACGGTACGCATGTGGCAAGGTAGGAGGGCGCGGAGTGGTGAGCCACAGAAGCAACAGCCAAGGAGTGAGGAGTGCATGCCACGATCAGGGGTGTGGTCCCAGCATAGTTGTAAGCATTTTATAAGCGTCTCAAATACCTTCTCGAACGACCGTGCAAGTAATCCTTAGCACATGTAAATCACAAGCAAGGGCATTGTCAACCGGGAATCTGTGCATGTGGAAGCGTGGATCTAGCTTTGTCATTTCCTCGTTGCTCTTTCATTGCTCTTCTAGGTCAGCCTGGGCTGCGCACTACACTAAGGAGCCAGCAACTTTCCCTGTCCCTGAAACCAGCAAAAATGCATTTCAATTACGCCAAGCCCTGATGTTTTGTGATGAAACCTGGTCATCCTCGCCTCAATATCCCCCCAGTTCAGAAGCCGTCAAGGTCGCTCGCATGCCGGCGGTGACCGTTGACTCCGTCCGGGAGGGCCTCCGCGTCCGAGTGAGGCTGAAAAGGGTCACGGTCATTGCCTGGGGACAGATGGCCGTTCAAAAACTCATCCGAACGGGTTGGAAGTTGAAGGGATGGGTGACGCGCGTGTCTAGCTGGGAGAGCCACCTATTGCTCAGCCGCAGGGGCCTGCTCCTCACCCTCAGCCTGCTCCTCCTGTGCCCGGGCAGCCTCAGCCGCAGCCTGGACCTGGGCGGCCTTGGCGCCGTAGTCCTGAGAGACGGGCTGGACGACGGGGGTCTCGTCCTTGGGCTCGAGGATGGTGACGGCGTCGGGCAGGGACTTCTGGGGGCCGGCCTTGCCCTCAGGGTCGGAGCCGCGCATGATCTTGACCTTGATACCGAGGACACCCTGGCGGAGGAGGACGTGACGGGTGGCGCTGTCGATGAACTCCTTGGCGGGCTGACCGGAGTGGATCATGAAGCCGTCGGTGAACTTCATGGACTTGGCACGGGCGGCACGGAGCTTTCCGGAGACGACGACCTCGCAACCCTTGGCGCCGGACTCCATGATGAAGCGGAGGACACCATAGCAAGCACGACGGACGGCGAGACCGTTGAGGAGCTTGTAGCGGAGGGACTCGCACTGGGCGACGGCGGACAGACCACGGTTCTGGACCTTGGCGGCGTAGAGGGAAACGCTGTTCTCGGGGAACTTGAAGCGCTTCTGGATGAGGGAGGTGAGCTCGCGGATGCGGCGACCCTGCTCACCGAGGACCTCCTGGGTGTGGGTGGCGCGGATGATGATGTCGGTGACGGTGGGGGTGACGCGGACCTCGACGCCGGAGTATCCCTCCTCGGCCAGCTCGCGCTGGAAGAACTCGTTCAGCTCGGCGTAGAAGACACCGTCGGCGACGAACTTTCTCCTCTTGGAGCTGTGGAAACCATCAATGTCAGTCAAATGGTCTCGCAGGAGTGGTTGGTTGTAATTGGTCCCATGTCATTCACATCCCAAACAATTCGAGACGGTGGAACTCGTCAACAGAGTCGGGCTCGGGACAATTTGAACGATGAAAATGTTGTTTCTGCGCGAGAGAGCCTCGGACTGCTGCCATTTTGCCGCGCGAATTGTCGACCCAAGACCACGTCGTCGTCGATTCCGTTGCAGTGGGAAGAGAGGGGGAGTCGTGGGTGCAACTCACATCTGGGCACCTGGGACCGCCATATTGACTTTATTGATCTCTGATCGGGATCGTTCTGAGGGGTTGACTGCTTGCGGGAGGGTTGTCGAGTGAGAAGATTCCGATCGAGTTGTCGTTGTTGGCTGGTCGATGGGGGGAGGTCAGTCTGGGACAGGCAATCTCAGGGCGACGGTAGGCGGCCGAAAATCGAAGAAAATTGGGCGCAGTGAAAGGTTTGGTGCGGGCGCGGAAGCCCTACGCACAGACCACCGGATGAAATGTGAGTGTGCAGTGCCCCAAGATTGCCAGCAACACCGACGTAGCGGACTGCAGTACTACGTACACAAGCACACTAGATTGGCGTTTGCCCCATAACGGGACATCTCGCATTCAATTAATAAAATCGTTGAATTTGTCTGCATATTTGCCCATGCCGAAAGTCCCTGGGCTTCTTCAAATTATTACTGGCGGATATTTGAGAGCTACTTCCCAACCACGGGCAGCCCAATTTCTTGCGGTTGATGAAGAGTGTCTCCTGTGAGTTGAAGGCATCTGCCAGCTAACTTATAATAAGCCTACCCTGTCCTGTCTTGCCTGTGCAGCAAATCTGCTGGGCCAGATCTGATCTTTTCATCCATCAAGCTGTTGCTTACCGATCCTGGACTAGCTGCCGCCAAAAACCCCAGAGCCATCTCCGGCAAATCTGCCTGCCGCGAGCGGGGTAGCTTCCGATGGCAAGCCGCGGGGTACATTCAGGTCAGGTACCTGCCCACAGGTGCTGGAGGTACAGCAAGGCATGCTCCTGGAGGCGCAGAGCGACCCATCCCAGTGTACAAGAGCACAGCAGATCTCAGCAGACACTCACATGCTTCGACACGTCCGACCTGGCCTCTGAAAGCTGGCAGCTACTCGACAGCAGTTGAAGGAAGCAGTCGTCACTTGGGTGACTAGAGTGAAGCACAAGCAAGAGCGACTCTCTCAGCTTGATTCACTTGGCTCCTGGGGCGTCCACCTTGGCTGGGGTGCTTACTACCTGCTCCTCCTGCTGCCCAGAGTGCACACACAGTAGGTGCCATCTCAGGGCCCACGAGCTAACTGTCTCCGCCTCGACCTTTCACATCGTCGTCAAACTCTCCGACAGCCCCGACAGCTGCGCCTCTGCCGCCCTTGTCGTCATTGTTGCTGGCACTGCTGTCCTTACCCGCCTCTGCATCACTTGTCCGCTCTTTATCAACAGCCAGGGGTCCAAGAGCAATTCCAAAAATCCCAGGGGCTCAAGTAGCAATCAGCAGCAGCTTTTCCAGGACATCCATAGGCTTCATGAGTCTCTCTCCAAAATGGTGGAAATTCGACAGGTAAGCCTGCTCAAGCAGATCTCGCAGGCCTTCCTCATGTGCCCTGGCACCGTTCTCGCTTGGTGCCGACCGACACTGACAACTGGTACGCAGACCATAGAAGACGTCACCGCTGTCGCCCGGGGCGAGACCACCCGGGGCTGCCTCCGGTTGACAGACTACCACATCATCTTTACCGCCCCGCCACTCAAGACCGAAGCGGCTCGAGACGGCGCCAGAGAGCGGCCAAGAGAATCATGGGTCGCATACCCCATGATTGCAGCCTGCGAGTACCGACCGGTCCCTCCGAAATCCGGACGAGATTCTACCATGCGTCTTCGCTGTCGAGACTTCTACTTCGTCCTGTTCCATTTTAAAGACCACCAGGCAGCTCAGGACGCCTTCAGCCTCATAAAAGCTCGAACGTGTCGGCTCGGTAACATAGAAAATCTTCATGCGTTCAACTACCATGCGCCAAAGACGGAGCGCGTCATAAATGGCTGGCAATTGTACGACGCCAAAGCCGAGTTCCGGCGGCAGGGCATCGGCGGCAAGCTACAGGACAAAGGCTGGAGGGTCTCTGACTTGAACGCCGACTACAGCTTCTCTCCCACATACCCCTCTGTTCTCGTCGTCCCCAACAGGATCTCCGATGCGACTCTGAAGTATGCTGCTCCCCACCGCACTCGAGCCCGGGTGCCCACCCTCACATATCTGCACCCAATCAACAACTGCTCCATCACTCGGAGCTCCCAGCCCAGGGTCGGCATCACCGGAAACCGTAACCGTCAGGACGAGGCGCTTGTCGAGGCCTGCTTCTCAAATCCCTACATCCAGGAGGCGCCGCCCTCCTTGAGCGCGAACACCAGTTCCTTGGGAAGCCAACCGGGTCTTACGGAGAGCGCTGACCACGGTCCTGCCGACTCGGTCTCCGCAGAGCCAGAGCTACTATCCGCCGGTGACGCCTTTCACGACGACAAGGGAAAGAGGATCATCTTTGGCGCCCAGCAGCACAACCTGATCATTGATGCTCGGCCTGCCATCAACTCTATGGCCATGCAGGTCGTGGGCAAGGGCTCCGAGAACATGGATAATTATAGATTTGCGACCAAGGCATACCTGAACATCCAGAACATTCACGTCATGAGGAACAGCCTGAACAAGGTCATCAGCGCTCTCAAGGATGGCGACATATCTAACGGGCCGCCCAACCAAGACTTGCTTGCCAAGAGTGACTGGCTGAAGCACATCACGGGAATACTAGACGGGTCAGCTCTGATTGCCAGACAGGTTGGCATCCAGCACTCGCATGTCCTGATCCACTGCTCCGACGGGTGGGACCGTACTAGCCAGCTGAGCGCCCTGTCACAGATCATGCTGGATCCGTACTACCGCACAATTACTGGTTTTATCGTGCTCATCGAAAAGGATTGGCTGTCCTTTGGGCACATGTTTCACCAACGTTCAGGGCCGTTGGGTCTTCCCAGCCAGTTTGTCTGTCTGGATGATGCAATGGCCGGCACTAAAATCGAACCTGGTGATGCCGATGGGCGTGCCGCTGTACTCGAAGAGGCGTCAGAGAAGATCCAGGGCTTCTGGAAAAAGGTCATTCACTCTGAAAAGGAGACGGAGGACTCGGATCCTGACAACTTGGCAGCTGCTTCTGCTGCTGCTGCCAACGAGCGGGCGCCAACGCCATTCATCGAAGACCAGGCGACTCGGGAAAAGGAGATCAGCCCCGTCTTTCACCAGTATCTTGATGCTGTGTATCAGCTCCTCCGGCAATTCCCCGACAGATTTGAATTCACCGAGCGTTTTCTCCGTCGTCTCTTCTACCACCTCCATGCTTGCCAGTACGGTACTTTCTTGCTCAACAATGAGAAGCAGAGAATCGATGCCAAACTCCATGAGCGAACTTCGTCTGTCTGGGATTACCTCCTCAGCCGACGGGAAACATTCACAAATCCTAGCTACGATCCTGTAGTAGACGACAATGTTCGGGGCAAGGAGCGACTGATATTTCCGCGCCTCAACGAGATACGGTACTGGCATCAGCTCTTCAACAGGACTGACCAGGAAATGAATGGCGCGCTGGATGCGGCGGCGGCCACCACTGATAAAGTTGCAAAGGCCGTTCAGTCTGCTACAGCCAGCCCTCTGCCTGGCCATAGTGCCGCTAACAGCACTCCTGGGTCCCCCCGGGCGCCTGCAAGCCCTCGTGTCAGCAGCTCCGCTGCAGGTTCGTTTGGTCAGACTGTGCTCGCCGGCGTGGAAGTCCCTCAGACACAAAATAACGCGGCGAGCACAGGCGGCATCCTTGGCAGTCTCGCCAAAGGCATGTCGGCCCTCGACATCGGCGGCCCTAGTGGTTACGGCAATGCAGCCGCCCCAGCAGGTGGGCAGGAGATGACACAGATGGGTCCGTCCGAGAATGTAGCGCAGTAGGATGGCGCGACTTCCGGTAGATCCACTCCTGACAATGTGGCCCGTGACATTTCCCAAGGGGCTGCTGACCCGATCGACGAGTTGGACAATGCCTTTGAGCCATCCGTGTGGAAATGGTTGGGCGGGAGACGAGACAAGAAAGTGGCCCCGCCAGAGGAAGACGATGGTGAGATAATATATCATGATGAAGCACGAGGAGTGTTTAGATCGCCGAGACCGTCCATCACATTCGAAGACCTGCAAAACTTGCAAAAGATGCGAGAGTATGAGCTGAAGAGGCGCTCAGGCGGCGGTCCTAGCGGACAGCGTGCCCCGAGAGACACTGCCGTACGAGGTGGCTCGCTTGGGGGATCTCGGTTGGGTGACCTGTGGCTGGCACAGGAACAAGATCTAGGAGCGGATCCAGGTCTCTATGTGGGCAGCGCAGTTCTGGACGCAGAAGAAGCGTGCCAAGCATGGGAAGAAGCTGCAAGGGAAAAGTGCGAGGAGGTGATTGAATGGCGGGACGAATGTGTCTTCATTGAATCTGAGACAGAGGATATAACCTCTGGTGACTCGGGGTGTATGCTCCGATGACTCTGGGGGAATTCAGCGACGAATGGGTGGAATCTGGAAGCATGAGCGATGATCATGTTGTTCACCCCAGCCACTTGTGGTGATGGGAGACAATGGACATGGTTTGCGATACCTTGCATAGCACTTGGGCAGCAAGCATTTGAAAAGGGTACAGCGAAAGGCGTGGTTCTTTTCGAGGCATGGGCGTCAACAGGATTGGGCTGGTTTGCAATAGAGCAAGAGCAGTCAATGCTCGCCACGGCGTTCTTGTGTGGGTACGAATTGGGACTCTTTGGTGGGAAACAATGGACTGCCCTGGTGCTGTTTTACTGTACTCATGCTGTAAATGAGAAAAGCAACTTCAATGACCTACAAGAAGGACAACTTGTGCTTGTGAATATTGTTTTGGCCGCTACTTGGGACATACCTGTTTTTTCTACATTCGTGGTGGAAAAGGTCGGGGCTCACTGGACTGACCTTGCGGGCTGTGTTCCGTACTCTGTTCCGTACTCTGTCGGGGGGCTATCTCTGCACCTGCCCAGAACGTGACTTCCACACATGAGACGCGCCGCCTGCTGAGACCACATTTTGACCCAGCTTTGACTCCCAAGGCGAGTGTGGAAAATGCATCACTGAGAACCATGACTTGCATTAGGCCCCAGTACACTGATCACGAGAGCAATGTCGGCCAAAGAATTGAAGCTTGGCCTGCTTAGCCAGAGCAGTCTACCGGCGCCCATCTCACCAGAGCTGCTCGCATGCTCTCCCACCCTGAACCTCGCAGCCACCGTCACCAACGCCAACACCCTCGCCATCAGACGCGCCCGAGGCGAGCTCGTCTCTAGCACCACCGACCGTGTCCACACCATCCAGGCATTATGCTGGAGGCCTGACGGTTTGTTTGGCCTTGATCCATCCGGGCAGACACCACGCTGACCGCATACCAGGTCAATTTCTGGCCGTCGCATGGGATGATGGAATAGTACGACTCCTGGGCGTGGAGAACACAAAGGCTGTCCACCGCATCGCCGTCTCTCACCAACCTGCAGACCTTGACGCAGATCCAGAACCCATCATTCACGTCGCCTGGGCCCGCAATCTGACGGGGAAGCTCCATTTTGGCACCGATCATGACATCGCCGCCAGGCTGCGAGGTCTCGGCCTGTCCTCGGCCGACGAGTTGGGCCAGGAAGACTCGGGTGGACCCGGGCCCGACGACCTTGTGGACCTGCCGCACGCGCTGATGTTCCTCGAGATTGACACCTCTCTGCCCAAGATCAGCCCCCTTCCCGTGTCGGGCGGGGTCGGGGACGACATGTTTGTGTTCTCGACTACCGCGTCATTGGAGTCAATGTTCGCACCGCTCAAGCCCCAAGACAACGACCGGGTGGATGTCATGGTGGTAGGGACAAAGGACGGCTGTGTGCACCTGAGCATCTACGACTCCTTCCCAATAGGGACTTTCAGAATCCCTATCAAGCAGGGCCCAAGCCCTAACGCCAGCCAAATCGAGGATGGATATCAGCTGTGCCTGCACGCTTCTCATCCAGAGGTATCTACTCATGCTCTATTACTGCGTCAAGTCGGCGAGGAGCCTGTCAGACACATGTACCTGGTCCCCATGGATTTGAGGTTTGTTTCCTACTCGCCCGTGAACCTGTCCCTCCTGGCGTCAAAGACCACAACATTACAAAAGCTATTGCGATACATGAAGCAGGCTCAAACACACATTGTAAACGAGTGGACCTCAACGCGGGAACTGCCCTCTCGCTTCCTGTCTTTCATCCAAGAAGACCTTCAGAAGATGGAGTCTGGCCCGACAAATATCGTCCAGGCTCTCTACCATACCGTCTTGACGGGACATATCCATCATGCTGTCAGAGAGTGGCTGGTGGACAGTGTTGCCGATAGAGTAAGTGCGCCCATTCCATGCTGGATTCTTGGGCCAGTCAGCCTCTTACCCATTTACCAGGGCCACAAGCGTTGGGAGAAAGCAGTGATCCCTGGCCTGGAGAACCTGCGCAATCTGATCCACGAGAATATGCTGCCTGCAATAGAGCGCTGTACACTTATATTGAGCCGTCTTTCCGGTATCGCCAGATTTCATGAGGAAGAAGACCACGTCGGCTTCACCAACTCCGAGATAACCCGGCTTGTCGACATTTTGTCCGCTCTGAACCTCATCTGCCACAGAGTCCTACTAATCACTATGGAGGAGCTAGAGCTGTTCCGCATATTCTCTTCCTGGGTCCGCCTCACTATAGACCGTGTATCATCCACCACGGTGCCGGATGACTTGGTGGAGAAGGAGGCTCTCCTTGATCCGGCCAAGATACTCCGTTACATCGAAAAATATCTGGTCAGCAGCCCCATGGCCATACACTTTGCGAAGGTGCCAAAGGAGAACTGGGAAGATGACTGGCACCGCATGCAGGATAGCTCTGGGGTTTTGGACGAGCTAGACAGGCAGCTCAAGCTCCAGGACGACGGGAAGCCATACATGAAAGGTCTGGCACAGATGGCTTTTGTGGTTGATCTGCTTACTGTGAAGGCGGAAGGCGTCTTCGAGAACATTGCTGAGGCGGAGAAGCGAAGTGTTCGCTTCGGTCAGGCTGTGAAACTAGAGCTGGCTCGTGAGAACTCGGGCCTGGAGACTTTCGCCGCAGTGGATACAAAAATGTGCTCCATTACTAAACCTGTAAGTCACATCTCACATGTATTCCTCTTGGTGTGCGTCTGGCTCGATACTGATAACTGCTTTCTAGAATGGAGTGGATGGAGTCACGTACACGGCTGTGGTATCCGAAGAGAACCAATTTGACAGTAAGTCCTCCCTGATAGCGAATTGTCATTAAGTAGCATAATGCTGAGAAAATTCATCCAGTCGGCATCTTCGAGACAAAGATTGAGATTATCAACGGCATCAGTAGCGCCCCTTCCAAGGCGTTCTACCGAATCCCTTGCCTGGACCCGAGCAGCGATGGCCGTATAGTTGACGTCAAGTTCCTGGATGACAATGTTCTCCTGGCCTTGAGTCACGCCAGAGGTATGGACCTAAAAGTCCAGCACGTCCTAACATTTTGCGAATTCTAACCTTGATAACTTTCAGACGGGAAGCCGAATCTATTCCGGGTTCTGTTCCGCCCCGTAGATCCCCAGTACCAAACCAATGAGTCCGGCATGGCAACATTGTCTCACGGTGCGCCGCAACCGCCGGTGCGGGAGGTTAAATTTCCCGAGGACATGGCCTCGTTTGCGCCGGTACGCATGGAGGTCATGCAGGCTAGCGACGCCAGGGGAGGAGTCCCAGCCAGGGTCTGTCTGCTGGGCAAGGACAGGGTCACGTACAAGGTGTTTTCCCTGCCGGAGCCGCATATATTGCAGGCTTAGTTGACCGAGGCAGGGCTTCGTCGAGCAAGCCGATGTGTTGACAGGTCAGAACTAGCTTCGAATCGCATCTGGCGGAGTAAACATATCAATTTCCGCCCTGGGCCTTGGGCATCTTGATGCAAGCATGCTCCTGTTCGTTCACACGTGTGCTTTGCTAGAGTAACTCAACAGCCAGCCGGCGAATCACCAATACGCAGGAAGATGAGGTTTCCTCGTGACAGTGACACAAGACGGGTTGCATGAGCTGATTATGAATTTATATGGTCATATATGGGATTCCACGCACCCAACCAACAGGGTCCCAGGGGGAAACACTCATTGCCCAACCTCCATCTCCACCCTGAGAAACCTCCTCGCGCTCTCCTGCACTGCACCAAGCCTCGTAGTCACGCCCACATGCCCCTTATTGGCCACGGCCATCCCGCCTCCTCCACCATCCTTCCACCCACCACCTCCTCCTGCCATAGATACACCGCCGGCCTCGCACCACCCGAGCACCAGCCTGTCGTACGAGGGCGGCTCGGGGTCGGCACTGAGCGTCCTGATCTTCCACTCCCACGGCGACGATGCGGCGGCGGTCATGGGACGGCCCCCTGAACCGCCGCCCCTGCCGCCCCCGCCGAATGCGGCCGCTAGGGCCTCGCTGACCTGCCTGCGCAGGCGATTCTGCCCCATGGCTGGCTCCGTGAGGTAACAGTCGCTGCTGTACAGCGGGTTCTCGTCGCGCGGGACCAGGACGAGCTCCCGCAGCCCGGGGAGCCGCGCGCGGACCAGGCGCAGGATGTCCACCAGCAGGGAGGCTGCTATGCTTGCGTGTGTCATCGTGGCTGCCGCCGAAGGTGGTGTTGGTGACAATGATGATGGTGATTGGGGTGTGAGAGGCCTGAGTGGTGGTAAAGGCGTATTTGTTTCTTGAAAACCGCGCCGGTGCTGGTGGTGCTGGTCCTCCATTGGTGTTGTCGGGGGAGTCTGTAGCTGTTGATAACTGTTGTGGGGGTGGTTTTCATGGTGACAAGGAGTCTGGCGGTGCCAGGCAGAATCATATACCCAGAACAGGGCCTCATTGATGGCGACGCGGCGCACCTGTGCCAGCTCGTTGGGGTCGCACAGACTGAGCACCGTCCGGAGGTTTGCCTCGGACGCCATAAAGCCGTCCCGGGGACCAAAGTACAAGTAGTCCTGTTCCGAGTCGAAGAAGGTCTGCCCGAGCTGTCGGGCTATGCCAAACGATGCCCGGTACTGCCGGAGGGCTTCACGGCGGGATTCATGGCAGACATGTAGGTTCGTGGGAATCTTGGCCTGTGAAGTGCACCCAAAAGACGAGGGCGGGCCTAGGTGGTCATGGCGGCCACCCAGGCCGCAGGATAGCGACTTGGAGCCGCAATGAACCGACACAAGCCTCGGGCCCGGTAGGTTGAAGGCCCATATTTTCCATCGGAGCTCGGCCGGGAGTTTGGAAAACAGGTGCTGACGAGACTGATAAGTGACAGATCAAGTAATATGTTATGCGGGGGAGCTTACGAAAACCCTCCCCTGCCCAGACGTGCTGGTATCCTCCATTGCTGACGCAGTAAGAAGCCCAAGACCAAGTATCCGGCTAAGCCACGTGGTTCAATCCGATGTTTGGGATGTCTGAGAAGTGATGGATGAGCGCGAGAGAGATAACGAGAAGACCTGACAACCCCCGCGTGCTTCTATCTACGCAGCAGTCGAGAGCAGCAGGCTCGGCAATTGGTCCTTATATGAACAGACTCACATGAAGTCCGTCCAAGTAAGATAGAAAAGGGAAAGTAACTCGGAGACCCGAGACACTAGTGTCGAGGCGGTCGAGGCGGTCTAGCTAGCATGTACAAACACACTTGCTGTAGGTATATTGCCGCAATGTAGTCGGAGTAGCCGGTGCGCAAGACACTTGGTGCGCATGCGCCAAGCTCGACTGATGTCAAAAGGTTCGCAGGGAACAGTGTGGCCGATGTGGCGGGTCTAGCAGCTAAAGGACACAGGACTTACTGACGTCTACTATGTAGTGTCCACGGCGAACGCGCGGGCGCCTGCCGATAGTGTCGTTGGAGACCGAGAAACATCATCGTGTCCGGAGAACTGGGACTGATCCCTGTTCTCATCGCCGCTCTGTACACTTGGGTTAAAACCCGGGCGCGGATCCTTGCCTATGAAACCGTCCGGAGTAATTGGCCGTAAATCAAGCCTGTGGAACCTCGAGGACTGAGCAGTACGGGACGGTCAAGAGAAATCAAGACCGTGAGCTTCATCATGTCATGGAAGACAGTGGGCTGATCAGTTCATGACCTTGGGCAATTTCCCTCGTTCGTGTTCCGAATTGTCAATTCCCAAGCCGGCCACTGATCAGGACATTGGGCTGGCCGAGACAAATCTTGACAGCTGCATCGGTTGCTTCTTCCAGAGGCTATCCCCTCTGTCAAAAAAAAAAAAAAAAACTTGCCTACGTACCAGCATGCAGAGGTCAGCGCACAGCAAGCTTGGCTGACAGGGGGTCATGTCCGCTGCAGCTGTTAGTCGAAGTGCACGAGGCCATGCACAGAGAAGTGTAGACGGCATGGGCGGAGTATTGGAGGCTTGCGCCCCCTCAGTTGTGTAACCAAGGCGGATTTGGCGGTGCGAGGCGAGGCGGCACCGCCCTCACGGTGTCTCTACAGCCATGACAGACCGTGTAGGAGGCCAAAGACGTCGTCTCCGGCCTGACGGGTCGTGACTGTGGCTAGATCTAGCAGCACAGGACTCGATCTACTGCATGGCAATGAACGGGCGTGGATCAAGGCTCTCGCGCTCGTATAGAGATGCAAAGCGACCATATGACGCCGCTCTCTCGCTTATCTTGTTCCGGCCTCATACACCATGGAGGGCAGATTCAGGCCAGCCCAGGTCATTGGCCCCGTTGAGGCAGCAATCTGGGCCGCTGCAGGAAGACATGCGAGAGTTGAAGATGAACAGCTCCGATGCTAAGCTCTCTCCCCCCTCCCCTGTGCGGAGGACGCCAGCGCCGGCTGCGCGACCGCTTCTGCAACAAGCCGTTAGCGTTGGCCAAGGAAAGACGCATAGATGCAGATATAATCATAGGTAAACGGCGAGTCTCGCCGGACCGCGTGGGGGACTTGACCGGTCGTCAGTAGCATGATGACTGTCTTGCTGGATGGAGCATCTGATCGCCGCCGGCAGACAGGCAATAGAATGTTTTCCTGAAGAGTATGTGATGGCCAGAGGAGGATCATTGATGACCTGGGAGGCATGCCGCTCGCAGGTTGGCGGCCGGATTAGTGAACAAGGCTTGGAAATGGACAGCCGGCACACATGAGCCGCATCGTCGGGGCACACGTGGTAGAGGCCCGTGAGGGCAGTGGGCAAGAGTCGAGGCTCTACCCCGATGGCGTTCGGGGGCCAGCAAGGACGACGGCTAGGACAGGCAAGCCACACCAGTAAGCGAGCCCCGATCGGAGAAGGTGTCTTGGAAGCCCCGGCCGACCACACGGACAGAAATGTTGGGCTGGACGGGCTGGACGGCAGCGCATCAAGGAGTGCCGAGCTGCCGTGAGGGCCTATGATTGACGTCGTGGTTCCAAAATTGGAATGTCGAGAGAGAGCATCTCGAGGTACTGGGGTCCACCCAAATCTGGCAGTGACGAACGGACGCTATGTCGGCATGCCAGGTACTGTAGTACCTCAGTACAAGGGCTGGGACCCCACCGGCAGTTCTGATTGGGAGGACCCCTGCGACACCCACAATAAGCGCCGGGCCGCTGACTGTGAGACCCTCTGCAAGGTTGACCCCCGTAGGTGGCGGGAGATCTGGCGGGCCACCTGCAGTCTAGTAGTACTACTACATAGTTCTGCCCATGCATTCGGCCTCATCCAGACTGCCAGACCAATCCTGTGCTGCCGTTACGCCCTCGCTTGGTGACACCCACTTTGACGTGCCGCCTGCGGGACCAATCCCGTCTTGCTCAAGGCCGCAAACCCAATTCTCACTGCATACGCGCTGACCTCGATGGTGTGTCTCTGGTCTGGCTGTCTGGCAGTGTCTGGGTAGGTAAATTTGGAAAGTCACACTGCTTCTCCCGCACGCGTTCGCATCTCTAGATAGACACATAGAGCAGAACCCTACCTACTCTCCGGCTGTTTTTAGACCATGGTACATGACCGACCAGGCTGTTTGGCGCCTGGTTTGCTGGCGGCGGCTACGGGGGAAACCACATTGAACCCACTGCTTCTTTCCCCTGCATCCTGCAAGACATACCAAAATATCAACCTCAAGTCATGCCTGGCAAGCCTGGGTCGCCATGGTTTATTAGTCCACATAGTCCTCTCTTGTTTCGTTTCTCCTCCGCTCTCGTCTCTCTCTCCCATTAGTTGTTCTAGGTTGTTGTTCCTATTATTCTTGTTGTTTGTTGTTGTTGATCGACCTGTTCTTCATAGTCCCTTGCTGCTCAAGTGCTCTCTTCTTGCCTTCGCTTCAGACTCTTTATTTGATATTGATACCCTGGTTCGCTTCTTTTTGTCACCACCACCATGGCGAGCGAGTCTGTCAAGAATGAGGCCTCCTCATCTACCTTCGAGGTCGACTCTCAGAACGACCACTACCTCGAGAGGCAGACCAAGACTTTCAAGCTGATCGATGCTGCCCGGGTATCCATCACCGCCCTCGCCCTCCTCTGCGGCATCACCATCCTGGGCCTTTCTGCCGACGCCATCAGGGTCTACAACACGACCAGGTTCCACGGGAGCCCCTTGCTCTCCGTCTGGCCCGAAGTTTTCGACTTGCAGCCAACCGTTGCTCTCGTCGCTGGCAGCTCCCTGGTCGCCCTGGCAAACATCGCAGCCCTGCTGTGCAGCAAGGTTCCTCATGTAAGTCGAGTCGCCCCCCCCATCTCTTCCGCCCTGCAATCCCTGGCTTGGTCAGCTCGTTGACGCTTGCCCTACAGCTCCGCAACAACACCCCCGTCCACACCCCCGTCATGTTTGCCGCCCCCGTCGTCGGCTTCGTGGCAGCACTAGTGGCTGTCATCGTCTTCTACGCCATCAATGCCTCGGAGACGACCGACTCCCTGCTCAGTTGGACTTGCCGTTGGAGGTCTGTCCACATGGGGCAGGCGCCTTACTTTGGGACGCTCTGCGGCCAGTCTTGGGCCGCTGTATACCTGGCTGTCATCCTCGTGCCCCTCGAGGCCCTGGCCCTGTGTGCTGCGGGCTGGCAGCTGAAGGTTGAGAAGCATGTCACTGCATACGCTCATGCCAGGAAGGGAAGCCCCGTTGCATGAGCTAGCCGTAGTCGGTGCATTTCACCGTCATACTGTATTCTGTAACAAGAGAACTGCATCATTTGAAAAGACAAGTCAGTTGCCAATCTGCGTTGGGGTTTGCTATCAGAGATGCCCGGTACTGGGCAGCAGGGCTGGACTTTGGACTCTTTGGCTTTCTTTTCTATCCATAGTTGGCGTCCGGTATGTATATTTCTACGTCGAGTCAATGCCAACTCTTGTTCCAGATTTGGTGCGGGCAAGTACAACGATTCATTCCAAGAAAAAAAAAACCATCTCCCCGTGCAGATCAACCAGGTGGGAAACGGCCGTGGCCACAGGTTGAAATGAGATTGCTGCTACCATCCGTGCACGTAGCACAAGAACCCGAGACACATATTTCCTTTCCGTTGCATATTTGATCATTCGCGATTGTCGTTGGAGCCCATGTCCTCGGGTATGCGGAGCCCCCAGACCCAAATAGATGCCTGTTCCCTAACGCTCAGGCATGGAAAGCAGCATCCAGATTGTTCCTTCCGTCATCTGTTTGCATATATCGAAATGAAGGAGAAGACCGGTCGCACTTGGCCTGGGCTGACTGGGGACAGCCAGTCACTGTGACACCACGCCAGCTCCACACGCAGAAGTTGGGCTCGCTATGTTGCTACCCGTCGTTTAGTATCTAGGCATTTCATTCATGCCACCGTTATCATCGAGAACACGGCGATGCCCCAGCACCAACCGAGATGAGAGCGAGCGAATCCAACATACCCGCGCTGCATCCAATAACGCAACAAGCAGCCTGCTTGAAACAGGACCCGGGGCTGGTTGAACGTGCATCAAGTCACAGCGACGGATTCTTGGGAAACCTACGCACTTGACACGGTACTACCGCTCATTTCGAGTCCATTGACGACTCTCAAGTAGAAGAGGTTCACAAGCCTGGACTCGGATGAGAAGTGAGCCCAGAACTTTCACCTCGAGGACAGTCAACTGCCAGCCGAACCCAGCAGGCCGTCCTTGCAAAGCTGATCACAGCCTGGCCACTTCCTGGAGCCACTGAAGATCTCCGTCACATAGCCTGCAGATCCAGCCAAGATGCCCTTCCCAGATCGGCAAGCCGTTGCGAATAGACACCCATGGACTCTGCCTCAACTAACCGAGATGGACGAGCTCATGCAGCCTATTACTCGAAGGCCGCCAGGGGACACTTCGAAATCAGCAGCCATGACAATGGGCAGGGCAGAGCTCTCAAAACGGAAGACCCATTACTATGAGGAAGCATTCTCAGGCAGGTGCGTTGCGGACACACTCCGTGAGAGGATTCGAAGTGATTCAGTGGTCCTGGCCGAGTTGAACACCAATGTCATCGTGAGTCCGCCACCCAATGTCAGAGGATCAACACGAGCTCACTCATTAATGACAAGGTCGGCGATGAGTTCATCTTCATAACCGAGCTGAGCGCCAAGATCGCCGAGCGTTACCACAGGCCACTCTCCTCCATCGCCGTCCGACTCCAGCATTCTGCCTGCATCCTCTTCGCGGGGACGTTCGAACCCGCTTATACCCTGACTCTTTCAGCTCTGGCCCCATACATCCAGCCCAGCACGAACCAGCGCAATGCCTACTTGCTGTCGGAGCATCTCGAGGAAGCACTAGGCGTGCCACCACCCCGAGGCCTGATACGCTTCGTGGCCATGCCGGACGAGAATGTGGCGCTAAATGGCAAGACTCTGGCACAATCCTTGGACGAGGAAGCGAACGGTAACGGCTCCATGGGCGTTATCGACGAGGAGCAACCGGCGAGCTTCGCCAGGCGGAAGAGGCTGAGTGTCAAGGTGGGTGGAGACCTGTGACCAACTCGAGGATATCCGCTGCTGACTGAAGACGATAGTCTCTCTCCAACATGAAGGCATCGCCTGTGACTGGAGAGCTAACCCCTCCCACGAGCCCGGAAGAGACCACGCCCGTTGGCGAGAACGCCAAGCCCGAGAAAGTAAAGGTGGCCAGGCGCAGGAAGAGTTTTGTGGCGGGTTTGTTCGGCAAGAAGGAAAATGTGAAGCAGGTGCCCGAATCGCCTGGGGCATAGGCTATTCCCTTCTATGCTTGCTGTATCTTTAATTCGTTCTCCCGGGCCAGCCATGCTGAAGACGGGGGCTCAGCCCCTGAATTTTGTATCTTCAACGCGTAGCATTTCTGCTTCATCAAGAACTGCTGATTTCCATGGTAAGCACGGCTCATGGATCCGCTTCAAGATTGAAATATAATCCATGTTCCATGCTCTTGGCCCCGGGGCCTAAACGACGGGTTGTGGCAGTGTGTTGACCGCGAGATCGTCTAGAGACCCGATGTGACCTATCTGTGACGGCTCTATACCATCCTTACCTGTTGACGCAAATTTTGGCAACGGAATTCAGGAGTTTCTGATTCTCTGTGATCGATCACTGAGAGGAAGACTGAGAGGAACCATATCCCGCCATTATTGTAACACCGCCATGTCTTTTAAAAGATGTATGTTGTTATATAAGAGCGCGGCAGCTTACCTGTATATGGTTGGGTATTCTGTAGGCTTTTTTCCTCTCCCACGAGGCTACTATCTAGGAGGCCAGGAGGTTGTCTTTTATGTAGTTGGAAGACACATACATGTTGTGGTTGTGTGGAGACCTGAACAGGGCTTCCAAGGTAGAGAATGTATAAGCGCGGGCATTCCGTGTCATACCGTTTCCGTACCACGCAAAGTCTCTTCTAATACAGAAGCAACTTTGATAAGGTTCATGAGCTGTACTGTGAAGGGTAACTTTGGCAACAGCTCTCATGGCCTTGGGTGTGGCTGGCAGCTTGGGACCCTAACCCTGATCGATCCCAAGCTGGAACATGCCAAAGGGCTGTGACCAGGGGCTCTGCCCAAACAGTCTGCTATCCCGAGCCTCATAAACATGCCAATCTCATCTTGTTAGTGCCCAGCCCATCCGAACCAAAGCAACTACCACCTTCAAAAGTGAAGACCAAGGACAGAACCACATCCAAAGTTCTTTGAAGACACCATTGTTTTGTGCACTGGGTGGTTCTACTCACAAGTTGGAGCCTCCTGAACACCAGCCGTGAGACAGCCCGGCACAGAACCAGAAGATTACCTAGGTATTGTGCTGCATTGCACACCACAGTGCTGGATCCGGGGATACTCAGGCCATCTGAGAAGCAAACTCAACACCAGACACCCCAACGACGCAGTTCTTCCCATCTCAGCTTCATATCCCCAAGAGAACACACCCGGTTCTCAAGGCATCTGCCAATCTGGTCAGTAACCACTCAGCTTTGCCTATCAGGAGAAGGACTTGGCTTAGCTTACCCTTGTGCTCTATGTTTAACGCATGTTCTAGTTGGTCAGCCATCCGCCTCGCGTCACCTGTCAGCTTCACGTCGTATCGCAGCTGTCTCTTTACGGCACCTTTTGCCCTCTGGGCCGCTCGAGGGCAAGGATACTGGTATGAGCTGTGCCGTCCTGGACTGAGAACTCCTGCACCTCTCCAGGCATCCCCTCTGGGCGTGATTCGTCCAAGCCTTTGCTGTTCCGGGTGGTCAAGAAGGCAGCAACGGTAGCTGGTTGGTTCCTGCGGCTACACCTACGATGGAGGTAATTTTCATCCCCCCTTGTGTTTCTTGCGTTTCTACTCCCCCTGTTGGCTATTTGTGTGGTCTCTCACCTGGCCCTGCACTCTGGGCTTGCTGCTGGATGCAGTGGACTTGTCTCGGCCTCTGCACGGCCCAGTACCACCCCCTCGGATCTCGTCACACCTCAACGTACTCCTCCTCCAACCCCTACAAGGTGGCAAGTACCGAGGCCGGCTGTGCTGGCAAACCCAATCCCAAGCGCCCTTTGCATCTACTCAACCACCAGTGCTTCACATGGGCTGCCAAGTGGCATCTCACCGCACCCAGTCGCCCCAGTGACCCCAGGGCTTGGGCCTGCTGGGCCTCTTATATGCCCGGGCCGGATGGTCAGCCTCACAGATGGACTGCTGGGTCAGCTTGGATCAGGCAGGGGATCTCAAATTGAGTCACCTCAGCTTGTGTTCTCAGCTTTCACCGACTCTTGCTGAGCCACTACACGAACCTGTGCAACCGCCTGGGCAACTAGTATTTTCTGCCTTCCTCCTGCTCCTTCGCTAGCTCGGCCGTCACAGAATCCGGTAGCTGAACGGGAGGAACGGATGCGGGCAGAAGATAGGGAACGGCCGCTCATCCGCAGTCTTCTGCCGACCTTGAGAGCGATGCCATGCGCACATCAACGCCAACTCTCATGCGCCTTCCCGTCTGTGCATTTGGGAACGAGATTATACCCCAGCATTCTCCCTCTCCCTTCTCCCCCGTCTGGCGGCAGACAGTGGCAGTCCCTTTCCGAGGTCCTGGGCGACTGATTGACCAATGTCAACGATTGCTGCGACGTCTTGCGAGCAGCCAGAGAGATACTGCAGCAACGGTCCGTCTCGACCGAGTGGTCCCTCACAGGCTTTACGTAGACGGAACTACGAAGAGTCACCGCACCCATCAAGGCTTGTCGGGCCAGATCTATGAATCAGGGCACACAACCAGTCAATCGGGTGGTCAAAAGCTCTACGTTCGGATGGAAACCCTCGAAGCTCACACACCCCCCCTCCTTGCTAGATATAGGTCTTGCTTCGTCTTTGGTTCCAAGCCAACCCGTGTTTTCTTTTTGCACTGTATTCACTAGTCGATGAGCGCAGCATGTCTTCTTTTGGGTCCGGTGGCTCTTCCACCCCTGGAACACCCCGTCGGCCAAACGTCAAATATGTCAGTCCAGCAGCGCTAAATCTCGAACGTGTTTACGAACAGAACCGAGTGCGATCGCAACAACGAGATGGGGCTCTCTCCCCAACGAACGATATGGCCGCCGCAAACGCCGGCAAGAGCAAACCAAGGCTTCTGCTCATGGGCCAGAGGAGGTCAGTCTTGCCCATTTGCGGCGACCGTGGCGAGAGAGTGCTAGGCAGAGCTTCGAAGACTGATGATCAATAAACAGGAGCGGAAAGTCGTCCATCTCGAGCGTCGTATTCCACAAGGTACCGCCTAGTGAAACGCTATTCTTGGAATCGACAGTGAGAATCCAGAAAGACTCCATGGCGTGAGTGTTCCTGTTTACGCGTCTCAGAGGTTCATCGACTGATCACCAGGAATGACTTCCATCCAGGTCGTTCATGGATTTTCAGGTTTGGGACTTTCCTGGGCAGATTGACTTTCTCGACAACCCGAGCTTTGATATCGACGCAGTCTTTGGCGAGATCGGCGCGCTCATTTGGGTCATCGACGCCCAGGACGACTACCTCGAGGCAGTCTCGCGGCTGAACGGCACAATCCTGTACCTGCAGCGCAACTACCCGTCAATCAACATCGAGGTATTCATCCACAAGGTCGACGGTTTGTCTGACGACTACAAGCTCGACATCCAGCGCGACATCACCATCCGCATCCAGGATGAGCTGTCGGACGAGGGCTTCGAGAACGCCCCGGTCACGTTCCACCTCACCAGCATCTACAACCACTCCATCTTTGAGGCCTTCTCCAAGGTCATCCAGAAGCTGATCCCGAGGCTGGGCCAGCTTGAGGCGATGCTGACCAACCTGTGCCGGACGTGCCGCTTCGAGAAGGCGTACCTGTTCGACGTCATGTCCAAGATCTACATCGCGACCGACTCGGCGCCGGCGGACATGGCCAGCTACGAGATCTGCTCCGACTACATCGACGTCATCATCGACGTCTCAATGGTCTACGGCAGCTGGAGCCGCTCCAAGGCGCACCGCGACCGCCTTGAGGGCCCGCCGTGGTCCCAGAAGCTCGAGGACCAGGTCGCCGTCTCGTTCGCAGAGAGCCACATCGTCGTCAACGAGGGTCTCCGGCCCGTCATGCTCCGCGAGGTCGACCGCTACCTGGCGCTGGTGGCCATCATGAAGGAGGGCAGCTATGAGAAGATGCCCCTGGTCAACATGAATGTCGACGTCGTGGCCAAGGGCCTCACCGAATTCTTCGAGGTCACTAAGAGGGGCAAGTGAGCAGGTCTGTGGTCTGTGTAGATGTGCGGTTTTCTTTCAATTCATGGCTGACCGGAACCCTCTGGCGGGGAAACTCGGTTCGCCTCCCGTATCCAACGGCTTCAGTTGCGCCCGTCTTCGATGTGCGCCTGGTGCTGTTGTTGAAGAGTGTTTGAAATGAATCTACATAATGCTTGAGCTTTGTTTGTATTTGGTTGGTTGGTTGGTGGCGAGACTCGTGATGCCGAGTATCAGAAGAATGTCTCGCCTTCTCTGAGGCCCCTCAGGGGCTGCTACCATATCTACGTGGACTCCCAGAGCCACGAGTCAACCTTGTGACGCAACACAGCCGCCGCCGCAACAGTTTGGGGAATTTTTTTTCTTGCGTCACCCGTGGTATGCGAGGCTGGATATCTCATGACTCTGGGTTTGCACCCGGCCTTGCGCCCCAGGGCAAACCCGCTGCTCCACCCCGAAGAAGGGTGTGAAATGTACTGCCTATAGTGTTTCCGAGGAAACGTGAGGAATGGCAGGGTGAAGGGGAAAGGGAAGAAGAAGAAAAAGGAAAAACGGAAAGGGAAACTCATTTCGTGCAAAAGCCTGAGAAGACCGCTGTTGCCGTACCCTCCTATCCAAAATGCCCGCCCAAGCCCATTCGGGCGGCCACCGTGAGCACTGATAATCCCGGCCCGACAGCGCGCCGCAACAAAATCCCGTAGGTCTAAGATGCTCTGTAAAAACTGCCGACCAGAAAGCACGAGAACGCCCATCGGTCACCCAGTGTATATATGCCCCCGGGCTTCTAGGTATCGCCGGAAACCCCCGCCGCGTCCCAATTTTTTGTATCCCCTCCTCGCCTAGCTTTCGTCATTCCTGGTCTCGTAGTGATGCGCGTTTTGAAATCGTCCCGGCTGGCGTCGATGAGTTGCATTCATTGCCCCTGAGGAAAATTCTCCTGCTCACATCGGCTTGAAGTTCGTATTGAACATGTCCCAGTTCCGGTTGAAACTCGCGTCTGTCATCATATCGTCTATCTCCCCACCCGCAGCTGGGTGAGGCTGTTGTTGTTGTTGTTGTTGTTGCTGCTGCTGCTGCTGCTGTCGCTGTCGCCGCTGGTGCTGCTGTTGCTGCTGTTGGTGGTGATGCCCCTGCCTCATGTGGTACTGTTGTGCAGCCAAGGCGCTTGGAGACTGGTACATCTGTGCCGACAAGTCAAGTCCAGCCTGCCCGGCCGGATGTTGTATGAGGTACGGGGGCAGAGGGCCAGCTACCAGGGTAATGGGTCAGCTTCTGGGTCCCTCTTTGAGGGAACAGGATAAAATTTGTATACAAATTATAAATGGACTCACTCAGCTGCCCTTCTATTCCGCCATAGAGGCCTGGCGTCATATAGAAGTTGCTCGCGTCGGCCTGAGGAGGTGGTGGCATCTGCGGGGGCTGTGCGTCGACCAGCGGTTGATTTGGGTAGGCAAAAGGGTCCCCAGACGGGAACATCATCGCGTCAAACTTGTAGATATTGTCTGGGCTCTGAGTCATGGCCTGATTTGGAGCATTTCCATGCTGAGGGATGAAGGCAGCCTCGGTCGTTTGGCTGGATGAAGGGGTACCGGCGTCAGATGCGCTGGCCCCGGGCACGTCCAGAGGATGGAGCTCGGACGGATTCACGCTGAAGCCTCGCGATGATGACCTGCCACCCTGCATAGGAGAACGAAAAGCCAGCGGGACTCCCGATCGTGTGTCACTGCCCCTACTGGACGGAAGAGGTACTTTGTGAGTACTCAACGGGACAGGACCAGGTTTTGGTCCAGTTGCAGGCCGCTTCTTCGTGGACATGGCTCGAGGCTTCCCTTTCTTGACTGACTCCGGCAGATTTTCCCACAAGGAGTTCAGGGAGGTCGTGATTCGGTCCGCTGCCAGGCTTCGAAGGGCCATTTTGGCGATCATCTCTCGGCCGGCGTTGGCCTCCGCGAATATCTCTACCGAGCCCGGCTTGTCTGGGTTCTCGAGGGTGTAGAATACCAGTGTCAGGATGGCGAAGAACTCGGTATACAGCATAGACCAGAACGGGCCGACCACAAGGGCTTGGTTTTTTATCTCCATCGCGATGTGGATTATGTTCCGGCAGACGCTGATCCCAGCGGCCGCACAAGCATAGTAGGTTTCGTCCACGACCTTGCCGGCCGACAACCTCGGGGAGATGTAGTGGAGGAACGGTCGGTATAGCATCATTTGCACATGTGCGTACGCAAAGCGCAATAAGGTTCGAACTCTGGTAACGAGGCGATCAGCTAGCTGCTACTAAAATGTGGCAGAGGTGTAAACGACAAAGGGATAGTGAACTGGTATGGGAACAGCCCCGCCAGCACAGTTGAAAGCCAATGAGGTATCAATCAGCCTTACCTCACCACTTCGATAGGTCCCTCAGCACTAGGACGCCACCTTTCGGGGAGTTGTTCATGCCACACCTGGAGGTCACCCTCGATCTCCTTGATGCGGCGGTATTCGATCATGTAAGTCAAGCTTGATTCGCCGTCTGAGCTTATGACGGCGTCTTCGATTCCCTTGAGTGGGTATATGTATTTGATAACCTTCAACAGTATCTCCATGAGCCTCGAGTGGGCGTTGAATGCTTGGAAGAATGACCCGGGTGTCTCAGGAGGCGGCGTCGAGATGCTATCAGCGGTAATAAACTCATCGTCGATCTCCGAGGGCAGCTGCTGGTCGATGTCTTCCGCGTGAAGCAAGACGGGGAACCCTAGAAGAGCTGAACAGTAGATGTCCAGCTGCCGGATAAAGTAAAAGATGCGTCTCCTCGACTCGCTTACGAGGGGTGTAAAGCTGGCATTGGGCAGATGCCGGTGCAGACCCATTCTGAGAGCGGTGCGCAGGGCGATGCCTAGGAACGCATAACAGGCACTTAGGTTCGAAGTTGCTTGCAGGAACAGAATCAAGAATAGTAGGGACTGTAACGAAGTCAGATCCCGACACTCTGTAATGTCTTGCAGCAGGATTCTCGCCGACGTGTAATAGCCCATCCTGTCCAGGTGTGTCAGCCTTCCGAGCAGATGTCTTCTTCCCCCTTCTGTCCAAAGAGATTGCTTACCCTTCCTCAGTTGCCTCGCTGTAGTTGACCTGGTTGTCAACATCCTCCTCTGCGATATTGTACATACAACCCACGGCCATGACCGAGTAGAGGAGGCCGAGAAATCGGTTGTCTTCTATCTCGAAAGTGTCTGACGGCTTCTGGTACAACTCCTCAAACTTCTCAAAGAAGGATGGTATGTGTACAATTCGCAGCAGTGCCGTTGCACATGAGAGCGCACAATAGCTCAGTTGACGGGCGCGTTCCTTCGGTGGCAGGTCGTGGACGTTTGAGCCTTTCGAGTCGTTGGGAGTCGAGGCGGTTGTCGACTGCGGCGAGTCCAGCTTCAGCAGGCCTGGAACCTGGGCCGGTCGCGGAAGGAAGGTGGTCTGGTAGTCGCTGCCTAGTAAGCCCCTGAAGTGGTCCTTCATCCGCCTGAGGAAGACAGCGCCGGATGAGGTGCCTCGGAAGTCCCATCCACCGCCCTCGGTGAGGTCCAGCTGGCCCAATGTCTCGATCATGGACATGATCTGGGCTGTCTGTTGCTCTGCCTCCTTGGCGTTCTCTTGCCGGGCCTTGGCAGCTTGCAGTCTTTGTCGCTCTCGGTTTTGGAACTCCTGTTGGACGGCGGGATCCAGGCTTGGGTCGTTCAGGTCGACGTCCGGCACGAACTTTCGCAGGGTTGCCTCCGCGCGTGCCAGCTTGTTCTCGAGGGCCTCGATGTACTGAGGAGCAGGGTTCCGCCTTCGATTGGAAGGCTTGTCATACGTACACTCTGTATAGAAAGGAAGCGTTAAAGGGGCAAGTTTCGAGAATCTGAACAGAAATCCACTGACCATAGCTGTATACAGAGCAGTGTGTGCACGGCTGCTTGCCATCGCACTTGATCTTCTTGCGCCGACATTCATCACAGGCACGTGTAACACGTCGCCGTTTCTGGACAGGCATCTGCACTGTCTGATTGGACCCTGTAGAGTTCTCGTCACCCTGTTCTGCTTTGACCGAGGCGTCCCCGGGAGACTGCTGGTCATCCTGGTGGTCCGAGACAGGGCTTGGCTCACCGGACCCAGAGTCCGGTGAGAGCTCACGGTCAGTCATCTTGTCTGTAAGGACTGTGGTGGCCTTGGAAGGCTTTTGCTGAGGGCTTGAATAATTCGTATGCCAATTTGTTGAGCTGTTGTTGTTGTTGTTGTTGTTGTTGTCATCAACACTCCTAGTTCACCAGACCCCGGCGTGGTCGAGAAGGACTCTCAAGGACCCTGGCCGGCCAACTCCCTCTTTCTTTGTCTCCCTGCACTTCTCCGGACTTCGCGGCTCATGTCTCATGGGCATGAGCTACAAGTATCGTCAATGACAACACGCAATGGCTGTAGTTCAGGTCGAATGTGGACCATGCGACATCGCGGTTGCTATTTCTCGACCCCAGCGGACGGCTCGGATATAACACGGTGAACCCGCCGAGGAGTACCGCACAGTCGGAGAATTATTGCAAGTCCTGCGACTTTGGTAATACAGTACTGTATCGCCTTGGGGCTGAATTGGGGGGGGGGGTTGGGGTCTCGAGGCAGGAGGAAGCAACAAGAGTCATCAATGAACAGTCCAGTCCAGAGTGAAAAAGATTAGGCGAGGTATAGTTTCCAGCGATCGAGGGGCAGAGGAGGACATATGTTGTACCTAAGTATTATGATGGTGACTATGTGTGGAGCAGGGGGGTCCCTCGAAGTCTTGTCCATCAGCGGTGCCCAGCGGAGGGAAGCTCACATCCCAACTAGTCTACACATGTATGTACAGTACCATGCGGAATCCAGCGAGCCATGGGTGGGTTCTCTTCCGTTGGCTGTCGACCCAAGGAGTCAGAACGAGCAAGGGGTAAGAGGGCTGTGTAGGCCGGTTCGGTGCCGGGGGGCGTGTAGCATGGAGAAAAGGTTGTGATGGCTCACTCTAGCACAAAGCTTGGCATGTAAGTCGGCAGGGATGGACTTGTCTGTGGAGGCTGGTGGAAAACGTATGGAACTTCTTCGAGCTACCGGTGACGACGGGGACGTTCCCGGGTGGGAAGAGGGGGTGACGAAAGGGGAGGGAGGGGGTTGCGGCGCGAGAGAGTCTTGACACGGACATATTGTGAGTAGAAGGCCGCACGGCTCTAAGCATGGTTGATTACGTAGCAGCATCGCCTGTACCTTGACTGGTATGGCCCGCCAGACAGGTACATGTCATGTCCGTTACAGGAAGGGGAAGAAGAAAGAGTTTCGCCAGGGTCCCTACTCTACACTAGAATGGGAAGTGGGTGGTATCCGGCATCTCTTTAGAGTCGAGGCTATCTGTGGCAAGCCTGGGCAAGGGGACAAGCAAAAGGTCAAGACTGGGATCATCCAGGATGGGGGCTGAAGGACCACCATGACCACCCAAACGGAATGGAAGTGGCTAGCCCAAGTGGATAACGCCCTCGAGGAGGGGTGAGAATGTCTAACAAGAATATGAGTTCGCGCGGAATCGTGGTGTGGATGCACACAACCTTGGCTGGTGTATACGTAGTGAGAGGCAGTGCTGAATCAGTTGCTCAAAGCCGGGAAACCCGATCTGCTCGCCCGGCTCGGCGCTTGATGGATGATATGATTCGAGTGTCACTGGAATTCCAGCAGGGACGGTTGAGGTCTTGACGCGAGCTGCGGTGCCAAGCCGTCAGTTCAGATCTCTGGGACTCGGGCGACAGGGTCTGGGGAGCCATCTGTGCGGGAGGATTAGTGTAACAAGGTGTATATCGGACCATATGCGACTGACTGCACGAACAGCTGTTGCCAGAGGACGGGGCGAGGGCCAATGCGCCGAGTACAGTTCACCGGCGTCAGAAGCCAGAGGTGCGGCGGCCTACCTGGGTCACTTGCGTGTGGTGGTCGGACTGTAGTGAGCACAAGCTTCAGGAGCAGGACCGCAAAAGACTTGACTCCGGAGTCCGGGGTTGGCATGGAAAAGGTTACCCGTTGTGACGACGAGGGGCTCTTTCGGGGGAGACGGGGGTGGGATTAGCCTGTGATGCTGTGGGGCGTTAGCTGGGCACACACACAAGTCGGAAATTTCCTTGGGGTTCCTACTCTAGCTTACTCCGTACGTCAAGCATTTAATATCACGGCAAAAGGAACTCCCGGAGGAAGAGATGGTTGTTGCCATTGCTGAGTCTCTGCAGGACCAAGAGCAAGCCGCAGATCCTACACGCTGTGCCACGGATTGCAATTTGCGACCAGAGTAGAATTTTCCAATTGCCATCAGATGCCGGCCAGAGAGATGCTGGTAGGCGGCGTGGTCGTGCCATGCCGTCTTGGTATGTGGCCGACCATGTACATACGGTGGGTTCCGTTATACGCAGCACGAAGTACTTGGCAGTTTACGCAGTGACAGAGCGACTGGACAACAGATGCGACCCACATGCTGCCCCAGCCAGACCACGTTGGGTCCGCAGCAATCAGATAGTGAGTCTAGGTCTACCGGGTTTCGGTTCCTTCGAGTGGGACGAACCCCGTGGGTTTGGTCTGGCCTGGCTGGCCTGGCCGGCCTGCTGGCTGGTGTATGGGGATATCGAACAGCAAACAGACGCGCCCGCCCGAATTGCTGCCCGCAGCGTCAGTGTGCTTAAATCAACCTTAAATCAACCTGCTCCGTCCGTTCGCGCCGGCAACTCTTCTTTGCGACACCACCCAGGTACCGCCCAGCCTGCCAGTTCAGGTACAATTGATTAGTCTGCCGCAAAGGGCAGGTCAGTCGGGACTGTGTGGCCGCCGAGAGATTTGAAAGCCCACCACAACAACGGACAGAGTCCGAAGGTGGCGGCGGCAGTGGTGCGTTCAAGGCTTGTGGGTGACTGCACCCCGGAAGCGAGCCGCTCATGTGCCTCGATGGCTTTTTGGTCCTCGGCGCCCTGTGCCTGCACCTGTGCCTGCACCTGTGCCTGCGCCTGTGCCTGCTATGACCTGTGCCTCTCCAGCTCTCTGCGTCGAGCCGGCTCACACATGCCAGACGTTGCTGCCAAGCGGCCAAGGTTCCTGTGCCTGACCTTGACCAAGGAAGGACCGGTGCTCGGGGCTCGCTCGGCCACTGGCTGCAGAGCAGTCACGGTCGCACCGCATCAGAATCTTTTTGAGACAGGCAGGACAGGCAGTCCGCCGCCTAAGAAAACAGTGTGTGCTCCTTTCCCCGGCGAATCGCCCCATCTGCGAGACCCAAGCCTTTAGGCTCGCATGGCAGGGGACCAGCACAGCCACCATGGCGGAGCAGCCCGCATGTGGGCGCGAAGGGGCCACACACCCACTCTGCAGCCTGGGCGTCCGGAAGGACGTTGGCAAGTGGCCAGGCTCTCGCCGATCTTGGCGCGTCGGCACGGTTTGCCAAGACGGCGGGGAGATCTGTGAACCTTAGACGGGTTTCTTCTGCCTCTCATCACCTCGGCCTCTCCAGCCTCTGCGACATGATTGCACAGCAGACACAGCAGACACGTCGAGATGGAACATACGAGTCAGCTGATGACAAACCTGCCCAGCAGTGTTCCCCCAGACCATGCCGACCGCGGTGAGGGACAGTGCTTGCAACATTCGTCTTGTCCCTGGTGTTTCAGGGCGACCCTGGGGAGTCGAGGCTCTTCCCACGACGGCGCCGTCACAAACCAGCATGGTCGCTGTCCCGGCAGCGGCAGCAACAGGGCGCCGGTGGCATCGGCTCGGTTACTGTGGTATGTGCCCGAGCCCCAGGATATGAGAAGTTGTTTGCGGTAGAGCGAGACCAGGAGAACACATCACATATATTGCGTCCCCCGACAGACGGTGGTGCAATGGTGCCGCCTCGGACGTTGGCCATCGGCTCCGAAATGCCAAGCCTGCCCCCGGCCCTGGAGAGAAGTTTTGAAGCGAGACGCCATTATGATGACGTAACGACAGCCACTGGTCCTCAACAGCATCTCGGCTAAGTTCTGGGCAGCGGTTGGTTGGTGGTCCTACTAGCTAGCCCACCAAATCGAGCGAGCCCTGCATGGTGCCGTGAGGGCAGGGAGGACAGGGAGGATTGATTGACCTCTGCCCTCTGCCCTTGCATCAGTCCTGCTTACTGTACCAGATATGACCTGGAGCCAGTATTATTAATGTGTCGATAGATACAATGACAGTGAGAATTCCAATTACCCAACTGGAACCAGAAGCCTGCTGTACTTCATTGTTGCATCAGGACCGGCAGGCTCAGCCACAGGAAGAATTGTTGATCAACCACGGATTTTGATGAGATCAAACGAGACTGGTCGCGTGACCTTTCTCATATTGCCTTCATGGCCTTCTGGAACAAGGGTGTGCATCAGCTGGCCTTGTGATCGACAAGGCTGACAGCTTCAGCTTGAGCCTTGATTGACTGCGTTGTGATGATGTGTCGGTGCAGTATATTGACATGCATGCTCGGTGGTGAATCTGGAAGGCTGTCTGTCTGGGCGTGCACTAGCTCTCCCCCCTCCAAGGCCCGGCTGTCTAGGCTGTGCTCGGCCCTGCCGGTGAAGCCCGAAGAGCTACCTAGGTACCTACCCAGGTGGTATGCCCCACAGCCCGCCACCCGGCGCCCTGGCACCTGGGTTTGCTTGACGACCTGCTACCCCGCCAATGCACCCCTGCACCCCTGCCTGGAGCGAAGCTGCACGTCGTACACTGCCCATCCAGCAATCAGAAGCTTGTCACGTCTCTCGTCAAGACGCGCCGCCGCCACCACCACGGAGGATCCGGTATCGATATCGACCTTGATACGGAAACACCACAGCCTCGGCCATAGCAACAGCCATGGCAAGCTCCACCGACGCCCTGCCGCCTGAGTTCCTTCAGAGGGCTCAGCAAGGTGGCATCGTCGTCACGGGTAAGCTCAGCCTTGCCTCTGCCCCCATGAGTAGCTCACTTGTGTGCCTTCGCCTGCCGATGCGCTGGCCTCATGCTGAACCTTTCCCGGCCTTCCCGGCCTCCTTTCCCAGGGGAGACCAGCTTGCTAAAGAGACCTCTTGCAGAGATACCCAAATTGGATTTGGAGTCCTACATACAGAACTACAGAGGTGCGTGGGGCTATCCTTCCATCTGCTGGTTGTTTGCCTCCATACTGACCCGCTCCCAAAGGCCGTACCAGACTCGACAGACTCCTGAATATCGCCCGAACGTCAACAGTACTCAGCGTCGATGCTCTGAAGCTTGCCATCAACGAGGTGGTCTCTGGGGGAAGAGATGTTCAGCTCTACCAGGATGCCCATGAACTACTTCGTGCCCTTGGACGCGACGAGCCGGAGGCTAAGTACAACGCTGCTTGGGTCAGTGAGATGGAGAAGGCAAACCGATCAGAAACGCATCATCTCGAGGCGGAGCTTAAAAAGTACAAGAACAATCTTGTGAAGGAGTCTATCAGGGTTGGTCCTCGTAACCGAACGCCTAGGCCCCAGTTCACTTGCTAACAACATGTAACAGATGGGCAACGAGGATCTTGGAAAGCACTTTGAGAGAATCGGTGAATTGTCCCTTGCATATGACGCCTATTCCAAATGCCGAGCCGACGTGAGCTCCGCAAAGCACATTATCGAGGTTGGATTGCACCTCGCCCGCTTGTCTGTCTACCGCCGTGACTGGCCTTCCGTCACGGCCAATGTGAACAAGATAAGCGGCCTGCAGTCTGATGGTGCCGGTGTTGCGGACAAGACTCAACAAACGATATGCAATATCCTTTACGGAATCGCTTTCCTCGGCCAGGCCAAGTATCCTGAGGCAGCACGAAGCTTCCTCCAGGTCGACCCCGCCGTCACTCCCGACAGTTACGACAAGTTTGCCAGCCCCAACGACGTCGCAGTCTACGGGGGACTGCTGGCTCTGGCTACTATGAGCCGACCAGAGCTCAGCGGAGTGCTGGAAACCCCAGGCTTCCGCACATTTCTCGAGCTCGAGCCCCACATTCGTAGGGCCATCTCTCAGTTCGTCAATGGCAGATATTCGGCCTGCTTGTCCATTCTTGAGTCTTACCGCACAGACTACCTCCTCGACATCAACCTGCAGCCCCACCTCAAGCAGTTGTACACTGTCATCCGTGGCAAGTGCATCTTCAACTTTGTTCAGCCCTTCTCTTGCGTCACAATCGACAACCTGAACGCCGCATTTGCCCCTGCCGGCGAATCTATCGACCAAGAGCTGGTGGAGATGATTGGAAATGGCACTCTGGATGCTCGCATTGACACCATCGACAGAGTAAGCCAGGCAAACGCCAGGATATGGGTATCAGTCAAAATGCTAACAACAAGCTAGGTCGTTACCATCGCCTCTCCGAATCCCCGTGCAAAGATGCAAGCGGCGTCTCTAACTGCTGCAAAGACTTACGAGAAGGAGGCCCTTGATCGCATCCGCCGCATTGGCATTGTGTCTGCAGATCTTGAGGTCAAGGGAAAGCACAAGGGTCAGGGAGCAGGCGCTTTTGGGTCGTTCCAGGCTACAGGCGCGAGGTTTGGAGATGGCACAAGTGACGGCTCGATTGACGACTATTCGGGATTACAACCCCAAGGGCCATCTTCATTCGTGATGAGCGACCTGATTCATGAGTGAATGTCAAGAAATTTGCGGAGGCGTTTGGAGTTGGGAGAACCCGGGAGAAGACCCATTCTTGTTTTACATGCTGGAGCATGAGGCATCCACAACTTGCGAGGCAATCCATCGGGTAGACGGTAATTCCGTGAAAAAATGACTACGCCATGCACTGCTGGTTCCACCACTCATGCATTATCTTTGGTCGCCCGAAGCCCTCTTTCACTTAGCCCATCAGCTGTCTAACGTCCTCGGGCGGCCATCTCACCTGCGCGAAGGTGAGACACCGTTTGATGCTCTGCAAGTATTTTCTTGTGACCTCGTCACCCATGACGTGACCCCTCTCGCCGTTGTGGAGCTTCTCACGGGCGCTTCGCTCGTGAATACCCACCATGGTCACGCCGATGGGCCAGGCCGCCTTGCCGATGCTCAGCCTCAGATAGCCATCGTTGGCATCCACGTAGCGCCGCTCCTGAGCAGCCCGGACGATCTCAACGACGGGCTTCAGCACGGACTCGTCCAGGTCGGCCTTCTCGAACCTGCGGAACAGGGGCGTCATGGTCTGCTTGCACTGCACCATGGTGCTGTACGCCTGCCTCGCGGCACTGGTCTCGAGCTCACCGCCGGCCTGGGCCCGCTCCCTCGCCAGCGCGAGCTCCCACTCACGCAGCACCATGGTGAAGTAAGACGCCAGCTGCCGGTACAGCCACCGCCGCGCCTCCTTGTCCTCCGCCGGGGGCACCTCGTCCGCCACCTTCATGTCCTTCTCCTCCACCAGCTGAAGCGTCGTCGGGATCGGCCCCTGCGTCACGGTCGTGGTGAGCCTGCGGTAGCGCTTCAACCTCGCGGCGCGCCCCTCGCCGAACAGTGCCGCCGGCTCGCCCAGCGACCGCAGCTTGGCCGTTAGCTCCTCGTCCGTCAGCGCGGACAACCCATCGTGCGCGTCGTCCTCCTCTTCGGCCCCCGAGGCTGGCGTTGACCCGTCGCGCTTGAGCTCCGGCAGGCCCAGGCGCTTCCGCCGCGCGCGTTCCTCCTCGGCCTCTCTCTCCTCCCTGCGCCGCCTCGACTCCTCCGCGAGCTTCCGACGCTTCTCCTCCCTAGCCTTGGCCTCTTCTGCGGCGTCCTCCTCGCGTTTCCGTTTCGCAGCGGCCTTGGCCTCTTTTTCTTCTGCGAGTCGTCTCTGTTCGGCCCGGTATGCTGCTTCCCTGGCGGCTTCGGCGTCGGCCTTGCGTGTGTATTTGGAGGAGGTGTCGGCTGCTGCTTTGGTGTCGGTTGGGGAGGGGCCTTTCTTCTTGGCGAGTTCCTGGGACATCAACGCCGCGAAGTCCATCTTGGCCTCGTTGCAGTCAGTCCCGTGGCTTTAGTGTTATTCGTGAGTATCGAAGTGCGAAATGTGATGCGTTGAGAATACGGCGGCTCGAGATTGGGTTTGTGTACAGTGACTAGTGGATAGTGAATAGGTCAGACGTCAAAAGCCTGCCGAGGCTGAGGCCGCCTACTAAATTCTAGCTTCTAGAAGCTCGTTCCACGGCCGGGGCCACCAGCGACAGGGTTCCCCACGCGCCCGGGAAGCTTAATCCCACCTACTGCTTCAGCCCTGCGTTCGTCGTCCATGGCGACTTCCAATAACAACAAGATACCGTATCCTCGCCCATGAGCTCGCAGCAGCCCCCCCGGAGCCTTTGACAGAGGCCAATGGGCCGATATTAGACGGAACCATCCATATCAGAGCAGCACTCTACCTCGAACGCAGGGAAACCGAACTGCAGAGAGCGAGCCTTGCGCATTGAGCGCCCCGTAGGCGCAATGGACCAAGCTCCCAAGGTCGATCGCGACGCGACCACCCCGTTCCTCTTGAAGGTCTACTACAGAACCGGCGCGTTTCACAGGTTCGCCATCATCCCAGTTGCCATCTATGGCCTGGCACCTAGCAACGTGACTAACTCATCTCCCGGCAGACCAGATGAATTCTCCGCGCCCGACAACCTGCCTCATGTGTCCTTCCACACCTGGCCCTCAGCAACCCTCGCCGAGCTCAGCCACCAGCTCGCCGCCACCGCCTCACACCTCCTGCCTCTGCCCGCGATAGGCACACGCCTCGCCTTTCGCCTCCTCTACTATGACACCCGCGGCGCGGGGGACCAGGACCAAGTGCCGGCGCGCTGCGTGGTCAAAGACCTCGGCTCCGTGGTAATCGGCGATGGCGGGCCGGGCATCTCCACAGACGGGGACGACGTCGGAGGGGATGTGGTGGGCGACGGCAGGCTACGGCAGGGCGCCACGGCGGGCTCCGCGGCCGAGAGCGCAAAGTCGCTGGCAGACGCGCGGTTCGTGGTTGGGGACTTCCTCTCTTGCGCCATACTGCCGCCCTCGCCGGCGGACGGGAGCGTGCAGCCTGCCTCGGCGGCGCGCGCCGGCAGGGGATACGGCGCAGGCCAGGCCAGGAGCGCGGTCGACCCTGGACCCCCACCGATGAGCAGGGGAGGCGGGCGGGATGGCTGGTCTGCGGCTACGTACGGGCCCAGGGGAGGAGGCGGAGGAGGCTTCCGTGCCCCGCCGGTCGGCGAATGGCGTAGGGGCGAGAAGCTCCCGGAGGGGCCTCCTGGGCGGGGCCGCGGCGGTAGACGATGGAGAGAACACGGGGCCGCTCAGGTGGATTGGGGAAGACTACACCATGGAGACTACGCCTGATTCTGATGTCATTGTGAGGGAAGACGAGCTGCGGTGGCCTGTTGTTGGCTTCCTGTGATCACGGGGAACGACCTGCCAGCACACGGGCGCCATACAAGGCTCTTCAACCGGCTGCCCCCGGGCCAAGTATGCGGTTTGGAATGTTTTAACAAGCACAGTATCTTTGTATGATGATTTCCCGGTTGGTTTCGTTGAGCTTGGAGTTTTGGAGCGAGGGCTTGGGTAGCGCGGTCCTCCAACACGAATCATAACGTAGAATGATGGTTGATGTTTTGCATTTTGCGCCTCGTTTCTGCCTGTCTGATGTACAGATCCCCCCTCGTCTCGACGATAAACCACCTGTCTAGTACTCGGCAAGCAGGTCTCCCTTCCGCTTCGCCCTGAAGTTCCACTTTCCCTGTGTTTGACACCAATCAGTCAGCATTCAACACCTCCGAGTTCCGGGGAAGAACGATCGCTCGTGCATCTGTCTCAACGTACATCTGTCGCGTAGGCCGCCACACCGATTATCGCCGGTACCAGAATGACATAGTTGAATGTGATGAGTGCCGTCCGTCGAGTCCATCGGAAGTACTGGTACCGGCTCGAGCTCATGTCTGTCGGTCGGGTGCATGTCAGAAATCCGGCCCCAAATCGTGCGGGACTGAGTCGCTCAGATCAAGAGCAATCCATTGTATACTTGTCGGGGAGGGGTAGTGGTACTGTTCAACCGGATGATGGCCGGGTCCATGGCCAGCTCTGCGCAGGGGGTCAGTCATTCGCGTCTCGTGTGCCATTGAGGGGTGGTAGTATGGCGTACTGAAATGTTTGAGGCCCGCCATCTTGACTGGTTTGTCCTGTGGACTCGTTCAAATGTGGCTGCGTCGACGGTCGGGGGTAGATGCTGCTTTGGAAGTCGGTTTAGGAGCGCAGTCGATGTGGTAATTGAACCGTCGTTGAGGAAGCATGGGGCCGGGTCGGGCGGGTCTTGTGTGGTTAATTGCATGTTGCGGTTAGCATTGCATAAAATAACGTTTTCTACGCCGCCGGTTCCCCGCTTATCCGAGCTGCAGACATCTGGAGGAAGCGATAGGGAACCGACCAGCCCACTCATCTTATGTAGAATAGATGACCTTATTCCAAGATCTACTTGTTGACTTGGTGAACCATGAAACAAATGGTCAGATTTGCATGATACTTTGAATTGCTAAATCGCGTAAATCACCAGTGATTCGTTCCATGTTGTCTGTCATCCGCAGAGCTTCTCGCTTCAGTTGCGTTTGAAACGACCATCTAACTAATTAACATGTGATGTTGAAGCAGGGCTGGTCTGGAGGGCGCGGTCATTTCTCTTGATTTCCGCCGTAGAAGAAAACCAGTTATGTGCAGTACTGCATGTGGTCTCCTGCGATGGCTGTCGCTAGGGTGTCGTCCGAGGTTCCTAGCAAGTGTATGCATCGCCATTGGAGGTGCCTCGGCTGTTCCCATGCCTGTTCGCTGCAGAGCTTAAAAACGACTGGGCTATGCCGTATCGAAGCATCATAGCCCCACGCTCCCGTTCACATTTATTTCCTTTACATCTGATCTCGAGGATCTGTTCAGCACCCTGCAATTGGCCCTACTGCCTATAGTCTTATGTGAAGTCGCCTCAAAAGCGTCTTTGTGCTCCAGAATCAGCAATGGCGGAACAGCCCAAGATCACGCTTCACTGGTGAGCACCCGTTCTCCGTCGCTCGTCAAGCCCGGGCAGCTCCACTGACGGACAGGTGCAACGGCCAGGCTCAACGGCTCGCGAGCCAACTCCATGCTATGGCTTCTGGAGGAGCTTGAAGTCCCGTACGATGTCAAAGTCTATCATAGGCAGTCAAACATGTTGGCACCTCCTGAGTTGGAGAAGGTGCACCCTCTTGGGAAGTCTCCCGTCATTACTGTTGAGGCGCCCGGGGCATCAGAACCGGTGGTTCTGGCCGAGAGCGGCTTCATCTTCCAGTACCTCTGCGACCACTTTGCCCAAGGCAAGACAATCATCCCAAAGCGGTGGAAGGATGGGCAGGAGGGCAAGTTCCTCGGAGAGACAGAAGCCTGGATGCGTTACTCGTATCTCCTCCACTACGCTGAGGGGTCATTCATGCCCAACTTGGTGATGTACTTGGTCCTGTCCGGTATGTCGCGCAGACCTCATTCTAGGTCGAATTGGTACTGCCTACTGACCAGTCCGGCACAGCCCTCAAGTCTAACCAGGTGCCTTTCTTTGTTCGGCCCATCTCCTCCGCCATTGCCAATCGCATCATCTCGATGATGGTATATCCCAACGTCAAGAAGCACCTGGCATTTCTGGAGAAGCAGCTGGAGACTTCGGGTGGGGATTTCCTCACGGGGCCAAACCTCACAGCAGCCGACATCATGATGAGCTACCCGCTGCTCGCAGGCAAGTCGGGCTTCGATGGAATGGGAAAGTTTGCCAAGGGCACAGCCAAAGAATCTTTTCCCAAAGTCTATGAGTGTGAGTGGAAGCTTAACAGCCGCCTCTCCCGAAACCCTTTGCTCGCCGCCTCAGGCCGCTGACACCGGTTTAGACATGGACAGGCTTGAAGCCCAGGCAGGCTGGAAGAAGGCTGTCCAAAAGACCAAGGACATTGACGGCGGTAAGTTCAGCCTTGTCCCTCAGCCTGCCTGAGCAATGTCCTTCGCAGAAGAAGAATGGTCGATGCACCCTGGGTATATGTAGTGTGTAATGCGAGGTGGACGATAATGATGACGCTACCCAGGAAATCACCATCTCTGGCCGAGGAGGGGAGGGATGAAACTGTCGAGGATATAGGCCCCAGGGCTGCCCCGGGGGGGGAGACGGGCCAGAGAGGGCAGTGCAGGTAATGATTAGTCCGGTTAAATCCAGTCACAGCTCTAGTGATCCTCAATCCATCCATGATGTATTTAGTATTCGGCTGCAGCCCCATCTCAGAGACATCTATCCCGGAGTGTCTGCCTGGGCGGGGCCCGGGCTTTCGGCGCGTTCCAACCACCCGCGCGGAGAAATGGAGCCCGACCGATATTGAGACAGCTTGATGCGGGCGATGAAGAAACGAATCTGAAGGTGTCGACACGGTCAATTGTCCTCGACCCTTGTGTTTTGGCGCCGCAGGCCATGGAGCACAAGAAACGGTGGCAGAGTGGCAGAGTGGCAGAGTGGTAAGCTGAGCTGAGCCGAGTCGATCAGATCAGCATTGGGCTGACGGGTCGGCCCAATGTGGCCGTGGCCGCCTTGGTCGGTTGTCCCTGCTTGGCATCTGCAACTTGGCATCTATTAATGCACATGCACGTGCGAGGCCAGGTGCACAGCCAGTCAGGAGCGTGCATAAGGGGATGGTTCGCAGCGGTTTCTACGACCTCACCTTTGCCTGTCCTGTGGGCTGTACTGGCTGTCCCCTTATTGTTGTGACTGTTCCCCGTACGTGCGCACGGTCAGGGGCCATGGCTGCTTGCTGTCTTGCCTGCCCGCCTGCCTGTCAAGATCGATCAAGGCTGGGAATTCCCCCGTCATGACGTCAGTCCCAGCCAGCGCAGACCAGAGGGGGACCCATGAGAAAGTCTTGTCCTGTCATGGCTGTTGCTTGTTTTTTCCATGACGCTCTGAGAGAGATACCCTTCGATAATCAGTGCCCGCTGGCTCGGCCAGGCCGCGGTGGTTTGTTTGGGATGGAGCAGAAAGATGTGGCACCCCCCCGACGTCGACTCGGCATCCAGGAGGACCCAGGACGCTGGCGCGCCGCCGTGGCCAGCCCGTTGGGCCAGTGGTCGGCCGCGATCTGAGCTCTGAGGTGGCACCGTACGCACGGGCGAGGCACCGCTCCTTCCTGCTGGATCTGGATCCGGATCGTTGGCGCCAGTTCCAATCGAACCGCAATCATAATCGCAACGCAGCTGTTGACACCTATCAGCCAGCACCACCCTGCACAGCTCCCACTCACTCTGTGGGGAAGCGGCTGAGTCTCGCATAAGCATCCATCCTCTCTGCCTCTCTCTCGGTTTATCTGTCTCCCTGTTCCCCTGTCTGTCTGCTCCTCGCCTGCTGACCGTGCTCCGTATTTGTTTTGTTTTGGCCTTTCCGACCGTCCGACCTTCCGACCCTCGTTTATTAGTCTCTTCTGAGCAACTCCCTCATTTCATAAGCCGTCGGACTTCGGCCTCAACTGCCTTTAACCTTGCACGCCCCAGATTATTCGCGCTCCCAGCCCACTCTAGGCTCTCAGTCCAGTCCATCCGGAGCCGTGGCCTCCGGGCTGTCAATGAGAGCCGCTCCCCGTACATTATTCTCCGTCCGCCGACCTCGACTGTGAACTTCGTCCTTCGTCTCGAATCCCAAATTCGTCTCTATCCCGTCAATCCTTCCCAGGATTTCATATCGTGCTATTGTCTCCACTGCGCTCTTAAACCGTGTTGCCAAGACTCTCTCCCTTTTGGGCCTCACCGTCATCCCAGCCTTTGCACCTCGGCTGTTAGCCGTCCATGTTGGTTGCTCCTGGTCGCCGCCGACTTTTTCGTTGACCGGAATCCTCGGCTGCCTTTATCCTGCACCCTAGCGGGCCAACCACACCACCCGAGGGCTTTATGAGAATCTTGTGAACCAACATGGCTGTGGATTTTGCTGGGGACTCGCTCCTCAGACCCGGCAATGAGGCCAAGGAGGACCCTCTAAACACCCCTCGCCTCAAGCCTCAAGTCCCGGTCGATCCAAACCCCAGCCCGCCCGCCGACAGTTCAGATGGAGAGGAGGACCTCTTTGGTGAGGATGCCGCTCAATCTTTCATCCAGCCGGCTCTGAGCCCGGTCGTCTCCTATCTCACGTCGCCCAAGACCCCGGCGGCTGAGAAGGCGGCTGCAATGGACAAGATCATCGACGGGTACTTCAACGATGCCGGCGCAAGTGTGGAGCAAGAGTCCCTGGACCAAGTCATCGCGGGGTACTTCGACGGGGCGAGTATCACTAGGCAGGATTCCTCGGGTGACGACACACCAACACAAGAGAAGCCTCGGCCAGACCAAAGCGACGATTCACGAGCCGGCGAGTCCACCTCACCGGCGGCGGCGCCGCTGCCACAGCCTCTGGAGCCTCTTCCGACGCCCTGGAAAACTGGCTCTAAGGAGCTTGTAGTGACATCCTCAACCTCAGAAAGCCACAAACCTGCTTTGGCGAGTGTGTTTTCTCAGGTACGACACCGGAGGTCCTCTTCTGGCGGAGCAGAGGCTTTGAGGCGCTTGTCCAAAGCCCTCCCTTCAATATCGTTACCCTCCAACTTCATGCCAAATCGTCTACCCACGCCATCCTTCTTCTCATCGGGGTCGACATCATCGAGGTCCGAATCTAGGGATTTGACGCCGAAACATACCCCGCCCTCCCAATCCCCTCGTCTAGGACACTCGAGCCACGCCAGTACATTCCCAGCCATCATCCCCAGGAAGTTGTCGCCTGCCCCACGGGATGCGAGCAGAAATTCGCGGCTGTCTCGCCGGTCGTCAACTGCATCTAGGAAATCATTGTCTCTCAGAAGGTCGACGTCTGACGACTCCATGCTGTACCACTCGCTGTCGCGCATGTCTTCATTTGGGGATGACCAAAGATTTACCCACGTTCGTGAGCAGGTCAATTCGAGGTTCAAGGCAATCGTGGATTCATTTGATACCCCATCATTCAAACTACCAAGCATGCCCAGCACGCTACTATCTCCTCTCAAGAAGTCAGAGTTTTCTGCGTCGGAGCTCAACCTCGACTCGAGCAAATCATCCTCAATGAGAACCATCAAAATCCCCCGGGATCCACTGGACAGTGTACTGGAGCACCTCACTGGCGATCTTGTCATTATGGGAGGTTACAGGGGCTCGATCCTCCGGTCCGCTGAACCACCTCACAGACAGCTCTGGGTGCCTATGAAGGTTGGCTTGAAAGTGAGAAAGGTCAACCTTGAGGTGGGGCTAAACCCGGAGGACGAGGAGAATATGGAGAAGTCGATTATCCCATCCGGAATGCTAAAGAACATCGGCCCGGTGGACATTTCCAAGAGGCTCTTCAAGCGGATCCGAGAGTGTGAGAATGCGAGAAGCGGAAAGTTGAGAGTTCACGATTATGGCTACGACTGGAGACTCAGCCCACATCTCCTATCTAGGAAGTTGATTGAGTTCCTCAAAGGTCTTCCATCAAACCAAGGTGAAAACGCGAGTGGAGCACTGGTGATTGCGCACTCTCTCGGCGGCGTCATTACCCGACATGCTGTAAATCAAGCACCCGAGTTATTCTCTGGTGTTGTGTATGCTGGGGCTCCACAGCGATGCATCAATATCCTCGGACCGCTGAGAAACGGCGACGCAGTGCTGCTGAACGAGAAGGTGCTGACAGCACATGTCAATTTCACACTGCGCACGACGTGGGTGTTCTTGCCCGAGGACGGATACTGCTTCATCGACAAGGTCACGAACGAGGAATACCCCGTGAATTTCTACGACATAAACGAATGGGTGAAATATCGCCTGTGTCCGAGTGTAAGCGACCCAGCGCTGCCACCATTCATGGCAAAACGCGTTGGGTCGCTGGGCTCCTTTCTCAGTCTCTCAGACCTATCGATATCCCGGGGGAGGAGCTCCAGTGACCCTGCAGCCAAGAGACCCGGGCAAACAGCATCTCCGCAACGCAAATTAGTGAAGGACAGGGGCCTCGCGCCGCAGATGGACGCTTCGGCTTCATCAGCAGAACAGCACGAGGAAGAGACACATGCAGTCTCTACCAAGGATAAGTCTGACCGAAGCAAAAACCTTGCCTACCTCGCCCGAACGCTTGCCGAGACCAAACGCTTCCGTGCAGAACTCCAACACAACGAGGCGCACAAGGCCGCCAACGCCTACCCTCCCATAGCCGTCCTTTACGGCAAGGAGATCCCGACGGTGTTTGCGGCGCGGGTGGCGTGTCGTGAGGCGATCCCGTGCCAGGACGCCTATGACAACCTTGCCTTCGGATCGGGCGATGGTGTCGTCTTGGCCAAACAGGCGATGCCACCTCCTGGGTACGAGATCGTGAAAGGCGGGAGGATTTCCACAGACAAGGGGCACATCTCTATATTAGGGGACCTCAGCGCCGTTGGCCATGCCCTGCAAGCTGTCACAAGGGGGCGAGCAAAGGGCATAGGCTTGGGCAAAGCTTCCAGGAGAGGGAGTGGAAGTAGCTGTTAAAACATGTAAAATCAAGCACGTCTGTAGCGTAAGAGTATGACTTCCATGAAGCATCATCAGTGTGTACGGTAGCGCATCGAAACAATCGGGTCCATGTTGTTTGAATGTGTGATGTGCGGGAAACAAGTCTTTTTGAAACCTGCTGGGTGACATGTTTCAACAGTCCATGTACATAGGCTGTTCGGCTGGAGCACACGAGACCGTTCATCCGATGTGCTTTGTCGCCTCGTCAGTGGATACCTGGTCCGGATGGTCAGGTCGACATGCAGTTTTGCCCCTCACCTCCATGAAGTCGACCCCTCGAATACATCCAGTCCACCGAACATGCATTGCGCCCGGGCCAGCCTCTACGTAGCCCTTCATACCTAGGCCGTCATTATCAACAAGCAGTGGCGGCTGCTGAGGTTTCTACACAGTAAGGACTTTGCACTTGTCGTCGAATGTACCCCAGAGCGCTGGCCCGCAGAGGACCCTGGTGAGGAAGGATGCCTCAGGGAGACCCCTTGTAACGGGTCCTGGGCGAAATGGCACGTCGTCAAGTGCTACCTTTCCACGCAGCTTATACGGTCATGCCACGTTCCACGCTGGTGGCTAAGGCTTGATCCCATAACAAGTAAGTTATGAGTGCTGGGATAGCATTATGCATGCATCCCGAGGAAAAAGTTCAAGAGGGGATTCAGAGCTGTTCAGTCGTTGTAGCCCTAGGAATGCGATTTGCCTGGCAAAAAAACCTGTGAATGGATGTGAGACATGCTCACCAGGAAAGCTTCTGCATCACAAACTATTCACTGGATGGTGCGTCCACTACGGATGGATGGGTGGTGACTGGCGACGGCCGGCGTGGACGGAAGTAATGAAGCTGGGTTGTGGTTTGCTGTCGGCTTACCCCTGAGGGCGTCAAGGAAGCTGTCCCTCCCAGCCTGGTAGGGACCCCCGGCTTACTTTTGCCTGCTTGCTTGACAGCTCTGCCCCTCCCACCCCAATTCAGGCAGATCGCATGATTGGAAGGAAGACGGCTCTCCCCCCCACTATTTCATTGGGTGCTCTTTCTTTTCTCCTCACTTTGCTCACCTCCCTTTTGCCTTGCCCTTCTCCTCCAAGAAGCAGAGAACACCACGTCTTCAACTTCTCTGGACCGGCTGCTGCAGTAAAGTCTTTTCAGGGGGATTCCTCCTGTTTTACGGCCGTCTCCTTTCTCTCCTTCTCTCTATCGCTCTCTCTTTCTCTCTCTCTCTCCTATCTTGGTCGTTTCCTGCTCTGCTAGTCGTCAGTCCACCAGTGCCGTCTGCTTTCCTCGGGTCTCAGTCGATATCTCCGTCTTCCGTCTCCATCATCATATCTCTAGCTGCTTCCGCTGCTCGTCTCTCTTGGTCGACATCACCTCCGAATCCTCTTCGAGCGTCGGGATTCTTCGTCTTCCGTTTCTCGCATCTCCTGTCAGCTTCAGCTTATCATCGTGTGCGAACATTTCCTTTCGTCGACTGAGCTCTTTCCGCTGCTTGTCTAGCTTTGCGCAGCCGCCGCTTGGTATCGCAACACAGCCAGTAGCACGACACACACCCCCCCTCTTGTGTCTCTCCAGAGCTTGCTTGGTTGTGGAATTTGCTCAAGACAAAAGGCCGCCCCGACCAGAAGAAGACCAAGGCTAGATTATTGGTCTCCACAGACCCAAAGGGATATAATTTTCCAGAAATCTTCGAGGTTATACAGGAGAAAGTACTTTCTTCTGTAGCTCTGCCCCACGTTCTCGTTCGTGCGTCGTGGATTACTTTGGTTTAGTCCAGGGCTTGCTTTACGCAAATCCTGCCTCTTCAAGCTGTCACACATCTCCCCGAAGACCTCTGTCACCCAGCTGATCAAGATGGCCGAGCCTGGTCCTCCTGGAGCTCAGTTGCCTCCTCCCCCCCAGCCCAACGCTGGGGCTCCCGGCTATGAGAATGGCCAGAACGGTGGCTCTGGGAGCCATATGCCACCACCGCCCCTGCATATCCCGCCCAACACGAACCCAATCCCGACCGCGATCACGTCGCCCATGACTGGAAACACCATCACGTCTCCGGGCAGTGCCAACCCCTTTGTCCGGCGTGCCGCCCCCGAGCCCAATAAGAGGGCTCTCTATGTTGGCGGACTAGACCCTCGCGTGACTGAGGATGTTCTCCGGCAGATATTCGAGACTACCGGTCACGTTCAGAACGTGAAGATCATCCCCGACAAGAATGTGAGTTGGAAGGGCACCGCAGCTTTCGTTGCCTCTACAAGGTTGCTGACTTGCTTTGATGCAGAACAAGGGCTTCAACTACGGTTTCGTCGAGTACGATGACCCTGGTGCGGCTGAGCGTGCCATGCAGACCCTCAACGGTCGTCGTGTACATCAAATGGTGCGTAACTGAACAATAGGGTATCTGCCATTTTGGAAGATTAACAAAGCATACAGGAAATTCGTGTCAACTGGGCCTACCAGTCGAACACGGCCAACAAGGAAGATACCTCGAACCACTTCCACATTTTCGTTGGCGATTTGTCAAACGAGGTCAACGACGAAGTCCTCCTTCAAGCCTTCTCTGCGTTCGGCTCCGTATCCGAAGCCCGGGTCATGTGGGATATGAAAACCGGACGATCCCGTGGCTATGGTTTCGTGGCGTTCCGGGACCGTGGGGAGGCGGAGAAGGCACTCAGCTCTATGGACGGCGAGTGGCTCGGCTCTCGTGCGATCCGCTGCAACTGGGCGAACCAGAAGGGCCAGCCGTCCATCGCACAGCAGCAGGCAATGCAGTCGATGGGCATGACGCCAACGACTCCTTACGGCCACCACCACTTCCCTACCCACGGAGTACACAGCTACGATATGATTGTGAACCAGACGCCGGCGTGGCAGACGACCTGCTATGTTGGCAATCTGACCCCCTACACCACTCAGAATGACCTTGTACCCCTCTTCTCTAACTTCGGGTACGTGGTTGAGTCGAGGTTCCAGGCTGATCGCGGGTTCGCGTTCATCAAGATGGATTCACACGAGAATGCCGCGATGGCCATCTGCCAGCTGAACGGATACAACGTCAATGGCAGACCTCTGAAGTGCAGTGTGAGTTGGCGTTGTGATACTTCCTAGTTAACTTGGAGCAGATGCTGATCTTGTTTACAGTGGGGCAAGGACAAAACTCCTAGCAACCCCCCTGGTGGTTTCGACCCCAACCAGGCCTACAGCCCTCAGAGTGCTCAGGCTTCCGCATTCCCCGGCACTCCCAACACCTACTTCCCTCAGTATGCTGGAGGTGAGATAGCCCGCTCTCCCAACTCTGTTGGGTACCCCATCACGTCACTGACATATACTGCAGCGCAATACGGACAGCAAGGCAACTACGGTGGTCCGGCCGCCCAGTCTCCTGCGGGTTATGGACCTCAGATGGGCTTCAGCGGACCACCCAGCGCCGGCGGCTACGGTCGAGGCCAGCAACTCCCCAATGCCCAGTGGGCGCCACCTCAGGGGCCTAATGCTGCGTATGGCGGCTACCAGGGCTAAACTTTTGGCAGGCAAAGCGAAGCAAGTACCACAACGTCGCGGATCTGTTATTCTCTGCACCCCGATCTCATCTGCCAACTAGACAAGAGTGACAGGGAGGACGCAGATCCTCACACTCCGAGGCCCTAGAGACGGTGTGGATGCATTGCTTCACCCGTCGACCCTTTCCTGCTACAACACAGTTACAACTTCAATTTCAAGTCTATTGACGCTTCTCTACTCTTCCAACTACCCCCTTTTTGTGGGATTTTGCAAGCATTTTAAGAGCGTGGGAATGATAAAACACTTTTGATGGCATCGACGCTGGGCAGTCGCGATGTCTTGACGTTACCAGTGAATGTCAGGTATCTTGTTCTCATGTACCTTACGTCCAGGTTTCGCGTTCTTATTCGGATCATTGTTCACGGTTAATCTGTTCCGCGCCGTTGGGTGGGGCTTTTCTGAAAGCCCGCTGTCACAGAAAATACCAGGTTGTGTGTGTGCGTGTTTGTGTGTGCTTTCTGTGCACTGGATACCACCTTCGTCTTCACGCTTCTGGGAGTGTTTCCGGGTCCTACAGGGAGAAAACTCTCTTTCTTTTTCGATTTTGATGCGCAAACGAGATTTACTTTGGTAGCTTGCATGTGGAGGAGGGAGATGTTATACTTTGGGATGACCTTACGAATTTCTCTACCTCTCGTTTTGATGGCAAATTCACACGTCTTTCCTGCCCACTGCAACTGATGCTGATGGCATTCATATGCGAAGCTGTGCCAATTAGTAAGGGCTTTTCTTTGGCGCGCGGACACACTAGAGGTTGTGTGCATCAAGCTGTTCCAGACGAGCGAGGGAGCGGCAGGCCAGGTATGCCGTGTAGCTGAGCGAGAGGCATTGAGTGCTGAGCAGTTAGAATGTGATACGAACTACAAGGTGGCATCGGTGCATCCGGTGCGATGTCGTCGCCGGCGCCGTCACTCGCATCGTAGACAATCAATGGTTCCGAAACCTGGCTGACAAGGCGTGAGACGGCTTGTGGACGACCCTTTATGTCTCCCGACCGGCCGCAACAAACAGCAGACTCGAATGACTCGGGACAGACGGACGGCGACGACAATGGGCAATGGTAAACGGGCCAAATAGTGCACTTATCTTTGACGTATCATGCTCGGCCGCTTGCGTGGTCATGACTCTGGGTTGAGGTGATTGGCAGCAAAGCAGGCCTTTGGGCGGCCGGCGGTGGTGCTGGTGTATGTATGCTCTGACAAGTGTCCGGCACCGATGGTGTACTATAACGGTGTGGAGGACAGTTGGATTGGAGTAAAGTTCCTTTGGGAGCACCAGACTCACACTGTGCGACGTCGTGCGTCAGTCTGGAAATGAGCTGGCGCGTGTTTAGTGCCCAACCCGGACGATCTGGAGGTCCCCCCAAGGTTTATTGTACCAACCTTGCAAGGTTACCTCGCTGACCCTGCTGCACACCTAGCTCTCCCGGCCCCCTCTGGCCGGCCGCCCAGACAGCTAGAGCTGCCCAGGTTTCAATCACTGGCATCAGTGAGCAAGCAACCTCCTCCTCCTCCTCCTCCTCCTCCTCTTTGGGCTAACCTACCTGAGGTGCGAGCAATCTGCCTGCCTGCCTGCCTCCTGGGCAGGTCGTAAAAAGCAGTCTCCCAAGGTTCCAAGGTTCCAAGCTTGGTGGTAGGTAACCTGAGGTTTTTACGGCTTGGCACTTACGGCCGGCTTTGCTTATTCTCCCTCACTCTCCCCCTCCCCCCCATCTCCCCCAGGTCCCCCGTCCCCGTCCCGTCCAGCCCGTCACCCACCCGCATTGTGTGTATGTGTGTGAGCCCAGACATTTCTGGACAGGCATTGAAACGGCCAAAAGCAGTGGCACGCTTTTCAAACGACTCCAAGGCCTCCACCCATCTCAACACAGCATCGTCACCACCAGGCAGCGAATCCACCTCCGCCGCCTCTGACGTATTGTTTACTGGCCTGTCCTCTCCATTCCATAATGAAGGTCTAGAGTACTACTCGGTAACGGGTCTCCCCTCGGCGTCCTCTTGGGACGCGTTTGTGCCCAATTGATCGGCCCAGGCCCAGCTCAACCAGGTCATTCCCGCCAGGCGGCCTTGTCCCTCTGGTTTCTGGTGTCATCCCCCTCCCCTTCGCAGTCGACAACCAGCCCACTTTTTGCTCGCCTAGCACGCCCGCCAGCCAACGACAATAACCGTGCTTGCTGCCCGCCCATCGAGCTCGTTCCAGGGTCTGCATCCCGGACGCTCGCCATCTCTACCCATCTCTCCAAAAGGCAGAGCCCGGCGCGAGCCCAACAACGCTCTTGTTTCTCTCCCAGACGGGCCTCATCTTAGGTTTCGGCCATCTGCCATACCCGCCGACTCGCCTCACCCTCCCGACCATCTCCCAGCCCCAACCCCCGACCTGTCTTCGCCTCGAGTAGCGAGCAGCGAGCGACGTCAAACCCCCGACGGTGGCTTTTCACGTCACCACCAACTAGCCGCAGTCATGGATCAGTGGGGGCCAGGCTACCACGACCCTGCCGGCGCATCGAGGAGATACAATGGCAATGACCAGATAGGCCCAAGGGGCTACGCTACCCAGCCAGCTCAGGCGCCGGCCCAGGCGCCTGCAGGATTCAAATACGACCAGTACCAGGGCGGTCTCAATTCACATGCCTCCAGTTCCGCGACCTCCCCCGTCACCACCCCGCAGCTGCGCGACAACAACGGCGACGTCGCCATGGCTGATGCAAACGACCCTTACACGAGCATGAGGATGCCCATGAGGCCTCATCACTCTACACATGTGTCCAGCGGGAGCCGGTCCTCTACCCTGCACTCTCCGCAGGAGCCTTCTGCCGCTGCCCAACGGTACTCGCCGATGGAGGTGCTGTCCCCAACCTCCCCGTACGCCAAAGCTGGGGCCAGCCAGTTCTCTGCACCCCCGACAACGCGACAGTCCCCGACCCGGTCCGCCGATTACCACTCCCCACAGAGTCCTTACTACCAGAACAGTCGGCAATCATCCCAGCAGCTGCCGCCCATGGCGCCCTTCCCCGCTGCTCTCGACCAATACTCCCAGCCTGGCGTCATAAGCCCGAGAGGGGACGCCTGGCCAAGCAACCCTGCCTCTCCCAAAAGGATGCTCTCCATGCCGGCGGGGCCCGTCGTGAGCAAGGGCCCGGTGCCCGAGTTCAAGAAGATAAGGACGCCGCAGGACCTCCAGCCAAGGGTCACCGCGCAGCCAGCCTTCCGGCGAGCGAATCCAGAAGGTGGTTTTATTAGTGTAGGTCACGCATCCGTGTGCTTCAAGTAGTATTCCGCCGACGCCAGCGACTGATCACGATGTTGCAGCCCCTTCAAGCCCTGACCGTTCACCTGCCGGCGACCTACCGGATATGTAACCCGAGCTTCAAGTACGAGTCATCGCGCAACCCCCGGCGAGTCCTGACGAAGCCGAGCAAAGGCTGCAAGAACGATGGCTACGACAACGAGGACAGTGACTATATCCTATATGTCAACGACATCCTCGGCTCTGAGGAGGCCGGGCATAAGTAAGTCAATCCCGAGCCCTGGCGGCAACGACGCAGGCAACTGACCCTGCATGACAGGAATCGATACTTGATATTGGACGTTTTGGGCCAGGGAACATTTGGCCAGGTCGTTAAATGCCAGAATCTCAAGACCCAGGAGGTCGTTGCAGTGAAAGTCATCAAGAACCGCACTGCTTACTTCAACCAGAGCATGATGGAAGTGTCTGTTCTGGACTTGGTAAGACGACACCGAATCGTGGTACCACTTGGGCACGTCGCTGACATCTACATAGCTCAATACCAAGCTGGACAAGAATGATGACCATCATTTGTTGAGATTGAAAGACACATTCATACACAAACAGCACTTATGCCTGGTCTTTGAGCTCCTCAGCGTCAACCTGTACGAGTTGATCAAGCAGAACCAGTTCCGCGGTCTTAGCACAACTCTGGTCAGGGTCTTCGCTCAGCAGCTCCTTAACGGGCTGGCGCTTCTCAATAAGGCTCGCCTCATCCACTGCGACCTGAAACCCGAAAACATCCTGTTGAAGAACCTCGAAAGCCCCATCATAAAAATTATCGACTTCGGTTCGGCATGTGACGAGCGACAGACTGTGTACACGTACATCCAGTCGAGATTCTACCGTTCACCGGAAGTACTACTGGGACTGCCATACTCTTCGGCGATAGACATGTGGTCACTCGGTTGCATTGTTGTCGAGCTTTTCCTTGGTCTGCCGTTGTTTCCCGGATCCTCAGAGTATAACCAAGTCTCGCGGATCGTTGAGATGCTCGGCAACCCGCCAAACTGGATGATCGAGATGGGAAAACAGGCAGGTGAATTCTTTGAGAAGAGACAGGATGAGTTTGGCCGTCGGACGTATCACCTGAAGAGCATGGAGCAGTACTCGAGAGAACATGGTACGAAGGAACAGCCCAGCAAGAAATATTTCCAGGCCGAAACTTTACCGGAAATCATCAAGTCTTACCCCATGCCTCGGAAGAACATGAAGCCAATCGAGGTAGAGAGAGGTATGTGGTCAAACATCACCGAGTTTGAAGCAGCCGGAGCTGACAATGTGACAGAAATGAACAACCGGGTCGCCTTCATAGACTTCGTTAGGGGTCTGCTCACCATCAATCCTCTGGAGAGGTGGTCCCCACAGCAGGCTAAACTCCACCCGTTCATTACCCAGACCAAGTTCACCGGTCCTTTCGTGCCGCCGATGAACCTCAAGGCAAGTTCCCTTAATAGGTCCCCGGCGCCTGGGACGCAGCAGCAGCAGCAGGCCGAGGCGATAAGCAAACAAAGGGCGCAGGCGGCGCAGGCACAAGCCAACACAGCGGCCCAGGGTGCCTACTCAATGGCCACTGGCCAATACGCTTCTTCCAGTCACGGCGCAGGCCCGGCTTATGGCGGTAACAACATGTACTCGCCCAGCCATGCCGGGCCACCACCTGCTTACGGATCGCAACCGAATCCATACAGCCAGGTTGGCATGAATCCCGCGCAGATGCCGAACGCAAATTACAATGCTGTCACGCAACAACCTGGCATGTACCAACAGGCGGTGAGACGGCAGCGAGCCTCCACCATGGAACAGCAACAAAGCGGCATACCGGCAGCCATTCAAAGGGTTGCCAGCCATCTCGACCCTAATGCACCCATCCGGCTGCAGCCCAGCCCAGCTTACTACCCTCCACCGGCCGACGGAGGTGGCTTGATCGATCCGGCCTCCGCCCGCGCCGGTGGCAGGAGGGGCAGCCAGGCCCAGAGGGGCGGGGCGGCCAGGGGCAACCGAGATTTCATCCGGAACCTAGAAGAGAGAACGCTGGAGGAGGGCTTTGGCCAGAACAATCATTGGGGTCACTGAGGGTAGATCGGTAGGATCGGCGAAGATCCAATGGCCGCAATTGCTATCAATTTCCAGCGGGCACCTCGACATGGGATCACTCATCCGCGGAGACAACACGCGCAGCTGATATCCTTCCGGGCGACCTGAGGACGAATGTCGGCTTGGGCGCTGCAGGGAAGCTCACTTGTCCAGGGAATCTCTGTGACGTCTGCCTCGGGGATAGCAGGGCGTGCTTTGTGCAGTATGGCGGTGTCAAAGTGCGTCCTGGTCTGACATGGGGAGATGTGACCAAGGGCGGAGTCGATGCCCGTCCTCGCTCAGTGAACGGAATCCTGGCTTGCGTGGTCCAGTCCTCGGAAGCCTTGATTTTGGTGGGTTAGAAGTAACAATGGACTGTTAAGAGGAGGGGAACAGAGCCACACCCCGTCGAGATGAAGGCGGGTGGCGCGGCTGTGGAGTGCTGTTCTATAACTAGCTTTTTTGGAGAGGATGGCCCAGTTTCAATTCCCCTTTTGTGTTTTCTACTTCTTTGGTCGCAGGACGAGGTGGAAGGTTGGGCATGAGTGGCTGGTATGATATACGAATGGTACGGGTCGACTGCTCAGGCCGAGCCCCAGTGCAGCGGACATGAATAGTGGGGAAGGAGACTGCCCCGTGGCCTATTTTACCTGATTCGTAAAGACGCCTCAAGAGAAAGCAAGAGAGCATGCATAGCTATGGATTATTTTGGCAACTGCCAGCATCCCGATGGGTTGAAGCAAGGGAGCTTGTTAGGCCAGTCCTCTCTTCTTTCCAAGGCCCGCAGTGCGTTCGCCCACCCACCCACTTGTCAGCACTGGCTTCTCGGAGTGAAGGCCCGTTTTCAGGAACGGGCCGCTCGTGATTCGATTTACACTCGCGTTGGCTAATATGTGGCGCTTATCGTGCAGCAAGATGGACCTGTGGGTGTTGACAGCGCATCTGGCCGCGCTCGCGCTTGCGCACAAGCACCACAAGGACATAGCAGGGACACTGTCCGTAGCTGTGGGTGGCTACAGGGGCATCATCCTCTCCACACCTGGGGAGGGACAAGAAGGAGATGGCACCATGATGTGTGTCCGGGGCCGATGGTGGCTCTCATGCCCTCCTGGCCAACTTCATGGGATGAAGCCATCCCTAGGCAGGACCGATGATCCTTGGCCCCGTCGTAACTTTCGTCGCCACCAGCTGAAGCACGCCAAAACGGTCAGCTTGCCAGTGCGTGAAAAGCATGTTGCCCCCCTCCTCGCCCTGGGTGATGGGCTAGAGCGCGCGCGACGACAACGACTCAGCATTGCCCGGAGAACCGGCCGCGGTGCTAGTCCGGAGCAGTTCATGCGGGAGGGCGGCGGAGCACGGCCTGCTCGGCGGGAGGTGGTGCATCGTGAGCAACAGCCCAAGACGATGTTGGTGAGCGAGTCTGGGCAAATTGGGCCGAGGGGGGCTGATTTCGGGTTCTGGCCGCCTATGGCCCTCTGTCCAAGACGGGTGGAACAAGTTTTCCTTTTTCTTCTATAGGCAATATTGCATGGGGGGGGCCGAGAAGTGTTGCTGGATGTGGATCGTAGGATGCTACTGTGTGCAGTAGTGTGTGTAGTTCTGGTAGTATGTTCGCATCGTGCGTCCCGCCGGAGACGTCATCTGACATGGCCCAGTTTTGATGCAGTTCAAGTCTCACCACGGTATGCACGGGGTCTTTATCTTTGCTTGTGGGTGGGGATTCTGATCGGGGCAGTACTCGGTGGGTACCCAACCTGGTGGTGAGCCTCTGCGTGTGGAGGATGCGGCGGCGGCGGTGGACAGACAGGTTGTCTAGTATCGTGGCAGGACGGGGGGATTAACGCCGACTGGCTCGGGTGTCACCGCACACGCCTTGCCCTCAACGGCGCACCACACACATACTTTCGGCGGGCGGTGCACGCACATCCAGGACATAAGACCCCTAAAGCTAAAACCTAGGTGCTAAATATAGAGGCGGCGGGGCTACGGGGACCCAGCAAAAAGCACGCAGCAAACAAGACGGTTGCGGCGGTGGCCTTGTTTGTAATGTTGCATCCCGCTTCCGATTTATCAGTTGCCCCCTTGGTGGTATACGTTGTGTGGCCTGGGCACACGCATCTACAATACACCGTACAGGAAGCTCAGGCATGGCCCAGAGGCAACTGATTACTGATTGAGGAGGCAGTGAGAAAAAGTCAATCGACAAGTACAGGTGGTGACGTTACCCGGGGAAGGCAGGGTAGGCAGGGTAGGCAGGGTAATGCCAATGTGACCCTGGGAGCTTGGGCCACGGGCCATCAACCTCGAGCAACACTTGTTGTCCATGGCAAGCGGCACTACTATTCGTGCTACTCGAGTCTCGTGTGTTAGAGTACCCGCGCGGTCACGAATCGGCTCGTCAGCTCCTCAGCTCTACTGGGGCCGTTGGGGCCGTGGATTGGCGCTGGACCCCACAGCCAGGCACGCGCCTGTTGGAACCCACTCCCACGCAGCGCTCTTTTTGCGACGCTGGGGGCACACGTGTGCCAAATGCGAGTCCCTCTCTCTCAATATGGTACTGCTCATCAACTAGATAGATAGCCTGGCCAGGGGTGAATACGTCCAATATTGTCGTCACCCTTTTCCTAGGTACATACATTATTGACCGACGCTGCAGGCGGATGGCGGAATTCTTCCACAGTAACTAGACTACCTAGGCAGTGCTCAAGCATCCAAGACAAGACAAGATTGGCGCCGGGCGGGCGATCTATCAAGTAGCCTACCGGCTTACACAGCCTGCAACGGTAGCAGTTGCTTACCAACGGCCTCACCGTTGAGATAGAATAGCAGAAGGGGGAGATGGGTGCAGACGAGTGCAGACGAGCAGACGAGCCAGGCATGCAGGCATTGATGCAGTGCAAGGGGGATCAGAAGTGGGGGAGTGCTATACCCGGGGGGCACTTGTTGCTGACTCTCAGGCTGGCATGCCATGCTGTGTATGGTTTAATTTCCATCCTTCGTTCGAGTGGTGATAACGGGCTTCTTCGTGGCCCCGTTTCTGCTGACTCCTTGACCCCCCAACAAGCACACACCCACACCCACACTTTTTTTTCTCTCTCGCTCTCCCAAGCAACCAACCGAGTGCTACCTCAAGTGCCTACAGTCTCCTTGTGACGAGCGTCTAGTGGTGACCTTGCGTTGTTTTTTCTCCCCTCGTCTTCTGTCTATTGGCCCCACAGGCTATACTAGGTATTCTCTTTCCTTGCTCGAATAATAAAGCAACGGGGACTGTGGCTTGGCTTGTGCATATCCGGCTGCATTGGTTCGGTTCAACGTTTCCTCTAAAGCACAATATAGGCCAGATGAAACACATGGGTTTGCTTCCAACTCAGCAGAGAGGTTCCATCGCAGCAGCAGCGAATGGCCTATTCCCTTGCTCACCCCCACATCCCATGCCGTATCAGAACATAGATGCATGCATTGCTACATTGCCAGGTAGCTACCCAACTACCTAGGTACCTACATAGCTATCCCATGTGCGCAGCCGGGGTGTGGGGACTTGCAGCAGCAGCCCCGGCTGAGGCTGGACAATGAATGAGATTCTGGTAGCACGCGGGTGCAGTTGACTGCAGCGACTGCAGCGACTGCAGCAACTGCAGAGGATTTCCTCATGGTGCTGCACTGCCCCCAGGCAATAAAAATGCTCCTCTTTGGGCATGGCGTGTCAATGGACAACGGCACGGCGCCACTCGTCCTCCCACGCACCCGCCATACTCGTGCTCTCGCCCTCTCGCTGCCGCTGCCGCCGCTGTTGTGTCTGGTGGGTGAGATGAGATTTCCCCACCGGGGCCGGCAGAAGGCACACACACACACACACACCTGGCTCGTCAGGCCCAGGCTCATCAGGCACTCGGACATGCTGTGAGGAGGCGGGCACCTATCCCGATCCCGTTCCTGACATTATTGTCCTCTGCCCCGTCTGTCCGTCCAGCCCAGCCCAGCCCTGCGGCCCAGTCCCCCCGAGCTGCTCAGCAGGCCTTGAAGCCTGCCTGCCTGCCTTGCCTTGCCCTGCCTTGCCAGTGGCAGCAGACCTGACCTGCCTCCTATTCGCCTTCTCCTCTTTCCTCCCATCCCATCTCGCACATCACATATCTAAGCCTCACACGCACGAGACCGCGTCCCAGATCCCGCCTGTCGCGCTGCGCTCGGATCTCTCCCCCCGAGTGAGAGCACCGCGGAGCAGCGAGCAAGTGACAAGACGCAGTGACAACAGCCATCCTGGCCACGCCTTGCTTGCTTTGAGTCGTGCTGCCCTTGCCCTGCCCTGCCCTGCCCTGCCCTGCCCTGCCTTGCATTGCCCTGCTCTGCGTCGCCTTGCCTTGCCTGGCCTGGCCTCGCCTTGCCTCGGCTCTGGGCCTGTTCTGACCTGCCCCCGTCCGCTTTCTGGGAGCCCGACCTCTTTTTGTGCTCTAGCTGAGCTGGAGTCGAGCGGCAGACCGCGCAGTGCAGCCCGCAGGGGGGGGACAAAAGAGACGAAGCAGCAGCAGCAGCAGCAGTAGCAGCAGCGAACACTGCGACTGACTTGCTTGCTATTACCGACTGGACTGACTGCGACGCATTGATTGCAACGCAACCCAAACCAAACGCAACGCAACGCACCTCAGCAGCACCAGCACCAGCACCAGCTCCAAGCTCCAAGCTCCAGAGCACCAGAGCACCAAAGCACCAGCAAAAAGCACCAGAGAAGCGCACGACCAAAAGCAGCCAGCCAGCCAGCCCAGCCAGTTTGCTCGTTGCTAAATAAAGGGCCGCCTGTCTCTGCCGGCGCCCGCCCTTCGCCCCCCGTTTTCTTTATTATGATAATGCCTTTCGGTCGCTCAGCCAAACCAAACAACCGATCTCAACAACACCTGGTTGAATCGGCTGGGCCCGCCGCCGTTTCTGGCTCCTCCCAAGCTGCTGCCGGCACGGATCCCGCTGGGGCTGCCTCTGCCTCGTCCTCTCTGCCCGCCCCTGCCTCGTCTGCTCCCACCTCTGCTGCTGCTGCCGGCCAGGGCATTTCCCCTTCCGGCGTTGCTGGCGCCCAACCCGGTCCCGGTCACGGCCACGGCCAGGCAGCCCAGCCCCAGGCCCAGGCCCAGTCGTCCCAGTCGTCCCAGTCCCAAGCCCACCAGGTCGGCGTGCAACCAAACAACCAAGGCCCCTCGTCAGCCTCGGGGCCCTCCACCACCTCCTCGGAATCCTTTGTCCAGGACCTGCGCGCTGCCAGCCAACCACCGCCCCAGCTGCCGCCGTCATCATCTCACCTCTACTCTTCCCTGCCCACCGCCTCGTCCTCAGGCCCAAACAACAACAACAGCAGCAACAACAACTTGTCCTCGTCCTCGTCCTCGCCCCCGTCCCACCACCAGTCCCAGCTGCACCAGCTGCACCCCCTCAACACCGCCAGCCCCCCCGTGCCTGACGCGCGGGTGCGCAAGGCTGTGCATGAGTTCGCAGATGCTGTCGCCAGGTCGCAGTCTCAGAGATATCACCAAGTAGCCACCCCCGTCCAGCCAAACCCCTCCTTTGGTTCCTCCTTCGAAGACCTCTCAAGGCCCTACAGTAATACCCCCCCTCAACCACCCCTCGCTTACCACCCGCAGCTTCACCACCAGCAGCAGCCCCACCAGCATCAGCATCAGCATCAGCACCAGCAACAGCAGCAACTCCTCCACCAGCAGCAGCTGCAGCAGCAACAACGACAACAGCACCAAAATCCACCAGCCCCCGTCGAGTCCAGGCGGTCGACGCGCCGATTGATCAAGAACATCCTCGCCGGAGCTCCCAATCTCAACAAGGCTGAACAGCAGGCCCGCCCCGAGTACCACCCCCACCACCAGCCCTCCCACTCCCAGCACACCTACGACAACACCGCCGGCCTTGCCCGCCGCCCGTCAAAGCGCATCAGCAACCCACCTGCCCTGCGGACCGGCCCGTCTCAGGTCTCCCTCGACCAGCAGCCCGCCGACTGGCAGTCCCCGGGGCCCCAGACCCAGCCCTCGCCCCTGCAAAACGTAAGCATAACTAAACTTCGTCCTGTCCTTCAGTCCTCCATCCCTCATCGCCTGGGTGCTGCGTGCGGGGGGCGCAAGTCTGACTGACTACTTCGCGATTGCAGAACCCTCACGAGTTCCAGCTGCCCACCCTTCGCCGTGTCCCTACCAACCAGGACAACTCGCCGTATTCAGACGACGGTGGCTTCATCCACCCCCACGGCCAGATTCACACCCAGGCCCAGCTGACGCCCGACCAACAGCAGCAGCTGAACCAGGTCGCCTTCGATCCAGCCACCCGGCAGTACCAATTCATCTCCCACTCCCCCCAGAGGCAGGGCCAGACCGAAGGGAACCAACCTGTGTACTCGGGCCTCCTCGTTGCCGACCAACATCGCAACCCCGAGACAATATCTCAGTTGTCGCATGAATCCCCTGCCACCGAAGGTGATTACCTGCTCTCTTCCTCAAACGTCCAATCCGCGGCAACTTCCCCCGCCGTGAGGTACTCGGCACAAGACTTTCCTTCCCGGTCGACCTCACTGCAGCCGCACAGTCAGCAACTGCATCAGCAGCAGTCGTCGACCTCGTCGCCCGACGGCCAGCAGCAAGAGCACCACAGCCAACAGGGTATGGCTCCACAAGGAGGGCCGCCTCAGACAAGACGGTCCCAGGAAACCGAAAAGAGCCTGCGCGGCGATATCCCACCGGGGCCCCCACCTGGCTACAGGCACAGTCAGCAACCCTCCAACAGCATGAACACCCTGCCTTCGGCTCCACAGGGTCCTCAAGGCGCATCCGGCCCGAACCCTAGCTTCCGTCAGAGCACCATCCAAGACCGGCAGCAGCAGCAGCAACAGCAGTTTGAAGGTGCTGCAGAGCAAGGTCGCAACAGCCCACAGCCATCAGAAGATCCCGAGAAGGCTTTTAAAGATTTGCGTACGTTTTGTAACCTCGGATGTAACGATCGAGTCAAAATAACTAACAAAAATCCTTGCTGCAGTGACAAAGTACAAAAATGTTAAGCGCTTGTATTTCGATGGCAAGACCCAGATCGAGCAGCTGAATGGCCAGGTGGAGCAGCTTCAGAATGCAGTCGCGAACCAGAGGATCACACAGTCCCGCACCGCGCTGGACGACAATGAGTACATGACAAGGTTCAACCGGCTCAACGGAGCCATCAACAACCTGTCCTTCAACATTCGTAAAGACTGGACTTCGGTCCCATCTTGGTTGGAGAGCTACGTCAGCACAGATGCTCTAAAGACGGGCAAGCAGGAGATGACTGCAGTTGGACGCGCTGTCATCACCAGATGGATAGTGGAGGAGATTTTCCACGGCTGTTTTCACCCGGGTCTCGATCCTGAGCTCAGCAGACAGCTCAAGGAAATCGAGCAGAACATCCGCCGTGGCAACTATACCATGACCAGCCAGGAGGAGCACGACGCCCTGACCTCAAAGGTCGTGACCTGGAGGATGACGACGCTGGACGGCCTGCAACACGTGCTGAACTCGGCGGAGAGTTCTGAACACCGCCAAGACTTCATTCGAAAGGCCACGTCCAATCTAACTGCATATCTCTTTCAGCATCTCGCAGAGCCTCCCCCGGCCGGCGTTGACGGGAGCGCGAGCATGATCATAGAGCTCGCCGTCAGCATAGCGGCGAACCTGCCAATGGAGAGTCGAGACGTGGCAATCATCTACCCGCTGCCACAGGATAACCTACAACCCAACATCATGGAAGTCGAGAAGGCACCACTCCCGCCGATCGAGACCAGGCCCCCCGACAGCGACGGAGATGCGGACTCGAGAGAAGAAAATGGCAAGGACAGCGGCGGTGAGAAGAGCAGCAGCAAAGAGCGCAGCAGCAAGTCCAGAGCCGGTATGTCAGCAAGTTCAACTCTTTCAAGTCTACTCAGCAACGCCCCGTCGGTGCTTGTTCCTGGCAGCAGCAGCCGCAAGGGCAGCGTTGCCTCGGTTTCTCAACAGCCCGGTCGGAAACATTCGACTGCGCCGTCCATCACAGGTACTGACTCGACAACGACATTAGCTTTGCCTCCAAAGGACAGCAACAAGCTGCGGTTCGCCGGCTTCCTTGCCGTCGAGGTTCGAGGGCGGCAGGTGCTCGTCAAGGCGCCCGTGTGGACGCTGGGCTGAAGGAGCTCTCGATGAGAGAATTAAAGGAATTTCCGCAGAGATGCGGAAGACCAGGCATGACCTTGAGGATCATGGCCGTTCTTGCGAACGGCAAGCATGGTCTCACAATGTACGGTTTCTTGTGTCCGGAAAGATGTGCCCTCATGCTTGGCACATGGAACAAGAACAGGGAGGCCCGGAAGCCAGGCCGGGAAAGAAAGCCTCAGCCAGCGAGATGGCCAATGCAGGTATCTGGAGTCGACCCATGTGGTCTTCTCCGAGACCCTCTGACCCCCTGTCTTGCTGGCCAGGGATGGGAACCAAGCTATCGCTTCGATCCCCTGGGTCAACTTCTCATGTACGCGAGGTTTGGCGGGGATGACCCTCACACCATCTGTGTCAAGACTTGTCGAAATAATACAAGTAGTACGAACCTCCAAACCCCCTTGTCGGGCATAGTCTCATTTTTACTCCTGTGATGCATGCGTTGGGTATTTTGACGAACTGTGTTTCGTCCAATTACATCTTTACGTGCCCGGGCAGTTAGCTGCTACCTAAAGCCTCATGTGGTTTACTAGTCAAAATGTTGCTAGCTGTGACGGTCCGGCCCAGAAGCTCTCACCTCTGCCGTCGAGCGCTACACAGAATCTCGAGCAGTCATCCTTGCACATAAGCATCACCGCCTACCATTCTCGGATGTGCCCCGCCAACGTGGACTTGCCCGGCCTGCAGCTTGCCCACGCCGGCCGTCACGGCAGAATACGTCCGTCGCTCTTCGTCCCTATACTTTCCCGTCTCGGACGTCAACAACCATTTATCAGGCCGTTTACAAGGGAACTGCATCAAAGATGGCAGACAATCAACCCTCCATACCAAATCACCTGGAGCCGTCCGAGCTAGGCACCAAGGAATAGTGAGTCGAGTTTACATGGAGGGACATGATCTTTCCTCCCACCATCGTGCCCCGCGTCCCGCCTGTGCCTTAAAACGCAACGCAACGGAACGCAACGCAACACCGTCCCGCAAGACTAACCAAATGGTGCAAAACCAAACCAAACAGCTGGGACAACCTCTACAAGCGCGAGATCGTGAACAACGCCTCCGACCCCAACGACCGCGGCACGGTCTGGTTCGACGACTCGGACGCCGAGGCAAAGCTGCTCCAGTTCCTCGAGGACCTGGAGGAGGGCACAACAACCGCAGCAGCGGACGGGGACGGGATCGGCGGGGGAGCATCCCATGAGCCGGTGGCCCTGGACAAGCACTCGACGTCCTTCCTCGACCTCGGCTGCGGCAACGGGTCGCTGCTCTTTGCGCTGCGCGAGGAGGGCTGGCGCGGGCGCTGCCTGGGCGTGGACTACAGCGGGGAGAGCGTGGCGCTGGCGCGGCAGATCGCCGGGTCCGGGGCGGTGGCGGGCGACGAGGAGGTCGAGTTTGCCGAGTGGGACGTGCTGCGGGGCGGCTACGGCGCCGTGCTGCTCGGGGCGCAGGCCCGGGGGTGGGACGTCGTGCACGACAAGGGCACCTTTGACGCCGTGTCGCTGAGCGACGAGGCCGACGCGCGCGGGCGCAGGGTCAGCGAGGGGTACAAGGGGCGCGTGCTGCGGCTCGTACGGCCCGGCGGCCTGTTCCTCGTCACCAGCTGCAACTGGACCGAGGCGGAGCTCGAGGGGTGGTTCGGCGAGGGCAGCGCCGGCGTCGAGGGCGGCGCGAGGTTCGTGAGGGTCGGCCGGGTCGAGTACCCGAGCTTCAGCTTTGGTGGGGTCAAGGGGCAGACCATCAGCACGCTGTGCTTCCAGAGGAGATGATGACGGCGGGGTGTGCAGGTGTGGGCAGGTGTCCCTTCACGTTCAGACATCACGGCCCAGCGGACGGCGCGGAGTAGGGGGGCGTAGTCGCAGCACATCTAACTAGATACCCAACAGCAAGCAATATAGAAGGAACGCATTGACAGGTCTTGTACGATACGTGCGTGATTCATCGACGTGCTAAGTGTGCTAAATGGGGGGTCTCTTCCTCTGGTCGGGCTCGAAGCTCCAGGGTAGTCCTACATTATTCAAGGCCAAGGCTTCCCACATGGACCACCCGTACAGCCTGCCTTGCTGATATCCATTTGAAGCCCGTGGAGTTCGGAGGCCTGCAAAAGACCGCAAAGCATAAAACCTCGGGGGAATCGTTGATGCTCCTTTATGCCTGATCCCGTCTTCTAATAGTGTATTTTTTTGTTTGGTTTGGATTTCCCTTGGCGAAACGCTGTATATGATCAGGGGATGGGGACGAAATCAAAGGCCAGACCCACATCGAGCGGGTTGGTCCCTCTGTGAAAAGCGTCAAGACATGAACGGTTTCGGCCTCGCGCATGGTGTCATTTCAGCAGAGTAATCCCCCTTCTAGGGCGAGGTGTTCATGGGCTCCCCTCCCGAACCCGTCACGACCGCGGCAGCCGTTGTCGCGAAATAGCGAACATCCACATCGTCGTCCTTCTGCAGCTTTTCCAGGCTCGGGATCACGCGTTGCTGGATAAGCTCCTGGCCCTGTGGGGACGGGGCCTTGGTCTCACCGGACTTCTCCAGCTGGTAGACGGTGCCTTCGTCAGGCAGGCGCTGAAGAACATCGATGAGCACCGCATACGTCTTCGCGACGTTGAATCGGATGTTGGGGATGTCATCCACCACAAGCTTGTCAAGCATGGGCAGAATTGACTTGGCAATGACATCCATGCTGACAACAGTCGCCAGGGTCTTTGAGAGCTATATTAGCCAAGGTTACGATTCCCTAATCGGGGGTTGGGTTCATACCGTGATAGCGAAGCAGGTGGTCATTCTGTAGAGATAGTTCGGGTGATTGCCCATAGCCATCACCTTGGGGATTATGGCCTCGCTCGCCCACTCCACACCAAAGACCTCTGTGAGCTTCTTCAAATTGTGTGTCGCTGCCTCACGGATGGAGAAGACAGTGTCACCTAGCCAGCCCATACACAGGGCACTCAGCTGCTCATCGAAGAACTTGACACCCAGTTGACTTGCCAGTAACGGGATGTACTCGATAATAGCCAAGCGCACACGCCACTGCTTGTCCTCCGCTAGCTGCGTGATGGCGGGGAGCAGCGATTGTGACAGCAGGTCGATCCCGATAACTGCTAACATTAGCGCCGGGCCAGAAAATCCGACGGTGGACTACTAACCTTGGTTGACAAGCTCGAGCTTCGAAATGATGTGGAGACGGACCTCAGGGAACTCATCCTTGAGCATCTGAAGGAACATGGGCAGAAGATGATCAATAGTCCTGAGTTTTCAATCAGTATGGCACGAGCGTACCAGCGAGCGGGTGTTCTCGTCCGTAGACTTACTCTTGCTTTCCAAGTATGGGAGCCAGTCCACTGATCTGTGTACCAAGAGCGGCACGGACATGCTGGGAGTTGTCCGAGACCAAGTCCTCGATGCTACCCAGGATGTCATTGAGCAATGTCGTCCGCTCAACCAGGGCGCAGAATCCTGGAATCTGTCCTGCGATTGCCGTCCGCACCTCAGCCTCGTTGTCTTTGAGCAGCTTCACAAATGAGGGCACCAGGTCCCTTGCTACGACCTCTTCATCGACTGCTTTGGCGATCTAAAATAGAGTCAGCAACCACGATCAGACAGAGAAGGGCAGCGCATTGGACCCACCTTCTCAAACCGATCTGCAATCATGTACCTGACCCGCCAGCTCTTGTCTTCTATGAGGCTCCGGAGAGAGGTAAGAAGGACGCCGTGACTTGACTGCTGTTCCTTGGGGACAACTTCGGCAACGGCAATAAGCACCTCAACTGTCAACAAGCGCACGCTGTCCTGGTCGTCCTGCGCAAGGTGTTGAAACATGGGTATCATCTCCTCCACAACAATCGAAGCTGGCATCTCCTTCACGAACTTGGAGAGGTTGGTGGCGGCTTGGCGGCGCACCATGGGGGTCTCGTCGTGGACGAGTTGTCCAAACTGCTGGCGAAGCTGTTGCTGGATTGGTGGTGACACCTTCGAGTAGGGGCTGGTGTAGAGCCCGCATCCTGACACCTTTGACGTGAACCAGTCGGCTTTGGAGAGTCGGATCGTTAGGGGGATGAAGTATTCTTCGACTTGCTGCGAGGAGAGATCGACACAGATCTTGTTGAGGGACTCGACGGCCTAACGAGGATAATTAGGGCCAGATTGCACACTGAGGGTGACGATAGGAAGCCTACCTTGTCCCTGACGACCGGCTCCTCGATTGCAGCGAGGTTCTCGAGAGGAGACAGCAGGACGTGGCCCCATTGAGGCCCGCCGACGTATTCGATAAAGTTGCCGAGCTCTTCGCTCAGTGCAACCAAGACCTCGTCCTCGTCCTCGACAGACTCTGCATTGTTGTTAGAGGAGCTGTGCCAAGGCGTGTGTTGGGATGGGAAGAGGGCGCAGACCATCGAGGAAGGGGATCAGTTCCTCCCGAGTGCGCTCGGCGCCCAGGGCGAGGGCGATAGTGGAGAGGCGACGGATTGCATTGAGACGGAGGATGACATCGTCGTGCTACGTATCGAGTGAGCCCAGGTCATACAGGCGCAGATGGATGGGCAGCATGCGTGCGGGGTGGGGTGTGGTGCGTACCTTGAGCTCGTCAATGAGCACAGCGATGGGGTAGAGCTCATCGTTCGCATTCGGCGCGTCAGCCATGACGAGCGATTTAGGCAGTGACAATGCTCGCCGGGTGGTCGGTGGGCAGTGGGATGGATGTTGGGAGGCTGGGAAGTGTGAGCGCGAGGAAGGCCTGATCGCGTGCGGTGCGAGGGGTGATGTAATGAAGCTACCGACTTTTGCAGCTGATTCCTGTCCTGACGGCGTCGCCTCAAAGTGCCCGAGCGAAGCAGTTCCCAGGGCTTCGTTGGACCGGTGCTGTGGGCTGGCTGCCGTTGTCGAGCCCGAAACAAATCAGACTAGATCGGGGCGGTGGCTCGGGATCGTGATACGGAGGCCGGGCGATGGCTTCTGTGGACGTCGTGGTGGTGATACGGGAGCTTTTAGGGGGTTGGTGGGATGAAGTCAGGTTTGATGAAGGGGGGAGCTCTCTGTGATTGATGGCATTGTTGTGCAGCCAGCAACCGGTCGCTGGTCGCTGGTGCACTGTGGGCAGGCCCTTCCGAGGTGGCAGCCGGCCGCTCCCTACCCCCTCCTCGCAGGCAGTCAGTCTCATCAGGAAACCGGGGCAGGCTAACAATTCCACCCAAACACACAGGGAGCGTAGGTACAAGTCCATACACAGTATCTTGGCGCTGGATCCAAGTACTCCACCTCCGACTGACTACGCCTGAGAATTGCCTCCCGCCACACCGATGCAAAGCTGCTGTACCTAGGCAGGTACATTTTGTGTGATGCACCTTTCCAGCATGCTTCTTTGGGCGCACAAGGCCCTGAGTGTAGATCTCGAAGCATGTCACTGGCCGAAGTTTATGTTGTCTCTGTCATCCATTATCAAAACCAATTCAACCACCCCAGGCAAGGCTGATTTGACCCTAGTGGTTCGCTGCAACGGCCGCTCGGTACCAAGTATTTACTACTCTGTCCTTCGTTCAAACCTTGGTGATGGTATTACAGAGAGATGACCCCAACCCTCAAACAGACCTAGTTGCAACTGTGGTTATGGAGAAGGGTTCTTGTAGTTCATACCTCTCTGTTCACTGCTGGCAACCCTGTAGCCGGCCGACATTGTCGCCGGTGTGGACACGATGGCCACTCGGCTTGTCCAAGTCTCTTTGGGCTGACAGAATTCTCAAAAAAAGCCTGTATTCTCAAAATTGACCTTGTAGTTGGGTGTAATCTTGTAATATAGCGTTGCACTCCGTATACCGCGGCGAATAACCTCGGTGGAGTCACACCTCCTGGCAACATCTCGTCAGGGTTAGGTGTGTAAATGCCCCTGATTTTGAGAGGTACCGAGTACGGAGTAGTGGGTATGTCGCCGAGGGGGGGGCCTTCAATTGAGCTGCAGTCACCCCTCCAAAATTCCTAGGCTCGCCCGCCGCTCTGACTCAACTTTGGGCAAGCTGGTTGCATAGGAATTTCGCGATACCCTCCAACAACACCCGACGCTCACCGTCTCCATTGTCACCACACCCACTCATTCTGACCAGCACACTGGTCGCATACACGCTCGTCACTATGCCTACCATTGCCGTGGACAAGTACGCTCTTTACGAGGCACTCGGTCAGAAGTGAGCTTGCAGTCCCGCCCCTCTAACCAACCCCACGTCCAGGACAAGAAGCTCACACCGGGGTTGTGCAGGTTCACCAAGGAGGAATTCGAGGACCTATGTTTCGAATTTGGAATTGAGCTCGATGAAGACACAGAGGAGGACGAGCGCCCAGAAGGCGTGCCTCCGGAGCTCAAGATCGGTCAGTCCACGAGTAACGATTGTTTTGCCGAGTACGGTTTCTAACGACGAGTCCAGAGATTCCGGTATACCTCCCCCGCGATCCACGACGCTTGAACACGCCTCGAGACTGACCGGCCACACAGGCCAACCGCTATGACATGCTGTGCTTCGAAGGAATCCAGCTGATGCTCAACATTTTCCGCGAGAAATCCCCAGTCCCGAATTATCGCCTCGTCGAGCCCAAGGACGGCAAAGTACAGACCCTGACGATCAAGCCCGACACACAGAAAGTCCGACCTTACGCCGCTGGTGCCATCTTGAGGAACATCACTTTCACCCAGCAGAGTTATGAGTCCTTCATCTCGCTGCAGGACAAGTTGCACATGAACCTGGCCCGTCAACGGACGCTGGTTGCCATCGGAACGCACGACCTAGACACGATCCAGGGCCCGTTCGTCTACGATGCCCTACCACCAACCGATATCAAGTTCATCCCCTTGAACCAGCAGAAGTCCATGACTGGTGCGGAACTCATGGAGTTCTACGAAAAGGACAAGCATCTTGGCAAATACCTCCATATCATCAGGGACGCTCCCGTCTACCCTGTGATGCTGGACGCGAACGACGTCGTGCTGTCCATGCCCCCAATTATCAACGGCGAACACTCCAAAATTTCGCCAAAGACCAAGAATGTCTTCATTGATCTCACCGCAACCGACGAGACGAAGCTGGAAATCGTCACGAACATGATGGTAACCATGTTCTCCATGTACTGTGCCGAGCCTTTCACTATCGAGCCGGTAAAGGTCATCTACGAGCACGACGAAAAGAGGTCACGCACCTTCCCTGATCTCACTCCCAAGGTCATCGAGACCGAGGTCGACTACCTCAAGAGCTGTACCGGCCTGGACGAGACCCCGGAGCGCATATGTCAGTTGTTGACCAAGATGGCATATGACGCAAAACCGTCCAGTAAGGACAAGAACTTGATAGAAGTCTCTGTTCCGCCAACGCGGGCAGATGTGCTTCACCAGTGCGATGTGATGGAGGACCTGGCCATCTGTTATGGCTACAACAATCTTCCAAGATCAACACCACACAGGTCGGCAACAATCGGTGCCGCAATGCCGATCCAGAAACTTGCCGACATTGTGCGTTTCGAGGCGGCTTTCGCAGGGTGGACCGAGGTTTTGCCACTCATTCTCTGCTCCTTTGACGAGAACTACACATACCTGAACAGGAAAGACGACGGGAAGGCAGTACGGCTCGCCAACCCGAAGACGGCAGAGTACCAAGTGGTTCGCACATCTCTGCTGCCTGGCCTTCTCAAGACGATTCGAGAGAACAAGGGCAAAGCCTTGCCCATCAAGATTTTCGAATGCTCAGATGTTGCCTTCAAGGACGAGTCTGCAGAGTGCAAGGCCCGAAACCAGAGGAATTTTGCGGCTTGCTTCTGTGGGAAGACGTCTGGATTCGAGGAAGTGCACGGCCTGCTGGACCGCGAGTTGACGATGCTGCGGACGGCCTTCTTGACGCACGAGGAGGCCCTGCAGGGAAAGAGCATCGACTTCCAGGTCGTCCAGGAACCCTCGAAACAAGACGGCTACTGGATTGAGGAGACAGATGAGCCCACTTTCTTCCACGGCCATGCCGCTTCTATCTACCTCCGACTCGGCGGGAAGACCCAGAAGATTGGCCAGTTCGGCATTCTTGACCCAACTGTGCTGGAGGCCTTTGACATCAGGTAGGTCCAAAACGCTTTGATCGATGTGGCATTCAACTGATTAAGATACAGATACCCCGTGTCGGCGCTGGAGTTCAACCTGGAAGTCTTCTTGTAGATGGTAGATCATGCCGGACATTAGCTATATGCATTTCAATAGAGTGGCGAAAAGTTCCTACGGCTGTAGATGGTATCCAATGATCCAGAAATGAAAACTGATCTAGAGCTATTGACATTTGGCTCATTGCGGAAGCCTAGGGTGACTCTTGCGATACTATAAAAGATGACAAGACTCGGGAAACATGTATCTGCGTGGCCCAGTCTTAGCGTGTTAAACTATCCGGATGCTGTACCCGATGGTCACAATTACTGCGAGTTGCCCATCATCCGGGCCCATTCAGACGAAGCTAGATCAAATATCCTTCATAACACAAGTGCGGACTGACATGGGCAGGGGATTTCCCACGTCCGGCTCTTGGCAGGATATTTTAACAATCATTGTCACGGCGGACAACACTGCACACGAGATGGACGGCCTAATGGCTTTTATTGGTTGAGATCATTGCACGCTGTGAACTGGATGAGGCAGGCTGCGCTTGCACTTCCTGTGCGCCATCTTCTCCTGGTGTCTCGGCACGCTTTGCAAGCGGTTCGAGCTTTCCTTGGGTGTCTGCTACGAGTCCATGGCATCTTATCCTCCCAATCTGCTTAGAGACAGTCTCCTGAAGGATAGCCTCTCAATTCTAATCTCCCATATGATAACCTCTTAGAAGATAACCTCCTTACATCCTAAAGGAGGCCTTTCCATCAGTCCACACAAGATGTAGATATTCCCTTTTTTATAGATGTGAAACTGTGTTACAGTAATATTGTATAGGATTGTGCTTTACATCTGTTTGGTTGTCCAATTTGTGTGAGATGTTAGCTTGTTCGTCAAGACCTTAAGTAATTTAAGGCTTACAGGATGTCCCTTGTCTCACTTGTATTATGTAGTATATCCACATGCATGTAGAAATAGATTTGTTGTTATCTCTATAATCACTCCTTTGGGGAGGGGCTCAAATTCGGGATTACCAGCTTTGATATTAAGTTCTTGGGGCTCAAGAATGGTTGGTCGTTTTTCATAGACAATCCAAATCAGTGGCTTTTAAGGAAATATGTGAGAAATGGTATGACAATCAACAATAATTACCCTAGTTGCCTTCACAGGTATAGTTCTTTGGGTCATTCCTACATAAGGCATCTTCTCTATTTAGTAGTTGTAGAACTAATTTCTTAAATGGGTTTGCCTGGATTACTGCCCCGGCCCACTATAACTGGAGATTTGATATGAGAACATGATGTCCATATAGTAGTCACTGGTTATCATGCCTCTTTCAGCTTGTTGCACGTTGCTGTTCATGTTGCTGTTCATGTTGTGGCTCATGGTGTTCAACATGGTAAAACTGGCCTTCAGACGTGCTTCAGATCCCGGGACAAATTCGTCTGGGAAGTTCGGCTGACAATTAGTTTCCTGTTATTCGGCAAGCATGTGTCTTCCAGTGCGGAGACTTGCTCTCACTTATGCTAATTATGATTTGCAGAATCTCCTGCTCAGCAACATAATTCTCTACCTCATGTCCAATTTTCCAAAACCAAATCTAAGATCCTTGGTCCGTTGTTGTTGAAGACGTATGGTATCTTGGGGTCTGGATCATTGCAGAGCCTTTCAGGCAGGGAAGCATACAATAAACCACCTCTATCCCTTGAGACAACGGACTATTTCAACAAAATAATTTGCCGTACAAATACTCTTCAGTTTCTGCCTTCCGAACCATTCCGTACCTTCCCAGACTGCTTCCTTGCAAAAACCTATGCATCGCCAATCGACAAGGAGAACATGAAGATCAGAACCACCCACAAAGGAAGCCCGGTCATTCACCTTCAGGAACACAAACCGTGGAAGGAGCCAAGCTAAGTTCATCACAAGCGATTCCCCGGTTTCGTTTCTATTCCATATACGTCCGAAGCCATCAGAACTTACAGGACTGTTTAACTTAAAAGGCGTTCCACTGAAACCAAGACTCAACGCTTCTGTCGCTGGGTCCTTCGCCTCCCTGTTTGTTCCCAGGTTCCAGAAACACCTCAGTTTTCTCCAACATCCATCGCACAAGATTATCTGCTATCACATCTTCATCACAAAATACACCTGAGTACGTATCTTTTATCAAAAGCTAGGCCAACAGATACTTCAGACGGTCCGAAGGTGGGCTGGCTTCTTCTCAGATTACAACCTTCCCCAACTTGACCAGGTCAGAAGGACCACTCAATCCGACGTTGCAAGTGGCACGTATCAAGTCGATACCAATACCTCTACTGGTTTCCATGCCGGTGGTTGCACCAGGCCCTGAGTCACTAGTCGAGCAAAGAGTAGCCGCGGCTGTTTCTGCCGGTAAGTTTGTTCATCTGGATAGCCGTCGCTAGACCTGAAGCGATCTGCCCATCTTCCTTTGATCTCATCCCGAAGACATTTTGGTGCGTCTGCCTCTGACAAGCCACGGCCACAGTACAGACACCCGGCTGCCATCAATATGCCGCCTTGGGGATCTCCTGGCCCGATGGACAATGTGGTCGACTTAACATTAGATGACATGGACGTACGCTCCTGGGAGGCAATAGATCTGACCTCGGTGGACGACCGACACCCACCGAATCATGCCTCGGAGAGGCCAGAACTGAACGTGGAGGACGAGTCCACAACCCTGGTTGGGTCAAACACAACTGACTCTGGGGAGTCCAGTCCGAACACGCAATGGACCTACGACACCGCGCAGACGGAGTCCAACCCTACTGACCCCGGCGATCTGAGCCCGAGAAATCCACAGGATGAAGACAGTGATTCACCAGACGATGACTTGGCCACCATAATTGCACGGAACAGGAAGCGGAAGAATACTGCTGGTGACCCTCCGACTTCCGAAAACAAGCCAAGAGAAACCCAGTTAACACCCTCGGCCTTCGGCTCTATGTTCGGCTCCAAGTCCCTGAAGCCAGCTTTCGGTGAACTTTGGTTCAATCGCAAATCTGGTGTGGACGGTATGGACGTCGCCAGGCCTCAACCGGACAGGAGACCGAAGGCTCAACAGAACAAGCGCGTAACAATCCAGCACGAGGGGCAGTCGGCCAACGATGCAAACTCTCGGATCCTCAACGTTGACCTGGATGATGAATTCGGCCCAGAGGAGAAAACCGAGAAATACAAGCGCAAGTCAAAGACACAGCGGATTCCACCGAAGAAACAGAGCCGAGTCGATGAGGAACCTTCCATTATACCTGCTCCTCGGCGAGCGGTTTCCGAAACCCCCGAGACCACTCACCATCAGAGGAAAACTGGATTCTCAGGAGACGTGAAATTGTCCCAGGCCCATGACGTGGTCGAAATTCAGCGCCCCCACAAGAGGAGGAAGCACAGCAGACAACATGACACCATTAATAGCCTCAACTCCGGTGCCGCTGCTCTCGAAGACACCGGCAGCCTGGTGGCAGCTGCGAATAGGCTCCAAGCCCCAAGATCCGGGACGTATTCTGTGGGGAAAGATAGAGTCACAGGAAAACATTCGGCTGGGAGCATGCGCGGTGGCTCTTTAGTGGACCAGTCAGACGATGCTGGCCTACATCGAGGAAACAAGACGACGCATAGAGAAAAACGACAAAAGCTTATGGCACAGGTTTGGAAGCAAGCCGAAAAGTCACAGCGTACTGCGGCACGCATTGGTACTCAACAGGCTGGATTAGCGTCCAGGAGGCCGAAAAAGGGCAGAGATGACCGACGGCCGGCTCCTGACCAAGATTCGAGCCATCGTGAAGCTCACCAAGGGTCTAATGGTGGCTATTCCGGTACGAGAGCCCAACCACCGTTCGAGGGTGGGGTTGCCCGTCCAGAGGCTGCGAGATTGTACGAAGACGTTCGAGGAGCCCAGGACATACCAGACATTCGTACACAACAGTCTCAACAGGCACACAGAGATTGTGACACGCGAAAGAGTGACATGGTCTACTCCAAAGCCGGTGCTGCCCAGCCAGCCAGCCGCATCGAGGATTCTCAGCAGATATCGAGCCTCGATGCCCGCAAGAAGGACATGGAGGACGCAAAACGTTACTTCGAGAATCACCCTTCAAATTCCGCTCCACAGCGCAGGGTCGAGATGACCAACTTTGTTCCTCCCGACCTGAGCAAACCTAATTTCGCTTTCCGCAGTCGGATGGCCAACTCAAGCAACAGGAAGCGGCTTGGTCGCAAATTACCGAACGCCGCCCAACAGGCCGAGAAGAGGGACAAGGATCGCCAGAAAAGGATACTAACAAAGCGGCGACAACTGGGGGAGGAAGCGAACCGGCTGTTCCCAAATGAGTCCGAGGAACACAAGGAGAAATGGATCGAAGACCGCATAGCCAAGATGAGACAGACATTCATGAAGAACGATCAAAAGAGGGAGGCGCAGAAATCACAGGGCTTTCTGACCGTCGATTATCTCGAAGACTTTGGGCCTGCTGGAAGCGATGGCAACGATGGGCCACCGGCAGCTGCGCCAAAGGGCAAGAGGGGTGGAATTCCCCTAGCGGAGGCCCTCGAGCCAGGAGCTACCATCAACCTGTACACCGTATGGCTCAGCAACCCGGTTGAAAAGGGCAAGCAGCCCGAGGAAAAAGACTTCAAGCGCCTAGATGACCAATTCCTCCCAAGGGAAGATGCAAACAAGCACGCTGAAGCCATCCTCAGGAACGAAAAGTACGACGATTCGCACATCGTCTCCATGCACTTCCGCGTGGGACCCACAGACGGGTTGTTCTGGGGGATCAAAGAGCTGGCTGACGGGAAGCAAGTCACTTGTTACGTCCAGAAGGAAAGACATATGGCTAGCTTACTAGACCTCAGCGATACTTTTGTGCGCAAGGAGCTAAAGAACACATACTGCTCGCGATTCGATGTGTGGTACATAAAGATCATCCCGAAGGTCTTTCTAAAGGAAAAGAAAGCCACCACTGGCCAGAACATGGAGAATTCTAGAGCCAAGTCGGAGGCGAATACACCCAATGCGGACGGGGAGCCATATCCTCCCGAGAAGGAGCAGGCGGATGACGACAGAGTTAGCTTGTTCTCTGCGACTCCAACACCTGAGCCCGACACCATCGAGCTCGAGAAAGATGAGGCCGAGGAGGTCGAGGGCGGCGATGAGAGCGACGCCTATTCCGTCGTTTCTGACGGGACAATGGCACCCTCGGAGCCAGGTGGGAACCTGGGGTCACTCTCATGGAACGACGTCGAATACGTGCACGAGCACGTGGGTGCCTTCACCACCATGGAGCTGGCAAACGAGGAGGCCTACAAGGTGGCACGGGAACTCTGGAAGCCGAGAGGTGCGCGCTACATGTCCTGGCATTACTACTGGGACACGGTCCTGCCGAGCATCGATGGCTATAGGGACAAGGAACTAGACGTTCAAGCCGCAGAGCTTGTGTTTGATGAAGTCCCAGAGCTTGAAGGGCACGTAGACAACCTGCCATGGCCATTTGTTTATTCCAAGGTTTTCGTGACGGAGACCAGACTAGAGGGTCCAAGGGACATCGGAAACCACTACAAGAGGGACAACGATGAGGACTGTGGCGAGGAAGGTGTTGGGGACGGGGAGGAGGATGAGGAAGACGACTGAGGAAAGGCGACCGATTATTCATGGCAAACAGGTTGGGAATTGGTGGCTATGGGTTTGGGGGGATACACTTGTGATCACACGCGATGGGGATATACACCCCAGCGCCTGTGTTCCTACTTTTTCTTGGAGGGCGATGCAATCCGACGAAGAATGGTATTCTAGACGGGATATGCCACTTGTGCGATGCTGGGTGCAGGAATCAACTAGAAGTCGTAAACTCCAGCCCGCTCCTTATTCGGGATCATCTGCATATTGCGACTCTGACGTCGTCGCCTTCCCCTGGTCCTGGAGGTGCTTCCACTCCGCCTTGCCCTGGTCCGTTGTGGCATCGATAATCTCTTGCTCGAGGCTCAAAACCCCGGCTTCGTTGAACAGGCCTACCAGCTCCTCCGCCTCGTCCACCTTCATGTTGCCCAGCACCTTGTTCACCTGGTCCAGGCTGCCGCTCTCGAGCGCCTTCTTCATCTCGGGGCTGAAGCCCTCAAAGATCTTGCGCGCGGCCTGTTCCTCAGGGTCCTGGCTGTCCGCTGGCGGCACCGAGATGTGAATAACGGTCCCGGGCTCCACGGCGTGCAGCTGGATCTGCTCGACGCCCTCGCCATCGGCCAGGCCCGAGCCGGACGCCGCGCGCTCCTTGTTGATCTCGGCGGCGCGGGTCTTGATCTTGAGGTAGGTGTCCTGCACGTCCTTGAAGAAGACGTCCTGGGCCTGGTGGCCCTTGGTCATGATGCGCTTGAAGAACAGGCCGACGCCGTCCCGGCCCAGGGCGCGGCAGTACTGCAGGAGCAGGGCCTGGTGCACGCACTGCCGGGCAAACTCGTCCTGGCTGCTGAGCTGCGCGTCAAAGGCCATGATGAGCAGGCCGTCCGTCTCCTTCTCCTGCAGGATCTCCGGGTGCTTGCCCAGGAAGGCCAGGGACTCGCTGTAGGAGCCCGTCTTGATCTTGGCGAACTGCTTCGCCGCGGGCGAGGCCTCGACCTCGTCGTCGTCGTCATACTCGGGGTTGGCGGAGGAGCTGCTCTTGCCGGCCTCGGGTGCGCTGAAGTTTGGGTTCAGGAGCTCAACCTTGGTGTCATCCTTCTTGGCCGCCGATGACGATGATGGGGTCGACTTGGCCACGTGCGAGCTGTCGAAGCCCGTGTGTATGCTCTCGCTCGTGATCTTCCTGGCCTCCTCCTTCTCGAGCTCGTCCAGCTTCTTGTGCAGGTCCTTCTGCAGGCTCGTGACCTTGTCCAGGTGCTCTTGGATCTCTGCGACCATGGCTGCGTACCGGTCCTCGTCCTTGACCTTCTTCTCCTCCATGGCCTTGTTCACCTGGTCGAGCAGCGTGGCCATCATCTTGCTGTACGTGGGCAGCTTCTCCTCGGCGTTGTGCACGCCGGCGGGCCGTGGGGGCGGCGTGTCGTCCTCGGGCTTGAGGTTTGCGGCCGACTGCATGACGGCCGCAAAGGCGACCTCGCCGGGGCTGCGCTTCCCATTGTCGACGTCAGAGGCGTGGGCCTTGAGGGAGTTCAGAAGAGAGGTGATGCGTTGTATCAGGGCGTCGTTGATCTGACGCTCGTACTTTAGGGTGATGATTTGTTGCTTGCGCTGCTCCCGCTCCTGGTGGATCTGGTTCTGCTTCGCGCGGATGAAGGACCGCTTGTCCACGTTTGGGTGTACTTCAACATCGGAGTCGTCGCTCAGCTCCAGCGCATCCTGTTCGGAACAGATATTAGTTAACTTCCTGCCAGTTCACCCTGGATGGGCTGTACGGGCAGGCTGGGGGCGACTTGCCCATTTGCTGTAGTCAACAGGCATCTTGGCTTAGCAGATCCACAGCCTTGTCCAGTGGGTTGAGGGACCGTGGTTCGCAGTCGTGCTGGCGTTTCCAGATCTACCGAGTACAGCAGCTGGAACGAGATGATGTTCACAGGTCCGATGGCATTACAGGGAAGAGGTTGCGGCTCTGGAAGCTTCCAACTGTACTCCGTAGTGGAGGGGGCATTGGACCGGGTTGGCGGGGTATCTTGGGCCCCTGTGGGGTGCAGCCCGGGCGGGATACTGGATGTTAGCGCTAGTGAGGCTGTCCTTGTATGCTGCGTCGCACAGCCTTGTGGAGCTCCGATTGTGCCATGCATGCCACTTCATGACCAAAAATGTATTTTGCATACCGCAGAATGATAGCAGTACCTCTTATTCGGACACAAGTTAACCTAGACAGAAATACCCCGTCTGGATTCGTGCGGTGGTATTGCATAGAACCGTCAAACTCCTTACTGCTGTCTTGCTAGACGAACAGGTTGATGCCGAAGGCCAACCCCAGCTCCTGCGCTCCATGACCGTGAAAATAGTCCAATAAACCATGAAATAAAAAGCCAAATAGACTGCAATAGCCAGTCCTTTGCAGAAACACGTCTCCCGCGCCCGTGGAGCGCTTCCTCCTGAGAGACTGAAATGCTGCCACGCCATGCCCCTCCCACTTCTACTCCATCGTTTTCAAGAACCCGTCCAAGTCGAAACTCTCCTCGTACTGCTTGTTGTCCCACAGGTCACCCAAGTCCTCCAACCAGGCGGCCTTCTTTCCAGGCTGGCGGACGTCACCCGTCTCGATATCCACCATGTCCTCTTCGCGCCCCTCAAACCCAGAGCTGCCCCCGGCTGGCTTCTCTGTGATCAAGCCAGGCCCCGAGTCGCCCACGTTGAACAGATCCAGGATCTGGTCTGTGTCCATCGTCGCCAGCCCTGCATTCTGCTGGTTGACAACAGTTGAGGCCACATCAATCTTGAAACGCTGTAGACTGAGGATCTTCTCTTCCAACGTGCCACGTGTGATCAATCGGTACACATTGACGACCTTCTTCTGGCCGATTCGGTGCGCACGATCCATGGCCTGCAGGTCCTTCTGCGGGTTCCAGTCGTGCTCGACGAATATCACGGTGTCTGCACCTGTGAGATTGAGACCAAGACCGCCAACGCTCGTGGTCAGAAGGAGGCAATCGTAGGATGGGTCGCTGTTGAACTTATTGACGATGTCCTGGCGTTTATTGGCTTCGACGCCGCCATCAAGACGGAGATATGTGACAGACGGAAGCATGGCCTTCAGCACTGAATTCTGCACCATGTCCAGCATCTCCTTCATCTGACAGAAGATCAGCGCCCGATGAGGTTTGATTGGCTGGTACAATGGGTCATTCGAATCATGGCCCCCCTCGGTACCAATGCCGCAGTCTACCAAGAGGTCACGCAGCGCTGTCAATTTCGGGGCGTGGGCGGCATCTTCCAGGCTGGTGTTGCTCTTTGCGAGAATGCGCTGAGTGTCCTCGTAGTTCGGATGGCCTGGCTTCATCACCATGGCGGGAGAGTTGCACAGTTTCCTCATGTATTGCAATGCTTGGAAAATGTGCTGTTTGGCCTCCTTGTCATCACGGCCAGCCTCGTCAGCAAGTTTCTTTGATTCGCGCTTCGTGAACTCCTCGAACAACTTCCTCTGCAGATCGCTGAGGTCGCAGTAATAGTTCTGCAAGATCTTGGGCGGGAGGTCGTTGAGTACCTCTTCCTTCAGACGTCGCAAGAGGAAGGGCAGGACCTGTTTGTGCAGGGCTTCGATGGCGAGAGCTCCCGCTTCTTGTTCCTTTGAGGAGGCCTTGTTGTAGCGGGATGCGGAGATTGGCTTTACGAAGCGGTCGGCAAAGACCTTCTCAGCCCCGAGGAAGCCGGGCATCAGGAAATCGAACAGGGACCACAGCTCCAGAACGTTGTTCTGGATGGGCGTGCCAGTCAGAATGAGCCGATGGTTGCTGACCAGCCTCTTCACTGCCAAGCTGATCTTTGCCTTGGCGTTCTTGATGAGGTGGCCCTCGTCAAGCACCACGTAATTCCAGTTGTACTTCTCCAGAACTTCAACGTCGTTGCGGCAGACATCGTACGAAGTGATGACGATATCGGGCTTGTCAAGGCCGTCTTTCATGGCCTTCCGCTCGGCCGGAGGTCCCACGTATGCCATGACGCTCAGGAACGGGGCGTAGGCCTTAATCTCTTGCTGCCAGTGACCAGACAGCGTGGGAGGGCAGACAATCAGGGAGGGAAGCCGCCTGACATCTGGCGATCCTGTCTTGGAGAATTCCTCAGCCCGCTCATGATGGTCACTGGCGACTATGCAGAGCGTCTGCAAAGTCTTGCCCAGACCCATGTCGTCGCATAGAATGCCGTGGAGATGGTACTTGCGGAGGAAATTCAGCCAGTTCACGCCGTCCTGTTGGTAAGACCGCAACTCCGCTTTGATGGCAACCGGGAGAGAGAACGCCTCAACCTTCTTTGGATCGAGCAGTTGCGCAATGAACGTTCGCTCGCGGTCTCTGCCCTTGAGGAGTTCCTGGGAGAGGCCCGGGGGGTCTGGTATGCCTGCTTCCAGCGGCACAAGCTTGACCAGCGTCGCAAATGAAGTTGTTGCTATCAACCGGATCTCGTTGTCAGAGTCACTCATCCGGCCTAAGACGGGAACGATAAGGAAGACAACGTAAGGCAAAATTGCATCTCCCATAACGGCAATCAGGTGATATATGACCTCAATGGCACCTTGTCGGAAGTGTAGGTCCAGAGGGTTATTAATGGACGGCAGGACCTTTTCGACCAACGCTGTCATGCCCTGGACTGTGATGACGCTGCAGATGGTTGCTAAGCACTTGGCAGCCATGTATCGGAACACCGACAGCTCGGAATGCAAAGCCTTGATGACGAGTGGGGCCATCTGCATGATGAACGGGTGAAGGGCAGTGTGGATTGTCGGCGTCATTGTGCGAATCACAGACATAGCGTCGACAATCTCCTGCCCGAAGGTATTCTCGGGGTCTCTGGCTTCGGCGGGCAGGTCGCCGGAGAAAGCTTGCATGAGAGGCCGCTCCATGAATGTGCGAATACTGGGAACAACGCTGAGAAGATCGGCGCCGAACGTCTTCGATAAGATTTGCAACGCCTCCTTTGCACCGCGACGAGTTATGCGAGCTGCCTTTGCCTCACGGGCCCATTTGGCAGCGTCAGGATGGTCGACACGATCCTCTTCTTTTTGCATCGATAGTACCACATCAGTCTTACTGGCGTGGACTGGGAATTCCGGAGTTTCCGCCACTTCCATGCAAGAAAACTTGACAAGGTTGCCTACCACCTTGTCCGCGGGGCCCCGACGACCAGATTCCGTGAAGAACTGCACGAGGTTTGCAATTGTCGATGCCGAACGGCTCTGAAGATCCTGGTTCTCCTCGTATTTGATGCTGTCCATTACGGCCTTGATGAGCGGGCTTGGCTTCTTGGGCAAATGTTTGATGGCCACCAGAGCACATGCTGCAGCCGCTTTGATCCGCACATCGCGTGTCTCTTTCTTCGCCTTGGCATCTTCAATGGCCTGGGCGGTGATGTCACGAGACTCTGCGAGATCTTTACTGGCGATGAGCCGTTGCCCGGGAGCCATTGCTTTCTTCAGCTTCTCGTAATCCTCACCCACAACCTTTTCAGCATTTGCGATTGAGAATGCTCCTGGCCCTGCTTCCGCCTCACCTTGTACGATCACAGCCAAGGTCGGTAGCTTGCTAGATGATACTTTGCCGAAATCGCGGAACAGATGTATCAGTTGCGAGCACTGGGCGCGGACGTTTCGGATGTAGCTGACCAAATCTCGATAACAAGATGGCCGTTCACCCTCAACCATCTTCTGCAGCAATGCCACGAACCTAGAGCACTGCTCGACGTTTGCAGACTTCTGTGCGTACTCGTCGATGACCATGCAAGCGCTGAGTTGTGTGGAGGAGTATGAGGACCCAAGACCTTTGATGATGCTTGCATCATACTCTTGCAGGCTTTCTGCAGGAAGAAGGGACATGATGAAGCCCATGGCTTTCGCCGCAGAGATCCGAGATCGCACCAGTGTTTCCATGCCGACCAGATCGACATCTCCTTGCATCATGCGCCCGTCGAGATCGTGTGACTGGGAAGCAGCTTGGGGTTCTTCAACCTTAGTCGACTTTCTTCGCCTCTTGTTGGCACGCTCCGGACCCTCCGAGGGACTAGATCTCCGAGGCGGCGCAGGCGTTCCACTGAGGGGGGCGTATGTGCCACCTGATGGCTTCATGAAAAACTTTGTGTCCATGGGAATGGGATTGCGCTGAACGCCAATGGGATGCAGAGTCAGCTGCATCAATGGTTCGACATGAGGGGAAAATTCCATTGCCAGCACTGCTGGATCCTGAGCGAGAGACTTGACTAGTGACATCCATAGCTCGATGGACATATTCAGCGTCTCTGGATCGCGCTCCACCAGAATGTTCTGGAAAATTAATCTGAGGATGCGACCGTTCAGCCAACCTTGTGCTGACTCTGCGTCGAGCTTGGCGAAGGTCATGAGAGCCTTGAGGACGGCAAGACGGACTGATGTGATGGTGTGGCGCAGAAATGGATATAGTCTTGGCACAAGAACAGTGAATGTTCTCTCCTCGTCCTCTTGCGCTGAAGTCTTCATAGCAGCCAGGACTTCCGGGAAGCTGCAAAGAACAGCAAGGAGATCCATGATCTTGCCGGTCGAAGCGCTGAGGTCGTCGGTCAAGTCAGCCAATCCCTCCCAGACGATATTGATCAACCCGTTCAACTCTCTAGGGCGTTGTGTGACAAATTCTTTCGCCATTGGCGTCAAGGTCGCGGCGCTGACAGAACGCACGTCATCATCGCTATCACCGAGACCCTTCATGACCGCGCGGATGATACCATCGATCATGTCGCCGTCTTTCATTAGTAAATCTTTCCGGACGGCCACAACGTAGCGGAGCCCAACCATGCCGCCGTGGCAGATCGGCCAGACATGCTGCTCCAGCGGCAGGTCTTCTTGCATGACCATACGGTAGAGTATTCTGTAGATGGCGTGTACGGAATCGGGGGAGACGTGGAACAGGACGGATCCAAGTGTCTGGCCGACTGTTTCCCTGATGGGGGCCACCGAGGTGTCAGAACTGTAATCTGTAAACCTGTCCAGCATCAGAACACAGCAGAGCCGGCAGGCAAGGTCGTCCAGCCACTTTCTATTCAGCTCGTTGTTCTCGCTGCGGGACACACCACGGACCCTGCCGGCCCCTGCGCCATGGACCCTAATCAGCTCCCTCAAGCCCATAGCTGCACCGTGCCTGGTCTCCCAGGATGGATCGAACAAATCCACCTTGAGGAATTCACATAAACGTTCGTACGGCCATTCGGAGCCTTCCATGTTGACGTCGGTCTCCAATTCAGACTTGATTGGGATGACTGCGCCCTTGTACTCAGATACGACCTTGCTGTCTTCCTCGAGATCAGCCGGCCTATCGAGATTGAAGTAGTCAACCACCTTGCCGTTCTTCTTGGAATCGGCATCGACCATTGGTGTGTCCTCGGCATATACTTCTGAGCCAGCTGTCGTATTCCGACGCAGGGAGAGATCGCCGAAACCACCCTTCCCTTGGGCGGCCTTCTGAGCCTCCCGTTTACGTTTCCGCTTGAGCACGTTCAGTTGCCTTGCGCTCATACCACTCTCCTCCCCTGGATGAGGTGTGGTGGCAGCTCCGTTACTGTCGGGGCGGCCAAAGCCGTGGGAACCATTTGTGTCTGCCGGGGTACCGGGACTCGCGGCAGACTCGTTCGGGATGGGTATCTCTTCATCCTCATAAGGCCGTCCCAACAGACCGAGACGGCCGATAAGGGTCTTCTTTTGGTGTGTCAGACGCTCCTGGGGCTCCAGGGCGCCGAGCGAGTAGTCGACAGGGGCGCCGCGAAGCAATTGCCTGCCGTACCTGATGATATCAGGCACGTTCAGAGTTCCCAAGCTCAAGGCGTCGTAGTCGGGAACGGCAGGCTCGGCCTCTTCTTTCTTGACAAGACCATTGCCTGTGCCCTCGTCCTTCTTTGGCTGGACAGACTCCTCGCCCGGATTCGGATCGTATGTTTCCGCATTCTCAATTATCTTGCCGATGGCTTTTGCCGCAGTAGTCCGTGTCTCCCAGTCCTTGTGGCGCAGGTATGGGACCACCCTTGAGAGAAGGTTGAAGAGTTCCTCAGGCTGTTGTTTTTGCCAATCGGCCAGCTGATTTACTGCTGTGTCCCGAATGAGCCGGGTACTTCCGGTCTCGAGGATTCTGGGCAATGTTAGCAGGCCGTGGTTCATGCACAGGTGGCTGGTCCTCCGTGGCAACTGTCTCTGGGAGGTGAGGGGGGCTTTTTAATATAGTGGGAGTAAATTCAACAAAAGTCGACGTCACGACATCCATCAGGCCATCAACAAAGGAAAATCAAAACACAAAAGCTTGTATACAAGGCAAAGAAGGTATCAGTGTTGGGAAGTACTCACGTGACAAGTCGATCAAGCCTGGACGCCATCTTGTCTCATATCATGATATATGGCTTCCAAATTACGATGCAAGGATTGCTATTGGCAGCAAAGACTCGGCCCCGACAAAGCCATCAAGCTATTGGATCATGAAACTATTGTCTGCGCAGAGCAATTGTTGCTTATGCTAGAGGCCCTGTCTAATCATCACAGTCAGTGGGTATGGCCGTGATAAACAGAGGTAGTACAGCTAGCTGTTGGTATGCTCCAGCCTGATGCGAAAGGCTTGGCGTCCGCTACTGACTTGGTCAGGTAGATCCGCATCAAGGTGAAGCTTGTGATAGCTGCAGGGGTGTGAGGATGGTTTGGCTCACCTTGGGAATGGGACGGTGCAAGGTGACGTCTGCCCAATCAGAAGCTGGCAAAGTGGACACTTGGACACTGGGTCAAAGAGGCCTGGCCGGGAATGGAATGTGTGGATCCCTGCGCTAACAATGCAAGCGGGTCGCCGGTGGAAATGGAAGGTGGCTATTGCGTGTTAGTGTTAGCTCTTCTGACGGATGGGTATTTATGAAATGAAAAGTCGGTGCAATTGTGAAGCGAAGCAATGTGATGCGATGTGATGCGATGCGACACGCTAGATGCAGCCGGTGTAAATTGCCTCAGACTTGTTTTGGCCTGGTGATGGTGGCGATGATGGTGGTGGTGATCATCTCGAGGGCTGGGATGGACTCCTCTAGGATCAAAAATGCGCACGAACTATCAGTCAGGTATCTTACAGGAATTCGTCTGGTGTTGTGCAGGCAGGAGTTGGTGCTGCGTTGGACGGATGGAGCTTCCCGCCAGTGGAGGTAGCTCGTGCTTGCTTGGTCTTGTGCGGGTGCAGCTTGGCTGGCTGGTTGGTTTGCTTGCTTTGCCTGCTGGCTGCAGATTGGCCGGGGGGTGGGTGCGTGTGCAGCGGGCTGGGCCTTGCCTTCTAAAACCTGAGTGGGCTGTGGGCTGTGGGAAAAAACGACGACGGGGAAGGTGGTCTTCTTCTAATCCGAGGCACTGTTGTTTAAATAGACAGGAGCCACTGGCAGCTCCTGCACTTTGATTTTTAGCGCACCGGCCACCCCTGCAGAAGCCGCACCTGCCATCACTGCTGCACTACCAGATTTTTCCTTGGCCTTTGCCTGGGATCCTTGGGTACGTCCCTCCCGCCGCCGTCTTTGATCTCACCATCCATCAAACCAAAATGCTGCATCCCACTACCAGATTGCGCCGACACCATCGTCGAACCAGCAGCACACCCAACCTTAATCCCCGGCCGTGCAGCCTGCATGTCTGCCCTCGACTCGGCAAACCCCATCTCGCTGGCTGCCTGCTGCTGATCCGTGTCGCGCCTCGTCACCACCTGGGTGGGCACCTGCCTGCGTTCTAGTTCTAACTCGAGTTGTAGACTACCAAGTAGCTCCCGTGCTACCCTCACAATGGCTCGTCCCTTTCTGCGCTCCAGCCTCGCTTCAGGTGAGATGCGCTTGCACACAATGCCCTTTTCCTACGGCGAACCGACCTGAGGGCATCGCGTTATTGTGCCTGGGGAACAAGGCATCTTCCTATCTATCTCCTCTCTGGACCTAGCGTAATCTTTGGCATCTGCCGACCTATTCAAGCCCAGGATCCCACCAGCAGCCGGGATTTATACACAGGCTTCAACATTCACTTCATCATCCCGCCATCCTTCCTGCTCTCAGGCCCGGCCGTTGCCAAACGGAAAGATAGATGGATGGATGGATGGATGCTTCTGCCCCAGTAAGGAGCGCCAATATACCATGTACGGGCGCGCACATAGCTCCCCCACGCGCATCACACGGGATCTTCATAGCTCTCCGAGGCGTCTACGCCCTCGGGTGTACCTTAGCATAGAAACCTGGGTGGTTCCGAGTCAGACCGGGTCCTAGTCGGAAACTTTTTCGTCGTTAGAGCAGGATCCTTGTTTCCCCAACCCACACCGTCTCTGGAGCCTCATGCAAGGCATCGCATCCAGAATGCGCCTTGGAGGGCTGGCTCTGAGCTGTGGCCCCAAGGCCTGCAATGCGCATCTTGATCAGGCCCATCTGAGCTGAGTCTTCGTCGCAAGCAAACTTCCCACTTTGCGTCCAGGGGCGTCGTGCAGTGTCGCCACGGGCACCCCCGGACGGACGGGTCGGAGCCCAGCACATGAAACGGCATTCCATCTTCAATCGGGACTTGCGATCTCAGATGGGTGGTGGGTCATAGACGTTAGTACAACAGTGGACTGGACTTGACCCCTGTAGCCGAGCACCACCATCACATTGCCTCATCAATACCTTCCCCCTCAAGGCACCGCATCTTCGCTCCGCCCCCAGGAAGGGTGGCGATGCCTGCTTATGTACATCAACGCTCGCAAGATCCGCCCGGGGCGTGCGAGCTACCATCCTTTGCTCGTTTCTGTTTGTGGACAGCAATTGTTCGCGAAACCCCCGGTGATATTTCTCTGGGGCTTCATGATCTCGTGGGGGGCCGTGCCATGTTGACTGTAGCCTCGCATGTGTTCGCGAGGACTGTCACGCTGGACCCTCGCCTCAATTGCGCTTCCCATCGACACCCGCCTTTTTGGTCTGAGCTTGGACACGCTCAGTGCTCCCGAATAACCCGGCCTGACCTGTGATCATAGATCGGGCCTTATCAACACCGGAGTCCCATTACTACCTACCTCTGGGTGGCTACTCTATGGACCAATCGAGGCATCTGCTGGACAAGATGGTGCAGCAAACAAGACTCGTGTGTTGGGGCGCAGGTACTGCATGTATGTGCAAATCAAGTCTCGTGCCTATCAAATGCACAAGGCGTCGTAGCCGCTTCTTTTATTACTATACGGAGTAAAGACCGCAAAGCTCATGAAGCAGACGGGTGATTAGGTAATCTGCCTCGCAGGCGCGCCGTTGGGATCACCCCCCGCCTCCAACCGCGTCGCGTCGCTCGGTCAAGCACCCAAGCAACTGACGTTCAACGAATTTTCGCCGTGCCCAACCACCACGACCGTCCACCTGCAACGCGCGCAGTACAGCACTCATGTCGCCAGACTAGCCGACCGTGTCAATCTCGGTATCTAACAGCTGCTCCGCCCTGTCCGCTGTGTGGCGTTGGTCGGCATCATGTACATCAAGCAGATCATCATCCAGGGCTTCAAGAGGTTGCGCGCTTCTCACAAAACCTTTTCCGTGCGACTGCATGCTGACAAGTCCCAAATAGCTACAAGGACCAGACCATAATCGAGCCGTTCTCCCCCGGTACAAATGTCGTCGTCGGACGAAATGGCTCCGGCAAGAGCAACTTCTTCGCTGCCATCCGATTTGTCTTGAGCGATGCCTACTCCAACCTCAGCCGCGAGGAGCGCGCCGCCCTGCTACACGAAGGTTCCGGCTCCGCAGTCGCCACCGCTTACGTCGAGATCATATTCGACAATGAAGACCGCCGCTTCCAAACCATTGACAAGGATGACGTCGCGATCCGGCGGACCATTGGGCACAAGAAGGATGAATACTCCGTGGACAAGAAGGTCTGGGCCAAGAAGGAGGTCTTACAGCTGCTCGATACGGCCGGTTTCTCCAGGTCGAACCCTTTCTACATTGTGCCTCAAGGACGCGTGACAGCTTTGACGAACATGAAGGAGAAGGAGCGTCTGAACCTGTTGAAAGAAGTCGCTGGTACCCACTTGTACGAGGACAAACGTGCCGAGTCCTTGAAGATCATGAACGAAACAAACAACAAGAGGGAAAAGATCGACGAGCTTCTCGCGTACATCAAGGAGCGCCTGAGCGAGCTGGAGGAGGAGAAGGAAGAGCTCCGGGGCTTCCAAAACAGCGACAGGGAGCGCCGCTGTCTCGAATATGCATACTACTACCAACAACAGACTCACTTCGAAGAGGCTCTCGAGGAGTTGGGATCGGCCATAAAAGATGGCGGTGAGAACGACACAGAGCAGCGAGTGGCCTTCTCGAAGGGCGAGAAGGCCATCGCGGGCATGGAGTCGAATTTGAGCTCTCTGGAGCAACAGCTGAACTTGCTCAAGATCGATAGGCGGCAGCTTGAGGAGGATCGTCGTGAGGTGGCTAAATCGCGGGCCAAGGCCGAGCTCAAGGTGAAAAACCTAGCCGACAGTCAATCGTCCCGAGATATGGCCAAGCATCAACACGACACAGAACTGGACGCCGTCAGGAAAGAGATCAAGACCAAGGAGAACGAGCTTAAGAAGTTGACTCCTGAGTTTGAGAAGCACAAGAAGACCGAGTTCGAGGTGAAGCAAGCACTGGACCACGCCGAAAACCGACGGATGCGCCTCCTGAACAAGCAGACCCGGAGCTCACAATTTAAGAGCCGTGCTGAGCGAGACGACTACCTGCAAAAGGAGATTAACGACCTCAATCTGACCATCTCGAAGCAAAAGGCCAATCTGATTGATGCCGAGGAAGAGGTCAAGAACGTGACCGAGTCCATTGATGGTCTCGAGAGGTCTGTCGCAGACCTTCGCGCCCAACTAGAGAATTGGGGTGGCGGTAGGCAGTCAATGATTGACCAGGTTGCGCAAGCTCAAGAGACTCTTGACAGCCTCAACGAAGAGAGGAAGAGGTTGCGCCGCGAAGACGACAAGCTTGACACAGTTCTCGCAAAAGTCCGCGAGGAAAGGGACCGAGCGGAACGTGAGCTGTCCTATGCCATGGATCATGCCACCGCCAAAGGTTTGGCCACTTTACGCCAAATAAGACGCGAGAGGGACATTCCAGGCGCATACGGGACTCTCGCGGAGCTGATGGAGGTCCCAGAGGCATACCGCATCGCTGTCGAGCAGACTGCAGGAACCAGCCTCTTCCATTACGTTGTTGACAACGAGAGGACGGCAAGCATGCTTGCGACAGAGCTTTTCAAGAGACACGGTGGCCGCATCACCTTCATGCCCCTTGCGCAGTTGAAGCCGAGGCGCATCAACATGCCTCGCGCGAGCGATATTGTGCCCCTCATCAACAAGATCAACTATGACCAGGAGTTCGAAGACGCCTTCCAACAAGTCTTTGGCAAGACTGTTGTCACCAACAACTTGCAAATTGGTGGACAATATGCCAGAAGCCACAACGTGGACGCCATCACATCCGACGGAGATATCATTAACAAGAGGGGTGTCATCTCTGGTGGATTTATCGACACGCGCAAATCACGCTTGGAAGCTGTCGCGGCCGTGAACCAGTGGCGTGACAAATACGAGGAGATTCTGTCGCAAGCATCGGAAACCCGGAAACAATTGGAGCAGAAAGACCAGGAGATTACCCGCGCATTGGGCGAATTGCAGAAGACAGAGTTGCAATTACGGCGAGCTGATGGTGGCCTTGACCCGCTCAGGATTGAGCTGAGAAGCAAACTCGCCCAACTCGAACGTCAGCGAGAGCATCTTGATGCAGCTATCAGCAGGAGAGACCAGGTCGACAAGAACATGCATGACTTCGGTGCGAATCTCGAGGCGATGGAGGCGGAGCTGGCTTCTGACTTCAAGAAGGCTCTGACTAGTGATGAGGAGCAGGCGGTAGAAGAGCTCACTCAGCAGGTGCAACAGCTGCAGAAGGAGTGGAACGTGGCCGCCAAAGCTCGGAGAGACTTGCACACGCGGAAACAGATATTGGAGACAGACCTGCGTCAAAACCTGCGTCTTAAGGAAGACCAGCTGAGCGGTTTGGCCTTTGAGAACTCCACTGCCGCTGATGGAGGCAGCAGCTACTCGGATGCGCAGAAAGAACTCAAGAAGATCCAGAAGTCCACCGTCTCAATCGAGAAGAAGATACAGCAGAATGAAGCACAGGCTGAGGAGCTCGGCTCTCAGATCTCAGAAGTGGGATCAGCCATCGAGGTGAAGCAACAGGAGCTGCAGGAGCTTGCCCGGCAGATTGAGAGGCACCAGAAGAGGATAGAGAAGAGCGCACAGAAGAAACACATCCTCAATGGCCAGATCGAAGAGATGGCCAAGAGCATCCGGGACCTGGGTGTGCTTCCGGACGAGGCCTTCAGCAAGTATATCAAGCTCAAGTCAAACGAGGTCGGTAGAATCTTTCTTATCATTCGTCTTGGCACTTGCAGGAACTAACAGTGCCGGCTCAGATCACGAAGCGGCTGAAGAATGTCAACGAGAAGCTCAAGAAGTACAAGCACGTCAACAAGAAGGCCTTTGAGCAGTATAACAGCTTCACAACACAACAGGAGCAGCTTCTGAAGAGGCGAGAAGAACTTGACGCATCGCAAGCCTCCATTGAGGAGCTGATTGCGCATCTTGATGAGCGGAAAGACGAGGCAGTCCAGCGCACCTTCAAGCAAGTCTCGAAAGAATTTGCAGAAATATTCGAGCGGCTGGTCCCTGCTGGGCGTGGCGGCTTGGTCATCGAGCGCAAAGCCGACAAGCGCCGGGGAGAGGCTGAGGATTCGGACGAACAGGATGGAGGCAGTGTCGAGAACTACACCGGAGTTGGCATCAAAGTGTCTTTTAACTCGAAGATGGATGAGCAGCAGAAGATCCAGCAACTCAGTGGTGGCCAGAAGAGTGAGTGCCGCTGCCCTGTGCCCCTTGGAACCTCCATCCTCAATGCAGCTGCTAACCTACTCATCATCAGGTCTGTGTGCTCTCTGCCTGATTTTCGCACTCCAGCGGACTGAGAGCAGTCCCTTTGTCATTTTCGACGAAGTCGACGCCAACCTCGACGCGCAGTACCGGACAGCGGTGGCGGAGCTGCTACAGACGCTGTCCAAGGAGGCTGGCACCCAGTTCATCTGCACTACTTTCCGACCTGAGATTGTCAATGTGGCCGACAAGTGCTATGGTGTAACTTTCCGCAACAAGTCGAGCGCTATCGGCTGCTACGACACGGAGGACGCACTGGAGTTTGTCGAGGGCCAGGCCCCGAGGTAGTCTGTTGATGATGTTACTCGAACGCGCGAACGCGGAGACTAGAGGCTGTGCTGTACAGGACTGGGAAGAGGCTGCTTCCTTAATGACCATTCTGGCGGGTTTGCTTTTGTCTCACGACATGAGGGATGGAGTCGGCCTCCAGGTTCCGGCGAGTGTGGTGTTTCTTGCTTACGATGTACAAATTGCGTTATTGCAGTATTTCCTGAACGGAGGGAAGGATCATTCTGGTATGATATCCTGGAAGCATGAGTATTGACACAATTCTACCGCCTGGACGTGCAATGAGAGTTGCCCAGTGACGCCTTCTAAGCCGTGTCGTCTCAGTAAAGGAGCTGAGCGCCGAGGCAATTCGATGTGCGCTAGCCTCTTTTGACATTCAAGCACCAGGATCGGACGTCCTGCGGCGGTAGCAACACACTATCGCTTTACTGTCCTTCCAAGGTTTGCGACTGGTTGGTTTCGCTGTCATTCTCAGGCCCACAGCCAGGAGAGAGGTGATTCAAGAGACATTTCGCAGTCACCGTTATCTGTGACGACAGCCGGAGACTTGGGCTAGGCCGACCAAGCAGCTTATTACATACCTAGGTACCTAGGTGTGTAGGTACTGTAGATACCAGGTAGGCTACTGCGGCCGATCCCGCCAAGACTAGGATCTGTACCCACGGGTGTTACCTGCACATGCACCCCAGCTTGCCCAGCTGCCCAGGCCCCGCCCACTGCGCCGCACCGCCGCCACGGCTATCTTGCTTATCGGGGCTTCATCATTGCCAGTGTAACCTCTTGGACAACTCCCCACCAACCCCCCAACCCCCTACACAGCACAGTACGAGACCGACTTGTTATGGGCTGGCCCATAGCAACCGACAGGCCTTCCATGACTGACAGTCGGTGACGGGCCACTGACCAACGCATTGGCACACTGATCGGACCACTTCCACCATGTCTGTCATCCAGGTCGAGGAGTGAGTGCCTGCCCGTGCCTGCCCCTTGCGCGGATGCCAGTGTGCCTTCGGCAAGAGTGCTAACCAAGGGCTTCTTCTCAGCCTGGTCTCGTACCAGCTGCGCTCCAGCTATCTTACACAAGTCGCCGATGGAGTGGGAGAGCGACTCATCACCCTGAACGAGAACTTTCTCAACTCGGCCTCCTTCAAAGCTGCAGGATGGCGCCCCAATCCCTCCCTGATCAAGCGCACCCATTCGCCCCCGATCCCTACTGCTGTCGCATCCGAATACTTCCAGGCCCCACGCCATGTTGGCGTTAACCTCGAGGACGAGCCCGAAGAAGGTGGCATGCTCACGGCAGGTGGCAACGACACCCTTGGCCCCGGAATCGCAACCAAGCGGAGGCGGCGACGCGAGCAGATGGAAGAAGAGGACAGCAGCGATCTGAGTGACGAGAGCGACGATGAATCAGAACAACGAGCAGCTCAGCAGATCAAGTTCGCAAAAATGCCCGTGCGACACCGCTCCGGCTCCTCTCCGATACAATCATCCAGCTTGCGCCAGGCAACCTCGGCCAGTTCCCCCCGTCCTCCCCCGCGCAGAGGCTCGCAGTCTGCCCTGGAGACGGTCAAGGAAAGAGCAAGGCGAGACACTGTCACGAGCAGCGAGGTTTCTTCGGACAACGAGCTCGATGTCTCTGGCTACCAGAAGCAGAGGGAGGCTGCCAGGGCTGCCGCGAAGACGGTGAGGATCCAGACAAATCTCAACAGGTCGGAGCCGTCGCTGGGGCTAGGGGTCAAGAGGCAAGAGAGCGACCTTCTTGAGGAGGAAGAGGAGGATTCGGATGCCTCGGACATGTCGTCGGCCTTCAACGAGAGCCTCGAATCGGCATCGATCCTCGCTGGAGACATCGAGAAACAGCTCGCGAACATGTCGCCATCTCGCCAGCTTGTCGGAACTCCGCCGCGCGATTTCAAGAGGCAATCAACTATCAGAAAATCTATGCCGCCCCCGCCGCCTGTTGTCGGCGGTGTTTTGCCTCCACGAAGGCCAACGAGCACCATCAGGCCTATCAGCATGATCCAGCCCAAGAGCCTGATATCCGAGGCTCTGAACGTTAAGAAGACCAAACCAGCCGCCCCCTTTGAGAGCTTTGCCACCCTTTCTGGCAAGGGCGAGGCCAGCCCGCTCATGATCCGGATCTATGCCCCGTTCTCCAAGAATCCCTCCAAGCCTTACGAAGTTTTGATACGCCGAAACGTGCGCGAGGATAATGCCGGCGAACGCCCTGTCAATGTGGCAGACCTCATCGGCCTCGCTTTGTGGCGGTACAATGAGGAGTCATTCGAACCATCACTTCCGGGAGACAAGCTCAACGTGAACTGGTGGACGCTCAAGATGGTGGAAGAGGGGGGTGAGGTCGATGATGACTTCCCCCCATTTGATCGCACAAAACCAGTCGTCTCGTTTGCCACTGCAGCGAACAACAAGAACGAAGGGATGCGGCCCACGGCTGTCATGCCCAGGTTCGGCAGAGGCCGCTCAAACACAAAGATCCATGATGACTTCGCCCTCGTGCAGGCCACGGCGGAAGAATTCGAGTCGAACAAGACCCAAACTCCGCAATTCACCGAAGAGTCCGTCGCCGAAGATACGAGCCCGGAAGACACCTTGCACAACACCCCGCAGCCGAGCACGTCGGTATTGGCGGCGGCGTCGGCTAGACCGATGACTGGTCGACTCAACCCAGTCCTAACCACGACCTACCGCCCCGACGCCAACATGCTTGACGCCCCGCGGCCGCAGGTATCTACGAGCAATACACAGAGGGGACAGCACAAATTCCTGCGAATCCATGTCATGACCCCAGACGCGCCCTCTGGCCAGATAATCACTCTTGATGTCACGACAGACATGTATATCGAGGAGGTACTTGAGCTTGTTTGCCGAAAGCGCAACCTGGACAAGAACTTTCATATCCTCAAGATCCCCAATTCTGGTGCCATCGCCCTCTTGGATCGGCCCGTGTCGGCAATTGGCACGATGCAAGACCTGGAGCTGCACAGACGTCGCTTCGGCGACCCCACACTGAGCCAGTCTCCTGTAAGTCACTCACCAGGCGGTCGCCTATTGTTCTCGGAGTTGGGCGGTAAGAAGAGCTCCAAGACGAAAGGAGTGCCGCACCCACTTGCCAAAGAGGCGCTCGCCCAGGAGGAGCTCAGCAGGAACAATAACTTCCGCCGCTATGTTGTGTACCGCAAGCAAACCATGCGTTTCGCGGGGCTGAACGAGAGACTTTTCGCCATCGAAGGCGAGTATGTGCATGTCACGCCATCCTCAGGTGGCAAGCCGCTGGCAGACAGCAGCAGTAAGACCACAACAGTGCATTTCATCCATGTTGTTGGTTGCAACTTGTCAAGGAGACATCCGTCGCAATTCAAGGTGAGTATCGACCACTCCTCAGACCAAGATCAGCCACTGATAGCAGAACAGTTCGTTATACTCCGTGATGGCGAGCAAAAACGATACGATTTCGAGACCAAGAGCGCGGATGAAGCCAATGAGATCGTCACGGCGATCAAGCAGGGAATGTCTTTGAACCAGTGAGGCAGGGTTTTGAACAACACGTGAAGAACTCACTGTATCCAAGGATGATTTCCCACAACTTCCAGAGCCAGCCAGACGGCTGGCTTGGCTGGGCAGCGGTCCCCCGGTTTCGACAATGCGGTGCTCCACCAGGGGATGTGGGACCCACCTGCAACCCCCTGGGAGCCGAAATACCCAAGGAAGGCCTGGACCGCGTGATTTACAACCTTACTGCCTCACAAGACATCCCCTTAAGGCTTAACTGGATGGCGGACCTCCTATTCTCGCATGGGGAGTGTCTGTTTACATGGCGGCGACGGAGGCGTAGGACTTGAGAACCAGTCGCCCCGCACACCCTGAACATTTCGATCGTCCCGGGCCCCCACATCTCGGGTAAAGGGGCGTAGGGCGGAAGGCTCCCCATTTCGGCAGTCAGGTCCCCTGGGGCCGTCGCTCAGCCACTCAATACGAAAGCACCATCACGGGCTGGACTGGGCTGACCAGAGTCATGAGAAGCCTGCGACTCCGGTATGACGCAACACTTTCAGGCAAAATCCCAGTGTGGCCTTGCTTGTGATTAGGGGACGAGGTGTCGAGATCCCTCGAGGCCATGGGCATTTTGATAGGATTTGGCAGCCTTCAGGTAGCTGCAAATCGATTGACGTGATTCAGTTGCATGCATGCAGAGCCGGAGCCGTTGTGGCATTTCTTGCATACACGACAAGCTCAGCCGCGACACACGAGGTGTTGAGCCTGCCAGTGCCAACATGCCAGAGCCTCAAAGCATGTTGATACGAGCTGGCCAACTCATTGAAGGCGCACGGTAGCAAGGATGGTGGCCTTGTTTTGCCCCGTTCATGTGTTGTCCTCCTTGTCACCGTGCAATCCTTGATACAGGATTAATTGTGGAGAGGCAGGGACAATGTTACTGTTTATAAAACGAAGGCTCCGGGGCGTGTTCGAATTCCCATAGCATAGCCAAGTTGCTGAGCCAAAATCATTTATTCTACCGTTCTTTCAGCCCATCTGATCTTTAGTCTTTGTCTCTGGGTTCATTCTCTCAAATCAAAACTTGACGCATCTATCCCACACACTTCAACCACACTCAAGATGCGTTCCTCTATGATCCTCCTTGGCCTCGCTGCCGCCGTCTCGGTAAGCCCCTGAGTCCCAAAGGGGCAACAAACACAGCCACATCAAGGAAACAAGTGGCTAACTAAACCAAAAACAGGCTCAAGACCTCGGCGCAGCCCTCGAGAACGTCGGCTCAGCCATCAACCCAAGCGGCGCCCTCGAGACGGCCTCCCAAGACCTCGGCGCCGTCGCAAGCCAGGTGACCAGCGCCCTGGCCGAGGCGACCTCCGTCGTCGGTGGCGGCGCCTCCAGCATCATCGGCGACGCCGGCTCCCTGGCCAGCAGCCTCACATCCGAAATCGGCGCCGGCGCCACCGGCGCGGTCGGCCACCTGTCCAGCCTCGTCTCGGACGCCTCTGGCGCTATCGCATCGGCGACCGGCGGTGCTGGCGCGACCCGCACCGGCCCCCGGGCCACGGCGACCGGCCGGGCCACGGGGGGCGGGAGCAGGGCCAGCGGTGGCGCCACCACGCTGTCGAGCGCTCGCTCGTCCAGTACCGGCAGCTCGTCGAGCGACTCCGACTCGCAGAGCGACTCTGAGAGCTCCAGCAACCCTGCGCCCATGAAGACGGCCGCCGTCGGCATGGGTGCCCTGCTCGGCGGTGCTGCCATCTTCGCCAACCTGTAGAATGGCTTGTTGGCTTGAGATGGTGATGAGCCGGAAGCGTTAATAATGATGTATGCGGTTGGAAAGTTTTGGTCCGGCTAGCGGTCTATTTAGTCTGTGATGGACGGGATACCCTTCGATGTTCATATTTTACTGGATTTTCTTGGGGACGATGAGGAAGGCCACAACAGTAGTTAAACTACAAGTCAGATTCAAATGCCTGTATGGGTTAGAAGGCACACGGCAGGAATGGTCCCTGTCATATGACAGCAATTTCCTGGACATGGAAGGTTGCAGCTAGCAGCTGCATCTAATTCAAAAAAGAAATCAAAGACCACAAAATGTTCCTACGCTCAAAGGGTGATCCTGGCCTGTAGGGGCACGCGGGCACGCATTACTGAGGATTATGATAGATTGAGGGAGAAGCAGAGCTACACAGCTGCAGTACCAATATACTACTAGTACTACTGCAAAGCGACAAACAAATAGAGGATGCATGCCTGCACAAGCTCATTCTCTTGAGAAGACGTATAATATTTGAAACTCCATGCCATGCAAATATCTAATCCAGTGATGGTGGTATCTTTATATATACAAGAAGATTCGTAAATTCCATAATAGCCGTGTCCCGTCTCTGCACGCCCCACAGCACAACATACGGACGGCATGGCACGGCGCCGCAGTCAGTACGTCCTACAAGTCTCTAACAAGTCTCCACAGCCGCGGTCTTCGTCCGGAACGGGTCGCTGACCATGAGGAACCCCCACTCCCCCCTCGTGATGGGGCTCAGGTCGTCGGCGCCGTTGGGCGTCACGGGCCCCATGCGCTGCTGGACCGGCGAATTGCCCCAGGACAAGCTCCGCCGGTGGTGCCGGCGGCCCCAGGGAGAGGAGGGGGAGGCGGCCATATCGGTGCTCAGCCGGAGCAGCTGCTGCCGCCGGCTGCTGAGCATCTCGTCGATGGACGCTCCGACCCAGAAGGTCGCGCTCGTGGCCGTCGGGGGCGGGCGGGCGGTCACGTCGCCGTCTTCGAAGTCTGTGACGTCGCCGTCGCCGTCCTCGCCGTCGGCTGTGAGCTCGATCCTGATGTCGCCGTTCGCCCCTGCGGTGCCGCTCGATGGGGGTGGTGCTGTCCCAGCTGAGCGCACCTTCTTGGACGCGCCGGGCATAGGTGTCACCTTCCGCCGAGGTGGTAGCGAGGGGAACGATGTCTGCAGCTTGAGAGTGGGGAGTGCTGCCTTCGGGGTGGTCCTCAGCGGAGAGCGTGCGATGGGACGTTGGAGCACGATCTCTGCGGGCGTGTTTTCGGTGTTTGCTGTTGGGGTGTCCTGCACCACCACCTTTTCGGTGGGTTTTGTGGGAGTTTTATCGGTGTCGTTTTCTGAGCCGGCATTCCCGGCCTTCAAGTTGTCAAGTGATACTTTCGTGCCCTGTTCCACCACTGGGGTCTCAGGCATATCAACCATGCCCTCGCCAGTTACGGGTGATGCAGGTCGAGGTGCGAGTGGCCAGTTTACCGGGTAGGTGTCCTGACCCAAAGCTGAGAGACGTGGAGCAGCAGGAGCAGCAGAGGTAGTGACAGCCGTTGCAAGCACGATATCGTCCTTTGGTGGTGGCGTGGGCGGGATATCCCGGACAAGGTCGTCCTCGATGCCGGTCTCGTGGGTGGAGCCACCATACGCCCGACAATACATGTTCATGACAGCACTCAGAGCCGCATCGCTGACCGGGCCCAGCCACTCGTAGGACCTGAGCAGGGCGCTCTTGACCAGGCGCCTTCGCCCGCCCGAGGACGACAGCACGTACCGGCGCAGCTCGTCCACGGCGTTTTCCAGCCGGAAGTCGCTGCCAGGGTCGCGCATCGAGGCGGCATATTGTGCCAGGGCGCTCTTGAAGGTGTACAGGTGGTCCAGCGACAGGACGGTCAGGCCTTCGGAGGAGAAGAGCAGCTCGTTCTGGAGGATGGAGCGGTGGATGACGTCGGGGGGGATGGCGTGGGCGGATGGGTCGTGGGCCACGAGCGGGATGCTGAGGTGGAACTTGCGAGTGGCGCGGTCCAGGGTGGTCCTCACTACTCTGTCTGCCCGCGTTGTCAGGGCCGCCGTGTGGATGAGGCGGAAGTCGGGGCCCAGGGCCTCTGGAGAAGCCCCGACTGAGTAAGTGGTACCCGTCGTCGAGGAGGCTGTCGTGGTCGAGGCCGGAGTGGCCGGTGTCCGAGGGGTGGCAGGCGTCCTGGGAGTGGCTGGGGTCCTGGGGGTGGGTGGCACGCTTGATGATGCCATGGGCCACCGCAGCCGTCTGGGGCTGAGCGGGCCATTATCAAGTAGAGATGCCAGCGTGGGCTTCTTTGGTGGTGCGGCCACCGTGTTGGACCGTTTCGGAAACCTGAGCTCGGGCTCGTCGGTGCTGGACGAGTGGTGCTGGGTTTTTGATCGAACCAGCGACCTGAAGGTCGAGAAGCCCGGCGTACGGGGCACGACATCGGGGGTCTGGGGCGGAGTCATTGTGGACAGGAGATAATCTGGCCCGTCACCCGTGATGGTGTCACCCACGAGCTGGGCACAAGTCTGGTTGTGTTCATGGCGTGCTACAGCAAGGGTAACGTGCAGGCCTTTCCTGGCGAGTCGCTTGGACGTGTACTCGAAGACGGAGTTGTAAGACGACGGCAGGTGGTGTGCGTCGAGAATGGAGGTGCCAGCCTCGAGGGGCGATGAGATGAGGCTCTTGAGGGCCATGGTGTGTCGTCGGGTCGATGACCACCGGGTCGATGAGACGAGAAGGCTAGACTCGGGCTTGCACAGCAAGACCTCTGATTTGACTGGACATGTAAGAATGCAACAAGCACGAGGCAGGAGAGTGAAGACGGAAGAGAGAAGGAACGAATTCTACTAATACAATGATGGTGAGCACTGCTGTGGTCATGCAACCAAGACTCATGTCAGACCCCAGAGTCAGACGTGGAGAGGCATGTCGAGATATATAACACAACATGTACGGCCCATCTCGAAACAGGCTGACATGCAGACGGGTATCTGTCGGCAGACACACAAATCTGAAACGGCAGATCTCGAAACACACAGGCAAACAATTGGTCCAGCAATGGCAATCTGTAGCCCGACCTACCAGAGTCGAGGGTTGGCCGTGATTCTTTTTTTAGGCCCCATGTGCGTGCAAAGTCCAGGGGCCTGGTGCAGCGTGACGATGTGACATGGCAGTGGGACCTCTGACGGATTGTCATTGCCGTCAGCAAGAGACTGGTTGCACTCTTGGGCAGGTACGGATAGTTTTGCTGCAAGATGGTGGTTGCTGTCGTCGAGGGCCCACACAGCGCGGGGTATGTGGGTACGTCCAAAGCTGGCACGGCGCCACCATTCTGGAATACGTAGCAGTGTGACCGGACCAATGCCCGCATGCATATCCGGACTGACTACTGAAGGGTGACGGGTGACGGGTGACGTGAAAGCAGCAGGACAAGTCGCCAGAGGGAAGAGTCAAGACGACGGCACTTGTTGATGACTTGCAGCTCTAGTACGGCGCTTACAGGCTATTTTGGGTCTGCCTTGTGGTCGGGCCAGCCAATCATGCACCTGAATGTGGGGGGTTCGTGCCTTGGTATCGGCCAGTGTACTCAAGTGCCTTTATTTTTAGGGTCCTTCTCCAACGTCCCTTCAACCCCCTCGCCGTCTTCCCCAGCAACGTCGATTAAAGGAAATGGCCACCCCCTCAGAGCTAGCCGCCCAGGCTGGACAAGACTGAACTGCTGAGCACATATATCCACCCGTGGCGACATTCCTGTCGACGTTTCCATCTTTAGACGCACGACGACAAGGGCAGACCAGCGGCCAGTTGCCACCGGAATCAACCACAAATACCACAGTAGTCCGCAGTCCCGTACATGCCCCCCCTGCAGGGAACTGAGGTCCGAGGACACAAGTTTGCGGAACCAACTGGCCGGGTTCTAATGTCATGGTCAACATCCCGTGGGCCCCTCGGACCGCTCGGCCAGAAACCGGGGCCTAGTCTCCGTTGTGCTTGACATCGTCAATAAGCCACTGCATCACCAGGCCACGGCTTTGGGCTTCAGCCATGACTGTGCATCCGACAGTCCTGGGCCGGCCCCCTCCCCCGTAATTATATCTGTGAGCTCTTTTGCCCAGGGCATACCGTCTGGTGTACATAATCGCCCTCCGGACTGGGAATCCCGGACCGGGCCCAGATCCGCGAGTTCGTCCGAACATGGGGCTGGTTGATCATACCGTCCTAATAATCCCTCCCCGAGCCCGACTCCCAGGACTGCCTGCCAGCTGAGCGGCAACGTAAAATCAGAAATGCTTGTTTCCAGCCCTGGCTCGAGTGCAACCCCTGTAAATATCCCCGCCACCCGTCACGGCGGACAACGTCGTCGCGAAACGACCTTCTCTCAAGAAAGGAGTAAGCGCCCAATTCCCATCATCTTCTCCGCGTGCCATGCCATCCCTTTCCAGTCACCACTCACTCTTTCGTGTTCCCAAATATAGAACCGCTCTCTTTCCCTACACATTACGAACGTGTGGCCACGGGGAATCTTCTCTGCTCTGCCAAGTACCGAGAACGAATCAGGCAACTGATGCTCTTATTAGACTGACATGCCACTAAATGCACGGATGCCTCTTTGGGTGTGACTGTCTGCATAATTCATTAATAACAATAAATCAAGTCCATCTGGACCATGGGGTTGCCAGCACATCGCCCCAGCCATTGAATGGGCCCTGTATCCCTGACGCCAACACGCCGGTAAGCTATGCCAATCCCTTAACATTCGACCTGGACTCCTGACGCCTGGCACGTCGTCTATCATCATTGCTTGTGGCATGTTGTCGAGAAATTCTTCCGTGTCCACTCTCACCGTGTCCCATCCTGACCTTCTTTTTACCGAGGATGAATGCGACTATCACAATGGTGGCACGCGGCTTTTGCGGCGCCTAGCTCCTCCCCTTCCCCAGTGATTCCTTGCCTGTAGCTTGCGTAGCAACCTACAGGCAAGACACAGCCACCCACCTCCATGGACCTCAAGCGTCCGCGTCCCTAATGTCATCGTCACCAAGGCTGTCCATCTGGTCAGACGACACCACCGAGTTCTCCCAGTCTTCGAGAGCGAATGTTGTCAGCCCTTGGCACTGTTGATGAGTAGAGGAAACGGGGGAACTGAGAAGGGAGAAGTCACTGCCAGACATACCAGACCCGTCGTCCTCAATGTCATCGACGCTCAGTCTTCGAAGGCTGTCCAGGATAGCTACAGAAAGATATAGTCAGCATCACCATCACCATCGTTAAGTCGCCCCGCCGTTGGTCGAGGCGTGGTCTTGGTGAGACGCACCTTGTCGCTCAGAAAAGAACCTCTCGCCGTCTTCATCCGCCACATCGTCGCCAGTGGCATCAAAAAAGCTGCCACATTGCTCAAGGACGCTCTGCAGTACCACAACAGTCTGTTCTGGGACCGATGTACCACGCTTGGTGTAGTTCTCAGCAACAAAATGCAGACACTCGATCCCGATGCGCTTCGCACTGCGCACCACCGCCTTGGCAAGCTCCTGGCCTCCCTGCTTCTCTTCAAAGTCCGGATGAGCACCATGTCGGAAGACCTTGTCAAAGATCACCTGCTTGACATCATTGCTGATGTTGTGGTCGTAATGCGCCAGCAGACTAGGTGCCCAGACGGGCAGGTACTCGAGGCACTGGATGTTGACAGACCTCTTAGTCTCACCAGAGTACTCGCGGTCCCCGTCAATCACCGCTCTGTTGGTGAAGAAACCCAACAATGCCTTGGGCTCGCTATTTGCCAGCATGGTGCTGTGCCTGGCTATGTGCTCGATCACTCTGTCGATGTTGGTTGGGTTATCGCACAGACGGCAGTACACAGCCGCCACTCGAAGATACGGCGCGTGGACGAGGAACGGTGGCTGCACCGAAGTGTTGGCCAGTATAGTCTCCAGAATGTCATCCTCCATCTGCCAACCCTGTTTCAAGAGGCTGGCAAAGATTCCATCTGTTGCCTCCGGGTTCTGGTTGATGCAGATCAGTTTGTCCAGGAATACGTTGCAGCCCGCGTCCCACTTGTGCTCTAGCAGGCTGGCTTCATTGGCAGTGAGCCGCAACGGCGAATCAGGAGACTCGACGTAGAGGTCCTCGCGCGAATGGTGGTTGGCAACCGGTTCATCGACAAGGACAGACGCAAACACGCTGTTCAACAAATCCAAAATGGACGAAAACGAAGGGGGCCGATTCTGCCTCCGAGCCAGGGTGTTGCTCAGCCTGACAAACTGTTGGTCCATTTCCTGGGTTGTTAGGCTTTCGGCCATGATAATAAGAAGCGTCTTGTACAGGAAGTTGTGTCCTGCAAAGGCGAGAAGCTCCTCTTTGCCAAGGTCGACGAACCGTGCCATTAGATAGAAGACCTCAAACCATGATCTTGTGTGAACATGGAAATTGTCCCAGAGGGTTTCGAGCAGGGCACAGACTCCCGAAATAACGTTGACCTCGAAGTTTTCGAGTCTGGGATCTTCTTCATGTGGGTAGTAGTTACCTGGGTACGTCTCCCTGATGGACTGGACAGCTATCATAAGCAGATCGGACACGGCTTGTCTGATGTCTGGCTCACAATTACGCTGCACCAAGCTCCTGAACGACTCATGGCGATCGCTGAAGTACTCATAAACAACGAAAGCACAATGTGGGCAAGAAGAGGCCATCTCCCTCAACCTTTGCATAAGTCTCTCAGCGTCGGGTGTATCCTTTGCTCTGGCAGCAACTTGGTCAAGGTGCCCGAGCGCCATCTGGACGGCCGAGGTCTCGGTGTCGTGTTGGTCTGAGCAGACTCCGCCACTGGTCTCGAGCATGTGCTTAATGGCACCATCTACGAGCCGGATGTGGTGGGGGTCGAAGAGGCAATGCCTCTGCAAAAGCCGCAGGTTATCCTCTCGGATAGCGTTGGCGAGTAATGTGGGCATGGGAGCTTGGACTGGGCTTGATGACAGCGACTGCTTCAGCTCGAGATTCTTTCTCTGCAAGGTCGAGGAGCGTTCGTAGAATAGCATGTAGGCGCAGTAGTTCTTCTCGTACGTAGTACCGCCGTCCCAGGAGGATTCTGTGCCACCAAAGCAGGATGCTTCCATCCGTGCCGGGTCCCACGGGGTCACGGTATCATCGTTGAATTCAAACCAGTCCTGGTTTGCACGAGATGTCGGCCGCTCGCGGATGAAGCTGTAATAATGCCCAGACTCTGCCGTGCCAGTGTGGACGAGAACACCGACCAACTCGAACCAATCTTCCGAGGTACATGCATCAGGGTTGCTGAGGTGGTCGATCGTGAAAGGTCGCATGTCGACACGATCTGGGAATGCGAAGTAGTCGTTTATCTTGTTGCGTGCCAAGGTCCTCAGATTGAAATCGAACCGCTTCAGGTGGAAGATCAAAGAGTCAGGAACTTCTTTCAGGCATGAGCTATACTCGTGTCAGCAGATGTACGGTCGAGAGCAGAACAAGTTTTCGGTTCAATCATACCGCCTGACAGCGTCGACATGTCGGCCGCAAGTGGTGCAATTATACTTGTTGTCTAAAAGGGGTTGTCAGCTGGTTTATTTCGACAGAGAAGAGACATTGGACCCGGCAAGTTCCGGTCTTACCCCCTTCCATGTGCTCTCCATCGACATAGGCGTTGAGACTCTCCAACAAGTCTTTCTTGCCTTTGATGTCGCATTGGATGGCAGAGAATGGTTCCAGTACCTCCGAGAGGTGTTCGCACTCTTTCGATTTGGTCTGTGTCACAAGTTGTCCGCCGTAGAAAGATCGGAATCGTCGCGTTGCCTCCTCAGAACGCAATTGTCCCTCCCACCTGTCGTTGAGCAGATTGAAAAACTCCTCAACGTCCATCTGATTGTGGATGTTGATGAGATCCTCGTCGTAGGTCTTTATACTGGCGACGAAAGCCTCAGGATCTATGAAGCGGCGATGACTGCTTTGCAGTTGGCCAAACATGCGTTGCGTGTGGTAAAGCAGAGATTGGCTAATGTCCCCACCGTTGACCTCCGTGTTCAGCATAAATCTTCGGAAGTCGAAGTTCATGAATAGTTGTGTGCAAAGCGAGTTCAAGTAGCACGTGTTGGACAGGTTTCGGAGACCGGCATAGCCACATTGGGACCTTATGGCCCTTGACCGCTCGAAGTTGTTGACCGGAAGCTCATACTGATATGCAAGGCTCCCTAAAGGTGGCAATTAGCTGAGACGTCCCGGAAAGCGGTTATAGGCCAACAAGTTGAGACCCACCATCTTCAATGTCATCGTCTGTCGAGCTGGAGACTAGCGACCTCAGGTCCTCTATGAGTAGTTGGGTCTGTCCTGGACTTCTCCCTGCAACTCTTAGGATGATGTTGATGAGTTGGCATCGCGTGGCCTCATTGTATACTACATCACCCTGCCAGAGAGCATCACCACTGGACCAGCGACGGGGAAATAAATAATGCCAGAACAGCTGCGTTGCGAAGCTGTGATGATGACCGTCAGTGAGTCCTGCGTGACTAGAATCGCAAACAATCAAGGATTTCGGAGTGGGCTTGCCTCAGAGGTATGACTTCCACACCAGCTTGGTCATGAACGTCGCACAAGATGAAGTGCAGCAATCCAACAAGACCCTGAGCTGTCAGGTCAACAGAACCGGGTTGGATTATATCCTGGTTGGATTTTGAACAGTCAGAGACGTTAATCGAGTTTGGGGCCAGAACAGCAACCAACCTCTTGGGGTTTGTGATCCAAAAGCAGCCCAGTCAAGAACCGAGTTGTCCCCGGTAGGTCAAGCACATCTGATTTCGACTCTTTCATCGACTTGAACAGGGCAACTGCAAGCTGGAAGAGCTCCGAGCATGTGGCAGGCTGTCCTAGAGCGCATGGTATCAAGTCCAGCAACAGAGTCCAAAAGTAGTCACGAAAAGCTGGTTCAGGAGCAGCTGCAGGGCTAGTGGCCAGTTAGTCAGCTTGCCACCCACATATCAAGGAGGTCCTTGTACACATACTTCAAAGATCGGATTGTCTTCTCTCCGATAGCTAGTGCAGTTGTCTTTCTCAATGTGCCCCGGGAATCATCAAGAAGGAGCCTTCTTATGACAGACTTGACATCTGTTCGAGAACAAAGCATTTTCCAGAGGTCAACCCTCAAGTAACACGTGTCCAATATGGCTTGAAAGGCGATGCTGAGCAGATTTGTGCAAGCGACTGTCGGGCGGGCGTTTATGCAGAAAGACATAATACTGACAAGTCTCACCAGAAGTCTTATATCCAGGCACTCAGGCACTGTTGGAGCTCGCAAAGGGTCTGTAGCTGTCAGTGGGGTAAAAAGGGAGTATGGTCTCAGCGACAAACCTTTCAAGATGGACAGTAACTGGTCGACAAGTCCTGTGGCAAGCCGGATCCTCAGTTCTTCACTGGAGTTTGCATCTGCGACTTGGGGGTTGGAAATGGCCCAAACTACCAGCCGGAGTGCTCGTGCTAGGGAGGAGTTGTAAGGCCCGTGTTCGTTGTTAGACTTGGCCAGAGAGAATTGTATGCTGAGGTGCTCCTGGATGGCATGCACCGCATATAGAGATTTCAAGGGTTGATCGACCGGGAAAACATGGTGGTAATTAGGGGTCTCTTGTTCAATGGTTGCCAGTATGCGGTCGTCCACAGGCAGAGTGACGAGGAAAGCATATACCTGCATTGGGTGTTAGTCAAGGGCACTATGGACAGGATTGAATTCCTCACCTCAGTCGCGAGTATCTCCTCCAGTCCAAGGAATTGCCATAGCTCCTCGAAGTGTCGCAGGATCTCTATCTCCACGGCAGAAGCGCCGGGCCTTACTTGGACAGGTTGCTCAATTGTTTCGGATTCACGTTTGACAAGAATCAGTCCCTCACAGATTTGAAGTTCATCCAGAGACCTGCAGATATCCTGCTCGGACGGCGTGAGGGCTTGCCCCTTGTAGTATAAGCGGTAATTGTCAAAACCGGTAGCATCACGGATGCTAGCAAGCAAAGACCCGGCTGTATTCCCTTTGCCTATCGGCAAGGGCTTCACCTCTGTCTGTCTGTCGCCGTCGAAAGACTGAAACTTGAGGTCGGCCGATTCGCCTTGAACGTCAGTGGTCTTGGGTAAAACCAGCGATCTCATGTCAGGAGTGGAGAACTGTGAAGTCGCGTGATAGTGCTTGTTGAAGGTCTGGAGGATCTGGAGAGAACGGCTGAAAAGAAGACTCTGGTCCTTGATCTCGTGCCCAATGGGCAGCATGGCATGATCCGGTTCGTCTCCACTCGCTGTCAGACGCTTCGCCGCAAAAGACAGTTGCTCCAAGCACCGACTGACGAGGGCTAGGTGGACTTTTCGTGCTCGGTGGCTGGAAAAGTGCTGGATACACCGGCTGTCGATATAAACCCCCTTGACAAGCGCTCTTATCGCCATCTGCTCAATGGTGTTGGTGGGTGCGGTGAGGACAATCCTCCACAACTCTTCGATAGCCTTGCGATCTTGTGGATTGTCATCGTCGTCATCGAGGACACTGCTGTCCTTGTCGTCGACCAGTCGGGCAATCTTCTTGAGGGCGAAATCAAGGCTGCCTTGGCAGAAGAACTCAGGCGCCAGTGTGGATAAGTACACGTCAAACCCGATCCTGAGGAACGGGTTGTCTTCACGAGCGGTCAATGCAGCATTGAGACACTGCCAGCCACACAAACGATCCTCACGAGATGCTGCAAGCTTTCCGACCAACAGCTCCCATAGCTTCTGCCCGAGATCTCCGCAGATGGCCTCAGGTTGGTACTGGATAATGTTGGAAAGCATGTCCAGGCGAGGCTTATTTTCCCCGCCATGAATCACATGCAGTTTGCCTTGCCTGGTGTGGACTGCATGCTCGAACTCTTCAATGAGTAGTCTTGGTAAGTCGTGTTGCGACGTAAGCACATGCAACTCCCTGCCGACGGGTCGACACAAGAAGACAAGGCCGTGTATGCTGCCTAGGGTGCATGGTGTTTTCTGAGCGATATCCTTGAGACAGTCTTCATATAGTAACGCCTTATGTTCAGATGACGGCCCGGACTTCAACAGCTGAGAAACAGTCTGCGCAGCCCACATGTGGACGACCTGGTAGGAGGGTGGCCCGGGTGCAGAGGACTCCCTCAGCAGGCGGAACACCATGGAATAGGGCAACAGCTCTCGCATGGCCTCGGGCTTATGACAGAGCTGTTGGATGATGGCAACACAAAAGTCCTTGATTGTGGGGCTAAAAGCCTCGATGGGAACGGTCTGTACTTTTCGGCAGAAAGCGAGAAGATCTTCTGTAGTGAAAAGATGGCCGATATGGATGAACATCGAAGACAGGCCCTCCGAGACGCCGGAAATCTGGCATGTAGTCATTGTTTGCCACATGAAATCCAGATGCTTCTCGGTGAAAGTATGCGATGCAAACAAGAAGCCGATGATGTTTCCGCTCACGCTTGTTACTTCCGGATGGCATGTAGGGCCCAGGATGTAGGTGACAACACCTGATTGCAACAAGGTGTTCGAGATATGACGGTGCAACGACTGTTGAGATGGTTCGATACCATGGGGCTGATGATCCCTATATATGCGCACCAGGTCCTGACACATCATCTGCGCTGCTAGGAGCCTCAGCTGCATCTGGCTCGACATGATGATCTTTGTCAGAGTCTTGAGGCGCCATTCGTCAACAATAACATCGTGAGAGTAAGCCGGAGGAATGTCCGGGTGATTTTGTCGGTGCTCCCTGACTACAGCCATTGCACTTCCCGTTTCTGCACGCAAGCACAGGCGTAGGAGCAGAGTGAGAGAGGCCATCAAGTTCTCAGCAACATCCGCTTGTATCTGGTTGATGCTCTTCTCGATGCAAACTTCAAGCGCTCGTGACAAGGCCTCGGCGAGACGATATCCCTGTCTCAGGAAAGCCACATCCTCGTCGGCCTCTCGACCAGGCCGGGACGGATGCAGCGTCTCGGTGGCATCGCGTAGCATGATCCAGGCCAACTGCGCAACGTGGTGTAAATGATCGATCATCCTCGGAATGCGAGGCACAAGCGAGGCCATGAGCTGGCCGAGGTGACAAGGAGACTGGCTCGGTGTGTCTGAGTCGTAGGGCGGAAACGAACGGAAAGTATCAATCAGTCCGCTCATAGACTCGAGAAGTACTGGATCGGCGTCAATGTAGTTGATGCCGCCTCCATACTCTGCCAAGTACTGGTTCAGATAAGCGATGTAGTTAGGCGAGACTAAGTCCCGAACAGGGTTCTCTCCAGCTTCCACAGCACGAAGCAGCAAGTAGTCGATATCGGCAAAGAAAGCTGTTAGCCTTGCAAATGCCCTCTGCAGATCAAAAATGGGGCCAGGAGTCTGCATGTTTCGCGCGTGAACACGTAGGGTGGTATTCTCCCATATTAGTCGCGGTAGGTCTCTCCAGAATTCTCGATGTCTCTCAAGGTTCTGCATCAGCGTGTAAGCTCCACACTCGCGCGCCCAGACCAGGTATTCATCGATCCAAACTGTGAGCTTTGGTGCTGCGGCTCGGTGGTTGGGCAGTGCGAGACAAATATTCTGCAGAGCATCTAGCAAGGATTCACCTGGGCCACTCGGGAAATCCTGCAGGGGATCGACAAGTTGGAGTTGGGTATCCTGGACCTCCGCCAGCTGGGACATGTCGTTCTCGTCCACGCTTTCTACTAGGGGCCCCTCGTGGTCATCGACAGCCAAGGGCGAAGACTCAGGGCTCCCGATACCTGCCGCGGCGCCGGGAATATCTTGCTCTGGGTCCTCCACACTGGCACGAATACCACTCTCGTAGTTTGCGTCAGGCTCTCCGTCTGCGTCCGCGGGCGATGTAGGTGACAAGCGTGCTGACTGCGGCACATGCTTTCTACTCTTCAAGTTCAGAGTGATTTTGGTCGGTTTCGACTCGGACGGGGGTTGTGCAGGATGCTGCTGTGGCTCGGGTGTCTGTGGCTTCGAGGGCGAGGAATCCATCGCCATCTTAGTATCTTGGTCGGTTGACAGACCCCGTTTGTCCTGGACTGCAGGGTGGGCAGTGCTATGATGGCAAGACTGCTCGGATTCGGCAGACCGGCTGCGAGAGACACCGTTGAGGGAGGTGCGGCGTCGCTTGCGGGCCGAGGACCCGTCGTCTTCGTCAAAGGGGTTCGGTCGGGTTGAGCAAGGCTCAGAGGAGACGGCACGTTCTCTCGACTCATCTGGGGAACTCGAGGCTCGGTCCATCTGGATGTGGCCTGCTGGCACGGGGGCTCAGTAAGCCTGGAGCCTCACAGAGTCACCGTTGTCGTGGGAGCCCAGGGCCGAGGGCAGCTCTGCTCCGGATGACCTCAGTTTTAGCATGTGGGCTGGCAGTAAGGCATCAAAGAGGAAAGAGGGTTCTTGACAGGGGTTTGTGGAGGGCAGGGATATCGGTGTCAACAACCAGGCACCGCAACAGCACCTGTGGTATAAGCCCTGGCCGAGCTCGCAAGGCTGAGGTGGGCTAGGTTTGCGTGTTTGTGGGGGCTTGTGGGAGGAGGAATGACGGTGCATGTGGTGGAGGTTAGGGCGGAGGCAGCAGCAGCGGGGTGCTGGGCAGGGGCCTTTTTCCTGTACGGGATAAGGAGGGGTGCTGGCAGATGTGACCAAAGGTAAGGAGAGTGAATGATGGAAGCTTCAAAAAGAGTAGCCTGTGCTTTGTGCGGTCTTCAAGTTGCTTGAGGATTGACATTGATCCTTTTCTGAGTGAACTGTTGGTGGAGGGGTATGAAGATGGCGGGGTAGGGGTGCGTGTCTAGGACAGGCTCACCTAGCTTCTGGTGGCGGTTCCGGCTCCAAACTCAGGGAAGCTCTGTCAAACAGCCTGACGGCTAGCTCTCGGGCGAGCAGAGCAGCACAGTGGAGGGCAACCCCATCAGATAATCCAAATGACCTCGGACAAACCGGAGGATGTGGCAAAATGGGCCACTGATGCTGATGTTGATGCTGGTGATTCACTAGCACCTGGTGAGTTATACTCTCTTATGAAATATGATGAGTGGGAGTGCCAAGAGGAATGAAGGTGATGGCTTCTTCGAGTTGCAATCCGACAATGCAGCCGTCTCAACCGGGATGTGTTTGGAATTGCTGAGTGCATCGATCCCAGGAGGGGGAGCTCTGGTGGAAACCTTTAAGGCTTGTAGCCCAAAAAATGTGGGTCGCGTCAACAGGGATTCCGGGGCGGGAGGGAGCTACTGTGCAGCCCACCTGCTCCAGGGTGACGCAAGGAAGAGCTTGCCAGGCCAGCTTTAAGCGCTCTTGTCCACCTGGCAGGCAGCCAGGTAGGTACCTAGGTAGGCAGGCAGGCAGTCAGGCAGTCAGGCAGACACCCTCGTTTGTTCTCTGCAGCCTTTTCCCAGTCTCGCTGTGCTCAGTCAAACCACCGGGGAGGAGCAAGAGAGATGAATCGTCCCAGTGCTGAAAGCAATTGGACACTGAACCCTCCCTGGTATCGTATTTTTGAAGCATCGTCAAATTGTTTGAGGCCATTTTGCGCTGCACGGCTCTCCAGCTTTAGAGACTGAGCGGAGCCTACTGGCCCGCACTAGCAGGCCATTCATTATCTCCACATGTCGAGGCCATCAACATGCAGTTCTCTTGAAATGAGAATTCACACTCATGACCAAGTCCTCCTATCCCTGGCCACCACGACACCTGTGAAATTGAGACCATGCAGGCCAACTTGCATCAGGTACATACATCATTGCCGAATGCTGCATTCAAGTAAAGTCTGCAGCTGTCAAGGCTGGTGGTAGCTATTCTAGAGGTGTCCTCGGTCGGCACAGTCGGTTGGGCTACGCGGCTGTGTGACTTGGAATTGTGGTGGACTGCCCGCCATCCAGATGCTCAATAAACAGACGGTTATTTCCTGTCCATCCTAATTGCATTGTTGCACCCAGGGATACTCAGCCTGGTGCCATTTATAAGCACAGATATCAACCCGTGCCAGCTAGCGATGTTGACTATCTACAGTGCAGGGGCTTAAATGGGAATGAGCCTGAGACGCGTCTGCGCGTCGGGTCTGATAGATCCACAGCGGTGTATGTGTAACAGATGCTGTGGTGCGAGGTGCTTCTGGCACCATCTCTGCCACGCAGCATAGCCGCTCAGCTAGAGCCCTGCAAGTCAAGCCGAAAAATAATCCGTCTTCCTCGGGTCTGCCGGAAGCCCCGTGAGACCTGTCTCTTTTGCTCCAGCACAAGGTCTGAAATTGCCCATTCCAGCGTCCTGCTACATGGTCGTTGCCATGCCACTTGTGATGACGGAGCTTCGTAAATCTTGCTGGGGTAACCTAGCCCGGCCCACATGGCCTCCTGTCAAAGCGGAGCCTTTTCCGCAGACGTGCTGCCCGTCGACTGCTACCTCCCTAGTAGCATCAGTAGCCAAGGGCTAGGACGGTAGTTGACGCCCCGTTAATTCGGCAGCACAACGCCGCCTCTCTCATGGACAGCTTTCTTTAATGCTGTGTCATTAGTCTCCATATGTCTTGCCTATGTAGTACCTAGGTACAATTCCCTCCTGTAACGCATAGAATCCTTGGGGATCACTCTGTGCAGAATGGCCCACAGGAGATGTCAACCCTTATTATTATTATGGTTGCTAAAGAGCAATGTCCTTGGTGTGGAACTCAGAGTGCTCCCTACTGAAAAGTACCTGGGCATGTTGTAAGCTTAGCCTAATGGGCCGCAAGTTGAGACTATTGCTGGTAGGTGGGTTCTTGTTCTGTAGGACACTGTCGTAGTGTTGCCAATTGACCATGCACACTGGGGAGACAACTCTGGAGTTATCACGTCACATGCCATTCAAATGTTATTCTAAACTAATATTTTCAAGACCAGATTCTTCCCTAAATGAATACACTTCTACAACATACTATCCTACAAGCTATTAGGCTATAAGACCTTATCCTACAAGAGGTTAAAGTAAGGGGAATGTTATAAAGATAATACCTAATGTCCTCTAGAAGATTTACATATACTAAGTAGGAAACAGAGAGGAGGCTATAATGGCTAAGGCAGATCAGGAGTTGCTAGTTGTGGCTACCTAGGTACTGTGATCACAGGGCTTGCCCTAACCCTGGTAGTGCTCAAGGCCACACATAATGTGTAGGATGAGGCCGGACACTGGTTCTCATTCTATCAGTATTTTCGGGGCTGCTCTGCGTAAGGTCTACAACAAGCTAGGAAACCCCCTTAAAAACATTGCCAAAGATTCTCGAATCCTGGAAGGATCAGCTGCAGATATTGAGTATGGAGAAAACGAAACTGGTGTATCAACTTGATACACCGTATTCCAGTTCACCATGGCGAGTAAATCCCTTCAACCAGATTCATCTCCTAGTCTCCGTCCGTCACTCACCCCGGTCTAACAATTCACACAGGCCAGAAATCTCACAACAAGACCAAGATGCAATTCTGGATCTCCTATGCAGGTATGGGATCTCACTGCTCCGTGGCACACAGCTACAGGTGACTGCTGCTGACGGACCCATCCTGTAGCCTCCTATCTCCCATTTGCCAGTATCGAGATGCACACATTCATCCTTCCAAAGGCAAAAAAGCCAAAGCCCAGAAGAGGAAGCACGATCAATCAGGAGAACACCATACGCAGCCTCCTGTGCCACCACCGCCAGCTGTGGTGGACTCCCTGGACGTGGGTTTGACCAATATCACCAGACATCTCGCGGCTTGCTCTTCCAAAGCAGAGGATGGTCAAGGCAGGGACGGTGTTAAAGACCCGGCCCCCACATATTCTGTAGTCTTTGTGGTCAGGTCAGCTACTCCGTCAACGTTTTCCAGCCATCTCCCCCAGATGGTTGCCGCAGCATCTGGCCAGATGGACGAGCCCATATGTCTAGTTGGATTCTCCAAGTCATGTGAGGAGAGATTGAGCACATGTCTTGGCATTCCCAGGGTTTCCAGTGTTGCTTTACGAGCAGGAGAAAGTGGCCAGTTAAAAGCCCTGGTTGAGTTTGTGCGGAAGCGGGTGGCTCCAGTTGAGGCTCGGTGGATGGAGGATGCGAGCAAAGGGCAATTCCGCAAGACCAAGATCAACTCCATCCAGGCACCCGTAGGGGCAAAAAGACAGAAGAAGGGATGAGTGATGATGGCCAGGAACACAATCAAAAACTTCATGGGGACAACTGAGATGGATTTGGCACCACACCACGTGCTGGTGTCCAGGTCAGTATTCGAAGTCCTCGTGCGAACAAGTACCCCATACCTGCTGGCATTGACTGGGGCTTTACTCTCTGGACCATCCAATTCATCTTGCTAGACTAGGAGTTGGCAAAGCGTATGCGGTAGAGAGACCTTACCTATGTACCTACCTAGGTACCCTTTCTATTGCCCATTGGAAGGCAAGGACTGTACTGTTCAGTTCAAGTTCTTACTCTTCTAAGCAAAGAGTAAAATACGAGCAGTCGTGGGGACTGTGCCCCTGTGGTACAGCTTTTACTTCCATCAAACCTCTTTTCTTTCGTTGCACATGTCCTGAAATCCAGTATACTCAGGTACTTACCTAGGTATCTTTCGCCTCCCAAGTTGACATGTCCAAGTTTCGTCTCCTAGGCCCCGGACCTATACTTGGACTCGTAGCAACACATGTGACCAGCTCCTTCCACATTGAGCTCCCTACTTGCTAGACAGCAAGCAAAAAAAACAAACAAACAGGCAAGCGTCTCCTTCCCAGACCTGAACTAGCTGCCTTGAACCAAATAAGGCAGTTGCCTCCATCAACATACATTAGAAGCTGCACACTTCCTTTCAAGCTGTAAACCACACTTATCACTTCTTCCCATCGACCTTTGTGCGAGGCCAGGTCTGCAAACAAACCCATCTCTCTTTCACCACGTCTTGAGAAGCCATCTCCGCCCTCCCCCCCCCCAGCCCCAGCCCCAGCCCCCACAAAAGCCCTAACGGTACCACTCATCAACAAGACATCATGGAGGGAATGAACAACCAGAAACTCAGCAGCGAGGCCATGCTCGCAGAGGCCAGAGCGTTCCAGAAGGAGGTCACTCGCGGTCAGGGTCACCGAGGCAGCCACCCAGGACCGTCCTCCCAGAGGTCTGCTGCTTACGGTCCTGGTGCCCGCGCCGCAGCTGGAACTCCTCGAGGTTTTTCTCGCCAGCCTGTTTCCCAGCAGAACCTTGCCACTCCCGAGCAGTTCTTCGGTCGTCAAGGCCGCCCGCCCCCAGCGGCCCCTCAAAACCCAACCATGCCTGCTACTCCGCAGCCCGTCTCCAGGCCTGTGGACAACTACGAGCCTATGCAGGTTGATCCCAACCCTGCTGCTCCCCACGATCACAATGGAGCTTCGCCAACTACTGGTCGTGGACTTGTTGGCTCTCGCTGGGCGACTTCGGTAAGTCCAAACACTATCTCCGATATCAAGACAACCAGTAGATATGGTGATATAAGATGTTGACAATCTGGCTTTGAATCAGGCTCCTCCGAACATGCCCCCTCCGCACATGACCCCTCCGATTACCGCACCGGTTGCTCCTGCCACTGCATCCATCGACGGTGGCAGGGCTGGCGCTACTATGAACAAGGCCCCGACCCTTCCTTTTTCATCCCAGAGGACCACTCTCGATACCCCGGAGATGCCCAAAGCCAGCAAGGGTCTCTTGGGCTCCAAATGGGCGGCGACTACGTCTCCTGCCTCTCCATCTGCGACGAACACGCAATATCCCGATCCTTCCACTCTCGAGCCAGTGTATCGCAGTGAGGACTGGCTGTCCGATCTCTCTGCGGAGTACAAGGAGTCCTCCATCAATACCAGAAATGCTTCTGAGAACCAGCCTATTCGAAAGGCTCCACTGACCCAACCCAATGCTGCGAAGACTGCCGCCGAGACTGCAAAGCCTCCGACCAGTGAGCCCCAGCAGCCTGCTCAGAATCCCTCCAACTTTTCAGCGGCTTCTCAGAATACCACCACCAGAACCTTTGCACCGCAGAAGGTAGCTGGCACCAATTCTGGCCCCTCTTCTGAATTTGGCCGTCCTAGCCCTTCTGCACAGTCCGCCAGCACCCAGAGCGCAATTTTCAACGATTCGGCGTTCAAGGATTGGTACAACACCCAATTCATGCGCCCCAAGGCGAAGTGAGCTGTGGCGGAACATGGTCAAGATCAAAGTGCGTAATGCAGTATGATCTGCGGGCATGGGTCAACGGCCTCGTGAATTGAATGGTTCACCAGATGGATTGAGTCGATGGATGGTAATTAAAAATCAGGATCATGTTTACGGTGTGTTCCGGGTGAGAAGAAGGGCCAGTTGGGAGCATCTCGGGCGATTCTGAACTCATGGGGACGAAACCCTCTTGTGAAATTCTGATTTTCTTTTCTTGCAGACAGATTGGCGTGGAGTAACTCGGGTCGCCTCTAGGATGAGACGGAGGGGGTTGAATTGACCAACATTCTGGTGCTCCACAGCCACATGCTGTTTCATAGCTGTAAAATAAAAATGTAATCTTCACCACGGCCCCAAGTTTTCGCGGTAGTGTTGCTCAGATATTTTGACTCGTGAGGGCCTATGTGGGGATTGACTTGACACCAGTTGACTGAATTGTGAAATTGATTGCAATGCAATGTTGCGCTTGCTCATTTTAGTAGAGGAAATCCTGTAAAGCTGTAATCGCTGGTATCAAAAAAAAAGCCCGTCTAGTCGTTCTATAGATCTATTCTCTAAAATTGAAGGAATCCCAAGTTCTTGACAACCAGCGCCGCGCTACTCTGCCATCTCAGAACCTAGAGATATCACGGCCAAAAACCCAAGACACAAACCACTGCAAAAACATCCTGTTAGTCTCGATTCCCCATTAAAGGCGAAGGCTTTACTCACGTAGACAGGAATCAACATCTTATTCTTCCAGCTCATGGACTTTGTGAGGTACGCCCCCCGCCACAAGACCCAGGCCATAAAACCTGTCAGGTCCCCGGAGCTCCCCTGGAAGAGCGCTTTCCACTGTTCCGCCTCTCGTCAGCACGCCTGAATGTGCTTTTTGGGGAGTAGAAGGGATACTCACGTTGCCCAGATAAGTCATTGTCCCAAGGTTGCGGAACTTGAATGGCTTCCCCTCCTCCAGCGTCCCCTGGTTCAGCGCCTTGGCCAGGTAGGCCGCCTCCTGCGACGCTACCTGGGCCGTCTTGGGCAACGTGGGCTGGTCCGCGATGACGGCACAGTCGCCGATGACGAAGACGTCGTTGAGGACCTGCGACTGCGCGCCGGGCGGTGTGGCGGCCGTGTTGTCCTTGTCCAGGGCGCTGGTGTCGGCCAGTCGTGCGCGGAGCCGGCTGTCGACGATTACGCCGCCCGTCCTGGTGTCCTTCTCGAGCCTCAGCTCCCGGGGCGCCTCGCTGCCCTCGATGGGGAGCGGGGCCGACAAGCTCTTGCCCATGAGCCTCTCGATGAGCGGGTTCTGCATCAGCCCTGTGCTCCACACCACGATGCCCGCGCCGACCTCCTCGTCGCCGCACTCCTTGATCTTGATCTTGAGCCCGCCCGAGGGGTCCGTGTCGGGCCGCACGCGCTGGATGCTGTGCGCCGTCTTGATCTCGATGTTCTGCTTCTGGACGGTGCCCATGGCGTACGAGGCGAGCGTTTGGTCGAACATGGGCAGGATCTTGGGCGAGATGTCGTATACTGTGATCCTGACGTAGGGCATCAGGTCGGGGTATATCTTGGAGAGGTCGTCGTGGATGAGATCGTGGAGTTCGGCTACGCAAACGAGGTCAGCAAGCACCCAAGAAGAGCAACGACAGAATGCCACATTATGAGATGTAGTATCTTGAAGCCTTACCTGCGAATTCTATACCAGTAGGCCCGCCGCCCACAACAGCGAAGTGGAGCAATTTACGACGATTCTCTTCGGCTGTGTTTCCATGTTAGAAGTGCTGCGACTGAATTTTTTCTGGATGAGTCACCAAGTCCTCACTTACAAATGGTGGGACTAGAGCACTGCTCAAACAGAGACAGCACCCTCAGGCGGATCCTCCTCGCGTCTCCGATATCTCTCAAGAAGTGCGCGTGTTGCCTGACGCCCTCGATGCCAAACGTCTGACTGTATGCGCCAACAGCGACAACGAGCTTGTCATATGCGACATCCATCACGGGGCCCTTGGGTATCTGAGGCGGCTCGACCTGGGCATCCTTGCTCTTGGAGTCTTTGGGAGGCGGCAGGATGGTCTGGCTGGACAGGTCATCTGCTTGGTTCTCCTCCACATGGATGACCTTGCGCGAGAAGTCTATGTCGTCCGCCCATCCCTGGTGGAATTCGACATCTCCTAGCCTGCGGACTGACTCCAGGGTCGTCCTGAACTCGAGCGTGCCGACTGAGGTTGAGGCCAAGAGGGGCGTGAAGACGAAATATGAACGGGGCGAGATTATGATTCTTTCATATTTTGCCGGGTCAAGTGTCCTTGCAAAAGCATAACCCGCCCATCCTGCCCAAAAGGTCAGCTGCGTTTTGGTTTTGGTGGGAATATCCAGAGCGCACGGGTGGACTAGACTGACCAGATCCGAGAATCGCTATCCTCTCCCTCTTCTTGCCTGCACGACCTGTTAGCCGGCGTATGCCGTTGACAATGCGGGTGCGCAGCCCTGGACCGGCGGCCATTCTTGAGGTGACTGAGTCTCATCATCTCCTGGCCAAATCGAGCCCACAAAACCCGTATTTATTCGAGGGTCGAGAGTGAGATGCTCAGATTCGGTCACCGAGAGACAGGCTCATGGAACTTGTCCGACCTGAGGCTCACCCGGGGTCCACACCTGCGCTTCCCTACGACCGATGTGAGGAGTGCGACGCACCTTTTTCTGACTCGACGCTTGTCGCGAAGCACCGAGCACAACACTGCCTCGTCGTGCTGATCGACAGGGCCTTCTGTGTAACCAGCCTCCTGGTCGGTGACTTGGCGAGACTCGACGCCATGTTGGGGACTTTGGTGGTTCCTTTCAAATGTTATCTCTCGTGGGGACGCTCGACTGGGCAAAACCGGGAGCCGGGCGGTTTGGCCCCAGCAGCGAGCCTGGCAACCCTTTAAAAGGGGATCTGGTTTTTTGTTTCGTTGGTGTGACGTTATGCCGGGCCGGACAGCGGACTCCGCTGCTGGCCCCGAAGGTCCCGGGTGCCAGGGGTCGGTCGTCTTACACGACCCCCTTAAGTGCCAATCTTGACGGTGGTCATGTCTTACCGGCCATGCTCTAATAGGGCTTGTGCTTTGGCTTCTCGCTTGTCGAGTAGTGAACTAGGGCGGACAGACTTTATGCGGCGAATATCGGAACCAGAGGCGGCGTGACCCACCCGAGGCGGACGGGGACGGACACACAAACTGCGGTCGGCCGGGCGTGAGCTCCTCTGATCCCGTCCGTCGGATCCCATACCCACTTCACCCAAAATTGGCCCCATTCTGCACAATTGGCATCCCGAGCCCAGCCTTTTCCTGGTCGGTGCTTGGCACCACAGCCAAGACTCATGTGCTGGTAAGTATTTTTTTCATGGGTCACACTCACCTCTTACGCAACATCGACAAGTCGGCGGCTTACAACCGGCCAGATAGCAAGCATCCTTGCCAGCAGCCACCTCGGGTGTCTGTTGTGCTTGCCACACAAGTACACAGTATGCCACGCTCAGATGCATCATGTGGGGGTGCTAATGGCACAAGTGGAGCGCACAGTAGGAGCCGCATTACATGACAATGATGCAGTGCTTTCATGTGGCCCAGCTTCTACCTAGGTACGCAATGGATTTGGCTTGAATTTAGGACGGGCCCTGATGTGCGGCTGCTGACATGTGTCATGAGGCTTAAATTACGGCACCCAAGGGCTTCAGGCGCGTCTCCGCGAGTTTCCGGAAGGCCCAACTTCCCACCGACGGGTCTCCCGCTGGTACCCACTCTTCCCGGAACAGCCGGGCACCGTAAATCTACATGATGACGGATGGTTCACCTCTATCTCGCAGGTCCCAAGTGCCCGGCAATCGATGTAATCCGCCCGTGTAATTGCTATTGTGGACAGACAATGCCCGCCGTCCACTCTTCTATCACTCCCTTTACTGCAACATTGAATCCAAACTCTCTCCTAGTACTCCTTCAATCTTGACAATCCACTTGTGTGTCTCCCTATCGACCACCTCGTCCTCATCGTCCTGCAACTCGCTGATGTACGGTAGCATCTCAGGCAGCATGGACAGCCACTCCTCTCCGACCTTGTCCACCAGGGCCTGCTCACACTTGACAGCCGCCAACCGGACAGCTGCAGTTTGGGACTGCATATGCTTGAGCAGCGCCGTGTTGAGCTCCTTCTGATGTTCTTGGGAGTCAGCCGCGCTCGCGAGTTCAACCACAGCTGGGGACAAGTCCTCCCCGAGGTCTACGTGCGGTGCGTGCTGGAACTGCTGAACTAGCACGGGGCCGATGGCGCTGAAGTGTGAAGGTGCTTGCCAGAAGTCGTCCTGGTCGTGCTCGAAAGATTTCGTGAGAGTCCGGAGGACCCGTCTCCAGAGCTCGCGCTGGTTGGCATCCTTGATGTCCATCTCTTGAAGCGTCTTGGCGGCCTGGTCGACTACGTACGAGCTGTAACTTGTGACGATCGACTTGAGACTGTCGAAGAACTTGAACAGGAAGCCATAAATGCTTTGTTGCCGAAGCGTGATGCCCAGCTTGTCCGACTTGGGAAGTCCAGAGCTGGACCACTCAATGAGCTGAGTGAAGACTGGCCTGAAAGCTGCGTCGTTGAGCTTGTAGATCATCTTCAACGCAACCTCATTGATGGAATCCTCCAGGCCGTCCAACAACTTCCCGTTCGTTCGCGACTTTGCGTTTTCAAGACGACGAAGGTCAAACGCAGCCAGGAAGATAGCTGAAAGGGATGACACGTTCTTTGCGACTTCCGATTTGGAACGCTTGTCGATACCCAATCCGAGGATCTCAACGAATTCGCTCATGGCCTGTCTGTTGTTAGTCGTGTTCCTGTCAGACGTAGAATGTCTTCTTACCGAATAGCCCGAGTCCATAGCAGACGCCCAATTTTTCTGCAACGCGCCGAACAGCACTTTGGAGTCTAATTGCTTTGCGAGGAAGTGCAAACATTGCTTTCTGTTATCATGCACCTCGTCGTCCAGGGAAGACTCGGCGGACTTGTTCGAGACGATCAACAGTTGGTCAAGGTAAGCCCCGGAGATCATGTACGGCAGGTGCTGAGCCAGTGCGGTCATGAGAGCATAGCAGGCGTCGTGAACCTCATCATCGCAGTCCGCGCCATCGAGTGAGGCCGACAGATACTCCAAAGTCTTGGGGATCGCGGTAGGCAAGACTGGGACGATACCATCCTGGAGCACATCCACAAGTGAGGCGAGGCAAAGCAGAGCCATAATCCGGAGACGCCTGTCATCCTGGCCAAGGCAATGCTTTCCGGCAATAGTTGCGGCCGCGGCTGCAACGGCCTCAAGGTCCTTCTTGCCATACTTCTCGGAAATCTTGTCGACGCAGGTGACTGCAGTATGCTTGTAGTGAATGTCATCGGAGTCGCGGATGACAGCGGTGAGCTGGGGCAAGAACGCCAGAAGAGCTGTTCGTGATTGGACATCACCCTGCTTCTCCTTGTCAACGCGTGTCTCGAGGGCGCGTAGGACCTTCTGCCGGAGGCCAACGTTTGGCCGATCGAGTAGGGTTTCAACCGACTTGATGAACTCGCCTACAGACAGGAGGTTCAACAAGTTGGACAAGGCGTCTCCACATCGGACGTGCAAAGTCTTTCTTGTCTTGACTGTGTCAGCCACCGTGAGCACGTCCTCGAGGAGTTGTGCATAGAGCTCGCGGATCTTTGCAGTCTCCATGTCATCCCGTTCGGCTAGCTTGCCGACTTCTCGCTTGAGCGACCTGCTAGCCAAAAGATGTGGCAGAAGAGTCAGCTGCTTCAAAGCTGTCTTGTTGATCTCTTCATCTCCCTCCTTCTTCCCGAACATGACCGCGGACAGATTCGGCTTCGGCTTGAACATGTCTGCCACGAGATCAAGGAACTTGATGAGCGTCTGCAGCTGGATCTCCACGCTGAAGTGGTTCATGAGATCGGCGGTGAATGTCTGGATGTTATCGGATGTCCCATACTTGTCGACGAACATGGCCACTAGCGCAAAGAGGAAGTCTTGAGGCCCAAGATTCTCGACTAGGGAAATGAAGAGGCCCTGTCTTCTGTGGGAGGGAATGTGCTCATAGGCAATGACGAAACTCGCCAAAAGCTCTGATGCACTGGCGACGAGGTGTCTTCTTCCCTTGCGGAAGGTATCAATCAGCGGCGGTATCACCTCTCGAATGGTCTGGTTGATAACGTGGGCGGAGTAGTCGTCACTTTGCCGGAGCACCGAGCTGCCCATGAAAGTGAAGATCGGCATGACGCTGTGCAGGACAACATCAGGAGCAGTCTTGGCTAGGCTTGCAACCAGAAGGAGCGCAGAATTCTGCACAGCTGGGCTCGAAGACTTCTGGATGCATGAAACCAACACATCTCCGTGCCCAACCGACGTGTCAATCTTCAGGTTCTTGTCATCGCGGTACGTGGGCATCATAGCTAGTAAGCTACTCAGAACCAGGTTCTGGAGATAGCCCAGTTCGGATCCTATGAGGGTCCTGAATGTTTGAAGCTCCGATAATACCATGAATAGGCTCTGAAGCAGCTCAGGATGCTGGGCAGGGGTTGAAGATTCGACCAGGTTCAAAACAGTAGTGACTTTGCTCAATGCCGCGGCGAGCTCCGGGGAATGGTGAGTATCGATCGACCGGTGGTGTTCCGATGAGCTGGTCCTTCGGCGCTTGCTAGTAGGTGGCTCTACTGCAAGTTGTGTGACATCTTGCAGAGACCCGAGGAAGTCGAGAAGGATCTCTGTGGTCAGGGGTACATTCCTGAGTAGCTCTAAGGCTTCTTCCGCGACAGTGCCATCCCTTTGCGAGAGATCCAGAGCCTTGTGGGCGACCTCCTTCTTGGTTCTGTCCTTCATAGATGGCCACATCTTACGTATTCTCGAGAAGACGCAAACCACAAGATCCCGACGCTCCTCTGCTCGGTTGCCTTCCACAATGCCGAAGAGGCATTCGAGCCCAGTAGAATCGTTTGGCACAACAACATCCACGAAGCTAGGAGTGATATTCACGTTTTCCAACCCCTCCTTACTGAGCAGGCCAAGAGCTTCGTCACGTCCAAGACTTGACCACCACTGCAACGAGGGCAGAAGGAGCTGTGTTCGGGAAGTGCTTCCCACTTTCTGCACTTGGTTCAATGCTTTGAGGAGTCTGAAGCTGAGGTTCAACGAGGGAGACTCCACAACGTGCGATGCCAGAAAGCTGAATATGGCAGCGCGGACGCTCGAAGAAATGTGGCCCTTTTTCGAGGTCTCTTTGTCTGTGGAGGACTTGCTCGAACTTTCGAGTGCCTCTTTTATGGTAGCGGTGATGTGGTCCTCGTGCATAATGGCCTCCTCTAAGGCAGGAATGAGGACATCTTCGAGAAGGATACGGCTGGCCTCAGGTGTCATCCACTTGGGGTCTTGGCCTGTCTTGTATAACGCTTGGGAGCCCCATGGTGTGTCGCTCTTTTTGCGTGACCCTGCGTCGCTGTTGTTCGTTTTGAGGACGGCAAGTAACTCAGCTGCTGCACGACGAACCTTCTTGGCTGGGTCACCCAAGGCGGCAATGCAGTACGGCTGAAGTGCTTGGAAATCGGCCTTTGAACAGTCTGGCTGTTGCAATCGATTCTTGGCCATCTCAAGCGCCCGTGCTCGAGCCAGAATTGGGTATGGGCCAAGCCATATGCGCATGTAGAAAGAGAAATAAAAGCAATCAGATGGCGCGGACTCGCTGTCGAGAATCGGAGCCTCATCCAGTTTCAAGAGAGCCGACCTGTCAGAGGCTGCGGAGATAAAAATCTGACAGAGCTCTTCGAAAATGGGATCTGAGTCGCTTGACAAGCAGGTGCGAGCTGGAGGCTTCTTATGCTTCGACAGTCGGCTAAGGCCGGCATCCAGATCCAATTCTTCTGCCAGAGCGGCTTCCGCGTCGTCATCCGATGCTTTGGTCCCCTCCCCGTTGGACTTGACCGCTTTCTTTGGGCGAATAGAGGCCTTGAGCTTGAGCTCCAACTCGTCAATGTCGAACTCAGCCTCCTCGATGACTCTGCGAAACAGTTCTCCAGCCTCCTCGGGTGCCTGCGAGAGCGCCACAATCACCTGCCCTAATTGTTTCCGGGCTTCGCCCTCCTCGTCGATCTCGTCGGAGATTTTGTGTCCTGCCACGAGCAAGGATCGAATAATAACCGATGATTGCTTTTCGCTGAGCATTTGCGACAACAGGATTGTCTTGATCAATGAGAGGCCACGGACTTCGCCTTTCTTTGTGAGTCTTTCAATCAGAGCAATGGCGAGGCCGTTGGCCAATTTGTCAACTCGGTGCTCCTTCTGCAGTTCCTGCAACAGGACGTCCAAGTCTTGCACCTTGACCAGTGACTTGGCCACCCTCCATGAGAGCTGCTTAGCAGATCGGCACTGTGCCAAGATAGAAAGACAGACCAGGCCAGGTCTCACGGTCTCGGTCGACCAGCCCAATACTAATTGATGCATGAGCTCCAGCAGCACTGCATCCTCCAAGCCACCCTTCGAAGCATAGACCGATATGACCATATAGCTTGCTATCTGAAGGCCAGGGACCTTCTTCATCATCAAAGTCTCGCTCAGGATAGGCAGAAGCTTCTGAAGAAGATCTTGGTCGTGATCTCTCTGAACAGCCCTTCTGCCCGATTTCGTGTGATCCAGCATGCCATTGACGGCCTCTGTCATTAATCCACCCCAAAATGAGATTAACCCGGGGTAGTGTTGCTGCGCCCGGCATGACTCTAGAGTCCAAGCTGATACGGCCGACAAGAGCTCGAAATGATGTGTTGTTTGTTGGACCAGAATAGCCCTTGGCGGCGCTGTCAAGGATCGAACGTATGGGTCGAGGAACCTGTACTGGTTGGGCAATTTGGTGGGGAGGATAGACATGAGTGTGACGAAGAGCGGCGCAGAGTGGTACGGTAGGAACGCCGTTATGAGGGAGGATGTGACGTATTCGTGTATTCTGGACACAAATTAGAGCGCATCCGGAAAGCACGGTAGCAGAAGGCATACCTGAATCTTCGTATAAGCCACTCTACAGCTTTGACTGCGGGCATGAGCCTCAGCTTCCCGCCGACCAGGCGCAGGAAGGCCTCGGTGGCCTTGTGCAACTCGGCATTCTCGGCAGCGGTCATCTGCGTGCGGTCCTCATCCTGGCTTTGCTCGCTAAATAGCGTCTGTCCGTACGGAAGAAAACGAGCATCGAGGCGGCATAGCTCTTCGAATCCCTCGTGGCAGATATCGTAGACGGTCTGGTAACTCTGACCCGCGGCGACTTTGGGCTCAAAAATCAGGGACTTCGCGTGCGCGGCCTTTTGCGCCTTCACGTTGAGTGTGCTTTTCGAGTTGACGGCAATCTGCGCCAACTGCGCGGCGAGCGATGATGGCGCCATGACTCTCCCTGGCGGTGCGCGTGCCCTATGACATGGGCGATGGTGAAGTTCAGACGGTGACAATTTCTATCCAAGGGGTCGCAATTCCCTGAACTTTTCGAGTCCCCCAGGCGCTCGGTGGCGCGTTGATTGGGCCGATAAGAGGTCCAGGTGGGGCGGAAGCAGCTTATCGGGTGCCGCTTAATCTTTTTTTTCTGATGTCCGTAGCGACCTCCCATTTTCCAAGTTGCCGCATGGCACAAAAGCACTTGGCGCAATAGAATCACCACCTTCGCTGTTGTTCATTTTGAAAATCGAGTCAGAGATCACTTGGTGATCTGGAGCCATCGGTTGGCGAGAGCGAAGTGATCTCGCACAAAACGGCAGCGCAATGGGACCCCCTTCAAAAAAGCGGCGCTTGAGCCCGCCGCAGTCCGACGACAATGTTTCGAGCGCGAAGGCGCAGAATGCGTTCTTCAAGAACGCTGCCAGCTGGAACCTGGAGCAGGACTATGAGTCACGACCCAGGAAAGGAAAGAAGAAGGAGAAGGAGAACAACAAGCTTCCCATCAAGACGCCAGACGGTCGTTTGGCACAGGCGCCCGTGAGCCACGAGCCTGCGCCCATCGAGAGCGACGATGAATGGCTAGACGGGAACGAGAGCGACGGCGCAGCTTCCGAGGTTTTCGACGAAGAACCCCCGGCCGAGCCCACGATGTCAGAGCGGGAACAGATCATTCAGGCGAAGGAAGAGCTGGCCAAGATTGGTGCACACCTGAGCGAGAACCCGGAGGAGTATCCTGGAGCTTTCAAGCAACTGGGCAAGATCGGAGAGTCGAAGATCCCTGCGATCCGCAAGCTGTGCATAGTGACGCAGCTGGCAATATACAAAGACGTGATCCCAGGTTATCGGATACGACCGGGCACAGAGGATGCCCCCGGAGCGAAGTTGTCCAAGGAAGTCAGGAGTTTGCGGACATACGAGCATGCCCTAGTGACTGGTTACCAAGGATATTTGAAAAGGTTGACCGAGTATGCAAAGCTTAAGGGGTCTGCAGACAACACGAGCCTGGCGAAGGTCGCCATCACTTGCGCCTGCACATTGGTCACATCAGTACCTCACTTCAACTTTCGAACGGAGCTCTTGAAGATCTTGGTCGGGAAATTGAGCGCTCGAAAGGTCGACGAGTCTTTTTTGAAATGCCTGAAAGCTCTCGAGGCCCTTTTCCAGGAAGACGAGGAGGGAAGACCGTCCATGGAAGCGGTATCCCTTCTTACAAAGATGATGAAGGCGCGAAAGTACATCGTGAATGAGAGTGTGCTCAACTTGTTCCTGTCGTTGAGACTGCTCTCCGAGTTCTCCGGGAAGGCCTCGAAAGACGAGGTAGACACTGGAAACGACGGCAAGAAAACTCCCAAGAAGAAGTGGGAGCACCGTACGAAGCGTGAACGAAAGGCTATCAAGGAAGAGAAGGCTCTGTCGAAAGTGATGGCGCAGGCAGATGCTCTGGTCAGCCACGAAGAGCGGGATCACATGCAATCGGAAACCCTCAAGCTTGTCTTCGCTACCTACTTCCGGATCCTCAAGCAGAGACAGCCGCAACTCATGGGAGCCGTGCTGGAGGGATTGGCCAAATATTCCCACTTGATCAACCAAGATTTCTTCGGCGACCTGCTCGAGGCCATGAAGGACCTCATTCGGCACAGCGATGAAGATGCTGAGGCCAAAGATGAAGATGAGAGGGACGAGGAGGAAGATGTGCATGTACGGAACACCAGCCGCGAGGCGCTGCTCTGCACAGTGACGGCTTTTACCCTCCTGGCCGGTCAGGATGCACACAATGCCCGCGCAGATTTGCACCTCGACCTATCCTACTTCTCGACGCACCTCTTCCAAAGTCTTTTCCCCTTGTCGATAGATGCGGACCTGGAACTGGGAGCCGGGGCAATGCATCTACCGGACCCAGACACCCGCCAGGCTCCCAAGCTCAACAAAGTCAACCTGCAAACCACGACGGTGCTGTTGATCAGGTGTCTGACAGCAGTTCTTCTGCCGCCTTGGAACATCCGCTCAGTCCCTCCACTGCGCATCGCAGCATTCGCAAAGCAGCTGATGACCATCGCTCTGCAGATGCCAGAGAAGTCGTGCCAGGCCGTTCTCGCCTTGTTGAACGACGTGACATATACACACGGCAAGAAGATTGGAGCTATATGGAACACGGAGGAGAGGAAAGGCGATGGGACGTACAACCCGCTCAGTGAATCTGTCGAGGGCAGCAACCCGTTCGCAGCTACGGTCTGGGAGGGAGAGCTACTGAGGAGACACTACTGTCCCAAAGTCCGCGAGGGACAAAAGCTGTTGGAGAAAAGCTTGAGGACTCTATGAGATAGCGAGGTGTATCACCAACCCACTGAAACCATGGATCACAAGGCAAATCGCCAACATCAACTGACTCTTGCCAATCTCTCAAATGCGAGCCGCAAAGTCCCGGGGCGACAGAGCGCCTCCGTGTGTGCATTGTTCCGGAAGGCGAAAAATAGCAAACTGACTCGAGTTGACACACAGTACGCCAGCGTCCGGGAAACCTCATGCGCGCCTGCCTCGCCTCCGCGAGGAGTTCAACCGAATGACTCCCGCCCTTGCGCGCTCGGCCTACCAACAGGCCAAGTTGGACGAGGGCTGCGCGCCCCCGTCGCTGTCCCCGTCCCACGGCTACACGGACGCGTGCCCCCCACGACAGCACAGTCGCACATACACCTGCACCACACAGAGCACATTCCCACTTCCCGGCGACGCCCGCGATGGGCCGTTCCAGGCCGTTCATGTCCAGTTTCCCCGGCAGACCCTAACCTAGGTCGTGAGTGCCTGACTCTCCGCGCGCGCCGCCGCCAAGGAACGCCTCCGCCCCGGTCACATCACGACGCTACTGCTCGTCACTCTCTCGTACGTAGTCAGGGCAGCCACGATCGGTTCATTGCATCGTGCTGTGGGGTGCGCTATGTCTACGGGGGAAGAGGGACAAGACGGAGCCGGGCGCGGGTCGGGTTTGCAATGGCCCCCCTGTGATACTCGTCCCCATCCGAGCTCTCGGAGATTTGGCGACGTGTTAGCAGAAGGACGGGCGCGCCCGAGAGAGGCTTGTGAGCAAAGGCTCCAGAAGGTGGGTTTAGCACAGTGGGGTGCCCTTGCCTGATAGACGACAAATTTCCGAGGCTAGCCTGACGACACTTTTATTACTCTGCAGTGGTGTTTCGCTACCAGACAAAATCGGACTGCAAGTTCAAGTCATGTATATGTGTACCTTGGGATGCACGTACATCGCACGCTGTTCGTGCACCCGGGTAGCGCTGCTCGTCAATGCAGGTACGTGGTCGCCTCGACATTAGTTCCATGCTGGTCTCGCTAGTATAGCCCCGACGTCAAAGTGGTCGGTGCCAGGCCCGGCGAGGCTCGCAGAGTGCAGTGCTGAGAAAAACGGGCGGGCTAGCGGGTGTTCAGGTTCAGGTTGTGTCCTGTGCACGCCAGCCCGCGCGAGCGAGAGTCGGTGTTGAGACAGGGCGGCGCCAGGAGTGTAGAGATTCTAGGATGCTTTTCTAGAACGAGATATGGCAAGATTGAGTTGCGCTTCATCCCGAATGTCTGGGAGCTTTTTGCATGCGCGCTTGGACGCAACGATCCGATTCTCAGCCCCCAGAGCCGGCGGCTGTTTGAGGACGAGGAGGGATAGTATCTGGCCGGCCGGCCAGCCGTTCTGTCGCCGAAGGACCTGTCTGCGCTTGTTCGCACTGCGGCCTGCGTCTGTTTCGCACGTATCAGGACACGATCTCGGGGCAGCGTCGCTGCTCAACGGCTCTGCTCATAGTTGCGGGCTTCAGACAGCCTGGACAAGCATTTCCAGTGGGAACAACACGTGGTTCGCCCTCACTCAACTGACGACGAACAGACGTTGGCTAGTGGACGACCCATGTCTCACCAGATGTTGTCGATTCCTATGTCAGGAGAGCACGGGCCTGCTGGTATTTGAATTTTCCGCCTGGCTGCAGTTGGCGAATGGTCCGTGGTCAGGCACGAGGACAGCGAACAGGCACACTGTAAAATGACAATAATTTCAGCAAGCGCTAAGAGATGCCCATAGACCCATGTTCATCCCCCCAGCTTGAAGGTATTCTGTAAGCCACTGGCGCGTAGGGCTGAGCCGCCTTCTGCAGCACGCTCGTTGTAGTTGCTTGCATCATCACCCGGTGTTCACAGACCCTGCTGAGTCGGTTCTGCAAAGAACTCAATCGCCAGAACGGCCTCGCCTATTGCGCCTATTACGTCACTCCCATCTGTGATGATCCTGCGTTCAGTACGGTCGACTCAGGCTGGCCAGCTGGGCTGACTCGATCAGTACCTCCAGGAACCTGATCATCCGTGGCAGCCTTGACTCTTCATGGGTTCCGAGCCAAGATATCCCGCAATGTTGGACGATCAATCGTCTGGGCGAACACCACCACCAGCCTTACACAGTACCATAACAGTTCTCAAAGTCGTGAATGGACAAGGAACCGCGTACTTCGAACAGTGCGAGTGTGCTTAGGACTAGTCGCTGGCCAAGGTAGGCTGATATATCACATATGACTGGGTCACAGGCCGTCCGGAACCAAGGACCCCGATGCTTGCACCTTGACAGACCGGCCTGGGCGACATGATTTTGCAGCACTGAGTTTCCAGCGACTGGAATGCCGAGGAATCTAACAATTTGGTAGGTGGCCAGGTCAGAATAAGCTGCCTACGACACCATAAACTCATGCCAAGCACAACATCACAAGGTAGCCAAGCTGTCATACAGAGATCGATGTGAGCCGTCGAGGGAGTAGCAATGGGACTAACTGGCATCTGCCGTCGAGTGATAACCAGAACCGCACTGTGGAATAGTATGAGCTGGCAGTCATTAGTAGACAGGAAAAGGCATGCCGCTTCCCACCTTTGACACCTGCACAAAATGCCGTGGCCTCGTTCTGATGTCCATAATCAGCATAGTCCCTTGACGTTGGCTTTTCATGCGGGCGCCGACCTCGAGGCTGCCGATGTTGATCCAGACTGGCCAATCAGCTCGGTACCGAAAACCAAGGCGTATCCACCAGTCCAATGCTTCGGCTTATTAGGCGGTTTCAGAAGTCGATCTTCAGCACGACCGGTCTGGACGCACTGGGCAGGCTCTACAAGGTCATCGGCCACGGGAGACTTCCGGCAGAAGGGTCCAGGGTCAAAGATTGTCAATGGGATCCTGGTTGCTGTCGAAACAAAGACTTGCCCCTGAGGTCGAGTCCCTCAGGACTGCACTCGGCAGCGGCTCAGTGCCTAGCACTCCGCACATATGTTTGACCGGAGAGGATGGGTGGTGCATATTGTGGGAGCGAATAGGAGAGACCTGGAGAACCCACAGAGAACCCACAGCACGCTCAGATGCTGCCAGCACCCGCAGAGAGTCGAGAGAAACAAGACGCAGGCCCAAGACAATCATACGAGTCCTCTGGTCACCGCCTTTTCTTTGGCTGCCCTCGGACTGGACAAGAACGAGCGGGAGGCTCAACTTACCTTCTGTCAGCGTCTCAGAGCTCCCCTTGCGGTAAAGCCAGCGTCTAATCACTGCTCAAGCAAGACCTCAGATGGAAAACCGCCGGCCTGATCAGACGGGCGACAAGACGGCTCGCCACCCGCCCAGCTTGCTCCGTCTTCCCATCACAATCCAGGCGTGTGGTCATGGGAGGCACCTTACGGCTGAAACACATAGGCCGCGGTATATGGGACCGTCGAAAATTGAATTCCTGGGATGCGCCCGAGTGCCTGAACCTTCCCCAACGCTCCGGCCCATGGCAAAGATGCCTTGCGTAAACGCCGATGGGTGAATCTTCGAGAGTTCAGTCGTGAGTGATTTGGAGATCTTGATCCGAAAGTCTAATCATGTGGCACCCGACACGAATCTTGAGCAACCACTTCGGGCTTTCCGTACGGTTGCAAGACGAAAATGTACGACCTGGACCCCCGGGAGGATCACCCAGGCGAGCAGGGTATCTGATGCGTACGTTGACTTGTTTCCATGCCAAGAGGCCAACGACGATCATCCACGCACTTGCGAGAGTCCGCCCTTGACGTCCGCCTCGCCTCTTGGACCCGGAGACTGGTACGGGAGGCGAGCAAGGTTTGCGAGCTGGCAAAGCATCACACTGGTTGATCGCCTCCACTGGCCGGCCCTTCTCCCGCCAGAGTGGACGGGTTGATACGGCGACTCCATGTCACTTTGAGCCTCGACCGCGATGCCAATGTGATCGACGAGGACATGCGCTAAAGTCGGGGCAAACCGACCAGAGGGGAAGTATCTACGCTCCCTGGGAGCATCTCAAACAACAGACATGTGGGTGGCGAGCACAGGCCTGCCGTAGATCGCCGCAGGCTCCTCGAAGGCATGGGTAATGCCACCTGGGCCGGCTCATAGGCGCCAACGTTTGACTATTTCGAGAGCGGGCAGGGCGTTGGGGTGTCTGCTCGCGGGTGGTCTGGCTAGTCACCACAGCCTTCTGGAAGAACATGAGGACTAGCGTCGCGGTTGAACCGGTGGTGACAAGGCTGGTGGTGTTTCATGTACCTGACAGGGTGAGGGGTAGTCACCACCACCAGCCGTGACCAACCCCCACCGGCGCTTGTTTGGAGTCCGCATAACCGTCTAGACAAATGCTTCAAAAGTGACCCAGCTTTGGGCACTCTGCTATTCCACGGATGTTTATATCTGGGTAACTAGTCAGTGGGTATCCACAGTGACGGCAGATGCGAGCAAATCTTGTGATAACTGACAAGCCGGCCTTTGATTTTCTCCGACGGACGATGCCTCTCGCCTTGGTTCAGATTTCGCCTCTGGCCACCTGTGGCGTACTCGGAAAGGGATGCTTTCTTGCTCCCCAACCACGGCCCACTTCATGCAAGGCCGACGGAGGGGAGCATGAAAACATTGTTTTCCTCCGGCGCCGGGCTTATAGCGAACACCAAGTGACCAGGAACCTCCGTGCACTCACGGCGGAGGGGGGGGTGTGTGTGAGTTGTCAAGGGTCCATTTGATGGTGCTTCCCCAAGTCTGGTGGTGTGTGTGGTGGAATGTCAACGTTTCAAGACATGCGATACAGATCGACGCCCTTGCCCTCGTGTTTCAGAACTCATGGCAAGTGCCGGCGAAGGGTGATAGATGTGGTGATCTCGTATCCTAGCAACGCCGACAGCGTTGGACTCGGCCAGAGGATGTTTCCCTGCCGGTTATGTGCCAGCTCAAACATGGGAAAGAATACGCGCAGAAGTTTCTGGCCGGGCAGCCAGGTTCTCCCGCCAGTTTCGTGCTAGTGGGCGATGGGCGCAAGCTCCAGCTTCGTTATTGGCATGGTGTTTCGCCCATATCTTGGGGTTCGAAACACTCACCGCTGTCGTTCGCCAGCGAGATTATCGACCGGCGCTTGCCACAGCCTGTGAGGAATAAGCCACAGCGGGTGTGAGCTTGGAATTGACATCAAACCGGAGCGTTTCGCGGCAGCGGCAGCAGCAAGCAGCATGAGCATGTGGGCGGGCGGGCTCATGGCCTCAAAGCCTCGACCCGCAGACGGCATACGCAGCGCAGCGGCTCCGTCATGCGGGCAAGAGGCGGGTGGAACCAGGCAGCCAGGAGGAGGAGGAGCCTTTCTCCCTGTGCAGTGGATGTGTAGTGGATGCGCAGGCAGGCGGGCAGGCGGGCAGGCAGGCTAGGCGAAGGGGGAAAAATAAGATGGATGGCATCCGCAGAGCTGCATCGGGTGACGACAAGGCTCGAGGGGTGCTATTCTTGTCGTCCATGTGGTGACCCGAGCGCGCAGGCTGGCAGGAAAGGTGCTCGGGCGCGATGAGGTCGGAAGCGGACAGGTGAAAATCTGCAAGTGCGAAGACGAGGTGCCCAATCACAATCCTGAAGAGCTCTCTGCCCAAGCAAAAAGTGGGCATGCGTCAGAATGGCCAGGGGGTCTCCGAGGCGCACATAGCGTACCAGTCTTTTAAGCTTCTTCATCCCACTAAGACTGTCTGCACCGAGGCTAGGGATGTCCTGTGCCCTGGCCCCTGATGAAACCGCTCACGGGTGGGTCTATTCCTCCCTGCTGCCCTGGCGGACAGCCGGGCCCGTTGACGAGAGCGACGCCATTTGTTGTTGATGTTGATGTTGATGCTGTCGATGTTCACTTGTTAGAGTTATTGTGGAGGCAGCGACAGCGGCACAGGGTGCCATGACAGTTGGGCAGGCATAGGCACAGTCGCATTACCGTGAGGGCGGGAACTGATACCCAAGAAGGAGTCAGACACGGCCACGCCCCACTGAACGACTGGCCGACGGGTGCCGGGGCGGGGAGGGGGGAGCGTCCAGCCAAATCTGCCCGTGGTGAGCCGGCCGCTGAGATTGGCGAGCAGCGCCCCGGACAGCGACGAGCGTGAGCGTGAGCGTGACGCCGGCAATGCTCAATGCACCACCCAGCCAGCCAGCCCAGCCCAGCCTGTGGGCACCCCAAGCTGCTGGCGGTGTGTGCTGTTTCGAACAGCGAGTGCAGTGGGTGCAACGGCAGAACGGGAGCTAGGCCGTGGGAACCGGCCTGGCCAGCCTTGGGTGGTGCATACCATGATCTTGGGGAGTTGCACAGATGACCCAAGATGTGGGGGAGGCACTTGTTTGGCTCTGCCGTCTCGCCGGAGTGTTTAGTCTGATCAAGCAAGCGCCTCCCGAAATAGCATCGCTGCCGACACGTTTGGTCCCCTGGGGTTGGGAGAATCTGGTGAAACATTGTTCTGCTGGTATGCCAGTGTGCCTGGCGGCACCCGCCGTGGCACGCTGGCCAAGGGAGGGAAGGGAGAAAACAATCGCATGTGTGTGTGTGTGTGTGTGTGTGTGTGTGTGTATGTGTGTGTGTGTGTGTGTGTGTGTGTGTGTGTGCCAGTTGTACGGAGTACGGAAGACTGAGTGCAGCCAGCCAGCCAGCCAGCCAGCCAGCCGCCATGGCATACTCCGTACCGAGAAGAGCAGAAGGGCAGGCACGCACGCAGGCATCTTGTATAACACCCCCAAGGCTGTCTGTCTGTCGTCTGTCCGGTTCAGACGACATGACGGCGACGAGATGAATGCAAGCTGCCTGCTGCAAGCTGCCTGCTGCTTGCTCCCGCACATGATGTACACAAAT